GTGAAGAGCTCCTCCACGGAACCGCAGAGCGAGCGTTTCCAAGCCTGGGCACAGCAGTTGGGGCGGCTCGGAGCACGGCCTATCGGAGCGAAGTGCTCTCCGCCCCCAGCTTCTGGAGAACAAGAAGCTGCGATGTCGACAGCTTCTCAACGCCTTTACGCACTGGGTTCACAGTGTAGAATGGTTTGTGAAAGGGCGGCAGTCTTCTCGCATGTTCGGCGAAGATTCGGCATGCAAGATGGAGCAACAATGTGGCTGTTGAATCTCGGTGGCGTCCGATTAGGCGATGGCTATTCCGTCCTGGAGCCAACCAACGTCATTGCCAAGTACCAAGCGCTTTAGCATAGAAGAAGAGAGATAATCGTATTCTAATCTCTTACTCTGCCGCTCATTCTCTGTAGAGCTGGAGAGTGCGACAACGACGACACTTTGCAAGACGCGACTGGAGTGGCTTGATTGAAACGCGCTTTTGCTTTTCCAATCTGTGCACGACCATTGAGTGCTTAACTTTGGTTGCTACCCGACTACCACGCGCATCATCCAAGCTTTCGGATGCAGTTGCCGAGCAGCACTTGAACTCGTAAGCATTCGGCTTGAGTTTTCTTGTTCATCCCACAACATGACTAACTCGTCGCCAGCAGACTTTGGACAGTAGACCCTCGTTCGCCAAACACGGCTGTAAAGGACCGGCGTCTGGGCGGATCCCCATATACATGCATTCGGTCTCGCTACCATCTTTCTCTTCCTTTGGCCGACTCCCTCGACAGCGCGGCCCCAGTGCCAACATCCTCCCTACATAATCCTCTTTCGCCCGCGAGATCACTTCCCGCCTACCTCCAAGCCGCGAGCGCGTCGAACCGTCTTCGCGCATCCACATCCACACTTCGTATAAGCCTGAGGGATAGTGAGAGGAACAAATCGTCGCAATGGCGTGGGACCATCTCTCCATCACCAAGCCGCATCTGGTTTACCTGATCCTTGGAGGCTTCACCAGTCTGTTTATGCTGTGTTCTTCCGTGATCAAAGAGCGTCTGTACATTGGTGAAGCCACGGTCGCGACTATATGTGGTATCATATTCGGCCCACACGCCGCCAACCTCATAGACCCGTCGACTTGGGGCAATGTCGACTTAATCACTCTGGAGTTCTCGCGCATCGTCCTTGTCGTGCAATGTTTCGCCGTCGGTGTCGAACTGCCTCGCGCATACATGGAGAAACATTGGAAGTCTGTTGTAGCGCTACTGCTCCCCGTCATGACTTTTGGCTGGCTAGTGACTAGCCTGTTCATCTGGGGCCTGTTCCACTCCCACCTCAACTGGCTTGACAGTCTGTGCATTGCAGCTTGCGTTACCGCCACCGACCCTGTCTTGGCTTCGTCCGTCGTTGGTAAAGGCAAGTTTGCCAAGCGGGTACCTAAGCATCTCCGAGACTTGCTGTCCTGTGAATCTGGCTGCAACGATGGCATGGCTTTTCCCTTTGTGTACTTGGCCATATACTTGCTCCACTACCGACCAGACGCTAACCAGGTCGCCTTCCACTGGTTCTGCTACACCATCCTCTACGAGTGCATCTTTGGCGCCTTCTACGGAGTCATGGTTGGATACATCGCGCGTCGCGCTATTCGATGGGCTCACGAGAAGGACCTCATCGATCGAGAAAGTTTCCTCGTCTTCTACTTCGTCTTGGCCTTGTTTTGCGCTGGTTCTGGAGCTCTGCTTGGTATGGACGACCTGCTCGTGGGCTTCGCCTGTGGTGTCGGCTTCTCCAACGACGGATGGTTCCTTGAGAAGACGGAAGAATCTCACGTTTCCAACGTTATTGATCTGCTGATCAACTTGGCCTTCTTCGTCTACTTCGGATCCATCATTCCCTGGCAACTGTTCAACGAGCCAAGCATCGGGCTTTCGCCATGGCGTTTGGTGGTGCTTGGTTTACTGGTACTTTTCTTCCGCCGTATACCAATCATGTTGGCACTCAAACCAGTCATTCCCGACCTCAAGACCTGGCGCGAAGCTTCTTTCGCTGGGCATTTCGGACCCATTGGTGTCGGTGGTCTTTTTGTCGCGATTCTTGCAAGGGCCGAACTAGAGACCGATACCACAAGCCCGCTGGCTGAATTGCCAAAGGAAGGAGAAGAAGGATCTGATCACTTGAACATTATTGAGATGATATGGCCAATTACATGTTTCTTGGTCATTGTCAGTATCATTGTTCACGGAAGTTCCATCGCCGTCTTCACCCTTGGAAAGCGCATCAACACTTTGACAATTTCCATGTCCTATACTCAGGCCAACGAAAATGGACCCGGCTGGATGGACCGCCTTCCCCGTATTCAATCACGCTCCAGATCTTCTATGGCTCGCCGTCCCTCTGAATCATCCATGGATGAAAAGTCGGAACTCGCAGCGGTGGGTTTCGGCGGTAGCTTCCTGCGCCGTCAAAAGGAAGAAGACAGCAACTCTGTGAAGCCTACGAGCCGAGGAAGGCGCTGGGATGCTGGTCGAGGTCCAGGCGGACCGATTTCGCAGTCCGCTATTGCCCCCAGTAGACGCGACGAAGAGAAGGCAGAAGCGATACCTCCTGAGGAAGACACCGATACCTTTGCTGACACGATGGCCATCTCTAGCGACAGTTCGTCAAGCGAGAAAGGAAAGATGAAGAGGCGGATACCAGAGGAAGAGATATACCAGGAGGGCCATGAGACCGTCTTTGAAGACAAAGAAGGGAATGTTCTCGGCGTAAGAGACAGTCATGGAGAGCAGGGCACCGTGAGACAAAGGCACGATAGTGAAAGGGCACAAGAGCTCATGCGTCAGAAGCATGTCCAGGGTGGTGTGTCACAAGACGAGCATGGTGGTGCCCTTGAAGAAGCACCTAGTCGGATTGAGAACGCCATCGAACACCCGCACAAAACCTGGCGCCATCGAATGCAGAGCTACACAGGCCATGGTCACAAGGATAAGGCTGCAGAACCTCCCAAGGCGGAGAAGTCAGCACCAAAATCCGGAAAGCATGGCCCCGCTCTTGCTTACCAGTATGGTAATACCATTATTGTCGAAGACGAGGACGGCGAGGTCTTGAAGAAGTATGACATTCCAGCTACTCCGAAGAAAGGGAAGGACGGTCGTCCTGCCAACCCCCGCGGTCAGTCCATGGTGGAGACGTCAAGCCGTGCTGTACAGAGTCTCAAGCGGATGGGAACTCACATGGGCGTGCCCGCCGGGCAACAGGCTGGAGCATCCAGCACTCAGGCCGCAAACAACAAGAAGAAGCAGAAGGCAGCGGAGGCGGCAGCGAAAGAGCAAGAAGATGACGACTTACTCCGCTTCACCGTGACTGCTGGTGGTCGTCGCATGAGCAAGCTCGAATTCATTCAGCAAATGTCGCAGATGAACCCCAAAGACAGGGCGAAGTTTGTACAAGCTAGCGATGTTCCTGAAGCAGTCAAAGATGCCGCCCATCAGGATGCCAAAGATCACACCGCAGAACAACGCCGCCGGGCAGCTTCCATGCAAGCAAACGTGCCCCCAGTCGTCGTCGGTGAAGAGGGCGAGGCAGAACTTCACAAGATCGAGTCGCCAGTAGCCAGGGAGGAGGGTCACGCCCGTGGCCCCGAAGGTTTGACGCTGGTTGACAGTAACGACGAGCATGTGCCGTTCCACTCTGTACGCCAGGATCTCGAGGACCGACCTAAGGATCAGGGTGGCGAGACTGCGGCACAACGCCGGCGTCGCCTAGCTGCAGAGCAGATTCCCGCTGAAACTTCAGGGGGTTCCGCTATTCCACCATCTCATGAGCCTGAAGAAGGGTTTGAAGGCGAAACAGCAGCAGAGCGAAGGCGTCGTCTGGGCGCTCTTGGTGTCGGCAAAGACGATACTCCCGAGTCTGATTCCGAAGATGAGGAGACAGGTGACCCAATGGAGACTGGTCGTGGTACACACTCACGCGCCACCGAACCTAGCCAGAAGACGCTCTCACCTACGCCACGCACACCTGGTATTCGCTTCGCGGATCAACCTAGGGTACCGACAAAGGACGAGCGTGCCGCCGAGGATGCGCGAGTAAAGGAGGAAGACCAGAAGGAGAGGGACGGAAAGAAGAAGAGTGGGCTGAGCAAGCTCATTGGACGAAAATAGGATGTTGACATTTTCATATTTCTTTGGATTGAATGTTTAATTGGGGGGGGGGGGGGGGGGGGGGGGGAGGGTTGATGGATTTGTGCTTGCATAGCGCTGCGGGGTTTAGATGAGCTTTTCTAGACGAGATAAATGAGCCGTGATGTGGACATGGAGTTGACGCAACACGTTCGTCTAAGAGACGTAGTATGTCTCGAATAAAACGCATTTACTCTTGTATTTCCAGCATCAGAAGTCCTTCGCAAGTGCGTGTTATGAAATTCTATGCCGCCAGCCCAATGTGGTTTATGCCGTCACTGTCATCAGTCACTGTATTCGCCATTTGTTCCTGCATCTGTGACATGTCTTCCCGTCATGTTCTGTACACTTCACCGCAGCCGTAGGTGACAGTCACATTATCACTAATCACCGTGACGCGACCCACAGTGCTCGTATAGAACTTCATCCAAACCCACGCGTGATGTGGGGAACTGTCTGGAAGCGGCGGCAGCTGAAGTGGCTTGCCTCGGCGCCCCAGGCCTAGATCGTGGAAAATCTTATCAGATTGATAAGATAATCTGATTAGCGCTGGTGGGCTCCATCATTGTTCCACTCGCGATGCAGCGGCCACAACATCGTGCCTTGATGGTACATGTTTACGGACGCGACTCCGAGCTCGCTCTGGCGCTAGGCTCTCTTTGTGCGACTGCCCATCCGGTTCGTACCAATCAAAAGCTCAATCTTCCGTCGTCTACCATCGTTTTGGCTAGCCAGTTACCATGAGCCAAAGGCGCAGAGCATGATGAGAAGATACTAGAGTATGGCCATCGTACTGGGCTCCTTTTGTCCCGATGACGGAGACGGCTCCTACTCGATTCCTGGAGGGATTTGGCTTATAGCGGCCATGGTTGCCCCTCAAACGAAGGGCACAGCTTCTCCTACTTCAGGCCTTCACGTCCTCCAAGTTTAATCCTGAAGACATCGATATGGGTTCCGTCCAACAGCATGAGATTGAAACACTCAACAGCCTAGCAGCCCAAATCAGCGAGCTAGCCGCTAAGATGACCAAGCAGCTGGCGGCAGAGAAAGTGACACCAATCACTCTCGAGGCCGACAGTCCGATCAAGTACGAGAAACTTCCTGGAGACGTCTTCATGACCCGGCAACTTCTTGAGGATGCATTGAAAGACCTGTGGATTTTGAGCCAGGGACCGAGCGAGAGTGTGTTCAACTACGTACACATGGCCATCCCAGACGCGGCGTGCTTGAACATCCTGAACCAGTTCGATTTTTGGGGTGCAGTACCGGTGAATGGCGAGGCGACGTTTAAAGAGATAGCGAGCTACACCAAGCTCCCTCTTGAAGTTGTGAGCCGTGTCATTGATCATGCGGTTACGATGCGTTTCTTCGCCAAATCTTCGCCTGCAGCAACGCAAGTCAGGCATACTTCTCGATCAGCTGCATTAGCCAAGGACCCTGGCTTGTCTGCGCTGGTGCAGACAGTATTGGATGAAACGGGTCCACCTATGTTCTTGCTTCCTGAAGCTCTGCGTCGCTTCTCGCAAGGGAAGGCTGAATCAACCAAAGACATGAAGGAGACTGCTTTCCGGCTCTGTCACTCTGGCGGTGCCTGGGGTGACTATAACAATAGTTGGGCCTTCATTGAGAACGACGGCGAAGGCGAAAAGAAGGGATGGCGGCAGAGGAACTTTGTGAAGTTCATGGTGTACATCAAGGATCTGTTCCACACCGAGAACATCATACTCAATGCTGTTGATTGGGAGGCCGCCGGTGAAGTCACGGTCGTTGACGTGAGTATCTGCTACTATCAGCTCTGTTCTGGCACTAATAACCACCAGATCGCCGGATCCGCTGGCCACGACGACGCCGTCCTCGCAGCCAGATTCCCCAACCTCAAGATCGTTGTCCAAGATCTTCCAGAAGTCGCTCCAATATTCGAGAAAGAGTTCCCATCCGAACTCAAATCTCGCGTCTCCTTCCGCACACACAACATGTTCGATCCCCAGCCCGTAGAAGCAAGCATCTACATCCTCAAATGGATCCTGCATGACTGGCCGGACGTCGAGTCAGTAAAGATATTACAGGCGCTTCGGCCTGCACTCAAACCTGGGGCGCGCGTCATCTTCATTGACTACGTAGGCAAGCAGGGACCGAGCGATGAGGAATTACCGAGAAGTATACAGGGCTTTGGCACGGCTACTGATCTTAGGATGATGGCGTTGTTTAATGCAAAGGAGAGGCCAGTGGAGGCGTGGAAGGATATCTTTAGGCAGGCTGATGAGAGATTTGATGTTGTTAGAGTAGAAGCAGACCCGCTGAGCTTCATGTGCGTGCTTGAAGCGGTTTGGCGCGGCTAGGGGTGATTGCTGGGGTCGTACATCCTGACGATTGTTTGGCGGTTACCAGGAAAGGCATTGGTTGTAGATAGCGATATCGAAGTCTGTGGATGTTTCGTGTCACCAGATCGGTTTGTGCCGTGTTCTTCGCTTTGAGTCCCGAGGTCAGCAATCGGCGAATTGGGAACACGAAGCGCTTCGACCCCACTTTTGCAGTTCAGCGTCCCGCAACTCGAAGTAGTCGAATGCAAATAAAAAATGAATCTATATTTGTAAATTTTGCAAAATTTTCCATCCAGCAAGCACGACTTCGCTTTGAAGTATTCTCCCCGTAGCTCAGTTGGTTTAGAGCGTCTGACTGTAATATCAATTGTTATCAGAAGGTCCCTTGTTCGACTCATGGTGGGGAGACAATTCTCTTTTTGCTCCATTTTTGCTCTTCCATCTTGCTCTGTCACTGATTTGAGACGAAACATCCTTCGAAACAAGCAATCTATGTGGGAAGCCCGCGGCGTCTGTAGCTCCGATGAAGCGACGGTTGCGGACAAGGCATCCTGTACTATTGCTGCAAGATGCCTTCTTAAGTGCCGGCAGACTTGACGCTTTGCAGACTACTTTGCCACACCTGTGTTTTTGATATCTCTAGCAGCCGTCAGATAAAACATCACGGATGAAGTATTCCCAGCGTTTGTGGGGGTGCTTATTTGACCGGCTCGAAGCTGACCAATAGCTGATGCTTTTGCTGACCTCCAAGAGTAAACCACCGGCACGGACACTGCGAGGGGACTCCCTTCAATTACACAAAAATGGATATGAGGACTCTGAGGATTCCCGAGACACTTGGTAGGATTCTACTGTGTTGGGTATAGAGATGGTCTCCAAAGGTAAGTACGGCGAGGTCATTCCGGTCCGACTACCTAGGTAGCCTTCCAGTAACTCTATCATATCGTCAATTCTATTCATCTCTGTCAGCATCTTTTCTTATCAACTCATAATGGCATCTCCGTTCTCTTCTGTCGCCTTTTACATATCTCTCCTCGCTGTCATGCAAATTGCACAGGCGCAAACTCCGAAACTTCTATCGATACCTATAAAGCATATCGACAATGCGGGTTCGTTCATCCCTCTTGTCTCGATAGGAGTCGGTACACCGCCGCAATTAATCACAGCAGTCTTGGATACGGGAAGCAGCGATCTCATCATTCCAAGGACTGGCAGTCGTATATGTCAGGACCAACAGCAACAATGCTCCGGCACTCCTTTTGTCACTGGCTCATTCAACACGGACAAAGACAGCAGCTTTAGAGACGTTGGTGTAAAGCTAAATACCGATTTCGCCAATGGTGCTGCGTTTCGAGGGCGATTCATTACCACAGCGTTGACTCTTGGAAAGCAGACCATATCTAATGCGCAGCTTGGAGTTATCGAACAAGGTTCTCTACCACCGGAGACTCCACTGTTCCCTATTTTAGGCATTGGACCCGTTGAGAATGAAGTAGTCCGACCAACTTACCAGAATGCGCCCGCCAAACTTAAAGATGCTGGTGCGATCGACGCCAATGTATACGGTGTCTACATGAATGACTTCCGTGATTTGCAGTGTCTATTCATCGATTTAGCAAATATCGTACTGACAGGTAGTCTCGATAGGTGACCCAGAAGGCTCCATAGTGTTCGGTGGCATTGACACGGCGAAGTTCAAAGGCCAGCTACAAGACGCAGGTTCGTTCTTGCTAAACAACAATGGAGTCGCATCGAAATTCGTGATCAATTGGAGCTCCATGCAGCTAGTGGGCGGCGACTCATCTCTCTCTGGCTCCAATGTCGACCTGGCACCACGAGGTGGTCTACCCCCAGTGTTGATCGATACAGGAAATCCGTCACTGAATGTCCCCTCGGCCTCACTCCGCGCTATAGCTATGGCTGTAGGTACGACCTTTGATGAACAGGCTGGTCGGCTGGGTAGTGTACCATGCGATCTGGGCTCTCGCGGAGAAAGCCTTTCATTCGGGTTCAACAATAACCGAGCGAAAGTCAGCACCCCTTTGGCTACAATGCTGCTACGCGACTCGTCTTCCCGCGCCAGTCGATGCTATCTACCAATGTTTCCTTCGGATGGAGACGATACAGCGAGCCTAGGTGCCCCATTCATGCAAGGAGCATACATTGTTTTCGACCTTGACCAGAAGAATATATTGATGGCAGAGGCGAAGATGAACGCCACCGGCTCGAATCTACAGACATTACAGGCATCGCGGTAGCCTATATGAAAAGATATGCGCAACGCATCAATTTCTTCGGCTTTCTTTCAGCTTATTTCCGTTTCGTGTTTACTCGTCCAATTACGGACTGCACCCAGAAAGGAAGTACTTCACATTTGATGTTTACACATAAGCAAAGAGCAACACTTTATTGTGCCTTCCAGGAGATGCAAATCGAGTGCAGATATCCGCGGATATGGGTAATATACATCATAGAAGTTGCTGGGATCTCGGGACGTCGAGATCAGCAATAGCCTCTGTGATTCAACGTGCATGAACACGCTCGACAATTTCGGAAATTTGGCGCCGCAAGTAGGGCATCAGAAGACAAGAGTGCTACCACCGTGCTCGCGAAATACTCCCAGCAAGTCAATGCACTGTTTGATGGCCTCTCGATCCTCTTTGTGCGTGAAGAATTTGGCTCCTTAGAAGCATCTTGCGGTGGTGAGCGCCAAGTCGTACGTGTGAATACCGGAAGCACAAGCACCAGACTCAAGGTGGATAATCATTCACCCGTAGGTGGTGAAACTACGTGTGCAAGCAAGACAGTCGCAGGCCGGTTTACGATGCGTCGACTTGTGCTGCGCATCCACACTCAGCCCCGGTTGCATTCATAGTAAGAGCTATGATGATTCACATGTATTAGGTTTGAGGGTGTGTCGAAGTGTCGCTCGCATACGTTGCAGACATTGAACGCTTCAACATGCTGTTGGAAAGTCCAAGCAGTCCTCCAAATTCCATCGCACCTGTCACAAACGTAAGCATGTTTATGTTTGCGGCAAGGATACCTTAGCTCTGTTCAGTTTAAAAATTGTTTGCCACATTGCGGACAGAAGTTGTGTGTGATCTGTTATTGTAGTTTCAACTCTTACAATGAAAGAAACACAGAGCTGTATTGGCTACATTCGACCCATAGGCTTGACACAATTTGTTAGCTCGCAATGTGGTATATCTGATATCGAAATAGAAAATTGCATACCTAATGTTACGCGAAAGCATGTACATGATTTATGCTAGGCAGGTAAGACGATGGAACTAGGAGGGACGATACTTCCTACCCGGCAATCAAGTAACGAACGCGACGTTACCGCTTAGGAAGTAAGCCCGTGAAAGTAACGTCAGCAATACCGACACACTCTACCAAAGCAGGTCTTTGGTGTCGCTTTGAGATGTAATCAAACGCGTGTGCAGTGACAGCGAGAACAGTACATCCACAGGTGCGACTATCACAGTGCGGAGCAGATGACCGTGTTGCGGCGATGAGGTCCATCAGGGCTCGAGTGCGAAGACCAGGATAAGGCCCGTGAAGTGCTCCTGTCTGCCCGCGCCTCCGCACCTGGGCAGTCCGGAAGCCGCAATTTGCTCTAGACCTAGTTCAGCTAGCATCAATCATCCCTTGCGGCGTGCTCAAGGACTCCCTGCTTCAGTCTGTAGACCCTTCATCACGCAATCATGGCAACCGGACAATCGTTAGCACAGCATTCGTGTATGAACCGAAATTATTGCTTACGCTATTGCGATGGTGTGAGTAATCGAGTTTGACGTAACGAAGTTCGGACCGTCGCCGAGGAACCGGCCGTTGTGGCCCGTGCAAGCCGTATATTCAGCAAAACTCGACAAAGATACAGGCGACTCTGAAGAGAGAAAAGCCTAGTCTGGAAACACAATGACTCTAAGCTGCGGGTGTTTGTATAAGTGAAGTGTGATTTCCTCTTCCCTAATTCTCATTGACAATCACCTTTGGTCTCTTTCAGCCCCAACTCTTCAGTCAGATCTTATCAGAATGTCAACACCATGTGCGATACAACGTGAGGCTCGTCTACGGCCAGGTGAAACATGTCGTAGCAAGGAACAATTTGCAGATGCTCAAGTGCTGCCCAAGTGGCTAATACCTGCCGACCGTCGAGGCTGGCGACGCGTTGTCCAAAACTTCACTCCATCATGGGTACGAGAACCTCTCTGCAATTTCAGCGGAATACAAAACTAACCAAGCCCTAGTTCGCTGTCACGATGGGTACAGGCATCGTCGCGATCTTGCTCAATGCCTTCTCTGAGCTCTACCCTCGTTACCATGGCTCGCTGAGAACCCTCAGTATCGCGTTCTTCATCTTGAACGTTCTCATATTCTCCATCATACTCTTGATATCCATCCTGAGATACACACTGTACCCCGCCACATGGACGCTGATGCTTCGGCATCCGGTGCAATCGCTCTTTCTTGGCACGATACCCATGGGATTTGCTACTATCGTTAACATGTTCGCTGCTATTTGCGTAACAGCTTGGGGTGGCTCGACGCCGTATATCGTTTGGGGAATGTGGTGGCTCGATGTTGCGCTGAGCGTCGCGTGTTGCCTCTGGCTACCTTTTCAGATGTAAGTTCATTTGCTTTTCTCTGAGAGCAGGAGTCTGGGCGTGTGGAGTTCAAGTATACGAAAACGAAATAACATCGTCAGCTAACACAACAGCAGGATGACAAAACACCACAACCGCCATGAGACGATGACAGCAGCCTGGCTTTTACCCATCGTATCTTGTATCGTTGCAGCAGCTTCTGGTGGTGTTGTCGCGTCAGTGCTACCTGAGCCAAACCATGCCCTCGTCACCATAGTCACCAGCTATGCGCTGTGGGGTATGGGCGTCCCGCTGGCACTCGTGGTTATGGTGATGTACTTCCACCGTCTCGCCATCCATAATCTTCCATCTCAGGAAGTAATCGTCAGTGTTTTCCTACCTCTTGGCCCCATGGGACAAGGCGGATACGCCGCGTTGAAGCTCGGTATTCAAGCTTCAAAGACCTTTCCAGAGACGAACACGCTGCATCCAATGGCTGGAGAGGTTCTTTACGTCCTAGGTTGGATGACCGCCATCATACTATGGGGATTTGGCTTGGTATGGCTATTCTTCGCAGTTGCGTCAATCAGTCAGAGCACGTTCCCTTTCAATATGGGTTGGTGGGGGTTCACCTTTCCCATTGGCGTCTTTACCATGTCTACCATTACCATTGGACAGGAACTTCCATCCGCATTCTTCAGGATTCTAGGTACGGTACTTGGTGCCAGTGTCATACTTCTATGGCTGGTAGTCGCTGTTGGTACTATGAAGAACATGTTGTATGGCAACATGTTCCAAGCGCCGTGCTTGCGCGAGATGGAGAAGAGAGCATGTGCAGCATCTGCTGAAATGCAACAGCAGGACGTGTAAAGATGACTAGTGCAAGACGTTTGTATATTCTGATACATACATATATACGTATTGTTCCGACACTCTTCACTTAGAAGAACGTGATCAAGACAGACCGAGTTCGTCGTTGTGTAAGGTGTATTAGATTACCTACTCATTTTGATCAAAACTCACTCAGCTTTCAGAGCGACAGATGTGTGTCGTGAAGTTCCGCACTATCCGGTACTGCAACATGATCATAAGGCCAGGGACCATAAAGCAGCCAGCAGCCTAGAAGACTAGAACATGCAGGCGAACCATCGACGACCTGAAAACATCCAGAAGTATTCTGATGATGAAACAGCAGGGGTTTTTTCTTTGTGTGCCAGAGAGTAACTACCAGAGCTACTCAAGGTATGCACAGGATTTGGTGAGCGTCGGACGGGTACAAGGACTGCCACGGTCTACGTGTATCTGACGGACATGTAGGTTTACTTATCGCGCGCACTGACGAAGGACCGATATGGAGGCTTTCTTGGCGTTTTTATGGCGCGAATGAGGCTGCAGTAGGCTCCAGTCGGACGCGTAACAACGCCAGTCTCACCCTGGGGATGCGGAAAGTAGCACAATGCGGGCCTGATTGGCCTGCATGGGGCCTTTCCGAGAGAGGCGGGAAGCAATTGACGGTGAAAGGGACACAGTGTTTCCCAGTAGGCCGGCTTGTCTAAGCGTTTCCAGCAACTTCCAATGTTGCGGCGGCGGAAGGAGCACGGACCCTAAGGCAACATCAAGCTAGCTCGAGCAGTGAGATCACCGACACTGTTCAAGCTCCAACTTACTTAAACCACCACGCCCCAAACACCAAAGACCCATCACCTCCATCTTACCCCCCCCCCACCCCACCCACAACCCATTCCACCGCGCTGCAAATCCCGGCGTCCCTCTTTGTACCGGAAAAGTAAAGTCGCAGCATTCCATAGAGACACATCAGCAAGATGTCCGCTGAACCAGACCACTCCAAGCCGAAGGTGGATCTTTCAAAGTACGTTCATTGCCACCAGCTGCATTTCTGCAACGAAGACTAACAGAACTCCAGGAACCCCGATGGCGCTGAGCCCAAGGATGTAGGCACTGCCGCACACTCATCTGAGACCGCCTTTACTGATCCGCCACAGAACGACGAGACCGCGACTGCCATCCTCAAGAAGAAGAAGAAGCCAAACTCGCTCATGTAAGTCGCCACGAAGCGACTCAAAGAAGCTATATTGACCTCCACAGTGTCACCGACGCCGTTAACGATGACAACTCCATTATCGCCCTCTCAAACAACACCATGGAGACGCTCCAGCTCTTCCGTGGTGACACAGTCCTCGTCAAGGGCAAGAAGCGGAAGGACACCGTTCTTATCGTGCTCGCCGACGACGACCTCGACGATGGTTCTGCGCGGATAAACCGTGTCGTTCGCCACAACCTGCGTGTCAAGCACGGTGATGTTATCACCATCCACCCGTGCCCTGACATCAAATACGTACGTAGCTACCTCTCCGAGATGCTGATTCAAAGCTGACTCTATTGCAGGCCAAGCGCATTGCAGTCCTTCCCATCGCCGACACCGTCGAAGGTATCACTGGTTCGCTGTTCGACGTTTTCCTCGCCCCATACTTCCGCGAAGCCTACCGACCGGTTCGTCAAGGCGACACTTTCACAGCCCGCGGTGGTATGCGCCAAGTGGAGTTCAAGGTCGTAGAGGTCGACCCACCAGAGTTCGGTATCGTTGCACAAGATACAGTCATCCACTGCGAGGGCGAGCCCATCCAGCGCGAGGACGAGGAGGGTAACCTCAACGAGGTTGGCTATGACGACATTGGTGGTTGCCGAAAGCAGATGGCGCAGATCCGAGAGTTGGTTGAGTTGCCACTGCGGCATCCTCAGCTCTTCAAGTCCATCGGTATCAAGCCCCCACGCGGTATCCTGATGTACGGTCCTCCCGGTACCGGTAAGACGCTGATGGCTCGTGCCGTCGCCAACGAGACCGGTGCCTTCTTCTTCCTGATCAACGGTCCCGAGATCATGTCCAAGATGGCTGGTGAGTCCGAGTCAAATCTGCGAAAGGCTTTTGAGGAGGCTGAGAAGAACTCCCCCGCGATCATCTTCATTGATGAAATCGACTCAATTGCGCCGAAGCGTGAGAAGACCAATGGTGAAGTCGAACGCCGTGTCGTCTCGCAACTGCTCACCCTTATGGACGGCATGAAGGCTCGCTCCAACGTCGTTGTTATGGCCGCCACTAACCGACCCAACTCCATCGACCCCGCCCTACGCCGATTCGGACGTTTCGACCGTGAAGTCGATATCGGTATTCCCGACCCTACCGGCCGTCTCGAGATTATGCAGATCCACACCAAGAACATGAAGCTCGGTGACGACGTCGATCTACAAACTATCGCTGCTGAGACTCACGGTTACGTCGGTTCGGATTTGGCATCGCTTTGCTCTGAGGCTGCCATGCAGCAGATTCGTGAGAAGATGGACCTCATCGATCTCGACGAGGACACCATTGACGCCGAGGTTCTGGACTCGCTGGGCGTGACCATGGAGAACTTCCGTTTCGCTCTTGGCGTATCCAACCCATCTGCCCTTCGCGAGGTCGCCGTCGTCGAGGTTCCCAACGTTCGGTGGGAGGACATTGGTGGTCTGGAGGAAGTCAAGCGCGAGCTCATTGAGTCCGTGCAGTACCCAGTCGACCACCCCGACAAGTTCCTCAAGTTCGGTATGTCTCCATCGCGAGGTGTACTGTTCTACGGTCCTCCTGGTACTGGTAAGACGCTCCTTGCCAAGGCTGTCGCCAACGAGTGCGCCGCCAACTTCATCTCCATCAAGGGTCCCGAACTACTCTCCATGTGGTTTGGTGAGTCTGAGAGCAACATCCGTGATATCTTCGACAAGGCGCGTGCCGCCGCGCCTTGCGTCGTCTTCTTGGACGAGTTGGACTCCATCGCCAAGTCCCGTGGTGGGTCTCAAGGAGATGCCGGTGGTGCGTCTGACCGTGTCGTCAACCAGCTCCTCACCGAGATGGACGGTATGACATCGAAGAAGAACGTCTTCGTCATCGGTGCTACCAACCGACCGGAACAGCTCGACAACGCTCTGTGCCGTCCTGGTCGTCTTGACACGCTCGTCTACGTTCCTCTGCCCGATCTGGCCTCGCGTGCCAGCATCATCAAGGCTCAGCTCCGCAAGACCCCTGTCGCCGAAGATGTCAACATCGACTTCATCGCCCAGAACACCCACGGATTCTCCGGTGCCGATCTTGGATTTGTCACCCAGCGTGCGGTTAAGCTCGCTATCAAGCAGTCTATTGCGATTGATATTGAGCGCCGCAAGGCTCGTGAGGCTGCTGGCGAGGACGTCGATATGGAGGTGGACGAGGAGGACCCAGTACCTGTGCTGACGAAGGCTCACTTCGAGGAGGCCATGCGCTCCGCTCGTCGCTCCGTCACCGATGTTGAGATCCGCCGGTACGAGGCCTTCGCACAGTCAATGAAGAACTCTGGAGGATCAAGCTTCTTCCGCTTCCCCGACGCTGAGAACGCAGCGGGTGGTGGTGAGCAGAACACCTTCGGCGCTGGTGGTGAGGACGAGGACCTGTATAACTAGAAAGTTGCAGGATCATGACGGATGGGTTTCCCTTTTTCATCGTCACACGGCATGAGGGGCGATTGACGTCTCATAGATAGATGGAGGCGCGCGTAATTGCTGGCGCTTTGACAGGATATCAGTAGTATCTTTCACGAACCAATGGCCTAAATGAGAATGCATGTTATCAATGAATATTTGCTGCGCCTACAACGACCTTGCATTGAGCTGTGTTACAATCTCTCACTTTACTCCCTTTCCATCACCGTGCACCTTCTACACCAATCCATCCATACTCCATAAACGGCCGAGCCTCCAACATGGTTGATTCTAACACTGTCCACTTGGCGCAGTGGTCTTGAGGCAAGGTTTCATGGGTATAGGCGAGGTCTCTAATCATCCGAGACAGCGGCCGGAACCCATCGATGCCGTTGGACGATGTCGCCCGCCCCACATTACAACGGCGTCGGCTGTGCGACCGATAGCATCATTCTTTAAGGCCTTTGCTTTGGAGTCTTCCCTTTCAACTACCCTGACTCAGGCGACACGAGCTCGCATTTCTGCTGTGGCATGGAAGGTGGACTCTTTCTCAGATTGCAGGAGGGACGATCACTTGTCGTCTTCGTATGTGATGTCGCAAACCTTCTCCAACTCCTTCATGACTGTCTTTGCACCGGCGTCGATTGCCGATTTCGGAATCTTCAAGTCGACGTCCTCTCCATTCTCTCCATCTCCATTCGTCGTTCCGTTGGTGCCGTTTACGCCGTTGGTTTGATCCTCCAGACCACGTGTTTGCTCTCTGATCTTCTGCATCGCCAGATTTCGGGCTTCTTCGCAGGTAGTAGCTTGGCCCGAGCGGAACAGATCGGTAATGTAGGCTCTTAGATCGTCTTTGAACCCAGAGGCCCGCAGGGATTCGTCTAGGGTGGATTCAATATTGCGGATGCCATCGCCAGAGAGAAGGGCCGAGTAAATGTTGTTCCGCAGGTCTTGGGAGATGCCGGACTGGGCCTGAGTCGTAGTTACATTGATGGATTGAGACATTATTCCGAGCTCGTGAGTCGTCAGGTGTGAGATTGTTGTGAAAAAGGAAAAAAGGAGGAGGTTCGTCTAAAGTTGTCAATACCGGGCGAGCTACCTTATAGCGAAGTAGTGGGTGATCCTGTTCGCGTAGACGACGGGGAGCTGGGCGCACGTGGGAATGTGCTTTGAAGCTCGGAGGCAGCCAGATGTCGTAATATGGGATGCAGCGTCTTAAACGACTGGCCGGGGTAGCCGTATTCGGGCAGATGCCGGCAGAGATGGCCCTAGTTCAACGTTGGCGGTGAAGATCGTTAGACGCATGTGCGTGGTTTACCGGGTGCCGTTGCGGGCTCGTGATGCGAACGATAACTTGCAAGATTGCACTTGCCGGATCCGAGAGCGAGCAGGTGCAGCTTGGGCAATGGAGGGGAGAGGCCGGGAGCGGCGCAGCGAGAGGGGGAGGCTAGGAGACTGGAGCAAGTGTGTCCATGTGCGAAGCCGCCCGACGTGGATAGGCAGGTGGTGGTGAGAGCTGAGTGTTTGGTACCTGCATCCTTTATCGCAATATTGGTTCCAAGCTGGTAGGGGAAGCTCGGACCTCGAGGGCTCTTTCCCGCTTTGGCTTGGGTGGCCCTGCTAGCCGCCTGTCGACGGTATTGGTATTGGCATCCAGAAGCAGGCGAGCCAGTTTACGTTGCCGTCTTGAGCAGAGCGCTCTTCCTCCTACTGTGCACTGCTGCTGTCTTCTCACTGCTCCCAATAGTCATCCTGGCAGACTTCTTTCTACCTCAGGCAAAGGCGTAGGGCGACTGCAGGGACCATCGCAGCCCCCGAGGATACGCGCTTCCCCATCAGGCGTCGACGACAAAGCGCTTAGGGACCGGCACGCCTGGCCGCCTGCGAAGACCTTCACCCTCCCCGCCTTGCACTCTGCAGTGCCACGGCTAGCAGTGTATCTGAGACTGCGCCCAGGATAGCCCGACTTGCTCCCGCTGGAGACGAAACACGCCGGCTCAATCTCGCTTCGTCTCAGACAGGGTGCCCTATCGACGACACTGGACCGGCCTGCGCGACATCGCCATCGATAACACAGACGTCGTCCCCTCGACGAGCTTGCTGCGAGGGCTTGGCAGCATCACCTCACTCCACCCTCTGCCAACCCTCCGACTCCCGACGAGGCCGTCGACGTCACTCCCATCATGGCCTACACGACCAAGTACCATGAGGACTCGGACGCCGATGACGAGTTTGAGCGCCAGGGCATCTCTAGCCCGACCCTACCCGCCGAGTACGAGAGCTCTCCCACGAGCTCCGGTCCGCTGAGTACTGAACACACGCCCACCACCTTCACCCATTCGCGCGACAGCAAGAGCAGCCCGACGGGGCACATAATGGAGTGGAACGAGGACCAGACGGCTGACTTCATCGCGGACCTGGGCCTGGAGCAGTACTCGGATACCTTTGCTAGTACGTCGCACGCCGCGCACACCACGCATTGTTTGCTAACCCATTGTTTGTAGACGAGGGCATCACCGGCGACGTGCTCGCCGCGCTCCAGCATGCCGAGCTGAAGGAGCTGGGCGTCGGCAGTGTAGGCCACCGCCTGACAATCCTCAAGGCCGTCTACGAGATCAAGGTACGGCAGAATGTGCCCATGGACCCCGACGACTACGTCCCGCTATGTGAGTCCATTGTCTTTGCCATGGCGTTGCACGTCTAACCACCACCTCAGCCGCGGATACGTCGGCACAGGAAGCGCCGCCAACCCAAGACGACTTCGCCAAGGTCATTCGCGTAGTCCAGGCGCGCGACGAGCGCATACACACGGCCGAATCGGAGCTGCGGCATCTCAGAGAAGACCTCAGCAGGGTCATGGACGAGAACAAGCGGCTACGAGAGGAGATCCTGCCACTCGTGCGCATGCTCAAGGACAACCAACCCCTGCCTACGCCCCACGAGCACTCCGTCACATCGCCACCTGCAACTCAAGAGAGATCTGGTGGCAGCAGTCTTTCGCGTAAGTTCTCTACCAAGAAGCTTTTCCTTGGATCCGCGCCAAAGAACCCCTCTCCAACAATCCAAGAACATCGCGCTCTTGTCGATCATTCTTCTTTGGACCCTTCCGCAGCAGCCGTCGCAGCCTCCTCACACCTCACAGCATCTCTCGGTGGTGGCCCGCAACTGTCGCCCAACTCCATCGCCCAACCCTCCCCGACATCCCCCGCATACACACAAGGCCAAGGCCGCCAGTACAACCGCGAAATACCCCGAAGCGGGCACGACCACGACGGCAGCTCAGGTTGGAGTCAAAACACATGGAATTCAGACACAACTGCTGTATCCGACCGCAATCGCGACCCCCGCGCTACGCCCGCACCACTGTCATCACGACAGATGCGAAACAACGCTGCACCAACACCGAACCCCGACGATCGCGACCCACCACTCTCTGGCGGTTCAAGCTCAATGAACACCTCCGCATCCAATCCCGCATCCACGCCATCCACGAACCCGCAAGTTGAAATCTTCAAATCGTTCCGAGTCTCCATCGACGATCCGTGCCACAAGGTGCTTCCGGTTGCGCTTAAGAAATACAACATAACGGCAGATTGGCGCCAGTATGCCCTGTATATTGTACACGGTGATCAGGAGCGCTGTCTGGGACTCAACGAGAGGCCGCTGATATTGTTCAAACAGCTTGACAAGGAAGGCCGGAAACCCATGTTCATGCTTAGGAAGCATGCCGCACCGCAAGAAGGCCATGTCAGCACTGTGGGCGGAAACGATGTACGGCCCGTCAATCCACAGACAGAGAGCTTCGGGTGGGGTAGCCAGAATAGAGGGACACCCCTGCCCGGAGGCGTTCTGTAGACGACTACCACGCTATCGAATAGAAGAGGTGTTGCTGTCTGGAAGAGGATAGCATTGTAAGACTATGGGTATTGTTGAGAACGACCTCCTTCGATACTGCTGTCGATCGATTGTCGCTGTTGTGAACGACATCACCACAGCATACATGGAAGAAGGAATGTCTTCCAAGCGTCAGACTTGCGATTAAGGAGCATACAAGATGTCATCATTACAGCATCTTGCGTGGCATGGATAGCGAGAGACGCTCGTTCAGTGCGGTCAGCGTCTACCCAAGCATAGTCGGAGTTTTGGCGTATCTACGGTTGCTGGTACCATTCACATTCACGCCTAGGAAAAGGCTGCGATTTTAGGTGTTTTTGAAGCAAACCTGAGGGAAGAAAAAGGAGAAGGATAAAGACGGTGTGATGGGATACAGATGGGATTTTCTGAGACGACCTCGTTGTACTATTTCATGACCACATTATAGGAGATTTGTGCAGCGAGCACCTGCTGATTCATTCAAAACATATTTTCGACGCGTACAGCGAAAGCGTCATCGTAGTGTATTCTACTTTATTTCTCACAATGCAACGACGTGTTATTCGCTGTTCATTTCGACTCACTCCAACCTGTTCTCGTGGTGCAGCTCTATTACATGCATGCGAAGCACTAGAACTGCAGTCCTGGCCACTAAACTTAGCTCATGTTCTCGGGTTACCTTACACATGCTACTACCTTGTCCGTGTGTTGCCTCGAGTCATGGAACACTACGTGTTGGGTGTGATTCCCCGGCCTTGCATACATGATACGCGTCACGATGCAGGTACCGAGAGTATTGTCACATCAATCGCTGCGACCGTGTTTGGTTTTGCTTCGTTGCTATTTTCGCCACCGGGGGCATGGAGGAAGGCGGAAGGAGGGATGTATATTTAGCTCGTAGCCCCTCGCCGTCTCAACTACATCGTAGTGTGCAGCGGCTTATTCCGTTGATGATGCTGTTACAGAGGTTGTTGTGTGCCTGAGGCCGAGGGAATGGAATAGATAGGGCATGCGGCTAGCGCAAGCAGAAGAGAGCGCTCCGTACATTCGATAGCTCTGTCTTTGAATGACATGAAGGCTCTTGGATAGAACTCGTGTCGTTCTTCTCAAATATAGACCACCTTTGTAGTTTTCTATCGTCTCCTTCGCATGCAAAATACATTTAATCTTACTCTGCCTTCCACATCATGGGTATCTTATCAGCGGTTGCCGTGCTCGTTACAGCGAACTAGCTTTTCTCTCTCTTCTTCTCCTTCATTGTATACCACAGCTTCCATCAAAACGGCTTAGCAGCTTTCCTCGCCTCCGCCTTCCCACTGACCGGATCCCTAAACTCCTTCCAACTAACCGGATGCATAACCCTCCCCTCTTCACTCCTAGCCAGCACAACACCAAACTCGTTGCGATCCGTAGCGACATAGTAATTGCCGCTATCTCCCAAACTGATGACTGTGCCTCTGACCAGATCACCGACCCTGAAGCTTTCCTCAATCTTTATCTTATCCTTCTCTGTAGCCCGAATATCTTCGCGTCGGATCTGCGCCAGGAAGGCTTCGCGACAGACGGCGTTGTCGATGACGAGGATTTCGCAGCTGGCGAAGCGTGGGCCGAGGCGCGTTATGCGGACTAGGACGGTGCTGGAGACGGTCGGGAGGAGGGGCACGCCGCCGCCAGAGTTGGGACCGAGGATACCAGGGTCGGTGGAGGTGGGAGGACGCGTTATTGAGAGGAGCGGTGCGAGTTTGCCGGACTTGGAAGATGCGCTTTGTGTGGAGGGATGTGATGGCGAAGAGAAAACGGGTCCGGCTATTGAGGCGTAGATTTGCGAGTCGTGGATGTGTGTTCCTGGACCAGGACTGTATTTGTCGACGCTTCCGAGCAATTGCCCTGGTAGCGCTATTGAAGGAAGCGCCATTGTAGTGGAGGGATGAAGCTGTGTCTTCCTAAGATTGTGTTCCTGAGAGTCTTTCTCCTTCAGTCTCTGCGACGGTACTAGTGATAAGGCAGTACGTTGCTTTCGATTTTCAGTGTGTCAATCGATTCGCGATCTGGTCCGTCGGTAGTGTGAAATCGTCCGTGTTGGGGCAATGTCTGTGGATGCGGTTTTGGAGCTGCGTTAATTGGTGTTGCTCGCTGGGATCTATGACTTTTTAGCTGCGGAAGCTTACGTCATTCGCCTAAAGTTGCCGCTATGCGCGTTGATTGGAAGTCACGCAAACCTAATAAGATGCGGTCGATTCTGACAAGTCGGTATTACACTAGGATGTTTGCTGTGAAGCTACAAATCTTGCGCGTCCTGGCGCTAGACTCCGTGCCCCGGCCGAGGCCTTGCTGCTCGAATCATACAATCACTTCCGCATATACAAGCAGAAGAACGCCGGTTTTGTACCAACCATGTATCTAGCACCTTGCTCCAATCGCCGAGCCATGCAATCCCACGCAAAACAGTCATGAAAATCATTCGCTCATGGTAACGGTCCGGTAGAAGACGCGCCCAATCTGCCCCTCGAACAGGTTCATACGTGTTCCCTCTGTCCTGGGCCTGACTCTACGGTCTGCCGGCGACTAAACGGCCTGGTAGAGGAGTAAGGGTTCGCCGATATTTTCTATCTCGGGGATGGTGCATTTCAGGTCAAAGGCTTTGGATAGCACGATCTTGAAGATCTGAAGCAGAGTCAGCGTGGGTTTAGCAATGGGGTTGGACAGCTCTCACCTTCTGCACGTTGATGCTATGGCTGGTCGAGCTGAAGATTAGACTAGCCTTCATTGCTCGCGCAAATCGCTTAGCCTAAATCCTGTTAGTCCTTCGGCTCTGGATTGTTTCTTGGGACGGTTCATACTTGATTAGATATCTCCTCCTGCTCTTCGCGCGGGAAGTTGACAAAGTGGTCGTATTTTGTGCCGACCAAGAATGGGATGGCAGTCTTGTTGAAGCCGCGTCCCTGTCTGTACCACTCCTTGATGGAGTTCAATGTGCTTTTTCGTGTCAGGTCGAACATGAAGAGTATTGCAACAGCATCGTTGCAGACCAAGGGCAACATGTTGACGAATTCACGTTGACCACCCAAATCCCAGATGGAGAAGGTGATCTCCGTGTTCCGAATGGAGATGGTCTTTTCCATGAAGTTGACACCTGTGGTTGTCAGAATGTGCATTTTGTGAAACGTGCTTGTGCAACCCACCGAGCGTTTGGATGTAGTCTTCGTCCCAGCTGCCCTCGACGTACTTGACCATTAGACTGGTCTTTCCGATCTGCGCGTCTCCGACCATGCCGACCTTGATGACGACGCTGGCATTTTTGGCAGCCTCCTGTTGTTGCTGTTGGGCGCTCCCTCGCTGGTCTTGATATGAGTTTGACCGCGTGTTGCCCTCGGAAGTCGGATAGCGTCCCATCTGTGAGCTGGGCCGCGAATGCGACTGGCCCATGTGTGTTTCTTTGTTGGCATCGTAGTAGCCGTGCCGTGGAGGTGTGTCGGCGTCTGATGATGTGTTGAAGCGCGTCCCGTTGTGTGTCGTGTACTGGTACGCGGTGTCTGAGTAGGATGTTGACGGTCGGTGAGGCTGCTCGTAGGGGTTGGGACTGTTATTAAGGCTCGTGTTTTGGCTGAGGTCTGGTAGCGGTGTGACAGTCGAGGCGGTAATGGTCGAGCTCATGCTGTCGTCGGCGACGTCCATGGTCTGGTCCATGTGCTTCTGCGCTTCCTGTTCCGCTTCGACAGGCACCTGCTCGGGCTGCATTGGCTCGGGTTGCAGTTGCTGGGGCGGCAGCTGCTCAGGCTGCACTTGCTGCACTTCTGTGGCAGCGACGTAGGGCTGCTGCGCCGGTTCCTGACTCGAGTATTCTGGCTCCATGGCTAGTATGTCTCAGCGGCCCCGCGGGTGTTGACCTGAGCTGAAAGCGCGCTGGCACGCGTCAAGACGGTGAATGCAAGCTGACAATGTGTTTTCTTCTTCCTTGGCGACTCTGCTTCTCGAACAATTCTATGCAACTTTAAGGGGGAGACACAGTATTACGGGCGCGGCCTCCGTGGTGTTGACCTGGGATGTGCGGGATGCGATTGGACTGGGGGTAGCGCAGTGTTTCGCTCCAGAGATGCACGCAACAGCCCCAGTGGGCACCTAAGAGAGGGGGCGTCATAGCGTGGTCCGATACGCCGATCGATAAGCCGCCTCGAAAAACATTTGGCGGGACAAATTCCAGCGCCAACTTTTTTACGGCTGCCACAAGACACCCCAAAACACAACCTCACACACTCACGCAGTATGGCGAAGCGACCCGCAGACTCAGAGCAAGAGCAGGAGGCTATCAAAAATGGAGATCGTCCCATGGAAATCGACCAGCACAACGAAGTGGGCGACTTTGAGGATGAGTTCGAAGATGAATTTGAGAGCGAGGATGAGATTCTCGAAGCAGGTGTAGATGGACGGCCAGACGAAGAGCGCGAAGCTGAAGAGCGTGAGAGTAGGTGGTCGGACAGAATTTCAAACATGCAATAACTAACGCCTCCAGATGGCATGGATGTGGACCAAGATACTTTCATTCCCGGTCGTCACAAACTCTCACCAGGCGAGACATTGAACCCCGATCTTTCCACATACGAGATGCTTCACGCGCTCGAAGCACCATGGCCCTGTCTCTCATGCGACATCGTACCCGACAATCTAGGCGCAGACCGCAAAACATACCCTGCAACCGTCTACTCAGTGGCCGGCACACAAGCAGCGCGAGGAAGGGACAAGGAGAACCAGATTATGGTCATGAAGATGAGCAGTCTATCGCGAATGGAGAAGGAGGATGAAGAGGACGATGACGAAGAATCCGACGACGAGGCCTCAGATCCTATCCTCGAGACAAAGTCGATACCGTTGACGAGCTGCACGAACCGCATACGCGCCCACCAGACACCGCAAGCCACATCCGCACAACCTCCTACGACTCTTACCGCCGCCATGACCGAGTCAGGACAGGTCTTGATCCACGACGTTACCCCACACCTCACAGCCTTCGACACGCCCGGTACTACCATCTCACCTACACAAAACAAGCCTGTCTGCACGATTCGCGCACATGGATCAAACGAGGGTTATGCGCTAGATTGGTCGCCACTGATACCAGAAGGAAAGCTCCTGACGGGTGACTGTAGCGGAAAGATCTTTGCGACGACACGGACACAGGGTGGAGGTTTTGTCACAGACACCACGCCTTATACCGGTCACAGTGGCTCAGTAGAGGAGCTCCAGTGGTCACCGACCGAGAAGCACGTATTCTCCTCTGCGTCGAGCGATGGCACAGTCAAGATCTGGGACGCGCGGTCAAAGTCACGGAAGCCGGTGCTCAGTGTACAAGTCTCAAAAACGGATGTCAACGTACTGAGTTGGTCACACCAAACCGCCCATCTCCTCGCTACCGGTGCAGACGACGGCGAGTGGGGAGTCTGGGACCTGCGACAATGGAAGCCCTCTACCGATATGTCGAGCGAGAAGAAGCCTTCACCAGTTGCGTCATACACTTTCCACAAGGAGCAGATTACCTCGGTCGAGTGGCATCCTACAGACGACAGTATCGTGCTTGTATGCGCCGGCGACAACACCCTCACTCTGTGGGATCTGGCCGTTGAACTCGACGACGAAGAGAGCAAGTACACAGCAGGTGTCCAAGATGTACCGCCGCAATTGCTGTTCGTGCATTACATGGAGCAGATCAAGGAGGCGCACTGGCACCCGCAGATTCCGGGCGCCATCATGGCTACAGGAGGATCAGGATTCAATGTTTTCAAAACGATCAGTGTATAAAGTAGTGCCACATCTGCCCAAAATTTCAAAGATTTTACCCTCCTTGGGTTCATGCATTCCGATGCGCCTTTTCTCCTATGTTACGCATATGCTGCACTTCAAGGTATCCATCTTCCCAACACCTGCATCAATCTCGCGTTCCATCAACGCAACCCATATTGCAAGCCAATACCACCACTACTACCAGCGACCATTATTACAAGCAACCCTGGGCCCAAGCCACACACACGACGGACAGCCCCTACCCCGAATCCCACATCCGGACCCCTATCTACGCGCTCCCCTTTCCGCATCCAAAATGGCATGTTAAACTCGGTACCGGCGAGGCGTATGAAGTTACGAGTCCGATCTGGGGGGAGTATGATGCTGAGGTAGGATATGTGAACGGTGTGGGTGAGGTGAGGAAGAGTATTGAAAGTTATGTGGGGCATGAGGGTGACAAGGAGAATGATGACGAAAAAGATATCAGAAGAGTGAAGAGGACATTGGACGACGTTTGTGAAATGCACTGCGAGAACGTAAAGAGGAAGCGGTTTAGGAATGCGTAGAAAGTTGGGAAGTAGTCAACGATTATACCACTACTCAAGCCACTGGGGCTCTTCATTTCAAAGCAAGTGGGAGTATGAATATGAATAGGTTCTTGAATTTACACAGGTCTTTGTATAGGCTTCGGCTGCACTGCCGTCGCCGAAGCACCTGGCACCGGGAACAATGGCGTAGACACCTCGTTCATTTCCCGGATTTTCTTGATCAAATTGCTGCCATAGTGTTAGCTTACTGTGCTTGCATCTCCACCTTGAGGACATGGACTCACCTAACAGGTAGATTCAATCTATCCTGTTCTCTCCAAAGAATGCCAACAACCTTCTCTCGCCCTCGACTGTGATCTTCCAAGTGTTCTGTGATCAATTGTCTACCCAACTCTTTACTGCATCCGTAGATTTTCTGGGTGCAACCGTCGAAACTGCAGATCCAAGAGTCGCGGGGGCCATTAGCTTCATATGTCGGTAACGGTGTTGATATTATCGGTGGCGATACTATTGATTTAGCATTTCCTGATGACGATGCTGGCTTCGCGTGGGGAGGGAGATTAGAGGGTCGGTAACGGAGCGGAAGAGGTGGTACGGCGCTGACTCCTTCAGACGCAGAGTCCGAATCGCCGGTTGTAGGTGGAGATTCAGGTGCTATGGATGCACTGGCTGTACGTTTCCGTCGATCCTTCTCGTCTTGATCACCATCCGTATCGTCTAGTTTTCTCTTCTCTCGATCCGGTGATAGGGCGTGGGTCGGTGTGTCGATGCTTTCTTCCTCATCATCTTCATCGCTACTTATAGCGTTGCTGCTTTGCTCGGCTTCCGAGTCGTCACTTGCCGGTACGGGTGCTTTCCCCTTCCCGCCTTTCTGTCTCCCTGGCTTAATGCTGATCCCTTTGCTCTTGCCAGAAAACTTTCCACTCGTAGGTCTTAGCACAGATAGCCGGCCCTGCTTCCGTCTAGCAGGTGGTCTACGCACAGGTGTTGTTATTGCGTCATCTTCTTCGTCGGACGTATCTGAAGAACCGCTTTCACCGTGTCTCAGAGTTCCGTGATCCTTCCGTGGTTTCAGTTCCACACCTTCAGCTCGCCGTTGTTCGGCTGCGGAGAGTGTATGTCCAGCTGTCAGCTCTTGGTATATCGGTTCGGAGGCAAAGAACTGTATGTTTTTCCGCCGCGGGTGGTCCATCATGTAGCACAGATTCTGTGCATGCACCAGAAGCACATTCTTCGCAGTGTCCACTTCCTCGATCTCGTATCGTCTGACAATGAGTTCGGCAACGCGATCCACCGTTATGTGATTCCGTCCTGCTCGTAGAACCCGTTGGTTCACTGTTTTCTGCATGAATTCGAAGAGTGCGGCCGCCTCCCACCAGTTGTCGTCTTTCTTCGGCGCTTCCGTTGGTTTCGGTGTCGTATTTGTTTGTGCCGTTTTGGAAGCTGGCGCTGGTGCAGGTGCGGACTTCTGGGTCCTCGCTGAGCGTTCGGGTTGGATCTGAGAATAGCGCCCTTCGATTCGTGCCTTACAATTATCGAAGTCTTTCTACATGTACGTTAGATTCGGCACACATTCGAGCTCCATGCTTCCTACCGGAAACCGCCGTCTGAAACGTTGATAGATAGGCGTGTTACTCCAGCTCAGTCCCTGGGCTTTGTTCAGAAAGCACATCATGAGGAACAGATGATGTTGGTCGAATAGTCTCTCAGCCATGGCCACATCATTGCAAGGAAAACGCTCGTCTTCTGCGTACTGTGCCGTGTTAGTGCCACTCTGTTGCATGATCCTAACATGTGCCGACCTCTTGGAAGACCAATTCTGCACTGGGTCCGCTACTCTTCTTCCGCGACTCGCCGTAAATGTCTGTGACAAAGTATAGAAGTTCCACAGCCTGAACCATCTGGTCGTAGATGGGCTTGTATTGCGCTGTCGGTCGTATCTCGAACCAGCCTGCCTGGCCTTGCGCCCAAATTACGTATGCGCCGTCGGTCATTTCGCCGTAGGAGAAGCGCGTGACATGTTCTATTTCAATTTCCATGGGCTTGTAGGGTTTCTTCAAAACTGCAGTCGCGTTAGCCGGAACTCTGTGCTTGGTCGTCGCGTCCAACAGCCGACAAGCATGTCTCACATACGATATTTCAGCTGGCTGCGCCCCGGAGTCTCCAGTCGCCCTTCCACTCGCAGTGGGGTATCCGCATATGCAGCAAGAAGACTGGCAGGCTTGCCATTGCTTTCGAAGACAATTCGCGCATCGCTCAAGACAAAGATCTCCCAGTCGTCGGAATTGGTATTGGAGGCGTCGAGTGGCTTGAGTACCTCGGATTCTGGAGTTGGCATATTAAAAAATGATATCGGGTATGTCGCATGCTGCGGTGTTAACAAAACAGGGCTACCTGTCCAATTTCAGGTAAAAGATGTAGTGGGGATGAGCAATGCGGGCGGGCGCGAAGGGCGCGAGACGGGATGCGCGTCCAGGGTCAAAGGCGTGTTATCGATAGCTGCTTCCCGAGGTCACTTGCGTCATGTGGTACCCTTGACTTCTCTCACTCAACACCCTTGATCGTCGTCAACTAAGTTTCACTCCAGGAAGGCATCACTGCACGTCATGGCAATAAGTCTTGGTCACCCGCGGTGAGACTTGGAACTTAAGCCTTCACCCGTCCATTCAGTCTACCTTCTATATTTCATCTGCTAAAGACGAACTATTCCTATCTCTAGATCACCTTTATCGTACCAAGAAGACATCTCCATAAGTACTTTGATACTGTAGTAGAGTATACAGTTTTGTCGTGGCCGATCCAGAAGTTAGTCCAACAAGTGGCAGTTCTTCACCTCCGGATCCTGGACGCAATACGGGCGATCCCTCAATGATTCAGGCTGTCTTTTTTTCGACTGAGCCCTCGCCATCATCGTGACGGGAGTTCACCTTCTAATCACAGTTTGACATTTTGTCAGAGCTTGATCATGCTGGAATCAACGAGGGGAATAAGACGTACTTGGAAGATTGCATCGTTCCCAAAGAGCGAGACGCGATATAAAGAAAGTCTAGCTTCTTGGATCGCGACATTCATCTCTGAAACACTCTCGTCTCTGATTAACGAAGTGTACAAGTCGCGTTGCGAACAGGGTATTGCTATGAAGTCCCGTATCTGTGCGCGCATGATTGGTCGTGTGCAGGTGGCCCGCATGTGGGAGAAGTGAGGGTCGAGATCATAGTCGGAATGGCAGGCGATGCGAACGACCAGAAAGCTTGTTTCCTCCAGAGGCAGCTTTTCGTTTCGACTATCTTTGTCTTGGAGGACATATAGTTGTAGTGTGCCAATGGGCATGTGGAATGACAGATATTGACTCCCGTGTCTCAAGCGTTTGGAAAAAGGTGGGAGGCTTTCGTACATAATTTGCAATCCATGAAGAGTACATTCGTCGAGAAGGGAGTCTGATTTTCTCTTGCCTTTACTCTCTGTGCTCGTAGAGGCGCAGCTCAGAAAGGACACGGAATGTTCGTTCTGTCGCGTATGAGGGCGTTGCACGTGTTGAGAGTGACGACTGAGCCAGCCTGAATCGTGAGCTAGCGTCCCGATGTGATGCCATAAGGGGTTTTGGATTATGCTCGGAAAGAAGCATGGTTGTGGTTTAGATATAAAGTCCGGTATGTGGTGTTGCCATGTTTGGACGTGGGCCCCAGCTGAACAGGTTTGCTCCGAAGACGGGGCAGTATCATTTATAGAGATTTCCAGCCGATCGATTCTGGCGACAAGCCCGCTGATCAGGTTTCTGGTATCCTCGTGATTACCGTGTAAAACTTTGCTGGCAGCGTCCACTTTAACCGACAATTTAACAATATGCTGATATGTCTTCGTTGAGATACGTGCTGACCTTTTGTGCTGTGAAGAAATTGTACCGAGCTTTGTTTCCAGTGTTCGTTGGCCGACGCCTTGATTGTGTTCAAATTTTCTATGGTGGTGATTGAGTGTGGATGAGACGCTTTGTTGGTGAGTGTGCAGTAAAGTCTCCATGACTTTTGGCAAGTTATCTGCCTTCAGACCCAGTTGTTGCGAGTATTGTCTGATCAGGGCTTCGAGGGCCTGACTATTAGCACTAGACAATTCCCTTGTAGTTTGTTAGCTTGAAACATGGATAGTTGCAGTACAAGAATCTCGAAGGTAGATGAAGACATCATAAGCTTCAGTATGATAGGGGCCATACAAGTCTCTGGCAATGTTCTTTTGAAGCTTGATACATGAGTTCAGAAGATGACTGCGGCGTGTTTGGAAGGTTGAAGAATAGCAGGTTCCGAAGTACATCGTGGAGCGGGATCAGTGCCGTGTGCACGTACAAGGGTGAGCCCAACTGAGTCTCATAGAAACCATAGGATCTAAGAAAAGTCGCTCACCCATACGCAATCATAAGAGCGTTGGCAAGTAGCATCTTGGACCACTCGAGGCTGTTGAGAGCTTTTCCGATCCTGTGGTCGTTCAGAACGTATTGCAATCTTTGCCATGACTTTTTGCTGCCCTTTAATTTCACAATATGCCTTTTGAGATTTTGTAACTCCCGGTCGAGGGCTTTCAACCCTGATTCTAGCGGCGTCCTTATGCTGGCGGTAGTTGATACATGAGTCCGGTTTTGGACCCAGCATTTTTGGCAAGCGATGACCAGAGTCTCGGTTTCCTGGAGTGACTCGTTCAGCGCTTTCAGTTCGTTTGGTGCGTCTGCTACGTCGTGCAGAAAATTATAGATCTCTCTGCCAGTCCGCAAGATCACATCAGCCACCCCCACAACCGCAAAAGCGCCAGCTGCGACCTCAAACGCGCCCGACATCCTCAATCACTGGGAACTGTCACGTATATTCAGAGAAGAGCGGACAGTATCAGAGTTTGGAGGGAAACCGATAAAGGTAGGTAGAGCCAATATGAAGCCCTGCAGGCCCTGCGCCGCGCCCGTCTGTATGCAAGAAGGCTCAGCCTTCCTGCAGTAGGTCAATGTGCATTATTTCATTACCTTGGGGATAGGCAGCATGCAGGAGGTCGGGTAATGCGTTCAGATGATTTGTGTTTCGTCCGTGTCAATGGTCACCATCTTTCACCGGCTCTTTCGTGGCTGTGCCGTCGCGAAAGCCGAACTTTGACGTTGCCACCTACAAACAGGTTTACAAGCTACCAGATAGCAATAGAAGTCTGTGTAGTCGGCAAAGCGATATTTAGTTGATGGGATTCCTTAAAGATACAGCTACACAAAATTTAGCTTTTGCGACGATACTAGATGCCGTTCCCTAAAGTGCAGTCGCGTTCCCATTTCTGGGGTCTCTGACATGGATTGCCTAGAAGATCCAAGGCAACACCGAGAGCATACAACGGGACTTGAAAGCGATATGTACTGTGGAAAAAGTCAATGTAGCTGGTAAATTAAATTATACTAATAGTGGGTATCTTGGATTAACACAACGAATTCATCAAGTCATCTCATCATACCGCAGCCTCATCGGCAGCCTCCTGCTTGCGTATCTGATCTTCCAGCCGCTTCTTCTCTGCTTGTTTCAACCTCATCATGGTGACCTCCTCCAAACTATGTGTCTTCGGGCTGAAGGAGAACTTTGGTGTTCCAAGTGGTGTGGTACCTCCTAGGCCCTTCCCTATGCCTGGTCCGAATGATGACCTAAAGGACTGGTTCTTCGGTGTAGATATAGGTGTTGACGGAGCTGAGGGCGCGTCGTTGGTTGGCGATTTGAGGTCGGGTTCGCCGTTTGCCCAAGCCACTGATTCGAGCGACGGGTAGTCGGACTTCGCGTCCAAGACAGCGGCGTGCGCATGATCGAGACGTGTGTATATGATGAAGACAATGGCGATGACCTTGCGGTGCTTCTCTCCCGATGGTCGGATCTTCTTGTCCTTGCCCATGACAACGCTGTCGATCTTGCCGTATTTCGCAAACATGCTCGAGATCTTGTCTTTATCCCAGTTTGTAGCGTCGCCTTCTCGTTGGAACCGGACCTTGACTGTGCGATCAATCTCGGCGGAGTCTCCAGGCTTGGGTGCCTGTGGCTCAGGGCTTACGTCCACGAAGCTTGCCTCATCCTCTTCTTTGCGCTTCTTCTCCATGCGCTCTTGTGCCTCCTTTCTGCGCCTCTTGCCATCTTCGGCTAATCTTTGTATCTCCTGTTCTCTCCTTTCCGCCTCGTTCATATCTTCCGCCCTCTTCCTCTTTAGGTTGTTCATGAAGTCCTTGCCCTCTCGCTCCCTCCTTTCCAGGTCATCCTTCATTTTGCGCCGTCGACCGTCCAGAAGCTCATCTTGAAGCGCCTTCTCCCGCCGCCTGGTACGCGCGCGGTCATATTCGCCCTTTAGCTTCTCATCTATGAGGATATCTCGAGCCCATCCTAGGTAAATAAAGCGATCCGCAGCATCTTTATTGTCGGGATTTTTATCGGGATGGTAACGAATTGAGGCTTTACGGTAAGCCTTCTTGATTGCAGCTTCCGGCGCATCGAAGGCTACACCAAGCAACTCGTAGAAGTCCTCGGTGGTTGATTTGGCGAGATCTTCGAGGTCCTTGTTGGTGTCGCTCATGATGTCGATAGGCCAAGGGATACGTGAGCAGTCAGAGGCCCAGAGCGGGACGTTGGCGCGTGGGATCGAGAGGGGAGACGAAAGTCGCAAGTGGATGTGAATGGCGCAAGCGCGAGGCAGCTGCAGAAACATGTGAGATGATCGCCCACTAGCGCGCCTTCCGGCTTGGCGCATATTCTCGGAACTGCAGGCGGAAATTTCGCGTTGCTGCATACATGGTATTATATTTCGATAAACAAGTAGTACCCAAGACGATGTGTACTCCAACCTGATTTCCCAGAGCAAATTTTTGGCTAGCCTGTAGGCAATTCAAGTCTGTTAATCTCTGGTGGCCTCAATACATCCCACCCTACCTAGTAGCTAGAGCTCCGAGCTTCCTTCCATCACCCCACTGATGCCAGTCGCGTCTTCGATAAAGCGCGCGATTATGACTACTCCACCGGCCGAGAGTCGCAAGGTGCTCGAAGGTATCTTCGCAATCAACAAGCCTCAATGGGCCTCCTCCGCCGGCGTCTTGCGCGACCTCCAAGATCACTTCTCTCGCTCGCCGCTCTTCGCACCCTGGCTCGAAGCCCAGAAGCGCTCCCTCATCATCGCGGACGCTAAGCCCAAACACCTTAAGAACATCAAAGCGAAACTCGGTCATGGCGGTACCCTCGATCCCATGGCTACGGGTGTCTTGATTGTCGGCATGGGCAAGGGCACCAAATGCTTACAACGCTTCCTCGAGTGCACCAAGACATACGAATGCGTGGTATTATTTGGCGCCGCGACAGACAGCTACGACGCTGTAGGCAAAGTTGTCGGCAAGGCGGATTACGAACATGTCACAAAGGAATTGGTAGAGGAGAAGCTAGCGCAATTCCGCGGCAAGATCTTGCAAAAGCCCAGCGTTTTCTCTGCGCTTAAGGTGGATGGCAAGAAGATGTACGAATACGCTAGAGAGGGCAAGGACATACCAGAGGTGGCAGCGCGGCCGGTCGAGGTAGAAGAGTTGGAGCTTGTCGAATGGCTGGAACCCGGAAGCCATGACTTTGGCTGGCCAAAGGAGGAGGTGGATGGTGCTGAAATGGAGGGCGCAAAGAAGCTGATGGGTATCCGGAAAGAAGACGCAAAAGTCTACTCCGATACAGCGGCAAGAAGAGGGCGAAAGCGATCGAGATCACCGGAAAACGATCACGTTGAAGGCGCTGGGCAGCAGCCGAAGATACCTAAGACGGACTCTGAGCCTGCCATGTCCGGCGCTTTACCAGCAGAGGTAGCGCCCACCGAGGAAACCTCCGCGGAGAACGTCACAGATGCCAGTGTCGAAGCATCATTGCCAACCGAAGAGAAGCCTGTAGCCCTGGTGGAGCAAGCACAAGTAACAGAAGACACCTCAACAATCACCCAGAATATTCCCGCTGAACCCGCTGACGCTACCGCATCATCAGCTACATCTGCGCCCACTCCGCAACCCCCAGCAGCCCGCCTTCGCATGACAGTAACGTCTGGCTTTTACGTACGCTCTCTTTGCCATGATCTCGGTCTAGCCTGTAACTCGCTCGGCCTTATGTCGTCTCTCATCCGCTCTCGCCAAGGCGACTACACACTCGGCCAGAACGTCCTAGAATACACGGATCTGGAAGACCAATCGAAGTGGGAGCCCCAACTTCAGAAGCAGCTCGAAGAGTTCATGGAGAAGGAGGGTTGGCCAATTGAGGAACTGGACGACGACGAGAGCTGGGAGGGGAGGAAGAAGGATCTGATGGAGCAAAGGAAAGACAATGACCGGGAGAAGAGTTACAAGGGTGGTGGTAAAAAGTGGAACTCAAAGGGTAAGGGGAAGTATGGACGAAGTGGGTACTCAAAAAACATGGACGGTGGACGGAAATGAGGAATTGGTACTACTATGACTTGCATTATGATACCCCATGAACCAGTAACAATGACTATGGCATTTGGTTATGAATAGTAGTTCAAAGACTATGTGTATGAATAGTTTGAGTATCAAGCCCAGATATCTGACATCAAACCTCCGTCGTGGAGTTCCTCCGGCTTAGACTTTGTCTCAGACTCTGAAAGCCCCTCTGTACTTCCGTCACAGCATCATCTGCGCCCTGCAACCCCTCTGCTTCATCTCTCCGATCCTCATGATTGATGAACAAGAAGGAGAGCACCATGATCGCCGCGCCAACCCAATACAACGCCGATGCATACTGCGAATCCAACAGCATCTGCCCAACCAAACTGCACGGAATGGTCAGACTAAGACCAACAGTGACAATTAGCGGGGAAGTAAGCAGCATAGCGTACGCCCAGCAAAAGTCAGAGACGAGAGACGATGCGCTATTGATGAGCACGATATTGAGGATGCGCGACGTGGGTGGGAGCTCAAAGGGTTCTATGCCGGTAAGATGCAGGATAATAAATCCAGGCCAGAGAAGCAGAATGTTGGACAATCCAACGAGGCCGAAGAACAGAGGCATGTTGACTTTTGTCTCGTCGCCAATCCGAGACTTCATGAAGACTGTGTAGAAACCGTACAGTACGGCGGAAACAAAGGCCATGACGTCGCCAATGGCCAATTCTTTTGGTGTCTTGTGCGGGAAGGAACCGCGGTTCTCGTCTGTCTCGCCAGAAACGTCGACCATGGAAATGAGGGCTACACCACCGAGAGACGCGAGTACGCCGAGGAATTTGAGCAGCGTGAAGCGTTCGACGCGCATTATCGATCCCAGAAGCAAGGTCCAGATGGAGGATGTGGAGGAGAGAATAGTAGAGCTGGCGACGGTTGTGTACTCTAGACAGGCGGCTGCAAAGTAGTTTGCCAGGAACCAAAGGAGACAGAATTCCAGTGCCAGTTTTGCTGTATCTCTTATTGTCAAGCCTTCGTCCTCACCCTGACGGCCAGTTTTCCCGGTTGCGAAACTTTGGGAGCCGTGCAGCGAGGATGATAACAAGACTTCGGTTGCTTCGTCATTGCGAGATTTGTTCGAGGCTGAGGCTGAAGACGGAGTCTCGTGCTCACGGAGGAGTTTCCACTTCCCTGCTCGCCGTTGCAAGAGGTCGCGTGCGTGTGCTAGAAGGGGTTGGCGGTGTTGGCGCGCGCTGTTGGGACGGTGACGGTCGACCCATAAGTGGTGGAGGAACATGGGTAGGAGAGGGATGACAAAGAATGTTGTGTTTACGTAGGTTACAAGGTAAGGTTTTGAGTAGGAATCGTCTGCGAATATCGTCTGTTTTCGTGTCAGCTATGCGCTTACCACTACCATGCCATCCCAGGGGATGCGAGATACGTACACTCGCGAGGAAATTACTAGCTGTCCATAGTAGAACCGTCGCAAGTAGGAGGGCTATTCCTACTGCGTGGCGCACTTTGCTCGTCCATACTCCCTTCTTCTGTCCCTCGGCCCACTGGCTGGACTGGCTGGCCTCGCTCGCTGGGCTCTCGAGATAGTCTTCCCCGCGCAAGTACGCGCTCTCGTCGGAGACGTCGCTAACGCGTGGACTGAGCGGCGTCGTCTCGACATCTTCTTCCCTCCTGGGAATCATGTTGGTAGGGTGTAATAGAAATTATGGTAGGTTGTACAGGACAGGTCCGTCAAGGAGGGTCTTCGGTGATAAGCGGGCTCACGGTCGGGGTACGTGTCGAGGCATGGAAGAGAATGCGAGCGCCCATGAAATCAGTAGTTTGTCAAAGGCTGAGAAAGATGCAAATGATGAACTCGTGGCACGGCGTGGTTCGGCGTAACACGCGGACACTTGATGAGAGGGTGCCTAAGTTCCGGGGGTTGCGAGTTTCATGTGTCCTCGTGTCTCAAAGAGGCCCGTTGACGGAATTGTGGCGGTGCTGCCTTAGCCACGGACCCACGTCATCACGGCTACACGGGCGGAAGGCACGCGTCGGATACCACTCCAGGCAAAGAAACTGTTCATGTATGTATTCGTATATTCTTGGGCAGCTATATCGACTAGGTGACAATGACCCCATCCGTGATGATAAATTACAGGACTAAGCGATCCTCCTGCTCAAGAAGCATGTTCAACACCAAACTCCATGCGAACTCCAGATGCAAGACGGCATTGCGGCAGATGAGCTTCCACTGTCGGCTCTCATAAACGTCGCTTATTTCGTGATGGCATACACTAGCATGCGCAACCGCCTTCGCTGCCCTTGAGGTCGATCGGGATTGTCTCGGGGAAGTCGTTGCTGAAGTCACCCACGTCCTCCTGTGCGAGAGCTTGTCGTGCGATGACTACGGATGTCAGCTTCTGAAAGCGGGGTCGAGAGATGACTTTGAGTCTAACTTACCTTCGAAAGCTTGCTCGACGTTAATGGCCTCCTTAGCACTGGTCTCGAAGTACGGGATACCACCCTTCGATTGGCAAAATGTCATGGCGCGCTTAGACGAGATCTGGCGCTGTTAGCTTGAAGCCTTGAACGGGCGCGGCAGATACTTACCATCCTTTTGCTCTCCTCCACATCGATCTTGTTGCCAATGACAACCTGTCTGGGTCAATACAGGTACACATCCAATCTATCCGTATGCACCTACAAATGGGAAGCTCTCAGGATCCATCGGGCTGGCCTGAACCAGGAATTCGTCCCTCCAGCTGTCTAGGGTATCGAAGCTCTTTGAGTTGTTGACGTCGTATACGAGCACGCAGCAGTCGGCACCGCGGTAAAAGGCAACACCGAGCGATTGGAAGCGCTCTTGACCGGCAGTGTCCCAGAGCTATCGTAGGTTAATAAGATCCAAGCGCACAAATTCACATGTACACACCTGCATCGTAACCAGTCTGTCGTCGACCAGCACTTCCTTGGTTAGGAAATCGGCACCAATCGTCGCTTTGTAGCTTGCGCTGAACTTCTTGTTGACCTGTAGAGAACGTGTAAGCCAGTTTCCATAGCCTCTAGCTATCAATCGTGTTCCGGGTGGTTCTACGATGGGTTCTCCGTACATATTGGTTCATCAAGCTCGTCTTGCCGACCCCGCTGTCTCCGAGGATAATGACCTGCGCGCATTAGCCGTGATGGGCAGGCCCTGTCGGGAGCTGGAATACCTTAAGGAGGACCTTCTTCCTTGATGCCATCTTGTAGAGTGTGTGTGTAGGTAGGAAGACGAGGAACGGCGCGGTCGATTCGAGGCGCGAAGCTAGATGCTTCGAGGTGGTGCGGAGTTGGCTGCGCGGATACTAGGCCGAGGTAGAGGGTATGCGACGCCAATATCTGGGTCTCCAGGATGTTAGTCGAGTAGGGAAATCAATGCACTGCGTTTATGGCGCAGATACGGTGAGGATAGGTGTAGCTTCGTTACCAGAGATCGATGATGGTTGATGTCAAGCTGGGCACGGACATCACGCTAGCCGCCCGTCTGAGGTGGTCAACCCACGCGCCCACCTGACACCGCATTCACATTGACCGTCTAACCCAGCGGCTGATCCACGACTGTTCCTCAAGGAGAGCTTCATCTATATATCAAGTTCCAAAAGTTGCTGGTGTCGTCGCCAATCTCCAACCTAGTGCGACCGCGAACCTGACCGATACCTCCAGGGCTACCAGTCGATCGCCTTAGCGGTAAAGTTTAAGGCTGCCAGTACGGGCCTGCTCACATGTCGCTCGTAGAACTATCTTTCCAGTGTCAAAATTCTGATACAGATACGATTAATGAACACTCCAGCCGCAGTCCCCATTTTGTACGCGTACGACGCTTCCTTTACATCATTCGGATGGCACCAAATGGGATATTATATTGTGCTCCTGCTCTAGAGATAAGCAGGAATATGCTCGAAAGCTCTAGAGAAGTTCAAACGGCCCATCATCACTGGTAAGGAAACATATTATAGAGTTGAGGTGAAAGACAATGTAGATGTATCGCTCCTCAAGCCCAGCACGAACACTTCGCTTTGTCAGACTACGCATGTTTGGTCTCTGATAGCAAACTTATACAGTCAAGCTATCAGTAATCTACTAGTGTTCAATCGTTGATTTCTGATCGAATGAACTGGGAGGGACGGGGTCCAGTCAGTGAATGCAAACATGTCTTGGCAAAGCGTCAGATTTCACAACCACTGTAGTCTTGATAGTGCGTTCTATCCTCACCTTTGCTGATACACTCGAACCTCTCCAAATCATCCAAAGAGCCTTATAGCTACGCAGATCAATTCTTCGCTATGACGAATGCGGATTCCCTTCACGCGCACTTCATGGCGCTTGTCAGGAGCCTGCGCCCTAATACATCAGGTGACTAGCGCTAGTGCGAGTATAAGTAACTCTTAGGAATCGTAGCCGAGTTGGCAACGATTCGTCTATCTTTGCCAGACAATATACTATAACTCCACCATCTCAAGCATCCCGTATCAGTTAATAGTAGTTGGCCTGACACGTAATGTGTTACTTTACTATTAACTCTAAAGTTGTATAGAACTTATATAAAATAGTAACCTTGTTCTAATTTATGTCTTATAAGCTAAACTTAGCAATTGTTAGCACTTTCTATGTAGCCTTAATTCTAAGCTATAAATCTACTACAGACTTGAACAGGACTTGTAATAAGCCTTTGTGTATTGTGCAATTGCACTTTTAGCAGCGAGAAAGCACTTAAACAACATGAAGAGAACTTACAAAAGCATGCAGAAACCTTTAGCTATAAGCTATGTAACTGCTTCTTTGGTAGCCTAGACGTTCTTGGCCAGCACTAAGACAATTCTCTAGCCCACTGAAAACCTAGAAAAGACTCACTCGCGTCTTCTGTCACGCCTGTTCTATTTGCCCCCTATGTCCCTTTGCTGTTCTCAACGTCCTCTAATGTCCGTTCAACAATACGCAACGGTCAGCGCAGTGGTCACGCCACAACGAAGAACACTTCCCACACAAACTCGACCTTTGATCTGCCATTCGCAGTACTTGAACGTCGAATGTAAGCTCTTACTATACCGGACTTATAGTCACAGACCGCCGTGAAGGACTACCCGCCTGACATTGAGAATAGCAACTAGGTTCACCTTTTTTGTCTTTATCCTTTATTTGCCCAATTCAGACTCTGCGAACATTTTTGACTTACAACAGCTCCTATCCAACTGAGCGACCTATCTGTGACGCACAAATGACGAAGCAGAGAGCGTTGTCTTGACTGGGGTAAGCGAAACTTAGTTATCTATGGGTGCCCTGAAAAGTTTACAAACAGATTAGGTAGGAATGTCGTCAAGCTGTACACAAAATACTTCGTTCATATTATTTCGATATTATCATATCATGCGCAAGTTCAGTCATCGTGTAAAAATCATGATGAAATAAGCGGCAGCCCAGTCATAGTGACGCAACTACAAAATCATCATCCTTAAAGATGAGTACTATGGTTTCGCATATTTAATCTGAACTGCAGTCAAAGTCTGTAAATATTCATATATCACCAAGACCATATTCAACAAACTGACCAAGTAACGAAGAGGACGAAGTCGTGGTCTAACATAAGATACACTGGTCGACCCCAACAACTTGTCAATTTTAATACTCCACAATGACCGAAGTTCAAGAGTGAGTAACTCATCTTCGAAGATTTGTGAAAAACGATTCTAACTTTGAATCAAAGACCGGTCCGTACGACCGCGTACGAGCCGCATGCTACTGAGAAGATGAAGGCAGCCCTCTGGACCGGTAAAAAGTCGATCCAATTGGGCGTTGTACCCAAGCCCACCATTACCGCGCCTAAAGATGTCATTGTACACATCACGCATTGCACCATATGCGGCTCAGATTTGCACATGTACGCCGGTGATATGGATCAAGTGATGGAAAAGGGCCTGATTATGGGTCATGAAGCCATCGGTATTATCGAAGATGTTGGGCCTGAGGTCGAGAAGCTGAAAGCAGGGGACCGGGTCATCATCTTACCGGTCATCGCTTGTGGCGAGTGCTTCTATTGCGAGCGCAAAGAGTTTTCTCTGTGTGACCGGACCAATCCATCTCAAGAGATGAGGCAGATGTACGGACACCGGCTATCAGGCATCTTCGGCTATTCCATGGTCACCGGAGGATATCCTGGCAACCAAGCGGAATACTGCCGCGTTCCAAACGGAGATCTTGTCTGTGTCAAAACTCCGAAGGACACGCCCGCTGAACAGTTGCTCGGCCTTGCAGATGTGACGCCTACTGCCTGGCACGGTTGTGAGCTCGCTGAAGTAGGTAAAGGTGATGTTGTTGGCGTCTGGGGCTGTGGCGCGGTCGGTCTTTCGATCCAGCGATTGGCAAAGCTTCGTGGAGCCCGAAAAGTCTACGCGGTCGACAAAGACACCCATCGCCTCAGCATCGCGGCATCCTTCGGCATGATTCCGGTTGATGTGAATGAACACCGCGACCCGGCAAAGTACATTCTGTCCCGCGAACCACATGGCCTAGATCGCGGTATCGAAGCAAGTGGTTTCAGAAGCACGAACTCGATTGCTCACGCGACTATGAAGTCGCTGGGCATCGAGGGCGATAGCTCGGACACTGTGAGTGCGGTGATCAAAGCGACGCGGAAGGGAGGAAACATCGCTCTGATTGGCGACTTCTTTTATTCAACAAACAATTTCCCTATCGGAATGTTGATGGAAAAGGCGATCACCCTGCGAGGCGGACAGCTCTACGCTGAAAAGGTGAGTGCGCATAATCCAAGGTGGATTCTGACTTTCTTTTGATTGCTAACGATCATCGCTCGAACTTTGCAGTACTTCCCATTCCTTCTAGATCTGGTTACTGAGGGCAAATATGATCCTTCGTTCTTGTTTGGACACAAAGGTTCGTCCAAGCAGGCAGTCGTAGTAAAAGATGTTTCTGACCATTGTGACTTAGACAAATTCGAAAATGTCGCTCAAGCCTACGAGGATTTCTATAATCATCAGGTACCTGGAGGATTGAAGGTTTGCCTTGAGACTGCTTTTGGTAAATCCCAGAGTGACAATTAGCATTTCTCCATATATAATGCTAGACATTTATTTTTCATGCCTATATCGCACCTCCCCATCTCTTGCCGGTGGAAGAGCATCTTTCATATATGAAGAGCCGATCCAAAGTAGCTATAGTTAAGCAGAAGTAACAGAGGATTATGCAGCCCATGTCCGTGTTCCGCACTATTCTACCTATGAGATGCAGTAACATAAAGCAGTTCGAATTCTCACGACATACTGACTGCGGACTAAGTCCCACACCAGCCGTCAATTGCACATCACACGCTGAGGTATGGATAGCTCCACCAATAGAAGCAACAGCATAAGGCCACAAATCGCGATATCCTCCCCCCACTAGGCCCCGTTCTGGAAGGTGTAGCCAGCGAGTCACTTTTCGAAGAGAAATACTTAGTAATTGAATGTACTGTCTAGAAAATGCTAGAGCGTTGTTATCATCCATCGGCCTCCTCCCACACATCGGGTGGGAGCGACACCACGATGCTCAAGCATCTGCACATGGCCATAATGCCAGCGTTGGTAACAGCCAACATCACTACCACTGTCACAATCACCACGATGAGCGCAGCTCTGCACACAAAATTAATTTTGAGAGCACTAAGCTATTCTTTGTGGAGGATATCTGACTGAGAATGCGCTTCCACTATTGAACATTGTAGTACTGTGCTCTATTTCGTTCCTTACAGATATAACGGATTAATATTTTACACAACTCCTTGCATCTACAAGACATGCGCGAAGCTGGAAGTCCTTGGAAGAACTAGATTGGGGCCAAAAAGCTTTGTACTCATGAACTAATACAACCGACAAAGCATGCCGGAGCCCTTAGCGCACACATTTGAAGGTGAAGATATTACTCGATAGGTTGCATCATAAACGTCAAGAGCGTTTGGAGTTCTTATGTATCGCCTGCTATCTGTTGGATCCGTTCAAGGATAGTAGCTTTTCATTCCTGCTAGAGGTAATTACCCTATCAGTAGATATATACCAGGAAGATAGGGTGGTAAAGCGATTGTCGCGTGCTTCAAATATCGACTCTACGGGCAGACCAGTGCTGATAGATCGTATAAAGCCGAGCGCAATACAACCAGGTCTCCGGAAAGGTAGTGCTTCATTCTCAAGAGCTCGGGACTACTATGGTCTCAGGCATAGGTAGTGCAAGTGGACCAGCGCGACAGTTATGCCTTTCAGATAGTGCGGAACAGTTCTACCTACTAGCTTACACTTAGTATTATTGTCCTAGGCTAAGCGCTGTTGTAAACTAGAACTCCGTTACTATTCGTGCCGCGCAAGGGCATAGACATAAGCTGAGCTATGATAATAAAACACTACAACAATTAACACCCACTTTCTTAATATCCCATTCCTGCAATATGTGATAGGCTGAAGCCTAGTTAGCTTATTCCTTGATAATATCTTAGTTACGTGTGCAAGTGCATAGTCTACAACCGCACGCGTCTAAACAACGCTTAGACTAAACCTCTGAACCTTAGACTAAAGGTTAATCTAAGCTACTACTAAAAAACCTTTAGAATAAGGTAGTCTATAGTTCTTTTCTCTATTAAATATAACTTTAGTATACTTATACAGTAGCTCTCTAAGCGTAGCCTCTTACAACATTAACTGCCTTAGTAGACTACAAAACAAACGTGTGCTAGTAATAGACTAGCAAAAGTTCTATAAATAAGACTCTAAGGCATTAGATAACCTAAAGTATAAGCTTAACAACTTTCTTACAAAGAATGCAGATGTTAGGACTCGGCCTAGAATAGGCTGTAATGACTAAGCCTTTGGTATAAAAGCCTAGCGATCGCTATCGTAGCTCGATAGCGATTCGTCTCTAGTCGTACCAGAACAATACTATGCTTTCTATTATGCAGTCGTGCCTCCAGTATCTCTCTAGCCCTATTGTTTGACAGCCGAGGGCGATTTTGCAAGTTTAGGCGCCATGCTCGTGAAGGGCGACAACAATGATCAGACCCGGATACTTATTCGCGCCGGTTTCAAGAGAAAGGCGCAAGATCAGAACGAGTGCGCGAGGAGGAAATCCAGAGCAGAGGACTGTGTCACGAATGACGAGACCCCTAACGATATTGAGCAGGGAAGGATGTCAGACCATGAGGGATCTAAGGAAGCGATGGACAGCCACATCAAAGGCGACGCAGAGGACATGGAAGAAGAAGATCCGCCTCCATCTATCAGTACTATGCTTGCGAAATATGCAGCTGGTGAGCCAAAGCGTCCAAAGTGGAGGGGCCGTACGGCCGACACGCGAACGAGGCACGATATGGATGGCATCGCTGAAGGGAACGTGTCCGACGACGAGCAGGTTATCATTGGAGAGGATAGTAACTTCTTGCGCGAACGGTAGATACTGCACAGTCAGCAGGCGGAAGGCCACGCGAGTGAAGGATGTTTGGCGGTGGTGTTGGGTAGTAGCTGCCTAGGTAGTGGGAATACGAAGTCCGACGCTAGCAGCCCAGCAGTCTCGATCACTCTGCGCGCATGCCCTTTGCTTCCTCACTTATTTCAATCCAGTTCCCATGCATAGCATTGAGAGTTTACTCCTCTGTACACGATTTCTGATGATCGAGCTCGATGGGTCGTGATGGCTTCCTCATCCTGCCCTGTCAACCGTGGTCTCTTCGCAGCTTCCCCGTGCGGGGATCCGTATGTTAGCTATGGTCTTGGTTGACGACCAGCCACAACACAATTGTATATGACAGCGCATCGGATGTGAGCTTCACTTCAGTCTTTTCGCCTCTCATCTTTCCTACCTCGCTTTCAGTGTTACTTGAATGATGTCGCAAACTACTACTACCGGAACCGAGACGATGCGCTTGCCAGCGACGATGAGAGCATGGCAATGGTCAACATGTAGCACTACGCTCGAGGAAGCAATACAGCTGAATGAGTCAGTACCGCTGCCGACAGCGAAGCGGCCACTCGCAAGTGGAGAGTCTCTGATTCAAGTTCACGCTGCTGCTCTGAACCAGGTCGACTACAAGCTTGCAGAGCTACCCATCGTTGGGCGAATGGCCATCCCCAAACCAGCAACCCCCGGTCTTGATTTCGCTGGAAGAGTCGCTGAAGTGGGACCAGACTGCGATCTCACGGTGGGGCAAATGGTTTTTGGCAAGCTCGAACCCAAGCAACAGTTTGGCACGTTGGGGGAATACATCGTTGGTTCAAAAGCTGGCACCGTGCCGATGCCCGATGGTATCTCAGTCGAGCAGGCAGCAGCCCTGGGAGTTTGCGGTCTTGTTACATATCAGTGCCTTGCACCGAATGTAAAAGCCGGTGATAGAATACTAATCAACGGTGGTTCAGGTGGTACGGGTACTTTTGCCATTCAGATCGCAAAGGCTCTGGGATGCTATGTTACGACAACCTGCTCCAGTAAGGGTCCACAGTCGCGACAGTAACGCATTTCTCTGATCTTTCACAGGCGCAAATACTCAGCTTTGCAAGGATCTTGGGGCAGACGAAGTCACCGACTATCGCGAGAACGATGTGCCTGCCATTCTGGCAAGCAGCTCAAGACACTATGACATGGTCCTCGACAACGTCGGACACCAGTTCGAGCTGTACTGGAAATCACCCTCCTTCACAAAGCCTGCAGCGAAATACGTTCAGATCGGATCTCAAGTGAGCCTACCCTTTATCTACGATCTCGCATTCCGCTTCTTGGTACCGACGTGGCTCGGAGGTGGGCAACGGCCATTCTCTTTTGGTCTTGCATCTACGAATTTCGAAGACTTCACGAAGTTGGGAAAGCTCGTTGCGGACGGGAAAGTGAAGCCTGTCATAAGTGAGGTTTTTGCTTTCGAGCATGTACCCGAAGCTTATGAGAAGCTCAGAACAGGTAGAGCGAAGGGAAAGCTGGTAGTCAAAGTGGGAGCGAAGTGAACGATTGGCTGAAGTGAAAGCAAAGCGTACCACCTTCCAGATCTGAAGCAAGGCCAGCCTGTGAGAACTTGTCGTTCGACGACCGCATTTGCATTCGCGCCTGGTCACGAATTGCTCGCTGCGTAGGATTCGATCAGCCTCAATTCGCAGAACATCCTGATGTGGGATTAGTGCGCGAAAATGATTATATGGAGAAGAAAACGATCGTTGTTGCTATTCGCTCAGGTTGGGTGGACGCGCTCGTGGCGGCGCTAAGGCTGGTTTCAGGCAGCAAGGAGGCTGTGTTGAACGCCGATCTGCACTCAGCTGTGTGTACCAATACGAGCATACATTCCATCAGGTTCCGAATGAATCGATTCCAATACTCCGAAGTAACTTATGACACTCTCGAGAGAATGCGACATAGTAATTAGTACCAAGAGGAACTTACCATCGCGCATCTCACGAAGAAATCCTGACGAGCCTACATTACCAAATACTTCTAATTTGGAAGCGATATGAGCGCCTCCTTTTCGAAAAGGGAAGGCAAAAGAAGACAGGAAGCCAGTCCGGAAGACAATGCTGAAGGAAGGAAACGACTTAAACCAGCCATCGATCCAACATCACCACTGTGTACGGCATGTCAAACGCTTAACATTGACAAGGGTTTCGAAGCGGCCCACAAGTATTACAAACTCAGAGTTTACGACCCGGACAAGGTGTCTAAGCTCTACGAAGCTTACGATGGAAGGCACTTCTACGATGATGCAGTTTCTGTGCATCAGTTTGGCACTCGACTGTCCAAGCCATCAAAGTGTCCACTGTGCGAATTCTTTCGATCTGTCAGAGTTCAGCCAGATGTACATGAACGTTACAAACTACTTGCGTTCCGTAGCACCGATGCTTGGCTCTTCAATGCAGATCGGGTAAGAACCGCGTTTAAAGAACCCGACTTCCTCGAAGAACGCCACGATACAGTGTTCATGGCAGTCCTGCCAGATATAGAGTCGGTCCCACCAACCGGGCACGATGCGACATGGCTAGACTACGAGATTCCGGCTGTGGGGGCCATCTTCTGCAAGCCGGCTGCCGAACCCAGCGACGGTCTCAATCAGAACCTGCTGGGAGCAAGAGAGCTCATGGATTCATTTGATGTTGAGCGGTTACGGGCTTGGCTCGATTTCTGTCGCAGTGGACACGGTGCCGCTTGCAAACAACGTGCGTCGGAAGAACCGGTAACCAGAGGCTTTCGTCTGATCAACTGTACCAAGGATCCTCCCGAGGTTGAAGACAAGCCGTGGGGAACTCCGTACGCTGCTTTAAGCTATGTTTGGGGATCTACGCCCGCCGATCTGGAAGACTGGCCGGCGACTGTCATGGACGCAGTCGAGGTCACACGCAAGTTCGACTTTACCTATCTCTGGGTTGATCGGAGCTGCATAAACCAGGCGGATTCAGAAGAGAAAGGCTACCTGATTTCGAGAATGACAACCATATACGAAGCAGCCGAGTTCACCATCGTAGCAACTGCAGGAAGTGGAGCTAGCCATGGTCTTCCTGGAGTAGGAAAGACACCTCGCAAGCCGCAGCCAAAGTACTATACCGACAGCGGAAGCTTACTCCTTTCTATACTCCCTGACCCTCGACGCGAAATACTACAGTCGCAATATTGGACCCGCGGCTGGACATACCAAGAAGGAGTTCTCTCCAACCGCCGTATCGTCTTCACAGAACACCAGACCTACTGGGAATGTCGCTGTATGGCTTCGAATGAAAGCGCGGATGTGACGCTGTTCCACCAACCCATAAGCCATGAGAACGATCCCAACAGCATTCTAGTAGACTTCATGCTGACTGGCATATTCAAAGGCGGTGCGTTCAGCGGAGGCAGTAGTGCGCATCAAGGAGACTTGGTCATCGCTAATGACGAGGAATATCGGTTAGACTATGGCTTTCCTGTCGTTCAGGAGATCACTGTTGGGGCCCAATTGCGAGGGCTGTGTGAGCATATGCGTGAGTTTACGAAACGACGCTTGACACAAGATACAGATACCCTGCCAGCCTGTGAGTAGTTTACCTTTGAGAACCGCTTGTGCTATGAGTACTGACTTCTGCGCCATGTATAGTTCAGGGTATTGTTGGAATGTATGAACAAACTACATCGCTGCACATGTTTCACGGAATACCGTTGTGGACGGGCGACATTGCTGGAACCGCTGCCCCCGCTCAGATCACCCTCGCCTTGGCTATATCGTCATGGTTCCACCGTGCGGGCTCACATGAGGCCATGTTTATCTCCGAAACATGTAGGCGGCGTGCCCATTTACCTTCGTGGACCTGGTAAGAGAGCCATTGCGCGAGCTGCGTGTAAGACATAGACTGACTTCGTATCTTTAACTTTAGGGCTGGCTGGGGCGGTACAGTTAGTTGGCGGCTGCCTCCCAATACTGAATATTGCGCTTATCTGAGTGATCTCATCAACGCTACAAGCCCAAGTATCGTTTGGGGTGCGAACATCTATCTCTCTCATCCTGGACGTCCAGAAGTAGTACGGTTGTTAGACCGAAGCTCAGCGCTTCGTCTGGCTAACGGCACCTTTTCCACGATGGAAATAAAGAATCCATACCTCTTGAACAAGTTTCAACCAGTCAAGGTAGAAAATCGCGAGTGGTCGTGGGGCAGACTGGTTGGGAGGATTGGTCGCGAACGGAGAATGTCTCACCGTTTTGACAAAGCCACAGACTGGTGGAGAATAGGTGGTCGCCTCGCTTTCACCAGCATGTCTATTTCCATAACCCAACAAGAGTGGACTGCCAAACATGGCTCTGGCGAGTTCATAAGTGTCTTGATCTTTGTAGGGAGGTTCCTAGATGTCGAGCATGGGTAAGTGCATCCGTACGAACTGTATATGAGACAAACACTAACTTCGTGTACCTGAAGCGCGGCACGTTTCTTAACATTGCGAAAGGTACCGCATTCTAATCCTGTTGTGTGGGAGCGAGTCGGCATGCTTTCTTTGACGCTTCCTTTCCTGGCTAAGTGTCGGGACATTTCGGGTCTTTTTCACAAAACGCCAGCTCATTCCCGAAGTGGCTCTATAGTTATTCAATGAATCAACGGCTGTCGCGACTCGATATCGAAAAATCCGCGTGCAAGTACTTCATGACCTCAGGTGTGAATGAGATTGAACATCTACTTTTGCCGTCGCCGCCTACATCACGGCTTGCTTTTAGCTCCCAAAGCAAGAATGCCGGGTCAGTATACGTTGCTGTTATTTTGCCTTCGAATGATTGTGCAGTTCCGTAGGATCTTGCTGCGAACACGCCGGGGTGTGCGTGTCCAAGAGAAAGGGCTGGTGGTAGTGATTTTTATGCTGCAATTGCGGAAGGATACTGCACTTCGTGCTTCACTGGAAGCTCAGGGTGCACACGGTTCATTGAGGATGTACTTCAAGAGTGGTGATGGCTTGGAACAAAGTTCGTGATGTACGTGATGTAGCCGTACCCCACAAGGGACCTCGGCAACAGGGCCCATAAGCCGACACTTTCACATGTACCTATACCGTACTTGACACCATAAGACAAAGGCGAAGATTGAAAGAAGAGCCGCAATCCTCAAGCTTTTCAGTGACACATGCGCAAACATGCAGAAGGTTTCGATCTGAGCTGACGACCTCGGTCAGAAGCGGATAACCTGAATAGGAAATCCCATCCAGACATGCCGCATCACCAAACATGGAAGATTTCACATTCCCATCTTGTCGTGCACGTCCGAGCCCTGGCATGCCAATTATTCTAGGCCGGGAGCCTAAAAAGTACCGGTTCGGTAGAGAAGCCCGGCCATGCGAGTGATCCCCGACAGGGGCCAGGGTGAAAGGTGTCAGGGCGAGCAGGTAACGTACCCGCTCAAGTGCATGTTATGTGTCACTGGCGTATGGTACCGAAGTGCCGATGCGAGGTATGCTGGTACCATGGTGCAAGTATCAGGGATGTGGGGAGTGTGTTCTAGAATCTTGACTAGTGTGGAACGTGGTTGAAGGATTTTCATGTTGTAGCTTTGTGGTACGAGTTATAAGGGGCGATTATCGTGAGATCCCTTTTAGGAAGGCGCATCCGACGGGAGGAGGATGAAGCGGTGTGCATTGATCTGACTGATGGGCGCGGTGCGGTGATACTGTTAGTTGTGTGAAGAAGTGTACGCCACAAACAGTTCTTGGAAGGCCTCGATGGGTGGTGTATACCTCTGTATTCATGTACCCAGTGATGAAGGCAGTCAATTGTTTGGAATATACCTCAAAAGGACGTGGGAGAAGGACATGTCGGAGCGTAGAAATTGATTCTGCTTGTACTATGTATTACGTCCTATTATGCCAGTCACAAAATATGATCTATGAGTTGAACTTTTCTTTGTACCAAGGAAAACGCCTGCTGGATATGTCCCATCGATGCAAGAGTGGCTCAACCCAAGCACGCCAGCAATGAACCGAACGCCGTACAAAAAATCCAATAAGAGTGGCGAGCATGTAAACGCGACGCCGGGTATATCCTACAGTCCACTAGTGATGGTTCCAAGCGAAAATAGACCAATGGCACAGTAAGGAGATTCGTGAAGCGTCGATGATCTCATCGTGAAATGGGGTATAAGCGAAGAAAGGAAATAGGAAGCTCGCGGTTATTGCTCCAGGCTGAAGCTACCAGAGCGGGAGCTGCTGTTGGAGAAAGGAAATTCGCAGTCGTCGACGTAAGTCGGGGGACTGATAGGAACGTCTTCGTAGAGAGGAGGTTGCTCCTCATCCCAAGCAATACCCATACCAGAGCGCTCAGTGAGCACGAGGTGGAACTGAGTACGGAGAACGCGAGCGGCGCCAGTAGGAGTGGCTTGGTTGAGCTTCTTGAGGGGTGCCCACTCTTCGGCGACGACCATCTCAATGATTAGGTTGTGCTTGACGCTCATGCCGCTTGGGCTCTCCATGTCGCAAAGAGGCTTGAGGCCAACGTTGCAGGCGGCCTGAAACTCGACGTCAATCTCGCCCTTCTCAAAGTCGGTCTTCCAGCCAGTCTTGACCTCCTCGCTGGCGATGGCGCGAACATCCTCGTGAAGGACACCCTTGCCCTCGCCCCCGACCTTGGAGATGTGCTTGGCACAGGCTGGAGCAATGAACTTCTGGGTCTCCTCAATGCGCCAGTTGAGCTTGCGGAGCCTCCATCGTGTTTGTGAGTCTCCTTTGTTCTGCACAATACCAGATAGGCGCATCTCAATGGGAAAGTCACCAATCGGGTGGATGACCGGTGGTAGCTTCACTGAAGCGGTAAGGTTTGTGGGAGGGAAGATGCGAATAGAGTGCTTCTCGGCTCCGGGAAAGATGGCGCGCTTGATGTCAAGATTGCGCTTGTAGGTAATCTTACCCGATGAGGTAGTAGCAACAGCGGAAAGATAGTAATCGACTGTGGCGAGGCTACCATGTGTAGTCGCAGGCAAGTGTCCCGGCAGCAAGTGGCTGAAGGGGAATGTGTGTGGGCCATGACGCAGCGAAGTAGGATGCGTCAGGAACTCCCACTTGTGGATTTCGGTGGTTTGCGTGCTGCAATCGGGGCAGTGTGGGGCGACAGGCTTCTTAGTGGAAACGATGGCGAGCATGCGCATCTCGAATTTTTCCACGGTGACGTAGGGGTCATGAACGTTGATGACGAGCTGACCCGAAAAAATAGCGCCGGTCGAAGACTGGGGGCTGTTGTAGAAGACAATGGGCGGCGACTCAACGCTCATGTTCATGGAAGCCGCGCCCTGGGCCTCAACCTTGGGGCTCTTCTTGACTTCGTCCTTTTCTTTCGCATGCTTGTCATGCTTGTGGCGGTTGAAGATGTCCATGACGAGCGACTCTTCCGACTTTGACTTTGCTTTTACGCGGGGTGCGTCGTAGGAGTAGACTGGCGGAAGCAGGCCTTCGGCGTGCGGTTTGACGTGGTCCAATTTAGGCAATGGTGTGGGTGCCACCCTCGCGAGGGTACTCAACAGGCGACCGGGCATGTCTGATAAAGAATCCGGGGTAGGGCTGAGATTGAGTGACGTGAGTGGATGTTGGCAGCTGTGAATCTGCGAGATAAGGCGCTGTCCAATCGAGTGAGGGAGTGGGCCGAGATCCGATATGCAGGTGCAGCTACTGTTGAAAGCGGCGGCGTTCAAGAGTTAACCTTGTGGGAATGGAGGTGGTTATAGAGAGTCTGTGGCAGGAACATATTCTAGCTGTCAAAGTAACCAAAGGGGTAGCTCGGGGTAGGGCGTGGTCTTATTTAAAGACGTAGACGCATTTTGAGGGAAGTTTTACATGAGAGAAACTCGATTTCGCATGATTTCATCGGTTATACCAGATGCAGGGATTGCGCACGCCACGCTAACGGGTTCTGGCAGGCACACCCCTGCGCCTTCCATGGAATTTTTGGGTCAGGAGGAAGGAACGCACGGCCTGCCGCTCTCGCGATCGCCCAGTAGCTGTCGTGCCTGCCAACTAAAAAGACGTCAACAACCTTCTCAGCTGAGCTGGTACGAGAGCGTCGTGACTGTCGCGCCCTATTCCGGCGTATGCAACGCATTACCCATCATCTTGCATTACCAAGCGCTCGCTGTACTGCTGACCGCCGATTCACCACCAGCCCGAACGCATTCCGAATTCCAGCTCGTGCTTTGGCCGCCGCCAACAAGCACCGTGGTGGCTTGACTATGCGGCCAACATATGTGACTCGCCGACGGCCATTCATTTCAGCACACACATTGTACCAGACAGTCTCCACCCGGAAAACCCTGGGGTGCTCGTCCATCGCAACGGCACACTGTCCGCCCGCTAGCCATCATTCGCTGACGCACATCTGATGCGCTGTTCCCCGCAACATGGCGTTGTGATCGCCTGCAAAGTGCGACTCTGGGGACGAATATTCGAGCATCTCCTCGGGCTGCCCATACACCGGCGCGCCTCCCCGCACTCTTCAAGGGCGCGCATCGTCACGTCAGAAGGTGCACCTGACATGTGTTTGATGACCGCTTACGCGCCCTACTCGACCACATTGCGCACTGCTAATTGTGCAACGTCTTCGTCAATTCACAGTCATATTTGTGCTGCATCGTGATGGCGAAAGATGCCAAGCCGCGCCGGCGTTAGGTAATGCAACGAGTTTTTCCTACATCCACCGTGGAGCGAGCAGAAACGCTGACTGGGTACTCCACCTGTCCCAGATCCTTTACAGCTTCTTTACACACTTTGGCGTTCCGGCCCGATATTGGCTGTTACTTACGATGCGTCGTGTCAAAGCATCCACTTGTTGAGGGACCAGACTGGTCTACATTACTCGATGGAAACCGCACCGGTTCCGATCACGCAGCCACTTTCGCGTCGGAAATGCCCGACGAGTACATGTGGATCAGGGCAGACGGAGCCTCCAAACACCACCTAGAAATCTCACGATACTTCGCTTAACAACGGTGACGCTTGCATGGCGTCCGCGATCTGCCAAGACTGAAGCGCCCGATTCGGTAAAACAATTGCATTCTTTGCATATCTCTGGCTACCTGAACCATACACTGAGTCCATGTGGCGCACCCATGGTTCGTTCAGGGATCTCTTTCCCGTTGACATGTGCAACTCAGCATGCCACGCGTAGCTTCAGGGTTAGAGTCATCATGGCGAAATTTGACCTGAAACTGACGCCATCCAATGGCCCGTGAACGTGTCATGGCGGGACCACACTGGCAGCACGAACACCATTTCACCGCTTTTGTGGTTGCTGAATGTAGACACAACTCGCGGTGTCTAGACCTCAAGAACGGTGCCCTGCATTGCGGCTCTCTGGAGCCTCACCCTGGCGCAAAGCTTCAACGTACAACGGGCCGATTCGGTATACCTCTCTTGATCTTCAATCCTGTTTTGCACGGCGCTCCCGCTGTGGCGCGTTTTGCATCGAGGTCGTTTCCGTCTTGTCAAGGCTGTTATTGTCACGAACCGAAGTAGCATCATAGCTTCTAGCTTCGTCGGTCTTGCTTTCTGTATTGAACGCCGAGCAACCCCGGATCGGAATGCGGAGTAGCATCCGGAACACATCGAATTCCTCCAGTCCGATAACCGCTTGCCTTTTGTCCTGTAGTACTACCTCCGGGCATATTCAGAAATCTCTGCGCGTGTCACTCACAGCTGACAGGTGATACACGCAAGCGCGTCACCAGGACACGTCTGAACACGCACTATACCAAGTGGATCGTGTTTGGTGAGGCATGGTTTTCTCGCAACGAGTGTACCCGCATCAACGCATCGCTAGTACCCGCATGAGAACAGTACTAAGATCTCCCACGTCTGTCGATCTACCGTGGACAGAATGCAACAACTTTTTCTAGTACATGGAGAAAGAATTTCCACGCCCCATAAAACACCAGAGCGGCGCAAATCTGCATCCTCACTTCCTACCTGGAACAGCCTTGACTGAAGACATGGTGGATTCGACGTCTCCTTGCGTATTTTCAAACGACTTAAGCCATTCGATGTGATAAGACCTTCTAATTCAACTGCCATTCGTACCATTGAAGACGATGCGCTGTGATTGAGTTTCTTTCCCAGCTGTGTCCAGGAACGCGACTGGGTAGGCGCGACGCATGCTCCACAGTCAGCGCTTGCGCGGAAGATATTGCAACCTTCTCTCTAGCATCGTGTGGAGTAAGTGGGTATGCCATTCGATTCGAGCTAAATGTATCCTCGCGTGTGACATTGCAAACTTTTCTCCGGGATCTCTACTCCTGTAGACAGACTCACGCCATGTATGCCCCACCGTCAGACTCAGAAAGCTCCATTAGCGTAGAAGGAGTGTTTCGGACATCGCATTGAAACCAAGACTTTCAAAGTAGAGAATAAATCACGCAAGAACATGCAATTGAGAAGTGGCAGGTGCATCAATTCATTAGATCGTGCTACATGCCATGTAGACCTTCACTCATCCTATTGTCCGAACCCTAGACTCCACACTATGCAAGCCATGTTGGTATCTTTAAGTGGTATCGTAGATCTACTCGTCGTCCTCATCGGCCTCGTCGTTGACGACGTTGAAGAAGCGGAGCTCGTAGACGCCCTTGGAGGTGGAAACGACGCGGAGCCAGTCACGGAGCTGCTGCTTCTTGAGGAACTTCTTGGTGCTGTCAAGCTATTAGCTAACATTCTTCCTGTCAGGAGGGCTAGGTGCTTAACATACAGGTACTTCAGGTAGCGGCCAGAGAACTCCTGGTGCGCAATGACCTCGATCTTGCCATCGCCCTGCTGGCTGATCTGGATGGTATCACCGAGGTTACCGGTGCGGCCCTCGACCTTGATGCGGTCGTGCAGGAACTTCTCGAAAGCCTGGATGTCGAAGATCTTGTCGTTGACGGGCTGCGAGCAGTTGATGATGAACTTCTTGGTGACCTTTTGGCCCTTCTTGGCGGCGGCGGAGCGCTTCTGTAACTTGAGTACTTAGCCTACTGTTCTTGTGCGCGTGGAGTGCTCCCTTGCGCTGGACAGCAAAGCGGTTGTACGTACGGTGGTGGACATTTTGACGGTATGGGGAGGGGAGCGCAAAGAAATGGATATCCTGCGTCTGTTTTGGAGGGGTTGGAGAACGAGTGAGTGTCGCGCGGTGCGCAAGAAGTTCGAGCAGTTCAAAATTGCCGGCACGATGGTGGGGTACTAGCCCCGAAAGGGTTAGTCACGCCGATTGTTCGCGCAGCTCGGTATCTGAGGTCATCACCGTCGTTGTTGATGCCTCATAGCAATTAAACGCCCTGACAATCTTTATTGCATTTCGCAAACTCAGTACACCCCGCGCATGCCTTCCATTAAGGGCGCGATACGGCTGCGGCATTCACATAACGAGTCAGCCATCATCGTCCCTCAACGCGATCACTCGTCTAAGCATCTTCTAACAGTTGAATACAAGTAAGAAACCCCTATGAATTATCGAAAAGGCTATCATGGTCACTCCGACATCCCATCTGCATATCACAGCGTTATCGATGAGAGTCTTCCTCAATTCAAGCGCAATCAGCTGCGCAGACGCGAGAACAAACCACTTTCGCGATTGATTTTACCCTCGTCGTACAAGGTCTCCTCTTGCATAGAGTTGGTGAAGTTGTCATCCTCGGTCTCATGCGTCTCACTCTCGAGCTATGAAACAGGTTCATGTGCGCGAGCTTGGCACATCTCTGCACGGCATTGTGGGCATGCGTTCGCCCCGTTCATAGCTGACTCGTTGACCAGCTGTCTAGATAGACTTGATGAAAGTAGTGAGCACACTTCGTAATTGCCGGTCGTTCTTCGTTCTTGTTGTCTTTGTGGACGCCGATCATACATACGGCGCATACGACACCCTCAAGAACGCTCTGCACTGGTTTGCAGAAATCCTCGAGCAAAATATGCTCGCCAGTCGGTTGAAGATCGTCCCCCATGTCCTAGTCGACATCATCGTCAGAACCTCCTAGGAATCTGAAGGGAAGATCTGTGCTGCTGTGCAACATTCCATCCTTGTAACCCCAACTTGCGTCGACGAACTCGCGGAAGCTCGTGTTCGAGCGGCACGTAGGTATGTGCGCTTGGGCCACAGCACCTAACACTTGTACTGTCACGGGCTCAAGGGAAGCTTGAGCAATCCAAAAGGCTTCAAGATTAGTTAGCGGAGGCAAGTTAGATTCCTCCCTGAAAGCTCGAGGGCCGGAAAGGCGGTGGGCTTCTAGCTTTGCTTCGCAAAACGTGGCGAGTTCTCTAAGGTCTAACTCGCGGATTGCGGGACATTCACGACATTCCAGTGCCATGTACTTATGCAAGTCTTCGCAGGAACACTGGATCTGCTCCGGAGTCGGATGCTGTGATAGGAAAGTCGTCAGAATGATAGCAGTCCTCTCTAGTGTCGCGAAGAACCAGCCAACATTTTTTGCCGATACCTGGGAGAATACTCCTGGTACCACGATAGCCAGGCTAGGAAAGTATCTGTGTAGTTCATCGAGATCGGTGCGGAGTTCTTCTGGAAAGAGTGCGAGGCTTGCGTGCCGCAATCAACTCATTCTGATCCCGGATGGGTTGGCTGCGTAGAGAAGCGAGCGGATCGTACTGAATATTGCGTGTAGATTGAGTTGTGCCTTTTAGAGTGTGTTGATGATCATGAGAAGGGAAAATAATGGAGACTTTTATGACTTCAAGGTCAAGAGTGCAGGTAAGCGTACAAAGCGTCCGTTACGAGCTCGCTGATCATAGGTCACGCATTTCACTCAATGTTAGCGGAGTCTCCGAACCGTACGATAGTGGAAAGCCATGAAAGATGCGATCTGAGCACATGTGTGAATGAGAAATAGTAGGCACGATACTGCTGCTTCAGGGTGGGTTGATGGCAAAATGTGGTGAATTAGGTGTCGCAAGAAACTGTACTATCTGGCCGATTCTGGTACAAGCTTTCGTTAAACATTAGCCGATGCATCTCTTTCATTGACTGCCGCGTTATATACCGTGATATGAGGCCCCCGTCCTCAACTCTGTGTACTAGCTGCAGGTAGATATTCAAAACACATTCCGAGAAGAGGCGGCATAGGCATATTGGCAGGAGGCGCAACCGTTATCAATGCAGTCCGAGTCCAGGTTACATGGAATGAGCTGGCACTGCACAAGTTTGTCGAATGTGGTTTTCAGGCTTCTCGAGTGACCCCTAATAGACGCGCAATGTCGCTACGTTTCATTTAGTAGATATCAAGGTGACTACGTTGCCCTACAGAACGAGGTCTCACCTCTTCTTGGGGAGAAATCGGCATAACTACTGTCATCGTGGAAAACGTCAAGAGGGTGAAAATAGATGCAAGTATGGGAGTCGGGAAGGACGCCTGGCACGCGCCAAGATCAGCGCGTTCCGAAAAGAGAATAGTGTTTGAAACGTTCCGAGACCCGGTAGCTTCATCGATTGATGCGATACGATAGGCGGAAGTCCTTGCATCGCCTTCTTGACAACGACACCAAGATGGCGGATAACTGATGCCGTTGAATCATATTCGGTGCCGCATCGCGCATCAGGCGTCCAACGTGGCAGTACTGTATCGCTAGGCAGACACGAGTGTCCCGAAGTCTGCCTAACGCCTGAGCCAGGCGCCCGACGCAATATTCATATAGCAACCCGCCCACAGACTGCGCCTGTCTCATATCTTTTTTCCCATCGCCCATCGCATACCTCTATCGAGAACACGATCATGCTATTCTCGCCAGTGATGCGCAATGCCGTTCTCCAGGCAACCGCCATCTGCGCCGTCTCCTTGCTCTACAGCCATTATGCCGAAGAAAATATGTTCGACGAAGTAACGCAGGATGAAACATTCAAGACACTTCTGTACGTTATCGCCAATGGAACGATGCCCGACGATCCGGTTCTTGATTCCGTAAATCAAAAGCTGCGTACTGGTGAATTAGCTATCGATGCCACACACACGGTCAACACCACGTACGGTACCTCGTTCTCCTTTGCCACCATTCGGCATGGCAATGGAACTGGAACTGGACTCAATGCAACTAATGCTACCAACGCGACTGCGGGTAGTGGAATGCCAGAGTCTTTCTATGGGCGAAAGTTCCCAAGAGAGGTGATCATCTCACTGGCGCTCGCTATACTGCAGTATTGGTGGCTTATTGGCCTTGAAAAGATCTTGCCTGCTCGACCAAGATATCGAGACGCCTCGGCTCAGCAAAAGGAGCAAGTCGAGGAGAACGAAGATAGAGAGGAAGAGGTAGTGAAGAAGTGGATTGCACAGGGTAGAGTGCATCGAGCGTCGTTGAACTGGCGCAATACTTTCGTCAAATGGGTGCTCGATATGACAGTCGGACTGTTGTGTATATTCACCGTGGAGCACATGCTTCGACAGCTTCTCAAGATCAAGTCACCAATGTTGATCTTCGATGACTTGGACGGCGTAAGTTCTTAGCCTCATCTTCCCTCATGCATCAAACTGACGCTCCGACTAGCATCTTGCCTACAACTTCCTGGCAACATTCTTCTCCGTCACCCCACTTGTTCGCCTTGCCGCGTTCATCCTCGCTCCAGCGTACAAGCAGATAATATTTATCGAAGGTTTTCAGCTAGTCTGGACGGTGTTCGCCTTACAGTTCTTACGCATCATAGCCTCATGGGCGGTAAAAACGGACTTTGCCCAGAGTGTCATGCAGAATATGACCAAAGAAGCTGAGGCAGATATCAAATATCGACGGTACAGAACTATGCGTGACAGAGAGCTGTGAGTCTGTAGACTAGCAGAGAGTACCTGTCAATTAAATGTTTCATCATTACACTACCGCCAGCTTGGCATCACAAGAATGCTCGTACTCAGTTTTATCTCCAATGTGTCCATCAAAGACGGTCTTACCTACCTTTCCGGACTTGTCTTCATGATCCAACCACATGAGCGCTTCCTTCACCAGATCTGATGGCCCGGCAATAGTCGGCACATGCCATTGGTCCTCCGCCTGGCTCACAAAGTTTGCATGTGCACTGTCCTGTGCCTGCACGATAATTCGTGCGCATTCAACGCGTGAAAAGGAAGCCCGAGGCGTCGCAGGAAACTTCTCTTTGGGTTCAAAGGCTATGGTAAGAGTTGACATGGATGCGCGAGGTGTGGGCTGAAGTGATTTTTCGAATGGTAGGTAAGGAAGCCGGCGGTTCATATACCAAGCTTCCCAGCCTATTCTTGAGGGCGCTGGCGCTGCTGGCGTCTGGGAAGTTAATTTTGAAACACTCTTCTTTGACTTCCTTCTGGGTTTCGCGCTAGAACCTGAAGTCTTTTCGCGAGGAACTTTGGGTGTGTATATTCGTAGCTGAGACTTCCTGGCCGTCAGTCGCTGCTTCAAATTCGCAATAAATTCAGCGAGCAAAGTCAAAAGCTCTGCGCAATTCTTACACAGCCTCACACCCAGTTTTGGTCTTGATACTCGGGGGTTGGGCGCCTCCGCAGGTCCTGATCTGACGTGTTCCTCATAAGCTTCATCACTCAAGATTGCAGACAAAGGCACGTCTCTGCACCTTGTTCGCATCGTCATGCTGGAGGCATTTTCTGATATGGTCTGATATTCGCTGGTTGGGAAGAACTCATGGCGATCGCTTCTAAATGACAGCTCTCTAGGTATCGGATTGGACTGCGTTGGAGATGTGGATACGCATGTACCGTTGGAGTCAGCATGATGTGGGTCTGCAGCGTCTTGTTGGAGTGGTGCGGAATTGCGCTGGAAGGGGATTGCGGGTGCCGGCATCGGGCTGTTCAGCCAAGCTTCAGCTTTGAGCTCCAATACACTGTCGCTATCTTTGATGGACAAGGAATCGCAGTTTGTAAGTGGCCTCTCAAGAACTGCCTCATGCCGTGACCGTCGCATTTTCAGGAAAAAGGGGTTACTAGTCTTTGATGGCGTCAGGCTGTCAGGGCTCTTATGCCGAGTATTGTATGGTGGTTTTGAGAACTCACCTGCATTAACTTCGCGGCGATCTACATTCATATGTTCAAAACCTGAAATCCAAGGCTCCGTCCTTAGGAACTCTTCTGCGGTACAAACATCCCATGGCTGAGGCCAGCGACTTGTTCTGAAGTTGCGGTCAACGGGCGAAGGAGGTGAAGTCGTTGTCTTTGTAGAAAGCGTACTGGAGTGACGGAATGTGCGAGGCTGGCAACCTGAGCATTGAGTTTGGCTAGCTAGATCGTTCCACTCGGATCGCCAGTCTTCGCCGTAATCGCATTCATGCTCCAGTTCTCTATCATGGCCAACACCACCCCTCAAACGCGAGTCCGGATGGTCACCAGTGCGGAAGCTTGTTTCGTTGCTATTACCGGGCCAGATGGTGTTCTCCGAAGATCTTCTAGCTCCGATTGGCGGCTTTGAAGCGTTGTCATTATACATAGGTGTAGAATCGCTCGTAACGTAGTCTTCCTCAATGAACATTGCTTGGCAATAGTCGCAGTGCTCTCGATGTTCGTCCAGCTGCATAGCCCAGTCTTCGCATTGAGCACCTCTTGTATACCTAAAACTTCTGGAGCGCTTGTCTTTGAACTGAGGATTCAGTCGCTTAGTATGTTGCCATTCAAAGCGGCTAATGCTATTCTCGCGCCGTTGAACGAATTTGGCAGGGAACATGAGACGGCCCAGTCGTATGCTCAAGGGACTTTTTGCCGTAATGATCGCCTCATTTTGAAGTACGCTAGGATCATTTGGTGACAGCGTATCATAAGATTTCGGGGGTAGGTCACCTGGTGCAGCAGGCACCTTGGGGTATTGTAGCGGGAACTCTCGGTTACCATGTGCATCATGATTCCAGTAATCAGAATCACTACCGCCACCACGTACGGGCAGCGCACATGGTTGCTCTACCTCGATCACACTAGAGACGCTCCCACTGCCGCTTCTAAGATGTACCCGACATGTACAGAACTTCGGCGAGCTGGGTTCAAGCTCGTCTTTGACTGCATCTCTGAGGAAATTAACCAAATCGCCAACATCTTGGTAGTAGTCTTGCTCTTCTTCGCTCGATGCGGCCCTGACCGAGGTACTGGTAGACAACTTCGATGCATTTAGATCGATCTCAAGTTTCGTTAGTAGCTTTCCATGAATATCCACATCCTCGTCATAAACCTCCCATGTAGCTATTTTCGTTTCGCGATCCATATGACAGTCACTAGGAACATCGCATATGCTGATAGTGACACGCCCATCGCTGATGTTCTCGGGCAGCTCTATGCCCATCTCTTCGCGGATCCTCATGATTTCCAAAACGCGCACGATATTCGGGTCATTGGAGAGCGCTTCTTCTCCGTCATCACTTTCGAGGATGCGACGTATCTCTGGCAGTGTCGACCTGTAAGGAAACTGGTATAGGTGCAGAGAGGCACCAGCAAAGACTACAGTGGATTTTCTTGGATAGAAGTCGAAGGAATTCGTTGTGATAGTGGCACACGTACGGGAGGGCTCGGAGAGGAATGCTTGTGGGGTCGTGTCCTTCGTAGATGTTGCCAAAGGTAGTAAATCTTCGTTACCGCCCCGTACCGTTACCAGGCCTGGTGATTCCTGAGGACCTTTACCAATCTGAATAACTTCTTCCTTGTCATCCGTGGATACGGTGTGAGATGTAGTAGTCTCGATTGGATACATCAAGCGGGTCTTGAGGACCAAGAGGTCTTCAGCAATTGCGTTCTTTTCTGCCAGGGCTGCCTCGAGCCGCTCTTCCATCTCCGCTCGTACATCCATCTGCCAGTGTAGATCCTGCATGAGACTGTTATTCATTTCTTTGAAATTTTTGAGTTCGCTTTCGAGAAAGAAATTGCGTGTTTGTAGTACGTTGGCCAGGGCAATCCAAAAATGTCCGCGGTGAGAGGGTGCAGAGTTTGCATCTACTGTCGCGGCCTCTTGTATGAGCGGCTCATAGATGCTACTAGGATCATTTGCTGAAGTCTCGTTCGCGAATGATGGGTCGGTTTCGTAGCCACTTCCGCCGCGAATTTGCGCGCCGGCTACCACTCTCGTGCGATTCGTGAGAAAGAGGTTGTTGTCGTTGACCATATACATGTCACCTTGATCTCCGTCAAAGTTCCAGTCTCCACGCGTCACAACATCCCAGCTTAGTCCCATAGTCTCCCACATACTGGCGATCGCACTCTTAAACACCTGCTTTGACTGTATCTTGTGGAACTCAACCTGTTGCCAGTGCCCTTTCCCACAAGCCTTTTGCTTCCAGGCTTCTCGTTTTACAACATCCTCAGTCGCTCCAGTGGGGAAGTAGTAGATAGTCGCGGCGCTGTGGAAAACAAGCTCGGGCTTTTGAGATCCAGAAATGACAAGACCTGGAGGTAGGTGTATAAGGATATAGTGGATGGTAAGATCGCCAATTTGTGCTGCGGCTCGCTGACAAAGTAAGTGTGGTGAAGCTGGGGTGAGAGTAGGGACGCTGCTGGTATCAGCATGCTCACGACTGCCATCGTGATCAACCTCCTCTTCTCCACTTCCACCACGCAAACTCGGTTCATCCTTTTCTTCCTCTTGGCGGTCTCTCGATCGAGAAACACTGTCCTGGTGCGCCGTCTCCATAAGTACATGAACCTGCTCTTCCAAACTGTCAACCTGCTGTCGCAATTCTTGGATGATCTCTTTATCGCCACGACTACTCTGGCTTCCATTCATACCCTCCTGTTGCGACGACGCGTCCACATGATCCCAGTTTGTATACCCACCATAATCATACACAAATTCTTCGTCTTCATCTCTCCCACCCATTCCGCCTCTTAATGTTGCATTCATATCTCCACCATCAAGCTCATATCCACGCTCACCGCACGTACAGTATGGCTCGTCGTCATTGTTATCATGATCATACTCTTCTTGCGCCTCATAGACAATGCCGAGTATGTCCGCCAAGATCATCTCTTGTTTATGCAACATCTCAACGAGTAGGTCGTGCCATTGATCTTGCGCATCGCATCGGCTTGTCAAGTCTCTCATGCCAATCTCTGTGGTATCTAGGCGATTCTGGAGTTGGAGGATAGCCATTCCATTTTCGATCTGTCGCAACGTATCTGGACAAGTTTGATGCGAACGTTTTTCTTCCGGACTAGGCGCATTGCTGCGCTCGAAGTGGCGTGACGGACCAGAAGCGTTCGTCTCAGTCATCGACTCGTGCGGAAGCCTGGTATCCAGTCGTTGCCGACCAACAGGTGCCCAATCGCTCCTTGCATTGTTTGCATTCCCTTCATTATAACCTTCCCGCCACAACCTCACCATGTCTTCCCAGTCCCCCTCAAAGTAGATTCCAGACGATTCGTTGCCGTCCGCCACGCACGCACCATCCAAGACTGCTTGCAGCGTGGCATTTAGGCCCCGTAGCTCCTCATGTAGATTTTCAAGGCGGCTTTCAAATTCCAATACCACCTCGCGCTCGGCATCGACTCGGCCGTCCAGGCAGTCCTTCAGCGTCTTGTTGTTCTCTCGCAACATCACGTTCTCCTCTCTCAACAACATGATCTCGTGAGCAGCCTCGTCGAGCTCCCCTTCGAGCACTTGTATCTGGGAAAATGCGAGGGCAAGATCGTGGCTTAGGTTTCTGATTTCCGTTTCGACAACATATGGATGAGCAAAAGAGTACACGCCTTGGCCTGCAGCGACATAATGCTCGTGGTGGTTATCGCCGTACGTGGAACGGAGTCGGCGGTAATAGTCCGCACCTGCTGTTCTCGATGATCGCGGCATCTCCATGAAAACTTCCAACAATGTTCGTATCCTGTGTCTCAAAGAAATGTGTGAAGCTTATTGGTTGCAGAAGGGTTTGAATTTAGCATATGATAATAAGTGGGGATGCTGCTATGGCAGTTGTCAAGAGGTCGAAATCGCTATCGTGACAAGAGAAGAGTTTAAGGTCAAATCGCTAAAACAGCGGGCTTTATGTAGAGAAGCAAGATAGGAAGACGTGACACTTGCTACAAGAAAGAGAATCTGCGTGAAGTTGTGTGGTACACGTGAAGCGGCCCGCAGGATTGAAGCGTCGGCGCCGTGACAGAAAAGCTGCATTTGATGCCCGTATGCTATTAGAAGAGGCGAAGGTGAATGCGCTTAGCACACAGCACGCGCGAGGACGAACGTATCGTCCTACACGTAGCGGACAATAGCTAACAAGGAGTCTACAACAGCTGCGAGTGTCTAATGACGTAGATAAAAAGGGCAGACAGTATCGCGAACGGATGAGAAGATGATACATTCGCCACGCTGTGCCTAGAAAACAATGTCTATGAAGCTTGACAACAGAGCCGCGAAGGGCTTGAACCATATCTGGGTATACCGTGCATGATGCCCTTGTAGTAATGCGCCGTACAGAAGAAGAAGAAGTGAAGCGCCAAAAGTCTAAAAGGAAACCTAAACCGAACTCGACCTGGCCTTCAGCCGTACAGGGACCGATAATCGCTAATGAACTGAACACGTTGAACCTCAGGCCGTGAAAAGGAAATCATGACTAGAAAGATTACAAGACTGTAAAGGGGAATCGTAGCACCGTGAAGTAGGTACCCCCACATGTTAATTGCCAAGCTCCATGTCGCAGGATAGCCGGGCGCCATCATGTCGCTGTGCCGAACGCCCAATGTCAAACACTTTTAGTTACCGACCCGTTCGGAAACACGACCGCGCTCAATCTGCTCCACGCGACCTTTGGAGTCTGTGCGCTTCATGCGAGATCGAGCCAACGCAGCTGCGGCTTCCTCGTGTTCCCTAGCCAAACGTCTGAGGGCAATTTTGGCTTCTTCTAGAGGTATGCTGTCGCTGCGCTTGGGACTGCTCTGTCTGGAAGGGCGTTGACTAGTCGGGTTTGAGGTAGGAGTCGGCGGTTGATAACGGAAGCTATTGGCCCGTGTGCTAGCAACGCTGAAGCCATTCTTGGTGCTACCAGGGCGGCTAGTGCGGTACTCGGTGCTTACTGACTCTTGGCTGCGGTTGTCGGCATCGCGAGCGGGAGAGTTCTTTCGGGATCGAACGTAGTTGGGATCGTCGCGCTTGATCATGTGACGGAATTGCTCTGTTTGCTGATCGAAGACCCAACGTTGATAGCCCGCAGCGCCGTTTGCGTTCCCAGGAATGAATGTGTCGTGTTCGTCCCAGCACTTGACCCAAGCTACGTCGTCAACCCGGAAGAAGCCTGCTTGTACTTCTTTACCTTTGTCGTTCTTGATCATGACAGTCTTCTTGCGCTTGTTGAACTCGGGTTCCAAGAAATAACGACCGATAGCATGGGAGTATTTCAGAGGAACAGGACGGTCCAGGGGGATGTACATTCTACCAGTTGATGACTTGATGTATGAACTGGGGTGGCTTTCTGGCTTGGAATCGTCTTTCAGAGTTGCGATCAGGAACCAGCCTCGTCCGGGGATACTCTCGTACTGGCCGGGTACTGGGCTGGACCACTCTTCAACGACCCTCGATGCCTGCTCTGCCTTATTTGACTTGAACCACTTGTGGGGCGCAAAGGCCTTTTGAGTGGCTATGAAGAGATTGGGTGCCATGTCGATGGTTTTCGAACAACGTTTGGATGGACTCGTTCGGGCACTGTCGTGATGTCCTCCGGGGACAGTCGGCAGTGGTGGTGGGTCTGGGATTCCGGGGGTGGCAAGTACTCCGGAAAGTTCTTGAAGCAAAGTCTGCCGTCCGGGTAAAGCACGTGGTTGTGATCGTCAGTGGCAAGGTTGGATGCTGCAAAATTCCGCTTGAACAGAGGCGAGTTCGTAGACGAGGTATGGAGATCCGGTACTGTAGGAACGTATTGTGAAAGTGACTAGCCGAAGACCGCCGGTCACTGCGTGCAGGTGCACGACTGTGTCGCTATGAGGAGCGAGGCAAGCCTTCGACGAGCGTGGTTCACTGAGTGCGCGTGAAAGGAGGAATCTCGAAACAAAGACGCTGGGGTGTCGAAATATTTAAAAGACGGGAGCTAATTTAGTGCTGGGTCTGAAAATCTTTCCCAGGCTGACGGAAGGAAATTGGGATGCGCTTCGACCTACCGTGGGTACAAGTGTGGACCATGTACCGGGGAGCAATAGTCAGACATCTAATGCCAATGCCAACGCGAGCACCGAGTCCTCGCACGCCGCCCCCGAGCGTATCGGACCCTCAGTAAAACGGGCCTCATCAGGAATTCGTCATGACACACTGCCTCAATCAGCTATTCTCAGCGGTACACGTTCCCGGTTCTTTCCTGTCGCGCGGCCACGGATCCGCTGATTGTCGTGGTGGCATGCCAGGCTCCGCATTCGTACCTCCCTCGCAGCAACCCACATGCGTTGATAGAGTGCAGCCCTGGGCCAATCACCTTGGGTGCCAGCCACTCGTGGACAGATAATGGCAGATAACGCGACGCACAAAGGCCGATTGTCCAGCAGTCGCCTGGGAGGGTGAAATTGCAAGGGCAGGCACAGACTGATGGCAGCTTCAGAGCGGTGTGATGCTGGGTTGAGGTGTGCGGATGCGAAAGGGACTGAGTGGACCGACAGGCGTTGCTAGATCGTGCGCGGAAGTTCCGTAAGCGTAGCCGGTAGCGAGGCGCTCAACATGTCCGCCGCCGATGGAACCAGCACCAAGAACCATGACAAAACAACGGACTCGGAGCCCCGGGTCGCCTGAAGCAACAAAGAGCAGTCTTCTAAGCAGCTTGGATGTTTCGACAACCTGCTGCGTGCGTCAAAGCAGAGTAAGCGCCAGCCTGCGCAATTCAACCTTCCTCAGATCGCCTTCCCCGTACTTGGAACATTCGCTCCGATTCTCCAACTTCGTGAAACATGCGATCTCCACACCCATGCCAGACAAGCAAATAGACAGCCGAAACCCTGATTACTACACCCTACGCCCACGCGACAAATACCAGCCTTTCTTTGAGCCCACGCGGCGCCTCACTTGCTTCTACGCGGCTGCACCCAGCGTACGTGCGACGGCGCCAAGAAGCAACCATGGCTCTTGCGCTGCCCCTTTGTGACTCGTACGGCTTTATTATCAGACTCCTTATCAAAGTGCGTCGAGTCCACCTCATCAATCTGATGGCGGTGAGTAGGCTGAGGAGTGGACATGGCTTGCGGCTGCGTATCTTCCGAGCAGGCGACGCGCTGAGTTGGTGTGCGCATGCGGAAACATGCCCGTCAGCTATGTTGATGCTTAGGCAGCTCAAGCAATTGACCAAAATAACCGGCAGTACTTCATCCAACAGGATCACGCATAGTGCTAGCATGCAGGTCCGATCTCGTTTGACGATGATGTAAGTACAAAGTCGGCACGAAGGTATGTTGGCTGCCGTCCGACCGCTTCTGTGACAAAACCCTAGCAATAGCGGAACATCGCATTCCATTCCAACATCGTGGATGCAGTACCATTAGCACAAAGGAGAACAGTTCGCAAGCCTGAGCAACAACCGGCGCGGCGTATTTTACCGCAAGCTCTGGTCGTGATCTCGATAGCAATGACCTGATATGTGGCATGTGAAGAGGATCAGCCTGATTGATGCGCATTCAATGCTTGGCGCAGAGTACATGCAGCACCCAAGGCACTCTACGGACGATACCGCAACACAAACGTTTGTTCTGCGCGGCCGGCAGTTGGGGTTGCGACATCAAGCAGCTCTGCACTCAGTGCACAATCAAAAAGCATCACACATCATACGTCATCTAGAGGATCCTGATTTTGGCTCGTTTTTTCATTGCATTCCTACTGCTCCTGTCCCTTGATATCTTTGGTCATTCCGCAGTAACATGTCGCAATGCTTTTTGAAGTGCATGCCTCTCCCCATACCGTATCGAAGGGTACTGTGAGCCGAAGAGGATGAAAAGCCTTCCCATTGAGATCATAACTAATCAGAGAGACGCCTTGTATGCCCCGCCCCAAAGTGAAAATCCGCACCCATCTACGACTCGGTCTTGACGCGGGCCTTGCCGTTGGTAACCTTGACACCGATCTGCTTCGCCCTGGCGATGATTTCGATGCGCTTTCGTGCTGATACAGCGTGGGCGATCCTGAAGAATTCATTAGTTTGTTGGATGGTGGAACGGAAGCTGGCGAACATACTCTGCGGCAAAGGTCTGGTTGTGCATGAGGAGGAGGTCAACATCGGCGACTACATCCATTAGCAGAATCCTGGGGTGTTATCGTACTCGATATGTAGCATACCGTTGTTGACGACGAAGGCCTTGTGGCCGCTGGGCATCATGTGGCGGGTCTTCCTGTTGGAGCCGTATCCGATCTGTGAGGCGTTCCGTCAGCCCTGGTCCATCAAGCATTCCGTGTCCGCTCAGTGTCCTCTCTGTGGCAAGATTCTTCCTCCGTCCGGGTGGTTGGTAGTCCGTACCTTGGGCATAGCAGCCTGGCCCTTGAACCGCCTGCGGACGCGGTTGTCGATACCCTTAGGCTTGCGCCATGAGGGGTCGACGCCTGTCCAGTGTCAGATGCCAATTCCTTTGTTCCCAGCTCTGGTATCTCTTACACATAAAGCGGTCCGACTGGTGGCGGTTGAAGCGCTTGCGGTCTGTAAACGGATACGTCAGTCGCGAGTTTTCGAGGTCATGGAGGCAGATTCGGCGTACGCTTCTTGACGATCGGGACATGCTTCTTAGCGGCGACCATCTGGGATATAGTCAGTATAGTAACAGCAGTCCACCCAGGTATACGCACTTTGACTGCTGTGTGGTTAGTTGTCGATGTGGTGTCGTCAAAAGTTGGCGTTGATGGATTTTGCGAAGGCGCCGCAGCTCAGTGGACACGCTAGTGGCACCTCGCTTACGCTGGCCCTAGCCACACCAAGAGCGCAGCGACCACCACCAACCTTCCTCGCCAAACAACAACAACAACAGACACGCGACAAACAATGGTCATGTGTAAATATTCGCGGCAGCAATGGAGATATCACTGAACCCGACTCAACGACCCGCGCGTATCTCATACTTAGCGGCATCTTGTTTCTTCGCCTGCTCTGCGCTGCTGTCGACGGTCAATTGTTCCCTGCGTAATCACCCAGCACAAACGAAAGAAGGTACATGGCGCACGGTGATGTATCATGCTGAGCTAGTCGGATTACTAGAAGATGCTCAAAGTGCCGTAAATCTGGCCATGGTATGGAATGCTCCCGTGAATCTCGTAACATGCATCAAGTAAACCCGCCTTCTGATGAGCAAAACGCCGGCAGCTGCTGTAGCAGCAAAGCATATCCTCTACCATAACTCCCCGCTAGTTTCATAGAAGGTCTTGAATCCAGATCAATAGTAGTCTTCGTCCATCGGCTGCTCCCCGATGTCACCCCGCTTCTCCTTCTTGACGAACTCGACAAAGTCGTCGATGACAGACGGCCATGAAGACTCCTCGTTCCAGAAGCTCATGGTCTCATCTTCCAGCGAGAGCTGCGCGAACTTGAGTGTCTCGTTCCACATGTCCTTGTTGACGCTCTTCTTCCACGACGTGTTGAGGAACTCAGTCCACCAGGTAAGCCACGGAGTGTTGGGACTTGACCACTGGACAGCGGACAAGGGCGAACTAAAGAGCAACTCCCAGTACACTGTAGCCATCTCGAGTGGAACAGCCCTCTGGTCCGCGGTCTTGGCAATCGTGAATGTGTACTTGTAAACCCGGGTGAAGACGTCTTTGTTGCCCGAGAGCTCGCTCTTAAGATTCCTGAGATACGCCTTCTGCTTGTCGATGGCATCGCAGCTGCATTTGAGTTAGCTTCTGAACAACTTAAAAAACGACCTGGAAAACTTTGTCACTTACTGGCGCTCCAACCAACCCTTGATGAAGCCATCGCGGCTCATCTCGCCCATGGTAGGGGCCTGGACGATTTCAAGAGCCGCCAACGCATCCAGGCCCTCGGCATCGACGCCAGTATCTTCGAAATACCGCATCGTGCCCTCTACTCCAACAATGTCTTTGTCCGGTGCACCAGCCTCTTGGTACCGATCGAACAGCTTGTTGAGATTGGTCTTCGCCGCAGATGAGCCTTGAGAACCGCCGCTGCTGTTGCTGCTGCTGTAGTAACTGCGTGACTTGTCAGTCTATGTCAATGTATTTCATGAGTTGCCAGTTAGCAGTTGTATACGAAAAGCTCGTTGTTAGTGACTTGTAACCCAGGCACATCCTAAAGGTACACGCGATACTGATAATTCTTCAGCGATATGGGATGATAGAGCTGCACAAACAGTTTCGTGGTTACGAACAGATGCACTGTATCGATGGGCGACGACGTGGCATCGCTCAGCACGGGCAGTTCCTCAGCCCCTGTCACCAAATTCATTCTTTCGATGATGATGTTGCAAAATCTGGCCCTGCCATCAGGTCCCAGACCATGGAAGAAGGCCAGACGCGCCAACTTCCATTTGTCGGAAATGGGTTCCGAGACCGTTTCGTGGTGAATCAATGGGAGAAGGCCGAAGAGCTTGGCGAATATACTCCGATTCGCAGGTGAAAGCGATTGGAGAAAAGTGTTGTAGTGTACGCCTACAGTTATGGGCAAATGCCAAATGGCCTGTTCGATTCTCGGCCACATTTGGGTTATCCCCATGGGCTCGTACCGAAGAGTCTCTTGTTGGCAGGAGCGCACATAGGAAGCATAGTCCATGGGAGCCATGCATTTTAAGACATGGCTCTCGAGAGCCCAGAGTGCAGCTTGTGCCGGGGTGTCTGAAGCTTGGGGACTGCGTCTTCCTGAGATGTCATGCTCGCTATAGTCGTTGCTGTAGCCCCCAGAGCCAATGTAGATGCCAGAACCACCGCGCAACGACACAGTCGGTTCTGAACCTAGGTGATGATCAGAGACGGAGGTGCGGAATGGAGGCACCGTAGTGGTGTGCAAGAGCACCAGTAAGTCCTCGAGTATAGTCTCCGGCAAGGATGTAGTTGGAAGGGGAGCCGTGATACTGCGCGAATGTTGTAGAACGACCGAGTCTGTTCCCAGACTGCCGTATCGGATACGACGTGCTAGCGCGAACTGACTTTCTGGTGCGTTGGTAACGTTGGTAAGACTGAGACTGCTGTGTAGCACGCGACTTAGGTGTTCCGCTTGGATCCGATGTTGCTCCGTTTGTAAACAGTCCAGACCCTCAACCAGGTGTGGTACGGAAAGCGGTCGAAATGCTCCCTTCACTGTGTAGATCTCGATACTGAACGCGGTGGAATCGGATGAAGCAGCAGTGTTGCCAGAAGAGACGCGTTCGTCGTCGGCGGTGTTGATTGGGCTGACTGTGGGTACTTGGGCGGGTGGGATGTCCCTCAGATGAGGAAGTCGACTTGAAAGGCTCATAGAGCCAGAGCTAGAGTATGAGCTGATGGAACTGATGCGTTCTCGTCTATTACGCCCGGCTAGCTGCCTGGCCCTATCCTGTGAGGAACCGAACATGACGGGCTGTGAAGCTAGCGCACGACTGATCTGATCTGACGAGTGGATGTGGCGTGTGTTTGGACGACTGCACCGAGGGAGGCTCGTCGAGGGCTTTGTTGTGGGTGAAGAAATGCCGCAGGAGAAGGCGTGCTATTATGCCAGCGCTTCGGACAGGACGAAGTAAGACCATGTTGGAATGCAAGTGCAGGAGCTTTACAATGGCGTTGTGTTCTTGGAAGTCACAGCTGCGTGTGCCCGCAGACCGCAGCTGCTTTGAACTCGATCTGTCACTATGACTTGCAGCTTCTTGCGCGACTTGAGCCCTCCTGCTTCCTTGTCTGTGATATGGTACTACCACAGTCCCCAGAGGAATTGTGTTGCCCCTTCCCAGATGTGTATCCGCAAGTATGTTCGTCCTGTGTTCAGGTGCCGGTCGGTTGGTCGGTTGGTCGGTCGATTGCTACGTCGATTCGTATGGATGGCGCGATGCGCACGTAGATATAACAAGCATGCAACAAATGTGTACTGCATATGTGAAAAACAAAAGAAAGGCTTTACTTACGCGTTCACGGCGTTCTGCGCATCCCAGCCATGGCTTTTAAGCGCCCTGACCGCGGTGGACTTATCAAGTTGAGTGAAGCTGATGAACTGCTGGATTGCAGCTTTCTGCTGAGCAGTGTATACTGTAGGCATCTTGTGTTAGCGCCTTGTGTCGAACTCCAGCTATCGATTGCGAGCTCGATGTGAGCTGCAGCGGCGGGGTGGAGGGGTGGAGGGCGCAAGTAGGGGCGCAGAATTTGGTGATAGGGCACGGGTGCAGTGTCGAGAGGCAATTAAGCGCGCGAAGTGAATATGCAGATTGAGTACGCGCCTTGGTCGCCGAACCGTGGTGGACAATAGACAGAGTTGGTGATACTTGGGCGAGCTGTGACGCAGCAATTGTAGGGCCGACCGACCCCGCCGAGTCGACTCAACCCTTGCTCGTGCACCCAAGCCCCGGAATTAAGGCCGCGGCGACAAGCTAGCCTTGCATCTTTCAAGCTTGACATGCATCGCCGCCAAACCAACGACTGATAATCATGAACGAAAGGAGGAAACCGTCGACTTACCTTCTTTGGCTTCTGGGGCTGCCTTTGTTCCTTTCTTGGGAGCCTTAGTCTTCTTTTCTGGACGGTCCATAGCGGCGGCGTTGTCTGTGTTTTTGCGCTTGGGCGGCATGGAGGATGCGGAGTGGTCTTCTTGAGTACCGTCGAGGGAGTCGCGTGGACGTTGAGGCGATTCAGCGTGGTGTTGAGGACTGTGATTTGGGATGCTCGGGACAGGCGAACTTTGCTCTGGTCGACGAAGAAGCTCGTGCGTCTCCTTGATACCTGTGCGCTTGCTTCTACAGCAAAGAAACCGACGGAACAGGTCGCAAAAGACCATCACAAGTGCTTGCTCGTTCTGGTAAATGATACTGACGTGCGCGGGTAGCTAGTGCCTGCCTAATACAGGCGCGGGCAAAATGCTCGCAGTGAATGTGCAAGGCCGAAAATCTACGGTGACCTTGGTACAGGTGCGGGTCCAACCAAGCGAAGGAGTGCATGCGCGAAGGAGGCGCGACGAAGTGACATGGAGTAACATCGGCTTGTCGACCTACTAGTCGCGGCATCATGTGTTCTCCGTCTGCCTAGGGCAAACATACACTTGACAATGGTAACTATGCTCCTACCATCCCAACTTCCGCGATCAGATCAATTACCAAGTGCAATTTGTCCAAGGAAAATACTAACCACGCACTAGAGGATAATAGATGACAATAGAGTAGAAGCGTACATTGCCTTAAGACTTGTTCATGTTGATTTTCAAACTAACGTAAACTGACTGCAGCGCACCAGCTTAGTATCTTCCTTAATTTTCTCCTAGTATACAGCCAGTGTACGTGACTGCCTCCTACACAATCGTCACGACCACTACACGCTTAGCTGCACCTGATGGTGATAGTTTTATGCCCATTGCCACGGGGGAACGCCAGACACCCCTCTGATGCTCCGTTCCAGGGTATACCTATGACAAATATCCAACGCCTATATCTTCACAATGTCAACACGCGTCCGTTCCCAGAGCTTGTGTGCGACTGCAACCCCTTTGTCCCTTTCTGCCTCACTGACCACAGCTGGTTGTATTATGACGCGGGCGTATGTCCCTGCCGCGCGCCGTTTAGCTAATGTGCCAGGATTGACGACCAGTACAGACTCCACGACCTGGTCAGGGTTAGCATATCGCTCTCAGGTGGGCGAGCCATCTTAGCATACCTTGACTGTGCCTTGAAGCACGCTGGGAGTTATGAGTATATCAGGCCGTACATTCAGCATTTCGCCCAATTTGAGATAGCTTGTATCGAGCATGGTGCCCAAGGGAAGAAAAGGGCTAGGTAACTGTTCCTCTTCCAGCTCTTCACCCTCTTTCCGCTCATTGTTCCCCGCCTCATTTTTCATGACCTTCTCCTCAATTGGCGCGGGCATGAACTGCTGCTTTTCTCTTCCAGTTGGCGGGAAAATGGGCAAGAAACTCCGCTGCTCGAGCACGTTTCGAGCGCACCGTTCATATATATTCGTACTTCGTGCCTTTCCGCCTGCCAGCTCTTCCCTACGTAGCATATCCAAGATGTCGATCGACGACATGCCCACGGTCATTTCATTCATGCTGACAGTCATTGGGTTCGTCACGCATTGAACCATCTTTCCTGCAGCGCCCAGGCTAAGCTCTTTTTTGATGAACTTGTCCTGCGGAAACGCAGCATGGTGGTGATGCGCGTCTCGTAAGCTGGGGACCAGAAGAACATTACATGTCGGTACGCGTTTGTTGAAGTTTTGGATGGCGCTCGAGACGTGGTGTCTGAACAGATCAGTCATGGTAGCCTGATCTGGGCTTACATTTGGCGGAGCATCGAAGTCTCCTGACCGGACTTGAGGATGTTCTGCGTCGAGGAATGGGCCCACTAAGATGATAGAGTCTGCATATGCTTCAGCAGCATTGTCAAGGAAGGTGTGCAATGGCGCAAAGTCGAGATTTTGGTCCGTCGTGTAAGGTCCGGACGCAATCATGATGGTGAGAGGTCGGACATTCTCCGGATCGGAATCGGGCGTGTCGAGATATCTCGCGTTGATGGCATCCAGTTCTTCGGGCCTTGTAGCAGGTGGATTCAGCAGTGGAAGTGATAGGACTTCCGACACTACGAATGAGTCACCCGAAGCGTTGGTACCACGCAGAGCAACAATCTGGCCGGGAAAGAAGTCATACGACGATAGCCCTTCTACGTTCAGCGGTACACGTCGGCCTGAGCCATGTCTTCGCGAGCCTTCAAGGACAAGTGATGCCGTGTTGAGTTTGCCCTCGCTTGTATCGCTTGCAATCCTTCCGACTGCAATGATCTCGCTCGGTGACGGGTAATTGGGGTTGCCGAAGGCGCTTTCGTCCAGACCCGTTGTGTCCCTAAGTAGGTCACGGAACTCGTCAATTCTATCATCCAAGACTTCAGACGCTTCAGAGAGCTTCATGGCCATAGTGCGGTATGAGAACTTGGACATGTCCGTATTCGCCTTGAGTTTGATGCGAGGTTCTTTCGGTTCTTCTGACGGCGGCTCGGGGATGGCAATTTCACTTTGCATGAACTGTTCGGTGATGTCGTTCGCGTTCGTACGGGAAGCAAAGTCAAAGACACTGAGTGGGCGTTAGAGCATGTCTGCGGTGTGCACCGGGTATACATACGGTCCACCTGGGGCTTCAGCCTTTGGTGTCATGAATCCTCCGGGCGAACTCATCTCGTGAGCCTTGGTGGCCTTGCTTCCCGGTGTCTGGAAGTTGGCTTTGCGCTTTACTGTACTGCCATTGACGCCGTTCGTTGTGCTTTGACGTGGGGTACCCGGCACGAGTCCTTCTAGTCTGCGTCCAGTCAATGCCAATGTCCTAGATGTCTTTCCACTGTTTAAACATACATATCATACATGTCCCCACCCTTTGCTCGTGGTGTTGGCTGGCCCCGCTTGACTTCGTTTCTCTGCTGGGCCTTCCCTCTGCTCTCGCGCTCCAATGCATCTTGTATCGTCTTTTTGAAGTCTCGTGCAGTCTTGACGTCCATCTTGCTCTCTTCTCCGCCCATCTTCATGTTGTATGCCTGCCATTTGAAATCCAGCTCCTCGGGCGAGATGGAATATAGCCGTGACATTGACTGCAGTTCAGCGAGAACATCGGCGGGGAATTGGTCATCCTTGGTGTCGCAGTAGCGCTCGAAGCGCTCGGTGAGTTCAGTCGTAAGATCGTCCATGTTGTATGTGACTGTGAGTATTCTGGGTGATGGCCGGGAGAGCACTTTGCGCGTAGGGACTCCGAAGACGCGTCGCGTGTCGGTGGGGCTAGCATGGAGGCGGCCTAGGGCGATCGACGTGCATGCAGGGACCGCCATGCTTCCCAAAAAGTTGCCCAAGGCTGATACCAACGCCAACACGGCAATAAGCACCTCACCCAAGACACTTGAACAAGAGCGGTAGACGAGATCAACTTGGGCTGATCAACCACACCCTGACCATAATGTCTGCAATTGGTCCCTTTGAGGAGCCTGCACCCGGCTGCAAACCCGCCGCTGCCCCTGCCTTGACCGCCGATCAGCAAACCAAATACGACGAGCTTCTTGCCGATGTCCGTGGATGGGAAACACTGCCCACCACCTCTGCAAAGACTGCCGAAACCTCACCAATCAGCGACGATGAGCGCATGTGGCTCACTCGCGAATGCCTCCTCCGATACCTGCGTGCCACCAAGTGGAACCTTCCCCAAGCGATACAACGCCTGCGCTCGACGCTGATATGGCGTCGTGAGTACGGCACCGACCGCTTCACTGCCGAATACATCTCAGAGGAGAACGAAACCGGCAAGCAGGTCTTGCTTGGTTTTGACAACGAGGGAAGGCCGTGTCTGTACCTGCTGCCGCAGAACCAGAACACCAAGGAGACACCCAAGCGGGTAGAGCACTTGGTCTACATGCTGGAGCGCACCATAGACTTGCACCCGCCTGGTCAGGAGAGTCTGGCACTGTTGATCGACTTCAGGAACACGGGAGCTGGTGGCACCCCTAGCATGGGCATCGCCAAACAGGTCCTTGACATCTTGCAGAACCACTACCCCGAGCGACTTGGTAGGGCGTTGCTCACACACCGTAAGCATCACTCCAATGCTCAATGTATGCACTGCTGACATCACAAATAGTCCCATGGTATGTCAATGCCTTCCTCAAGCTCATCAACCCCTTTATCGACCCCGTCACCAAGTCCAAGATCAAGCCGAACGAGCCCCTACCCAACCACGTGCCCACATCACAGCTCATGAAGGTCTCTGGCGGTGAAGTCGACTTCAAGTACGACCATTCCGTCTACTGGCCGGCGCTTGAGAAGATCTCCACGGAGCGGAGACAACAGAGGAAAGAGCGATGGGAGAAGGCTGGCAAGATCATAGGAGAGAGCGAGATCTACCTGTGGGGAGGAGACGAGCCTAGTCTTGGAAGCGGGACGGCAGAGAAGACTGCGGGCGAGGCTGCAGTGCCTGCAGCAGCTGAGAGTAGCAATACCATGTCCAACGGCGGAACAGAGCTTGTTGAGGGTGTCGAGAAGCTGGACATCAAGGAAGGCGAGCCAGTCAAGGCTGCTGCCTGAACGGTTGTTAATATTCTAGACTGTCGTTCTCCCTATAAGCACTGTATATAATAGACAAATCGACCTCGTCCAATAAGGCAACAGATGGCTGCGCATACCGAGAGCGTTTCCCTGCCAATTGAAACACATGCATCTGGGAAGCTCAGATTTGACTGACAAAGGGGCGGCGACAAGTGCATGCAGATGTGACGGAGCGCTGAAGGCGACCTGTCGATGGCGTAGTGTCAGACGCACGTGCGCGCAACCTTGCACTAAAAGTGCTCGGACATACAACGCGTCTCCCATCACCGTCCCCGCCTCAACTGTACCGATCGCGCCGCGCACTTCCACCTCCACCTCGCGAATCATCAACGAGCCAATCGCGCGCAAAAATCATGAGCGCGACCGAATCACCCTCGGGGGCTGACCAAGTCGCATCTTCGGCCGCGCGACGCAAATCAGGACGCGTATCCAAACGACCAGCCAGATTCGCGCCAGGCGCAAGTCCAACCGGCAGCACGAAGCGCAAGCGCGGCGATGACAACGACAGCGGAGTAGACGCGACGGAGCCGCCGTCTGACGATGAGTCTGAGGAAAGCAGCGAAGACGAGCCAGATGAGGAGGAACTGAAAGAGCGCAGGCGCAGGAACAGGGCCAAGGGTCCTGCGCGCAAGCCCGCATCCAAGAAGGCAAAGACAAACGGCGAGAGTGTTAGTCTCGCAATCCGGCCCGCCAGCAATGCGACCAAGAAGGCGTCTAAGCGGCCACGAAAGGCGCCTGTGCGCAAGAGCGCGCTGCCCGATGAGACCGAAGGACTATACTGTACGTGTGCGGGTACGTCGGGAACATACACAAACTAACGTACGGCAGCCGATGTGTTTGCCAGCGGAGACCGACTTGAGGATGTCACTGCACGATGGGTCGCGCGCTTCAACGAGCACGAAGCAAAAGCTGTGGCTGAGATCGTCAACCTGGTGCTGCAAGCTTCAGGCTGCGACCTGCGGATAAACGAAGATGACATAGCAGATCCAGACAACGCGCCAAACCGCGTAGCCGAGATTCAAGAAGAATTCCAGCAGGTAGGCTGCGGTACTTCGCACACCACTCTTCACTTGTTAACACATCACAGTACGAAGTCACAGAGTACCCGCTGATTGCCAAGGCCAAAGACGGCGGAGGCAATGCTTTTAGGAACGCGCTACAGGGCTTCTTCGTCACTCTCATACACACTGCTGCGCAGTCAGGCCTTCTGTATGAGAGCGCAGAGCTCATCGAGAACATCTCGGTCTGGCTGGGCGCCATGTCCTCGACCGGTAACCGTCCCTTCCGTCATACAAGCACGGTTGCTTCATTAGCCATCACGACCGCACTAGCCCAAGTTGCCGCCGATCTCGTCGAAAACACAGCAAAGCGCGTTCGTCAAAGCGAAGCGGAAGCCAAGAAGTCCAGAGTCAACAAAGCACGTGTCTCCGCGGCGGACCACGAGATAGAAGAATACAACCAGAAGCTAGAGTTTGTGGGGGGGCAGCTAGATGATTGGTTTGCCGCAGTCTATGTTCATCGTTATCGCGACGTGGATCCCAAAATCAGAGTGGACAGTGTGGTAGCGCTGGCAGACTGGATTATTGCATACCCCGACAAGTTCTTCGATGGCACGAAACTTCGCTACTTGGGTTGGGTTCTCTCAGATCCAAATCCATCGACGCGAATAGAGGTCCTCCATCAGCTCGCGCGGCTTTTCAAAGACGAAAGCAAATTGGCGGGGCTCAAGACCTTCACTGAACGCTTTCGTCCACGCATTGTCGAGATGGCCACCCACGACGCCGAGGTCAATGTGCGCGCTGCGGCCGTGGACTTGCTCGACATTCTTCGCGAGGCAGGCTTCTTGGAGCCTGATGATATCGATTCCGTCGGTAAACTCATCTTCGACTCCGACGCAAAGGTCCGCAAGGCTGTGGTAGGTTTCTTTGCTGAGAACGTCAACGCCGCATACGAGGCTACCGTAGAAGACATGGGAGGTGAAGAAGCTCTCAATGAAGCCTTGGCGCCAGCAGACGAAGAGGAAGAAGAATACCACAACCCCCGGCTCGAATGGCTGAAACTGAAATGCCTCGTCGATCAGCTGCTCTCATACGATGAAGACGAGGTCGAGCTCCCTTCACAGATCCAACGCATGTCTCCTGGCACAGAATTGGAGCTGGTTTCTCAAGGAATTGAGTCTCGCTGCTCGCTTGCGGCTCAAGCGCTGTACGACGTTGTTCCTGAAATCCGATCATGGGAGGTTGTAGCCGGCTATCTCCTCTACGACCATTCGCAGACTGCGCAGGATGAGAGCGAAGATCCCGAAATCATGCTTCGCCAAACATGTCGGCTCGAAGAGAAGCATGAGACTGTTCTCCTGGACATTCTGAGTGCTGTGGTTCGTATTCGGCTACAGCGCTTTGCAGAAATGCAGAAAGATAAGAAGAAGACCAAGACGCAGCGCGAGAGCGATAAGGAAGAGCAGTCAGACATGGCTCGACGACTCTCCTTGCTCATTCCTCAGCTTCTAAAGAAGTTTGGCGCTTTACCCGAAACTGCAGCATTGTGTCTTCGGTTGGAGCGTGAGCTGAACCTCGACGTATTTGAGGAGTTACGGCAGAATGCAGCTCTCACAACCCTGCTTGACGACATCAACAAACAGTTTCTCACTCATCACAACGAGCGCGTCCTTGGAGAAGCTATCAAGTCTATACTCCACGCTCAAGAGAGCGAAGAGTTACGAGAGACCGTGGATCTTAAGGTGCAAGCGCTTTGGGATGACCTGATCAACACGTTTGACGCTCTTCGGCGAGACAAGGATTTTTCCGTCCGAGGTAATCTTGATGAGAATGTTCTTCGTGGGGTATCCAATGTGGTACTGAAGATGTCGCAACTAGCAGTTGTCTCGAACGCTTCTGTGCTTGAACACATTGTTACTCCTGCAAAGTCGAAAGGCAAGGGGAAGAAAGCCGCCCTGAATACGCCACCTGTCGACTCAGTACTGCAGATAATCGAGCGCGGAATACTGGTCGAAGAGGCAGACGCAGAAATTGAGGAAGCAGACGACACTCTTGTCAGTCATGCAATCTACTTAATGTTCGGATACTTCATGTGGAAGTGCAAGGCTTGTACTATTCATGTCGAAGAAGGTACCAGCATGCCCGAAGACGAACTCATGGCCTTGGTCGAGCGAAGAGACACCTGCGTTACAGCACTCATGAGAATTATGGAGGGTCGAAAAGGCACATCCGAAGTACGACTCAACGCGACCAACCTTTTCCTAGACATTCACACCATGTTTTGTAACCTCAGGGTCAAGAAGGAAAGGATGGCGAAGACGCCCAAGAAGACGCAGGGTCGCGGTTCAAATGCAGCCAACGACGACTGGGAAGCTCTCTGTCGCGACATCGATGGTAACACTACGAAACTCATCCTCCAGATCCTTACGGCTTGGGAGAACTATATGGCCAAGCTCACCCACAAGCGCTTAGAAGAGCCGGACATTGACGATGAACCTATCGATCCGGACGACGATCCTGAGAGTGACGAAGAAGACGCTGCGGACGAGCATGGTGTATCCGAAAAGAAAGTCCGCGCTTTTCTGGTAGAAGATCAGTTCTGCCGGTTCGGCGCGCGCATTGTACAGGCAATACTTGCCGGGGCCCTCGACAGCGATGGTTCAGGCGCAGTGCGCAAGCGTCTCGAGCGTAACAGACTGAAGCTCACACCGACCTGGAGAGAGGTTGTGAATCATCTCGATGTCTCCAAACAGCGCAAAGTTACTAAAAAGATTTCAAAGTCGGCCAAATCGAATGCCACATCGGCTAAGAGCGCAGAAGTAGTTGAGCTAGACAGCGACGAAGAAGAAGAGCAGGAGCACGAACAGGAGGTCCCTGGTGACGGGATTGAGGATGAAGAGATGGCTGATGGCGATGCCGAGCAAACTAATGGTGTAGAGCCAATCGCGAACGGCGAGGAGGATGCCGAACTTAATGGGGACGAGGAGAGCATTCTCGGCGATTGAGTATGAACGGGGTTTTACAATTGTTTACTTAGTCTCTTCGAGGTCACTTTTACCGCACGTTAACGGCAAGGCACGTTCAGAGGCATGTCCTCTGATGTTTCTCATCGATTCGTTGCTGTATATCACGGCTGCAGCATGGCGCTCCGGCGTTACCATGATACCTAGGTAGGCTGTCCGGCCAATGCTACAATAGTTATGGCGCTTCCTCTGTACGTAGTTTCAAAGAACGATTTCTTTTCGCTTTGACACGATGAAATGGTTTAGAACAAAGATATCCATTTTGCAAACATGTGATGGCACGATAGCTTTTGACTGGCTGACTGGCTGGCTGAAGTTTCGACGAGCGCCGCTTCATGCTCCAGTGGCCACTGCGAACTCGCAAGTCTTGGGAATGCATGTCAGTGCTTCCAGCCCCATACCACGTGAATGGCGTGCATAACCTTAGCTTCCAAGGTTAAGCGACTCCGGAAGTCTGGAACCTCACCACCTCCCGTCCACGATCACCTCTGGTCCGGTGAGCCCGCAGAATGCGATGTCGCCTCCACAAGACTCTACTGATCCGAATGCGCACTTGGTATTTCTGATGCGTTTCCGTAATGGAGGCAGCGCCAATACGGGCGCTCCGCACCTGCCTCCGCACATGCAGTGCCAAGCCAGACGTCGTCGAGGAAGACCCAGCTGAGTCACTCTGGATCAGCCACGCTTTTACTTCATCGCTTTTCTCTTCCCGTTTCGTCTGCCGCAAGTCGGAGTTTTCGCATTCCTTCTCTCGCGTCTTGTCAGATCTGCAGGCTGTGAAGCTTAACAGACACCAAAATAGTCCATCATGCAGATCACACACTGCAAGCCTCATTCTTGGCACGACAAGCTCGTAGCTGAAGACTTTGCCAGCGCATGCAGTCAGCGGCTTCTTGACTTTGTATTCATGTTACTTCGCGCACTTTGCTTATGCTTCGCATCGCCTCTGATGTCTTCGCGCGTGCAACTCATCTTACGAACCTGGGAAATTCCAAAATTACTCCTTCTGTAGCCGTGGTGCAGGAAAACACAACCATCGTCAAGAGATGCGGCAATTTGTCGGCAGCGGATATTCCAGCTCATGTTGCTAGACCCCGATCCAAGCCGTCGGCGACCCAGATCTTGGTAGTCGTACATCTGGATACGAGAAGCTTTGTCTTGGCAGTTGTCAGCCGCTTCCGCACCCCAGGTTTCCCTATGTGAGTATGATAGCCCACGCAGGGCTGAAAAGGTCGAGATCAGTCTTTGGTAGCCTTGCGGCGACAAGACTAGCGGAGAGCTCATATGGAAGCTCTGAGAAAGAGAAAAAGATCCTTGTTCTTCTAGAAGAGGAAGTCCAGGCAGTACCCCGGCACCTTGAACTACACCGCAATAACCATCCTGTGGCACCCCGCCCCATCTCCCTACACTCTTGCCGAACGTCTTGGAAATATCGATGGCGGACGCCGTCGATATGTTACTGGTCACAAAGGCAGCTGTGATCTGGCTGGAGCATGAGGGAGGCTTCGACACCAGTACTCGCCTGATTATCTTCATGATACTGGGGCTGACAAGCTCTGAATGTTCATCTTAGTGCACTAGTACTATGTCGCCCTGTCCGACTTCGAGAAGCAAGACTACCTTGCAACTTGATGCGAGAAGGTAGCCTCCACCACACATATATAACCAGCTTGTCTCTCCACCTTGCTTTTATTCACACCAGACCTCCACAACAATTCCTCAAGTTGGACAATAAAAGATGTCTCGCGTATCAAAGCTCGCCTCTTTCCTTGTGCTGGCCTCAACTGGCCTAGCTCAACTTCCGAATATCCAGCCGTTCACCGTCACTGGATCTCTGGACGGGTACGTCTGTCACGTTCGGATATGATTTCGATGCTAACATAATGCAGTTGCAACGCTAAGAGCACAGAGTACAACTCTGGTGGCTCAATCTCAGTCAACAACTGGAATATTGAGGTGCCACAGAATCTCATCGTTCAGTTCCCCGTCGTGTGGGCACCGTTCCGGGAACTCTGCGATGCAGGAGCCCTTGGCTTCGAGACTACCGTCGTTGGTAACATTGTGAACGGTAAAGTCATTGCTGGACAGGTTTCGGTCGCTCAACGCTTCGGTCTCGAAGGCAGCCAAGGATACATCTCGGCAATCAACGACGACGGTACGCTTCAGATAGCCAGTGGTCCGACAGTCCGAATCAATGACCCTGATGGTCTGTTTGGACCCCAGTACAACTCCCAGAAATACTGGATCGCTGACACAGCTAATCCATCGGTAACCTCGTTCTCGGGATTCCCTATGTGTATTCCATACTCGGGAAATACCGCCAAGTGCTCAAGCTCGAATCGCCCCAACAGTCAATCATTCACGCCACAGGATCCACTCAGCATGGTTCCATTCAAAGTCGGCGACTTCATTGAGTACTCTGGCCTCAGGGTTGGTGGCAACGAAATCCTCGCTTCGTCGATCGTATGCATCAGCTTGCACATCACGACACAAGCTAGCGAGAGTGTACCCAACTACATTCGCGTTGAGGACTTCCTCATCGGCGTTCCTGACAACTCACCAAATGTTGAGTTTGCCGATATCCGCGTGATCGGTTTCCTGTCCAGCTGCTCCGGCGCTATAGTCACTATCAGTGCTATCGACGTCGACCCTTGTACGGGCAAGGAGACATATCGCCCCATCGGTACAACAACTCCAAAGCAAGAGACTCGTTGCAAATGGGAGGCTCGCATTGCTTCGCCAGCTCAAGCTCCCTTCACTCGAGAGTACCGTATTACGACCAACACACCAGTCAAGGAGACCAAGGACGGTATTAGAGCTGGTCAATTTATTGCAGCTGTTAGCGAATGGATCTTCCCTGAAGTTGATGTACCTGGAACCAACCCGCCAGCCTACCCTTTCAACGATATTCGGGGATTGATTCAGGGTGACTTCCTTGATGGTAAACAGTACGGTCCTCTATCGCCGTTCCCAGGTCCCACCCCACCACAGCCATCCAAGACCTGCAGTCCCGCAGACATCCCAGATCCTAACGCAACCCCGACCCCTTCGGCTACTCCTTCGCCCAACCCCAATCCAGATGAGCCATCGACACCACAGACCGCCCCGATTGCTTCTATCGCAAGCTTTGCATCTGCTCTGCGAGTTGGCACTAGTGTAACACTCTTGGGCTCCAACACGGCTGAGGGCCTCAAAGACACCGATCTGAACTTTAGCTGGACCAAAACCACGCCTGCCTCGGCAACCGTTAGTATCACCAACGCCAACAGCCCCAGCGCCACATTCCTCGCACCCAAAGTAACAACAGAGACATCCTTTACATTCGAACTCACCGTCACGTCCAAGACCGACGCCACAAAGACCAGCAAAGCAACCGTCACTGTCAAGGTCAACCCCACTTTGGCTGACACCGTCACTCTAGACACGTACACCTGGGAGTCGAAGCAATCCGGCAGCATCACTGCGACATGTACTTCGAATGTGAAGAACGGAGATAACAAGGCCATGACGCTGCTTCTCAACGGAACCACAAGGCGGACCATGGTAGCAGTGAGCGGAAGTCCAGGAAAATGGACTTATAGCGCAAGGGATACGGCGAGGCCGAACAACTTGAAGTGTGTGAGTGATTTGAAGGGAGAGAGTGCGGTGAGGCAGGGTACTGCGACAACGAGAAGGAGGAGAGCTGTTGTTTGGTAGAGGACCATTGATGTATATAATGATTTATGAATGGTTAATGAGTACGCGAACATTTGTTCTATGCGCACCTGCATGGCTGACTGTGAAGGCTGGACCGCTGTTCAGCCTTCGGCAGCGAGCTGAGGCTGATTGTCCCCCTCCTGTCTTACTTGCCAATCACGTCTTGATGCTTCCGCCCCCAAGTCTGAAAACCAGAAACTCCTCTGTACTCTGTACTTGGCATGCTTAAAAGGCAAAGCATGGCCGGCTGATGGTTTTGCGACATTGCGCTTGAGTTCTCCACGTCGTATCTCAGCCTTGTTAGCTATGGAATGCAAAAGTGAGAACATTGGAAACGCGATCCCTGATATCGCTGGTGTTGGGGTGAGTTCATATTCGACGCACATGACGCTTATTCTTACTCTTTTTGAGATCATTTTAGCCTTTGCAATCCTAGCGGGCCTGTCTTTGGTATTTGCAGGCATAGGCTACTGCGCAACTCTGCAAGCAAGATGGAAGCATTCTGACGCCTCGGGCGATTTTATTCTGGAAAATAACCGGGAAATGAAACGAATGCAGTTCTCCCGTTTACGAAGACTTGAGCTTACGGAAAAGGTCCTGGGGTCAATCAGCGAAGTTCAGCTTTTCAACGGTGATACATTCCCTGACGCTGCTGATATAGTTGCGCAGTCGCTAATTTGAGCAGGAATCGCGCTCCTCACTGCTGCAATGGTTCAGAGGAACAGCCTAAGCCTCTATCATCTCCATGTGGTTTACGACACTGTCAATTTCACAGCGTAAGTGAATGTCACCTCATATATCTCTCCCACTGAATGTCGGCAGCGTGTCATTCACAGCCTCGATATTTGTCTTCTGGCTTTCTCGAAAGATACAAAAGCAGAATGTCGACAATGGGCATCGGAACAATACTTGATGAGAACTTCTACAGATATGGCGTTTACTATGGATGAAGTTTCTTGTATCCAATGCGCTGTGGATCACCGTTTTTTGTATACTCTACCTGGTCTTTGCGGTCCTTTTCGGTATAGCTTTAGGAAGATGGGATGTCGATGAGTTTGGCTCTTGCTACCGCGACCGGGGTATCACAAGTCCAATCCAACCACATCCTGAGGCCGACCATATATACCTTAGTATCACCTGCTTGTACATGTTCAGCTTACTATAGGGAAGCCTCCTAGAATCGCATAAAACCACGCTTTTGGTTGGCACACTCTGGCCTCTCCCCATTCGAGAGATGTACAACGCATATATTGGCGGCATGGCTTTATACGAGAAGAAGGTCAACAGTGCGATCAGAGCTTTCTTCACCAAGTGCATCCGCCTCTCCTCGATTCTAACAAGAACCGAGATCAAGGACCTATCTTCAAGAATACCTATGCCTTCAATTTTCGATCTCCAAAACTCGTTAACAGAACTGGGGTTGGTGGATGTTCCCCTCGCTCAATTCTTGCTCCACTTGTATATGGCATGGGCGATTCGGTCTGCAAATCGTATGCATCTCCAGGGCAAATCCGAAGATACATGGGGATTTGGTCAAGTTGTAGCGCTGGTCCAAATCCTCCCAACACTAAAGGGATGTACGAAGGACTGCATGGGTAAGAATACCGCGATGTTCTTGCACATGTGATGATACAGACAGACTATCGGATAGAAGTAGCGAAATGGAGCCAAGAAAATGGCGAAGGCGGACGTATTCAAATGCGAGAAGCTTCGTCTGATAGAAGAGTTGCTATAGGAGGATGTGACCTTGAGAGCAGTGGACAATAATACTGTGCCTTAAGCAGAAGTTATGCCAGAGAACTACTCTCATGTCGCGAACGGAGGCAATGCCGAAATGATCTAGAGAGGAGATTAAGGGGTGAATGGAAACTTCGATAGCGTACATCTAGTCTCAATTGCGAACCGTGAAAGTGTTGCTGTCTTCAACACTTTTCACCGAGATACCTCTTCCAGCCGCATTGTTTATAGCAATGTGGAAATTGAGTGCTCTAGATGAGTCATAGCTGCTGGCACCGTCTCTCATAGTCATCCAGGAAATCGTGACTGCAATCAACGCTTCCCAACATTTTGCCTGACCTGGCGATGTGATCTACGGGTACCGGGCGGGAAGAACAGCCTCGAAACGATCTCAACCTTGGATCGCATACAGCTTTCGACAAAATGCGAAAGAATTGCCTTTTGCGGGTATCTCAGGGGCTGGCACGACGATCCAGGGTATTATTGCGGGAGCTTGTCTGGTGTCGATGCCTAGCGTGAACAACGAGACATGTCAACACCTCACGCCGTCTACTCGCTCACCCACGATATGGCGACTGCAATCAATGGATACTGTGGAATTCGCTCGATATGGTAGTATCGTGAGTTGCCGTTCCATGGGAGTCAGGTCGGCGACATGACTGCGAGATGCGTCATGCCGCTGTCGTACCGTGGAATTGTTGACATCGAGGCTGCAATGGCTCGTCTCTACACCCAGGTTTCGCAACAGTGATTAACGTTTTCTTCCAGACTTACTCTGTATGGAATGTTCGTGCCTGGGCGACTCTGAAAACTCTTTAAATTGAGTCAGTAGTGAACGGGCGATGTATGTCCTTGTATCGTGGTGCCGCGGGTGGTAGAGGACGATGGATGGCATCGGTCCTTTTTGCGACCGCGAAAAGTCCGCCGCAATCCATAGTTTTTCATCTAAACTGCCTTGTCAGGAAGTCGCCACGACAAATGGTGTGTAGTACAGAGACGGTATAGGAGTAGGTGGAGCTGCCCAGATGTCGAAGGATGCGGATTGCCACTGTGGCGGCCGTCATGCGTGGCTCAGAAGGCACCGGAACGCCAAACCGTCCTCTGTAATTTCCATGGATTTCTGCTATGATCGACGGATAATCTCAGAACCTGCTCAATCGGGAGACATGAAGTGGAATCTTTCTGACATACGGTACATCAGCTTAGTGAGTCGGTGGCCTTACGACACCAACGCTTGTGAGGTCGGACGTGAGAAGGGCTTGTCGGGGGGAGATTGATCACGGATGCATTGCCGTGCGGTGAAAACGTTCCCGAGCAAAAACAAATCATAAATCAAGTCGAGCTGTACGTAGACACAGGCTGCCATGACCTGCGCGTGGTGTAATTTTGAGTTTGCCGTATTCAGGTACGATGCCTTCCAGCTCTTCCGGGTGGACTGAGGACGCTGACGATAGCGTGTAGGTAACGGGGCTAGGGGGATCCGCCGGCACCACGCACAGTGGGACTGTGACGGCGAAGGAGCCGGTGTGGGTCTCCGATGTGATGGTGATAACAGTGCGATGGTGTCTGTGACAGCGATTTTGTTGTGGGCCTATTTCGGAAATGCTTGCGGGTGCGGGATCGGCCATGTTGGAGTTCGCAAGACAAGACGAAAAGCGATGGCGAGCGTACTGCGTATCCGGACCGGAGTGAGGCACGCCCGAGAATAGACAGGCAGCAGGCTTTCCAAGGTTCTCTCGTGGCAAGTGTGGCGTTTCGAGAGCATGACCAGAACTGAGCCACAGAAACGTGGTCAAGAGGAGCACAGTGCGAGCAGCGCCTGAGGGCCTCTGGGCGTCCTGAAACGAAGCCTCTCCTCTCCCACCCCTTCCTGATGAGCACCATGACCCAATGAGCCTCTTCTCGTCCTTTATTATCGAGCCCGTTGTGCGCCATGCACGCCGCTTCTCAGGCGTTGGCGAGGCGAGCCCTGACGGAGCTCGGTCTCTAGCATGTGATAATCACGACTCTGCGTCTGCAGCAGTGCCACGGCGGGAGCACGAAACGGACGCGGGCTCCGTGAGCGCACATGAAAGAAACATTACCGAAGCACCTCAAGGCCGACCCACAGCCCTGGGCGACCGGTTCCGACGTTATTCGTCTTTCTCGCAGCGGCCTCGCAGCGCTGTTGTTGACGAGGAGCAGAGCCATGACGATCTGCCAATAGACACCCCAGTCGACATGTCCGCGAATCCATCCCGCACCTTCGCTGATCAGTTCCGTCACCTCGAGGTCGACTCATCACGCTCGACTGCGCCGTCGCCCACGTCGCTCCGTCCCGTCAGCACACCTAGCCAGCATGCCAGCGCCATGGCAGAGCTGCTCCCCGCTGACGATGGCATGGCCCATCTGCGCGAGCGCATCCACGAGATCCGGGCCCTGAACATATCCGACCAGGAGCGCGCCCGCATGATACACAACCTCATGACGGAGAAGTACAACCACATGCGCCCGACGTCCCCCGCGAGCTTCATATCACACGACCGCCCCTTTACCCCTACCTCCGGCCAGTCCCTCTTCTCCGATGTCCATGCATCGTCGCCCTATTCGTCCACCACGGACGTGACCCCCGAGATCTCGTACAATCTTCGCGAGGGCGACACAAACCCCACGTATCGGCCCCATCACGACCACAACGGCGCAGAGCACGGCGAAGACGACGAGGAGGACAGCGCCGAGGGGGAGCTTGTGCTCGGCTGCCAGCATTACAAGCGCAACGTCAAAGTGCAATGCTTCGAATGTCGCCGCTGGTACACGTGCCGACACTGCCACGATGCAGTCGAGGACCATAACCTGAACAGGAAGCTGACACAAAACATGCTGTGCATGGCATGCGGTACGCCCCAACCAGCTGCCGAGGTGTGCAAGAACTGTGAGACGGAAGCTGCATGCTACTATTGTGACATTTGTAAGCTCTGGGATAACAACAGCAAGAAGAAGATCTACCACTGCCCAGACTGTGGTATCTGTCGGCGAGGAGAAGGTCTGGGCAAAGACTTCTATCACTGCAAGGTATGATCCTACCGAGACACAGTTTGGACTAGACTGATTGTGTGCAGAGTTGCAATGTTTGCATATCCATCTCTCACGCGACCTCGCACAAGTGCCTCCCGCGTGCCACCGAGGGCGACTGTCCAATCTGCGGCGACCATCTCTTCACTTCGTCTACTGCTGTCGTGTCAATGCCTTGTGGCCATTACCTCCACAAAGGATGCTACAACCTCTACATGCAGACTGCGTACAAATGCCCAATTTGCAAAAAGAGTGCCGTGTGTATGGACCTGCAGTGGCAGAAGTTGACTCAAGCAATCGAGGGTCAGCCCATGCCAGAGCAGTTCGCAAACACACGGGCAGTCGTCCAGTGTAACGACTGTTCAGCAAAATCTTCTGTCAAATATCACTGGCTTGGAAACCAATGTGGTACATGCGATTCGTACAACACCAACGAGCTTCGCATCCTGAACGGGCCAGAGAGTGAAGAAGCCGCCAATGCGATACTAGACGCCGACCTTGATTCAGGCTCGAGATCACCTGTGAGCGTCAGCTCGCCCTCCTCCCAAGCACCACTTCGTTCGCCTCGGTACTATTTCCAACCAGATGAGCCCGAAGAGACATGGCTACCAGGTCAGCTGCCCTCTTTCCCTTTCCAGATGCCGCAGTTTCCTGGCAGACCGCGCATGCCGCAGATGCCTCAGATGCCACAATTCCCATCTTTGCCGCAGTTCCCACCGCTGCCAAACTTCCCACAGATACCGCAATTTCCACAAATGCCTCAGATGCCTCAAATGCCTGATGCTGCACAGCAAATGCTTGAACGCGTGCGCCAATCCTTCGATGCCTATCTCAACCCGACGGGAGATATTCGAGCTGAAGATGTGCCCTTCATCGATCTCAGCAACGACGACCGCGCCGAACGTCCCGCGACAGATGGTACCACGGTTAAGGAACCGTCACTCCCGCAGTACGTTCTGGAGCGGTTCACGCAGTCCCTCGTGCGCTTTAGGAACGATCTGAATCCAGCCTTGTTCGAAGACATCCCGACTTTGGATCTTTCGCAAGATCGAGATCCTGAAGGATTGCAGTTCTGGGGTGAAGATGGTGGGCAGCTGAATCGCTTCGTTGCGGGCGATGAAGACGATGAGGACGACGAAGACGAGGAGAGTAGCAGCGATGAAAGCGAACACCATGAAGATGAAGACGACGAGGAGGATGATCTTGATGTTACCAAAAAGCGTGGTAAGGAATTCGATCTGCCAGGTCATGTGTAAAGAGTTTGCGGAGCGGGCGTTCTGGGAAGGCAAAAGGATGTTCTACGAATATTGCTTTGGTGCGGGCCTGGATAACAACCTAAAAATTCATGAAAAGCCATTTTATAAAGCAACAGATACCCAAATAGAATCACCTTGTTATTGAGCCGAATTCATCATGGTGTTCCACCTGCGCAGTTACTTGCACAAGCCGAGTCTCACGTGCGCTGTGGTCTGTGCTCCACGCGCTAAGTAAGCGGGCACACCGGTGGCATCCGATTTTCGAATATCGTGACTTTTCGACCTTCAAGCCTCAAACTCGCATCTTCATCGTCGACTAACCCCCGCAGCGAGAACCTCTGTCAGTATGTATTGCGCTCCCAGTCTGTGTTCAAATCAGTCGGTCTGCGCAATAGTCGCGAATTGCAATCCCAGCTGATTGCTGTAATGAGCATTTGCTAACACATTCTCCCTCCAGAAATGGCCCCAACCACCAAGTCCGCCGGCAAGAAGTCTGCCGGAAAGACCGGCCGCAGCGCCATCGCCGACGTCGTCGCCCGCGAATACACCATCCACCTCCACAAGCGCGTATGTTGATTCAGTTTTGTGAAGTCCACAGATGGTCTCGCGGAACCTTGGGTGGGTGCTCGACCAGGCCGATCACACTGGCTTGAGCACCCGCCTTTGGCCACGCAGGCATCGGGCGGAAGACTGAAGAGAACATAAGGCTAATAAATTGGGTATAGGTTCATGGCGTCAGCTTCAAGAAGAGGGCCCCCAGGGCTGTCAAGGAGATCCGCGCTTTCGCTAAGCAGGCTATGGTATGTGCTATGGAAGAACCAACGGCCCATGGTACGCGCGCTCCGTGCGAGTGCTGCCATGGCGTCGTCATTCGTACGAACACAGGCTAATTATCTCGATGTAGGGCACCAACGACGTCCGCCTAGACCCCCAGCTCAACAAGAAGGTCTGGGAGTCCGGTATCAAGGGCGTTCCTTTCCGTCTTCGTGTCCGCATCTCCCGTAAGCGTAACGACGAGGAGGGCGCCAAGGAGAAGCTCTACTCCTACGTCCAGGCCGTCAACGTCAAGGACCCCAAGGGTCTCCACACCCAGATTGTTGAGGATGCTTAGAGGAATCCAGCGAACAGGGGGAAAGGATGATGTGCATATCAAAAGCATGGCGTTCCGGCGGGTTGTGCTGAGTAGCTACTATGGATATCTAGAGCGAAAGGCTGGTGAAATGATACCTCAATGACAGATCATGCCCCGCCACGTTTGATGGACTTTGAGACTTGAACCACTCTAATTACCTGTTGCCAAAATGAGTGACACATTTGAAATGAAATGCTTGCGATGGACAACAACTTGACCAGAACTAACAGCAATGCAGACATTGCCTAGGTATTGCCAGCGTCGCTCACTACTGTGCGCATAAGTTACACTGAATACTAAAATAGTGAGCTGCCAGATCATGTTCGGCTTCTCGCGCTTTTCCAGAGAGTACCTTGCATAAGCGGCTCTACGTAGCTCGGCCCTGGGGGGAGCCGAACATTAGGTGCTTACCAAAGCCTTGGATACTGTTCGGCGTGTTAGTTGCTCCAATACTTCCTTAGCGAAGGATATGAATAAAGCATATAGAGCGACTTCCAATGTGTAATTTGTATATTCTCGACCTTCATCAAACCATCTCCTGTTGACGTCAGACACTCGTCTTACCCCACGCCAGCCACCAACTTCCATAGCCCAATCATCGCACCACATAACCATACCTCGTCCTGAAGAACGACCGCAAACATGGTAAACTTCAACATAGCTTACACCTCCCGCATCAATCCCGCCGGTGCAACTCCGCTACTCAACCAAACACAGATCTGGGCTGGCCTACAGCGTAAGATACGTTTTGCCCAAGAATTTGTCCCCGTGATTGAGAGTTGTGAGGTGCTCGAAGACAAAGATGGTGTGGTAACACGGGATGTCAAGTTCAAGAAGGGAATGGGGCCCAAGGATCAAGCCAAGGAAGTTGTCAGGAGCTACTGGCCGAGTTGGGTAAGTAATGATTGCTTGGGGAGTCGGGATTTTGGCTGACGGCATCTCAAGGTCGATTTTGAACAAGAGGACGGAACGCATATCCGCAATATCGTCTCCGATGGCCCGTCTGGCGAGATCGAGGACTTGAACATGACGTACATGTTTGAGTTCAGCGTGCCGCATGTGCAGGAGGGAACTCCGGAGGCGGAGAAGGAGATTCAGAAGTTCAAAGGTGTAAGTACCTGTTTTTTTTCGTCGAGAACGCACGTATGAGATGTGTTGGGGTTCGATCAGTCGCTAATGAGGTGACAGATGGCAAAAAAAGCCGTTGAGAGTAGTATTGATGCTATTCGGGAAATGGTTAAGGATGGGAGGATCTAGAAGTAAAGCCGCTTGTGAGCTCATGCAAAGGCTGCATCTGCACCTGGGCAATCAGACGATTCCGCATACTCAACAATCATCTTTGACCATCACTAGCTAGCAAACGATAGTGTTGTGCAAAGGCGGTGTCGGCTGCATCGTGCAATCCCCATATACACGACGAAACAACGAAGTTCTCAGTCCAACTCTTCCGCGCCAGAGCCAATCCGGCCACTTCTCTGTTGCTCTGAGTGCCAAATGATTGCGCCATACCCATTAAACCTGGCCACATACGTTTTTCGACAAACTCATCTAACAGGCCCTCCTGTTCACATAGCGCCATCATCAGCACGTTGTATATGAACCTGGAAGACAACAAGATACTGTATGTTTCCGCTGCCTGTCTCAACCCAGCATTGGCGATGATCGGTCGAGTCCTAGAGCCGTGAAGTGAGTCATCTAAATCGTGACCAGAATTGAGGTAATCGAGACCTCTCATGAGGATGCGTCGCATATCGCTGAGTACATGGAAGTCTGAAGTTTGGTCACACGCTCGGCAGGTACACTCAAAGCGTAGTATGCGGTGACGGTCGTCCCTAGTTCTGTAATCAAAGTCTGGTTCGTAACAAAAGAGTATCTCAGCGCCGACTTCGATGTCACAAGTGGCGTAGCTGGCCATGCAATCGCCAGCTTGAGCCTCATCCGTGATCTTGCAGTTGGGAAGGCAAGAATGGTTGAATCGGGAATGCAGTAAGAAGAAGCCATGCGCCATGCCCGGCTGTGCGGGAATGGCGAAAGAGTTTTCTGCAAAAGCCCTCTCCTTGGTTGGGAAGATGCCGTCGCCATTGTCTCTAACAATGAGGAACTGAGATTTCTCTTTCTTCGATAGTGCGTAGTAGGCGGCGAGCACATCTCTTTCCTCGATCATCCGATGGGGTTTCCGGATAACGAAGAGAGGCTTTTCTTGTAGGATCGTTTCTCCTTTGGAGATCTTTCGCGTGGCAAATGCACCCCATCCTTTTCCAGGTGAGACGCCGAGTCTGAAAGGAGCATCACCGGGAACTTGGATGCTATGGTAGGCTGGTGGGGAGATTAGGTCGTGCTCATCAGTGGGAATATAGGTTGACTTACGATGGCCAGTGTTGTTTTGATGCGAATTCATGGCTCTTGATCTTTTCTCAGCTCTGTATTGCCGAAAGATGTGAGTTTCAGTTGGCATAAGTAGCCGGATGAAATTCGTTAATGGTATGCTGTGCCACAAGCGAATCTGCTGCATAACAATTGGCAGCCACCAAACATCGAGTACTCACAGAGCGACTCCTTCTCACGAAGGGTATTAATATTGCTCTGGTGAGTTCGCAGATTGTGGTAGTAGGTGATGCGAATCGTTGATGACGTGTTTCAGGTCATGAGAGCCCGAGAGTATTGACCGTATATTTATCTGAGCATGGTTCGAAGGTTCCATGTTTCTACGCGCCCAACGCACCTGGCGCTTAGAAGCAGTTGGGAAGTTGACCATGGCCTTGCAGAACAGTTGCGCAGTGGCATGGTGGCTTTGTAACGAACGGGCGGCAAGCCATACATTATGCAAGGAGCCCCTTGATGGATCACCGCACTGTTTCTGGCTCTTTGACGCTGCAATCGGATAGGTTTTTCACAGGCCTCCTAACATCTTACGTCGAGGTATGGTTGAAGCTCACGAATGTGCGGAGATGTTTTCATAATAATGTAGGCTGCGGACCTGTTTAGTTATTTCCTAGATTGACGTGAAGCAGAGGTTTGGCTTCTGGCGCAAATGCAAGCCATTAGATATCTCGCATATATCCGACGGGGTGCCTAGTAAGGCGTCTAGCTGTGACCAAGCTGTCCATTAGTCTGATTGAGACAAGCATCGGCCACTTGGTCGCTCGATGTGATCATGGCAAACGTGTGTTTTGATGATAACAAGAACACTAAGCTGTGTGTAGCCGTATAGCATCTCCAGACACTGCTTTGTTCGGGTGGAAAGGTTGCCATGATAGCAGACCTCGGGAGTGGATAGTCTTAAGGCAATCACAGCAAGGCAACTGCATGCATCGACAGTCCGACGCAGGTGGTGATGTGAGGAGGAAGGATGCAGGGTATCAGTCGATCGCAGGTGGAGCCCTTAGCACTAGTGCTTGTCTCTCGGCACGGGTAGTTCCAGTTGACAAACGCGACTTCACCGCGAAACCCGTGCCTCTGCTACAACGTCAGCGCCTCCAACCCCCACCACTGCGAGCAGCCAGGAAGACGGTCCCAATTCAGGTCTAGCAACGCCCGACTACCAGTAGCCTCCGTAGCAGCTCGGCGAGCGTGCCCGCACAAGCTCTCCGCCGCCCAAGTGCCCCACCTTTGTCTGTACACAACTTCTGCAAGGCAGCGAACCTTTGCGCGCCCGCCCTCCGCCCACGCCCCACGCACCCATACGCAACCGCTGCAAGAAGCTGAGCCGACGCTTGAGCTTCTTGGGGATATAGACGATATCAAAAGGCTGATTGGGAGCTTTTCCCGCCGCGCTGCAGCCCGCCATGTCTCTGTCAATTGAGGAGCTCGACGCCACAGTGCGCGCCTTCTACGAGGGCCGCGGTGAGCAAGTATGTATCTATGCGACCCCGAACAAGGCGTATCACGAGAACACGGCTAACATGTCGCCCACTGTAGCAAAAGCAAGCTCAGGCCACGCTGAACCAGGTAGGCGTCTGCACTCACCATCGCCATAGGCTTGTCCCACTAACTCTCGCATAGTTCAAAGAGAACCCAGACGCATGGCTTCTTGTTGATAAGATCCTATCCGATGCGCAGTACCCGCAGACGAAGTGTGAGTGCAGCGACTTTCTCCAAGGCTGGTGGTCCTTGTTGCTAATAGTCGGCAGATCTCGGTCTCCAAGTTCTCGACAATGTCATCATGACTAGATGGAAGGTGCTGCCTCGAGACCAGTGTCAAGGTATGCTATAGAACACTCCGTCTTCCGAGCGCTGCTAACCTAGTCAGGTATCCGAAACTTCATCGTGAACTTGATCATCTCGCTATCCAACAACGACGAAAGCCTCCGCAACGAGCGCACTCTCCTAAACAAGCTCAACCTCGTCCTCGTCTCCGTCCTGAAGCAGGAGTGGCCCCACAACTGGCCGACCTTCATCAACGAGATCATATCGTCATGCCACAGCAGCTTGGGAATATGCGAGAACAACATGGTCATCCTGCGACTTTTGTCTGAGGAAGTCTTTGACTACTCGGAGGAGCAGATGACTTCGGTTAAGCGAAAGGAACTGAAGCAGAGCATGTGTGACGAGTTCACGGCCATCTACCAGCTCTGCTCAGAGGTCCTGCGGACAGCCACCGAAGCGTCTCTGATCAAGGCGACACTCGAAACCTTATTGCGCTTCCTCAACTGGATTCCTCTCGGTTACATTTTCGAGACACCTCCAAGCGGCCAGAGCCTGATTGAAACCCTGCGAAGCCGATTCCTCGAGGTCCCCGATTTCCGCAACATCACTCTAAAGTGCTTGACTGAAATCGCCGGTCTACACACAGAGCCCGCGTACGACGATAAGCTCGTTTCCATGTTTACCGAGACATTGACGGCCATCTCGAAAATCATACCTCTCTCATTGGACCTGAAGAGCACATACTCTTCAAGCAATGGTCGGGACCAGGAATTTGTTCTGAATCTGGCGCTCTTCTTGACCAACTTCTTCACCATGCATCTGAATGTTATCGAAAACCTAATGAACAGGGACTTCCTCACGCATGGTCACTTCTACCTTATTCGCATAAGCCAGATCGACGACCGCGAGGTGTTCAAGATCTGCTTGGAATACTGGACCAAGCTCGTCTCGGAGCTGTACGATGAGATGCAGGCGCTTCCCATCACGGACATGAATCCTCTCCTGAACATGGGCATTCCCGGTAACGGCGGTCGCGAGTTGGCGAACTACCCTCTACGGAAGAATAAGTACACTGAGATTCTGTCCAACCTCCGAACAGTCATGATTGAGAAGATGGTGAGGCCCGAGGAAGTCCTCATCGTCGAGAACGATGAGGGTGAGATCGTCCGTGAATTCGTCAAGGAGAGCGACACGATTCAGCTGTACAAGTCCACTCGCGAGTGTCTCGTCTTCCTTACCCACTTGGACGTTAACGACACCGAGCAAATCATGTCGGAGAAGCTGGCCCGCCAAGTCGACGGCTCAGAGTGGTCATGGGCTAACTGCAACACCCTCTGCTGGGCTATCGGTTCCATCTCTGGTGCTATGAACGAGGAGACAGAGAAGCGCTTCTTGGTCACTGTGATCAAGGATCTACTTGGTCTGACAGAGATGAAGCGAGGAAAGGACAACAAAGCTGTGGTCGCCAGTAACATTATGTATATTGTCGGTCAATATCCTCGATTCCTCAAGGCCCACTGGAAGTTCCTCAAGACAGTCGTCAACAAGTTGTTCGAGTTCATGCACGAGACCCACGAGGGGGTACAGGACATGGCCTGCGATACGTTCATCAAAATCGCGAACAAGTGTCGACGACACTTTGTTGCTCTTCAGCCCGGAGAGACCGAGCCCTTCATCGACGAGATCGTTCGTAATCTGAGGAAGATCACCGCCGACCTATCACCCCAGCAAGTGCACACCTTCTACGAAGCTTGCGGTTACATGATCAGCGCGCAAGGACAGAAGAGCATGCAGGAGCGCCTGATCGCGGATTTGATGTCCTTGCCAAACTCGGCATGGGACAACATTATCGCCCAAGCTAACCAAAACCCCGCTTGCCTCCAAGATTCAGAAGTCATCAAGATTGTTGGTAACATCATGAAGACTAATGTCGCAGCATGTGGTTCAATTGGACCCTACTTTTACCCTCAGATCGGCCGAATATACTTCGACATGCTGACAATGTACCGCGCGAGCTCACAGCTCATCGACGAAGCTGTCCAGCGAGAGGGTAACGTCGCAACAAAGATGCCCAAGGTCCGCGGCCTCCGCACGATCAAGAAGGAGATTCTGAAACTTATCAACACATACGTTGAGAAGGCCGACGACCTGGAGATGATCCACAATAACATTGTGCCGAAGCTGCTAGAAGCTGTCTTGATCGACTACAAGAACAATGTTCCCGATGCTCGTGAGGCCGAAGTGTTGAATGTCATGACGACTATTATCAACAAGCTACATGTACGTTGGCGACCCAATCTGAGCAAGCACATGGTCGGACTCGCTCAGCCACTATCAAATTATATGCTAACTCTCTCGCAGAGCATGATGGAGGACCAGATCATCAACATCATGGACAGTGTCTTCGAATGCACCTTGGACATGATCAACAAGGACTTCTCGGAATACCCAGAACACCGTGTCGAATTCTTCAAGCTTCTACGCACCATCAACCTCCGCTGCTTCCCGGCTCTGCTGCGACTCGATGCACGATCATTCAAATTTGTTATTGACTCCTGCATGTGGGCAAGCAAGCACGACAACCGTGAGGTTGAGAGCGCCGGTCTGTCCATGTGCTTCGAGCTAGTTTCCAACATGTCCGAAACAGATCAGCAAACCTGCAACTCCTTCTTCCAAACATTCTTCACGACCATTCTTCAGGATGTCTTCTTCGTGGTTACTGATAGCGATCACAAAGCCGGTTTCAAGTCTCAGTCGATGCTGCTGGCTAAGATGTTCTGGCTGGTCGACTCAGAGAAGCTGCAGGGCCCCATCTACACGTCGCCAGATATGGCACCGGCAGGCACCCCGAACCGAGAATTCCTGCGGAACTTTGTCGGCAACCTGCTGGCGACTGCCTTCCCCAACCTCCAAACGTAAGTCATATCCGTTAGCTTCTATGGCCCATACTAATCAATTCCAGTGCCCAAATTGCGTCCTTCATTGACGGACTGTTTGCGACCAACTCCGACCTGAACCGTTTCAAGGTCATTCTGCGCGACTTCCTGATCTCCCTGAAGGAGTTCTCTGGCGACAATGCTGAGTTGTTTGCCGAGGAGCGTGAGCAGGCTGCAAAGACGGCGAAGGAGCAAGAGCGTGAACGGGCTATGAAGGTCGGTGGTCTGCTGAAGCCTTCGGAGATGGATGATGATGAGTTGTGACTTGACGTCGAGTTGAACGCAAATGTGGCTACGCGCACGCCCTATGATAGCGCACGCGCTCCCCACGAGTCTGCAGAAAACAAACGCTCCGACGATTCTCTCGATGGATGGGACATGTATGGCTTGTGAGTATCAGTGGTTATGGTGACTGAAGAGACGGTCGCGACGCTGCGTTGGATGGGAAGCGTAGAGTCAGTCGTGTCAGCAAACTTTCGAGGGTGGGAAAATGGGTTTGTTTTGGTCTAATACCCTATAGACCTGTTACTTGTTCATTTGATACATGATTACCTAGCTGGCATGGACGTAGCCTGGCTTGGCTTACAGACTAAAACTGATGGGAGCGCTGTAGGCGTCAAGGCAACGTCGTATTGAGAGTGGAGAATAAAGCTCAAGTACTGAATCATCTGCCACTTGTGTTTCCTTGATCCTACCTTGCGGCTATTGCGCATGTATGTATAAGCTCACTCCCTGGCCGTCCCACTGTAGGTTGGATGAGATAGGTAGCATCATGCAGCATGACGAGACCTGCCGGAATACATGGCTCTATCGCGGAGAATCTTGCCTTCCCGTGTGTATAGGCCCACATGCCGATGAGCCTCGATGGTGGCTGTAGCAGTGCGCGCGCGAACATGATGAGCGGCGTGTGCATCGGCAGTCGCGATCAGGTGCCCGGAGATGCAATCCTCTGCGGTTGAGCTACCTAGCTGAGCTAGCAGGAGCCACAGCTGGCCCTTACGTAACCCGGCGGCGCTGCCACTACAACGTCGGACGCGTCAATTGGGCAATGTGATCCTTCGCAGCATCCTAGCAGCGCGACGGGACTACTGTTCGGCAGAATATCCGCATGCGACACCTCCCCTGCCCCATGCGACCGACCTAACGACATCCGTCCGTGAGCAGTTGCTGAACCTCGTGGTGGCTATACGCCCGCTGATTCGCCCGCGCTCTACAGTTGTGTGAACGACATGGGCATTCTGCCCTTCTGCCAGCGTATGCACAGTCTCGTGGCCCTCCTACAATGAGTCGTCGGTGGCGTTCTCAAGCCAGGCCCCTCGTTCGGCATCTTCCAAATACCTGCTAACACGCTGTCTGACCAGGCCCAAGCGAGTCTATGGATTGAGCGGTCCACTGCAGGGTACCGCCAGCTGCATCGTGAGTGACTTCACTTCTCGACTTCCCTACCAACCACGCACGGCCGTTCTTTGGGCTGTCACCAGCAAGCCTCATCACGTCTTGAACTTTTCTCCTGTCTCCACTGCCGAATAGGCGGCGGCTGAAGACCACACACCTGACATCGTGGGTCCTGTATGGTTGGATCTGCAACGCAACCCGGAACTGGATCCATCGCTTGTGCATCGTATGCGCATCGCCACGAGGCTTCGAGAACAACACTTTTGAGTTTCTTCTTGCTACTAGCATCATGTACGTCTCCCCATCATATGGAGACCCTTCAACCCCGCCCACTGGTGGTTTTGAAAAAGACAGCCTCATCGACGAGTCTTGCTTCCAAAGAAGACACTACTGACTCAGCACGCTTTTCCAGGAAGTTCGGAAAGCACATCCAGAAACGGCAACTGGAAATCCCAGAATACGCCGCCAGCTTTGTCGACTACAAAGCACTCAAGAAGGTCCTTATGATTTCCCTGCTATCAAGACTTCACTGATCATGAAATCCGTAGCTCATCAAGAAACTTAGCGCTACCCCAGTAATACCACCACAGAGTGAGGGTTTTCAACATGAATCCCTGGATCCGCAATCGTCTTTGCAGGCAAACAAGGCCACCTTCTTCTTCCGAGTGGTAGGTCTTTGTGCCAGCGATGTATACATAGATTCTTACATGATGTGCAGGAACGTGAGCTTGAAAAGGTCAACACGTTCTACCTACAGAAAGAGGCAGAGGTATGTTCTACTCATTGTGTGTGGGGTGCTCAGTGCTCACCGTCGTCGCAGTTGCGTCTGCGCTTGACCACGCTTCTCGATAAAAAGAGAGTCATGCAACAACACCCGCAGTCTGTCTCCAAAACATCCTCGCGGTATGTTGCCCTCGAGGAGGGGCTAAAGCAGTTTAGCATGGATCTGAACAAACTTGAGGTGATTGGTCCGTACGCACTCGGGGCTGCCCCCACTAACCTGACTTAGCAATTTGTGGAAGTGAACGAAACAGCCTTCTCAAAGATCCTCAAGAAGGTTTGATGCACCCACCCTCTATCGCCAACGGCCTGCTAACCTTCTCTAGTGGGATAAAACATCCAAAGTCTGTTACCATCATCTGCGCATCACCGACGTTGGCTGACTTCATACCAGTCAAGGGAAAAGCAGCTTTACCTCGCGCGCGCCGTCGAAGTCCAACCATGCTTCAATCGAGAGGTCATCAGCACGCTGTCCGACCAAGCAACCCAGGCCCTCCTTGATTTCTCAGGATGGGCTGAAGGCGAGGGAGTACAAGCACCTCATCCCACAGCCGAACCGCGCGTCTCCGAACCTGCTTTCGAAGCGAAACTCGAGCTCGACAACCAATTTGTGCAAGCCATCAACACCGCCAACCAAGGCAAGATAGAAGAATGCCTCGCTCGTCTATCGACCCTCCCCGATGCACGCGACCACATCTCTAGGGCATTTCTCAGCACCGTTGCCGAAGCGCCAGAGTCTGCACTGAGGATTCTGCTCGATTCGAATCTTGTAAATCTCCAACAAGAGGATGAGATCAACGAGCGAAATTGTCTCCATAAGTCGGCCATCAGCGGAAGGATCGAGGTGCTCAAACTTGGCCTGTCGAGTAACGTCGATGTGCACGCGACGGATGTGTACGGCAGGATACCATTGCATTACGCCTGTATGCATGGGTACGTGGAGCTGGTGCAGGAACTCATAAACGCTGCCCCAGAAACAGTGAATTTCCGTGATCAGGACAGCTTCACGCCCTTGATACATGCAATCGTGCACTCAAAGCTCGCTTGCGTGGAGATACTCCTTTCGCGAGGTGCTGATCTTACGCGTCTGGGTCCTGGAGAGCATGTGCCGCTCAATCTCGCATGCCAATATGCATCGCTAGAGATCCTGGAACTCCTTTTACAAAGGTCAGCTGAGCTGCTTTCGGATGCGGAAGGGCTGTTCCCTCAACACTTAGTAGCACGATCGGGCAAGACGCCAGAAGCCTTGCTAATGCTACGAAAATACGGCGCCGACCTCGACCAGCCAGACAAACTCTATCAATGGACCCCACTCTTTCACGCTGCGAGCGAGGGCCATGTGGAGTGTCTTAAGACGCTCCTTCAATGTCAAGTCGACGTAGACATTGTGGATGAGAAGGGTCTTTCTGCCATGTACTACGCGACATGGGAAGGGCATCTAGAGTGCATGCAACTACTTGCTTCTGTTGGACGCGGTGTTGGGCTCATGACACAGAAACAGGCCTCGCCTCAAATATCCTCTCAGCTGTCCAGCTCAATGCCTACAGCCATGGATATCGAAGGCGACCCTGACGGAATTCCCGAGTTCATCCTACCACCACCGATCATACCCTTCCGAAGATATGGCCACAACTTCCTGGACACAAAGACGTTTGTAGTCATCAGCTTCGAGAAGGTGGGCAAAGATGCCATTCGATTCTATGACGAATCGAAGTACCCTGCTGCAAGGCTTACCATCTCTTCGAAGAGCTCCGATCTTATACCACGCAATATCCTGCTACCCATACAAGATGAGTTCAAGGTCATCTCTTTCCAGATCGAGAATCTTGATACCTTCTCTATCGACTTCGACGTGTACCCTACAATAGGATCAAAGGTTATCGCTCGCAGCGTGGCTTCTTCAAAGGTATTTACAGAGCGTTCGAAAAGCACAGGCCGATGGCATCTCGAACTGTTTGACCCAAGACTACGGGCCATTGGCAGAGTCACATTCGACTTCCAGGTGGTCAAGCCGTTTCACGGGATTCCGCTCGAGATTACACACTTTGCAACCTACTGGAAGGCAACTAGTCAACTGGACTCACAGCCTCATACACTCATTACGGGTTCCAGCCTGTCTGGTGAATATGTACGCCTTTTCGTACAACTGACTGCAGATGGCATACCGGTGCTACACCCGAGATGGAAGGTCAACCATCACGGACTCGAAGTTCCGGTGAACATCCTTACTTATGCGCAGTTCGCTGCGATTGGCGTCGCGCAAACCACCATGGCCGCAGACCAGCTTGCCGCGGAACTCGGTAACACTGGTTCAGTCAACATACCAAACATCTATCAGATCATGGCATCTTCGTTCATTACGCTGAAAGATGCCTTGTCAGCACTCCCGGCTCACATTCATGTGGAGCTGCACGTCCTCTTCCCATCCCGGCTCGAAGAAGAACGTCTCAAGCTTGGCCCCACGCACGACATGAACACTTTCGCGGACAAGATCTTAACCGTAGTCTTTGAACATGCACGCCAATTGAGGGAGCAAGGTGCGGGCGAGATAGATGGAACGTTGAGAAGTGTGCTCTTTAGCTCCTTCAACCAGGACATATGCACGGTCATCAATTGGAAACAGCCCAACTGTGAGTTCAACCGTAGACATAGCAATGCAACAGATGCTGACATTGAGACAGACCCAGTTCTCCTCTGCAACGAGCTCGGAGCCGATACTTCGCCGTCGCCCACCGGAAATACAAACATCATCCAAAGCAGCGGTCGTACAACGACATCTGTGAAGGAGGCTGTGCAGATCGCGAGGGATAACAATTTCATGGGCCTGATATGCAGTTCACGTTTACTGGTGAGAAGAATACGACTTATCACACAGTTTAGTTCTAACAAAGACTAGTCACTCGCTCCTGCCCTGATCGAATCGATCAAAACAGCCGGCCTGGTCCTCGTTACAGACATCACCGATTCCCCAGCCGAAGATGCCGCCCAACCTGCGAGCCTCCATGTGGCAAATCCGCGTCGACAGAACACACCCGACGGAGTCGATGGCTATCTTAAGGGCAACGGCGTACTCTGCTTCAACGAAACGGTCGACATGTAGACAGGGGTATGGGATAATGGTCAATTTGATGGATCGGTTGTGGGCACATGGGTGGACGGATAATGGTGATGCAGTTCAGGCGTTGCGCGATAGACTGGATATCCTGCGGGGGAATTACTATACCAGTAGATGGAAGAGTGTCATGATGCTTTCATTACAGACTAGTAGTTGTTGGACGGCGTCTTTTATCCGGTGCAGCTGGCTATGGATGCCGAGTATGTTTTAGAGGCGCGCGTTATGTCAGCAAATTCGATATTAAAATGAGAATGTTCAGGCAGTACCGTGTCTAGGCAAGGTGGTTTAGCATGTGATGGGGCTCGGCAGTGTCGATGGTCGCCGCAAACCGACAAGGGTGTGGCGTCCGGGTTCCGATTCGCGCGACGCCTCCATCGAAAAATGTCGAACGACGACATTTGTGGCTAGAAGTGCATGGTCTGTTGCCGCTTGTCGTTCGCTTTCGCGTCTCTGTCTGAGCGCCCTACTCTCTGCAGTGCTTGGACCCTGCCGACCATGGTATACACATAATGTCGACTCTGAGCGCCCTTACTAGTCCGCTCCTCCGAAGGACGTGGACTTGCCGAGCTTGTATACGGTCCCAACGGCACACGACACCGCAGCGACAAGGCCTATGGCAACAACGAAACACGTCGGCCGGGCACAATGCATTCTCGAGCCGGCTCGGAGCGCAGAGCACGTTTGCAAGCCAAGCCAGTGAGGCAGCCAATGTCACGGCCAAAGCTGCGGGGAGGGGCTCCAAGGGCAGCAAGAGAAGAAGACGACTGCTGATAACGGGAGGTGGCATTGCAATCGGCGCAGCTTTCGTAACAGTAAACGACGATGCCAAACACGCCTATGTGGCGGCGCAGCGCAGCTACAGGGTGGTTGCGACGCTGGTTCTCAACATCAGAGAGTATGTACCTGCGTTCCAGTTGAACACTCGATAGCTGATGTACCTGTTCGTGCAGCTATCGCGACATACTCAAGCGTGACGACGAGCCCGACTACAACGAGCAACTCAAAGCCTGCCACCTCCGATGTGCCAAACGTACCCTCCGCACGCTGGAGAAGAACGGCTCCATTTTCATAAAGCTGGGACAACATCTGAGCAGCATGAACTACCTCTTGCCGAACGAATGGTGCGATACCTTTATACCGCTACAAGACCAATGCCCGATATCCTCCTTCGAATCCATACAGGACATGTGCCGGCGAGACACGGGTCTTGAGCTCTCAGACTTCTTCTCAGAGTTCGAGGAACGGCCCATAGGCGCGGCCTCGCTGGCTCAAGTGCACCGCGCAACGGTCCGCGAGACTGGTCAGAAGGTTGCCGTCAAGGTACAACATCCTGCGCTGGACGAATGGGCCAAACTCGATTTAGCCTTGACGAGCTTCTCTTTCACAACACTCAAGCGCTGGTTCCCTGAATACGATCTGACCTGGCTATCCGACGAAATGCAACTTTCTCTCCCACAAGAACTCGATTTCGCCCTTGAAGGGAAGAACGCTATGCGCGCACGAGAGTACTTCTCCCACGTCCGCGATGTGCCCGTCGTCATACCTAAAGTGCTCTGGGCCAAGCGCCGACTGCTGGTCATGGAATACGTATCCGGATTTCGGACAGACGACCTCAAGAGCTTGGATGAACACGGCATCGATAGAGATGAAGTGTCGGCAGCACTGGCGAGGATATTCAACGAGATGATCTTTGGCAGAGATGCACCACTCCATTGCGACCCTCACGGCGGAAACATCGCTATACGGCACAACCCCGCTCGCGGAGGCAAGTCCAACTTCGATGTTATATTATACGACCACGGTCTCTATCGCGACATCCCCTTGCCCTTGCGACGCAACTATGCGAAGCTCTGGCTCGCCGTCTTGGACGCTGATGAAGCTGGTATGCGCAAGTACGCCTATCAGGTAGCAGGCATCAAAGAAGAGCATTTCCCCCTATTCGCGTCGGCAATTACCGGAAGAGACTATACCGTGCTGGCGAAGAAGGAGAGTGGCACAGGTGGTGTGATGACAAGCAGGACAAGTGAAGAAAAGAAAGTCATCGGAGACGCTTTGGGAGAAGGGTTGATTGAGAGCCTGATTGAGCTGCTTGGACAAGTTCCGAGGGTGATTCTGTTAATCTTGAAGACGAACGATCTGAGTAAGTTTTGCCTCTATTGTCAACCAGGCTTCCATACTGACTATTCTTCAAGCGCGCTCTTTAGACGAAGGTCTACATACACGCCAAGGTCCCATGCGCACTTTTCTCATTCTAGCACGCTATGCTAGTCGTACGGTTTATGAAGAGAGTCTGGACAATCTCAACGGCAGCGTGCTTTGGCCGAGCAACTTCCTTAGCTGGCTGGGTGCGTGGACGAGACACATGAGAGTCGAAATGCAATTGAGTGGATACGAGACGTACCTCAAACTACGGGCGCTGCTGGGTATGCAGAAGATTGAGATTGGGGACAGCTTTAGAGAGTAAGACGATGAGCGTGGAGTCTGGCGCGATAGAGATTAGATTTCAGCACATGGTTGCATTGGAGCAGGTGGATGGTTCGCACTAGAAGTTAGGAGTACAGCGAAAAAAGTTCATTTTGAAAATCGATAGTCATATTTAGCTGGGCACATGTGGCGGTGCAGTGTTACAGTGAACTGACGGCAGTACCCACTTGGCCTAAGCATACGGCAATACGGAACACAAGGAACGTGACTTGAGCTGGACCATACGTGTGTGGCGGTGCCGTTTACCCAGGAATGTGTGGCCTTGCATGTGGCTCGCGTCCAGACGAATAATAATCTTGGTGTTTGACTGATGGTTTACAGTGTGTTTGAGGCGAGGTCGGCTGATGGGGTGCAGCTGAGGCGTTGCAGCGAGCGCCCAGAAGCTCGAAACATGTACGGACGAGACCAAGAAAACGTAGATGGGACTGGAGACGGTTCCAGCACCATGTGCGGCAGCAGAGATGTGGTCGAGGGATACGCTGTTATTTCGGTCCATGGATATGCTAGCGGGCGGTGACAGGGAGGTCGGGCGGGTTTGACATCATCGAAGCCATGCGTCTCGAGGGCAAACGCAATCCTGACAGACACGCGTTCGCCATCCGGACAAGGTGTATACCTACCACGAGTCTTGCTGCTACTATTTTGAACCCAATTCTCAGTGCAAACCGTATATCGTGAGTCGGTTCGGCTCTAGTCGTCAGCAGTTCGCATCGGTCTCCAACAGGCGGGGCAAGCGCCAAGGCAGCACAAGGCATCCTCGCGCAATCGCATCGTTCACGCCGCAGCGCTCGACGCCCTAGCCGCCGGGCGTGGACAGCAGAGACAGAGGCGGGACAGAGACTGGCAGCGATTGCAAAGGATTGTATAAGCGACTGCCATCGCAGGCCGGGAGCTCTTCGGGCAGGACCGTGAACGCCCGCCGCATTTGCCTTTGTAGACTGCGCACGGTTGCTCTGGCACCGCACAGCCTCCTCCAGTACCTGTTACTGTACCCTCGTCGCTCCGCCGCAGCCCAGAGACGCCATACATCACCACCACGACGGCCCACCGCGAAGAGGCCCCCGCAACCACCGCGAGCTCTGAGAGCCGCCCCTCGACCGCCGTCTCCAGCTCCCGCCCTCCCGCACCTGCGCGCCCTGCTGGTGCGCTGCATATCCGCGCATCATGGACGGCGCCGGCCAGCCCAACCTGCGCATCACCAGTACGTCTGACCTGCCCTCCACCACGGGCTCCCGTGGCCCTCGAGACGACACTGACACGATGCAGTCATCGCCGCCGATGGGCTCTACAAGCGCGATGTGTTCCGTATGTATGCCCCCAGCCAGGCCCATGGCGTCACGTCGCTCATGCATGTGCTGCAGGATTTCCGGACCCCTTCGCCGTAGCCACAATCAATGGCGAGCAGACGCGCACCACGAGCGTCATCAAGAAGACGCTGAACCCCTACTGGAACGAGAGCTTCGACATGTACGCTGCCCCGGGCCCTCGCCTCCCACGCTTTCGCATGACGCTAACACACGACACAGGAAAGTCAACGAAGAGAGCGTCCTCGCGGTTCAGATCTTTGACCAGAAGAAGTTCAAGAAGAAGGACCAGGGCTTCTTGGGCGTCATCAATGTCCGCATAGGGTCGGTAATAGACCTCGACGCGGGCGGGGATGGTAGGCCTGATCCATGCCGGTCCTGCACCATATGCTAACAACCCCTCAGAGATGCTCACGCGCGATCTCAAAAAGTCAAACGACAACATGGTCGTCCACGGCAAGCTTATCCTCAACCTCTCTACTAACCTCACCGCGCCCATCAGCCAAGGCGGCCAGAACGCCACCCGCCCGACCGCATCCCCGCACCCATCCGTAAACGGGGCTCCTGCTGGCGCTGTGCCAACTCCACAACAGTCGACGACGAACCTCCACCCTCCTGACGTATACCCCGGTCAGCAACGACCATCAGTCGCCGGTCAACCCGCTGCCCAGCGTCTCAGCCAAGCGCCTCCAGCAGGCACGCCAACCGGCCCGCCCGCTGGACCTGGTCCCGCGCCGAACGCAGCAAACCCAGCCCGCAACAGCGGCGGTGCATACAGCGCTTTCGAGGATGCGCAAGGAAGGCTGCCAAACGGCTGGGAGCGCCGTGAGGATCATCTAGGGCGAACCTACTACGTCGACCACAACACCAGGCAAACCACCTGGATCAGGCCAGGTGCAGGCTTCAACGAAGCAGACCAGCGCCGAGATGTAGCTGCGCAGACCCAACAGGAGCGCATGCGACATCAGAACCGCATGTTGCCCGAAGACCGAACGGGAGCCAACTCACCCACCCTCACCGAGCGCCAGCCATCGCCGCCCGCTGGCTCAGCCAACGCTGCAAGCATGATGGCGACTGGAGCGACTACTGCTGGAACAGGAGAGCTCCCGTCTGGTTGGGAGCAGCGGCACACCCCCGAGGGCCGGCCGTACTTTGTTGATCACAACACGCGAACGACAACATGGGTGGATCCTCGCCGACAACAGTACATTAGGATGTACGGTGGTCAGGCCGCCAACGGAAGCACAATCCAACAACAGCCCGTCTCTCAACTTGGGCCGCTGCCGTCCGGATGGGAAATGCGCCTCACCAACACAGCCAGAGTATACTTTGTGGACCACAACACCAAGACCACCACCTGGGACGATCCGAGATTGCCTTCCTCGCTGGACCAGAACGTACCGCAGTACAAGCGCGACTTCCGTCGCAAACTCATCTACTTCCGATCGCAACCTGCACTGCGCATTGTCAGTGGCCAATGCCACGTCAAGGTGCGCCGAACGCATATTTTCGAAGACTCCTACCACGAGATTATGCGCCAGAGTGCTGCCGATCTGAAGAAGCGACTAATGATCAAGTTCGATGGTGAAGACGGTCTGGATTACGGAGGTCTTTCTCGAGAATTCTTCTTCCTACTTTCCCACGAGATGTTCAACCCCTTCTACTGCTTGTTCGAATACTCTGCGCACGACAACTACACTCTCCAGATCAACCCTCATTCCGGCATTAACCCTGAACATTTGAATTACTTCAAGTTCATTGGTCGTGTTGTTGGTCTGGCCATCTTCCACCGCCGGTTCTTGGATGCCTTCTTTATCGGAGCTTTCTACAAGATGATCTTGAGGAAGAAGGTCGCCCTCCAGGATATGGAGGGTGTGGATGCGGACTTCCATCGCAACTTGGAATGGATGCTGTAAGTTCAAGATCTAGTTTCAAGTCGACATGAGCTAACAACTGTAGGAACAATGATATCACAGACGCTTTAGAGCTGACCTTTGCAACCGACGACGAACGTTTCGGTGAAACCGTCAGCATCGAGCTGAAGCCCGGAGGTGATGACATTGAGGTGACTAACGAAAACAAACACGAATACGTTGAGTATGTAGCCCTGATCTTGCTCTGCTCCAGAGTCGTGCTAACCGCTTAGGCTCATTACCGAATGGCGCATTCAGAAACGAGTTGAAGAGCAATTCCAGGCTTTTATCACGGGATTCCACGAGCTCATCCCTGCGGATCTTGTGAACGTCTTTGACGAACGTGAGCTCGAACTGCTCATCGGTGGTATTGCGGATATTGATGTCGACGACTGGAAGAAGCACACCGATTACCGTGGCTACACCGAAAACGACGAGGTCATCCAAAACTTCTGGAAGTGCATTCGCAGTTGGGACGCCGAGCAGAAGTCCCGTCTCCTACAATTTGCTACTGGTACATCGCGTATTCCCGTCAACGGATTCAAGGATCTACAAGGTAGTGATGGACCGAGAAGATTCACGATTGAGAAGGCTGGTGAGCCCAACCAATTGCCAAAATCACATACATGGTACGACACCCATCCAAGTCAATACGCGTGTCAACTACTAACAAGATGCTCAGTTTCAACCGTCTCGATTTACCACCGTACAAGACGTTCGAAGCACTCAACCAGAAGCTTACAATCGCTGTTGAGGAAACCGTCGGCTTCGGACAAGAATAAATATATTGCCGTCCAGGAGAAGCCGTACGCGTTGACTGCATTTGCGGTCGAGGAAGTGTGGAAGACTACTACATGGCGTTGTCGTCCTTGTACAAAATCTGCGAAAGGAAAGGAGCATCATTAGTATATGGCGAGAGCACGCTACTTGGGATGGTATATGATACATGGTTTTCAGAACTTGCGTCTAATCTGGCTCGCCTCCAGTGTATGCGTGGATATATTTGCATTGCTTGCACGTGTGCATGTGGCGTTTTGGGGTTGAGAGGATTGGAAGTAGGATAGCGCTTTTCTTACATGAGCGCTGCGTCAATCAAGGATGATGAGGTATGAAAGGAGTCTACGTGATGTTTTCGCATGTCTGATATGTGTTGAACCAGGGCTTATACCAAGTTCTGTTACTACTCTGTTAGTTGACATGAGTGATCTTGACTTGATTTTGAGTGGTCTGATGAAACCCGTGGAGGTAATCCGGAGGAACATATATCAGTCCACAGCGGCACGGCACATGGTCTTTGAATGTAATTTCCATCCTCATCATAGACTCATCTACATGTGCCAGCCACGGGCTTCAAGCGCGTGGATAGCGAGATTTGGGGAGCAAACGCCCGTGCTTGTCGATCAGTCACTACGATGAGGCTGTCCGTTGGGTCACTTTTCCATCGACGCTAATACACAACGAAGAACCGCAACGCCTTCGGTAGAAGCCGAATTATGGGTACAGAATGTATAGCAACATGTCATGAGATGTGGGTTTACGATGTATAGTTGCCCATGTTAAGATCTCGCAAAGTCCGGAGATGCGCCATAGATCGTTAGCAGCTGCAAGCATCGAGCCATAGATGAAGGGGCGCAGTTCCGGCGGCCGTATTATAGCCTTCTCTTGGCGCCTATCCCCTTTGCAACGGCTTTGATCCCCGTCGCTGGTTCATGAAGTGACCGGCACCCTGGCGTTCATCATGCCCGCTGGCCAATTAACATCCTGACTCGGGTAGTTTCGACAAGCGAAATGCAAGCTGCTCTGTTGTAGCTCTCCTCTGGCATCATCTTCACTCCTTGCACCACCACACGCCCACGCAGGTTGCCGGCAACGTTGTCTTGCATGTGCCAGCTCAGCTCATGTCCTACCCACCTGCCTCCAGCGGCGAAGGAAATAATAGTGGATACACAAGACAGGAGGCAAAAAATACGCTCTTGGTGCATTGAAATCACTAATTTTAGTTTTAGGAGGGAGGAGACAGCGTCCGGCGCGCTAAACCAGCTCTCTTCCGCTATTATCTTCCGAGCTGGCACACACTAAGCGACACGGCGTTAGCCCGTGTCCTGAGGAGATGCGCGGCAAGGGGAAGCACTGATGCTTTTTTTTGCTTGACTCTCAGTCTTGGTACTTCCGGGGAAAGGGGATTAAGGTTATTGGTTTTGTTTGGTGTTTGACAAGAGAGGATTAGGGATTGCGGGTTTCCCGAGGGTGGAAAGTTTAAATCATGGCCTTTCTTTACTCCCTGTCGTCGTTCTCCCTTCTCTTCCTCCTCTTCTCTCGTCGTACTCCTCGAAGTCCATCCATCTTACCTTTCTCGGTGATATACACTGCTCAGACTACGATACCCACCATTCGCTTTGGGCATCAACGTTTTACATCTTAATACTCTTTTAATTTAAACCGACTCCCTCGATATCTATACCAACTTCACCCTTCCGAACCCAAACGTCGAATATCAAGATGCGTTTCATCACCGCCATTGCCTTTGCCGCCACTGCCAGCTTCGTTGCCGCGCAGGACAAGTGCGACGCTCAGAACATTGTCGACACCTGTGTCCAGGGCTACCAATCCCGTATCGATGACTGCAACAAGAACGGTAACGACTTCATCTGCCTCTGCGACGTCTACCGTGACGTTCTCGTTTGCTACAACAACTGCCCTGGTATGTTCATCTACTAAACAAGAAAGGAGCCAGGAGATGATCTAACCCATTGTTGTAGACTCCCTCGAGAAGCCCCCCGTCGAGAACACCGTAACTTCCTACTGCGGTGCCGCCGAGCCCCTCCGCGCCGCTGCTTCCTCCTCCATGGCTTCCGTTGCCAGCGTCGCTGCTACACAATCCCACGCTGCTGCTAGCGCTACCAGCGCCATGACCAGCGCTACTGGAACTGGATCCGAGTCTGAGTCTGCCCCCAGCGCGACTGCCAGCAGCTTCGAGGGTGCCGGTAGCTCTTTCGGTGTACCCGCCGGTGCTGCCATTGTTGCCATGTTCGCTGGACTGTTGTAGAGTAGCATGTTCGAGAGATGGACGTGGTTCGTGTAGTTGTGAATAGGATAATCTTTAATCGGGGATACGAAGTGTTGGCGATTGGCTGGATGTATTGAGTTGCGTGCGTACATACGTGCGTGCGTGCGTGCGTGAGAGTGAGTGAGTGATGTGTGTTCTGATGTTCGTCCCATTGTTGTGGTAGTCGATTCTTTAATGTCTCGTTATCTAACAGATAGGTCATCACTTTTTTTTAACTTGTCTAGGAAAGTGTGATGCGAGTAACAGGTTGAGATGGTGAGCATGATGCGGGTGATGTCTCGTAGAATTTGAATATGGATTGATCATCTAGGCTCTATATTCTCAGCAACCCTTACTGCAAGGAAATCACACCCACGTACAACTAAGCAGTTCCTATGCTCCTCGCTTTTGCTCAATAACGAAAAGATATGGATGACCACCGAAAGAAACAAAACGCCATTTTTCCATGCACATGCAACTCTAACACCACTTGTGTCAACACATCTACTCCTCGTCGACAACACGTCCCCACTCGTGTCCCTCCATACCGTCGCTACCCCACATGATGCCCTTGAGGGAATTCTTGAAGTAGCTCGCGTACGCGCCAGAGTCGCCCTTGACCATAGGGACCTCAATATCCTTTCCTCGGAAGTGGATCTGGCTAATAGGAGCGACGAACCACGCAGTACCCGCCGCGAAAGCCTCAACAAGACGGCCCTCCTTGGCTGCTTCCTCAATCTCAAAGACGTTGAACTTGCGCTCAACAACTTCGAGAGTCTCCAAATCGGCTGAAGGAGAGGAAGAGGTGAGCCTTGAACGGGCGAGTTCCAGGATGGACCTCCTTGTGACACCATCGAGAACAATACGCTCGTTGAGGTCAGCAGTGATGAGCTGAAGCTTTCCCTCCTTGGTCTTCCAAACGACGAAGAAATTGCTCGCGCCTGCCTCGGTGATGGTGCAGTCGTCACCGAAGAGCCAGAGAATTTGGTGGTATCCCCGCTTTCTCGCTTCGCCTTGGGCGACCAGCGAGGGACCGTAGTTGGCACCAACTTTGGCGTAACCGAAACCGCCGGGCCATGCGCGGCACATGTCGTCTTGCGAGGCGAGCAGTTTGATACCACCGCTCATGTCGCCCATGGGCGCGAAGCAGCACAGGATGACGAACAGAAGAGCCTCTTTCGGTCGCTCAACACCGAGAGCGGGGTCGGAAGCAATCATGGTGGGACGAATGTAGAGGAACTGTCCTGGTCGGTCCTTGGGAAGCCACTTGGCACCATCTGTGGCACAAAGCTTGACAATGAGCTTGAGAAGCTCCTCGGGGTCGAATGCGGGGAGAGCGATACGGTTTGTGGACATGAGCATGCGGCGGCAGTTCAGGTCTGGGCGGAAGAGACGAAGTTTGCCATCGTATCCGCGGTATAGCTTCATGCCTTCGAAGCATTCAGTTGCGTAGTGCAGGCATGAGGCTGTGGGCGCGAGAGACAGTGGGCCGTAGGGCTTCAGCTCAGGTGCTGCCCAGCCGGACTCGACATTCCATTGAGCTTGCACCATGTGGTCGGTGCAGACCTTCTGGCTGGCCATCTCTGCTGAGCCTACAGCGGGAACGGAGCGCGGGGTACTGGTGTATGTGCAGGAAACCTTGGAGGCATCGAGTTCAGCGAGGGGTGCGTCGACGACATCTTGGCTTTTGCTTGCGGGCTCGTTTGGTGGTGTGGCAGTGATGGAGTTTGTGAGCGATGCAGAGTCGATTTGTGCTGGGGCGTTCTTGAGAAGCGCAGATTTGATACCGTCTTGGGTGAGTTCGGTAACAGTCTCGATATGGTTCGGGGGTGTGACGGCGCTGGGTGCCATGGTCGTTGTGTGTAAGAATGAGTAGTCGTTGAGCGCAATTGGAGTATCAATGGGTGAGAGCAGAATGTACTGTCGCTCCTATATGGTAAAAGAAGTGAGTAGTCCAATGTGGAATGAGAAGATGGGTACCCTGACGTGCTCTTATACAAAGGCCTTGAAAAAATTCGGTCAAGAGTCACACGCGTCCCTATCACACGCGCGGGAGCAAACCCACCTACCCGAACGATCCATCGATGTAATGTCTGCCCAGCCGCCTGCGGATTACGGCGGCGGTCTAGTGTGTTCCCATCCAGAATGCAAAGATAAAGGGTTCCACTTGCAGCCGATTTGGACCCTCTCTCAAGAGAAACCAGTTTGGGGGCTGATTGCACCCATTTGCCTCTTCCTTCTATGACATCAAATGTCTTTCTCGTTGGTTGGACATCACACAAGCAATTTGCCGTCGAAGAGGACGCCGAAAGACGCGTCTTCCAGAAGCCGTCGAAACCGGGGTCGTGACGTTAGCGTACCTCAGGACTAAGGATGCGCATGGCGAGCGTAGGGCGTGTGTGCCGAGCCTGCGGTATCCTTGTACCTACCGCTAGTATCCGCGACCAGTTCGCGCGTCCGATCCCCGGACATGGAGATGGGGGATTGTATAATATAGCGGTGCAATATCGGACTTGCTCAAATGTTGGGGTAGTACGAGTGATGATGCGCAGCATCTGCGATGTCGGACTGAACTTCCAAAGCATGAAGCTGGAGTCTCGTGGGAGAGGGCGAAGTAGCTCGGTAATCAGCGGTACAAGCGATGGAGAACTTCACCGCAGGGAAAAAAATGCTCAAGTGACCTTTCCAAAACAACAGGGTATCATATTCTAGGATGGCCATGCCGATTGCAGTCTTTTCAACTGCGCTATCTGCCGAGGCCCCGTCGTGATGTCTGCACGTACTTCTGTATAGGTCTCCGTACATAGCCCGCCACCACCTCTATCCGTCGCAAAATGAACTTCACGATGCCGGAGATGACGACGTATCGCTGACCTGACTCGCCGCCAATGTCTGGCTTGCCCTCAAGCTATCGATGCCCTTCATGATACCATCCGCAACCTCGCCAACTCGTCCTTCAAGCGTGCTGAAGTCCATTCTGCTAATTGCAGCATTGATTTGTTCCGTTACAAGTTCGTCCTGCACGACCTCGGCTGTAACCTTGCCCTCTGTTCTCCAGTATTCTTCCCGCACGCCTCGCAGCGCCGGATCGCGGTTCACCGAGTTTGTGAGCAAAGCAAGCGCGCGCATCTTGTTGAAGGTATCTTCGGACGTTCGTGTGGTTGCTTCGATGCGTTCGGCAATGGAAACAGGCTTGGCGAGCCAGCGGTTCGTGCTTGTAGCCCAGAGGACAAACGCGAAAGCCATGTCTACCACTGCGAAGGTGACGTAGCGTAGGAAGCGGACCCGCCAGTGGGCCGAATCGATATCTTGCACGTACTGTGCGCGCTTGTTGAGCGTAATGTCGTACGTGCCCATATACCACACTTCTACCACCAGGACGAGCAATCCCACAATCGTTGCATGTGTGCGGAACCGCGAGCCTTCGCTTCCCACAAGCGATGATGTCGCGAGACCAAGAACTCCTAGTTGAAAGATGTGCGACGTGACTATCTTGGGGAGCGAATACAAGAAGTAGTTTTGCTGGTCATTTCCGTTGGCTGTGGTGCACCAGACACAGTTTAACAGCGTGTCCGGGCCATATGCCAGGTACAGCAGTTTGTTGCGCACACTCCAGTTGAACTTTGTCCGTAAGGCCTCGTCCTCGTCTGTAAGCGGCCGGAGGTGCCGTAGCCGCGCAAACAAGACACTTGTCTCGGTTCGTATGTGACTCTGTGTCTTGAGAAAAATGTTGTCGGGTGCGAAGCGCGACAAGGAGAGGATGAGGCACGCGACAGCGCTCGCGAAGAGCAAGTTCAGCGCATGCTGGACTCTCGGGGGCGTCGGCCGTATTGGTACACTTCGCCCGGTTGCGCGCGCGACGTTGATCCAGTCGAGGACGCGGGGTATAAGGAAGGGCCCGAAGATGATGAGGATCGAGTGGACATTCTGGGGGAGAAACGTCAGGCGCGGGATGACGACGTAGGAGACCACAAGCAGCACGATCGAGCGCAAGTTGAACATTGTGGGTGTCGCGTTATCATGGGCGAGTCGGCGAGGGCTGTGGTGTCGCTGAGGACATGTGTCCTCGCATTCGACCAAACGTGTGGGTGACGTGTGAGCGTCGGCGGAACTGAAGCGCGATCACACGTGTTAACGCGCTAGTATCCAATCCCCAACTTCCACATGACTGTCAGACCTCAACACTCACTTGATCGAGAATTGTACAGCTTCACATTCGAATCTTCGCAGACTTCTCCTGATAATCCAATCTGTCGTCACGCTTATGTGCAAGTTCGATCAAAGGCTGACAGCTTCACGACCTTCACAACATGTCCGTTGTGATGGCTTGGATGACTTTGAGAGATACATTACAGGCAAAATTCCTGTCTTCTTGACTTCTTCGTTATTGCACTATTGGTATATATCCCAGTAGCCGTATATCGCTGAGAATGACCGAACGCCTCACAAATACGCCGAAACAGACCACCAGCATCGACCAACTCTCCATCGAAGTTGTGCCAGTAGCTCGTGAAGACGAGGTCGCAGACATCTGGCCCATCAAGTGGGGAACAACTAAGCTCGATTCCGCACTCGGCCTTTTCCACTTAGCACAGTACGGCAAGACCCTCGATAAGAGAGCATGGGACGATCTTGTGGTGAATTGGACAAGCGAAGATATGGCGGCAGTCGAAGCGCTCTTTCTAAGGAAAACATGGCCCGAGATGTTACCGTATCCAAATCTAGTTGCGTATGCACGATACGTTAACGAATATTAGACTTCTCCATGAGAGAGTTGGCTCCGGAACCCGTATGTTCTAGCTGTGGCCTGGCAGAGGGGAGACATAACAGCTTCGTTGAAGAAATCAAATTATCCGCTGCTGAGATATGATAGCTATGTATCGGGATTCGAAGATGCTGCTTATACACACTCGTAAACAGCATGAAGATGTAATCATCTTATATATGTCCTTCCTCCACAAATCTACCCTGTATGGGTCTCCTATTGTCTCTCCCAGGAGATCCATGTTGTGGCGTCTGAGCATAAAAATGCGCTGGAGTGTGCGTAGTGCTGATGTTGTGGGGTTGTTCTTCGCCACTATGTTGAGTCCCTGCCGGACTTCCTCGGTTGTCGGAGAACAAAGGTGGAGAGTATTGCGCACGCGTTGATGGATTGCTGGGCCGTGGGTAGTAGATTGGAACTTGCTGTTGAAGAGCATCATTTGGGGACTGTTGTGCTGTAGTTGGAGTGGGATAGGAATATTGACCGTCCTGGCTTGGCGCAGAATGAGGATACTGAACTTGAGTGCTCCAAGCACCTGGCGGGGAGTTACGGGCGTCGTCGGTGAAGAATTGTTGTCCGTGTGGTGACCGACTCGAGTGAGCGCCTTCAATAGGAGATATGTATGAGGGAGCGTGGCCGTACGAGGGAGGGCCTTGAGCCGAGTAGGGTGAGTTATAGTCGTGGCTAGCGGAGTGTGAGTGTTGTTGAACATGACCAGGATATTGAGCAAGGGCGATAGAATCTGCCTGGTTGTGCATGGAAACATACTTGCTAGCATCTGTGTCGGCCATCTCCTGGGGGACCGTGGTGGCCAGTTCAGCAGGTGGGAGACTAGATGGAGTCTCACCTTCCTTCTTCTTCAAAGATTGCTTTCGCCGGTGTAAACAGAATAGTATAAGGCACAGAATGGCAATTATTGCCACCAATCCTCCAACTGTGCCGCCAGCGATGGCTGCCACGTTTGATTTCTTTGAGCTACCAGCAGATGCTGATTCTGTAGCCAAGGGAAGAGAGCGAGTGGCCGATCTTGCTGTGAAAGTAGGTTTAAGTGTGTAGTAAGTGGCGAGATCTGGGTGACCCCATGTTGCTGGCGAGGTCTTAGTAGCACCTCCGGTAGGCCTGTTCTTATCAGCTGTGACAACCTTTGATAATGGACTGGAAAGACAAACCCGCCTCCGACTGCGGCAATAATAGGTGAAGGTACTACATATTCATGTAGCTGGGGGCTAAACTTGTCCCAGAGCTTCGAGTCCCCACCGTTGTATCCTAGAACCATGTTGTGTTGTCCTTGTCCCTCGGGTGCATCGCATTTGTCGTAGAGGGGAAACCAGCCACCTATGACCAACATCTGAGCGTGGTTGACGACGTTTGCGCTACAACCGCCGTGACCAACTTGAGAGGGAACATCATCACTACTGAAGACCTTGATCCATGTAAACGATGGAAGCGATAGGATATAGACATCGTCGTACGCTGCTGCTTTTTCGAAGCCGTACCCACCATATAGGTAGCTGTAACGCGTCAGTATAACTTGACCAACACAGCGCAGTTTGTATACTAAGTTTACGGCAGAAGCTGTAATTTTGGCAGCATTTTGTTTTCCAGCGAGGTGAGTCCTCAGGGCGATTTTGGGAAATTTTGGACTCCAGTGATCCTCTTTCATGTGTTCTGACATCTCCGGGGCTAGCTTCAGAAATCTCCCAGCTCCACAACCGAAAAGGTTTTCTTACATGTTGAAGGACGACTGGTCGTCGGGCCAGGTGACATCAGCACAAAATTGTCTCCGGGTGTCAGGTACATCGCCAGAAGCAGTCTGTGTATACCATTTCGACGAAGCCATGTCGTAGATATGGATGGTCTATATGAATTAGCTGCGCCAAACATAGCCGCTCTCTCGATGACATACACTCATGTTTGCCTGATATAACGCGTTAGCACGGACACATAGGTGGAGTTTGGTCTGCACATACTGCGTCGAAGCTACCGTTACGGTAAGAATCTTCGATGCCCCCAAAATAAACAAGCACGCCGCTATCTGAAACAGGTAGGAACACCAACTGTCCTTCGGCTCTCCCAGTTTCATCTGGGCCGGTTGTATTCTGTAAGTCGCCCGTAGACATGTCAAATCGAATCAGACCGGTCGTAGCCATTGGAGGCCCATTCCAACCGGGTGTTGTTTTGTTGCTGAGCCAGCCACCAAAGTAGAATCCCAGCCCGCGACTTTCGACTTGCGTTCCTGCGCCATACGATACTCGTTGCGGGTTCTTGTCACCTATTGTTTCAGTAGTATTCCATTGGTTGAGAAGAACATCGTAGGTCCACATGCTGAAATCCATGGGGCTAGTGCCTGGGGCAAATTCTCCACCGAATTGATAGAAGCATTTGTTCGTTTCATCTGCCCAAGTATAGCCGCCTGAAACGGTAGGTATATGACCGGGCTTTGAGTATGCGGACTGCATTGGCATTCCCGCATCGACGGTCGAAGTGTTCAAATCACTGAACAAAAGCCAATCATCTAGGGATCGATAGTTAGACAGCTGAAAAAGAATCTAGGAATATTTCAACCTTCACTTACTTGAGTAGTTTGACCTGAAGGGGACTTGTCCTATCATGCCGCCATCGATGTATAGCCTCGAGTCGACCTGCGCCGTTGAGTGGCCCCATCGTCGACAGAATCCTTTGACAGGATCATCCTGCTGCGATGATGACTGGGTGACTAGGCTAAGCAGAACAAGCACGCCTGGTAGATTGAAGGCCATGATATGCATTCATGACGTTTCTGAACATGCACACGTGAGACGCAGGAAATGCGAGAAATCTGTATTTCAAAGCAATGACAGCTGTACGATGCCGTAGAAAGAGGGGCGGGCCGCAGACGTTAGAGCGGAGATGTGTAGGCCTGTGGATGTGCTTCACAGAAGGCACCAGGAGTGTGTAGGTGGAAAGTCCGCGACTGTCGTTCGTGGCGCACTTCGTTGGGATGCAATCCGGTTTACCGGTCTGACTGCATCGTAATATTGCTAGGCGACCCTCTTCTCAGCCATACAAGCAGCGGTGGGACGCAGGTCGCCAATGGAGTCACAGCATAGGAAATACGAGTGATCTGCAGGCCCGACAGAGGCGTCTGACCGAACAAAGACATAGGTCTAGTTTGGAGTCAGCGAGAATGCGGCGCCGACCTGCCAAGAGGGCCCTGCTGCGACGAATACCGCGTGTGGCATGAACGAGCGAATCAAAGTAACATCTTAAGAAAATGCCGTTATTGGAACCAGTGGCCTGGCGTCGTACTCAGGCTGAATCCGAAGCCGCTTCTCAGCCGCTCTCTTGTCCGCCAATGCAAAGCTGCGTATCTCGCTTCTTGTGGAGTGACACAGGGTGGAGGCGCGGGGAACGTCTTTCAGCTGGGTGTTCCAGCATTATTCGTAGCCATTGACCCGAACAGTCTAGATCCGCACGACAACGAGCTTCAGCAGCAAACCAATCAGCATGGATAATTGATTACTTTTTCAGCGTCATGCAGCTTATGGTTACCAGTAGTTGGGGGCGGACCTGGATACCGGTGACGAGTCAACGCATATAGCGACCAGCGCCACGCACAATAGTCATCAGGGAATCATCTCCGCCATAAATCTACGTCTCTTCATTACGACGACGTCGACATCAGGGTCACAAGGCCCCTGAGATTGGTGCGCACCAAAGTATGTTGGCCTAAAGCGAACCCGCAACCCCAATACCGACCGAAGTCGACGTGGACGAGTTGCAGGATTAGAACGGCTGTGCATTTCTTCTGGGTCTGCTCTGGAAAAGGCAAATCCATTCGTAAAGGAAGGACCTTAGGGTTATTGGAGACCGTTGACAATATGTGAAGAAAAGAAGAGCAGGAGCTTCGCGGAGAAAATTGAGTGACACGAATAATTTGCTTGGCGCGCTAGCAGCTTGCCTAGCTCGCCATTCCCGTCCGCCTTCCCGTCATGACCTCGGGAGGATTTGGCCAACAACACAACTCATCATCATTATGTACACTCTTCGGGAGATACTTCATATCACATCTTTGATTTGTACAAAGGACCATCATGTTCTAGTATCCTCTTAGAGTATTGCGTGTCTTGCTCACGTCAACCAAGGTTCCCTGCTGCACCCCAAGCAAAATCACTAGTCAACCAATATATCAATTATGCAAGTCAACAGATAATAGTCGATAGCATGTACAAAGACTTTCCGATATCGCAAGGGTATTGTCTTCTTTCCTTAAGGATCATTCAGTATGCCTTTCTACACAGATCCTCAACCAGGTCAGAGCTTCGCGGGTCAACATCAACCCAGCTTCCACATGCAACTGGCCCAGGAAGGAGCAAGCGATCACGGCATGATATTCGGAACTTCTAATCAGCAAGTCCGGAGATATTCCAGAGATGATACGACGGTGCTGCCCCTATATTGCGCCCCTAACACACCCTCAATCAATACCTTCAGAGCACGACCCAGACCCTACAGTACACCATGGTTTTCATCTGAAGAGACCCTATGGTCACTGGGACTAATCGAGCATGGCAGATTCAACAAGCCTGATACAGTCCTCTTAGCCTTCGTCGTGGACTGCGCCATGAAGCTGTACATATGCGCCAGCATCACCTTGCACTGTCTAGAAAGCTTGACGGATTCGGACCTGGTGCATACTATTATTCAGGCAGTCTATACCAATGTCCTCGGACAGATACAGCGCGCTGACTTGATGAGCCGCCAAGCGCTCGCTTTCGGGAAGTTTTACCTGAACGCCGTTGCGGACTTTGGAAAGATTCGGGAACGCTGCAACATCACCTTTGGACAATATATCCAACATCAACAGACTCGCAACGATTTCGCAGTGAGGTTCCTCATTTACGATAGTTTTGGGGATGCCGATCTCGGTATGATTGAAGATGCTTTCGGGTGGGTATATGGACAGTCGCCCTCCACGGTCGTCAACGGCATGGAAGAGAACATTACGGAGGACTCGTCCGGTCGCGATCCTATCTCGATACGGCAATGGGTCTTCAGATTCAACTAAGAATCCTCAGTAACGCAATTGAGGCCTCGTTCCTACAAACACTAGCCTTTCGTTGACGAAAGGCTGCCACGGTTGAAACTCGGTATGTTATAAGTATTCGTCTGGTAATTAACCATGAGCAGCTCTTTTATTGACATTGCTGAAGGTGGGGGAGTCAACATGGCAGATGGCATGTCAAGACATGGGATGGATAACGTCTAATTGGTTGATGTTGGCGAAGAACTGGGACGGTGATGAGATGAGGTGAGAAGAGAAGGAATGGGTATAATACCACGGTCATCTAAACAAGAAGAAAGAAGAGGCGTATGAAGAATCGAAAAGAACAATGCAAAAGCCTATTTGACTCTATTCGTTTGGCAATTAAATTATTAAGAAACGCCTTCCCATAATGCTTAGAATTGGTCCAGTCCCAGACCTCCAGCCCACAGAAGCCAATATAGCGCCTCCGACTTTAATTGCCCATTGTGACCCATTGTGCTACTACTGTCCTTCGCCCACCGTGTACTTTCGATGCAAGTCTCCAAGTGCCGATATACAGTTTTGGCCACTTTCTCAAGTACCAAAACCGTTATTTTGTCTACCCTGATTGCATAGCTTTGGTCAAGGCCAATCGCTTGCTGTACGGGCTTAGGCTGCGCTCTCTTTGTGGGTGTGGGGGTGCTTGCGCTGGCGGCATCGCAGCTCTGCTGTTCGCGACAGTCGATCGATCATCGAAACGGTTTCTTGCCGGTCCACGCGGACTGTCATGGGTCCGTCCTCCATTTCTTGTTTCATGTGGGCTACGCGATCGGCGCACAGGCTTGCGCTTGGAGTAGGGACTCGGGCTGCGATCGCGACTGCTGTGGTATGGCGAGAGTGACCTGGAAGGCTCACGATGTACTGAATGCGAGACGCCTGGCTGGCCTCTTGGTGCTCCGTTTGGTGGGTTACGCTCGTCTGACGTATCCATGGGATCCGCGCTCCCCGACCGCGATCTTGAGACTGACCGTCGAGCTGGTCGCCTCCTGTCTCTTCTTACACTCCTGCTCCGCGACCTGCCGTCATCACTCATGCTTCGCGGCGCTCTTCCTCTGGCATTCTCATGTGATATCTGCATGCGCGCAGACCTGGACCTAGATTTGGATCTGGTTCTTCGGCGGCCTCGCTCATCAGGACTGAAGGAACTCATGCGCCGCCTTGTGTTCCTGTCTGCAGTGTCCGATGCGCGGGAGGAGCGCGACTCCATAGAAACCGAGCGCCTGCTACGCTTCCGCAACGCTTTGTCGTGGTCCCCATGATGTCTTCGTCCGTTGTGCTTCTGTCGTGGGGGAGACCGCGAGCGGGAACGGGAGCGATTGGTCGAGATGGTAGAGACAGAGTCGACAGACGACGTAGAGAGTGAGCGCGCGCGCTTGCGATCTTCTTCCTTCTTCTTTAAAACCTCATCGGCGACGCCCTTCTTTCGCAGCAGGTCCTCGGGTACCTCGGTGGTGAGTTTAGGCTGCAGCTTGGGGTTGAGTAGTTGCTGTGTCCTAGAAGGTCGGGACTTGTACGGGCGTTCCTGAGCGGGTGCCTTGCACTCGTAGCTGTAATGTCCTCTCTTCAAGCACTTCTGGCAGAGGGTATCTGCGGAAGCCTTGGAGCGGCCTGCACCCGGGCGGCGGAACATGACGGACTTGGATGCGGTACAAGTCGAGTCCAATGGGTATTTTTGTTGGCGAAGTTCTCTGGTGTTGCTGACGGGAATGGAGAGAGGAGGACTCGACGCGACTTTTGCGTCAGAGCAGCAGCCGGTAAAAGATGCAATCAAGCCTCGCCAAGTTCAATCTTCTTCTGTCACTTTCGGCGAGGAAACGCGACCGGCCTTGGTCGCATGCGGTAAAGCGCAGCTTCAGCTTGGCCGGAGAATTGGGCGGAGCGGCATGACTAAGCCCGCCCACGGGCGGCTTCCATCATCGCTTCTCTATCCTTCACTCGCCTTGCGCTGCACCCCGCATAACAGCCCGGTCCCCGCCCTGTACTGCTCCCCGTCGACGAGCCAATTCACCCGTCGTCCCTTGTCTCGCGCCCTACATCTGGGTGCTTGGCAGCTTCTTACACGCTAGACGTCCAAAGTTCTTCGTTGCAGGCCTGTCGTCAAGGCTACTTCACCTTGGCTCCCAGCAAACCCATACACCTCTACACTTTTCCCACGAATGTCGGCACACCAACATGTCCAGCTTTCTGGCTCCGGTTATCGCGACTTTCCTTGAGCACCCTATTTCCTGAAAAAATTTACGTCCATCACTTCGGTTAACACCACCTTCATTCTCGTCCACGACGACCCACGTAGGGCGTTGAGCTTGGTGATTCTTTCGGCTACACAACCAGGCGTCTGTCGCTTCATTCAGCAGCTCTACTGTTACGAAACTGCCTAAAAGCCCGTCTCGCCGTCCCCACGTTTGGGCAACTACCGCGCATTGCGCATAGGCCATCTACGTCGCAACCTACTATCTATCTAGTCTTCTACCGTACCGAACACCGCCTCACAACCATGGCATCTGCGACACCGGCTTCTACAGAACAAGCGCCCCCAAGGCCTCTGTCGTTCGCCAAGGTAGGATTTCAAGAAGCAATTTCCATGGGCGGTGTGCTAACAGCGCTAGGTTGCGGCTTCCGCCATAAAGCCTCAGATGTCGAAGGATGCTGCTCCGAAAGCGAGACCGCCTGTCGCGACACCCAGAATACCCGTGGTCGCTCAGAAGGCGCGCTCCCCACACATGCATGGCGAAGTAGCACCCAAAATGCTCGCGGAAAAGCGAGAGGATACCGATGCGAGCAGCAGCGCTGAAAATGCCATATCGCAGCCCGCGCAACAGACAGGTCCTGCTGAGCTTTCAGAAGCACGCTCCACGGATGCAAAAGGAGATGACCCCGATAGGCCTCAGTCTGCCGCTGTGGTGAAGGTGTCTGTCACCGAGGACGGCAGCACTCAGCTATCCTCATCAGATGGATCTGGGAAACCTCCCAGCATTGATGGAAAGAGTGTTGCTTCTGCGACAACATTTGCACTGGACGAGAAGGAGTCTTTACGCCCAGATGACAGTGCTAGCCTCAGGGCAGTCGAGGAAGAGGATGTCACATCTCCGCCGGACTCGGTCGTTGCAGACTCCAGGCAGGGGTCTGACCATGGCGCTGCGCGTGCCTTCCGGGATCAGTTACATGAAATAGCTGTGATGAATCCTCAGCCTCATCGAGGGGTTCCCGCAGGTCGGTTTCCGACGCTACCCAATGGTCCGCAAACATTGTACGACCCTAACCAGTCGCTAAACGGCGCGGGGCCCATGCCACAGCCTCTGGTCAACGGTATGCCTTCACTGAATGGTGTTCCGAATATGCCCGCCATTCCAGACGAGAAGTTGCTCGAGGCGCTACGGTCTCCACGTGACCGGCTGTTCGTTGTGAAGATAGAACAAGACTTCATTGATTTCATCAAAGACTCTCGGTATGTCATGTGTGGCAGATCTGCTAGGATTTTCCTACTAACGGTATGCAGCGAAAACGAATTGTGTCTGCCGAATTGTAATACATTTTACAGGATGCTTGCTCACCGTCTTGCCGACTACTACTTGCTCGGCCATGTAGTTGACAACACCATGACGGGTGTAAAAATTACACGTACCCCTTACTGTAGAATGTGTGTACTCATCAAGCTTCGCGTGCTCTGTTGCTTACTACTAGTAGTCCTCCCCCCGTTTCACAGATGGTAGATCCCGCCAAGGGCACCAACACACCTCCCGTAGAGCTCCCTGCTCGGAAAATCATGCGTCGCGACGATGGCAAATCAGGTACAAACACTGGAGCCAACTCGCAGAATGCCTCGAAGACGACCTCTGAAATGGGTGGTAGCGAGGGCAGTAACGATGGTGAAGGCAACAAAGACAAAGCCGCTCTATCCAGAGAAGAGCGAGAGGCGCGCTATCGTGAGGCTCGTCAGCGCATCTTTGGTAGCGCGGAAAGTGAAGAGCCCGACACGGCCGAAGGCAACGGATCTGGAGAAGACAAAGACAAAGGGAAGGATGTCTCACGATCAAGCTCAGCCGCTGGAAAGAAGAAACCCAAGAAGCAGCGCAATTACGACGACGACGACTTCCAGGCTCGGTCCCGCTTCAATGTTTACTACCCGCAACAATACCCTGTGGCTACATATACTGGAGACAATGCGGTCTACTACAACGGCTACCCAGCACCTGCGCAGAATGCGCCGTACGCGACTATGAACCCTGGTGCATCGCCTCCAGCAACATACAGCAACCCGTATCCGGGCATGATGCCCCCAGAAGCGCAGTCACAGTATGGCTGGGCTGGTCAGCAGTACCAGGGTCCTAATGGGTCGCTGATGACGTACCCCAATTATGGACAGATGCCGAATGGGTATGACCTTTCAACGGACTTCCAGCGGGGTATGTCATCGTTCCAGAGCGCTGGTATGCCCTCCCAGATCACCCCAAAGATGGCCAATCCACAGATGGCGTCTTACCAAGATACCTATCAGCAGCCTCAACATATGCCTATGAACTCAGGCTGGTCTCAACAAAATCAGCAGCCATCATTCCACATGGGTCAGGGCGCATATGGTGCCCAGAATGGTCCCGGCAACCGGCCAATGTCTGCACCTCATCAGGCACCGATGCCTGGCTACCCATATGGACAGTTCGTCTCAAATGCTTACAACGGAAAGCCCAACCGCAACCAGCACCCTCTTCCTGGAAGTTATAATCGGGGACAGTTCAACCCGCAAACCCAAGCTTTTGTTCCCGGTGGACGTAATATGCCCTTTGGAATGCAACAAAACATGATGCAAGGACAGCCTCAGATGAACGGGTATGGTGGATACCAGATGTCTGCCCAGGCTTCCATGCCTGGTCAGATGTCAAGACCTAATCCTTCCGCTACTTCCACACCGCCGTTTGGGTCGCCTCAAAGTATGCAGGGAAACAACTCAGCCACATCCATGAACCGAATTGCTTCACAGTCTGGTGACCCGGGTTCATCCCAAAGCAGCATCGCAAAGTATGGTACACCTTCACATCTACCTCCAAAGCCTCCAGCTCCTGCACCGGCCCCACCGTTTGCGCTACCCTCCATGACGCGAGTACCGTCATCGGGGCTTGCTAACAACGCTCCTGTCATGCCCAATCGAAGCATGTCGGGCACCTTCAACAACACGACGAACCCTAATTAACGCTTCACGAAATGACCTTTAGCATTGCGACGGTGCCTCAATACTACTTACTTGCATCTTTCTCTGGGTGGGTACGGGTAGGTCTCAAAGGAAAATCAAGGCGTTCGTATCATATGTGCTTTCTATGCTTTCCGCCCGGATGCTGAGGATCGTCGACTGCGATGTCTGGATGTCTCGACCCCTTGTTGGGGCCACTAGGTAAAAGTAGCCTTTCCTTGGTCTGAAGTCGAATGGACGGTACTCATATAGCTGTAACAAAATTGCAATTTTTGCTTCTATACCACGAGTTCCAATGACGAACTTTGAGCCCGTACAGACTTGTCAACTCCTTTGTTCTCTTTCCCTTCCTTGTTGTGACTAGCCATTGCAGTGTCACAGTAACGCCGATAGATTCCTTGGTACACTACATGAAGCGTATCTCGCCGGCAAATGTAGCCGTGTCTGACGCCTAGTTTCGACGCCTGTCGCTCCGAAGTGCGAAACTGCCTATTGTGGTACGCACTCAAGACCTGTACGACCAGGACTAAGATGTGCCAATACGGATGCACGGGCTGGTATCATATATAGCTTCCAAGATTTGATCGGTAGGGGGCGCTATATCCGGTTCTTATATCCGCGAGAATAAATCGTTGCCCTCAAACAAAGGATACATAGAGCAAGAGCAACAACAGCAACAGATTTTCGAATTCGCATATGGCGTCGGTGAAAAGGGTAGTCGAACAGCTGGATGACTGACTCTACGTAAATTGAGCTGGAGAAGAAACCATGTCTCGGGTACACTACCCATAGATGTCTAACAGAGTAGAATTCTAATTGATCGGAGGCCGTACCCGTGTCTCTTACCTATGATCAACACTTATTCAACATATTTACCGTATCGGGATAGTTTCCATTTGGTTATGTGGGTAGATGGGGAGGTGGTTGGCTCACGCCACGTGGAACTGGAAAGGCGCGGATGGTGTACCCGGTCTCAACAGGGTATCGCATAGACGAGGTATTCGTTTTAGCAGGAAGCGACGATTTTGGCTTCCAACGGGTTTGTGACAGGGGGTGAGATTACTTCAATAGTCCACAATCTGGTCACGATTTAGCTGATGTTACTGATGGACCGCTACAAATGGCAAGTACGATTGGTGCGCAGATTTCTGTCTGTCGATGCGAAGTATGTAGACTTTAGCGTCAGCGTGGAAGAAGAAGGAACGGCTACAACGGATAGTTTATGCACTTTTGCTACTCTTGGAAAGACGACTGCTTGAGATGTCGTTGCATGTATGCATGTGTTACACGAAACCATGTACCCAACGTTCTTCAACGTTCTTCGGTCGCTTCTAACAGTATTGGAACAGCGCTCTCTATAAACTGTATAATTTCCGATGACCGGTCGTCGCTCTCGATGCACCGCTCATGCGCATTCTCGTACGAAGTTCACAGCTGTCGTTGTCAATGCAACAGTTTGCGAGAGAACGCAAGTCCCGAACTTCAGATGTCGATTTCCAAATCCGGTAGTTGGGCCGCGGAGGCTAGAACTCTAGAAATGTGAACAACATGCCCAGGAGTGATCAAGCGAGATGACGTAGATGTTTAGGTACTTTCAAATTCTTCGAATCCGGAGGCTCGTAACGGCAGTGGGAGCCGCGTGGTGTGGCGATCGTGACCCACAATACGCATGTATCGAAGGGCCGTAGAAAAGAAAAAAACTGGAGAACAACACCGACAAGATCCGCTCCGTAAACGTTCGTCCGATGCATATCGTGGGATCCATACTCCTGCTTGTATCCTGTGGTTAGAATCTAAACATGCTAAGGTGACCGGTTAGTTGCCTAGGTATTTATCTTCGAATAATCGTCGTGCCGGTTGCCAAGCCAGCGCTGGCTGGAGTTCTTGCGGTGCATTGTAATCATCCTCACCTACCATCATTCCCACGACATAGCAAACTCCGAGCCTCCGCTGACATATCGGCACACCTCGGCTCCGATGCGACGATAGCCAACGAACAACTCAACTGACACACAACGGCTCTTGCGCTACCCCACATGTCGAAGTGAAGATGACGTTCTGCGACGTTGATGTCCGGGGGAAAGTGCATAGGCCAAGCTTTGGAGGCTCTAAGGTTGAGCCCGGAGTGTGCCCGCAGCCACTAGGAGCGCAGCGCTTGTCGATAGCTTGACTCTATCAAGCATTTGATTGCCCGGGGTCGTCGATGGCGATGCGCTTAGTGGCCACCCTGGATCACGCAAACCATGACGTCGACAACCGCACGGCGCACGACCACGGGATGCCTTTGGATTTTGCTAGACTGCGCAGTAGTCGTGGTGAACACGGTGAAGACTTACGGTTAAGCATGCCGTTATGACGGCATTGGGGTCTCCAACTGCCCAAAAGCGGAGCAAACGTGGGCGCTTTATAGAGACCCGGAGACCCCACGACCCAGAGGTCTTTTGCTACTCCCCACCACACTCGATCGGTTCTCCTCTTCTCTTCCACCAGCTATGGCGATACTCGATCGATTTCGTGGGCATTCGCATGCCTCGCCTGCTTCCTCCACGATGATGGACCAGGATCCAGAGAAGAAGCCGCAGATGTTGAAGGGCGGTGTCAAAGAAATCTTCCGAATGCGCATTATTGCCATGGCGATTATTGTGTCGATGGGTGGTGTACGTATCAAATGAACGAATGCGCAGGTATTCTGCTAACAGCCCCTAGTTCATCTTTGGATACGACACTGGTCAGATCTCCGGGTTCTTGGAGATGCCCGATTTCTTGAACAAATTCGCAGATCAGACGGACCCTGATACAGGCAAGCCCGCTTTCAGCAACTGGAAGTCTGGCTTGATCGTTGCACTGCTGTCTATCGGTACTCTAATGGGTGCTTTAATCGCGGCCCCTATCGCTGACAAATTTGGTCGCAAATACTCCATCGTCTTCTGGAACATCATTTTTTGCGTCGGAGTCATTGTACAGATTACTACAACACACATATGGTACCAGATCTCCCTCGGTCGTTGGGTCGCTGGTTTGGGCGTGGGTGCACTTTCGGTCCTTACGCCCATGTACCAATCTGAAACTGCACCCCGCTACGTCCGAGGTGCACTCGTGTCGTGTTACCAGCTCTTCATCACCCTCGGAATCTTTACGGCTTATTGCATAAACTACGGTACGAAGTCCGATGGTAGCTCCGCATCCTGGAAGATCCCAATGGGCGTTGGTTTCATCTGGTCAGCACTCATGATATTCGGGATTCTCTTTATGCAAGAATCTCCACGATGGGAATACCGCAAGGGCAAGGTTGACTCGGCGATACACACCATCGCCATCACGTACGGTGTCCCTCAGGAACATCCGGAGGTCCAGCGCGAAGTCCGGGAGATTCAGGAGAAATTGGACGCTGAGCAAGCGGGAGGAGGTCACCACCCTTGGTACGAGATCTTTACAGGACCACGTATGGCGTATCGTGTGCTTCTTGGAGTCGGTCTGCAAGCTCTTCAGCAGCTCACGGGTGCCAACTAGTAAGTCAATACCAAACATTGACACACATCTTGTACTTACTTCCTTGTAGCTACTTCTACTATGGAACTACGATTTTTCAATCCGTCGGTATTGAAGACCCGTTCGTCACTTCCATGATACTGGGAGGCGTCAACTTTGGCATGACGTTCCCTGGTCTCTACATCGTTGAGAAATTTGGAAGAAGACCCGCACTGATTACTGGAGGCTTGTGGATGTTCATGTGCTTCCTCGTCTTCGCATCGCTTGGGCACTTCGCTTTAGACAACGGCGACGGTACTACGAGCCAGCCTGTCGGATATGCCATGATCACGTTTGCGTGCCTCTTCATCGCCGGTTATGCCATGACGTGGGGGCCAATCATTTGGGCTGTGATAGGTGAGATCTACCCTAGCCGATACCGCGCAAAGGCAATGGCCCTCGCAACGGCCAGCAACTGGACATGGAATTTCCTCATCTCTTTCTGTAAGTCAATACCACTGCATCCACGTCCTTCCGCGACTGTACTAATACCACTCCCAGTCACACCTTATATTACATCTGCCATCGACTACAGATACGGTTATGTCTTTGCTGCCTGCTGTTTCACTGGTGCAGTCGTAGTATACTTCTTCCTCTGCGAATCCCACGGCCGTACTCTTGAGGAGATTGATACCATGTACATTCTCCACGTTACACCATGGAAGAGCAAGCATTGGTCTCCGACTCCCGGTGAAGATCTACCGAATCTGGACAACACCTACCTGACGCCGGGAGCGAGAGGCATCAAGAAGGGCAACGAAGCGAGAGCTCCAGAGCAGCTACGGAGGGAGAGCGTGCCCGTCACTGACGCGGACATGCACGCAAGTGGTGCAAGAGGAGCGGAGTAGGCATCGCGCTCCTAATGATTTGGGCATTGGCCCTTGTTTTGCGACCTGTTTAGTAGTAAGCACCATAGCGTAGCATAGCCTTTATACATCATCGTTTTCTCTTCACCTAAACATCACACTCCCATTCCAGCACCAACGTGTCTGACCGCTATTCACACCGACTGATAACTCATTTCTCTGTTCCAAGGCACAGTGAACTCGTTCGACGGGGTCTACAAAGCAATAGTGCAGGTGCAAAAAGGCGAATCAAAGGGCAACGCCAAAAAATTCTCAGTGCATGCATCTCCCTGTACGACAGCGTGCTGTTTACTTTCAGGCGAGCGCAAAAAGAAAGTTCGAAGAATCCTGAGATAACTCAGGCACGTTGTCCCCTTCGTGGATCGAACACGATACCTCCAGATTTAGTGACTGAGACTTCAGTCTGGCGCTCTCCCAATTGAGCTAAGGAGACGATTTTTTGATGAAGAAATTTCAAGCGCAATCAAATATCATGCCGATGATTGTTGCACAGAGTTTCGTCTGCAGTGGGACATTTGCATCGATCCAATTTCAGAATAGTGGCGCGCTGGATAGATCAGTCTGAGCGGGTCATTTCCTCCGGACCGAAGCGTGATGGAAAGGGACCGCGACCGAGAAAGAGAAAACACGCTTCGGCTTGGCGCGGATGTAACACTGTTTGGTGACATCATTGTTTGCGATTTAATTCACACCTGATCACCAGGTTCCCATTAGCAATCCTCTCTACGCGTCGTCAGATCTCACTTCGCGCAGACACACCTTATCATTGCAAGCATGGCGATTGTGGAGAATTGGCTGCCGCCGTCGCGTGAGAACTGGGAGCTGATTTGCTGGATATGGCAGTTCTTTCCCATTGTAAGTATACACCCGACAGACTGCGGGGCACTGTGCCGCAACCTTGTGTTCCATGTCATTGTCCTTGCTAATACTCTTCGTGAACAAAGATTACTGCGGCGCAATGGGTTCTGGACTGGTACCCGCAGGGTAAGACGTCGATTGAGTCGCGTTTCAACATGGATGGCAAGATAGGATGGGCGACCATGGAGTCGGCAGGCTTCATAACCCTGCTGTACATCATGTATGCGCTCCCGAAAGAATTGGGTCTTGGAGAACTACCGTGGGGCAACTGGACCATGGCTGGCTGCTTTGTGCGTATGTTTGGCGGTTCTACAGGAGCTGTGCTAATCCGACACCAGGTCTTTCACTACATCTACCGCGCAATAATCTCACCACTCTTTCTTAATCCCAGCATGTCGCCAATGCACCCGTTTGTTTGGATCATGGCCTTTGGGTTCCAAATGTTCAACGCCATTTCCATTGGCGGCTACCTCGCAGGCTATGGGCCAACATCACAATACGAATGGGCAGCGCGACAAGAGTACATGTTTCTAGGGCTCGTAGTCTGGTGCTGGGGGCTCTTGGCCAACATGTTCCACGACGACGACCTGCGCGAGATCCGGCGATCAGCAGACCGCAAGCAACGCAAGGCAGCTGCTGAGCAGGGCAAGCCCGTGGAGAAGGTGGACAAGGTGTACATGATACCGAAGAACGGCCTGTTCAAGTACTCGCTGCACGCGCATTACCTGTGCGAGTGGATTGAGTGGACGGGGTGGTGGATGATTGGGGGCTGGCAGTGCGTGCCCGCACGCACTTTTCTTCTCAACGAGATTTCTACTATGCTTCCGCGCGCGTTGCAGGGCAAGCGGTGGTACGAGAAGAAGTTTGGTAAGGATAAGCTGCAAGGGCGCAAGGCCATAATTCCGGGCGTGCTCTAGCGAGTTCTGCAGACGATGCTCTGGTACGCTAGTGATCAAGCTTCTGGCGTTCCGCAGTCAGAGAGTGGACGAGTGATAGATGTGGCTTCCGCAATCTAGTGAAGAATGAACTGGTGTAGCATTAGTAGTAAGGGGAAGGCGTAGGTGATGGTACACTAAGCATGACAGTGTGGAGATGGCGAGGTGAAAGCGTGCAGCTGGGGTGCAGAGCAACGCGACGAACTGCGACAGGGTCATGGTGTCTAATCATACGAGAATTCATTGTTTTCACAAGATAGTTTGGTGAGAATTTGTTTGTCACTAGTGGAAGCGCAGGTGGAGAGACGCACCCTGCACTCGGCAGCGATAAAAGCAGTTGGCGAGATACGAAGACAGCTGATAAAAAGCGCGCATCTAGTGGTGGTATTTACGACGTGCTGCCTCGTAAGATAGCAGTAGCTGCAGCAGTTGCGAAGCCACAGTGCGCTGTCCGTACAGTAGAGCAGACGGGAGGTAACGTGCCGAGGGTACTCTGGCCGTCTTAATATAGAGTGGCACGCCACGGAGCCAATGACGGGCGCACGGGCTGGAAAGAACAGGAAGCTCGCTCGCAACACGAGCGGATGATGTTATTGCGACTGGGGTGGTGGAGAAACGTTAGGCAAGGCCCTGGCGGATGACGGCATGCCACGGCCATGGCAGCGAGCAAGGGCGCATTATCGCGGCGCTGTGCAACGCAGGCCATTCGGTGTTTTGCATGCAGCAGAAGGGGAGCAAGCGATGTCAAGGGGCCGCGGTGCCAGATTTCACATTTCAGATTTCAGACGCACACAGCCACGCCCATGCCGCTTTCGTCGCTAGCCGGGCGCGCCTGCACCTCAGCAGTTATGAGCTCCCCCTTTGGGCCCGGGGCTAGTCAGCGAGGGCGCGTTAGAGGGTGCATTAGACACCCGCTTTTCCGTGCGAAGCTCCAAGCCAGTCGCTGCTGGATGCAACACCAGCAGCGGCATCAGGCCTTGGCGTGGGCGTGGTGAAAAGCTGCCAGGCCCGTCGCGTCTGTCGCTGCGTGCGAGCTGCGACGGTATTGTTTCACAAAAGCCAGAGGCCGATCGCAATCAGACGCCAGACCGCGCATCCCCCCCAATTGGCACGGGCGGCAGGGTAAAGCAGCGCGCTTGTGGTTGTTGGGCGCTTTCGGTTCGGCAGCTCCATCAACAGGTGCTGGCTGGGGTCGCCTGTCCGCTGCCGTGCAGGTCCACTAACCCTCGTGCACAACCTCGCCCGCCGTCGATTGGCAACCCAAGAGCCTCCGTCGATACATCATCACTGCGGACCCACGGCGGAGACACGAGATCGCCGCCGCCTGCTACAGCCCGCCAGCGGTACCACGGAACTCTAACTTCCTCATCTCCAGTAAACCTGTCCCCTTGCTGACTGACCGACCTCACTCGCGCGGCACCTCTTATCCGTCTTCGCGTCGCCGCCCTCGTCGCCTCAGTCGCTCCTTTGCCAGGCCCGTCAGCTGCTGGCTGCCATTGTCGCCATCATGTCCAGCAATGTGACCGAGAGTACGTTGTCTACTTCCATTCTTTCTCCCTCGTCTGCACCCGCTGCCTCGTCTGCGCCCGATGCATTGTCTTCGTCTGCTCCTCCTGCCTCTGCCCCATCCTCAGATCCGCCCTCGTCAGATCTTCCTTCGCCGTCTGTAACACCGTCCGCAGCGCCTGCGCCCACGGAGCCTTCTGCTCCCGCCGCCTCGTCCAGTCCGCCTGCAGACTCTCCTTCAAGTCCTCCGCCGGCTTCTAACACGCCTTCAGCCGCCGCGCCCTCATCAGACCCTCCTCCACCCGCCTCGAGCGCTGCCCCGTCCAGCGCCGCCCCAACCAGTGACCCTCCCGCCCAGTCGAGCCAGGCACCGCCGCCTGCTTCATCAGCAGCTCCAGCCCCATCAACGTCAGCAACACCTCCTCCAGCGCAGTCGAGCGCACCACCGCCAGCGCAATCGTCTACCGCGGCTCCTCCTACCTCGACCAACAATGAACCGACCTTTGTCGATACCAGCGTCTTCACTGCCCCGTCGGCTCCCCCCTCGACCCAAGTTATCGTCTCCACCGTGACACCCACGGGAGCTGGAGAGACACCATCGGTTGTCACCGTCATTCGAACTTTTACTCCTGATTCTCCGACTGCAGCACCAACCAACAGCGCCTCCCCCTCCGGTACAGGTGCTGCTGACCCTTCCAACACCGACTCCACCCAATTGCAGAATGCGCAAAAGGAGAACGCTGGTGGTCTCAGCACTGGTGGTAAGACTGCCATTGCCGTCGTCATCCCTGTTGTTGTCGTGGCTCTGCTAGTCCTAGCCGGCATCTTCTTCTGGCGCAAACGCAAGCAGCGCCAGAGCGCCGAGGACGAACGCAGGAAAGAAGTCGAGGAGTACGGCTTCAACCCCAACCACGATCCTACCCTTCCTGCTGTCGGTGGATTGGCAATGGCCGAAGACGACAGCGGTTACCGAGGCTGGGGCAACACCACTACGAGCTCCAACCGCAAAATGTCCACCACTCTCACCTCTGGCATGACCTACTCGGACAGCAACAGTAACCCCGGCGGATACACCAGCCCACACTCTCCCACACACGGAGCCTACTCCGACGCTCACTCCAACGATCCGCTCGTAGATGGCCGTCGCCAGACCATGGACTCGGACGGCATCGGTGCACTCGGTGTCGTTAACGGTGCTGCAGCTGCCAACTCTGCCAACAACCAGGCTGGTGTGCACCGCGGGCCTTCCAACGCTTCGTCGTCATACTCGGCAGCCAACCACTCTGACAACTCTGGCGACTACCCTGGTATGGCCAATGGTCACCCACAGGAGTACTACAACAACCAAGAGTACTACCAGAACGGGCCATATGCCTCCAACGATCCGTACGCTGCCCAACAACAGCCCATCATAAGAGACGTATCAGCCCGACGGAACACGAGGATCGAGAACCCAAGTGTCTTCCCTCAACAAGGCAACTCTGGAATCGCGCAAAACTTCTAGTCGTGCGCTCTTGTTGGCATCGTATCTGTTCATCTATCGCTACCTGTATATTGCGACTCTAACCTTACCCATTCCCTTTAGCTCTCACTCGACATATATCCAAACGGAGGCGTTCATCGGGTGGTCATCAATTCATTTTGCATCGTATCGATCTTTGCGTTTGTTAGCTGTACTGTTGTTGCATGCACATGCAAGTTCGCCCGCATGGATGCCGGAAAACCCTTCCGCATGCCCCACTCCACACAATAGGGAGTCTTCTTCGGAAGATGCGGAAGCTGACACTGCTGAGACATTATGCGATGGGGCACAACAAACAAAAGCACGAGCGTTTTTGAGTCTGGACCAGCGCAGCATGCATATCTCACTACACGTCGATTTGTCGGCAAGGATTCAAGAGGTGGGACCTTTTTGATTCTCTTGGATCTGTGTGAGATGATGCATGCTGGCAGCTTTTTTCCTTGTCTTGTCACCTTTCTATCACATTGATGCTGGGATCTCGAGGATTGATGTTTTCTCACGCGACCAATATAGCACTCTTGTAATTAGCCAATGCCTTTTCTCCATCACCATCTTTTTACCATTTGTCCAATAACACGTACGCCAATTTCTTGGGCAAACTCCTTTTCTTTTACATGTTGGGGTCGACAGATGACGTTGGAGGTCTCTATCTACATAGGCAGAGAGAAAAAATAGATTGACAACAAACTTCACACAAGTCTTTTGCTCCCTTTTCCATGTTTCAACCAACATTACGCGATTGAAAAAACCCATTTCAATCATGTTCATCGATTCTGGGTATTTCCAAATCGCTTCCGCGATTATACATCGTACTCGATCTGACCCTATTACACTGCATAACAAAGAATGTTGTTATCTGTCCTCGCCCAGCCACTCGTGTGCTTGGGGTGTACGCGGCCCGACAGCAGGTCTGCTTTGATCTAGACCACTAGCTGGGAGCGGCCGGCAATAATGTTGAGAGACTCCGGTTTGCTCCCAACGCGTCCGCTAGTATACAGTAGTCGGCAGTAGCTACGTAACGTAGCATGCTGTACATGCAACGTAGATCTTCCCCGACCCCGCGGTCAACATCCTGCCGAACCGTACCAAACAGTCAGTCATTTGAGATGTTTGTGTGGTGCAACCTTGTAAGTAGTAAGACATGGGTTCATCACGGTTGCTTCTTTTCTTGCAATATCCTTCCATTCAAATCTGTAGTCATGTCTGTGCTTTGGAAAGACGAGAATACCACTCGGCGTCTCCGGGCTGTCGGTCAGCGAGTTCTCATGTTCTCTGGTGTCATTGCGGGGTTCAATAGTGGAGTTTGGTTTAACAGCGGCTGACTAGAAATATAAGCTACCCGTCCTGTTCCAGACTTCTGACTGGTTCCGCGTCATATTTATGAGGGAAAAAAATAATATGGCCGGCTTGCTTGGCGCGTGTGATAATAGTAGAAGGACGGCGAGGTTCAGATGCTGTGTGCTGCATGAGTAATCATATCTCTAGTGTATTGTAGAGGAGGCTGTGAACACATGTGGGGGAATTGATCACCCTACTGCGGAGTTTTGGGTACTGTTGTGTCGGACGGTGTACTTTAAGATCACGCCTAACATTCCAATACCGCAGAGTGAAGCAAGCTTTGGCTTGTCTTGGATCATTGTTGCTGATGCAGCGAATATGGGGTCAAGGTCGAAGAAAGGCTACCGTGTGGTACAGCCGCCACTTCATCGCAAGGATATCAAGCAAGAGCGTAGTTCATCATGGAATAATCCGTCGATAGGCGGATGGATTACACATATCCCATTTTAATTACAAACAAGTCGCATTATCTCAAATCACCTCTACCTTTCGGTCTTGCGAGATTTACCCTAGCCCTCTTCCGCATACTAGCAGCTTTGCCAAGCTCCGTAACCCTGGGTTTGGACTTGTCCAAGTCTATCATACTCTTGAAGACGGGCGCCGCGTGGGAATTCTTGGTCGGTTTGAGCTCGACACCATCGTCAACCATGGGGGCAGCAGGCTGGACAAGACCTAGCCGCTCTTGGAGCTTCCTGTATTGAACTTCAGGGTCTTGCAAATTGGCGCGCGGTGCTCTCGGCTGGTTACTAGGCATCCGAGGAGGGTCCGTTGAAGTTGGAGGGTCGCTGGCTTGGTCTTGGTGTAAGCCGGATTGCTCTTTGGTTGGAGGAACAGTGGATTCAACAACAGAAGAGCCAGTCACACCAGAACGCTCTTCGGTTGGAGAAGTTGGGGGTTCAACAGCTGGAGAGCCCGTCGTACCGGATTGGACCGAAGTAACAGCGTTTGTTGGTGCTACTTCGACGGCTTCGAGTGCCCGCTGCCACCAGTATCGCTCTGCTTCAGCTTCTTGCTCCGCTCTCTCTAGCGCAATCGCCTCTTTCTGTAGTCTGCTTCTCTCCAGTACAGTCATCAACTTCCTCCGATCGACTACTTTCGCCAAATATCGCAGTAAATCAGGGTCCGACTCGTCCTCGGCGTCTAGATGTGGTAAGATATCGTCGATTTGGTCGACAAGTTGAGCATTTGCATATCCTCGCACCATGACTCCCCAGGTGTACTTGGTAGGATCAGTGCCCCTGTCGCGCATAATCTCGAAAATTCGTTCTGCCGCTTGTATCTGGCCTGTCTTGAAGAAAGCCTGCATAAAGATATTCCAGCTGTAGACATTGGGCTTTGCTGGGCCATCCGTCATGTCTTGGATGAGCTGTGATGCGTTTGCGAATTGCTGTTTTTGACAAAAGGCGTAGAGGAAGGCGTTCCAGATTTGCGGCTGCCGAACCATTGCATTGAATGCCGGATGACCCCCCTCTTGCACGACCGACTTGAATTTGAGATATAAGTTATAGACTCGCATGTTGCTAACTGCCAAAGCTGATTGAATCTCTGTCTGCAGCATGATGTATAGCGCTACATGTGAAGGAGAAATGTGCACAGACTCTGGCGTAGATGAATCTTGTGACATCACGGCGTTCCCTAGGCTTGCGGTTCCGTAGCCAACGAATGGCTGCAGAGGCGTTGTCGTAAAAAGTCTGGAATAGGACTGCCATAGCATGGCAGAGGTCTGTTCGACGCTTCCATCAACTCTGTAGCGTACATACAGATAGTAGAGACACTCCGTTGCTAGCCAGGAGTCCTGGATATCTTGTGCTACCTCTTCGCAATATTGTGCAAATCTTTGGAAAAAGGCTGGATCGTCTTGCATGGTACATCCATGGAGCATTATCCCGAACGTGTATTTGTCTGGCTGTAGGTCATTGTTTTCGAAGGTGTTGTACACCTTGAAAGCCGTGGCATGATCTCCAGCTTCCATTGCGTTGTGTATGACGACATTGTAAAGAAGTAAGTCCATCTGGATACCCATGTTTACAAAAGCAGCGACAATATACGGAGTGTGATAAAAGTCTTTGGTTGCAGTCATGCTCCTTCGCAGTATGACAGCGCACACCCAGCGAAGTCTTTGACGCGCCACAACAGACTCCCATGCCTTAGCTGAATGTCGGCTTTTTAATGCGTCAAGGCATTTCAAGGCATACTGCACTTCACCAGCCTGCCCAAACGCAGTGGCATAGTGTAGCACTGTATCGTAGTCAACGCGTGCCTTGTGTTCCACAAGGCAATCGAACACTTTCTTCAGATCGTCTATCTTGGCTAGCTCGACCAGATTGTACAGTAAGTCTTGAGAACAGAAATCAGGCTGGCCAGATAACGTCTTGACAAAGACGTGCAAGAAGGCCGGGACGAATTCGCGCTTGCGTGCTTCTAGGTCAGTACCCCAACTTCGGTCCTGATACAATCGGTGTCGATGAAGCTTGGACAGATGACTGAGAGCGTCGGCAATAGCTTCTTGCTTCCGGCCCCAGGTACGTGGATCGTTAACCAAAGCTTGTATGAAGTATAAAGCGCGACCAGGCTTACGATCGAGGAGATAAATGAGCAACTTATGGGCGTAGGCTTTCCGCGTCGAGATGTCGAGACCCTTCCACCTGTCCCATACTTGGCGCGGGCTTGATTCAGTGTCTCCCGCAAAGAGCGCCCAACTCAATCGCGCACATCGTGGGTCGTGTTTTATAACGACGCTACGTGTGTTTCTTCGCAAAGATGCGTAGACGGGCCGATCCAGTGCCGCAAACGCGTATTGAAGCCCATTCTCTTTTGCTGAAGTGTCAGTCAGATCAAGGTGCGTCTGGTTCCAGCTGACGAGATTTGCCACGCGGCGCTGAAGAGACCTGTATCGGCCATCTTGGTCGCGCCTTGTACGTGAGAACCAGGCAGGTAGTCTGGAGACGTAGTTGTCGAGTCGCGCACGTTCCAAGGAGAGTTGTTTTGAATGTCTCTCAGCTCGCAGAGGTGTGCGTTGGACGGAGGACGAGGAAGCACGAGTGCGATTGGACTGCGCCCGACGAGCTCGAGGTCGCGAGAGCATCTTCTCATCTGCTGTGCCTTGGTTGCTGGATGTAGTCGTTGCGTATGAGCGGGCATACTGGCGAGTGAATGTCGATATATCCGCATAGAGACGATTGACAGAAACAGGACCGTTGGTTCTTTTGTTCCAATGGCCAGAAGTCCGTAGGAGCCCCGCAGCAGGAGTGTCTTGTGTGGATCGCTTGCGACATGTTGGTACATTTGTCTGTCGGGGGTTCGAGATAACGTCGTGATGTTCAACCCTATTATGTTCCTCTAACCATTTTGATCTACCCTTCTCTTTATCCCGTGTTGCGCTAGGTCTTCCATGCTGTTGCCTGTGTGCGTTCGTCGTCGATGACTGGGCGAAGACTCTCGGAGCGAGAAACGGAAGGATGAGAAAGTCGGCGCTGGCGATGAGGCTAGCATTGGGAACGCGAAACCGGGGCATGAGAAGAAGCAGGTGCTGTCGTCTTCACGGAGCCATGATGTGTCAATTCCAAGTAAGCTGGTGAGGATGGCGAGGAGCACGAAAACTTGAGAAGGTGCGTGTTTGGTAAGAAGCGCTAACCGGAGAAGATCCTGGACTCCCGAACTGTTCTCCGCAGCCACACGACAAGCACGACCACTTCAGCAATCACCCATCACATCCTCTGTTCTCTCCGCGCAATCCCAAAAGGGCTCTCGTGCACAAAATCACGTCATAGACCAGCTTTGGACACGTCCCGATCCTGCACGCAAGCACACTCGTGCCCGGCGCAACCGCAAAGCTCTCACCATGTCTTCGCACGAAAAGCTATCCGCAGCCGCCAACGACCGGAAGTCACGCCTCGCACAGCTCAAGTCGCTGAAACGGAAACAAGAACAAATATCAGACGCGCCAGAAGCTGCCGACTCGCCATCCACCCAGCTCCAGGCCGAGACGTCGCAAGCTCTCACACGCACAGATGAAGAGGAAGCATCAGTAGCAGCCACATACCTCTCCGGTCGAAACTACGATGCGACGACGCGGAATGTCAAGTTGGGCTTTGACAATACACCAATCGCCGACCCCACAAACACATTGGAATACAAGGCAGAACAGCTGGCGCTTGAAACAAAGGCGCAACAAGAAGCAGAAACGGCAGAGGACAAGGGACTGGACCTGTTCAAGTTGCAGCCCAAGAAGCCAAATTGGGACTTGAAGAGGGATTTGGAGCAGAAGATGAAGGGACTCAATGTGCAAACAGACAACGCAATTGCCAAGCTGGTCCGCGAGCGAGTAGAAGCCCAGAAGGCCATAAGAGAGAAGCAGCCGACAGACGGCAGCAATGGAGAAGAGGTGGGTATGGAGGGCAGTGAGCTGGTCGAGGCAATGCATCTGAAGGAGCAAGAGGACGAGCGAGAAAGGAAGAGGGATGAGGAGGACGAGGACGTCAGTTGAGAGTGTAAAATACGGTGGATGCAATTTGGATCAAGACGGGAGTTGGCCGGGTTATTGCACGCAATCTCGACGATCGGGTCTGCTTAAGGACGCCGATAGGAGGATGTCGAGACGTGAGAAGACGATTGAACGATACGCAAATCGAGTCATAAGAGGGGACAAAAGAGACTTGCTTTCTACAGTCCATCATGGAAGACCAAAGTTTCAATGTCACCATCAAGCCACAATTATCGCTTACTCTCAGACGCTGTCCTCCCCCAACAATCACGCGAACGACATCTGCTGAAGACAGCAATAAAAAACGCGACAGACCTACAGTCTATCTCTATCTGCATTGAAACTTCATCGCTATTACTGCAATCAGCAAACAGTCGCAGTCATAATCGCAGCCTGTCATTAGGACCAGTAGCGACAAATTCCAAGTTCGTAGCTGGAGACGCATGAAGCCGTCGTGAGGTAGTCGGCAGTCCGTGGAACCTGAGATCAGGCAGCGCGCAGAGGAATCGCGTCGCCTAGAACAGATACAAGAACTGGTCCTCTGCTGCGCCGTAGACGAGCTCGTGCTGCTCGTGAGCGTCCTCTGTACTGAAAACGTGGTATGGGGACTGGATTAGTGCTTAACGTTACCTGGGTAGGCCGAGGAGCAACCATGGACCACCATGAAAAATTCTATAGAGCGAACCTCGGTTGAGGTCGAGACAACCATATAACTGAAGTCAGCAGGTGTCCTAATCGCTGCGGAACCGGGTCACTTGTGCGTTGACTATAAGAGGAGCGCACTGCGCACACCCATTATCAATCTCACCACCAAAACCCGAAAACTCGAATGTACTGCTACAAAACAGTTCACGTGCTTCTGCGTATATACCGAGGGGGTCACCAAGACTGTGTAGTGGTTGTATACAGTCGCGTCTTGTTACAAGTTTACCCTTGCGCGGAGGTCGGTTATTCAGACCCGCCCCTGTCATTCACGAGTCAACCTCGGCATCTCCACGCGCCAAACTTCCACGGGTGTTGCGGATGCGGGGACAACCGTCGCGCTATATACATCATCATGGAGCGCGTCTCGCTATTCTCCACTATCTCCGTTCTTCCAGAACCACCATACTTTAACTGTGCTGCGACGTTTTCATCGCACCTAATCGACTACACCGCTAAAGCTCCCTTACATCCTAACCTTTACAACTCACAATCGCAATCATGGTCGGCAAGAAGCAGCCTGTCTACGTCCTCGGCGTGGGCATGACCAAGTTCATCAAGCCTCGTGGCAAGGTGGACTACCCAGAGCTCGGTTTTGAGGCAGGTGTCAAAGCCATGCTTGATGCGCACATCAACTACGACGATGTCGACCAAGGCGTCGCATGCTACTGCTATGGCGACTCAACTTGCGGTCAGCGCGTCTTTTACCAGTTCGGCATGACTGGCATTCCAGTATACAACGTCAACAACAACTGCTCGACTGGTTCGACCGGCCTCTACATGGGACGCAACATGATCGCGCACGGAGCGGCCGACTGCGTCTTGGTCGTTGGTTTTGAGAAGATGTTTCCCGGAAGTCTACAGAGCTTCTTCCAAGATCGCGCAAACCCGACAGGCACGACTAGCCTGATGATGAAGGAGACGAGGGGTATCACCAAGGCGCCGGGTGCTGCGCAAATGTTCGGAAACGCTGGACGGGAACACATGGAGAAGTGAGTCTAGACCTGTCCTACTTGGATCAACCCATGTTTCTATTATACTGACCATCTCCATAGATACGGCTCCGAACTCAAGGACTTCGCAGAGATTGGTCGCATCAACCACGCTCACTCCAAGAACAACCCCTACTCGCAATTCCAAGACGAATACACCCTCGAACAAGTCATGAACGCACCCATGATCCACGAACCCCTCACAAAGCTCCAATGCTGCCCGACCTCCGACGGAGCTGCTGCCACAGTCCTGGTCTCGCAGGAATTTCTAGACAAGCGCCCCGAGCTCAAAGACCAGGCCATCCTGATTGCTGGACAAAGACTAGCAACCGACACACCGTCACTGTTCAACCGCAGCGCCATTGAGCTAGTAGGATACAGCATGAGTGAGCTCGCTGCTCGTGAGGCGCTCGAAGAGGCCAACGTATTACCGGACGACGTCAAGGTGTGCGAACTCCACGACTGTTTCTCCGCCAACGAGATGGTCACCATTGAAGCCCTTGGCCTGGCTCCTAAGGGCAAGGCTCACGAACTTATCCGCAAGGGTGGCATTACCTACGGCGGAAAGGTCGTCATCAACCCCTCAGGCGGTCTGATCTCCAAGGGCCATCCCCTCGGCGCCACGGGTCTCGCTCAATGCGCTGAGCTCGTTTGGCACATGCGTGGTTGGGCAAACAACCGATCAATCAAGGACACAAAGGTTGCCCTACAGCACAACTTGGGTCTTGGAGGCGCCGTAGTATGCACAGTGTACAAGAGGCACGACGGAAGCGCCGCGACGGACAAGTCAGACGAGCAGATCGCCAAGATCACTGGACTGGGATACAACCCAGCGACAGTCGCGAAGGGATTCACAAAGGAACAGGTTGATGCTGTGAGGAGCAAGAAGGCAAGGAGCCAATGGGCACTGCAAGACACAGAGCAAAAGGTTGAGGCGAGGTTTTAGACGAGTTTCGCCGTAACTACCGTGGTCTTTGAATAGCGCTATTTACTACACATATCCATCGTACCTACTTCACTCACGCTCTCTCCATGCTCCTTCGACCATATTGACCGAATTCTCACGCGTCAGTACACCAAACCGAGGGAGGCGTACTTACTCAGTCCCATTCTTCCATCTTCCCTCTTCTTTTCATAGCTACCAAACAGTAGGAAATTCTTCCGACTTACCTGCCAGCAGAAGCTAGACGTCTGATCTCGTAGCGCCAGAGCAAGCGAATTGATCCAAGGATATAAATATATCAAAAACAAAGCGTTGTAAGAATGAAACCCCAGAGCCCCGTTCCGACTCAACCCAAGCTAAAGATGGTGGAAAGATGTAGACATTGACGCACACCGCAGTTTCGGCTCGTGTTGAGCAACCTGAGCTCGAGGGACTGTTGAAAACGGTTCAGCCGCACTGCCCACTGTGATTGAACAGGGGAAAAGGTGAGGTGGGTGGCTGAGGGGAGGTATGCGCCGGTTAAGGAGCGTGGAGGTTTGGAGATGGCTTGCTGAGCAAAGTGTTTCGGTCTGCTGTAACCAAGTGTGAAGAATCTCGATGTCGATGTTGCCGTGAGTGTCGATGGTGTCTTTTTGATGTTTTATGTTATGGCGAGACCGTGAGCTCAGTTGCGCTTTATCCTAGAGTGAGAAGGGGTCCTGTAAGGGAAATGAATGGCAAGAATAGAAGCCGTTTGAAAACCGGATTGGGACCTATGAAAGTGTAAGTAAGAAAGGAGAGTGTATCACATATAGATTTGGTGGATGAGGGCCATGGTGGTTGCTTGGTGTTTTTGAAGTGTCGAGTGTGGGAACGAGAATGAGAATGAGAATGAGGCAGAGAGGGAAGGTTATATAGCGTCTACACATGTTTGCTGACACAATGGAATATCAGATCCGTGTCAACCTGACCATTGATTGCTGCTTGATTGACTCATAATCAGAGACAAAAAGGAGACAATAGCAATCCGCTTGTCGTCCGTGATAGACCGTCATCCAAATAAGTACATTTGCATGTTAAGGCACGAGGACATGTCTTCACACAAATTGAGACGCGAAAGGCATGGCAAGCAGTTCATAACTGAACTTGTGATCGTGATTTGGTATTTCGAGTTATGCTCGAACCTTCGTTTCGCCGTATGCAAAAAGACACCCAATTTTGATGCCCAAGAGCGACAATTGTCTGGCATAAAATGCAGGACAAAAATTACATAGTAAGACCGTAGAGTAGAGTAGTATGCAACTTCTTCCAGGCTTGCTTCGTTAGCAGCCGATAGTGCGCCATGTCTAATCCGTGCTCAAAAGTCGGGATCCTCCATGATGATGCCAAAGCTACGACGGCGACCGATCAGATGAAAATCATCGGAATCCTTATCATTTTGGGGAGACCAATGACTTCTCCTTGTCTCACGTCCGTCGCGCTCAGTAGCGGAAACACTCTAGGCTCCGCTCGCCACACCACGTATGTTGATGCCACCTCCTCCTCCTCCACCACGCCGATCAGCAGATCCGCGGATGTTGATTCCTTCCTGGCTGCGTGCCCGTCCCTGGCCACGAATGTTGATATCGTCATCGCGTGTGATGCGATCAGCGAGACCACGTCGAGGCTGTGACGGCTCAGAGAAGTCGGTGACGTAGGGATCGCGGTCGTCGCCCTTGAGGCGACCAAACGACTCAGCGGGATCGTCGTCATCGCGTGTGATCCTGTCAGCTAGCGACCGCTTCTGTTGCGGAAGCACGGGCTGTCCGTTCTTGGTCATGCGAGAAAGTAGCGAATCCCCTCCTCGTGACTTGGATGATCCGAATGTTGCGTCGATGGCGTTTGACCGATGGTGATTGCCCATTGGCGAAGTGTCAAGGAAGGAAGAGTCCTTCTGCCAACGTCCACCACTCGCAGGGCCGCCGCGATCATAGTTTGCACGGTCGTGTGTCCAACGATCCATGCTGGGTTCACGGCGACGTCGAGTATCGTTGCGGCTGCGACTCCGGCTGCGGTACCGACGGCGGCCTGCGTGGGTCTCGTTCTCTGCGAATCCGAACCGGCCGTCGCCTTCTTCGTCGGAGGCAGGGGAGGCGCTGCGTCCTCGTAGACGGCCGAAGCGTGGCTCTTTGGGACTGGGTCGGTTAGCTTGTTGACAGGATGATAAGGCAATGCGCTAAAGTACCTTCTTGAGCCTGGTCGGTAGGAATCAACATCTTCATTCCTGAGTCTACCAGCAGCGGGCTGACGACCTCCTCTGCTACCGCGACCTCGAACTTCTCGTCCATCGCGGTCATCACGGTTGTCTCGTCCGTTCCGGCGCGGGCCCCTTCGGTCAGCGCCTGAGTCGCCCATAGACTGGTCTCGGCTATAACCCCGTCTTGATCGGTCCCTGGAGCCCATGTCCTCGTCGCCATAATCTAGATAGTCCTTCTGCGGTTTTTGGTTTCGTCGCGGCTCCCTCTGGTGGTTGCCAGCCACGTCTGGGTTGCGCTGGTAGTAATTGCTCTTGGTTGCTGCGCCCCTAGGCTTCTGATCACCGGCATTGGACTGCCTGATCACGAGAAGACTATTTGGCTTCTTTGAGTATGGTTTCGCTGTGCGGGGCTCTTGCAGTGAGAGGTTGCTGGTGTCGCCCACGTCGGAGTGAGTGAGGATGCCTAGGGCGACGGTCGCGTCTTCCTTGTTGTAGAACTCGAGGTTGACCGAGTTGTCGTTTACCCAGCGCAGTTGCTTAACGCGCGGGTCTGACTGACAATGCTCCATGGCCCAGTAGAGGGGATCGTTGGGGTCGAAGTCGCTCACGCCCTGGAGGTTGAGGGATTCGGGCCATGCTTCGTGGACGATGATATCTTCCAGATAGGCTGCGGGTACGCTTCGTTCTTGCTCGGCCGTATCCTGAAATGGTGCGCATGTCAGTCAATTGCGCCCTCTCGTGCAGCCTGGCGCAATGCTCACCTGGACAACCTGCTGCGGTTGCGACGGCTGTGCTACTGGTTCAATGTCTGCGCCTACGTCAATGTCAATATCGTAAGCGACATCAGTCATATCCGTGTCGTCCATGATGGCGGCTGTATTGCAAAGAGGTCCGGCAATTCGGTGAGGTGATGTTGTTGGAAGTTCAAGAGCTGTACAAGCAGCGCGCCGCGGTCGGTAAGCTCCAAAGCGCGGGCGGGCACTAACGTGATCACGTGCGTGATTGAGACGCCCCGGCACAATACGATTGCCCGATTATGTGTCTCACCACCAACAATAGCATAAACAACAAAGTGACAGTGAACGTACAAGCAAGCCAAGTTTGGATCAGGGGCGTCACTCCATCCTGCAGCAAGCTACCCAAGCTTGCAGACATGGTCCCTAGAAGCTAGCCATGACGCGTAACAGCTGTAATCGACGATATGCTCGAGACATTGATAACTTCCTAAAACCGCCTACCATCTTACGACTGCTCCTCCAGCGTAAAGGTACCCGTCTTCGTAATCAGATACTCATTCACTGCAACATCTTTCCCTGACTCTTTGCCATAGCCGGATTGTTTGATGCCACCAAATGGCGATTCTGCAGCAGAAGAGTTGCCCTTGCACACGTTAGTCATGCTTTTCGATGTCCTCATTGTCAACTTACCGTGTTCAGGCCGATCATACCGGCCTCTAAATTCTCAAACAGTCTCCAAGTGCGATCAACGTTCTTTGTGAAGCAGTAGGACGCGAGACCCATGCTGGTATCGTTTGCGGCCTTTACGGCTTCATCTTCAGTCTCGAACTTGATGAATGTACTGATCGGTGCGAAGGCTTCTTCATTGGCAATGTCCATGTCTGGCGTAACGCCGGTGATGACGGTAGGTTCGAAGAAGTAACCACCGTCCTTCTCCACCTTGTTACCGCCCGTATGGATCTTCGCGCCTTTTTTCTTCGCATCTTCGACAAGAGCGAGTGCTTTCTCGACACCCCGTGGGGTAGTCACTGGGCCCATCGTCGTCTTCTCATCTGAACCGTGACCAACCACGATCTTTTGTGTCTCTGTGTTCCAGCGTTCGAGGAACTTGTCGAAGATACCCGACTGAACGTATATCCGGTTCGCCGTAATACACGCTTGGCCCGCATGTCGGTATTTCAGTGCGAAGATCTGTGTCATAGCTTGCTCGATATTTGCGTCGTCAAAGATTAGAACAGGGCAATTGCCTCCCAGCTCCAATGTAACCTTCTTCAGATTGTCCGCACACATCCTAGCGACTAGCTTGCCAACGCGCGTCGAGCCTGTAAACGTGACCTTGCTCACAAGCGGGTGCCGGCAAAGCGCCTCGCTGAGCTCCGGTGTCTTGTCGAGGTCTGTGGTTAAGACATTCAACGCCCCCTTTGGAAACCCAGCTTTTTGAGCTAGGTGGGCGAGTGTGAGTACAGTGATTGGTGTTTCCGGGCTGGGTTTCACAATCATTGTGCAGCCCGCAGCCAATGCCGCACCAGCTTTGCGAAGAATCATGGCGATAGGGAAGTTCCATGGCACCAACGCGACAGCGACACCAAGCGGCTGCTTGATCGTGAAGATGCGTCTGTTTGGTAGCGCGGGAGTGAAGACACTGCCTTGGATACGCTCAGCTTCGCCGGCAAACCACCATGTGAAGCCTGTCGAGTAGTCGATTTCTCCATACGCCTCGGCTCTAGGCTTCCCGGTCTCGTAAACAAGAATGGTGGCTATGTCTTCCCTGTTCTCTTTGATCAGGGCATCCCATCGGTAAAGCATCTGTGCTCGTTGTCGCGGGCTGATCTTCTTGTAGTCCTGGAAACATGCATGCGAGCTTTTAACAGCATCGTCGACATCAGATGCATCATTCGTAGGACATTCTATCCATGGATTTCCTGTTCCAGGGTCTGTCCGCCTGTCAGATATCGGCATTCAGATAAGTAGATATGCTGCGATGACTGACCGACCACTTCGAACGTCTTTCCCGACTTCGCTCGTACCCAATCGCCATTCACAAAAGATAGGCTATGGAGCAAGTCCGGATTGTTGAGCTTGTTTATATCAGTACGAGTTCAATACAACTATCAGTCTGTACCTAGGTATTGACGCACCTTGAACGGTAGCTCGTGTTTGCTGTCTGACGCCATTTTGATTTTGACTTGGAACTCGTATACGTATGGCGATGCCTCGGAAAATTGTTTTAAGTTTCTACGTATCTTTGACCAAAGCTGGTGAGTGTAGAGTGAAGTTGCCCGGAGGAGATGATCTTAGAAGGCGCATTGATTCCGCGGCCACCATGGTCAGCATCTGCAGACAACAGAGCTCCCCCACTTTCCAGTGTATAGCCTACATGAGTAATGCGCGTATCTGCAGCGATATCCGGATATTTCAGGAAAGGCGATCCGAAGAGACGCCGAAGACGTTCAAAGCAGCGAAACGTCGGCGGAGACGGTCTCCAATTGGCTCAAACCTCGGTGGTCCTCCAACACGACGTCAACTGCATGCGGGGCATCGCGCTTACCCCTCACTGCTGTGCTCGACTCCGAAGAACGACTAGTCGACTGACAATGATTGGAGATGCGATACCGGTGGCAGACATCGGGGTCCATGAAATGGCAGGCAGGAGCGCTTTGTTCCTTTGTAATCAAAACATCAACATCGCCGCTGGCTATTGAGACTCAGCATCAAACCTAGCAATTCAAGACTATATTGGAGGAAACACAGTTGGCCCCTCTAAATTCACACCGTGAGGCGCAGTCTATCAAACCTCTCATCATGGGCAGACTAGATGGCAAAGTCGCCATCGTAACCGGTAAATCGCACCCTCACCATTCCTCTCATGTCTTACTAACCACCTCATCAGGCGGTGGTTCAGGCTTCGGCGCTGGAATCTCAAAAGGCATGGCCTCTGAAGGTGCCAAAGTCCTCGTTTGTGACATCAACCAGTCAGGCGGCGAAGCAACGGCCGCCACAAACCCTTCCTCTCTCGCCTTCCACAAGATGGACGTGACCAAAACCTCGGACTGGAAAGCCACTGTCTCGGCTTGTATCGATAAGTTTGGGCGCTGCGACATACTTGTAAATAACGCAGGGTGGTCGTATACCAATAAACCCACGTCGACGGTCACAGAGGACGAGTTTGACAAGGTCTTCGATGTCAATGTCAAAGGTGCGTTGAGCTGTTAGTGGATGGGATGACATTCTGACAACCCGACAAGGTGTATATCTTGGCTGCAATGCCTGGGTTGATCAAGCTATCGAGCGCAAAGAAGGAGGTGTGATCATCAACATTGCGAGTGTTGGGGCCACGCGGCCAAGGCCTGGCTTAGTCTGGTACAACGCGAGTAAAGGCGCGATTTGGAATGTAAGTCATCTCCTAACCTGTCTCCATTTTTCCTCGGTATTGCAATGACTTACACACTCTTCAGGCAACAAAAGGCCTCGCGGCAGAGTACGGTCCCCATCAGATTCGTGTCGTGTCTATCTGTCCCCTGGTTACCGGAACGGGTCTCTTTTCTGCCTTTACAGGAATGGAAGATACACCAGAGAACAGGACGAAGTTCACATCCAATGTGCCTATGGGAAGGATCGGTGAAGTGGACGACGTGGTGAATGCGTGTATTTTCATGGCAAGCAAAGAGGCTGGCTTCATTACGGGTGTTAATCTGGAAGTGGATGGTGGACGGTGTATCTAAACCAGCCTCGTTACAGAGAAGATAATCAGAAATAAGCCATCTCGATCAACCATCCGTAGGAACGGCTCCAAAACGCTGTCATATCTCGTGAATCTGGGCCTAGCCGTCCATATACACATCCTCACCCTCCCTGTCCTCTTCACCCTCTTCATCATCGTCATCGTCATCGCCATCCACACTGTCATCATGCCCCTCCATTTCATCCCCGTAATCCTCCTGAACTTCGTCATCCTCGTCCTCATCCTCATAGTCCCATGCCTCATCCGTCTCAAGCAACTCCTCAATCTCCCTCCTCCGCCTAGCCTCATCACTATCCCCATCTACTCCATCCACCAGCGCGTTCTGCACAAAAGCACCCTTTCTGTCCTCTTTACTCAGAGCGATCTCTCTGTCAACCTCCACAGCCCAGCCTTCCCAGATGGCACCCCTCTGAGTCGTCGTCATCCTTCCTCTACTAGCCCTCCACCTCTTTGTCAGTTCTCGTTCCCTCGCCACGGGAGAATTCATAACCATCATCTCATAAGCCTGCTTCGCCTTCTCATAGGCAGCATGATGCGATATTGAAGGACCTCTATTCGGTGCTGCGTAGCTCTCCAGTACGGTGTAGTGACCCTTTCGCACTCTGTCTTGTGCATTGGCCCACACACCCAAAGGTAGAAAGACCGCGCGATTCAGTGTGATCTTCCCACTCTTGGGGTGTGTGTATCCAAGGAGAAAAGCGTCAGTCTCGGCTAACCCATTGTCGCCTAGCCTCAGTCCGCCGGGACCGATGGTGTTTGCGGGTACGAGGATCTTGGGCAGATAGATTTGCACGGGAATACCGCGGTGAGATGTAGTAAAGGGAGAGGTGGCTAGTAGACTTGGTGCGAAGGATGAGAGAGGAGAACCTGGTGGTCGAAGGTTAAGTGGAGATGGAGCAGTGCGCTGCATAGTCGCCTGAGGAGGAGCCAGTAAAGAATTGAGAGAGAGCTGTTGGCGCTGCTGAGTAGATCTACCCTGATCAACTCCTCTGCTAAGACTTGGCAGGTCTGGTGCGCGTGGTAGGGGTGGCCCAGCATTTGGAAGTCGCTGACCATAGCTAGTGGCATGACCCTGTGTCTCTTGAGCAGCCGCGAGGCGCTGTGCAAACGCCGGTGGTGGTGCATGATCAGCGCGTCCTAATGGCGTCGGCCAAGATGACGTGTAAGACTGCTGAGACAGGTTTGGTGGGTGAGTAGTAGGCTGGAACCAAAGAGGGGGAAGACCCGGCGGAGCCACCGAAGGAAGAGCCCTATATCCAGATGGAGAATGATGCTGATGTTCAAATCCAGGTGGTAGCGGGGGTCGAGCATAAGGACCGAAGCCTCCTTGGAAGGCCCTAGGCAGTTGGTGTTGAGAAGGTAGCTGCAGTCCAGATACAGTAATATCTGGAGCTTGAGACACCGCAGGAACATGCGATTGAGGATAAGGATGGGAGCTTTGCACACTAGCTTCTCCAGCTTGGGCATTCTGCTGGGACATCACTCGACTCACAGCCAGACTCACCTGCTGCTTAAGCATCCCTATCATTTGGTCTGTGCGATTTGGAGTGACATCCCGCATGAGCGCAGCAACAGGTGGCAGTGTCTGTTCTGTAGTAGGAGCAGCTTCTGTAGTAGGTAGAGCGACATAGCTGGAGTGGTGTCGCTGGTGGGGGAACAAGGTGGTGTCGGGAATGAACGTATCTCGAGGTTGAGTCGAGGTCATCGCAGGCGGTGGACGTGGTAGCGGTGGTAGAGATGGACGAGGGGGCGTTGCGGGCGATGGAAATGAGGGTCTAGGCAGCAGACGCATTCTGGCCCTTGGGGCATTCATGTCATCGTCTGAATCTTCATCGGTACTCCCATTGCCGTCGTTGTTGTTCCGCCTACCGCCGTCAAAGTTGCGTGAAGAATGTGGAATCGATGGGAAACTACTACGCGCGAACATTTCTTGCAAACCCGCTCTGTCTCTTGCACCTCGGAACAGCCTGCTCTTCATCTTACCCACAAGTGGTGTAGGAACGATATTGATCCTTTGCTGTCCCTCATCTTTGGTCTGTTGGATCTTGCGCAAGATCCCGTCAGTCACATCCGGGCGATGGGCGTGAATGGCCGTGGTAGGGATGAGAGGGACACCCGATGGACCTCGGGGAGCAGCACTACGCGCAGCAAATTGAGCCTCATCCGCCAATTTACTGCTGATGGAAATTTCCAACTGCTTTGCCCTATGTTGCTCCTTGAGCGAAGTGAAGACCTGCGCAAGCTTTGCGTCCTTCTCGTAGTTCTTGAGGCCGCCTGCTTCCACGAGCGGTGGCGTCTCTTGCAGGCTCATTGTCTGATCTCGGTGGTAGTCTCTCATGTTCTGTGGGGTAACTCCTGCTTCTACGAGTAAGAAGAAAGCGCGTTGTCGTGATTTGAAACAAGCCTCGTAATACTTGGCTCGCTTGTACTGGTCTCGAGGGATGTTGATAAGAGGCGGCAGGGGCTCGTCTAGCTTTGGGGGCTGTATGCCGAAGTGTACTTCGCGGTACTTCAGACGTTCGCTTTCTTCTGTCTTGCGTTCGAGTGCCGCTAGGTCGGGCTTTTGTCGCATCTGAGTGGTTGTGTCACCGCCTTGTCCGTCTTTCCCGCCGTCTTGGGTGGCACCTCTTGCTTGATTCATTTCCTTCTTGACTGCCTGAGGGACAAGAAACGGATGATATTCAAAGTCCCACAAACTTGGAATCTCGCCATGTAGAGCCGCCTTCAGAGCCTTTCCGTCTCCTTCGTAAAAGTCGATCCACCTGTAAAGAAACTCGATGAAGTTGGGTACCACTGTGCTGTCGATCTGCACGATATCGACCAGAATGCGCAACATGTCCTCCTCGTGCAAGAGATCGGGATCTATACAGCGAGCATGCAGAGTCATCGGGGGCGCGTTGCTCGCCGGTTTCGGCGCGGTAGGGGTGTTCGGCTGGCCCAAGTCAAGACGAGGCCTCTTTGCTGATTGCGGTGCCGCGAGGGATTGGCGAGCCGCTGTTTGATTCACTTCCCACTGCACGCACCACGTCCATAGCTCCTTGCCCGTCTCCAACGCCTTGCGCTCAGTGAAGTCCTGGAGAAGCGCGAAGAAAACGTCGTGGTTCGTGTCCATTCGGTAGGTGATGGCGTGAGACTTGTACTGCTCATAAGGTACGAGAGTAGGTAGCGGCTCGACGTTGCCAACAACATCTTGTAGCTCGAGATAGCGCTCGTCGAACAGGTCCATAACCTTGCCATGGGACGCCATGGTTGCGCAGGCGGTTGCGTTGTTGTTCAAGACGAAACCAAAGTGTTGTGATGTTGCTGGGTGAGAAGTGAGAGGGGAGCTAGGCAAACGCGCGGTGCTGCCATGCGGACGCAAACGAACAATATCAGCGAGGAACGTGGGGAGCAGCTTGAAACTCGAGGACTGAGATCACGGGATGACGCAACGAAAGAGATAGTGCACAAGCAGCCTACCGTGCTACTCGGAAAATCTATGCTGGTCGTATTGCAAGCCCGAATATTTGTACAGTCGCCAGAGGGGTATCGTCGCAATCGTGCCATAGCGCCGCCTTCACTTGCTCCTAGTATACACGCGCGAACACACGCTCATTTGCTGCTCTCCCTGATCTTCTGCATAATGGCGCTCGCCCTGTCCTCGGCCTCTTCCCGTACTCTCCGCCAATCGGTTGTGTAGACCTTCTTCACGCCCTCCTCGAGGCTTCTGTTCCAGCGGTCTTTGGCCATCTCGGCTAGCCCGACAGGTGCTTCCCGACTTGTAGGCTCTGGTTCTGGCTTCTTGGGCTCGTAGAATTCGGTCAGGACTTGGCGTTGCTGTCGTAGGAGCGCGGCTTGTGTTATGCGGTTCTGTGTGTGTAGGGAGATGCTGAGATAGAGAACGCCTGTGGTGAGTGTGACGCCTCCGAGCTGCACAAATTAGCTGGTATCATTGCAAGAGATTGGCAGCACTTACGAAGCCCGTGATGAAGCCCATGGTTACGCTGGAGATGGGTCAAGATGTGCGCGAAGATGACGTGCACGGGTGCTTTTGCTGGATGCGTCGGGGGCCAATGGCTGGGCGGACAGATGTGCTGCGTCCACTTGCTATCCCTCTATCGGCGTGAGGGGCTGTCGAGGGCGAAAACACGAGAATGTCCAGGTGGTGGAAAGTTGACTCGGGTGTGAGGTCAGCGGAACCGCGCGATGGCCTGCCAGGATTATTCCGTCCCAAAGCGGCAACATGTCCAAGATCCGTTGAACGCTGCTAGCGCCGCTTCCTCGTCCATCGGCCCATCCCCTCACACTCCACCTGGGCAACCTCTCCCTGCAACCATGCTTTTTCTCCCACAAGCCCTTGATTCCATCGGCATCGTGCCCATATCATGTTCCGTCGTCGCGCAATCTGAACGGATACCATCAGTTTTACGTCCGGTGTGCTTGCGCATATGTCCTCGCGACTCCTCACGCTAGACTATGCACCTTCAAGCGTGTGCATGGCCAGGTAGCAACTGCACTTCCCAGGGTTCATATGCACATGTTTTTCGCGGGGTTCCCAGTGGTACGTAGGGAACTGCCGTACCTACACACCATCACAGAGTGGTTGCACACAAGCTTGGCAGATCTACTTAAGAGCGTCCAATGCCTACATGACAGCTGCACATTGGAAATCCTCAGCCCAATCAATACAATCGCGACAAGTGAGAATGGCACTAAACGAACTTGTGCAAGTGCCTTCTGCAACCAACATCCTTCTTCTGCTTGCAGTATATTGGGTTGTGTGGATCGTCTATTGTCGCACACTACACCCACTTGCACGTGTGCCGGGCCCGTTATGGCCTGCCATCTCGCGAACGTGGTTCAGGTGCACACGCTCCAACAATCTTGCGGTACGAGAAATGCTAATAGCTGAGTAGTAAGAACCCCTTCAACTTTGCTTTCCTGTGGCCATAGGGGACTTGCAACCACTGCTTTTAATCACCAGCTCGAGAAGTAGCTTGTTCAAAAGCCAACTATGCTAACACAGAACTCGCCAACAGTGTACCGGATGTTTCTCGGTGATTTTGAGGTCGCCCAACGCGAGCTACATGAGCAGTATGGCCCTCTTATACGCATCGCTCCAAACGAAGTTAGCTCCAGTGATCCGGACGCGATATCACTCATCTACACTACCCAGAAACCTTTGACCAAGACTGACTGGTAAGTCGCGCTTACAGGTACCATACGCACGCTGTGTATGACTGCTAAATCGGCAGGTATGTTTCTTTTCGCCCACGAGGTATCAGCGAGCACGCAGACCTCTTCACCGAGACAGACGAAGAGAAGCATGCCAAGTATCGCCGGATCGTTCAGCCTGCTTATCAGATGGTCAGCGTTCTGAAGCATCAAGGTGCGATCGATGATTGTACAAACTTGTTGAAAATGAGACTGGACAAATTCGCCAAAGCAAACGAAGAGGTAGACCTGGGGCTTTGGCTCGAACTATTTGCTCATGATGTAATTGGGCACATCCTTTTCGGCCAATCTTTCGGTTTCTTGGAGAAAGGTACACATGTGGATTCCTTTATTGAATCTGTACACAACGCTGCCCCGCTTCTTGGTGTCATTACTGCGGCACCGACCTACATGCGCAGCATCATCATGCTAGCAGCCATGTGTGTTCCTAGCACTTTGAAGCAGTTCAAAGCCGTGCAAGCTACCGTGGTGGAAGCTAAACGCCAGACACAACTTCAACTACAACGCTCGGCGGAAGCGGACGATCAGAGTCAAGACATCCTTTCTCAGCTCCTACGTAAAGTGGGGCAGAAAGATAGTGAAGCTTGGTTCACACACAAAGAAGTCACATTGGAGTCTTGGGCTGGTATCATGGCCGGCGCTGATTCTGTCGCCATCAACTTAAGGGCAGTTTTATACTACCTTATGAGAACACCCCATGCCATGTCTAAAGCGACCCAGGAACTACAGACTCAGCAACACCTTCTTAGCACACCTGTCAGCTTCGCAGAATCAACGAAGCACCTACCGTATATCAGTGCGTGCATTAAGGAAGCCTCTCGCCTATTTCCAAGTACCGGATTCAACATGAGTCGTATAGCTCCTGCACAGGGTGTAACCCTGTCTGGCGTCTACATTCCGGCTGGATATCACGTCGGCGTCAATCCACAGACAGTACAATACGACAAGAAGCTCTTTGGGGAAGACGCTTTGGAGTTCCGACCAGAGCGCTGGCTAGAGAGTGAGGCCAGAAAATTGGAGATGGAAAGGGGGATGCTACTGTTCGGTGCAGGAACGAGGACATGTATCGGAAAGAACGTAAGTTTTCTATGAGAGATGGACTGTACTAGGGTCACGTCTATTGTTGGTATACTGATCACACATCTTCCTTAGGTTGCCTTGGCGGAAATTCACAAACTCATCCCAGAGCTCCTCCGCTGTTTCGACATGCATATGGCTCATGATCGACCCTGGAGGACGTGGAATGCTGGGTTCGTGAGGCAAAGTGATGTCATAGTGAGGCTTGCTGTACGCTAGGGGTGGAACGTATCCTTTCCTCCAGCTTTGAAACTAGGGAGACTTCTCGGAGTATTTGTATTCTTTCGCTCCTACATTCATTACATGGTCAGTCGGCAGCTACGCGACCTAGCTTACAGTTTCATTTGGTATGCGACACGAGAGTTGAAAGGCCAGAGTGTCCAATTGAACGCATAACTACATGGCTTTCGTTTCCTAGAACACTCCAGGTCTATAAGCATTCTCTGCGCTTTATCGTTCCATGTGATACTCTATGATCCACCAATGATATCTGCTGTGTTGGTCGGCTTTCCTTCAGCCCCCGTCTTGTCCGCACCACTATCGCGGTACTGATCCAGCGAAGGCGTGTCGGCATAGCACATCTTCATAAAGCTCTCAGGGTAGCGTCCACCGCTAATCTCTGCCTCTTCACACGCCTTGCGAATCTTCTGTTCCTCCTCCGTACTTAGCTCAACCTTCAGACTCCCGACGTTCTCCTCCAGGCGCTCAGGCTTGGTAGTGCCCGGGATGGGGAAGATGTCGTTACCCTGTGCCATCAACCACGCCAGTGTCAACTGACCGGGCGTAACACCTTTCTCCTTTGCAATCTCAGTGATGCTGTCCACGAGCCTAAGGTTTTTGGGGAAGTTCTCGGCACTGAAGCGGGGCGCATAGCGACGGAAGTCGCCTTCCTCAAAGTCGTCTGGGCTCTTGATGGCGCCAGTCAACATGCCGCGACTGAGAGGCGAGTAGGCTACAACCGCCACACCAAGCTCGCGGCACGTCTTCAGTAGATCAATCTGCTTGCTCTCGATCTCCAGCGCAAAGGGGGAGTATTCGACCTGTACGGCGGATATGGGATGGACCTTGTGCGCTCTTCGTAGAGTCTCAGAGCTAACTTCTGACAGGCCGAGATACTTTACTTTCTTGAGATTGACAAGGTCGGCCATGGCTTGCACAGTGAGTTCGATCGGCGTCTTCTGGTCGACACGGTGACAGTAGTAAAGGTCGACATGCTCGACTCCGAGACGCTGAAGAGACTTCTCGATGGCTACCTTGACCTAAAAGTGCGTTTGCGAAGTCAGTTCATGTCTCAATTTCAGGTCGTACAGCATATTACTGACGTGTTCTGGAGAAGTGTCGATCGTGCCGGTCGAGTTCTTGAAAGCAAACTTGGTAGCAAGGAAGATATCCTCGCGCTTCTCGGGGTTGGCCTTAAACCACTGTCCTATCAAGTCTTCGTTGTCGCCGTAACTAGACCAGCTATTAGCTGTTGCCGGGCCCGATACTTTGCTAGCCATACACATCAGAAGAGTCCCAGAAGCGTTCGCCTATCTTGTGGGCCAAGTCAAGCATTGCCAAACGCTCGGAGTCTGGCTTCGGTTTTCCGTAAAAGGAGGACAAGCCCATGAGACCGAATCCCAGGCGGTTGACTTGAGGGCCATCGCGACCAAGAGGTGCAGTGGGTAGAGACATTGTAGTATCGGGTAATGAGGTTTGGTTCAGCTGGAAGACAGACTGCTGTGCAATCCGACTGAGAAGGACTTGGTTTTAAGAGTGAAATAGGCACTGGAACGGACTAAGTAGGATGAGCTTAATTATCGGGTACCTGTTGGGTCCTTTCATTGCAATGACGCTGGTATCCCGCCTGCATTGACCTCGCTTGCCACTAACTTCTTAACCCCGCTATGCATGAGATCATACCTAGGTATCTGCCACGAGTACTGTCGCTTCATATCCCGTTGGAATGTAGTACCCCAACAGATACTGAAGTCTAGGGGCCGAATTTATAAGCGATTTGTTTGTTCGTCCGAAGAATTGAGTATCGTGAATCTTCCGCTCTGGAGTCGGCGGAGCAAGACGGAGATAAGCCACCAGAACTCCGGTCAGGTCGAGAACTACCATTGCTGAAGCCTAAAGGAGATACCAGGTGGTCCGGAGTGAAGCATCAGACCTCTAGAGTGTATGTGACGTGTTGCACGTCATGTCGCGTGGCATCAAGGTCTCTCATGCGTCGCGGCGGGCGAGAAGGTTCATTTCCCAAAGTTCCTGCCAAGCTACCCGATGACCAAGTTAGCGTCCGTCAAACTTCACTACATCACACCTCCCCACCAATGCATACCCTGGTACCTTCTTTATAATGCGGCCACCATGCTTACGCGACACGGACGTTCAGCCTCAGATGTTCTGCTTGAGCACTGACGCCTTCTGATGATCTAGTAAAGGTAGCACATTATGACCGCCGAAGTACGCGACCTCAAGCCCCTCAACATCAGACCCGTCCAACATCAAGTCCACGACCCGCTCAAGATAGACCCCTTCGCCTTCGATCACCGCGATGACACTATCCACGTCCTCCTATGCGCTTCAGGTTCTGTTGCGACCATCAAGATACCGAACATGATCAACGCGCTTGCGAAACATGCGAACGTACGAATACGGCTCATCTTCACGGCTGCGGCAACCAACTTCTTGCAAGGCCAGAGCGGGGAACAGCCTTCGATAGAAGAAATAGAGGCGTTACCGAACGTGGACGGGGTATACTTTGACGAAGACGAGTGGAGAGAGCCATGGATCCGAGGCAACAAGATCCTCCACATTGAGCTGCGGCGATGGGCAGACATCATGGTCATTGCACCCTTAAGTGCTGATCTACTCGCCAAGATCACACTGGGCTGGTCAGATAACCTCCTGCTATCGGTCGCGCGCGCATGGGATACCACAGGCCTGATCGACCCAGTGAGGAGCATACCAGGCGTGCAATGGCCGCAAGAAGATATCGGCATACAGAAGAAGAGGATCCTAGTCGCTCCGAGCATGAATACCGCCATGTGGTTCCAGCCTATCACAAAGAGACAGGTGCATGTACTGGAAGAAGAGTGGGGAGTAAAGAACGGAGGCTGGTATGAGGTACTGCAACCTATGGAGAAAGAGCTGGCTTGCGGAGATATCGGTGGCGGCGCAATGAAAGATTGGAGGGAGATTGTGGAGGTTGTGGAGCAGCGGCTAGGCTTGCTGCCATGATAGCTTCTCACTTTCGCGCTTGTACGATTTGAGGCCCTACTGCTATAAAAAAATCCTAACATTTATGCCAGGAATTCGAGCTCCATCGCCCTACGCTATCGCATACATACGCGAGCACAGAATAGCGCAATACGAGAGAGGGGCATACTGCTTCACATCTATTTCGACTCTATGCGTATAGACGTCATCACATGAACAAAAAGATGGCGTACACCAAAGACCAAAAAGACAGAACTTAGATAGGTGCCCCTCTCACGCAACCCATGCTGACAGCCTCCTTAATCTCCTTAACCAGACCACGTCTGTGCTGTCTCGCTTCTGTCTTTGTCGATGCTCGAATCGGCGACCTTGACCTGGCGAGCTGAATAGGCGATGCTCAGCGGCGCCAGGTCGGATTCGAGTCTTGATGAATAACGAATGGAATTCAACGTCTTTATATTAGAGGCTGCCAGGTATACTAGATTAGAGGTAAGGAAAGCCATGTTGCAATGTTGATAGTGACGTTGACGAGCGTTGAGCGTTTGTTGTGGTGGTCGGTGTTGCGAAAACTGAGATCTGCGTTCACATGGTGACGAGGACCAAACGAGACTGAAACTAGAGCAATGAGAGCGCGATGTCGTCATTTCCGCGCCTTCAATCCATGGATTGTAGTACTGTTCTCGATCCCAACATCGTGAACAGTCAACCCGACGATTACCGCTAATAGATTGACATGGCGCCCAGTGAGTTCACAGTAAACTCAGGTGGTCCAGTCTCCCCGAGCGCTGTGCACTCGAACTCTGTCCTTGCAACCTTGAAGTCGTCGGTAAGTGATTGCTTCTCTTAACTTGGTCTCTGATTCTGACATGTGGACAGATACAAAACACGAAAGCAAAGCTCAGGGCTCTCCGGCCAACCAGGCTACCGAAGTTTACCAGACCAGGAACGAGAAGTAAGACGGTGGACGAGCGAGAGCGTCTTCAACGAACAGCACACCGACTTTCCGTCATCGAAGAGCCTGCTACTGGCCCCAATGCCTCCTCCTCAAGCGACGAACTGCGAAGCGACCCCGTAGCGTCTTCGTTCCTGTCCAACGGCTCCTATTCCAATCCTTCGCTGACAGCGCGCGACTTCGAAGTCGGCGGTACGCTTGGTCGTGGGAAATTTGGGCGCGTGTACCTCGCCCGTCATCTTGTGACCGATTACGTGTGCGCTCTCAAGATCATATCAAAGGCCCAGGCTACCACACAAGAAGAGGAGAAGTTTATACGCCGCGAGCTAGAGATCCACCAAAACCTTGCGCATAAGAATATCTTGAAGCTACTGGCCTGGTTTCACGACGACGAATCGATATATCTTGTGCTTGAATTTGCTCCCGGCGGCAGTCTTTACTCGAAGATGAACAAGCAGCCCGAGGGCAAATTCACAGAACACAAAACTGCCATCTACATCGCTCAACTCACATCCGCACTGCGCTACATGCACAACAAGAACATCATGCACCGCGACATCAAGCATGAGAATATACTACTTGGATTCCACGGCGATATCAAGCTTGCTGACTTTGGATACTCTATACACTCAGAGTCAGGGTTCCGATCAACGGTGTGCGGCACATTAGATTACCTAAGCCCTGAGGTTGCGGTCATGACGCTCAAACCCGAGATGAGCAGAGGATGGTACACGAAGGCAATCGATCATTGGAGTCTGGGCGTCTTGATGTACGAGCTTCTTGTAGGTAAGCCGCCATTCGAGATGAAAGACGTGAAGAGCACACAGGAGAAGATTGCGAATTTTGAGGGCAAAGGTATCAAGTTCCCAGGACATGTCAGCGAGCGCGCGGAAGAGCTGATTCGCGAGGTGAGTGAGACACGCTCGCTATACATGTGCTCATAAAGAGGCCTACTGACTTCGCTGCAGTTGCTCAACCTGGATGCTGGGAAGCGGATGAGTCTTGATGATGTTATGACACACCCATGGATCGTTAGCCACGTCGCAAACTCGGTTCGGTCAGGCATACGGCCATTTGATCAGCTGCTTCAGCATGGTGCTTGAGGGCCTGAAGAGGCGTTGGAAGCTCGTTACAGCTGGGGGCCGAATTGTACATCTGGTGTCCTTGGTCTGCCACACGTCGATCTCGTATTTGACGGGCCGAATATGTCGGTTGCCTGATCTCGGGTGGAGGTAAGGTAGGCATACTACAGCTTCTGAGCTCTCTTGCACCTCGGGAGGCAGCCTCATAAGCCATGTACTATGCACTGTCTCAAAGTTTGCGCCGACCGGTAGGGAATCGGGACTAGTGCTGGCGGATCCGGGTGAGCATCAGGAGGCACTTATCCACGAACGGTATGCCGTTGAATTTGTAGTCTACCTCAAGATGATACATCGAGCATGCCGTATACATAAGCCTTCTGCCATGAGGCAAATCCGATTCGTCATGTTTATAAATGTGGTAATTGACATAATGCTTGAACTAAGTGCAAGACATGAGAAGGACGTGTCACACGTGATAGGCTTGGCATGACTTCAGGGGCATGATTCCATGTCACAGAACAACAATATCCGTCCACCACTCTCAACACCTGAACATTTCACATCTTCGAAAACTCCGGCCGTTCTCGCAGCTCATCATACTTTATCGAGGATGCGTCTGGTGGACCCTGACCGGTGGACGCAATAGCTCTCATCGCTCGCCTAACCATGCGAGCGTCATGCTGCATTGGGAATTCGTCCGCGCCTCACCCTCAATGCTGCATGCTACTGTGCCATGCTTGGCGCGCTACTGCTGTGCGGTGGCATACCAGCAAAAAGAGACATGAAGATGCGAGAAAAAGCTCTTGCACTTAGCGTTTGACGGTCTCATTGGCGGTTGGACTCGCCTATGGTTTCGCGCAATTCCAATCCACGTCCCTCAGTAAACGCCTCGATGCGCATGCGTGTTTGAGCCAAGACGAGCTGATGCGCCCGCAATGCGCTTTGCAATGGCTCGCATTATTCCATGGTGCAGAGATGGGCTGTGAACGCCGGATGGGCGGTGCATAGATCGCAGCAAAGCGATGTCTATTGGTAGGCTGTAGATTTTCAGCCCTACTAACAAGCTAGCTAACTCAAAGACGGATGTCGGTTGCGGAGATCCTGGCGCTATCACTCATCCATGGGATTGCGGCTCAGGCCTCCCGAGAGCCTAGACCGATGAGGGTAAAGCACCTCAGGGTGCGCCTTTGCTTCGTTTATACTCCTATATCAGGTAGGCACCATCCTGCTGCCTTTCAGCTGAGACATCACCAGCTTTTGGGATTCCCAACATTTTGGCCGTCACTTCCCTCTCGGCCGCGTGCGTCTCCTACCGCTTTGTTGAGCTGTTTACTTTGTTTTACTCACTGCTCGAGCGTTGTCCAATAATCCTTTTTATTTATTTGGACGAGATCGGCCTCGAGACCAACACACATCATTATGCTGAAGAGTACCCTACTCTTAGCTTCGACAGCACTCGTTGCAGCGCAATCTTCCTCCTCTGAGCCATGTGCGAGTGTTGCGTCACAGCTCGGAGAATCGACGAGCACAAGTATCGACGCACAGGTCGCGTTTGACTGTCTGGATTCAGTCCCTGTTGACGTCCAAGGAAACTCCCAGCTTATCGATGAGTTGAAGCAGCTTTGGCAGTTCCAGTCTGAGCTCGTATGGCTGAAGAAACCTGGCGACGATTGGGAATTTGGAGCTCTGGACATTGAAGCCGAACTGGACAACGTAAAGAACAACCTTGATTCTTTCTCCAGTGAATATGCGGTTCAACTCGCCATCCAAAACATCACTATCCGGACCGGAAATTTCCATTTCAACTACCGGCCTGATATACTTCAGGTATTCTCATTCTTCAGACAGGCCAACGTTGCCTCTATTTCCGAGGACGGCAAAGCGCTTCCAAAGCTCTATTTGGCTGATGATGTTGCAAGTGTAGCTGAGGGTAGCTCAGATGTTTCCGAGATCACGGAAATCAATGGTCAGAACCCGTACGACTTCCTTCAGTCTGTTTCCTGGTCACAGTACATCGACTCTGATGGACTACTCAACAACATGCTGTCAAAGGGAGACACAGATAACGCTGGCGCGTTTATGGAGCAAAGGAAATACGACGGCCCTAGCACCGATATCACTTGGGCGAATGGCTCTACAGCTTCCATTGCCAACGGAGCTTCTACAGATCGCAGCTTCGTTGGCATAACTGATGGGCAATCTTTCTTTGATGCCTTCTGCATCGGTTCAAGCGACTCACCTTTCTCTGCTAGCACAAAGGGTGTTTCTGACCTCTCCGATGTCGCTCTTCCAAAACCCAAGCTACCTGCTGCTATCAACCATATCATTGCACCTAGTGCTCCCGGTCCAGTCCCTCGAATCCCTATGGGCGTAAACCACCGCCGCAACAAACGACAAACGATGTCACTCTCCCCTGGGACCTATGCAGAGAACATAGTTGCAGCAGACTCTAATGGAGTTGTTGCTGGAGCTTTTCTCAGTGGCGAGGGTTATTCGGATATAGCGGTCCTGAAGATCATATCTTTCAGTAACCCGAGTAGCGACTTGACCGAAAGTGAATTCGGTACCGAGTTCCAGGTAAGTCATTGTTATACAGCATGCACACAAGACACAAACTGACATCATCTTCTCCGCCATGTAGAAAACCGTTTCTGACTTCCTCAGTCAATGCATGAGCGAGAACAAGCAGAAACTCATCATCGATCTACGCGAGAACGGTGGCGGCAGCACAAATCTACTTCTCGACACTTTCATGCAGCTGTTCCCCGAAATGGAGCCTTTCTCCGGACAACGATACAGGGCTACCGATGCCTTTGTCAAGATTGGCGATGCGGTCAACGAGATCAGAAGTGATTCCGTCAAGGCTAGCAGGTATGCGTCATTGCTCGAAGAGAGCATCGAAGAGAGCTACATGTATAGGTATTGGTCATGGTGGCACTTCCGCAATGCTGATGGTGCCGACTTCAATGGATGGGATGACTTCAACGGTCCCGTCGAATTGAACGGCGACTCATACACGAAGACGATGCGGTACAACTATACCGATCAAGTGTCCATCCTCCCCGAAGGCTGGTATTTCACGAACGGGACACGCCCCACCCCATTCAATGCGTCTAACGTCGTCATGTACACCGATGCCCTATGTGGTTCATCTTGCGCTTCTTTCCATGAAGAGCTCAAGAATATCGCCGGCGTGAAAGCCGTGACAGTCGGTGGCCGCCCACAGAACAAGCCCATCCAGACTGTGACCGGATCCAAGGGTGGTGGTAAGTAACTTCTTTGTAGACTTTGCACATGAGACTTGCGCTGACATTATACACCGCCCTTTAGAAGTAACGCCACTGTTATACTGGCAACAGTACGCCGAAGTCGCATTGAACATAAGCACCGCCCTCTCCCTATCCTCCTACTCTGACAATGACGCCACCCTCTCCGCTGTCGCCAACGTTCCGCAAGTACTTACACGCGCTGGAGACCAAGCATCGCGCCTTCAGTCCCAGGACCAGGTCCGAAAAGGTGATGCTTCTGGAACGCCTCTGCAGTACATCTACGAAGCCAGTGACTGCAAGATCTTCTACACTGCGACAACCTACGCTGATCCTGACGCTGCTTGGAAGCAAGCCTGGGACGCCTTCCAGGATGACAGCAAGTGTGTGGAAGGCTCTACGGGGCATGCGAGTTCCATCTCCGGAGGGTTCAAGGCATTTGGTCCGGGGGAGCTCAAGGCGGAGGACCAGCCCAAAGGAAGTAAAGGCGGAAGCGGAGGTGAAGGTGGGGATGACGAAAGCGCTGCGAGCATTGCAGGAGCGAGTGGCTTGGTCATTACAGTTGCTGCTATCGTCAGCGCTATGATGCTGTAGAAAAACTGTGATATTTCCGCCGTCGGGTTTTATCACCCATCACACCTAATACATTCTTCTCAGCATTTGATATATCATACTGTTCTTTGTGCCATGAGGAAGAGACCACGACGCCTTTTCGGATGAGCGTCAAGTGTAACAGAAAGCGAGACCAAGTTGAGTTTGCGATTGATCCTATAATACCAACCAACACCCATGTCCCCGTCCCACCATTATATAACCCGGGGTATATCGTCATTTATCGTACTTCACGTTCCGTTTCCAGTCATGCCTAATTGGGTCGCAACACAACATCTCCAACACAAAGCACCATGTTCTTGAAAAACCTTCTCCACTCCAATGGATCTCCACTAGCTTTGACAAACCTCACCTCCCAGTAGGCGCTTCCATCATAGACCGCCTTCTCGATGACGATATGGCCGTTCAAGCCTTGTCGTCGCCCATCCGCCATCTTTACCCGTATGGAGGCTGTACCCGCTCTCTCTGCTTCCTCAATCTGCGTCTCAGTGAAGGAGGGTGAAGGAACACCTAGCCGATGTAAAGCTGTAAGGAGGAGAGGCAAGAGTAGACCAAGGTTATGGGGAGAGATGAAACGTGCCAGGGAATAGGATGGAAGGATATCGGCAAACTTTCGAGCTGCTTGCGTAAAGGTCAGAGGCACACCTGGAGTTGAGCTAAATTGTGTCATGGATGGGTCCTGCGATAGCATGTCCTGTGTCGATGAGGGAAGCTGAGATAAACAGGGCGTAGAAGTCATGTTGATAGGACGATTGTCGGGTATCGTAACAGGTTGCGAGGCGGAAATTCCGTCGTGAGAGGCGAGACGTGGGGGTCGCTCCCAGTCGAAGGGTGTTTCTGCCGATGGAGTTTCGGGTTGTGTGGAAGAGAGGAAGTGTACAGCGCTTGAGCGACGAGGGTCTGTATCAGTGTCTATGTCCATCGCATCGCCATGTTCTTCTGCGTCTTGCGAGCATCCCCGTTGTGACTGCGTTGGCGGTCTCGTAAAATCAATTCGTAGTTGCGACAACATCTGTGTCGCCAATCCTACTGGATTTGCATTGCGTCCGCTTGCAGTCAAGTAGGGGTTCTTGCGTGTACACCAGGGATGTGTGCGTATCTCATCAAGAGTAAAGCGCTCCTTTGGGTCGACCTTCAGCATGCCGCGGAGTAGACTGAGTAGCTCCGCTGGGATGTTGCTCCAGAGTTCATCAGTAGTGTGTCCCCCGGTTTCGACGTATTCCTTGAACTCTGCGGAACGCTTGGTTGGCTCGTCCCAAGGGGTGTTGCCGACGAGGAGGACGAAGAGCACAATACCGCAACTCCAAACATCGCAGATGTTCGCCGCGTAGCCGGTGTCTAGCATGTCGGCCCTCTTGCTCCGCCTCCCTGATACGATTTCCGGAGCGATGTACGGCGGCGAGCCACATACAGTATTGCAGAGCCGCAACTGCCCGTCCTTCTTGAACAATGCTGCCAATCCGAAATCGGAGAGTTTGAGATCCCCCTCGGCGCTCAGCAACACGTTCTCAGGTTTGATGTCTCGATGCGCAACACCCATGCTGTGCATATATGTCACCGCGTTGACCAGTTGCGTGAAGTAAAGATGCGCAATGTCTTCGCCCACACCTTCGTCCGCCTCGATCTTGTCGAACAAGTCTCCGCCCTCGGCCAGCTCCATGGCGATCCACGTCCATAACGCATCCTCCCCGGACCCCAGGCAGTGTATGATGTTCTGGTGCTTCCCGAGATGTGTGTGTAAGACGACCTCCATCTTGATTTGTTTCGGAGTGAGGCGGCCGGTCTTGAGGGCATGTTCTTTATTGATGAATTTGATCGCAATGACAGGTTTGGGCGAGTTGTGCGGGACGGCCTTGCGGATGCTGGAGATCTACTGTTAGCGAGTGACTCCCAACACTCGACAGGAAGAGATTGCAACGTACGAGGCATATGCGCCTTGCCCGATTGTCTTGCTCACGAGCCGGAAGGGCAGGTTTGTAGGCAGAGGAGCCATCTGGCTGTTGGGCGGCGCTGGGCCCATGGTGTCGAAGAATAAAGGTGTGTGCGGGGGAGCGAGTTGACAGCGAGCGAGGACAGAGGCTCTGAGATGCGCAAATGGGATCAGGTAGTATTCTGTGATGTTGACTGTACGCTGATGCCTAATCACTGGTATCACAACAGCCTCGACGATCGCGTCAGACCCGAAAACAGAGCGCACGGACTGGATGCCACGCGCAACGCGAACACGCCAGCTCACGTGGTCGCGACGCTTCTAAGGCTTGTCTCTTGTCAACCGATCTGCCTCGGCCCAAGATACCGCATGCCGAAACCTTCTTTCCACTCAAGCCTTCCGCCCTATCTCCTTAGCCCCAGGACGTCATTGCCTTCCTACCCCGAATATGGCATCAAATCCCGCGATTCCCGCGAGACACAAGCCTTCTTCGTTGCAAGCCACAAATACCTCGGCTCGCATAAGCATGCTCGAAGGAGAAGGTGTACCTGTCGATCGTAGCTACGCGTCGTCCATGAGCAGAATCGGAGTACGCGGATCTAGACATTTGGCGCTACAAGCGATGACTAGCCATGCATGGCATCGACGGCGGAGCGAGTGAAGACCCTGCCCACCAAAGCCAGTGGTATGTCTTTCTGTACATGAGTGTCCTTTCATCGACGCAGAGCAGACGTGCAGATTGTACACTGCTCCTTCACAATTGCCAGAACCTCTACGCTACCTGCGCATGTCCGACTTTACCTGTACAGGTGAGAAACTTCCCGTCGCCCTCTCACGTTACACTTCATGAGTAATCTGTGGAGTAAGCTTAGCGCCACTGCCATTCGAGTTTCTTCTTTCATCCAGCAACGCTTGCAAAACTTACCACATCCTCGGGACCGAGTGCACGTTTTCTGCCACCCAGCATCACCATGTGGCATTCAAAACTTTAACTACACAATGCAGGGTCCCCCCTTTCCACACTGGACAGAAAAGGATGCTCCTTGACTTGTCAGAGTATTCATGTGGACAAAACGCAACCACCTGCCATATACATCAAATGCGAGACGCAACCACGGCCGTTAGAGACGGAATTTGTCATCAGCACTCCATGTACATTCCCCTGCATCATATGCATCCGACCGAAGAGGCCACGACGGCGGAGTACACCAAACTTCATGGGAACTGCGCCGTTTGTTCTAAGAAAACCCTATCTGGCAAGCCTAATCTGCAACCCACTGAAAGCCACTGCACGGCTATATGCGGTCGGAGATGCACGACGGTCACCGGCCCGAGAGGGTTGCTCCGAAGTCGAGTAGCAAACGCTGACTATGCAGCAGAAGGTGCAGATGGCTGACGTACTCAGCAAGTACCGGCGTTTTGATCGCGTCTGATGCATATGCCTTGTAGATCTGAGCTCGGCATCGAGGCATCAGCACCCGACACTTATATTACGGTAGGAAAAGACAACAAAGGCTTGGCTCACCGTGTTACCACGTCGCTGGCATCGCCGTTACGCACCCTGCATTCTCCCTGATAGTATGACAGTTCTCACTCCTTGAACCTTATCACCGCATGAACGCCCCATCTCACGTACACCTTCCGTTCATTCGATTCCCGGGGCTTTTACCGAAAGCGAGTCCCGAAAACGACTCTCGGCACCCTGCTCCGATGCGTAGCCTTGCCCTCCGCCAAACAGCTCCCCCGGTCTTCCTCCGCACCAACCACAGACCCCGGAGCACATCGCTTGCGCTAGCAACGCACCACACCTTTGGTGATCTCCATCGATGTCACCAGCCTACCAGCAAAACCCACAGAAGTAGCTTTCGGAGTTAACTTCAGAGACCCCTAGCATTTTCGCTGATCAACATGATTCACAAAGTCCGATCAAGTCTTGCGTCCTGACTTCTGACAGACGATGAGGCAGGGTATGTTCGGTCATACTTCCGCGAAGGTATCTGATATGTTGGATCACAGGGGATAGCGCCAGAGGGTGCTAAAGAGTTTGGGCTCAGACTTGCAAAGGCGTGGTGGATGTTTTCACGAGGGCGGTGCGCATGTCTATGAATGCGGAAGCTCAGGGTCCAGCGATGCAGGCATGCCGTGACGTGCCACTATTGAGATGATTAGTTGCGTTGACGTCGTTACCAGCCATAAGACAGAAAATGTAGTATCGTTATGAGTTCTTCTATAGCATGAGGGTATCATCGGAAGCCTCCTATTAGGGTGCACTAGGGTTCAGTTCGCATTGCATCGTCCGTCCGATGCGCATCAAGTGCCTTCGTCTGTCGTACGGGTGCCTTCCCCACATCCAACATCATGGGTACCCTTCCTCAACCTTAACTGACAAAAGACTCGGCAAGAGAATTGTGGCTATGTCGACCCAATCATCCTCATGGAGACTCTCGCTTGCCGGAAGGTGTAAAGGTTACGGGAATAACAGCCAGGATACAGTCGCGCGTAGTTGCCCAAAATCAGTTATCTGGGCAGCCAACTACGATTTTCAGTCTCAAACTCTCGTATCGGTCGGGGAAAAGAAGAAGAAGAAATCAGGTTCCAGCTTTGGTTGTTGGAAGCGTTCCGTGACGAGTGCTCGCAGATCGCCATCCCGCTATGACCGCCTAGGTGAAGAAAGAAAAAGAAAAGACAATCAAGGTAAACAGAAGGTCGAGTAGGTCCAAGGAAAGAGGAACGATTCCACAAACGACCACCCGATGCTAATGTTTTGGCCCGGAACCCCAAAAACGCCGCAGTCTATGACTCGATGCAATGGAGTAGGAGAAGAGGTCGATGAGCCGGAAGAAAAACGCATCAAGAAAGTGATGCCAGCTATCCAAGGAAGGCGATCAGGCCTGAGATGGTTCAGCGCTCGCATGTCGTCGTCGTTTCATCTTGCGGAGAGATTCAGAATCGGTCGTGAAAGTGGCGCGATATTCATTCTATGATCGGGTGGCAGTGGGCGAAGCAACATAGGCGGATGCAGCGGCGGCATCAAGACCACGGAGCTGAGGGCCGTACTTGGCATGCTTGACGAATTTGGGCACAGAGTCCTGATGTGAGATTAGCAACGTGTCACAAATCTAGATGTGGTAGGTAGCACGTACGCTAGACATCAGCTTGAAGATGGACTGCTGAGCCTTTTCGAATAAGGAGGCGACCTCGTTAAGACTCTGCAACATGGCTGCATCGTCGCCAACGGCACGAGTCATGCGTGTAGCCAGCTGTGTACGAAGACTATGGTCGATGTTGAGCTCATTGGGTGAGCCGGGAGCCAGGAAAGCATTGTACAGACCTGGGATTGATTAGAGATTGTTCGCACATTGGACAGTGTTGAGTCTTACCGTATGCGGCAGCAAGCGTCTCCCGGATTGTCTCAACCTTGTTATCACCCTTGTCGTTGATAGCGTCCCGATATTGCTTGTTGAACTGCTGGACCTCAAGGTAGAAAGAGAGATTCTCCTCGCACATGGTTTCCTTGAGGAACTCGCGGTACAAGAGACGCCATGAAGGGTTACGAATAATAACGTTGGTACGGTTGCTGTTGGAATCGCGGGCAACGCCATCTCTTGACTTGACTGCTACATCTCCGCCTGATGGGATTTCCTCGAGGAGCCAGCCGGCGACGCGCTCGCCGTGATTGGTGATGTAGTAGTGCACCTGCTTTGAAGGTTGGAACTGGTGTTCTGAGTTGCGAGGATCAACTGGGGCAATGAGCTTGAGCTGCAAGAATAGCGAGCCAACCTCGATAGCTTCACGGGGGTCAACCATAGTTGAGCAGTCCATCAACCACTGTGCGGCGTTGCGTCCGTTGAAGGTGTACTCAAACTGGCGCTGTGAGGTGGGTCGGTGTTTGACAAGCTTAACCCCGATATCACACTTTGAGAACTCATGTATCGAGTCAGAATCCGACTGGGTCTCGTTGGCAGTGGTGCCAATAAAGCGACGAAAGATGATCTCAACGGTCTGTTCATCGTGATGAAGCTTGTCGGTCTCAGTGTTGCGTTCAAGTACGACCAGTTGTCTCGGATTTCTGTTAGACTCAATGACAGCCTTGACGTGAGCTGAAGCGATGCCATTGCGTGTACAAAAGCGCTCCAGAATGTGAATGCCCTTGGGCGTAAGTTGCCAGACCGAGCTCTTGTTCATGAAATCCGTCTTGCCTTCTACTGACTCAACAAATTTAGCCTCGAGAAATTTCTGGCAAACGGAGCGAGCCATTTCCTTGGCCATTGAGAAGGTGGTCGTAGTGGTCGTCGTCACGACACGTGACGAGTCCTTGGGGTCTGGCATACGATTGGACTGAGAGAATTTGAGGGATCCAAGATTGGTAATTGCTTCATCCGATGTAAAGGTGAAGTCGATCATCCTAAAGCGAACGCGGTGTGCTGTGAGGGGAAGCGAAACCATAAGCGTCGAGAAGAGGTCCTTGAAGTCCTGAATTGATGTGTTAGCTAAATTCATGTCCATGCTCAAAATTTGGTACTGCTATAGCAGCGAATACGGGAAGTTCCAAGGCACAAGGCAGGTGTCAGACTGCGGGCGCATTTCCAGCGTGTGTCATTCCCGATGCAATTCCAAATTGGTCCCAAAAAGCACGCAGTAAATCCAGTACTACAACAAACCTCCGCGATTCCATAGACAAGTGAATATCTCGGGAACATGGAATATTGCTCGTCGCAGCTTATCGCCCAGTGGTTCTTCAGGCTTCAAAAGGGTGGCTCCTTTACTCTTTGGTTGGCCTCTGGAAGTGGATCATAGTGGTTACTGTGACCGACTTCCCAAGCTTTCCCCCATGTGGTCGCTGTTGTCTCGTAGGAATAGAATCTACTAGAGACTCCGGCTCCATGGGATGTGACGGAGGTAACAAAATTATGGGCTTCAAAAAGTTGCTGAATGGTTGTACTCACCCTCGTAAAGGGCCGCTCATCGTCGGTCATGCGGAGTAACCGCGAACTTGTTTGGTGCATCTTGTCGGGCTTGCCTGCTCTCGGCCTGTCTGGCAAACGGTGTGTGTTTTCCGCCTCTTCAGCTATGACGTCGCCGTCGTCGTAGGGGCTGGCGGGCTCGCGTGCGGGAGAAAGATCGGGCCCACGCGCAAGAGACTGTGAGGAGCGTGGTGCACCTGTAGCGTAAAAGGGCGATTCGGCGGGGCTCTTTGTGGTAGATGGCGTCCTGCTCAATTCGCGGCTGCCTTTGCGGAGGAGAGGGAAGCGGGAGAGGGTGTAGCGTCTCGCGTGGTTGATGGCACGGGAGGAAGGCGGGGGCGGGCTGCTCTTGCTCGCTGAAGAAGTTGCGGAAGGTGCGTCTGAGCCCGCGGAGGCAGGTGCAATAGGCAGTCGGTCTGTGTCGTGGTGGTGCTGGTCGTCGGGTCGGGGGTGGAGGGGCTCGCTGGTGGGAGGGCTCAGGCTGTCAGGCACAGAGGAGACAGACACAGTCAAGGGGAGAAGAGATGTCGTCTGGAAGGGCATGCCGAGCAGAAGATGGTCGCGGAGAATCAAATCGCGGACCTCACTGAAGGGCGATGTGTGGGTACCCTAGCTGGGATTGGCCTTCACAGTCTGGGGGTCCGTGACCACTGAGTCTTCTGCCGCTTGAACAGTCCTCACACCGCCCTCCTAAGACAGCTAAGATGGCCTAGCATGGCGCCGAATTAGCCCTGAAGCTGGGCCATGACAAAGGCACTAACCGCAGCGGCCTCCTAGTCGCATACGAGACACATGGCGGCGTGCACGGCCACCAACGCATGGGAATAAAGTACTTGGCCAAGGGCTTCCACGAGGCATCCCTGCCCTCTGCCGCCCCCTGTCTACGGTGAGACGCTGCCGATGACTAGGTGTACTGAGCGCCGCACGCCGACAAAGGGGACCGGCCGCTACCATGGGCCCGCCGGAAGAGGCTCGCTGCGACAACTTGGACGTCTCCAGCGCGCGGCGAGCAGCTGCATGCACACGGTGGTGGGCGACGATGGCGCCTGCTGCTCCCATTGCAGTCAGCCACCACGCGAGACAAAGCGCTCAAAGGGGACGACGTTGCTGCATGTCTGCGTCTGCACGCAAGACCGGTACAGCCAGTGGTACGCGCATCCTGTTGTGTCTCTGTGCTCTGTTGAGAGAGGCTGCTGCCACAGTATGGCCTGACGCAGACTGCTGCCCCTTCCACAAACCTGTCCCAGAGCATCGACATGTGTCACGCCGCCGCCCCAGGCAGCAAAGCGCCGTTGCGCAGACACAGCAGCCTCTTACATACCAGCGACACCCAGGTTTCGCATCTGCACCGCCGTTTGTTCACCTCCTGGCGGGACCCGTTTTCGCGTAACGTTCTGGTGGCGACCGATACCACGAACTGGTCGTACTGTGCCACGGCGAGCTGCCAGCTGCCAATCGCCGCACTGCTTTTGTGTGGAACACGTCGCCGTTGCTGAGAGGCCCGGAGGTTTGCTGCTGAGGCCCAAAACGTGGAATGCACGTTGCACCCTTGCCTGGCAGGTCAGCATGGCTGCGTTCCTCGACATGCAGGAGGTGCTGCGTTTGTCGGACGCACTCAAATCGCTGACGGCATCTTTGTCAAATCTCGCGACGCTGCACTGCAAGCAACCATGTCCGCGCGTCATCATGTGTAAAGAGGCTCGGCAGATCTACATCTCGTCTACAGTCGATCGATGCCTGACTGTGAGGGCCGGTCATGCCTGCGGAGATTGTCGTGTTTCTCAGCCTGGAGAGTGGTAAATGTGCCGCACTTTCCACGTGTGCAACCCCACCTCAGCGACAGCGAATCGCTGCTCCTCCATGCGAGACATCGCTCTCCTTGGCTGTGGCCCGCATTACTGCCACAGTTCCGCCATGCTGGACCCTTCAAGCCTCAAGCCTCCGGTGTGCCCAATCTGCCCATCGTTGTCGCTTTCGGCATTGCTCCGACTTAACTCCCACGAGTCGTAGCCTCTTTACGCCTGAGCTGCTGCAGATCCCTCTACGTTGATTGCACGGCAAGCAGAGTATAGCCGACATCTCCAGGCCAAGCAGCGATACGCTCACCATATGGTCCGCCACAATCTCCTCCGGAATAGTCCCGCTCACGATGCCCAGCTGCCCGGCGTGATACAGCACGTGCTGCAGGTCAAAGAAAAAAAAAGCATCCACCCGTGCGTTTCAGAGTGGCGGTGGGCTCGGAACTAATTTGGAGCCACGCGATGATGACACAGGGACGAAAATGCATTCTTCGCTCGCATCGTAGCGTTCTCCCGGAGCTCTAGGGCGGTTGGCAAAGGGTCCTTCCCGTTCAACCACATTCCGTGGCAAGAGCAGATGCCGCTAGCGGATGAGCAGAGGTTCGTTCTCGCCAAGCTCAGCGAAAACAACGATGCAAGTGTATTGATCATCCCAGCGAAGGCTTCGGATCATCAGAATCGACCGTCGCCTCTTTAGCCCCCGGCGCCTCTATGATTTCGAAGCGATGCCAGTGCAGCATCCTCCGCCGCCAAAGATCCCGAGTTGCCGCATGCAAATGCCGTTACCCTGGCAAACATCAGACCATACTGCTGATCTGGGGTCTTTTTTTTTTCGAAGGGTTTTAGAATTTTCGAAGCGTGCCCGCTCTAGCCGCGAGTGAATTATCGTTAGGTTATCTTTGCAAGAATCCCATGGTCGCTCTACATGGCTAAGATCTTCGGCGCTTACGGCAGCCTCAGAGCGCGACGACTCATGCAGGCTTTCGTCAAGATAATGCCGTGGTGCCAGGGGTACCAACACGTGGCAACCGATTCCTTTTGCCTACAGTAGCGGCCGCTGGCGTGAACGATGCAATATTGTGTAACACCGAGGCACCTGCCCACGCACTTCCGCTTGTAGATGCCCAGACGTCCACGCGCTGCGACAACCCTCTAGACGTCGTCTTTAAGCTTTACTTCCGGCTCGCGTGGATGACAGTGCAGCACGCAACCATTACCCGAGTATTAAATGAGGTTCGATAGAGCGCTGTCAGCGTGGCTTTCGAAACGCAGTCCCTGACACGCATCTCATTTGCAGCCTGTTTCAACAGGGGCTGCACATTACCATGTGCCACGCCGATATTGGGCGTATCCCCTCACTTTTTGATTTCTGAATACCTTATCTCCACCCATATTGCCTTCGATTATTGGACTTGATATTTTCCTCGACGCATATGGTTTCCTAGGTGGGGCTAGCAGCGCACTCTGCTCGGTGTAGAAATGTCGGTGAGGCGGCGAGCGTCGGTAGACGATAAGCTGGAAGGGGCTCGCGATGGGCTTCTTCGATCGTGACGGGTCACGAGCTGCTCTGGATCTTCAGTCGTTTGTGGAGACAGGACTAGACCTCGGGTCCTTCGACAAGGTGCGAACCGAAGGCGTGATAGTGCTGACTAGTGTCTTCTTGGATGGCAGTTATTGTCAACTATAGTAGGTTGAGGCATCCCGCGGCGAGTGTCGACAGCGAATCTCGACCCTGGTGGCTTGTGGCATCGGAAGATTTTACATGAAGTTTTGAAGCCGCGCAGACAATGGCGCTCCTCAACGACAGTCGCTGTCAGATGAGATCGTAAGAGGGCGTCTGTTGTTTCTGACTCGGGTCGGCGACTGCGTGGAGCGTGTTTGGTTGCCTGCCGCCGAAGGACCCATCCCGCCCACGGCCTTGAATCTCCACGATGCTGTCTTGGGTAGCCTTCGTCTCGAGGAGGGATGTGCATAGTAAGAGAAGGGTCTCGCAAAGTAACGTTTATTGGCGTTTCTGCGGCTCGGGTGATGCGCGCGGCGATCAGGCCCAGTTCCGGCATCCAGGTTGAGCTTCTGGGCTTCGCGGTCTAATATCTCTGCTATTGCGAAACAAGTAAGCGGTACTGGCAGTCCCTTACCTACTGCTTGGCCTTCCTCTCCTGATATACAGTGAGCAGGCGATACGGGAGAGGGGCTTCTGCGGTGTCTCCTTCTGCCGAATGTACCACCGGTGCCGGCTAATGCGGTTACCGGAAAGAGAGCGGCGGTCGCAATGTACCATAGGGCGAAGGAAATTGATCGCCATATGATATGATTCAGTGGGAGGGTGGCTGTGTCTGCGGTGGGGCGAAGGCGGCAGGTGAGGAAGGAGCTCGAGGGTTGTATCAAGGCCTTGACCACAGCATTACTGGCGCCGCAACATCACCTCCGCCGCTGAGAGACATCGTAGTTGATACGTTCCGCCTTCTCAGTCTGAACGCAGCTGAAGTCGAGCACAGTGGTATGATACATTAGCCTCTTTACGGTCCAAGGGTCTGTGGCAACTAATGTAGACTACGGAGGTACATCGAGGTGCTCGCATTGCGTATATTGGCACGGAGAACCCAACCATATGTCGATTAAACTGGTATGAACACTATGAAGTGGTCGCAAAGGACTAAGACTAGCGGCGAGCGATCAGGAGATCATACAAGACGATCGTCTGAATTACAGAGTGTTCCAACAACTACAACTTCGCTAAGATGACGATCTTACATGTACTTTTAGATCAACGTCCTCTTCAAAACAACCTTGCCGAACAATCAGATGCGCGGATAATGGTGACCATAGCCGTCAAGTAGTATATTAGGGTCTATTGAGGTCAGCACTTAGCTGTATTCAGTTTATACCGTGTACCACTTACAATGCTGACATGAGCTTGGTGTGGGAGCCGGGTATGCCATAGTGCTGGGTGAGTAAGGGTGACCAGGATGTCCATAACCACCAGCGGGTTGACTCTTCTGGATAGGCTGACGAAACCCCAACGAAGTATGCGGCGGTGAAGGACATACACTGCGGTCCGCGGCTGTTTGGTAACCATGTCGGAGTGGCAATGGCGGGTATCCCACGTTGCCAAATTGGGTTTGTGGAACTCCGTTGCGGAAAGGGGTTATCGGCCCTACAGATGACGACCGTGAAGACGTCTGCGAATTGAAGCGCGACCCTACGAATGAGCTCGTGCTAGAGGCAACTTGCTTTGTGATGTAATTACAAAGTATAGCCATCGACTGGGATCGCATGACAACCGGCGGCCAGCACCAAGTCTTGCAATTGTGGAAAGTGCTCGTCTTGGGAGCCGGGTATACCTCAACATACGACGACTCACGCATCCCAGGGGAATCAAACTCGACCAACATGACTGGTGTGCGATCATGCCCCATTTTTGGGTACTTGCAGATTTCCAAACACAGATGACGAGGTGATCCAGTGGTGCGCCGTGCTGTTGGGTTGAAGTAAGGATTTTCGCTGAAGGCTTTGATGCGCAGATAGTGGAGGCGGGGGTACTGGTTTTCCACTATCAGGACAGGAGCCCCAAGAGTTGATGATCGCGGATCATTCAACAACATGACGACTGTTCCAGGCCGCAATAGGCTCATGTCTCGTGGAAGCGGCTTGTAGATGAAACGATTCTGTTGTACCTCCAGTTCCTGTACTCGCCTCCACAGCTTCCACAAATCATCCGTGTTGATACGAACATCAATCGCCCAATCATTTAGGTTTCCACACTCGATGTAGAAACGCTGTTCGAGGTTCGTCCATGTCTCGGTTTGCATGGGAAGTGAGCCATGCGCCAGCCTTAATGTGTAAATACCTTCGTCTGCTGTACTCTCGCCCATGCGCAGGCACATTCCCATCTCTCCAATGGCAGCTGGTGGTGACTTGGTAAGAGCATAGAAGTACGCGAAGTTATGATCCACACCAATGACAAGTACTGGATGTTTGAAGAAGCCTTCTTGCTGTTTCTGCATGTGAATGACCGACGCAGGAAAGTGACCACCATCAGGTATGTAGTAAACCTTACCAACAACAGGTCTGCTGGTAAAGCAATTGTGAGTCCATCGAACGGGTAGGGTCTTGTCCTGGAGAGGGTTAAACGAAGGCCCGGAAGATCGTATAGTGGAGAAAGGCTTCTGACTTGTCCCATCAGGAGACATGACCTGCCGTCGCTGTGGCGGTGAGTGGTACTTTGGAGCTGTAAATTCCATCGTGTTCTTGGTCAACACACTCGAGTTTGCGTGCATCGCTTCCGTTGCCGTAGGCAACTCCGTTTCTAGACTTGGTATCAGGGGCGCCTAGGCACTGAGAGGCAGCTTTGGTACGCGCTCCGTGGGCTCATCGTAGATGGTGGTCTCGTGGCTGCGTTGTTCCAATTCTAGTTCTTGGGTCGGCTCCTCCAGTCTGTACATTATGATGTCGTGCTCTGACTCGTTTAAGATGTTCGACGGACTATTGGAAGTTCTCCCCGTGTCTACGTTGAGGAGTGCGCCGGCTCCATGCTCAGTCACATTGCAAGCTCGGTCAACAAGGCTGTTCACGATATCAGAGTAGCGATCAGCTCCTACATCGTTTTGAACCTGCTCCTCTTGACTTGCGATGGTAGTGTGTACTAATCCGCGGGAGTAAATACCGTTGAGTTTGTATCCGCCAGAGAAAGGGCGGATGGTGTGATTGTAAGCGTCTGGAACATTTCCAAGGGTCGATTCAAAATCAGGTAGTTCGTGTGGTTGCTCTTGTGATTGAGTGACTAAATGCGCAGGGTGGAGAGCTGAACACACGTCTTCGGTATCTCCCTCCATCGACTTGTCAAAGCCGGGCCAGAACAATTCCGGAATTAGTGCTGTACGCCGATCGTCAGTCGTGAGCGTTGAATCTATAACAAGGGAAAGACACAGGGTCCGAGACACTTGAGATACGCGTGTATTGAAGAGAAGGAACCCCTGCGTTGGTGTTAGACCAGTATGATAGGACTGCTGCAAAAGGTGGTTGCACGAAGTTTCAGCGAGACCGGACCTAGGAGCGAACGAGAGTTGGGTGGAGCGAAGTAGTGGACGCGGAACTTGCTAGGAGTTGAAGAGTGCAATTACTTTTGTACTGCGCTATTGAGATTTCGCTGGGCGCGTTAGCAATGAATGACTTGTGCGTAAGGAAATACAAAGAGGCCCAGAGAGGAGCGGCCAAGGCACGCAAGTGAACGTCATAGAACTACCAGCTCTATGATTCTGGTGGTTTGAGATTGAAACGACAAGTCGTCAGAAGCCACAGCCTTTCTCGGTTGCGCTACACAAGATACTACCTGGGTATGGGTCATAACCGAGCACAAGATGAGGAAGCGCTGTAGATACGGTTATGTGTACGACTGAGATGATCAGAAGACTAGAGATGTAGTAGCCCAAGAAAAGTGTTTTCATCAACAATGAGCGAAGTTCAGGTCGATGTTGTGTGTATACGCGCAGATAATAGCGTGACCGCGCAACCATGGTTGGCGCGGAATGACGTAAGTACATCCCCTCACAAATTTCGCGTACGACACATTACTTTATCCACGACACATTACTTTATCCACGACACATTTATTATTCAGTATTCGCGATCACGAAACGAGCATACAGAGGATTGACGAACGAGATATTGATTTTCATAATACTACAGCGGCGGAAGCAGACGTTATAAACTCCAACAATCTAACCGCGTCCGCACCATCGTTCGGTTACCCCAGCTACAATCGCCCGGTAGAAGACTACATAAGGCTTCAGCTTGCCGTTTTGTCGGCATATAGGGCAGCTTGGATGTAGTCGATGCGTCCCTCGGATCCGTACGACTTCGCGAGGCGTACCGGGAGGACGACAACCCTTTCGGAATTCGGACTTTGACGCTGGGGTGGGTGCTGGAGACCTTCAGGCATAAGCCATCGGTGGCGATCAGCATTGCCGAGAGAAAAGAGCCGGGGACCTTCAGACATGAGCCATCGGTGGCGTTCGGCATTGTCGGGAAGAGGAATTCAGGTGTTGGATCGTGCGCTCTTGATATATGAGACCGACTCGGCGTCAAGCCTCCGCAGTCCATCGTTTCCAAAGGCCTCGAGATACTCATATTCTATTTCGAACCGAGAATTGGGTGAGAGGTTGACGTAGCTCCGTCGCTTCAACGCATCGAAACCTGGAACCATTTTGGCTACCGGGTTGACCGTGGAGTTAACCCCATCTTGATGATTTTCAACCATCATATAGAACTTTTGCTGATGTTGTCGATCGCCCGTTTTCTTCTCCTCGACTGTCCGGCCGTTGAAGGTAGTGAGCTGCCGGAAACTGACGATCGTGGTGCCCCTTCGTCTCTCTTTTCCCAAGATGACTATAGGGTGGTTTTCAAAGCCGCTTTGATTTTGGTGCGACCTAATGATGGAGGAGTCTGGGATTTTCTTTGGGGTTAGGTAAACGATATCTCCTTCCATCAACTCGTCAGGTGGTGGTAGTCCGGCCTGATTGCGGATGGGTCGAGGTGGTGACCCCGTCCTCCAGTTGGACGAAGAGGAAGAGGTTTCTGAGGAAGATCGGCTTCGCGAAGCATCTGATGACGACTGCCATGATGGGGTAGTGGGGCGCGTAGTGGGAGGAGAAAGAGAAGTCGGAGGAGAGGTCCTGTTTGGCTGCCTCCAATCTTGCAAGAATCTGGATTCCTGCCTTTTGGCGCCGGCGGCGTATGTCGGCATCATCATGGTGGCGGTAGTATGATGGGAAATGACAAGTTCTGGTGAGGAGGTACTGCGGCCCTGAAGCGATAGTAAAACGATGGGTAATGACGGTCAAGATCAGGAAGCTTTTGATATGAGGGATGGCTCGATCCGATGATGATACGGGAGAGAAAGGGAGGGAAGAGGAAACAACCTTTTGGAGAGGGAGTCCCAGGTAGGCTCTGATCGTTGCTTTGGAGCCTGGAGAGTAAGAGATGGTACTGATTTCCAATACCAGAGGGCTTCCATGTTACCTTCATGATCGAAAATTTCTACTCCACTACGATACGATTGGAGTCCCAACGATATGGAGGAAGATTATGCTGAGCACGCGCACAAGCGAGGCCAGTTGAGGGTAAGCTGCAAGCGTTGATACTCCAAAACACCGGAGGGAACGGCCGGCACGGTACACTATCCAGATACAGGAAATTCTATTTTGACACCGGTCAAAGCTCATTGTTGGAATTATGGTTGACGACGAGCATCAGCGTTGAGCCTATCACAGCTGAGCTGATTACCGCACAGCAGTCGGGCATGGAGAGGTATAGCAGTCAAGAGGACATTTCCGCACCTATCAACAGTGGAACGAGGCTAGCGCCATGTAGAGGATACCTAGGTAAACAAATGGTTGCATGGCTGACAAGCGACAACCCAGGTTTCCCAGAAGCCGAGACCTGAGAGACGCACTCGATGTGCAGGAGCTGCTTCGTGAGCGGATTCTGTAATCCAGTGCCTGCCATGAGCACCAGAGCATGACTTCAAGAGAACGCTATCGAGGAAGAGAAGGAGCGATATGGATTCACGACCAAGGCACAAGGTCACAACACCCCGGGAAACGTGAACGGCGGACCTCGAGATAGGCAAAGTTGGTACAACCAAACTTGACAGCAACCGTTATGAACCACAGCACCATTTGAATGACGTCTACGCGTCGAGGTGGATATCATTCGTGCCCTACCAACTCGTTGCAATATTTCGAGAAAGCGGGTTCGCATACAATGATCGAATGGCAGGAACGCGGACCCAGACCCCGAAAGACCTACAGACCTATCAAATTCACTTACGAGCCAGGTGATGAAAATTTGGTCGTCTCTTGTATGATTCCAATACCATGGGAATTATCAGGATGCTAGAGTGGATAACCACGCGAACATACAACCCGACAATGTCACATCCGATGACGGTGGCTTTGTGAGGTAGGCACTAGCGATTTGTTGTTCGGATACCCAATGGCCGTTACCTCCACCAAAGGCTTCTTTCCTTGTGCGCAGCCAGATGCACTTTCCCCAAATCTTAAACCAACGCTCATAATGAGCTGGGTACCGGCGTTAAGCAGAACGGCGCAAACGCAATTTTCATCCTACAAACTTCCACAATTTCCTCTCCAGGATCAAAAAGTAAGAGATGCCACTGCGCGAGAGATGTGCATTTGGTGGGGGCTTCCATCTGGGGACAACATATCTTAGGGCACTACATAGGGCCTCCGGAAGAGACAGGAGCTGATCCAAGTGCAGTAATATACGTGTGTAGTTACGTTCGCAGTTGTGATTCAACCTCACTAGACCAGAACAACAGCCATCAACAAACCTCTAAGCACCGACGATGGAACATCTACCGAGCCTGGAGGTTCACTAAAGCAACATTCGTAGGTTCGCATGCTACCAACGCCGCGGGCCTTGTACCAGTCTTGCTTTCGGCGGGCTTAGAAGGGTGCGCATGTGATGTGCGCATGGTGTTGCCGTGACTGGGATCGTACACCCACTCGAAATTCAACGCGAATGTGCGGCTGAATGCTCTGAACCACACCATCACCTGTCAGAATGTCAGTCTACATCGCAACGCATACTAGCCATCCTACACGAACGATGACGTGTCGAGCGCGCTGGAGTTGAGAGAAGCGAACGGGATTGCTGAAATTCCAGGCTTTTCGGAGCGTAGGGCACCTGCAGTCGTAGAGCTGATTACCGTGTGGAAGGCGCTACAGGACCGGAAGGCTGTACATGAAGAATGCGAAGTGGTTGTTTGGCTAGAACACGGGATATCTTATGATGAAGTTTGTATTGGTGGTGTAGCAGAAAATTATGTACTCTGTGCAAACGCGTAGGAACATTACTCAACTATTGCTCGGTGTCTTTCATTACACATCTGTTATTCTCTTCTGCATGTATAATCTACTGTGGTTGGGGCTACTGATCTGTACACGTAGCCTTTTAAGTATGAATTCGTTATTTGCTGTGTATTTAGCATATTTCTAACATGTAATTCAAGAAATTGACTGCACACTTCTACAAATATGCTGATTGAAGTAGTCGCTGTTGAGTCAAGTCAATGTAGCACATGCGGAAGGGCTAATCAGCACCTTAAAGCGCACGCAGAAACACAACATTATTCATCATTCTGTAGTCTACTTGATCATAGCGCAGTCTTACAGCTCGCATATTACGAGCTTTTAAAAAAAAAGCATCCGCTCCTCATCGGCTTGTAAAATCCCGTGTTGTTCGAAAGAGCAAAAAGAGAGGATGTTGACAGAAGTGGGATCTATACTGCTGTTAGTGACTGTCGCAACGTCTCAATTGTTGGGGAACGTACTCGAACCCACGCAGATTGCTCTACTAGCACCTGAAGCTAGCGCCTTAGACCGCTCGGCCATTCTGCCGGAGGGATACTTGCTGTATCTGTTGTATGACTAAGCCGAAAAACAGACACAGTATGTTCACAGTAAAACTTATCCGTGTAGAGTGGGTATGGATGCCTGGAGTCTCTATTACCCTGCTTGAAATGAGGTTCCATGGCGCAAGGTATGACTCCAAGGAAGGTGGGGTTGAGGAGGGGCACGTAGCCCGCGGTTCCCACACATTTACTTTCTGTCTAGTGTCCACAGAATGGACCACTTTCGTGAAATGGCTGAAAGCATAAACTCGGCAGCAATGCGCGCCTATGCTCTGTCAGTATCTAAGTCCCAGCATGTGACTGTGCGGTTAGGTAATATCTATTGTTGGAGAAAGTGGTGGAAATTGTTTGTGATGGCCGAACAACCGCGCCCCCCGGATATCGGGCATTGTTCGCTGTGGTCTAGAATCGCGACTGAGTTCAAGTGAACTTGCGGATAGGGAGTCGCCTGTGTTGGGCATTGTTGTAGCTTGCTGGGTTAGCTTAATGTAAGTCGAACTTACTTTCATCTTTTCTTATCGAAACCTTGGTGAAATTTGAAGCCTCGCGTGTCGCATATGCACCAAGCAGAAGTAACGCACAAGGAAGATGACTTTGAGTAGCACAATGTGCAAGATTCTTCCCGTTTATGCAATTACGCCTCTATTTTGTTTTCAACAACAGCCCAATACTCCTCATCTATTCCATATTTGCAGACCATCTCCCTCGCACCATGTTTCATCCTGCTATCTACAAAGCAGCGACCATCAAACCGGCAACGACAGCGGCAAGACCGAACTCGACCTTGCCAGCGGCACCGGTGGCCTCGGGAAGACCGCCAGAGCCAGTCGCGCTGCCAGAGGGCTTGGGTCCGCCAGTGGCAGCGGGGACAGTGCCGTTGCTGCTTCCTTGTCCGCTCGAGCCGGTAGGGTACATAGAGACGAGGGTAGAGCCAGAGGTGCCGGTGGGCTTATGGGATGAACCGGTAGCGGTCTTTGAGCCAGAGGCGGAGATGGCAGTTGCTATTACATGTCCCGTCAGTATTCGGTCATGCAAAGTAATGTTTGTTGTGCTCGATCTTCTCATTCGGCGTCACAGCGCATCTACTTCAAAAAGGTGTACTTACAAACATCAACATCCACGTCGTTGCAAATGTCCGAAATCGCCTCCATGGCAGCCTCGGCGTCGTTGCCGCAGAGCTCCGCCACCTTTCCGCTCAGGTCCTTGGACTTGCAGACAGCCTTGATGTCGGACGGGTCCTCGTACTGGTTGACAGCGCCAAGAAGGCAGCCAGGGGGGCTGGCCATGGCGAACTGAGCGAGCGCGAAGAAGGTCGCGGCGAAAACGGTACGTCCGAGCATAGTTGCGGTTGAAGTGGGAGTGTTGGTTGGTCGAAAAGGTGAGATTGAGACGTGGTAGAAACGGCGACTTTGTATTAACGATAGTGGAGTCTAAAGAGTGACTGTAAGAGACCGATCCCAAAAGAGTGAATGTACAACGAAGACTGTTGATGAAGAGAGAAAGAAGAGCAGAGCAGCTCTATGAGTCTCGACCTGATCCCCAAGGCAAGGGGCTCGGCACATGCGGACGCTTGCCAAGCTTAGCGACGCTTGCCCTGGAGGGGGTGCGCTAAGTCCCTAGTCAGGAACAGCAAGAATAGAAACACGTGCGTGATTGGACGGGTTCCTGCATCTTGTGGCAGTGCTAGAAACGTGGTACGCGTTGTTTCAAATCGCGTGGGCGATAACACGGTTTCGAAGGCTAGAGACTCTCTAAGGGATGACTTTTGTTCAGCATTCCATGCTGTAGTAAATTGTAGTCCATTACTTAGATTCTTTCTTCCACTGCTCATGTTATGCTTAATGCAATAATATACGAAAGAAGCTCGCCGCTACCAAGCCATTTGCTGCCAAAACATCTTGCATGTGGTAGGCAAAAACCAATAGAATATGCCAATCTGGGGCGAGAGGGCAGAAAACGCATTACAAAGGTATACTCGCATAAAGACCAAATGCTTCTTTTGCGCCGCCCAGTATACAGCCGAGGGAGAATACGCACTGAGTCGGAATCCAAATCGATCCGCGCAAAAAGCATTTCCAAACCACCCCATGTAATGCAAGATGGTTTCGGAGATGACATTCTATCCTTCCATCAGATATCCAATCTGAGAAACAAGCACCGGCCAGCGGACTATCGAGGTCCACTCGCAATGCCATGGTGCGCCGAAAACTCCGTCGCTAGGTATGTTACATGTAGTACAGTGATGAGACGGAAAGGTGAGAGGGTGTGACGAAGAGGGAGAGGCATGGAGGTCGGGTTCGTCGTTATAGAGAGCGTAAGGTTTTGGTGTAGAGATCATGAGGTATGGATTTGTGGCGGGCTGTTGCCGTTAGGCCCGAGCATAGATGGAATGGGCTTGCGGCGGGCTTTCCCTTGAGGGACGCGTGGTACGCCTTGAATGACACGCGGTTCTTTCATGAGTGTGGGATCGAGCTTCGCGGGGACTGCGAATATGTTAGCAGTGTCTGGCTGAGGGAGTGTGGATGACATACTTCGGCTGATCACAGCACGATAGTCGCCCGGGAAGCGAGAGTTCGGTGGAGTCGCAGACGCAGTGCGCCAAAGATGGTCCGTTGTGTCAGACAAGAAGTCGACCTTCGACTTGTAAAAGAATGATGATTTTCCGCGGTTTCGCTTCGCCAGGATGACTTCATCAAAGAGTTTGATGGTAGGATCATCTGCAGACTTGCTCTCGCGCTCATGGATGAATTCGTTGAAAGCTACGGTATGTTAGTATGTGGTTCAAAGGCTGTAGTAGCAATGCTGACCTTGTGTCTGCTGCAGCGTTTCGATATACTGCACGTTTTCGGCTGGCAGGCTCTTGACAAACTCATCCATTTTGAATTGGTAGGTCATGCCAGACTTCTTGCGCTCGCCACTAGCCGGTACAAGATAGCGTCTGTACGTATAGAACAAGCTAGCGAAGCATCGTACAAACGACGCGCGCACTTGGTCAGGTCGAAATGCCGTGGGGCAGACAATGCAGATCGTGTCAACGCACCTACCATGGGCGTATGTGCTACATCCTACACATTGTTAGAAAAGTAAGTTGCACTAAGCGGATCTGAAACTCACCGGTGCAACGATACAACCCGTCGTCCGACTTTTCTTCGCATATTGAACACATGGCTTTGTCCTCGTGCGGTCTCCACTGCAAGCAATGACCTTCTTGCCATTGTGTTGTTGCAGTGTTGCGCACTTGGTGCGTAGCCATACCGGGCATGATAGTGGATGCAGCCAAAGTAGACTGAGCATACACTGATGGCGCATACGAGGACCCCGCCTTGTATTCATGGCTCAGGGATGATGTCGATGCGCTCGGTGCATGGCCAAGGAACGGCTGAGAGGGGCGCCGGATTTGAGGGACACGTTCGAAACCAAACTAGTCACATTAGTCAATGAGCTATCACAGTGTACAGAGTAGAGCAAACTTACCGATGAACTCCGCCGGCTTGAGGTTTCAAAATGAGCGGATCGTTTCTCACGAAGATTGGCCTGGAGAGCGTAGCCAGAATCGCTACGCGAGATAGGAGTACTAGGCATCGGTGGGAAGACTGTCGATACGGGAGAAAGCTTGGGCGAAGGTGGAGATTGATATGTCTTTATGGTAGTCGCTGTGGAAGGACGGTCGTTCCCGCGGCTCGACGCACTTGATTGTAAGAAGGCGTTGTAGATTAGAGGTCTGGAGCTTGGCGCTCCGACCATTGTCCCAAAAGACGTCGAGTTCAGCCCGACGTAATTCTGGACAGTCGAAGGATGCGCTCTGTACGAGAAAACTCCTGGATTCTCGGAGGCGAAGGTGTCGTATGGGAAGGCTTCTACCGCATAAGCAGGGGGACCTGTAGGCACACCGTAGCGCATATGATGCGGTGCAGACTGTTGAAGGAGAGACATGAGTTTGCGTCGCTGTTGGCGTGGTAGTGGTGGTGGTGGTGGACCGTTAGAGACTATTGAATCAGCATCCAGGTCGACGAGTACATAGTCGTCGTCGGGGTAATCGGCGGGCTCGTAACGACGCTCGATTCCCACAATGTACGGGCATGGCGCTTCTATCGTCTGCACCAGACGAGCGGGCAAGACTGGAATGAAGACACCAGCCCACTGGAAGGGATACAGCAGGTTTGTTATCGCCATACTGGCCAAATGCAGCATGGCCGTATGTGAGGAGAGGAGGATGATCCTGGCTTCCGAGAGCACGTACTCAAATAGCGTAATGATGTTGGGAATGGACATGCATCGGAAGAGGGCATAGATGTCGATGTTCCGGGATCCAGGCAGCTCATTGACTGCCTCTTTGCGGGCGTACATGCGAAGCTCACGGACTGCCAGTTCAACCTGCGTAATGGAGGTAATCGGACTAAGAGCCTCTGCACACAGGTTGACCACGTACCGCTCGAGCGGCTGCCACATGCCTACTCGCGGTGAGCTGGCGGGAACTCGCAAAATTGCGCCAGTAGTCATGGGAACAACAACGGCCTTTAGCCACTCTTTCCAGAAAGGCGTCAAACTTGCATCTCGGCCCATGACACCATAAGCACGAGGGATCCAGAGTCCAGTTTCTCCGTCAGTCAATCCCTCGATTTTGGAAGCGGCGCCGTGCCTTACGGGACGAAGTAAGTCGGTCATGAGTTGAATCTTCTCTTCAACGGCTCCGATCTGGTCGTCCAAGTCGTCCCGCTCTTCCGAGTCGGGGGCCACAGACGGAAGCTTAGTCAGCAGTTGCGACAGTTTTGCGCGCTCTAATGCCAGACGCTCTCCCAGACTGCTTGCCAGCTCACGCTCCTCTGGATTCATGTGCAAGTTTCGCCATTCCTCACACTGACGCTCGAGGCCCTCTGCAGCTGTAGCGTTCAATGGTAACCAGACGATGATGGTGATGCCGTAAAGTTTGGAGCCATCTCCATTGGTCATGGCGAAACCATGCCATTGGCTCTTTGGGCGCTCGTCAGATGAGACGACGCTAACATCGTTAGGAAATGCAAACATGGGGACATAGTCGGGAAAGGGATTGCGCCTCTTGAGTTCCTCAACCATGTTCCGTGGCGGGTAACGATCCAGGAGAACAGGCTCGTAGCGGCGTAGCAGAGGATGCATGTCCGGCTCGGGATTGAAGGGCTGCGGTGCCGGTATGACAGAATTGTACCCGGACATGCGCTTCGACGTTCGGATTGAGGCTGCATGCACGTCAGTACAGGTCGATCAAAAAAGCAAATAATCCATGTCCAAGCCAGAGGCCAGGGCTCAGCCCTGTACAGATCCTGGTCGGACATGGTGTGGAAGACAACTTACATTGTCTTGCTGTTGACGACTGGCGCTTCAGACTGCTCTGCATGGTGGAGATGCGCCGTCGAATGCTGCCAACGCCGGACCTGAGATTGCCGACGCCATCGTCATTGTTAGCTTGTGACACGCGCTGTGGCCTGGGACGCGGCCTCGTGGGGGTGGAGCGGGCCTGTTGCGCAACACCAGCAGTAAACTGTATTTCCTCGAGAAAGGTATCACGCTCCGAAGCGAACTTGCGCAGTGCAATGTCAAAGTCCTGGTCGCTGAGGCCGGAGCCGCCAAGCTGTACGCCCTTGATGGTGGCGCTGCTCCGATTGCTCGCAGTCTGCTTGGGATCTGGGCCAATGATGGTGCAATTGGACTGGCGATTCTCGCTGAACCGATTCGCAGACCTCCGGCGCGTGGAGTCGCCATTGGAGAGGCCATCCTGGGACGTTGGGCGGATCGAATCGGTCTCGAGGGCGCGGTCCTCTTCAATGGTCTCATCGACCGGGGGCTGGGCGAGCGGAGAGGTGACTATGCCATTGCTCTGGGTGCGCTCGTCGTAGACCTGCGACGACTCGATGCCGGAGATGAAGAAATAGTCGGCGAGCGGGGTGGACGACTGCTCGGCGGTGGACGAGGGAGCGGGCGCCATGTTAGATGGTGGGCATAGGATATCCAAAAAGATGGGCGATTAAAGAGCGTCGTGGGGTTGCGCGGTCACGGCGTGTGGGACGTCGAGTCGCCTTGTACTCTAGGTCATTGGAGATTGTCGGTCCGCAGCAACGGGTGGTGGTGAGGCTGATGCACGGGAAAGGCAGAGCGAGTGCGACGGTGACAGAGGGCGCGGTTGCACAGGCGACGGGCGGGGCGGGTGGGCAGACGCAGCGAGTAGATAGAGAGGTTGCTCTGTGGTGTCGCGACGCAAGTGGGAGCTGCAGCTGCTGTCGGTGGTTTGCGGGCGAAAAGAGTGAATGGGGAGAGGGTTGGCGGAGAAGGGTTCAGTGCTCTGCGCTCGGTCACAGGCCAGTTCATAGGGACAGACTCCGGCCTATTCGAGCAGCTAACCCACAAACACTCTTATCGCTGGCGGAAGACAGTCTAGCGCTTAACCGCTCCCGCGTCGAGCATTCGACTGCCCCTCGGCCTGGACCGGACTGCTGCACTCTCGCGCAGCGCAGCCTGTCAGCGAGGCCGGCCGCGAGTCGACGCGAGCCTGTCCATGCAAGGCACCCGCACGCAGCACCTTCATCTGCCCGCAGAGTTTGGCGTAGACACACAGTTCCACGGTACGCCCTCCATCGCCCAGCGTGGCCGTGTCGCTCCACCGACACGCACAGGCGTCTCCGCCCGTCGCTGTGCCGTCGTCCCATGTCGCGCTGCTAGACCCTGTCCTCGGAAAGCACGACCAGGGGGCACCGCTTGGTTTGGGAAGGCACGGCCTGAGGCCAGCCTGCTTTGGGCCGGCGCGGATTGGCAGAGGGCTGAAGAAGGATTGGCTGCGCTGCATTGCGCGTTCAGGGGTCGTCCAAGGCCTACTCACCAACACGACGGTTATTGCGCCCACAGCCATGGTGGTGTGTGTGCAATTTGCATGTGTTTCACCTTCAGCGTACAGCACGCATACACGGTATTAACTTCGCGGTACGAATAGGGGCCTACTGTCGTGTACCGTACGCGACCCCATACTCTGCTCAGTGCTTGCACATCTTCAATCTCCCGAGACAAAGAAAATAGACCGCCCCACGCTGACCTGCAAACTGCCGCCCACACTCCAACCCGTCCAGCATTATCTATGCACGGAACCTGTCTTATGTCAAGCCAATGCCACAGCATACTGTACCTCTTACTGCACACCCAAACTCTTACAGCCGCCTTGCCTCGCCTCACCTCGCCGTGCACATACATGCATGCATACATGTACCTGCGGTACGCTCTAGCCAGCCCACCGTCGTATGCTCTGACCACAATCTAAACTGTTGTCGTTTCAACTCTGCTTGCCTAACAGTACAAAACGGTGCACATCGGTTCCACCAGGGCATGTCACCGTATCTGTCTTGTCTTCGGTGTTGGAGCTGCATACGCCCGCCCAGAGACGCATGTAGCATAGAGCCATGTCGATCCGCGGTCGGCAGCCGATTTCGACACACAAGGCCCTCAAACGGTTACTGTTTGTGCTCTCCCATGTAATCTGACAGCTGCAGCTACCTCAAAATACTTCGTCTGTGCTGCTCAATACATACGAGCACTACTTTCCATCACTCGGCGTCTGCGTATCTTGCATTCCTGGGGGCCCGACGATCAAACATCTCACGCTCTCATATTTGACCGAGATGAAATGACTCCCCCACGATCGTCCAACCCTCGAGCAGTTCGTCAGACCGTCATGACATGTTCCCGTGTCTGTCGCCTATTCATCCGCGCCATTATGCCGGAATCATGGGGCTCCTTGCTCCTTCTGCCGCGCTTCATCAACTTTGCCATTGTTTCCACTGATTTCTCCGGACTCCCTCAGAGCTGACTGCTCTGTTGTTCGGTCTGCTGGGTGCACTAGTGGTCAATGCCGTAAGAGTAGACATGCTTTTTGAGGAGAATTATTCGCGTGGCTTCAGCTGCATCCAATGCCTTAACCGTCCATGCCGACCTTGCTTTTGCGTTCGCTCCACGTGTCGATCGTCCAAGAGATCCTCCTCCGCATTCCGGCTGTCTGTGTTGGACTTACCCATGGACTGTGTGACAGCGTTCTGAGCATGTTCGGCATTACAAATTTCCATCGAAATTTCCGCAACCCCACGCATCTATACATGGACCTCGATATAGCCGGTGGTAGACAGAGGTACAGTCATACGCGAATAAATATAGTCAAGAGTTTGCTTTTCAATCTTCGGCGACGAAGTCCGAGCTACTCGATTCATGTTGACACAGCGCACGGTGCAGGTTCCGAATGACTTCAATCAACACAAACCTACCGTGGTAGATCGACAATGCGAGACCAAGCGCTTGGAACTGCAGGTACGGGCGTCAGAACTTTCGGTCGGAGATATACAAACCGTACCGACGTTAGAGCGCGGCGCAAAGTCTATTGGACAAGACACGCTCAGCGTCGAGCCGTAAGCCATCCGGTGCTGAGAGAGCCCCTGTCGCCCAATGCGCTCCGCCATTGGATAGCAAGCTGACCCAGCACTCTCTTGTTGTCTTCCGTTATGGAACCAGCCATCTCTTCGTCCTTGTCGCTAGGCCGGTGTTCGAGGAGAAAGGCGACCTGCACCACATCCCGTGGACTCAATATCGGCGCATTGATACCTGAGGCTTGCATATCCCAATTAAGCGACGTAGATCTGAGGGGTGGTTTCGGGTTTACATTGACTGCCTGTTCGGAGTCAGTCGTGGTTCAATGCCTACTAGGGGCAGGGCTGTGGTGGTAAGCTATCTGAAGCAGCGAAATAGCGCCGGATCTACAAGACTGCCGGATCGGACTCTGCGATCGAGCTAGCGATGGAGCCGAAATCCTCAACGTAAAGGAAACGTTCTGACTCGTTGTTTGGAGTAAATGATAGTACCAACACATGAATCGTGAGACATTGAACGCGTCGACGTACCTCTAAACAGACTGCGGCTTCGCCCATGTTCTCTAGTTGTGCCTCCAGTAGGTACCGGGAAGATCCACTCTTCTGGCCAATCTCTCCAGCCTTGGTGCGCACACTCAATAACTGCTGTGCCACGAACTGATAAAGCTTGCGAAATGTTCGGACTCTGCCGCTCGCTGCCCTCCCTTCTCCTAGTGCGGTCTCTGTATAAGTGACAGTCACAGCCAAGACATGGTTGCCCTCTTCCTTGAGCTCAAATCGTAGGATGCGTTGTAATGATTCTGCTGGTCCTGGGGACACGTTCTCTGCTTCTTCTTGCGGACCAGACAGATCTAGGGGTGAGCCTGTAGGATTTGAAGGTGTTTGCATATCGCCCTGTATCCTCACACCACTAATCGCCTTTGTGTTGTCGGATGGATCGAGCTCGTTGTTCGCGCATAGAGTGCAGGAGAAGGTCTCGCCAACGTAGGCACTACCAAACGCCTCAGGGAGATTTAACACGGGACTGAGGACAAATTGGTCTTTTGTGTCGTTGGGTGTGGGGTACGCGAGCGACGCCTTGGGCGATATGCCTAGGTCTTTGGAGGCTGGGAGAGGGTGCTGCACCGCGAGAGATGGACGAGACAATCTGGACACGACGTCAATATGAAGGGTCCCCAGCTGAGCGGCATATCATGGTATATGCAAACAAAGACAAGTCGGGTGGACTGTCATGAGATGATGCGACGATCGGCTTCGGGCAGGACGCTGTGCGGGAGCAGCATAAAGGACTTGCCAACGTACCGCAGAACCTTTAGGCTGACGGAGTGTGCCGTCTTGAGGGAGTCGCCCATGGCTTGCCCTCGTTGCTGGGCCATCGTGCTGGCAGTCGTGTTGCGAGAACCTGTGACGAAAGCGGCCAGCCATGATCGAAGCTTGAGTGGGGCGCAACCCTCAGGGTCCAAGCCTTCGGACCGCGGACTTAGCGCGGTGATAGATTTTTGTGATGCGATTACCAAAAGTGATGTCGTGGGTTTGAAAGGAATGGATTGCTGACCGGTGTTCTTATTGAATCCTTGTAACTCTTCTCGCTGCTTTCCGAAGCGCCGATCGTCTTGCTAGATACCATGGGTATCCAAACAGCGCCGGACGACATCCCACTTCAACGATGTCCAGATATTATGCTGAAGGTTGATACGCCAAAAGGTACGTTTCTCGAGATGGTTGCATATCAATTGTAGCGGATGACTAACAAAGCAAGTAGGGCGTGGTATTTTTGCTACCAAAGACATACCAGCAGGGACCACGATAGACATATGTCCTGTATTGATCCTAGGAACAGAAGAGAACAAGAAGCACATAGAGCACACCTCGCTTTATCATTACACTTAGTACGTGATTTTTGTTTTGAGCTGCTGTATTATCGCGCTACCACCTCTTCTGGACGTATCGCATGCGTACGCATGTGCGGGCATCGGCAGTTGTAACAGGTTGATGGCCTTACATTTGGTCGGAATATCTGTTCAAGGTGGTTGGAAGTACTCAAAATCTAACTCATCCTAGCAATTGGCCAGTCGTAGATACGGACGGTAACAGCAAGGTCACACAAGCCATCATATTCGGATTAGGAAGCATGTTCAATCACTCGACCCAAGAACAAAACGTAGGATGGATGCGAGATACGCGACGTCAACTCATTACATATCGAGCTTTGAGAGACATTGCCACGGGCGAAGAACTCTGTAAGAAGACAAGCCGACAGCCGACAGCCGAAGACGCTAATAATTGCAGGCATATCGTACGGAAGCCACCTAACCTTCAAAGATGCAGATGTTCCGCCACCAACGCCCCCAGAAGACGAAATTGAGCAGCTTCGAATGATTGACCCATATTAAGTAATAGTTAGAAGTACAGAAAGCACAAGGGTTCTACACGTGTTTACCACGAGTAAGAGAATCGCCGGAATAAGACAGGTCAGAAGAGATGTGGGTGGCCAGTTTGGGAGCGATCGTCTTACGCCGAGATGTACAGCGCCAACGAAAGAGAGAGGATACATCAGGTGCTAAGGGGTTCGGGCTTTTCAGTCGATGGCGTAACATCAGCGGAGCTGTTGTTGTCTTCGGCGTCGTTCCTCAGGTCGTAGGCGAGCTCGAAACATTCCTCCAAAAGTTGTGTTACGCGCCCTTGACCATCAGGTATCTCTTCGCCCACCATGAACTTGCCATCTACCCGCATGTTGTCAATTGAGTTCAGCTATATATGAGTCAGTAGACGTATCGATATATTCATGGTGTGGTACACTAACCTTCATACTGTATGGGTACAGCTCTCTTGGTGAGGATACACCTCCCAGCTTCTTGACCTCGAGTAAGCATTTTCGAAGTGTGGTCAGCTGGTTGTATATCGGCAGTAGTGCCTCTGACACGGGCTCCGAAGTTAAGAGCAGCTGGTAGATGAGAGCGTAGCTTTTCCTGAGAAGGTACAGTAGTGTCTATATCACGTCAGCCCATGAGCGTACAGACAACCATTTCTGTGAGAACATACCCTCTGCTCGTAGATCTCAGATGGCCGTCCAAGTGCGTCAACGAAATTACCGTCAACGCGTGCCTCGTCTATGCGGTCAAGCTGGCGCTGGAAGTCCCAGAGATCAGTCTCGCGAAGGGACCATGCCTGTGTCAAGGTGAGCTTCTCGAGTTTGTTCCGGATAGCAAGAAGTTTGTCGTAGGTGTCTTTGAAAGCGGGCGCTATGCGTCCTTGCCTGCTCATGTGTTAGCCCGGATCGTAAGATTAGCGGAATGCACCAACTTTTGCTTGATCAACGTGACCCAGAGCAAATTACGGCGTAGCAGCGTGCCGATGAGAGTCTTGGCGTCTGGTGCGGCCTCAGGGTGTTCGGTGGCTAGTTGCATCTTGTCGACCATCTCGGCCAGCTTCTCCTCAGTAGTTCCCTCCGTCTCATACGCACGAATGCCGTATTCCTTCAGCTCTTCGTCGAGTTTGTTGAGGTCCTCTGAGTACTCCTCAACCTCTTCGTGTGGGAACTACAGTTCCAGTCAGTACACAGTAACGGCCTATTCGGAGGTTGCTAACCTTTGATCTTGCATTGCAGCCGCAAAGGGATCTCAGTATCGACACCAGCTTCTCCCACTTCGGTGTCAGTTCGGGTGTCAGTCCGGATAGGTTCAGCTTCAGTTCTGCTAGTGTCTCTTCGCAAACTTTGATACGAGCATCGAGTAGAGTAAGCAGGTGAGGGCTATAACCTTCCTGCCCCCTATCAACATAACGCCGGCAGTCTTGCAGGTTCTTGTCCAGGGCTTCCAGGTCCTTTTGTGAGTAGAAGGTAGCTTCTTTGAGATGGTCTAAGAGGCGCTGTGGAAGATCAGACATTGACGTGCACATGGACTCTGACATGTATAAATACCTTAATTGTCGATATGTATGAGTAGCTGAAATACAGTCAGTAACTTCGTATACAGCACATGACATCGCCAAATACTAACACTGCTGGTGGTTCGTGGTTCTTTCCGACAGTCAGATACGCAAGTGATATGAGCTGAAAGCAATCATCGAGCATGTAATCGACTATGCGACCATGTCAGCATCAACAACCCACATCAGGCAGGTGGCAACGTGACATACCTTTGTTCTGCTCCAGGCGCTTGGTTTCCCGTATCTCGTTGAGAATTATGACCTGCTCAATGACTTGGTCGTAGAGCTTCAAAACATCTTGGCTCTTGACATAGGTGGACCGATCACGCTTCAGTAGTTCCAGCTCTGTCCGTATGGACTGCAGCTTGTCGAGGATGGGCTGCTCTTTCGGATCCAGCGGGATCCGTGGGAGTGGGGAGTCGGTCATTGAGTGCTGCAGACGGTGATCGGCGCTGGTTGGGGAGTCTTTCGGTGGGGTTGAGGCTAATTTGAACGGTGGTGGAAGCTGGAACTCTGCAATATGCGAACTTGGAAGTAGCCGGTCGGGAAGCCAAGATGCAGCTTGATAGCGGGGAAAGTGCTCGGACGTCACCGAGGGGCAACCTCACCTAACGCGCTAACGCCCGATGCAGCTAGACGTCGCTAAGCGAAAGCCACGGCTAGCGCCTTCCACACCATCAATTGAATTCACCAGCGCCGACACTCTCAACATCTCGACTCACGACAATACCACGATCACAACCGTCGCAATGTCTACCTCCGAGCTCGCCACCTCTTACGCCGCTCTCATCCTCGCTGATGACGGTGTCGACATCACTGTACGACTCCCGAGGTGCAATTCGCAATCGCGGACACAATGGCTAATTTGAACAGGCCGACAAGCTCCAATCTCTCATCAAGGCCGCAAAGATCGAGGAGGTCGAGCCCATCTGGACAACTCTGTTCGCCAAGGTGCGCATATACGGACACGCTGGAGCAGAACACGGAATTGATATGTGAATAGGCTCTTGAGGGCAAGGATGTCAAGGACCTGCTCCTGAACGTCGGTTCAGGTGGCGGTGCTGCCCCCGCTGCTGGAGGCGCTGCCCCTGCCGCTGGCGGTGCTGCTGATGACGCACCAGCTGCCGAGGAGAAGAAGGAGGAGGGTACGTCTACCAAGCATCCCTCGCTGAGCACAGAACGGAGACTAACACACAACAGAGAAGGAGGAGTCAGACGACGACATGGGCTTTGGTCTCTTCGACTAAGCGTCTCGTTTCCCTTCCTTTCTTCGACATTTGCCTTTATCGGGGTTGCAAAACGGATTCATCAGCGGGCATATTCCCATTGCTGGGGTGGGACAGTCACGACTATTCGGTGACACGACTTGCATACGGGCCCTCCCGGAAGAACAAAGACGGCGTCATGAGATATGTTAGGTCGGCAGGTCAATGAATACTTCGAAAAGTGCAAAGAATGGGTACACGTTGTGATGTCTCAGAGCAGCGCCTTCGGTCACCATACCAGCCATTGTGATGTTCAGTGGCTGTGGCCATGAAAGGAAGTTGATACAAGTGATACATTGACATGACCAGAATCCCTAATCATGCACTAGTGTTTCTTAGTCGGATAACCTGAGTCCAGAGTCTCCCTTTCATACCGTCGCTTACTCCTCTTAGCATGTCATGGCCCAACGTCAGTGTCTTTGACCACCTCTACAATGAGTGACAGACATGAATCCTGATACGTGTGAAGTCGTTCGCAATTATAGCGCGTATTACACATCTTCATGCCTTACCCTTCGGTTCCTCAACTCCAAGTTGTACTTTCCATAGTCAAGTGGATCTTCATCAGACATTCATATAGGCGTAGCTTTTGCCGATAACCCCATCCTTTTCTGCTCAGGCACCATCTTTCGCTTGAGACCACCCGTCTTGAGGTCAGTCCTGCCAAAGTTCCAAGACTTCCATAGCATGCATGCATCTTGTGCTTCTCATGACTATACACATTTCTCTTTTTGAACAATACACTGATTTATAGAGTCTCTTTGAGAACTCCTACAGATGGTTGGTGCAGAGGCCGGTTACGCGCATTATTCTGATTGAACAGAACATATCTACTAAGATCTGTCGCATGACCTATCGTTATAATGATAGCAACTACGATGTATTATTAAGAGAGAAAATCGCTATTCGTTTAATAGAAGCAGTTGACGGCTTCTGCCATATCCGCTAGGTTACAAGGCTGTAGACTACTGTCATTAAATGGTGTCGCATGGAAACAATGTGCATACGCTTCCCTGGAATCGCGATGACGCTGAGTTTCGAAGTAAAAAGAGGCAAGCTCCAAAGCCTAGACCAAGACCAAACTACCACCACGTGCAGTGAGCCAGCTTCCGCGGCTGCTCCTACCATTGCAACTACGACCCCGAAAACTCTTCTAGAACCACACGAAAGTAGGCCTGGAGATTCAACAGAGCTTCAGGCTTACGATGTCAACGCGAAGGATCGCAAGAACAAAGCGTCCAAGGTATGTTGGAGAGTAACTCTGTCAAGAGTCTGCAGGCTAATCATGTCTTAGTAAGGCTGCTCAAGATCCTATCTTCGCCATTGTTGAGGCAGGTGACACCAAAACTAGATACCACGTTCATCGCTGGCTACTCGTACAAAACTCTGAATACTTCAAGAAGGCGCTGAGTGGTCTTTGGAAAGAGGCGCAGGATGGTGTCGTCACATTGGAAGACGTTGAGTGCAGCACGTGTGAGTGGACAACATTTGGAGGTATGCATGACTTACTTGACGAGACGACAGTCAGCATCTTCGTCGACTGGGTATACACTCAGAGACTCCCCCAAACCGAACTAGAGTGGTGCAACGGAAAGCATGAAGATCATCGATTAAGGATGAAAAGCAACGCACAACTTGTACGTACAAAAGCTTTCATTCTTGAGGATCAAATTATGTCTCCACTGTTCTACAGAACGGTTCGGGATAGCTTGATCGAACACATTGTCGAGAGGGGTGCATACTACGGGGCTTTGATCCATGCCTTTGCTCATCTCCCCAAAGCTCACGCGATCCTCGATTTCTTCGTCGAGGTGCAATGCCGGGGATTTGATGATTCATATGACACGGCTGGAAATGGCGAACTCGAACTTTGAGCCATTCTTCCACACGATTTCCTCGTGCGCGTCATGTTCCGTTATAGTCGCTCCGACGAGGAAGAGCTACCGTTGGACGACATTGATCGGTGTGATTATCACGGTCACGCGGATGAAGAGGAGAAGAAGCAGTACCAGACAGAGGTAAATAGAGACTGAAAATAAGCCTTTGAGAAGTTCACAAGGGGAGATTAAGTATAGCTTCAAGGCCAGGCGCACAATATGCGTTACATGTTCAATACTATGCTCGTATTGGCATACTCGGATCCAGGATAATCTACATATCCACTTGCATACACGCAAAATATGCACCTACTCCATGCCCCTATGCAGATACAAGTGAAATCTCACACGTGGAAATGTCGAATTAGTTATAAGTCGTTGGCGCGAAGCAGCTCCTCGTCGTAAGACATGCCGTTGATGCGCTTCTTGGTGAATTCGAATGCAGTAAAGAAAATGGCGTTGACTATGCAGGAGCGAGACATGGAGACACCGAGGCCTTGGTCGAGTCAGTAGAAGCCTTGCAAGTTCGGAAAGGTTTGCTTACCTCGATACATCCGCCGACTAAAGAAATGGATCTTTGGGCGCGTGGCCTTGTCTTTACCCCCGACGAGACAATTTCGCTGGTAGATACTCTTTGCCGTGTCGATTGGGAAAATCTGCCATACCTATTAGTACTTGATTCAAGATCCCATAGGAAGCGAAAGCTTACGCAGGCCCAGCTAACGAGTCCACAGAGTCCACCGGCCACGACTACAGCCAGTGGGTGTGTAGGTGAAGTGCCGCGCGCGTTGGCTAAAATCTGTTTCACACTCTCGTATGTCACAAAGTAGATGCCGGTGCCGATGGAATCTCTTACTGTCTCTTGTTAGCGCATGCATGTCTTCGCAGCGATCTGCAGTTCACTCACGTAGATGCAAATGGAAGCCTGAGTATAGTCCTGTCCAGCCCCGATGTTTGACCAGATTTTGCGCCGTCTTCCAGGTTCCCAGATTCTGGTAGCTCTTGCGGACCGCTTCGTTCTTGCCGCCGCCGTCGTTGCGCTCGGCCATCAATACGGAGATTTGGGCGCTCAATTTCGTCAATTCGAAGGGACCTGACTGAATTAGCTAGCGACAAATAACTGGCAGTAAATCTTTCATACATGCGATTACCGTGATAGCGGCACCCGCATTGACGCCTGCCAGCCCGAAGCATGCAATCGTCGAAAACGTAGGCCACGCATCCCGGGTATTCGCAATAACAAGCGGGGAGCTTCCGGTCGTCTGATAAATCCAATTATCAAGCGCGTACTTGGATCGTTGATATATGGAGAAGGATACGGTTCGGACGAGGGTTATGCTTGCGAGAGGAGACCAGACACCTATGACGCGTACATTAGCGGGTGCTGGCTATGCAGTTGTGAGCGGTGAGGCATACCACGGTAGAAGCCATGGAAGCCTTCAGTTTTGTAGGTATGGCGAACGCAGTCGGCGAAGGAGTTGAACTTGTAGCTATGCCATATTAGCCGTGTTCTGCGTGATGCTAGGGGCTGGCGTACGCTTGCAGGCGTGTCTTGACCGAGTCGAGAGGATACTGGAAGCTATCAGCACTGGCAAAACTAATAATTATATGTCTGAGGGAGTTGCACGCACAGCAGCAAATGTAGAGAGCAGACTGCTGGAGCTTGCAGCGACCTCGGTGCGGTACTTCTTAGTCCATCGCTTGGCCTGCTCACTGCGCAGGACGGCTCTTGAAACCTCGGTCAGATCTCTGGGTCTATTTGGAATGTCCTGTTGTACATTTGGCCTCCCCTCGTCCTGCTTAGGCATACTGGCTATCGCTAGCTGTGGAAGACGGTGCAGTCTTCCTACGGCAATCGCGATCGGGCCAGCAGCCGGGCAAGCTCCATGAAGACCGCGGCGTCGTCAAGCTGGATGGATGGAACGTGGGTGCGCGATTGGTGTCGAGTGCGGAGGTTGGTGGTGGAGAGGAAGGTCGGGCGACAATGGCTGATGTTGGCGAGAGTGTACAGATGCGGAGGGCGGTCATGGAATGGTGGGGTTAACCTCACGCTTTGTGCAGCTCGCATCCCCGAAACAGTCTAACGGCCACGGAAGGATGAAGCCATTGGCCGCAGGCGAACGATCGACGCAACGACCTGCAGATGTACCTATCTATAATATCCCTCATCCAGCGCTCGGCAATCGATCCCCAACTTGATACCAACACATGACTTTGCTGTTAAATCGCGCCTGCCATCACTCAACCAAATCTCGTGGCATGGCACACGTTTGGAAGCTACCGTAGCTGATTGCGGGGTTCGCTCACATGTGAAGCTTAACTCATCCATGTCTGTAGCTTTGGCAAATCACAATTCATCATTACGGCAGCTAGCGTTCTCGAGCAGGTGTTTCGCTGTGGTGATTATAAATACCATGTCATGCTGTGTTACTGCGGCGCATTCAATTGCCATAGCTCAGCCTTCGCTGCCCATGATCAAACAGAGTGCATAGAGGTGAATCTGCTCCGGGCGCGTGTGACAAGACACTACCGGCCGCGGACCGTGTTCATAGATCGACTTAAGCTCTGCTGTACCCAAGTTTACCTCTCTGCTGGTGTTGGACAATGCTGAACAAACCGGTGAAGGCCTTAGCCGCTACACGTGCTCGCGTGTAGCTTCATTAGCAGCATGGTGCCTTTCTGGTTTCTCCACAGCAACGAACCAGATGATAATTGTTTTTCGTTTAACAATCCTTGAAGTTCGTAGACATGTAGATTGAGGGATTGACATGTCTTTCCATAGTCTTCATAGGACCATGGCCTATTTAATGACCTTCTTATGTTGCTTCCAGCAGCAAGAGCTCTACCTGCCCCTCGGGAGTCAGTCCTTCTTTCCCATGATCTTCCTCAATTCAGCATCGTTGTCGGACCTTTCCACTGGCGCCTTCTGGTTCTCCCCAACCTTCTGCTGTTTCTTTTTACGAATGTCTCCCATAAGAGCTTCGCTGAATGTCCCTCTGTCATCATCCAGCCTCTCCATCTGACCATGCCGCCTCATGCTCTCCTTGTGCCAACTGATCTGCCCACCGTCTGCTTCTCGATGTTTCTTCGCATTGAGCTTCGCCGCGCGTATGGACGTCCGGGCATATACGAAGAGAAGGCCAGCCATGGTGAGGGCGGCTAAGGGTGCCATAACGGTCTGGGATGTGTTAGCCGACGTGATGCGCTACAAATCTGGAAAGAAGTCTCTTACACGCCCATTGATGATGCCTCCGCCTCGTGTGAGACGCGCTCGCGCATTGGCCGACGTCGGCTTGGAGGTTTCGCTCATGCCATCGGCGGCTTTGGGCATGGAGAGCCTACCACCCATGATGAAAGTATTCGAGGTACGTAGAAGTGGGTGTAGAAGCTTTCAGCTGAGAGTGCGACACTCGGCAACGTCTCAAGGTCCGTGGTGGGGATGGTCTGATCTCTTTGGGTGACTGTCGATGCTTCAGGATTCAGGATTCCGGATCCGAGAAAGTTGAACCACTTTCATATGCTGGCATGGTTTCCTGCCAACATCTGTCGAGCTTCAGTTGACTTGATCGACCTAAAGTTGCGTGGAGTCGTGTGTCGCAGGTGGGCTGGCCTGGAAGCGATGATCGAAGTAGCTATCGGAAGCGGTTAAGCGTATGCACCTCCGGCATGTCCGCACGCGTAAGGCCGAGGTCGCGTCATCGCCGGCTGCTCCCATAATCGCAAAATCTTAAATCGCGACATTACCAAGCGACATACATCGCTGAGATAGCATTGCGTGATAGTTGCAGGCAATCATTGTCTCTCATTCGTCTCCAGTCTGCAACGTCTTGCCTGCACAGAAAGCAGCCATACCGCATACTGCACCTGCGCAGCTGGATTACTTAAGTCGTCCAATCCAGCCTCTGACTGCAGTAGTAGCTTTAGAATCTATTTATTCTGACGTACTCCATAAGTATCCGCCGTCGGCCGCGCTGCATCTTTAATGCAAAGAATAGCTACCTTTAGACTGCGAGCTCTCTCGACGAGTCTCCGTCACATTACCCCTCCATCTCCAGGACAAACTTCTCTACTCCGATCGCACTTCCGCCCTTCACAAACCGCAGTGGCATCCGCACGCTTATTAAACCTCTCGTCTCACTTCTCCACCTCAGGCATCAACATGTCGTCGCAACCCAAAGAGTGCGATTACCTAGTAATCGGAATCGGCAGTGGGGGTATTGCCTCTGGACGACGAGCCGCCAAACACGGCGCAAAGGTCATCGCGATCGAGTCTTCACGATACGGAGGTACCTGCGTAAACGTCGGTTGTGTACCAAAGAAGGTTACTTGGAACGCAGCAGCAATTGCCGAGACCTTCAAGGATGCGCCCGCATACGGTTTCAAGGTTGGCGGGGTACCAGAGTTTGACTGGCCATACTTCAAGAAGAAGCGAGACGACTACGTCAAGCGACTGAACGGCATCTACGAGAACAACCTGAACAAGGATGAAATTGAGCATTTCAGAGGGCGCGCCAAGTTTGTGGCCAAGGACGAGGTCGAGGTTGCGCTTCATGATGGAGGCTCTCAGCGCATCAAGGCGAAGCATATTCTCATCGCGACCGGTGGACGACCGAAGCTACCCGATATTCCTGGCAAGGAACTCTGCATTAGCAGTGATGGCTTTTTCGATCTCGAGAAGCAGCCCAAGAGCATCGCAACAAGTGGCGCTGGATACATCGGTGTCGAGATGACTGGCATGCTCCACGCACTCGGCTCGAAAACGCACTTCTTCATCCGCGGCGACAAACTCCTCCGAACCTTCGACCCCATGATCCAAGATACCGTAACTCAAGAGTACGAGCGTCAGGGCATCAACCTCTACAAGGGTACCCAAATCACAAAGGTGGAGGATATCGGCAACGGCATGAAGCGCGTCACCTACCAGAACAATGAGACAAAGAATGAGTCGACCGTTGAGGTTGAAGAAGTCCTCTTCGCAACTGGGCGCGACCCCGAAATTGAAGATCTTAAGATCAAGGACTTCGGCATCAAGCTTAACGACAAGAACCACATTGTAACCGATGAGTACCAAAACACCTCTATTTCCAACATCTACGCCATCGGTGACGTGTGTGACCGTGGTTTCGAGCTCACCCCCGTCGCCATTGCCGCTGGAAGACGCCTCTCCGACCGCCTATTCAATAACCAGCCCAAGGCGCGCCTTGAGTACGAGAATATTCCCTCTGTCGTCTTTGCCCACCCTGAGATTGGATCTATCGGCTTGACTGAGCCTGAGGCCCGCGAGAAGTACGGCGACAAGATTAAGATTTACAAGACCGAATTCAAGGCCATGTACTTCGCTATGATGGACCCCGATGACAAGCAGCCCACAGCCTACAAGATTATCTGCGCAGGCGAGAACGAGAAGGTTGTCGGTTTGCATATCTTGGGACAGGGAAGCAGTGAGATTCTGCAAGGGTTCGGTGTAGCGATCAAGATGGGTGCCACTAAAAAGGACTTCGATAACTGTGTGGTAAGTACTCACCCAAGTTTCCTTTCCCGTTTCGTCGTGCATCCGTGCATGCATACGCGGCAATGCATCGGTTGTCGACTGCTGCAGCTGCCACGTTTGCGGGGGAAAGGAACGGCATCTTGCAATCGGCGTTTGAGGACATGGATGCTAACATGTGCTTCTCCCGCAGGCTATCCACCCCGTGTCGGCCGAAGAACTCGTCACCATGACTTAGACCGGTTGGCTTCTTGCATGGTCGTCCGACGCATGATACTGTATAGATTAGAGGGGATAGCCTATACTGGCAAAGATCAGACGAGTCGAAAGAATCATCTAGCTAATTGCACACTCGCACTCACAACGCATTGTTTCCTGAACCTACTTCGCATGACAAACTTGTATCTCACCACTGTGCCACACCAATACAGCACACCATGACGAATCAAAAACTACCCCCACACCTCCTCGGAGTCCAATACTAACATGCACCAGACCTTCTGACCCCTCTGACATAGTCCCTGCAGCTCCAAGACCTTGGAGAGAGCTTGTTCCCCCGCCATCACAGGTCCTACCCGTCACCAACTGGCAAAGGGTCCTATCGTCAAACCGAAACTAATGCACACGCGATACGCTATACGTGAATCCGGGGTTTTAGCGAGCGACCGTGCAAAAAGGCTCTACTGCACGTCGATGGCACATTGTAGCCGGTGGCTTTTGCAACGGGCAAATTGGCCAAACGCCCATTGCACGGTGAGCATGCAGGGTGAGGATTGACTCGAGCAGCTTCTCGTCTCGTGGTATGTGTACAAGGGCGATTGCCACGTGTAATGTACATGTACGCTTACCTGAGCCTTGTTCGTACGTGAGCAAGACACAAAAGGGTTGACGTTCGTAGCGTCATTTTACCCGAAGCGTGGCATGGAAGGGGATGATCATAGTCGATCTTCATATCGATTTCGCGACCCTGGCAAATGGACGATAGGCTTCATAGTAACGTGTGGTATAGGTCGGGTTATCGCTTTCTAGAGTTGTTCTAGTCGGCGGCGTTCCTGAGTGTCGGGTGCGACGATATGTTCGGACGTGTAACTATGTATCCCTCTCTCATCACACCACAAACGTTGTAATCTACAACGACAGGGGTTACAATGTAATCAATTTGAAGCAGCGACTAGCTACTTAAGTGAGTAGTCGACAGACAGACAACTTCCATTGCGTGGCTGGCGCTCGTTATCATGCGAGTCTGCCAAATCTCATCACAAGCTCATTTCCCACTTCATTTGCCGCTCAGCCCTGGCAGCCCTGCATTGACAGGAAAGGACCAACGGGTCCTCCCCGCCTTCGCTTGGAGCTTTTCGCGGGGTGGCTTCCTATCCATCATCTAGCATGCTGTTAGAATCTTCACCGTGCATTACCACCGGCACCAGGAGACCCACATTTGCAACCTATCGCAACTGAGCTACTAGCAGGGCCAGCACACCTTTTGCACACGAAATGACTTGTAACAGGAAATGAGCTTTGCTGACGTTCCAACAATATCATCATTCTCGTTCGTTAATGGACCCTGCAGTAGATGCCGCAATGCTGTCAAACGGAGAATCTCGGTTCCACCACTTAGAGTTTTGCCAGCAACCCGGTCCCTAGCAGCTGTCTCCTGTGGCGCGAACGCCTTTCCGCCCATGTGAGTGGCAGTTTGTGTCTTCCAGAACGTGGTTCAGCGGTGACGACGATTCATCGCATCGAAACGTTATTTTTTTTGTCGGTAGGCACATTAGGCACCGGAGGCGCGTTCTCCGCGTTAACGTCACGAAGGATTCGATGCTCCCCGGATTCGCACTCTACAAGCGCACACACTTTTGCAAGCCACGGTGTGGAGACAGTTGCTGTGCTGTAGTGCGGCGGAGAGGAGGGCCAAAACGGCTATGACCTGCATAGCACAGACACCTCGTGCCTGCGTCGAGCGTCCAGAGTCATGCTACGGACTCACCGCTCCGTGTCAATCAGTGTTCTAGACAGCTTGGAAGGAGGTGGTGTGTTTTGATCTGATGCTATTCATGACCATCTCACCCAAGCAAGGCAAGTCCCTGAAGTACGAGTGTTTGGAGATCCCCCATGACAGCGCCGAACCCCGGGTTACTCGTATGCGAGATACACCGCTAATGCGCATCGAACCGGGGTATGTTTAGCGTCGACGCGAACACCAAGCCGTCAACATGCACGTTGACTCAATATGGCCTGCTTCCGCACTCCAGCGGCTGAGATGCCGATAAAGGCACCGAGGCCGCTCTCCGTCATGACACACAGCACTCAATACGGGCCTCCGCTTCGACGCCGACACTAGGGTTCTGGTGTGGGCGTCTAAGGAAATCAACGGTACCTTGTCCGCAAGGTGGTGTGAACTTGTTTGACGATTGTCTGGTCAATGTGGAGCTGACGGCACTTGCTGCTATCGATTGCTCTTCTGAGAGCACTTGCTTAATTGTTGTTGATGATATTATACATTTTTACATATGGCGGTCGTGACATTCGTTTCCCGTAGATCCTAGGCTGTGAAGCTAGCCTTCCTGTGTTACGACCCTTTCTGTTTTGCGCCGCGCTGGTTTTGGTTGCAGGACCCCGGACCGGACCAAGCCGGTCGATGATGAGCCGTAAATGATAGCTGTCGAAGCTACTACAAAATGTACTGTGAAATGAAGACACAACCAAATCTAAACCCTTGTGATGATCGTGGCACGGTCGTTCCGCGGATCCGCTGTGATATTGCGGGAGTTCATACTTCGCCATCTTGCTTTCGGCGCAAGCGGCAGTAAGCTCAGGTGCTCTGTCCGCTCAAGAAAAAGTCCAGCTCGCTTGGACCGCCCCTGCTGACCTCGTTTTCGGCAAGTTGTTCCAGCAAGCTGAGGAAAGGGTCCTTGCTGTCAGGGTCTGTGTGTACCGATGTGCCCGATGTGCTCCCTGCGCCGGGGGTCGGATGTTGTTCGTACGGTGTCGGCATGCTCAGCATAGGGTCGAAGTGGATTGCATGGTTGTTATCCTGGTTTTGGTGGAGATTCGCTGTACGCGAGACCGGTGATGGCGCCAGGCTCGCAAACTGCGGCAATGGAGAAAACGAGAAGTTTGGCGAGAATGGAAGAGCGAGTCCGCCACCATTAGCATTCGGTGGATTTAGGGAGTTGTTCGGCAGTGGTGGGGTGTAAGGTCGTACACCAGAGTCATTAGGATGTGTTCTAGTGTCTCCTGGGCTTGGGTTTGAGTTTGACTCCGAGGTACCAGCATCAGACGGTCGGTGAGTATGAACAGTAGGAGGGTGAGTGGCTGATGTAGGTGTTGGGGGGATAGCTTGTGGCTGGGCTTGGGGTTTCGAAGACGAAGTCGTGGCTCTCCTTCTCTTGTTCGGGTGGGCGTTGGAATATTGCGGTTGTTGTGAGGGTGCGGAATGCTTTTGGTAGCTTTGAGCGTTCCCGATGACGCCGCTGGTCATGTACATGTTGTTCCGTTGTTCGATATTGAAAGTGGCAAGGCTATTAATATTATTAGCGTTATGACCATGTAGGGAAGGGCCTGGCTCTCTACCCTTCTTGAATGGATTCGACCGCAATGTCCATAAAAGTAACGTGCGCTCCATCGAAGACCTGGCCTGGGTATCTATCGAAGAAGTCCTCAAGTTGAAAGACTGGCGCGTAGCGCATGGGATTGCTCGCCAACGACTGGACTAGCTCTGTGTGACATCCGTAGATGGTCTGCAGCGTGTCACGCTGGTGCTGGGCCCCAGCCCAGACGAAACGAAGCTCGGATAGCTGCTGCATCTCTCGAGACAGAAACTCTGCACTGACCGAGAACACCTCTCCTTCTCTTCCTGGGTAATGTGCTCCATGTACATGGATGGTGCCAGCCGTGCATATACAATAGCCGACAAAAGCTGGCCAATCTATGATGGAAGAGGCCCTTCCTATCTCGGCGAGTTCGGCAATTGCGTTGGCGTGAAGGAAGCATAAGTTGGTCGCTTCTATTTGCCAGGGTTGGTGCTGCGACGTTCCAGATAGCTCAGCCAAGTCCACAGGGAGAAAAGGCCGGTATATGAGGCAATGTATGAGGTGGTAGATCAACTTGCTGAGGACAAGTATAGTGCTGTCGGGCTGGCCGAAGAGAGCTTCGATGGAGGTGAAAGTATCCTGCGTCTCCGATGCCCATATGTCGAGTTCTTGGCGAATTTTGGATAGGTTGGATAATGAGTGCCAAGGGAAATGTGAATCGCCTTTTACACCACCCGCTGCAAGGTAGCGGTTGGTTATACCCAGGATGCGAGCTATGCCAATGAGCATACCCATGCTTCCTTGTCCACCTTTTCCGGTGCCGCCCATGAACTGCAAATTGCATCCGTTTGGAAAGTAGTCTCCGTCTATTAGCATTGCGCCAGAGTGCAGCTGCCAGCTCGGCAATCGTAGCACAATCGATTCATCCGCAATTAACGAGGGTCGCTTAGAGCCGGTTGCAGCGAAGCGGTCCATGAGGTAACATGACCAGAAGAGCCGGCGTCGTCCTTCGCGTTCGGCGGGCGTGACCTTGAGGCCGGTCGGTAGTTCGCGATGCAGATCGAGCGCGAAGGCCATGCTGATGGCAGAATCTTGAGAGCGGAGTCAGTCTTGCGCAAAGTGTGGATAATGGTGACTTCGTACTTAGCAGCATGAAGGTCTTCTTGCCTTTGCCCAACTGGAAGCTTGCTTGCGAGAGGAGCATGAGGGTCTGCAAGGTTTCGATAGAGGGCTCATCTATCTCGAGTTCCAGCCGAGCGCGACGGGCATACTCTTGCCCGATGCGCACTGCAGAACTGTATCCTCCGAAGTGGGGTGCATATCTGGGGTACATATATTAATTGTGATCAAGAATGCTCAGGGATGGGCGAATCGTACCTGGCACTCACGGCGTAAATAGCATAGGCTAAGTGGCCGGGAAGCTGATTGGCCTGTAGTCGCTGTCTCGTGGTCGACTCGTCCAGGATGTAGTAGGGCTTTCCATGGATTCTGGCGAAATAGGTGTCTAGAAGTAGGTCGGGAGCCAGGGTTGGGGATTGTATACTAGATGTTGTTAGCAATGTGCCGGGGCCAGAATGGCAGGCTGCTAGTAGGTACCTTGGCTCAATGGGCGACATCAACTGGTTTGCATGGTTGGTGCCGCTTGCGCGACGGGGCGAGGACGCGTGCGGCGATTGTGAGGAAGCGAGATCTTTTCGTTTGACGTCGGCTGAGGTGGTGTTGTCCTGGGAGGTGGGGTCGGTCTCGGTTGGGTCATCGCTCTTGCCTTCGGAAACCAGGCGCTTTTCCAGGCCGTCGACACGTTTCAAGAGGGCCTCGAGCACGTCTGTCTTTGGGCCTCTCTTCTTGGGAACAGCGTCTGGAAGTGGCTGTCAGTCCATGTTTGGATGCACTCGCGTGGTGTTGAGGGTGGAGCATACCGTATATACATGGACAGTTGAACACTTGACAGGCCTCACAGGTCGGCCGTGTGCGATTGCACTTAATCTTGAATTTTGGTTAGCAAGTGGGAATGACAAAAGAAAAAAAAAGCAGACAAGCTCTACCTTTCGCTTTCGACAGCTTTTGCAGTTCATGGCCTCGCGGGGCTCGTTGGAGACGCGGCGGGCGGGTAGTCGGTCGATGCCAATCTGTGGCCTTGCCATTGCGGCCAGTGACTGGGAAACTTCGGTGGACATGGCGACGCTACAGGGCGGTGGACCAGAAGCATTCTCTGGCTGCAAGTGATCAAGTTGATAGCGAACTGGACGGTAGGAAGAAGAAAGCACGCCCTCAGCAAGGCGTGAGATGTAGGTTCAAATTAAGGCCTATGGCAGTGGAGACAGGCAGGGGGTGCGCGGACGGCGAGGCTTGCTCTGGCGGGAGTGCGCGCCCACTCGGATGCGACTCAGAGTGTGCAGTGACTAGGAATTGGTAGTGATGGAACCGCTGGGGAGCGAGGACGCGTGACGACGATCTCGGGGTATCTAGCCATGCACGGTAGAGCAGCCCATGCAGAGGCGCGAGGCTTGGAACCGTTGGGCCGAGTCGAGCAGACAAAAACACGGCCATCATGAGGCCACTGGGGTAAGAGGCTAGCCGCACGTCGAGGAATCGACCATCGCATGCCGTCCCAGACGGCGCACCGTGCCTCGGTTCTCAGCCATGCAGCTACTGGCAATTTGGCACGTAGATTGCGCCCGTCGCACGCCCCCAGCTCGTCTCGGCGTAGCTGCAGCCTGTAGCGCCGGACTGCACCAATGTGTTCTAGAAAATCTGGGGTATCGCCCGCCGCCCAATCACGCGAGCCCGCCCTAGTGCTAGCTGCTGCCCCGTCCCCGGTTACAGCTTCCACGAGGGCCCCGTCATCAAGAGCCACCCGTCATCCCTGGGTCCCAAGGCTGCCTCGCTCCTGTCACGCCGCATGTGATTGTCTCGACACAGGACTCTTCATCAAGCGTGTACATTGCTAATTGCTGAATCTAAAAATGTCCCCTTCCGGACGCCAGACGCACAAAGTCATAACACACGTTCTGCCCCACGAGCTTCCGGATCGTTTCCACCGTCGTCCACGCTGAGACGTCCGCAATGCCATACGCTGTCCATCCCGCCGACGTAGCGATTGCCAACGGGTCCGCCTTTCGAGGTCCACTGGCCAAGTCGACGAACACCTTGCCCGCAGCCTTCGTTCCTGTGCACCCATGTCCGTTGGGGCTTCCATTCCTTCCGCCAACCCTGTAGTGCTTCAGCAGGGGCACCACCAGTAGCGACTTCTCAGCAGGCAGAGCCGAGATGATAACGAATGGCTGCTGCAGGCGCTTCACGTCCTCTACCGATCGTACCGGTGACACGTCAGTAGATAAGGGCCCGTGGGACTTGAACCCTATGGTATATATAGGCCCGATCCCGAGATTTTTCAGTGCGAAGATGGACGCCGATGCATCAGCCTCGTTACTGGCGAGCAGCAATGCCGCCTGTCCACTGTACGCCGACGGTACAAAGTCGCGAGTCAGTGTTGCACGTATACCCTTCCACCGCGTGTTGTCTCCTATGAAGGAGGCGTTGCCGGTCCCGGGAGGCACTAGCACTGTATCAACTTGTCCGATGGCCCGAGCAGCATTCGAAAGGGAAGGCAGGTACGGTGCCGAGGCTGCCAACGGCGGGTTGATGTATGCACCACCAAAGTTGTTGCGTCGGAGAATATGCTCGATCGAAGCCTTCGGAGCTCTTTCTGCAAAGCCGAATGAATGCGGCAGACTAAGCTCGTTGAAACACTTCTCAAAAAACATGGCTTGTGACGTCGACCGAAAACTTCCGATGCCGTAGATGTCCTGCTTAGGCATCTGGCCCATTGTGTGGAGCGCTGCGTTAATTTCGGCTGCGCTTAGTTGGCCAGGCGCTGCAATCATGGGTAACAATGGATGAGTAATCGGAGTGAATATTTTGTTCAAGGTCCTTGATAGCTGGCCCATGGGCCCCATATTGAGACCAGAGAAGGGAGGATGGGGATACTTGGCTTGGATAGTCGACCGGAAGTATTCCAGCTCGTAGTTCTCCTGCATCGAATTGACGAGTGCGTACATTTTGACAATGTCCCCGTACACCGCTCCCATCTCGAACAGACGCTGTGTTTCAGGCGAGGTCCACTTGAAGTTGCCCGAAAAGTCGTGGAACGCCGAGATGATCTTGGTGCACGCCTTGTTCTCGGCCAGCTTCCTCCTAATCTCCTCTGGCAGCCACAATTCCACATCAATGTATTCGCAACCCCATTGTATCGCGCGCGCAAGGTATCGGTAGAACAGAGAGGGGTCGTCCATGGGGAACCGGCCATTTTCCTTGGTGCACCTCGTAGTGAAGATGATTGGCAGCTCCGTGCGTTGACGCAGCACCATGACTTGCTCGCCGACATACTTCAAGCTGGGTATCTTGCTGACCGTCCCATCTGGCAGAGGCTCCTCCAGCAGGTCGACCCGGATCTCGATGGCATCTGCGCCGACCGACAGAATGTCAAGATTGGGCAGTGCAGCGTGCACGTCGGGAAACGTCGTCGATATCAGCGTCGTGCGCGCCTTCTTGGTGAGGTCGCGGTGGGGCCCAATCTGGCCCAGGACAAAGGAGAGGTATCGCGACACGTCGCGACGGAAAAAGGGCGCGCGCGTGTAGAGGTATTCGTAGTCGCATCGGTCGGTGATGCTCTCGTCCAGTTCATGACCGCCGTCCACTCGATGTGTGTTGATCAACAGCCTAGAGCGATCCCAAGCGTCCAGTTGCGGTTTGGCCAGCCCGCTGCTTAGACCGTAAACCGTCTCCCGTGGCCCTGCCAGCGCTTCGTCCATCGATGTCGCCGACTCCCATTTCTGGCCCAGGACATCCGCAAAGATGCCTACAATGTCCTCCTCGCCTTCATTGTGCAGGATTAGCAGCGCCGGTCGGGCTCCGTTCGGAATCTCCTGCACGTCTATGACCGCGCCTTCTTTGAGACGGGAGGTGGTCACGCTCCCGGTCTGCACCATGGTGGCCATGGATGAGTAGAGTTGTGCGCTGTTTTGCTTAGTACTGTTAACCGTACGTGTTGAAGCCGTTGATGCGATGCTGGATCTCGGCGAGAATGCGACGGGCGGTATACAACTGGCGGACTCCGACAACCGTCGCTACCATTTCCGAAACGTCGAAAAGTATGAGGCGGTGGTAGGGGCTGTGTCTGGAGAAATACAGACGTCTCAGACTGAGCGCTGTAGATTCATCCGTGGGGTGGTGGGATGCAGGACCAGGTCTGGATTTAATCGCGATGTGTGTGAGGTTTGAAGATAGTGAGATAGTACCATGTCAAGAGCAGATGGAAGCACCAAGCTTCCGTAAAACCCGCGCGTCTGTTGGCTCCAAAGCCGTCCTATGGCTGGACGGTGAATATGCCGTTAGGAAGGGCACTAGGCGTTGCTTGCTCGGGGCAGTAGGATAGTGAACGGACCAGAGCGGGCACCGTGGTGCGCTCGCCGATAGCTGGAGCTCGAATTTATCCGTAGACTTGCCATACCGTCGCAAAAGCCGCCAATTTCGCACCAATCACTTGATTTGCCATCAGTCAAGGTATTCGTACGCCAAGTATATCACCTCCATCGCCTTCGTCTATTGCTGACGCGAATCTGTGGGGATTGGTGGAGAATGGGGGGGTAGCGTCTGTCGTAGTGACATCCAAGGCCTGAGGCGACAACTGAATACCATATCTACGCCTCGAGGCTTGAAATGCCCAGCAACAACACCACAGATACGAGCTTGGTACTCGGATAGGCGTATATCGGTACTCCCTATAGGCGCACCGCCTGCGCGAGGCTGGCTCTGGGCCTGCACGAGGCTGCACCCGCAGTACAGTTGGGGCGTCGCATCGCAAACTTCAGCCCTATCGGCTTTACCATGAGCGGCATCCCGCGCTCGAGAGTAGTGGAGTAATGGGCCACCGGCGTATCTCGCTGTAAAGACGTGCGCCCGCAATCTCTTTGGAAGAGTAGGAAACTTACACAAGTGGTGTTATTACCCAGACTTCGTCGAGAAGACTGTGCATGCACTACAGCTATCGACTACCTCCGTAGACAGCATCGGCATCATGTTTCCTACACGCAGCTCAACATGTCATCAAAGGGCAGTACCGCAATATACCAACATTAGGCTCGGCACCAGTTGAGGCTCCGTTTCATCACTACGACTTTAGCCGGCAACCTGGAGGAGGCGTAGGTGCAGAGGGTCTAACGAGACCTCGATCGCCTCGTCAACGTCGGGTTTGGATTTTCCGACACCAAACTGCAGTGTAACCTAGGTCCACCCCACCTGCTGGAGCATTGCCATCGTCGATATTTGATGACTAGCTCATCATGAGACTGATTTCTCGCGATCGAGACGTCACGACGGCCGGGAATACGTTCAGGCCAGTATGGAGGCAGCGAGAGGGGTCGTTGCTCTTCGGATCTTCGCGCAGTTTCGGCGAGATACCTATCAACCGCTGCTGCGAGGTGAAGCAGATTGATTGATTCACTTCGTTGTTCTTCAGCCGTCCGGTCTCGTCCAGGTATCAGAACGGATAAATACGTCGAAGTCCAAACATCTGCGGGACGCCTTAGATCGTTCAGCCGTACTGCAAATTTCCGCTCAAAGGAGAATATCTACTCGTAGCCACCTGGTAGACTACCTTCCAGTGTCTTGCACAAACGACCAAGCTGTTAAAGCTTCAGCAACGACCAGCAATCGGCCATCTACATGGCAAAATCTCCGAACGCGCTTTTGTTCGCATTTTTATCATGACACGAAGCATGCATCCTTTTACGTACAACTCTCACCACCACGCACGCTTTCGCCGTAGAAACAGCTACTGTTGCCACGAGCTGTGCCGGATTCGCCAAGGACATATCATCTCTCTGGAGTAGAAGCGAGTAGGCTCGTAACGTAATTTGTCAAAAGGGTTGTTGTGCGGTCTCGAAAAGGTTACCATTTCGTTTGTCGGGGTGTATACACGCCACATCGAGGGTTACCGTACACTGCATGGACTAGTATGATCCGTTTGGAATTAGCCCGATCGATGAATCTAGCATAAGACTAGCAGCCCGGGCATGCCCAGGTGGAGTATGGTGATTCTAAAACGCACCACATCATGCGGTCAGCCTACTCGTATCTTGGGGTTGAGCTCCTTCGACAAGCGACAACGCGGAACTTGGCTCTCAAAGATGCTTTTCCTCTGGAACATTTCAAGTATATCAAAACACGGAAAGGTCACGAGTGTATGCGTCAAGGATTCGAAACTCCTTCTCAGCTGAGTATCCGAGTCTGTGTCACTGCTAATCCACCGCACCCAGTCTTTCCAACACATTGGCTGCGTTCGGTCGACAACCTGGGTCGATCTCCAGCACGTCTTGTATGACGTAAGCGAGTTCAGCTTCAGTCGGCCCAAGCTCATCTAGAGCAGCCGAAACTGACCCAGTTGTCGTCAAATTCCCATCCTCTACGGTGTAATAGCAGCAAACTGCGCTCTCTTCCATTACCTCGGAACGGAACTCTTTTAGATATTCCCAGCCTTTCCAGTGCCACACTAAAATGTCGAGGAAGACGCATCCTAACGACCAAACATCATGCGGGCGAGAGCTTGACCCGTTATTATGCGTCTCCGGTGGCAGCGCTAGTGTACTGCCTTTGATCCTTGACTTTGCACTAAGTCCGGTCGCATTAAGACACCCGCCATAGCCTGCGGAGCCGAAGTCCGTAAACTTCAATCTGTGTTTCACGTCAGCGGCAGGACCGATGAATACTAGGATGTTGGTAGACTTGATATCGTGATGGTGGTATGTCATATGACCGTGAAGAACGTCTAGAGCACTCGCAAAGCCCCAGAGCTGTGCCAAAAGCCACTCACGATCTAGATCTTCGACAGCCCAGCGTTCGGGGTACTTCGCCATGAACTCGTCCAAGTTGCCATCTGCTAGCTCAGCGATAAGGTATATCTTCTTCTCGAATACGAAGCCAGTGTAGAACGTAGTGATGTGCTCGTGTGAGCCTGGAGAACGGGCCAAACTCTCGAGAAAATTGCGTTCTCGTTCAGCATCTTGCCGAAACTTGCTGACTTTGAGTGCAAATTCCCTCGTTCAGTTGTCAAGACCCTGGGCCTCCCGTAGAAATGAAACACAGCTGGTGTGGATTTTGGCTTTGTATACTTTCCCTTCGCATCCCTTGCCAACTTCAGGTTTGGTGCCTCTGCTGAACTCGATTGGAATGGAATAATCTGTGAAATTGTACCTATATTGCCGTTCGTGAAGTTCAGGGACGGTAAAAAGATCTTGTGTGTCGCAAATAGTATCGAAGGCCGAGTCTGTCCGTTCTTCGGTCGTCGCGAGCCAGTCGTCTGGTGAGAAAGGAAGGGCATCATCATTGTAGTATGTTAAGACGACAACTATATCAGGTTGCGAGAGACCGCAATAGATAGCGAGAGCAAACAATCGCTCACCGCCTGGCCGGATCTTTCCGTTTAGTCCGTCTACAGTGATGGTGTCAAGCCCGGAGAAGAGAAAAATGTCCGTGGTATTACTTTCAGAAGCGATTTCGTCAATGGTTGTCAACGGACAGAATTTGAATGTCTTGTCGCCGAAGTTTGCGGTCGTACTGTCGTCGATGAGCCGGGTCCTGTACACTGCTATTGTATCGTTATAGTTCTTCTGAGGCTTTTCCATAATGAAACAGGAGATGTGAGATAGAACAAGGAACGAGATATTGGAGAGAAGATGTTTAGCATCCAATGGGCTTCTTCATAACACTTGTTGTTCAACAATCACCAAACACCAAGTCTGTACCCATGGTGAGCTCACATGGATTTGGAGTGATTGCTGTTTGTGGACGAATGAGAGTCTGATTACGCAAGCGAAGGTGAGATTCCATTGAAGCACCGACCGTGTGACCCGCGGGACGCTCGTGATCATAGAATATGATATTTACATGGCAGGAAAGAAATCGACGGGCGTGTTACTCACGAGAGTCAATATTGTATGAAGAAAATAGCATTGAAATTGACACTCGTTGAATCTGCCTTCCCGTAAAGTAGTTTTCGCGTGAGGTTCAGATGCATGCTTGAACGATGCGCTCTCCGCCTACTCGCAGATACAGGTTCCTGCATGATACACGTCATTTGCTCTGATACTATCCTGCGGGTTCACTTGTAGGCTTCTGCCAATACTTTCAATGACAATATTCCACTCATCGTCTCTACTGCCGAATCCCTTCATCCTCTGCTTCACAATAGATACGATATCCATCTCCACTGAAGGCATACTCACGCAATAGTTGCTGTGTTGCTTGACGAAATTACTCCTCTTGACTTCACCCTCGTCAAATCATGCGAGTCCTTTGAGAAATGCTGAACCGATGCACCAGATCTCGTTGAACACTGAAGCTTCCGACTTTTGATGACCACCGGCGACTTATTTTCATTGTAAATTCGAACAACTGATTAAGGTCAGAAGCCCACGAAACATTTCTGGGTGAACTTAGCAGTAATGCTATCGAACCCTAGGAAGCTACATTCACTGCTGATATCGTTGGTCGAGTTTATCATGCTAGCCGTATTTCTCAAACATGAATACTCGGTGGCGATTCCAAGTGATTACAAGGCGTGAAATCGCCGTCAAAGCTGTCTATATGTATGCATTTAGCAAGCCGAATCTAGATCAAGTAGACAAAAATCGATGCCGGCAACCTCGATTGTTAATACCTGTTATGGAGAAAAAGTGCTCCCCACTACAGCCGAGTAGCTTGCATGTTCATTTCCACATGTCTCAGATACACAATCAAGCAGTCAAACTCAGGAGGAAGCCCCGATGGTGTCTTGCCGAACATGAAACGCTCCACGAGATCCTGCAGTTTGTCGAAGGCGTGACCTCCTTACGAACGAATAGTGTGATGCGAGACAACTAATCGAAGTTGAAGCATCGGGGTTCGGTGTGATGATATTAGTGTCTGGTCCGCGATGGCATGAATGCGGTGTTGACATGCGGCGTAAGTCTAGCTTTAGAGTTGCTGGCCGTCGCGAAGTCGTCGTGAACATTCGTTGACGAGCCGACATTCTTTGCCAGTACCTGGCAATCGTCCATCTGCCATGCGCTCTGTGTGTGTTCGCATCCTAACTGATATTCAGTCGATATATAGAAAGAGCCGAAGTGAAATAGGACGAATGGAAGGTTGGTGATTCAGCGGCCTTGGCGTTGTGACCTCATCCAAAACTTCGGGTGCGGCGAACAGCGGAGGTGATCGCATCACCAGAACTTCTTCTCTACGCCACTCCAACCACCCATAATGTTTGCAAGACGCGCAATTCCTTCGGTAAGCTCCTAAAACGTACATCTGGTTCTCAATTCAATCTGACAATCACCAGGCCTTCCGAGCCGCCACCCGCGCCAGCACAGCTCGTACTACTCCCTCGGCACGATTCCTCACACCGTTCCAAGCACGATTGCTCTCCGATGAAGTCCGGTCTGCGATCGACAAGGCTGTCGCGTCATCGCCTGTTGTCCTGTTCATGAAGGGTACACCAGAGACACCGCAATGCGGTTTCTCAAGAGCCAGCATACAGATTTTGGGCATGCAAGGTGTAGATCCGGAGAAGTTCACGGCCTTCAACGTGCTGGAAGACCAGGATCTGAGGCAAGGTACGTTTTCACAGTTCCCACGACAATTTGGCAATCTGGCCGTAGGACTCGAGCCTGCGGCACATTTCGGGTTGCTGCAGGACGGGCAACGGGGCATTACATGCTGACAAATTCGAAAAGGTATCAAAGAATACTCCGAGTGGCCAACCATACCGCAACTATACGTTGACAAGGAGTTTGTCGGTGGCTGTGACATCCTGATGTCAATGCATCAAGATGGATCGCTCGCAAAGATGCTGGAAGAGAAGGGTGTAGTTGTACCAGCCGAGGGACAGGCACCGTAAGAGGTAGATAATACAACAGCGAAAATGAGAGGTGCTTGGACTTTATGCCATACCGTATCGCTTTGGTTGCGAATGTTCAGCCAGCTTCTGTCACCCGTGTAACAACGATATGTATACATACTAAGAACAAGATACGCGTCAACTTTGATGGTGGGAATGTCTGGTGCAATACAAATAACACAGTGTTTGAGAGATGCTAGTTCTTGATCTTGTAATGTGTGCGTAATTTTGGGTGCTCTTTCCTGTCGTCACCAACGTGCCTTCCTCAACCGAGCCAGAACATCTCACAAGCTTTGCGTCTGCACCAAAGCTCGACTTCACCTCTTTCAGTACTCGCAACACGCATTCGGCACCTCCAAACGCAGGTAACTTGAATGAAGGTCAAGCGCAACGTACCTGAACTGCGAGCGCGCGGCAACATGGGCCCACCGGCGAAGAACACGGTCTCTGCTGCTGCCGTTTTCAAGAAGCAGTGCACTTTCAAGGAACAAGACAACATCACACGTCAGGCAAAAACAAGCAACCCCAATTTCACTGGAGAAGATGCCGACACTATGACATTGCTGAGCGCCGGGTCTCATTCGAGCGCACGGAGCGTAGAGAAGAGAGGAGCAAGAAAGAGGTCTTCGAACATGCACCCTCTGGGCGTAGCCTTCAAAGGTACAGCCGAGCCTTTCTATTATCTGATCTCAGACCGCTAATATCCTACTACACAGATGCCAGCGATAAGTACCGTCGCCATATCTACAAGACTGCTTCTTCCAAAATCAACAAGACCCTCGAAAAGCTTCTTCATACCCTCTACGAAGGCACCCTGCAGACTGTTATTCGCGACAGTAACCAGCAGGACCCCAATACCTCGCCCCTTAAGATTTCTGCCCCAGCGAAGTACGAGCGCCTAGCCACTCAGCTCTATCAACCCATCTCTCAGTTCACTCTATCACTACGGCGCACTGACAGTGAGGGAAAGAGTGTACGTCTTGATCAGACACTTGAGACTCGCATGCTCCACTACGACGAGTTGATCACCAAAGAGACAGTCAAACTAGCGAAGTTGCAGAAGGAGTGGGAAGTCGTCTTGGGCGAGATCTGGAAGCTAGGAGCTGCGTGCCTAGGCGAGGAAGCTATGGAGGAGATGCTGTTCACTAAGCGGCCATCGGACGAATCGGCCTTGCCAGTTCCATCCTCACCATCGAAAGTCACTGACGCCGAATCCACGCTCTTCATTCCCGAACACGAGAGTTCTCCAGCACGCGATAAGTCTCGTACCAACAGGAAGCGCGTTACTTTTCTCGAAGAAGAAGCACCAACATACGTCCGCGATAAGAACGCCACCACCTCAACGACCATGTTTCCGAAGTTCATATACCAGCCTTCAAGGTATCGCAAGGACACGCTGCCTCTTCCATCAAGACTCTCTGATGATGACATCAAGAACCTGGAGAAGAAGGTGGAAGAACTGGGTAGGCAGGAGATGGGCGAGCTGCGTGAAATTGAAAAGGAACATCAGGCGTACTGGAAGAAGAAGACGGCACAGCTTGCTGTTGCGCTGAAGAGTGACTGAATGTGCAGATTTATGCACGCTCGGAGAACATATTTACTCCAACAGCCGGAGCGCAAATGACTACGATATTCTGGAAGCTGCAGACTATCTACTTGACATGGAAAGTCCTGCTGCAACGTAATTCGCGGTATATGAACGCAGCGTCAGTTAGAAGAGTTGTTATCTTATATGAAAGTCTGCGTTAAACCTCACAACGCTCCTCAACTCGATTACCAGTACACGAAGCACAGGGACAATTTTCAGGACCTCTTATTCGTGTATTGTATTTCCAAAGTCTACAAAGCAAGTAACAATAGATGTATAACCTCCAAAAGCGGTCTAGCTCATGCTGCCTTTAAACAAAAGCAACGGTCTAATAGTCTAGATGGATATCTCTGATTCAAAGGAACCCCCAATACTTCTCTCGTAATCTCGCACAAACTTAGTCGAACGAGCTCTTGAAGACGTAGCGCTGGTCCTCAGGCTGCTGGAACGGTACACCAAGCTCGAACAGTGTCATGACGCTCTCGGCAAAGTCCTTGAAGAAAGCGTCGTTGTCCTTGGCGTACAGGTCGGTGTACTTCCTGAAGCTCTTGTCCTTAACGAGCTCCATATCAGTGGGCAGCATCATCAAGCTCTTGGTCTTGACGTCCTCAAACTGCTTGGGGCCATTCCACTTCTTGTACGCCCATTTCTCCTCGACAAGGAGCTTGAAGTAGTCGTTGGTCAGGGTAGTGGGGGAGAAGGTCCAGGGGCCATCGAAGCCAGAACGGTCAGTGTGGCAGCGACCCAGGGCGTGTGCTCCAGAAAGGGCAACCATGGCGCGGTCGTCGAAACCCATGCGACCAAAGATGGCGCGGATATGGCTAGAATCCTTGCTGGCGTCAGGAAGACGACCGTCGGGTGTGCAGAAGGAGACGTCGCGGTCGGTACGGCCAGCGCGGTATGGGATCTTGGGGCCCTGCATCTCTTGGATGGCGCAGACACCGGCGAGAATCCACAGATCGGAGTAGGTGATCCATGGGAACGCCTCCTTGACGGGCTCGAGGAAGTCGCGGGCGGCCTTGAGACCAGCGTTGGCACCGTGGTCACCTTCGGGAGCGAAGCGCATGGTAGCGCCGTTGGAACCACCAGTTCCCGTCATCTTGTCGTAGCTGTTGTCTGTCAGTTCATGTGTCTGATAGACAAGAGAGTAGAGTACTCACGTTCCCGAGGCGTGCCATGCAAGGCGGAGGAGAACAGGGCCGTAGCTACCATCATCGTAGTCATCGTGCTCCTCAAGCCTCTTGGCAATGTGGTTGTAGACCTTCTGGTAGTCCTCAAACCTGGGTGTGAAGATCTTCCTGCTGTTGGTCTGGCCGAACAACTCTGGCTTGTATGTATAGAGGCCATATACACCAGCACCAACAAGGAGAGCGCCAGCGCCCCAAGCTAGGCCAGTTGGGTTGCCCTCATGCTTGTCTGGTCCATCCTCCTGAGAAGCGTATCCGCGTCGTTGATTGCGGAAGGCGTTCTGTGTGGGCGCGACGAAGCGGGCAGAGGAGCGGGTCGAGGTGGTGCGGAGCGAGGGAGCGGCGGTGCGCAGGGCGCGAGAGAAGTTTCGCGAGGCAGATGCCATTGTGCAGACGGTGGGTTGGAGTTCGAGTCGGCCGAGCAAAATAATTTGTGCAGTAGCTGGATGTCTGTTGATAAGCCACTTGGGAAGTACGTTGCCTCTTAAACGGTCAATTGGCAGTAGCACCGAAGCAGGAAGACTAAAGAGAGTGAAAACACAAACGTGAATAGGGCGTAGGTGCGGGAAAGCCTTTAAAGATAATGTTTCGATGCCTCGGACTCAGATGGCGACAATCTTTCTGGAAACAGCGGCAGAGACCCACTTTGATAGCCTCTGCACCAATCAGGCGCATTACGGAGCATAATCGTCTGGACCCTTGGGATTACGATATCTGATGCCTCCGCGACGCCCTTCCGATCGCGAAGCCATTTCCGCCGATTGGGTTATATCATCCACGCCGCTGGCAGATGACGGTTTCGAGTTTGAGGGCTATCAGGCAGGGAGACCCGTGGTTTTGTAGCTTCGCAGGGCTGGGCTTTGTCCTCGTGCATAAGCCGACTTCCACGCTCTGTGATTCGCTGTGGTGGCGTCGATCGACGCAGGCCCGCCAGCGAGATGAGGGGTACCTGATGAGGCTCTGCGGCATCTTGTCTGATGTCCTTCGCAGTGGATATTGCCACGCTCTGCACGTGTTGTTACAGACCATGTCTGATGTCTCGTCGCTGCTTGCTATCCTGGGTAGGACACGGTGGCAAACCAGAGCTTTCGTGTACTAAGCCGCCGGAAATGACTCGTGCCATGCCCACATGCCGTTGCCCTCCGATGAGCGGCGTAAACGACAAAAGTGGGTGCATCGCTCGAAGAGGCAGTTTTATCGATCCGACTGTGGTACCTCACTGTCCTAGGCGCATGTATTTGTCAAGCAAAATTTCGATTCAATTATATCCAGTGCGTACGATACGTATCGGTAATGAAAAAGAAACCAGTACAGTTAACGCCAGCTATTCCTTGTCCTTCAATGCAGTTCCCAGTCTTGATAAACGCCTTGCAAAGAAATGCTCACTTGGGTTTGTGTGCGTGAAGAAGTTAGAAGCCATACCAAATTTCCAACTCCAGTGCCATGACATTAATGCAATCATTACCCGAAACATTAGCTTTCTCGCGTATTACTCATCCCAACGTAAACTCTTGAAACAAATGTGATCAGTACATGCCATTGTGCGGAGGCATGCCCATAATCATGCCGAGATACGGCTGCGTGTGCGGGTAACCGTCCAGGCTTCCGGTAGGCGTAGAAATGCCGGACGTCGATGCTGTTGCCGGCCGCGATTCTTCCATGTTTCTCTTGACCGCGTTTTCGGCGGCTTCCTTTACAATCTTGGGCTTGAGAAGATCCCAAGAGGTGTTGTTGGGGTCTTTGGGGATGGTAATGGCACGCTTGTATGCCGGACACGCTTCTAGCTCTTTGATACTGATGGGTGGATCGAGTTGGGAAGCCTTTTCCTTGAAGAAGTTCTTGCGCCGTGACTTCTTTGCATTGTAGTCAGAAGTTCTAGCCGTGCGTTGCATCTCTTCCCACTGCTCCATCTTCTTTGCAAACATCTGGCGCTCTTCTACCTTCTTGGCTTTGTCGGCAAGCCATGCAGTCCACCATGTAGCCGTCTCTTCTGTGTTGGGGTCCCTCTCTCTGGATTCCTTGTGGAACTCGGCAACGAGCTTCTGCACGTCTGACCGCAAGTAGATGGTCTTCAGCGCATGCGTACTCGCTGGTCCCACGCCGACAAAGTTACCCCATGAATCAAAGATGCCACTGGGCAAGGCAGCGCGAATATAGGATACGTCTTCGCCGTTCGGACCTCTCAGCTGGGCAATGGCTTCGTATTCCTTGATGACTTGGGTGGTAAGACAATCTTTGCACATGCGACGGAGGAAGGCCCAGAAGGTCTTGCGAGTGTTTGGGGCGCCGCAGTCCATACAGCCATGCCCATGGCGCAAGTGGGCGAACTGGAACTCGGTGAGACCTGGAGGTGGGTCCGGCATGTCGGTTCCGTAATAGTAAACCCTGCTATGCTTCCAGAGCATGGGGTTATCCCGCAAAAACCGGTAGCATGAGGCAATCTTGCTACGCATCTCGAGCAGCTGCGCAGGGTCCGAGTACGACAGTATGATGAACCAGCAGTCCAAGTCGACGCCTTTGGACAGGATCTTGCCCCTTCGTAACCTCGTCGGTTTGCGCTGCTGCCACTGCTGGTTAAGCAGTGTACGGGCCGGTGCCGCACTGAGTGGAGTCGCATCGTTTCCGAAAGAGGCGGCCGGGTTGGCCGCCTGCTCAGAGTCCTTCCTGGCCTCGTCGCCCCGCTTGCGCTTCAGACTGCCTTCGACCATGGCCAGCGGCACATTGTGAGATCGCACCTCGTGCGCCAGCCCCGCGCGCTTCCCGCCTGGCCGCCGGCAGTTGATTACGGTGGCATAGGCTTGGTCTGGCGTCTGCAAGAATGGAGTCTGCTTGTTGACTGTAAAGGCGACATATTTGGCATTCACCATCTCGGGTCAGCAGGCCAGCCGCTCGGGGTATCGTCCACGGGTAACGAGTCGCTCGCAGTCACACTTCCACGTATCGGGTCGGGCCTGGCATGCGGTGCTGGGAGGATGGCGAGATTGAGAGTGCAGGGTCGAGAGGCTGAAGGAGAGGAGGCACAAGGAAAGGAGTGTGGACGACGCTGAGACTTTCGCGCGCCCAGGCTTGAGTTGATGTCGGCTGCCGAACCAGCTTGCCCGACCAAACCAAAACTACAAGGTTGGCCCTTCGGATATAAAACCTGGCCTTTGCTCAGCGCGACCGCCGACACGCCCTTCACCACCATATCGAGAGTCCCTAGTTGACATCAGCCCAGACAGTACCTGGCAACAACTACGTCTGCAGGTGGAGTTCTGCAACTGTTCCGACAATGCCATGCGGAAAGATGCGCGCTTGCTATTCCCCATCAATACGTGCCGACGCATCTTTTTCCCTTTAGGACCGGCGCCACACCGCTGATCACATGGTTACATCACACGCGAGGCGCACGCTTACGGTCCTTTTCCAGCAGGTTTGAGCCGGCCAATGTCGCCTGTCCATTTTGCTTGTTCCAAAGCCGAGCAGTCGATGTTTAGTAGCACGCCGCGTTTGCGCCATGTCCTTGGGTACCCGTGACTTCGCGCTGGCGACCGGCAGAGCAGCTTCCTAATGAGGGATTCCATCGCTTACGCATGCATGGGCAAAGGGCCAAAGCCAAAGATGCGGGGTTGGCGAGCGTCGACGATGCGAGAGTGGCCAGAATTGTGCTAGGGTACCAGCGACCTCGGCCTTCGCTGTGACTCCATTTCACTGTCCGCTTTCCAGGATATATTGCCTTCGCTCCCGCCTCTGCAAGTGCTATGCAAGTGTGAATTTGGCATCGGACCTTCTCCCGAACACTAGTCAATCAGCCAGGCGGATAGAGTCAAGCTCTCCAACCGTCATCATGTTCGGAAGGAAAGAGAGTAAGTCGCCGCATTCCGCTAAGCTGGCTCCCATGACTCCCACAGAATGCTTGACGCATCTTGTCAGCTGCAAGCTCATCGTCAGCTTCATGCCGCACAGACCATAATTGCATCTCCCTACGCTCTTTTTCATATATACAGAGTCGTTGAACTGTGCTGATCATCCGCAGAAGATGTGCCGTCTCCGGACGTGGACAAGACTGATCCAATCCCTCACTATGACAATACCTACGACGACGACCCGGCGCTTGTCCCATGTCCGCCCAACACCACGGAATCCAAACTTGTGACCAAGATTGACCTCCATGTCATTCCCTTCCTCTGCATCATGTATCTCCTGGCTTTCCTGGATCGTGTCAACATTGCAAACGCAAACGTCTTTGGCCTCAGCACGGAACTTGATCTGGTACGAGACAATCGCTACAACACTGCTCTGGTCATCTTTTTCGTCCCTTACATCCTCTTCGAGATCCCGTCCAACGTCCTCCTCAAAAAGATGAAGCCCCGCGTCTGGCTCAGTATCTGCATGTTTGGTTTCGGACTCGTTACTATGCTGCAAGGCTTTGTGCAAAACTACGCTGGTCTGCTTGCGACTCGATTCTTCCTTGGTGTGTTCGAGACAGGCATGTTCCCGGGTGCCTTCTACTTGATTGGTATGTGGTACCGCAGACACGAGGCGCAGAAGCGGTATTCGTTCTTCTTCAGTTCAACGACTCTGGCCGGAGCTTTTGGTGGACTGCTAGCTTCTGCGATTGGCAAGATGGACGGCATGCGCGGATATCAGGGTTGGAGGTATGTTTTGACCGTGAATTTGTATTAGACAGTTATTGACTCTGGCAGATGGATCTTCATTCTGGAAGGACTCTTGACTGTTCTGGTTTCGTTCGCTTTCTTCTTCCTGCTCCCAAATTTCCCGGAGGAAGTGAAATGGTTGTCGGAGCCCGAACGCGCGTTTGTCAAAGCCAGACTTCAGATCGACCAAGGTCGCTCCGCACGTGAACGACCTATCAAAGCCAAGGACGTTGTGAATGTGTTCAAGGACCCCAAGATTCTCATTGGGGGACTCATGTACTTCGGCTTGATCGTACCTGCCTATGGATACGCCTACTTCTCTCCCACCATCATCCAGAGCTATGGCTACTCCAAGATCCAGACACAGCTACACAGTGTTCCTCCATGGGCTGCCGCTTTTGGTTTCTCGATGCTTGTCGCGTGGTTTTCGGACAGGCTCAAACACCGCTTCCTTTTCACCATCTTCCCCATCGCTGTCTGCATCGCCGGATTCGCTATTCTTATTACCGTACACGACAACCATGACCTGCAGTATGGAGCGCTCTTCCTTGTCGCCATGGGAGCCTACACCGCCATGCCGGTGATTGTATGTTGGTTCAACATGAACTTGGGTGGTCACCACCGTCGAGCTGTAGGGAGTGCATGGCAAGTCGGCTTTGGTAAGTTAAAGACCTTTCATGCGCTATCTGAGGTATCGAATGCTAATCCAACATGACAGGCAACATTGGTGGTATCATCGCTGTCTACTCATTCCTGAAGACGGACGCGCCAAAGTATACACGAGGATACTCAATCAGTATCGGCTTTGTGTGCCTCAGCGCACTCAGTTGCTGCGCGTACTTTGCCATGTGCAGTTTGTCGAACCGAAAGAGGAATAAGAGCGTCAGGGATGTAGGGTTGACGGAGTATGAAAAGACCGAAATGGGTGATCTGAATCCAGAGTACCGCTATCTTTTGTAGGCGGTGCATGTAGAGGTAATAGATGAACAGTATGAAACAGAGGCGGTAAAGCATTAGTCTCACATATGTAGACTACGCAAAGGAAGGCACGCAGTCTTGATTTTGCTGAAGTACTTCTCTTCTTGAACCTAGCATTGATCCTTGCGACGCTATCCCTGACACACCACCTCTATCACACGGGGTAGCGGCCTCAAGATACTGCCCGTTGCGCGTCTCGTTGCCCGTAGAGTATGTGTATTTCCACGTCGCACTTTTCATCGTTGTTGGGGCTATGGCTTATATCAGCCTGTTCATGTAGCGCCACTAAGCCTACGACCCGTCAACTGAGCATGTGGCTTCTGCCGGAGGTCTTCATAGGACGCGTATACCTTCTCGATATGACGAGGGAGTGCTGGATGCATATTCCATCTTTCTTGTCGAAGGACACAGATTCGAAAACCAACCTAGATTCACGCTGCCCGTTTCTGAGCATAGTGTTCTGGATAATTCCCGTTCAGGCTGCGCGTCATCTCAAGTGACGCTCGCAGTGTCCATACTATCTTCACTCCCGTGTCCCCAGATCTCTTTGCTCTCGCTCTCAACCCCTCGCATGGCCTTTGCAACCTCTTCTAATCTTACAACGACTTCTTGCACACCCTTGTTCACCTTCTCAAAGTATCGGTCGTTCTCCTCTCTTCTCTTTCGACTCAGCTCGATGTCCTTCTCTGTTTCCTCCTCCAACTTTATCCTGTCAAACAACTTCTCGCCTTTCCCTGACCCTGCTCCGTCATGAGGGTGATTCGCAAGACTCTGGGGTTGCAAATCGTTCGCTTTGCTGTCCTGCGACTTCTTCTGTTGTTCGGGTGTCTGTTCGTCCTCTTCCGAGCGCGCCCATGCTTTCGCAAGTTCTATCTGCGCTTTTCGCAGCTCATCTAGTGCTCGAGAGTGTTCAGAGCCGAAGACTGTCATGCCTGGACCCTTGATGGCGCTCAGCTCCACCTCCTCCAACGTGTTCTGCATCTCCGCCCATATCGCTTCGGCGCGTGACGATGCTTCGGCATCTGCGGCTTGGCTATGTTGTCGTTGTCGCCGTTGGAATGGCGCCGAGGGGTTCGTGGAGGTGAGGCTGAGGTGGTCGCCATCGTTGGTGGTCGTGGGTGGAAGAGGTCGCTTGTTATCCGGAGAAAGGAGTGAGCGCTGGCGGACTAGCGGAGCCCTTGCAGGCGTTCGGACTTCGTGCAGCGATGTGTTGGAGGCATTGTGTGACGGCGGCCCGACAAAAAGCGCAGGCGCAGGTAGGCGGTTAGTTTGCGTCTTGGTGACTTTCTTGTCGTCTTTGGAAGCCATGGTAATGCATGTGCTGGGCGCGTTGTGTGAGGATGAATTCAGATGATTGGGGTTGTGTAAGTATTGCGATGGGCAGTTGGACTAATCACTATGAATCTTGAAGTCTACTGACTTGAGCTGCAACTACGTGCTGGTGTTCAGTGATGTTCTCCCCAGACGCAATGACGATGGCCCGATAAGATAAGATGGCAGTGTCGCACTAACCCCTTCCGGGCCAGCGCCGCTAAGCTGTGGGGCTTGGCTCTGGCGCACACTGATTCCAGCCGCTCTCGAAAATACTTCGACGTCCGCGATACTAACCACACTTCCCCCAGCACACCCGTCGTCAATACCGCAACCATGGGTAAAGGTACGCAACCACTCCCTCCAGAAGCCCTCGATCGACGCGAAATGCACGATTCCACGCCTTCGCCGTCCTTGACACGGTCCCATATTGTGTAGTTGCTCACAACATCATCAGGAAAGCCAAGAGGTCTCAACGCCGCCCGCAAGCTCCGCAACCATCGCCGCGAGGGACGATGGGCCGATCTCCACTACAAGAAGCGTCTTCTCGGAACCGCCTACAAGTCGTCTCCCTTCGGTGGATCTTCCCACGCCAAGGGCATAGTCCTCGAGAAGGTCGGTGTTGAGGCCAAGCAGCCCAACTCCGCTATCCGAAAGTGTGTCCGTGTACAATTGATCAAGAACGGAAAGAAGGTCACCGCTTTCGGTATGTCACTATGCGGAGATTGAAGAGGCATCGGCGACGAGCCTGTGGCAACAATGAGAGCATGGGCTAATAATCTGCCAGTCCCCAACGACGGTTGCTTGAACTTCGTCGACGAGAACGACGAGGTCCTCCTCGCTGGTTTCGGTCGTAAGGGCAAGGCCAAGGGTGATATTCCCGGTGTGCGTTTCAAGGTCGTCAAGGTTTCCGGTGTTGGTCTGTCCGCACTGTGGAAGGAGAAGAAGGAGAAGCCCAGGTCATAGAGGACTCATCTGCAAGGAGTCAAGGAAGGAAACGAACGTGGACCACAAGCCCGCCATGAACGAATGATGGAATCCGCGGATCACTATGGGAGGTTACCGGAGTCTTTACATCGGGGTTATCTGTGCTTCTACCCGGCATATGAAAAGTCATGATATGCTGGAGGGTTAGATAGAATCTGACTCGTTCAAGCGCCCACTCCGTATGCGTATGCCATGGAGTGATGTTGGGTGCGTCGCCATGCCGTTTAGGACTTGGAAGTGAATGTGGTGCACCGAATGCGTTTCATTTTTATATTGTCCATGATCCTTTGCTGGAGAAAATACAGTAATGTACCCAATCCGCCCTGTAGTAACAAACTCCGACCGATGCAACATAGGAAACAAGTGCCGCCGGGTATCTCAAACAAAACGCCAACCACCTATGCAATCTTAGCAATCCTTGCGTATGCAATCCGCTCTATTTCGTAAACATGGCATTAAAAGTGTCCTCCAGTCCAGTATCCTTCATAGTCCCGTAGTATTCGTACTTGAGCTTCGGGCTGGCAAAGAGCTCAGCATCCCTCTTAACGTTCTTCGGTACACCGAAGCCATCCAGACCCGGGACCTCTCCCGCACCTCCTTGCGCCTTCTGGTCTCCTTTGAAGAAGTTGGGTGCGTTTTCCTTGAGTGGAGGCGCCCAGACACTCGGTTTCCAGGGGTTAGGTTTTTGGTTGGCACCGAGCGAGGGTGGCGGCGGTGCAGGGACCCGGTGACGGAATGGATTCGGGTCTGGTTTGGAGAAGATGGAGTGGGGCTCCCTGAAACGAGGCGGCGTTGCTGGCTGACGAGATGTGGTCTTGGAGAAGTGGTTGGGTATAATCTCCGGGGGTTGTGAGGAGAAACGACTTCCAGAATTCTTGGTGGGTGTCCAGTCCATATCGTCTGCGCTCAAGAATGCAGATCGCTGAGCAAAGGGTGTGGTGACGTCGGTAGCATGTGTGGTGAAGGAGGCCTCTGAGATGGTGGGTGACGGGGGAAGAGGAGAGGATTCCTTGCACTGATCAATGCCATTTGCAAAATCGGGCGCCATACTATCGAAGACGCCTGCTTGGGGATGAGCTGGGTGGTAAGAGCCTCTTCTGGCCTTCTGTGCGCTATCGGGTGCGCTGGGTACGGGTTCGCGAGTCGTTTTCAGAAAAGAGGGCGCGGCGCCGTAGACTATGCGAACAGCCTTCCATGTCATGATAGACGAGAAGGTCAATATGCCGAGCATACACATATGGGTGTACCGGAATAGTGCCAACGTGTCGTTGTTGATGGTGTTACCTTTCCAGTAGTAGAGGGTTAGGAAACGAAGAGCCACGGCAGTAATTCGAATCATCCATAGTGACATGAGCCCGCGCATCCTTCCCGTAAGGCTGTTCGTCTTGACCTTCAACTTGGGGTTCCACCAGATTGTGAGAGCATCGGCGATAATCGCAAAGTTCAGCCACTTGAGTATGACGGGCGAAAGTACACAGATTTCGTCCATCCAGCATCCCGACTTTGCCTGAGTCCAACAAGTATCCCAACTGAAAACTTGGTACGCCCGTATACCCTCATCTGGGCCCATGATCAGTCCAGCAGCATGCCAGACAATTCCCATTGCCGTGCTCACGACATAGGTCCACTTCGCCAGCGAAATGAGCCTCAACGTCCATGCTTGTCGGTGGGTATGCACAGTTGTGCGCTTCTGTTTGCTCGCTTCCATGATACGCGCCAGATTGTCTGCTCTGGCAATATGGTTCGCATTCCGGATCTGATGTTGGACTCGAGGCAGACATTCGCTGCAGACCTGTGGGTACCGGGTCTCGAGCTCGTCCTTGTAGTCCTGGTACGCTGCTAGGAATTGCACATATGTCGGATCATCCTCTTCCGGAAGGTACTCGCCCAAGAGCTTTGCGTAGAGGGTCTGGTTGCGCTGACACGTGTCGCAGAAGATGTCGTCACCGGGTACGGACATGGCGGGTGTTGGGGAGCGGGAGCGCAGGTGTTGGAAGGAGGCTTGGGGGGCGGTCGCGACTTCTTCGATGGGCGGATCGGTGATGTTTCCGCGCTGGGAACAGGTCAGTTGGGGAGGTTCGGGTGTTTGGGTGTTTATGCGGTAGAGTAAGTACTTCGTCGAAGTGATTCACGGCGTCGCATTGCGGACAGTGAAATGTCTTGGGTATTTTTGAGACAGTGTCGCGCGACAGTGTGTTGCAGTAGTGACAGCGCAGTCTGCGCCGTAGTAGCGCCATGGTGGGAAGACACCTGAAGTGCGTGGTGATGGTTATGGTTGATGCACCATGTCATGGGCGACGTGTTTTGGCGCGGCAGAATGTCGAGGCGGCCACACCGCCCGGGCGCCGGCGCGGAATTTTGGCTCACCATGTCGAATGCACTGTTCACCACTTCTGGAAGGGACGACTGCCGACAACCCATCGCCGTGGAAACGACACCGGCCTCGCACCTCACGACACACCGTTTCGATCTGATCTCCCCGGTCGTATCCGCCACTACACCCCTCGCCGTCCGCCATTCGATGGCTCGGTAGTCCGCAAACCCTCGCACATCCATCTCCATCTCCACGGCCGCCATCCCGCCCACCATGAGCCAATTGGTCGTCAGGCCAGGGCGCAATGCCGCCCGTCAGGCCAAAAAACTCAAAGAGATCCGCAAGGTCAAAAACGCAATTCAATGGCACGAGCGGGAACGCAAGAAGCGCCAGGCACTCAAACAGGAGAATTGGGAATTTAAGCAAGCCGTTCTTGGGCGTATAAGGTGGGAACATGAGCACGTCAAGGGCGTCAGGAAGCGAGCTCTGGCCAATGCGAAGGAGGACTGGAAGCTCGGTCCGTTGAGGCCAAACCGCGCCGTCGGCCCAGATGCTGAGAAATATGGTGCCCTCACCGGCGTCCAGGTGCAGAAGCCTGAGATACCTATCAAAATGCAGAAGAGCCGGAACGCTGTTAGGGAAAAGAAAGGCCTCGAGCTCGAGTACCCGCTGGTCGTGGACGATAAGAAATACTTCCCAATTGTGAAGGATGATCGTGTCGTAATTCTAAAGGGAAAGGACGCGGGCAAGATCGGTGTTGTACGAGAGATCGTAGAACGAACACACGATGTCATTGTCAAGGGCATGAACATGGTATTTACCGCTTTGCTTTGTCATGTAATTTGGCTGTTAACATTTGCCAGCAATACTACGACACCAATGTGTTTAATGCTGCTGCTGAAGCGATGGGGCCCAAGATAGAGAACGAGGTGCCTATGTCCCTGAGCAACGTACGTCTCGTGGTACCAGCCGAGATAGACCAGGGAAGCCAGAAGCGTTACGAGGACGTCGTTGTCGAGAAGATTGACATGGAGCGACATACCACCGGCATTGATCCATACACCGGTACTGACTACGGGAACGACACAATACCCGAAGCACACCAATACGATCCTCGAACTGGACTTCCCATCTTTCACCGATACATCGCAGGCACACGGCAACGACTGGAATGGCCATGGGAACGCGAAGATGACATTGAAGACGTTGGTATCACAAAAGAGTCAGACACAGACAAGCAAACATTGATTAGAAGGGCCTTGGGCAAGGTGAGCCAGCCGTTCACGAGCTTGAGTCGTTGGCGAAGCAAGAACAAGGAGGACCAAGCTCAACAAGACGCAACGAATAGCAGGAGCCCAGTCGACGTCGAGGCAAGATTCGCCGAGATTCAAAGGCAAGAGCAGGAACGATTCAAGTCCACCGCTCCAATAAGCATAGACCCTGAGCTTCCTTCGGCCTATGATGTGGATACAAGACGAAACATTGTCGAAGGGTCAGAGTCCATGGCTTACACGCTCGTTGCACCACCTTTCCCCGACACGCTTGGAGAAGAACTCCGCGGCGATATCCACGAATTCTCCATCAAAGCAAAGAAAGACAGAGACCCTGAAGCACCGCGTCCTATCAAGATTGCAAAACACTCTGAACAGGGTGTGCTTGCGCGAGAAATTACAAAGCAACAGCACCGAGCGGCGCAGGCAATGAAGACGCCCATGCAATTGAGGTGGGAGCTTGAGCATCAGAAGAAGGTACGGAGCCAGAAGGAGAAGCCGCTTGTGGACCAGGAGAGCTTGCTGGCGGCATTGGGTCAGCACATGCAGAAGAGTGCTACGAAGCCGTATTTGGGCAAGAAGCAGATTCCCAGTCAAACAGCCGACCTCGACTAGAGCGACTGAGACGATGGCATGACAATGCATCACGCCTGTGGCACGAGACTTGTAGCATACATTTTGTATATATAGCATGGATTGAAGCCGAAAACTCAGCTAGGCCTTCTGTGGCCTATGGGGTATCTTCACTGTAAATGTACATCAAACGCCTGCATCATGCATACCACGATTTCTTTCACTTCTCCCATGAATTGAACCTTGTGCTCATACCAAAATGCCCCAGTATTCCGCTCGTCCTCCTGCGCCCTCCAAGTCCTCCCACTGGACCAGGAAGCGATCCACGACCTTTAACAGCAGTTTTCCACTCAGACTCAACGTCTTTACTCGTGCAAAACTCTCCACGTACACCGTCTTGCACTTTCCTCTACTATTCGCGCCCTTGATGTTGAAGAAGCGCAGTATGAGGCTTGCGAGGATAAGGATCACAGCTGTAGCTGGACCGTTGGTGATGATGAGATCTGGAAGGTCGGCGGCTGCGGCTTCGTATGGTGTTGTAGGAGCTTGGCCGACCAGAAGTGGTGGTGCGCGGAGGAGAGGTGTGAAGGAAGATAGGAGGGTGTAAAGTGAGGTGAAAGGCGTTGTGAGGAGTGGCTGGTGTATCTTGCGCGCGCGAGGGATGACGGCGATGTTATAGTGGTCTGGCCCGGTGCATGTTGGTATCTCTCCCTTCTTCTCCTCCAGAGCATGTGTTGTTCCGTCTGTATCTGTAATCTCCATCACAAGTCTTCTTCCCGTGCCGTCTCGTTGCACCGCCTCTTCCTCCGATTCTTGCTTTCGCAGCCGTTTCTTCTCCCCATCTTCAAGTCCTCGCTCAAACTCCGCGGCGCGTTGTGCCGAGAACGCATCTCCACTGCTGACCACGTACGTTCTGTGTGTGTATTTACATGTGTCCAGATCTCGCAGTAGGTAGAACATCTCGTGTGTATGTCCGCCCGATCCAAGAACGACGAGGATACGTGTTGCGAGCGGGCGCTTGCGCAGTGGTGTAGACTTTGAGCGCGCATTTGGAAGGATAGCAAGCAAACGTAGTGTTGCCGCGACGAGCAGAGTAGCGAAGGTTGCAATCGCGAAGGAGAGCGTGTAGAGTGAGGATGGCGGGGGCGCCATGGTGGGGTTGTCGCCACGGAGGGTTGAGGCAAGGGCGTGGTGAATTGTTTCCTTAGTCGAATGTGCCAAGCTGAGGAACGACGAGATACGGTGTCTCAGACCGAGCGCAAAAGCATCGTCGTCGTGGCTGTAAACTTCACCAGGTGGAGGTACGTGTCGCAGCAATTGGCCAATCGTCGCGAAATCACATGCTCCAGACTTGGCGCGAGGGCAAGCCAAACAACCCCCATCCGCGTCTGATTCCACATCTTCCCCCACATGCTAAGCACATCATAACTAAGAACCACGCCTGGTAGCATAAACTTCACTCTCAATCGTTCAAGTTCCGCAAATCAACGACGTAAGGATGCGTAGACACCTTCAACATCGGGCATTTCGGAAAAACGCGATGCAAGCGGACTTGCTGCTAGAGCATCAAATGTCGTCTCTCCCCTGTTGGAGACCGCAGGAGCCTTTCAAAGGAGCAAAACATTGAACTGCGGAAAGAGGTTTTTGCAAAAGGGACATGGAAGTGTCTTTCTATCGTTTTGAATAACGAGACCTCAGGTTTGGTCTCGGAAAAATCAGGGTAAAATGAGAGAGAGAGGAATTTATGCCCATGTGGTCAGACTACCAAATGTTGCGATAGCTGGTCCAGAAGGAGGCAAGTATATGTTAGTACCAGCAATTTAGAGGATGAAAACTTCATGGAATGAGGCTGTGTTGTTTTGGATATCTTGTTATCTCCACCTTCCCACAGAGACTACTCACATGGATCATCTGTGCCATTTTGCTGGACAAGCGCACATCAGTACCACAAAGACAGTTTTTATGTCAACAACAGGTCGGTGCTTGAAAGCAAACCTTGCAACTCACATCATAAGAACTGATCTCCTTTTCGATTTATCATGCTTCTCACCACGTTTCGTGGGAGAAGAGAAAGGGAAATATAGGTAGGCTTTTATGTGCCGACAGTTCATTCGACTAATAACCAGCTTCTTCGGCTACGCTTTTACATGATGGCTTGTGATACAATCTTCGGCACACCTCGAGCCACAACTCCTACAACACTGGCTTTAAGATACAAAAGCAACTTTCCCCGGCTCAAGTATGTTTAGAAGTCCTCCATACAGGCATCTTGATTTGGCTTTGCTTTCTTGACTTTCCAGAATGAGTTGTTGAGAATCACATAGAATCCACTTACATTTTTTCTGGAGACCGACAGGAAAGGGGAGGTTTCGTTTCGTGGGTACTTCTAAACGTTGATTCTGTCCCCAATAACGAAGTGCTAGTTCTGTGACATGTCCCAGTAGGACATGTATCTTTTGAGGGATCCTTGTTCTTTTTTGCATGTGGCTAAAACAGATCAGACATGCCATATTGCATGCATGGTTTCGAAAACGCACGGCATGGGCACTTTGGCCGTGGCTTTTGAAGAAGAGCAAGTTGGAATACAGAAGGCTGTGAGAGTTCTGAACAGAAATGAAGGGTATATATATATATATATGTCACCAGTGATCCCAGACCAGCTAAAGCGACAAGGTACGCGCATCGAAAATCTAACACTTGCCAGGTGTGTTCGAGACCCAGCAGAAAACGCCATCCACCAAGAAACTATGTGTATACACATACCAATCACTGCCACCATCATTCCAGAAAGTACCAGCACAAAGTCTTGCGCGCTTACTTCGTTACCTTCCACTCCCGTTTGCAAAAATATCTTCCCAAACTGGCCAATAAGCATTCCCACCTGGCTCATCCATCTGCCAAATCAAACTCGGATTCCGCCTCATGACGCCCTCATATTCTCTCTTCAGTTCCACCAGTCTCTCACTCAGAACCCTCGTCTCAGTAACCACTAGCCTTAGCTCTTTGCCCTCCACAGTAGCCGGTGATATCTCACCCTTCAGATCTGACAACGGGCCGATGAGACGAGTGAGCGTGGGCGGTAAGCTGTACCGAAAGGAAGCTTCGACCCAGGCGGTGACGGCAATACGAGAAGCTAGGAAGGCGCCCAAGGCGGGTAGGTAGGCCAGTGTATTTGCTGGAGAGGGTGTGGTATAATGTGAAGATGACGATAGAGCGCGGCTTAGATGTATAGGCCAGCAGAGCGCTGCATATCGTAGGAAGGGCAAATGGGTATCGAAAGGTACAGTGCGGATACTATTCGCCCTGGAGCTATTGTGTTGGGTTGGTATATTCGGCACTGCATGGATGTTATTGTCTCCGTCTGATGAAGATAGGGACTTGTATCCGCTGTCTACTGACGCGCTTGTTCTTTGGCTCGCGCCACTACTTGTAGGCATTGTAGGTGGCATAGCTGGACTGTGAGGCTGCAAGGCACCGAGAGGACGTTTTGGTATGTCGTGAGCGAGATATGATAGGCATCGCGCAGCAAGGTGGCCATGGACGCTGCTCGCATTGCAAAGACTGAAGTCTGAGCCTTGAGATTTTGGGTCGAGAAGGTAATCGCGTATGGATTCGTGGGTGAAAGCGACCTCGTCGTTGACAAGGCGGAGAAGACCACATGTCAGTTCGGGCAAGGCTTGTATGATATCGGTCGTATGCGAACCATCGGGAACATCGGGGTTGTATGTGTTCAGAGCAGCGTGTAGTGCCCCCGAGCACATGCGGTTGATTGGAAAAGACAGCCACCGAAAAGTGTCGACGATGACGTGTTTTTCTGTCGATGGATGGCGTGCTAATGCGTCGAACATGATGCGGAAGAGCGATTCCAGGTCCCGTATTGAATGCATGCCCCGAAGAACATCCAGTCGTTCATCCGACGACAGTAGTGGCGATTGAAGGAGTTTCAATAGCATGTTGGCCCAGAGAAAATCACCATCTGCCGTCCTCGCGACTTCCGAGATGAGTCTTCGATCCATAGAGATACCGAAGAAGCCTTGATCTGCTAGCCGACTCATTTCTGGCACTACAAATTGATCGATAGCAACAACGTTGTCTTGACTGGTAAGCGAGAGAATGTGAGGAGCATCTGAAGCCCATTTCTGATACTCAAGTGGTATCTTCAAATTCGGTCTGCTGAAGAGGATAACTCTTGTGTCAGATCCACGACAAAGTCTTGCTAACGATGCGAGGAGCGTATCAGTATCGCGGCACTCATCGATGCCATCAAGTACAAGGAAAGTGGGGTGCTGCCGAAGTAGAAGCAGAAGAACATCGAGCACTTCATCAGAGGTGGCATGCTCTCGAAAGGACGTTTTCCGCAACAAGAGGCTGACAGTATCCAAAGTTGATCGGTCGTGCCGACGAGCGTGAAGCAGCTGGCATGCCATGGCCCGAAAAGCATTTTCAGATTGATTATTCTCGGACAGGAGGTGGTTGAAACGGTAGCTTGCAGTGACCGGTGGCTCGTCGCACAGATCAGGATCGTCCGCTTCGCCGACCAGATTCTCAACGACTGAATGCGAGATGACGGTCTTCCCAAAGCCAGATTTCGCTGAACTTTTGTCAGTTTATAGAAGACTTGGAGTATGCGCGCGGCGACCTACCCTGCACAAACAGCACCCGATGTTGCCAGTTGCCAAGTAAAGCTTCCTGGTCATTTGCGATGCTGCTATCAAAGCGCCGACTCCTCCATTGGGCGTATGCGGTAATACGCAAGAACCAAGCGCAGGACTCTTGATAAGGTTGTTGAGTGCCCAGAGACCTTGTGGCAATCGAGGTAGAAGACGACAGCCAATGTTGTACTTTCTCCACTCTCCTCAACCGCTTCGCAAGCCGTTGCTCATCTTGCTCCACACGACCGTTGAGTGTGACTCCGTTTTGACGCTGCAAGAATTCGATATAACTTCTGCGGTGCTGTGAAATGTCCGCGTAGTATTGGGTCTGGTTCGCGGTTTCTGTTTCTAACCACCTTCTGTGCTGGCCTAGCCGTATTTCAATGTGGGCAAACCGGGAATCGAAGGGTCGCCATAGTGTCTCACTGTGGAGGACGTTCATACAACTGACGGATGTACTTTGTGCTCCACGACAGAAGATGCGATATAGCTCCAAGAACAGCTGTACAAGATCCGCGTACACGTAAGACAAAAGTGCAGCCAGATGACGATCTTCAACCTCGCCATGGGACTCGGCTCCGTTACGCTTGCAGATGTTGTAGACTTCTTGATAAGGAGGTATGATTTGCGAAATAGTTTCAAGTACATCGGCAATTTTCTCCAGGACAAGCACGTAGTCACCGCTCATCTGCTTGCGTATCAGTCCAAGGTATGTGTCAAATGTACTACATGCATACCTTAAAGACTAAACGAACCGTTGCCCAAAACCAGCCTGCCCATGCTGGCTGCAATTCGACGCACGTGCCAAGTACATCGAAGTAGGGTGCAAAGGTGTGAATGAACAGTGTAAACTTTCGACTGCAGAGGACTAGTCTTCGGTCTGCCGACCCATTGCCAGCGGAAGTACGACGGAGCTCTTCGAGCAGGGCTGTTGAGCTGATACGATGATCGAAATGCTGACGATGTTCTTGCAGTATGGTGTTGTGTATTGCTTCTATGGCGTCATCAAAGAATGAATGGTCCAAGCTATATATTGTTAGCTAAATCCAGGCCACCAGTGGTAGACTAACCTCGAATCCACCATTGCTACGTCCATGTTTCAAGCCTATGGCGACAGTTCTTGGATGGAATCGAACTTGAGCGCAGGCGTCTTCTCTGTAACGAATGCATTGGCACAAGATATTAAAATGCACGTTGAGCGGTTCAGAGCGACGGCCACATTGTAAAGGCATGGAAATGACAGGGGCAGCGGTGTGTTAATGTAATAAGCATTCAACGTGCTCGTTCTGATGGGACTCAAGCGAGAGCAATTACGGCCCTGCATGGAGCCACGGGAGAAGAAATGGGCGTCGTGGGGCTGAAAGGTTGCGGGAGATAAGCGGGATGTGTAAGAACATGGTGAGCAACTACCCGTCGCCACGCATGTCATGCCCCGGACACAAGGGAATTGACAGGCGTGGGGGAGCAGGCTTTAAAACGTGGGCGAGACGACAGGCCCATGCGGCAAGTCGCAAGTGGCAGATCGGAGCTGCATGCCGACGGGCGGGTAATTCCTTGTTCGCAATGAGTAAAAGAAACTCAAAAGGAACGTCTTTCAAGCGAGGCGTGGATCATGAACGAATAACATCTTGGGTATCTCCTCCAACGAGCTACATAGCCAACTGCTCGGCGCAACGGGTCTATAGTACAAAAAGTATTAGAAAGCGAGGTACTAGAGCGAATGCCACTAAAATTGTGGCTACCTGACTAGGCGGATGCAGGCATGCCGAGCCGAAGCGCAAGCAGCGCACGCACGTCGGTGACATACTGCAAGCCTTCGAGCAGCGGGATAAGATGCAGCAGATCGTGGTCTGTTGGGTCGCTAATCCAGCCTTCGATGGGAATAGCATTGTCTGGATGCACAATCAGTACGAGCACATGTGGGCGCACTGGGCTGAAGGTGAACTTACCAGGATGGAAAACGTAGCTCAAGGGGCTGTTATCAAGAATCATGACTTTGCTGAGATCGGGCTCGACCTGAGCAAGGTCCTTGATGTAAGCCCCATTGCGAACAGTGCAGTGCTGTCGATAGTATCTGCCTGCGAAATACTTGCGCTCCACCTCCAGCCAGTCGATGACGGGATCTGCGTATTCCTGTACCGAGGCGGTGAATATGATCAAATTGTACCATTTACTAACCTGGTCGTTTCGTTAGTGTGGCATCAGGCGTGCCTGGCCGGTGTGCGTACCTTTTTCAGAAAATCGTCGCAGTACGGCCGTTTGTGAACATAGTATAGAAGCGGCACCTGGGGACCAATAACCTGTCCGTCAGCGCCGACGGATGCCTGGAGCTTGACCTCTACCATGTGGCCAGTCTGGAACCGACCGCCGTTGACTATGCTGTGGATCAATGTCTCGTCGAGATCGATGATGAGCGTCTTCTGGTGCGGCCCGACAGCGGATACGCCTTTGGCGGAGTACGAGGGCTGGCGGCGTGGCACGAGGGGGCGCGGGGGTTGGGGCGCTCGTGGGAACTTGGTCAATTGTTTCGAGGACGCGGTTGCCGGCCCAGTGGGGGATTTGAGGGAAGCGGCAGCCTCTGAGGAGACGGAATTACTTTTGGACGATTGGGCCTTCTTCGCCGCCTTGCGTTGCCTCAAAGCGTCCTCATTGTGATGTAGCGTGATGCGTATCGACCTCTTGGCCGGGGCGATTTCGTCTGCTCGTGCGGTTGCGCTGGATTTGGAGCGGGTATGGCGCGAGGGGCTGTCGGTGTCTGGGTCGCGTGTAGGAGATCGCTCGCTCTCCGAGTCGGACGTCATGGCGGTCGAGGTTGATGCTATTGACAGTGATCGTCTCGTGGGTTGTTTCATGACGGGTTGCGCGACACTCGAACTGCGACTCTTGCGCGTTCCCTTTTCGCTACGGTCCGGGGCAGCCGAGGCTCGTGAAGCGTGCGCCGCCACGTTTTTCCGACGTCCGCGAGTGAATGTCCGCGAGATGTGGTAGATCGGGGCGAGAAAGGAGAAGTGGCCATCCTCGTCGTAGTAGAAGGCGGCCACCAGACATTGCCCCGTATAGACAAAGGGGGTTGCGAGGACGCCCACCACCGCGACGATGCCGTCGGATATGCGCGACGGATACAGCCATCTCCTTCGCCGCTTGGTGTCTTCGTAGGGGCCCTTCTGGGTTTGCTCGAGTAGAGGTGTCTTTTCGTCGTATCCGGATGCGACCGCTTCCGTATTGGAGGAGCCGGAGCCGGAGCCGTCACTCCTGTCGGCGCCCATCTTGCGCGTCTCTCTCTGTGCAGCTATTGCACTCGCATCGTCAGCGGGAGATGAGATCGAGGGCCGAGGTTGGAGAATGGCGAAGGACTGTGGGGTAGCCTGAATGCTGGGGAGCGCTGATGCTTATGTCTGGGCTGGCGGTAGGACCTCCGTGACCGCGATGGTGGGACTATTGGGACGAGTGTACACAGCGGCAGCGCAGGCAAGATGCTCGTCCAGCACTGACGAAACTAGCAACAGGCCGAGGCGTGACTTTGTCGAGAGAAGACGGGTATGCAGCTAAGCAGAAGGTTGGGGACATGCCAATGACGAACCGCTGGAGAGCCCGTGCCCAATCGGAACGCCGAAAGCTCAATTTAGTTACGACTCACACTTTCCCTCCACCAGATCTTGAACAAGCAACTCTCCCCAACAGTGCCTGACAAGCAAAACGCGCGTGGCGGATACTCTGCACCCTGACAATTATACTGCTCGTCCAGAACCCTTTTCAGTCGCACACAGACACCCGCAGAGTCGTCCAGGAACAACCCCACCACCCCACATAACTGCCATATACCGTTCGAAATCTTGCGACTCTCGAGTACAAATCTGCAAATTCTCCCACGATGCAGGGCGCGACAATACAGGCGCCGGGCCTGTCGACCTACCTGAAGTCACTAAAGAGTACTCCAGTAGATGCCTCGGTGGAGCATTTCATTTCGTGAGATATGACTTTCCGCGCAGTAGCGCAACCACAACTAATATGGCTACCTCAGACTTCTTAAACGAAGACAAATACGAAACTCGAGGCCATGCGCCATCGCGACGACGGCCCTTCTTTTACGTGTAGTGGGCGAGTTCAAGGGAAGGGATGCCGCGAAGCTCATTGAGCGCATAAAGCAGGTCGGCAGGCGGTTGACATCGGCGCAACCACGAGAGGTGGTGGTGGGAAATATTGTACGGCGCGTACTGGGTCTGGTGCGCGAGGTGGTCGACGAGCATGCCGAAGGGCAAACACCAACCGGCAGCGAACCCGGCTACTCGACACCACAAGCACACGCGCAGCACGACTCCCTCCACAGACCAGGGCTCAACTCGAGCATATCCACATTCAGCCCTCTCCGACATGCCGTCGCCGAACCCATGCCCACGAGCGTCTTCACCGACAACGCCTCCGACGTTAGCGAACCCTCGAGACGGCCCCCGTTACTCACCTCACACACTTCGTACGCGCCTGCCTCGTCCGCTCCTCTCGTACATTCGCTCTTTGGCCTCTTCTCCCAGCCAGCGGATACACCCTCGACTACAAGTACACCTACAGGGCAAGCGTCTCCAAACGGCAAGAGCACGTTGACAGCACTCAATCTAGAGCGCCTCGAGGGCATCAACAAGAGCCAAAATCTGGACCTGAAGGGCGAGGTCATGGAGGGCATAAGAGAACTCCAGGATGAGCTTGAAACCTCAGACAAGCAGATTGCCGAAGTCGCCCTCGAGCATATCCACGCCAACGAAATCATCCTTACACACACCGCGTCCACAACAGTCCAAAAGTTCCTTCTGTTTGCTGCACGGAAACGCAAGTTCACAGTCGTACACGCCGAGACGTATCCCCACGACCACACTGCCACGCATGGCATCCTTCTTACCGGCAAGAAGCGAGAGGCGAATCCAGATGACGACGAGGACGATGACAAGTGGAAGCCCCTCACCGATGCTGGCATCCAAGTCTACGTCATCCCAGACTCCCATGTCTTCGCCATAATGTCCCGCGTCAACAAGGTCATTCTGGCCACCCATACTGTACTAGCCAACGGCGGCCTGGTAGCCGCAGCTGGAGCACACATGATTGCCAAGGCTGCAAAGGAACACCAGACACCTGTTGTCGTGCTCAGTGGTGTATACAAGCTCAGCCCAGTCTACCCATTCGACATCGACGAGCTGATCGAGCACGGTGACGCCGGAAGTGTAGTGCCCTACGACGACGGCGAGTTCGTCGACAAGGTCGATGTTGAGAACCCACTGTACGACTATGTTCCCGCAGACCTCGTGGATCTCTACATCACCAACCTGTAAGTCGCGACTTGAACTATTTATGCATTGCATGTGAATTGACCCTTTCCAGTGGCGGACACGCACCTTCATACCTTTACCGCATCGTAGCAGACCACTACCGCACCGAAGACATCACCTTGTAATTCAACCACGAGCCACGGCGTTATGATACCAACAAAGTTTAAGACAGGAAGCAAAAGTGCGAACAATAGCCTGTATTACATCATCTAGAGAAGGAAACTCTGCGCTTGCAATATGCAGTGGCCGAAACCAATGAACAATACTACAAACTTCCTGTCCATTAAGCTCCAGGCACGTATGCGATCATCTTCATCATCGCGACTCGTGCCCTCGCCCTCTGCCCGACCAACTAACATCTCCTACACACCCTTCTTCCCAATTGGCCGCGCCTTCGTGCCCTTCTGCACGCACCCGTATCCCGCAGATCACCGACCGAGTTCATTGGTCACCTAAGCTCTAGCAGTGTGCCCTTCGGCCATCTGAAATCAATGGTTTTTGTAAAAACTACCACGTTGGGCAGTTTGACGGTCCGTCCGGGTGGGCCGGCGGGGCGGAAGGGCACAGTGGCGTCATTAGTGAACAAGTACGGAGTCGCGATGTGTGCCCTTCGAGCCCTTGCGCGTGGGACGTTTTACTTTTGTTGAGATTCGGCCGTAGGCGCAGAAACACCTCATACCAAGAGCGCCTCATGGATTGGGCTAGTTTGTAGAAGCTGTTCCATTGTTCTTCGCGTGTTCTAGCTCCAGCTCTCTTGAGCTGGGGTGTGCGGAAGAGGGGTCGATATCACGACCCCCTCACACAAGCTCAACTGCGCCTCGCTATCGCCATCTGCACTCAGGATTACGTGTACACATCCATCTCGATTGCGCGCGGAGAAATAACAGTATGCGACAAGTGCTGGCCATCGCCGTCTTTGGAAGCTCCTTAAGGTGATAACGTAGGGCTTATCGTGGGTGCCGGGTCGGCTGTTGCTACATTACGTATGCGGGCGCGCATCTTGTGGAGCTGAGTTGATAGAGTAACAACCTGAACTTGATCCCTTGGCCGCAGAAGCAGTGAAGGCGTCGTCAAGGTGCATCATGTCGTTTCTTGAGCTTGGTGGGTTACATGTGTTTGTCACGGGGGCCGCCGGAGGAATTGGCAGTGCCATTGTAGAAGAGTTTCTAGGTATGTAACGGTCTTGTGTCTTTGATATTTTTTGGAGGGTCTTTGCACATTGGGTGAAGTCTGCAGGGCCCATAATAGGCACAGGGTCTTTGACAAGTCACGCTGCGGTGGGAAGGCACGCTCCTGGGCTGCGGCCTACGAGACAAACAATCAAAGCCTTCATCTCAATCGATGCTTTCGCTTTCATCCAACCGCCACTAACGCCTGTATAGCACAAGGCTGTAAAGTCACTGCACACGATCTTCGCCCCAATCCTCTCGCCTCAACAAACCCCAACCTCCATTGCCTCCAAGGCGACATCAGTTCCGAAGCCTCCATCCAGGACTCCATATCCCAAGCCATCAACCATTTCTCGCAGTCTATCAGCATTCTCTGCGCCAACGCAGGTATTACAGATGAATCCTCCAGCTATCCTATCTGGGATATGCCCAGCGAGCTCTGGGATCGCACCTACGCCGTAAACGTGCGTGGTACGTACCTGACCATCAAACACTTTCTTAAATCCATCGAAAAGTCGCAAAGAAATACAGGCAAGGAAGTCGAAAATGTCAGTGTCGTTGTCACAGGGTCTGAGTGTGGGGTCTTCGGTCAGGCAGGGCATGTGGAGTATGCGAGTGGGAAAGCAGGGCTACAATACGGACTCGTGAAGACAGTAAAGAATGAGATTGTCAGATTGAATAAAAGCGCAAGGATTAATGCTGTCGCGCCTGGGTGGGTGGATACTAAGTTGATTGAAGGGAGGTTGGACGACCCAGGGGAGATGTGGAGGGAAGCGGAGGCTACGTGAGTCTGACGTCCGCTCCTCGACTCTTCAATCATTCATTAACGATTGCAGTGTGCCGCTCAGGAAAATTGCTCAACCCACCGATGTAGCGAGAGCAGCTGCCTTCCTGGCAAGTCATCGCGCTGCAGGTCATATCTCAGGACAATGTATATCTGTGGATGGCGGTATGGAGGGTCGTATTGTGTGGTCCGAGGACGAAGTTCGTAAATCGCAGGCAACGGCTGTTGAGACCGAAACACCATCTCTCAACGCAAATGGTGAGGCCGAGATATTCGGTACCGCAACCGAAGGGGTGTCCCTTGCTGGCAGGACCCCCTCAGCAATGGCTATCCCGACCATGGCGTCTCTCGGCAGCCCTCAATCATCACAGAAACCAAGGATCAAGATACTGCTATCTGTGGATTTTGATGCAGTGTCGGGCTGGCTTGGTACTGGCCAACATCCCGATAACAACCTTGCGGATTACAGTACTGGCTTCTTCAGTGGCCATGTCGGAGTTCCACGACTACTCAAGCTCTTCGCGAAGTACGGAATCGCGAACAAAGTAACCTGGTTCGTGCCGATGCATAGTGCAGAATCTTTCCCGGAAGAGTTCGCGGCCATCAAGAGCAGCGGCGCGGAGATAGGCTTACACGGTTATTGCCATGAAGGCGCCCCTCAGCTCACGCCCACCCAAGAGCGCGAAGTTCTCGAGCACTGTATAAGTCTCTACCAGGAACTGTTAGGAAAACGTCCACTGGGCTACCGCGCACCACTCTATCAACTTCGCGAAAGTACCGTGGAGTTGTTAGAGGAGTACTCTTTCCTCTATGACTCCTCGCTCTCCCATCACGACAGCAAGCCGTACTACCTGCCCAATCTCCCACCTATCAAAGCGCCAAAGTACACCGAAGAGGCTTCCGCGAAAGACTGGATGAAACCTCTGCCTAAACCCAGTGCCCCCACATCCAAAACTCTCGTCGAAATTCCGGCAAACTGGTACACGGAAGATATGACGCCGCTTCAGTATCTCCCCAATGTACCCAACTCCCACGGCTATGTCGACGTTCGTGTTATGGAGAACATGTGGAAGGACAAGTTTGAGTGGATTAGGAGCGAGATGCTTGAGAGCAATGGGGAAAACGATGTAGTAGTTTTCCCGTTAGTTTTGCATCCAGATACCAGTGGTATGGCGCATGTCATCGGAATGATTGAGAGGGTGGTTAAGTGGCTGAAGGCGTGGGAAGAAGACGTGGAGTTCTGCACTTATGAGGAGGCGGCTGGGGAATGGAGGGAGAAGAATGCTGTTGAATGATTGGGATGCATCAACCTAAATACACAAATGTAATCCAGATGTCTTACACATGGTCCGTCCCACGACTCCTTCATCTACTCTGAACTCTTTCCGTCATATAATCTAATGACCCTCCCACTTTCCTCCGCCGCTTCCTCCCACGGTTCATCACCACCTACTCCAATACTCTTGACATTCAGCGTAACGAGACTAGAGCGAAAATCCGATCGTGCAGTCAATCTAGGCGCCGTCTCTACATCGTCAGAGCCCTCGGATGGCGTCACAAGGATCACGGTTTTGTCTTCGAGGGTCTGCTCATCCATGATGACGAATTCCGTGCCTACGATATCGTGCTCAGCGCCGTCAAATTGCCACGCGAATTTGACTAGGTCGTCCAGTTTCCAGCCTAGGAACGGGTATGAGAGGTCCTGCGACACCGGGGCGCGTGTGGGCGATGAGAGTTTGGTAATGTCGGTTTTGTCGACGAGGATGGCTGGGTGGTATGGATCAGTATGCATTTTTCTCGAGAGTGTGCTGGTTCAGTTTACCTATGTGAGTGCATTCCACGGCCTTCAGCTCCGGCGCTTCAAATGCCTCAATGAAGAACTCGTTAAGAAGCTGAAGACAATATTAGTTATTTGCATTTTTTCTGAGATTGGATCGAGGTTCTCACATCGTGAGGTATCTTTGCTGTGCAAAATACGGGGATGGTGTTATCCAGTTGATCGTTGTTCGCCATGGTGTATGCTGCTGCCGGTTTGGGTTCGCCCGAACTCGATCTGTTCCGAACTCGCTATTCTGTCCGCCTGACATATATTTTCGACAGTCAGAAAGCCATTTGAGACCGTCGGAGAAAGAAGGTCGATGTGTATTTGTGTGTAGTGGATCATAGTTGTGGCTACTGCTTACGGCTTTAGCCTGAAGTCGAACGATCGTTGTGATCGTACATCGCCGCGATAATGCTCTCGTCAGTCAGGGTGTTTTGTAAGATCAAGGCAATGTGCATTTCCGTGAGCTAATGAGTAATTGAACAGCGTTCAGGATGAAGGCTATCGCTATGGGATCATGACGAACAAGCCACCCGTGGAACCTTGTCCTCATATCCAGCATCTTTCCAACAATAGACATCATCCCAGAAACAACTCCAACTGCTTCGCATACGTCTTAGGCACCTGGTATAGGTGTCCGTGTCCTGAATCAGGGTATAGATGTAGCTGCGCGTTCTTAAAGTTCTGCTGCATGAGAAAGCTGTTGGCTGTCGGCGTCATGATGTCATTCTTGCCGTTCGTTATCAATATCGGCACGTCCATCTGCTTCAACCCTTCAAACAACTTCGGGTCAGACACAAACTGCATGATTGCGCCACTCATAACCTGACCCCCTGCCTGATTCACAAACGTCGTGCGCTCTTCGCCTTCGATGTTACGTTCTTGGATGCGCTGCCACCACGCATGTCCCAGCGCCCTGCTGGTCTTAGTAGGGTAAAAGAAGAGGTCCAGCATGCCTTCCTCGTTGGGATCAGCTCCGCCAGCTAACTCCATAGCTTTCGCATCGGGTAGGACGAAACCTTCCGTGTATGACGACTGCGTACCCGCCAAGACCACCTTGTTGACAACATGAGGGTAGTCGAGAACAATGCGCTGCGCAATTAAACCGCCCATCGAGTATCCTAGTAGATCCGCCTTGGTCACTCCAACTGCGCTAAGGAAGTCAACAGCAACAGTGCCCATTTCCTGAATAGTAGGTGCGATGCTGCCAGAGCTATGACCGCAGCCGGCGTTGTCAAAGATGATGACAGTTCGTGAAGATGCAATGCTGTTCAGCAAGAGAGGGTCGATAAGGTCCATCGTACCGCGGAAGTGGGTCAAGAAGAGGAGCGGGATGGTAGAGGGTGCCCCAAACCGGCGGTATGCAATTTTGGTGCCTTTAACGACTGCATATTGCGTTGGAGTAGTTTGTGCCGACATGTCTTTTGAAGATCCGTTTATTGTAAAGATTGATCAAGAATAGAGAAGGCATTTCTCTGTGGAAAGTGTACTGGAGAGAAGTCCCGTAGCTCATATGTAAGCCTACGATAAATTCTCCAATTACTGATCTTCATATGGCTCACGGGACGGGTTGCGAAGATGCTCAGTAAACAGGCCACTAGTCACTCATCAAGTATCCTGGATAGGAAATTGTACCAAAGCATTCGAGTGTAGCCAATGGTGGCTTGCGCGGCTGACATGACGATATCTTTAGTAAGCCATCTAACAAACGAGACTGTCCTAGAAGTCCACCTGAATACCTAATGAATACAAAGATTGTTCTTTTCGACGCTCAACATAAGAATGTCCGCGATGGCATGGTAGCTGAATTCCGAACGGGCTTTGCCCTCATCGATGTAATGGATCAAGAAAACATGCTGGAGTAATGAGAGAGTGCCGATGTACATGTGATCTCCGCCCAGTACCCCAAGACATTTCCCGCCACCAAGACACGTAGCATCAAGTCACATCGTGGTACTAGCAAAACATAAGATTCAACAAGTATCACTAGTAGTAGTCTAGATGCGTTGCAAATTCCCATAACGTCCTATTGCAACCACATGCCCACCTTCTTCACGGTCAGTCATCCTCAAAGGTAACACAAATAAATCTACAGTCACTACTACGCTACTTGGTGCAATAGCCTGACTAACTTATGTTGACAATTGTACAGTGTATTAAAATAAGTATATAAAAGCAAGTGGGTATCATCCAGTAGCCATCCAAGTCTGGTATAGCCCTCAACCAGTATCGAAGCAAGGTCGTAAACCAAGAACGAATGCAACATATCCTCAGGAGTACGGGGAAGTTCGGACCAAGCTTCGCGGCTTGGCACCCGAGGTTTGCGTAGTGTATTAACATTAATGGTCGTAAAGTAATAGGTTCTTCCCATTTCCACATCTGCATCGTGAGAATGTATTCAACAAATTGTCCCGCTATCCCTCCCGCGCAGCACCTTTGTACTTCTCTCGCTCATAGTATCCGGCTCGACGCTGATCCGAATATCCGTCTTCTTCTTCACATTCCCCATCGGTAGCGTTGTTATTCCATCCTCGTCCATACGGACATGCGCCGAGTGACCGAATCGAGGATCCCTTGTAAGATCTCTTGTGCCGTCCTTCAGAGCCGCGCTTCCAGGTATATCGCGCGATCTAGAATGCGCATCGAAGCCCTTCGTTGCGAACTCGATAAGTTGATTGAGGACCTCGAACTCGAGCTTGAGCTTGATGGCGTATGCGAGCGTCTTCCAGCTGGTTTGGATTTCGTACAGGCCTATGTACTGTAAGACCAGGATCGTGACGTCGAGCAAGATGACCACCATGTTGACGATGATAAGATGGTTGAAGACCCGCTTCGCGTGTGGGCCTCGGAAGACGGCCGAGCTGCGCATGAGAGCAAAGGTGCGATAGATGTAGAGTCCGCTTATGAGGCACTCTTGGAAGACGAACCACGTAACCTGGAAGATCTCCCACTTCTCGTAGATCTGTAGCCACCTCTTGGGATTTGGTGAATTCGACCCAGCGAAAAGCGCAGTCGCACCTCCTTGCACAACTATGCAGGCTGCTATGATCATGCAGAGCAACCACCAATCTTTCTTTCCCGAGCTGATAAGGTGTAGTCGTGACCAGAGTACGATGGATTGGCCAGTGATCATGAGCATACCTCCTCCACACGCCATGGCGATCTCCAGCGGGGCCGAGTCAGATATCCCGTAGTTGCGGATGAAGTACCCAAAGGCATGTATGGCGATACCGACCGAGGCCGCGATGAGCGTGTAAAAGTACACGCCGCGATAGGTGCGAAAGAGGCGGAAGATCTTGACGAAGACCTCAAGGGTATGGGAGACGGCGAGGGCGAGGAAGACGATGACGACAAGAGAGGTCTTGTAAGGCAGCGTAGGGTTCGTGGTCATACCTTCCGCTCGATCGGATGTCTGGGAAGCCATTGTCGGTGTTGGCTGCAATATCGCCCTGCGATGTGGTTGACCTCAGTTATGAGGTAGCCGAGCGCCGGTCACGAGCAGGGAACGCCGCGCAGTCTCCTCTTCAAGGCACGTAAGATCACTCTTTCTACAGCTGACACGCACCACAAGTAGTCTGCCTCATTTTACAGTCAACCAGCCGCCAAGAAACTCTGCACCTCTCGATTCACTACCCTACATCCCGGTTCCTGGTTAGGCAATGATCCTCACTAGTCGCAAACGCGATCTACGTCAACTCGACATGTCCTCGCGACCCAATGAAGGAACTTAAATGCAGCCTTGTTTCCGGAACGCGGTAGCGAGCGTGGCGGGCTGCAAGAAATGTCGGGGCTGGCCCCGCGGGGGAGATGTCACCCTGTTAAAGGAAATGAGACACAGGCCTAAAACTGCGTATACCCTTGTAGTCACAGAGCAACGGCAACGTTATGCCGCTCGCGTCAGATGAACGGTGCTTGAAATCGCGCCTCAATCAGATGGTGTTCTTGTTAAGGTTGAATGAGCTTGGCGACCCAGACCTCGAATGCGTGCTTTGACAACGAGTTTCTATGATGTTGTTCACGTCGCGCTGGGTGACAGGCCCGGCTAGCAGCGCTTTGATGAGGTCGGGCGGGTTGAGAATGCGATGTAAATGACTAGGAGCCTAGGCTTACCTCATGATGCAGGAGTCTGAACGACGTGAAAGGAAGGATTGGTGGTGAGAGAGTGCTGCTCGGTAGGTGGGCGGAAAGTGGCCGCCGCGTTTTCGTGAGGGCTGGGAAGTCAAGCTAGTCACGTCACCAGAAGCACGTGCGCACGCGTTTCCGAGGTCAAATACCGGGCCCCGCTTAAACACCACCTCATCTTCTTTCATCCTTAATTGTCATCAAGCGCACCTTTTCGCAAACTTTCGCTACCCTCACCATCAGCCACGCATCGATCTATGGCTTTCGATCGATTCCACATGGAGACTTCCGATATTCACGCGTATCATACATCCCTGAGGATGACCAGTCTTTTGCTGGGCACAAAGACCGACGACCTTGATCCGGCTCATTCATGAGACAACTCATAAGGGTTCTGCTGGCCAAGAATGGTCCACGCGTGTGGCCAGAACAGAAGACCATGTCGCAATGTTAATTGTATTTGCGAGCGAAGCTGAGTACCTGCGGATGCGATGGCCGTGGTATCTTCCACTAACACCAATTTCGTCCACACAGGAACCATCTCCATGTCGATTAATGCAGTACACAAAATTGAAGGCTGACATGCAGACTTTCGTCTCGATGGCAGTGAGTCTGCTATACGGATTGAGACCGTCCAGCGCCATCGAGGACCAGCTCGTTCTTTGGTCTCTACATCTCATTCACCATCAAAGCCCAGACTCCCTCATACGCATAGTAATCTGAGTCGATACGCTCCGCTTTACCTACCGGTCATTTCTGCCAGAGTACTACACTCCATTCACTCGCATCCGGTAGTTTCACACTCTTTTCAGGCACGAGTCACTGGCAGCGATAGGACGCTGTTAATTCAATGCGGACGATCGCAAAGTGGCTGCGGACAATCTATACTGATCAGCAGTACACTGACATACCCATTCCCACCGATATTCAGAAGGGTCTGGAATTGCGCCTTGCTGCGCAGGTGCTAGGGATGATGCAATACACCTCCGAGATCATCGGGAGTTACATACGCGGCCTCATCTTCCGTCCCGTAGAGGCAAAGGAGTTGGTCGTGGTGGCTGGATTGACGCGTAAAGAAGCGGTAGAAGATCCTATCTTGGACGCTTTGGCTAACTACGTCGCGTACTTGTGTCGGTACCATCTGGTCAGTAGGGACAAAGAAGACCAATATCTAGCCGTGCTTGCTGGGGGCAAATGCGCGAAGCTGTTAAATGCCGTAAAAGACCACAATGTCAGAGCTATTGCGCAGAACGGATGGAAGGCTATATGCCCTCGGCCACTGGCGGAGCCTTAGAATCATGATCAGTTTCATCGTAGTAGCCTTAGCTTAGTTTGATAAAGCTCCTGTTTTCATTACCACTGACGGCACATTCGTAGCCAAGACATGCCAACCAGCGTGATGACGCTATGCAACAACAAGTGTGAGCAGTAACCAGCATTTCGTAAGATTGAACAAGCACTCATAATATTCACAGTGTACCGCATTGCCGCAATCAAAATCGTAAGTCGATTAGTGTACTATTTGACCAACTTACTTAGACCTTGTTCAGCCAAATGAGCTTACTCTGGTAGTCGCCCATGGGCCATGCGATGTTAAGCCCGCCGTTCATGTACGTAGCCCCGCTATAGGTAGCATTGTCCAGATCGTTGCTATACTTGGCCTTGGGATCCAAGCCCTGTAGTCTAAGTGGGGGTGCTGCCGGCTTGATCATGTACTGTTGCTGGAACGCAAAGACTATGCTCTGGTTTCCATCTGCACTGACGAATTGCACACCAGGCCAGTTGCTGCTATCGGGATGCGCCAGGCGGTAGAAATCGCCGGAGATGACAACGGGGTTCACAGCCTTGGCTTGGGCCATGATTGAAGGCACGGCAGAGGCTTCCTCTGGGGATAGTTCGGAGGGGTTGAGTTCGAGACCGAAGGAACCGCACATCATGGCGACGTGACCACGGTATTCGATGCTGATGTTGCGGTGGGTGAGACCGTTGGGAACGGCAGATATATGGCACCCCATTGCGGAGGGCGGGTAGACCAGGGATGTTCCCATTTGGATTGTGAGACGATTAGAAGCATCGGTGTTGTCACTGGTCCAGTGTTGAGGCCAGTAGTGTAGAAGACCAGGGTCGAAACGGCCTCCACCTGATGCACAGCCTTCCCAGAGTACGTCAGGATAGCTCGTTGTGAGATTGTCAATAACGCGATATAGGCCAAGGATGTAAGTGTAGTCATCAGATGGGCGGGCAAGCTCATGCATGCCGCGGTTGTTATCCCATTTGACATATTGGATGTTCGCGGAATCAAGGACTCGGGAAATTGAGCTGATGATGTAGTCCTGGACTTCCGGCAACCCCACGTTCAGGACCAACTGGTTCCGTGTCAAAGTCCTTTGGTGCTTTCCAGCATGCAGGACCCAGTCGGGGTGCTCATGGTACAAGGTCGAATTGGGGTTTACCATCTCTGGTTCTACCCAGAGACCAAACTGTAGAGGCGTAGACGACGCATTCAACACCGTGAAGTTGTTGACTTGCTCCACGTATGGGCCTAGACCATCGGGGAACTTCTCTGGGTTGGGTGTCCAGTCTCCGAGGCCCATAGTGTCATTGTTACGCGGGTACTCGACACCAAACCAGCCATCGTCCATCACGAACAGCTCGATTCCAAGCTCTTCCGCCTCGCCGGCCAGATTGACTAAAGACGTCTCGTTGATATCGAAACTTAGCCCCTCCCACGAGTTGAGCAGAATCGGCCGAGTTTGGTCCGTGAACTTGTGTCGGGAGAGGTGGTTGCGATAGAGATCATGGAACGAGCGCGACACGCCACCAACACCCTGAGAAGAGTACACACCGACAGCTTCGGGAGACTGGAACATCTCTCCTGGTGCCACGCGAATGCTGGAGTGAAGCGGGTTAAGGCCCATGAGAACGCGCACATAGCCGTTGGAGAAGCGCTGTGCTGTAGCTTCAAAGCTACCAGTCCACACTAAACTGATACCCCAAGCTTCTCCGGTAGACTCGGTAGTGGTTGGTGAAACCAACGCGAAGAAAGGATTGTGAAGATGAGACGCATATCCTGCAGTGCTCCGAAACCTGAGATATATCAGTATTTCGTCCGGCGATGCTTATACATATCAACTTACGAAGTCTCGCCATAGTCGATCTTCCTCTTGACAGTCTGGAACTCATGCGACCAGTCACCATGGGGCTCAATCATCTCGAGGTCGAGATTGGGGAAGTCGGTGCTGAAGCTCGACGCTCTTTCGATGACGATATCGGCAGTACCGTTGTTCGCAATGCTGAAGCTACGTGCAATAGCGTTGTACTTTGGGAAGATCGAGTACATCAAGGCAGCTGAAACATCTGACACATTGTCGTACATGTGTACGGTTATGGTCGTGACGTCGCCAGCCTCCCCATAAGTCGCAGGTAGCCCTGGTAGAGAAGGCTTTCCCTGTGTGATGTCGTGGGATTGGTAACGGAAAGCGGATATCGTGTCACCATCAGCGTGTTCGATATGGATGGCTGGTAAACGGAAGTCACCGCGGCCAATATCGGGAAACTCGCGACGCTCATTGCCTATCTCGCCAGCCACCCATCCGGACGGTAGAATGTAGGCTGGTGGTGTGAAGTCGTCCATTGGTCCTCCAAAGTGATCTGAGATGAGGTCGCCAGACTCAGTATCAACGTGGAACAGGTATGACATGCCGTCGGCGGTGAGAGTGAAGTTTGTGCCAGTTGCTTGAATAGCTGCCTCAAATTAGCGACTGCCTCTTTTGTAACCTATAGCCATGTCTTACCATCTTGCGCAACGACAGCGCTGGCCAGGAGGCTCAACGCGAAACCCTTGATACCAATCATTGCTAGATTTTGCAGAGAGCAATGCATCACGAAAATTCGTCAAGGTACCTGCTTAAGTACACCTCCCAACCACCCTGGTCGCATGCCTAGCTTACATCGGGGATGCAGTGAATTGATCATCGTGAGGGGAAGTGGGGAGAGTCCGGGGTCGACAGACAAGCTCTTCCGCCATGGAACTCTAGGTCGATTGCAGTGATTGGGCCAGCGGCGGAAGCGGGCGGATAGGATGCCAGATGAAGATGGGAACGGCGCTACTCTGGGTCGGTGCGACGTTTAGCCGCGGTTTATGTCGTCAACGGTCCCATAGAAGGCTGCAGCTGCCATCGCTGATCAGGTACACTAGCACAACGTTGAGCGGAAAACTACAGGAAAACGACATGTCTTGCCGTAGAAAAGCCGTATAAGTAGCGCCAGCTGCTAGAGAATGCGGCACGGATGCGAATTTCGGAATGTATACTCACCTCATGCAGAGAAAACATTGAACAGGTGCTCTGCCGTCTACACCAGTATAAAAGTCAATGTTCACATATTCCCTCAGGCAATGTAAACTTCTAGGAGGTAGGTGTTTGGTTTTTTCCTTGTACAAGGTGTACTGTTGGCGAAAATGTCAAAAGAACCTTCTTTCCACATCACCTGAGCACTATGAAGTCATGATGCTCCACGCTCGAGACTAAAGCGCCCAGCTGTCAGTGCTATTGTACGTGGGACAAAGCGGTGATGCATCCTATTAAACTATACTAACGCTCGTCAAGCTTTTGCTCAAACGCTTGAATCGTCAACTCATAAACTCGTCTTGCGATCTGTGTCATCTCCACTCCCGACTTGGGATCTATCTCTGTTATGCCTTCCGCAAGACAAGAGCCATCACCCATAGCCTGATTCATAACTAGAGTTCTCATACACCAGGCATGCCCAACCACGCTCTGACCTGTGGGACGCCTCTTGGAAGGAAGTACACAGTCCACAGCGCTGCAAAGGCAACCAAAAGGCCCGTGAATTTCTCAAACCAAGTGTGGAAGTAAGCAGCCGTCATGAGGAGCATCCACCACATCAGCGCGGCGACACCAAGCGCGAACTTAACGCCACGCGCAGTAGCCTCGCCCTCAGACTTGACGAGGTCTTTCTCCACTGCGACACTTGCAACCTTGCCATCAGGCAAGGTGATGAGCCTTCCATCTCTCAGTCCCTCTACACGCGTCAACGCAGGCAGAAATTCTAGCCACAGGAGTGACGAGCCAAGTATGAGCAAGAAGACATGTCCAGAGATATCGTGTCCGCCCTTCCATGTTCCACCAACCGCCTTGCAGGTCGCAGCAGTGATGTACTCTCTCGTGGTGCTCATTTCTTCCCTCGCCTGCGGGTCTCTGATAATTTCGCATTGACCTCCCGTGAACCTAAACCCGCGATCAATCAGCGGCGGCCCAAAGCACCACTGCGTCATGAAGCACCACCAGGTTGTCACGACGCCATATCGCATCACCGCTCGGATGCGTCTCGCGCTGGCACCCTGGCCGAATCCAGGGTGAAAGGTGACGAAGACGGCGAAGGCTAGTGTCGTCCAGAACCATCCTTGCTTGACAAAGTATACGTTGAAGATGTTCTTCTTTTGCGCAAAGTACGAGGGCGCGAATTCGGCGGGGTGGGATTGGAGGACGGCGGAGTAGGGCGCACTGCGGTTTGAGGGCGAGATTATGCTGAAGACGCTACCCATGAGGAGCGTCAATGGGTAGATGGCGATGAGTTGCGCTTCGAGGCGGGTGGGGAGAAAGGGCGAGCGGCGCGCGGACGAGGTTGGTGAGCGAACGGTGCCGCTGGGCATTCCGGCTGTGATAGGGACGCCATTGCTAACGTCGTTGTCGGGTCTTCGACGCGTTGCCATGGTTGTCGTGGAGGTGGGTGATGGGCTCTGTTGAGCTGCAAGGTAAGGAGGTGGCAATTCAATGGACGAAAACTCGATTAACCATAGAGTAGGATCAAGAGATGCCAAACTTGATCGTATGCGAGGAGAACCAGGTTTGTTGGCTAGGCCGTAGGAAGTGGGCAGCTCCCACGAAGCGAAACTCATGAACAATGACGTTATTTGGTTTTGGCGGCTGAGCCACAGCTGCCCAGGTGTGGCGCGAGACGCTAACCCCGTTGGACGTGCCACCGCCAGGCTCTCACCTTATACAAGAAAAACATTGAACAGGCCTGGAGACTACATCAACATGAAAACATGCAAATTGGGTGACAAAACAGACACTTGGTAGGCTCCAGGGTGTTCAGCTTTTCCCTTGAACGAGGTGCTCCGGCCCAAGCAATTTGACACAATATTTACAGCTGGCGACAACACACCAAGAACCTTAAAACGCCACAGTCCACTACGTCTATCAGAGAGAAGCTATTGCCACAATCCATTAGTTGAGTTGCCCTCCAAGCGTCAACGGGTCTCTTGCCTATCTTCCCAGGATCAGTGAAAACACGTCAACACAGCAAGAACTTCCTACCAGGAGACGGTATAACACAGACTCGAGTTCATATCTCCAGTTGGTATCTAAACTGGAAAGGGAACCATTCAGTCTCAAGTGTCATCAACTCTCAATGAAGCTCGATAGATCGGTGACATGGGCGTGCAGTAACCAACTACTCGCGAACAGAGTAACATGCTTAATTAGAACACACCGAACCCTGGCAACCTGATAGCGATACAAGGAAACAATACCATTTATCGCATGATTCGCATTCAAGTCGTCGAAATTTAGAAGTACCTAGGTAACTAGGCAAGACGACATTCACCGTGAAAAGCCTCCACGATGACATTTCACTATAACTACCTAGTTTCGCTCGCCTCATATTACTTGCGGCTCTCACGAAGTTCCATATATTCTTCCTAATCCCTTTAATTCGCCCACATGGAGTCAGAAGTCGCCGTCCACACAAGCGAGGGCAACCCAGCAGCGCAGTCAGCTCTGGCCGTGCTCGCAGCCACTCTCAATATCAACGAGAACGCGCTGAAGACGGCTCTTAATAGTGCATTCGACCTACTGCCTATGGCCGCAGGTAATCCAATGCTCGCGCTACAAATGAGCTTCCAACGGTTGTCGTACCACATTGACAGCAAGACATTGGTTGAGACCATCATGGCATTTCGACGAACATTCGGCGCCGCTCTGGGTATGGACGGATGTGGGTATAACAGGGAGTCCGATGTAGCTCCACGCTGATAATACTTCTCAGTCAAGTATGCGACACCCACCCGGGCAAGTTACAGTCAATTCCATGGACCGCCTTCAAGCCACACCGTATACACTGGTCCTCCGCGGTACTTTGCTCCAGGTTCTCGATCATCAAATGAGCCTGTTGGGCACTACATCGACGCTCCGGTAGTAGATCTCTATCAAGCTCAGATTTATCAGCCTCAGTGGGGCTCAGGTTACGATGGTAACGTCCCAAGCAGCGCGTCACGGTCCAGTGCCGTGTCGACGAACCACAGTTTTCCTGCCTCACAAGATTACCAAGGCCCTAGGGTGCCTGGCCAGAGGAACGGGGCGCCCTCAGTACTTCCAACCGGTTCATAATTTCGGTCAGTATCAGTGAGCGATACGAATGTTCGGTCTGCTAGCGAGAGGCGTGGCGGGAGGCTGGTTTTCGGTGACATATTATCACTGAATGCGCTATATCTGGCTCGGGTCGCTGAGCACTGATCAATTGGCTGTGTGATAGAAGCATCTGGAAAAGGTTCTTTCGTAGGCTCAGTCCTGACAATGCCCGACACGTCGCATGCTGTTGTCATCAGTATGTTCATCCCGCAATGCTTTTGCAATTGACAACAATTGATCAAAGAGCTCTTCATAGGTTCTGCGCCTTCAGTACGAATAGTTGATACCATGCGCGCATTTGATGTGAGAAAATACATGTGGTGATTGTAGTCGACGGATAGCAGAGCGGCCGCTATGACGAGGTCGGCGGGCTCTCCTCCGAGGCCGCCGCATCATCAACTTTTTGCGACACCATAGCCAGCATCACCACGCATAGCCATGATGTCTCAACCCGATGATAGCAACGCCTCCGCCAGAAGCATCAGAAGACAGCCATCGTCGCGCAGCATATTCTCCGTCCCTACTCCAATAAAGCAGCTGTTCGATCAGTTTCCACTCATCACGTATCCCGTCAACGACTTCCCCCAACGTGCACCACAGCATCACAATGCCCATGTACTCTACGTGTTTACAACTGATGAAGGAGCAATTCGAGGCGCACCATCGCACAACCCAGCGTGTTTGAAGTGGCAGGTCAGTCCATGTCGATACATGCCCATACCCCACCACCAAGCTCACACCATCACAGGCGTACCTCAAGTTTTCCAAGATTCCCTTCAGAGTCGCCTCGGCAAACAATCATGCCTCTCCCAGCGGCTCGCTACCCTTCGTGATACCGTCCTCGCCGGATCCTTACAAGCGAACACAGCCTGTTCCCTCGAACAAGCTGCAACGATGGGCCATGAACAATAGTGAGAAGGCAATAGAAGAGCCTGGAGATTTGCGCTACGAAGCATACCTGAGTCTGCTGGACCATCGGATACGGAGAGCTTGGGTACGTCGACCACCAAAGATGCTCTGCTCAAGGCTAACATATCCCAGCTCTACACCGTCTACCTTTCTCCCAACTTCATCACCATCGCCGAGCCGCTCTACATCCTCCCAAGTTCCCGCAACCCTTTCGTGCGCCTCACGATATCTCGCGAACTACGCCTCGCCGCCGAAATCGAACTGCTCAAATTCTCGAGCATCATCAACGACGAGACGCTCTACAACCAAGCGGACGAGGCATTCGCAACACTCGAGACACTGCTAGGTAAAGACGACTGGTTCTTCGGCGCGCAGAGACCGGGCTTGTTCGATGCTAGCGTCTTTGCGTATACGCATCTGCTATTGGACGAGCAATTGGGCAAGGGCTGGGTGGACACGCGTTTGCGCGACGCGCTAATGACGCGCACACGCCTGGTCACGCATCGAGACCGGATACTGGCTAGGTACTTTGAAGATGGGTCTTGAGTATAGGATGATACCCGCGAGCAGTAATGGAGTGAATGCTGTACAAATCCCCCATCAAGGTCCAGTCATGAACACCACGAAACAGCGACTATGCTCATACGCGAAGCATAGCTCGACTCAGCTCTCTTCATGCGAGCTTGGAAGGAGCGAACTTGTGTTGAGTGAAGTTCGGACGTAGCGGACGCCGCGGACAGTTTAGCGCGAGCCAGAACCCAGCAGATGCAGATGTGACTCACGCTATGGAGAGCTGCACGACATATCGCCTAATTGGGTAATGCTGGATACATGCTGGGCGTGGAGAGGGCGTGCAGAAGAGCCATTGGCTGGAGCAGGCTGGCATATAAGACTTCTCCAGGCACCGACCAGCAACAGCATCAATCCTTAGGAACTTTACCCCACTTCAGATCTACAGTAAATTCTCGTCATCTGTTTCTAGGCCCAGCCAACCAACCGCCATCTACAATCAGCAGAAAGTCTTCATTCCGCCCTCGAGAACACCATTATCAACATGACACAGCCAACGTCCATCGACATGACCTTCGACACGTCCCTCGTCGACGTCAACGCACCTACCAATGCTAACGCCTCTTTTTCGACCACCGAATCGGATTCTACTGTAGACGGCCAACAAACGTCAACGCATACACAAACTCTACAACCGACTACGACTCCACAAAAGCCTTCAATCCCAGTTCAGCACATCCCAACTCAGGCCGCCTACGACCAATGGGCCGCCATCTACGACACCGATGGCAACATGCTGCAAGCGATTGATGACCTAGAGCTTCAGAACCTCCTCCCAGACTTCTTGTCCCAAGTCGAGAGCAGTACTACGACAGAACAGGAGCTCCGTGTGCTGGATCTAGGGTGTGGCACTGGACGCAACACCGAGAAGCTCGTACGGTACGATTGGAATGGAAAGAGCGTGGAAGTCACTGGTCTCGATTTCTCACAAGGCATGTTGGACGTCGCTGCGAAGAAGCTATCGCCCTTACTTCAGGAGAAGGACCAACAGGGGCTGCGGTCAAGACTAGAGTGCTGCGACTGTTTTCCTACTGTCGATAGCCCATCAGGTCCTCCACTACCCGCAGTTTCAGATCTGCGACCCGTCCATGCCATCACATCCACTCTAGTCCTGGAGCATATCCCACTGAAGGACTACTTCGCCACGCTAGCCGCATTGCTCTTACCTGGTGGCACGGCCTTAGTCACAAACATGCACGCGGACATGGGACGCGTCAGTCAAGCTGGTTTCGTCAATGCAGACGGTGTCAAGGTTAGAGGGAGTAGTTACGTTTACACAGTGGAGGAGACTGCTGCGGCAGCCAGGACTGCAGGTCTTGAAGTAGTGAGTGTGAACGAGCGAGAGATGAGAAAGGAGGATGTTGAGGGTGGTGCTGTGGGAGAGAGGGGTTGGAAGTGGGTCGGCACAAAGGTTTGGTTCGGCATGGTTTTCACAAAGGCTTCGTGAACCAGGTGCAGAGGAGTCGTGACTACCAACATTACACCTGCCGGTATGAATGAAGCAGGATCATTCAGTTGCGTATGATGGTCTCTGTAGACTATTAATACAGAAGAGCTTTGCTCCACCGTTTGTTGCGTCTAGCGTACACAAGCGTTACAAGCCATTGCATCATATCACTTTCACCGGCCGACAATCTCAACATACGACCAAAGGTAAAGGAATATACTGGATCCCGTTTGCTCTCCACACGTCAAGCCTTTGACCGGCGAACTAGTAGTTTGGTGGGTGACCACAAGCGAATAATCGCTGTTGTATGTTTTTGTTTTTGCTTATGCGAGAGATATCTAGAGGGATAATAGAGAGATGTAGTGAGGAGCATGTGTAATTGGGAAGCTTAGGAGACGAGTATGAAACCTGAGAGCCCTAAAAGAGAATTGGATACAACGCTAAAGTTAAGCAATGGGTATAGTCATCGTAAGCTGTGTGATAGCATAGTTCGTAATCTCATGAAGCGTGGTAGCTAGGAGGTATTTTCTCCTCGTCGTGCCCTCGCATACTTCCATCCATATTCTGCGTCGAAGTTTTTGATCCACTTCTTCGCAGCTCTACGAGGTGTACTTCGTCGTCTGCCTTTCCTATACTCTCTAGCGTCTCGTCTACCGTCCTCGCCATCGTAGTGTTGAACAAGCTTGCATCCAGCATGCTTCTGCTTGGCTTGCCTCTCTTTTTCGATGGCCGATTAGGTGTGTCGTCATCTTCGTTTGGGTCGGAGTTGTTCTGCGTCGTGCCAAAGCACTTGGGTACCAGCTGAGCGAGGAATCTTCGAAAGGCTGGCATGGATACGCAAATTATGCCGACGTTGATCTCGAGGATGGAGTAGACGCCGGACATGAGGTTGTCGTACATGGGGTTCGTTGAGGTGGCGTATTTGGCGACGGCGCTGAGGCGGATGCAGGACACTACGATGGTACTAAAGTATATTTGTTAGTATACGACAATATAATGTCCAGTGTGTGGATTGACTCACATGCCACCAACGCCAAAGATTGCGCTGAGGAAGACCTTCTTACGCGAGCTGAGTTTCAGCGTCATCAGGTTCGGGATTGGTATAAGGACTATCGCGACGTCCAGACCAATGTTGAACGCCGCTGCTACCAGGTAAAACAGGTTTTGGTTGATACAGTAGTCCGGCGTGCTCGTTCCGTCCCAAGAAGTCCATACTGCAGAAATGGGCCTACACGCAAACGTCATTGTGAATGCGAATGCGATGGTCCAGAGCACTGATATGACGATGAACACCCAGATCCATTTGCGGGTCGTCTCCGAGGGAAAGATGCGAAGGAAGAAGAACAGGAACGCGAGCTTGGTGAGTCCACAGCAGAGGAAGTAGGATATTTGGGAGCCGTAGGTCAGCTGTTGAGCAGTCAGTAGTCATCCACACACATTGAGCATCGCGTACCTACCCTCAAAACTTTGTAGATGTCGCTATGAGGAACTACCCAAGTATCTTTTCCGAAACCGAGCTTTGGCGTGTAACATTGTATCACCGTGACAGGGAGACAAGCTGCTTCGGCTGCTATCGCAAAGACATCATCTAGCCCGAACGAGTTCTGACTGATTGCGGACCACGTGCGAACGGTGACGGCGGCGAGCGCAACGGAACCCGCTGTGATACCCGTCAAGAATATGACGTTCGATCGGTCGCGAACAGGCCTCTCGCACATGGTGGAAGTGACGTTGACAGCAGCTGTTGTTCGCATCAAGTCAGCGCGGTTAATGTGGAGTCTGGTGGGGATTCTCACTGAGAGACTCTTTGACTGAGCATGTCCCACCCACGCAGGTCTGGATGGCCGCGTTTATGGATACACTGTCACAGATACATTGCACATCAGTGGGTGCGCATGCCATTTGGGCAGTGACAATATTCTGAAAGCATGTTGCCTAGTGCTGTCAGTCGTATATTCTCATAAGTACCAGTGAAGAAGGAATCAGGACTTACTGCACATGGTGGTAGCATACTCAGGACATCTTGTGCTAGAGTTGTATGCACAACGCTACTCAATGCTGTGAGCCCTATGATGAGCACCTCGTTCCATCGCATGTTGAGTACTAGAAAATATCCAAGAAGGTGAGCCACAAATATGACGAGCTGTCGATCTTGGTTCAATGATCATTGATACATATAGAATACGATGATGGTGAAAAAGCAGAAGAAAGGCAGGCATGGCTAGGCCATGCTCGAATCCTGGGTATCATCAGCACGTTTCCGTACGTCTTTACCAGCTTCTCGGTATTCGATATCCCAGTTGATATTCAGGAGAATTTGTTTCTGCTTGACCTGCGTAGGATTCGAGGCGAACTCTACCGAGCAGGCTGCATGACAGACGTGCCGTCCCAGGCGGCTCGGCATTCGGGGACTACCAAAATGGTTAATGGAACCAAACCCTAGCTGAATTGAGTCCTCGCCGAGATACACATCGATGCGGAAGTTGTTTTGAGAAGATGTAGTAAGCCGCGTAGTGAGTAATCTAGTGAATTCTTAGAAGGCGTGGCTACGCCAGTGTACAAAGGCCCGAATGCATACTACACGGCGTTGCCCTCACGACCATAGTATTCCTGGTGCCCTGGGAAAAAAGATGGAGAGGCGTTCAAGGTTGTGCATCGATTATCGCGGTTTCAGATCCTATTGGCTCCCCACGGAAGTCCAGATATCCACACAACGTCAAACTAATAGTCTAGACGTTGTTGCAGGCCAAGAAGCAGCTTAGGGCTTGCGCGGTTGTAGACCATAGTCTCATGCCTCGTGGCTATGCGCCTCTGGCGTTATCGAGGCGACGTTGAAAACGGTGGACATGTGGAAGGCCGACCTTGCTTCGCTTCAGGGCCTTCCGAGCGTGGGGAGACAGTAGACAAACACGCGAGTAAGCTGCATCAGCAATTGAGAGCAAAGTTAGAGATATCACAAGTCATGCCAAACTCTGGAGGCGGCAGGCGGGATAGGCGACACGGGACGGCGGCTGAGCCTGCTATGAACAGGGTGTTACGATTAGGGTGCTGCCGTGGACCCCCTTGCAAAACAACCCCCATTCGGTCATTCCGAGTGCGGCACCATCCTTCCGACTCCCCGCCACATGGCAATGAGAAAAAGCGATGCTGGACAGTCTGGACACATCAAATCGAACAACAAATAGTTCGCGGGTTTCATAGGCGACTCTGGCTCAGCAGGCGAAGCTGACAATATCGTGCGATTGCTTTTGGCGACTTGTGCAAAGCGCACACCATGGCCAGAACGCGAGGGTCTGCGGTACGCCCCGGCACTTGCAGCGTGCCCACAATAGAGACCCGCATTTCGGCATCGTCTCTCCTTTCAGTATACTGTGACGGCCTGTTCGAGTCGTAATTCGCTATCGGGGGCCTGAAAGGGTTGGCTGCAGAGTGCTGCAGTTAGCGATGAGCGACGATGGAAGATAGTTCCGTCTGCCCCCTCCACGATCGTTCTTGTAGTACTTCTGTTCTTCAGCGTCAGGACATGCGACATGACGCTTCTATCTGATGTTTTGCTGGGTGCGCATCTTCGATCCGTCCTGTTGATCTACCTTCCTACATCTTTCGTCGCATACTATCTTATCTGGACCATCTATACTCGAACCCTCCATCCACTAGCTAAAGTTCCAGGACCATTCTGGGCATCAGTATCACGAACATGGCTTATGTGGCACCATCACAAAGGCGACATTGAGATTGTCGAGCGCGTTCTTCACCAGAAGTATGGCCCCATCATTCGAATCGCACCCGATGAGGTCGTGACGACTGATACTACGGCTATTCCACACATCTACCCGGTTCAAAAGGCCCTGGAAAAGACGGATTGGTACAACCCATGGCGACCATCAGGACTGAACAGCCAGCCGGACTTGTTCACGCAGACCAACGAGAAAGCGCACACAGCGTATCGAAGGATTGTTGGGGGCGTCTATTCCCTTTCCAGCATATTAAAAAACGAACCAAATCTAGATGCGACGCTGGAACTCTTTCTTGAACGGTTGGGCAGCTTTGCCGATGGCAACGAAGCATTTGACTTTGGTCTCTGGCTTGAGATGTGAGCTACAAATTGGTTATCAACAATTTCACAGTCTAATTTGTGGATTAGGTACTCGTTTGACAGTGTCGGTGTCGCCTTCTTCGGTCAAGCCTTTGGTTTCCTCAAGGACAGCATCGATTATAACAACTACATCCACTCGGTCCATCTTGCAATGCCATTTCTTACCCTTCTGACAGTCACTCCGTACTACATACGACCGTTTCTGCTTCTGGTCGCTGTGTGCATCCCGAGCTTACTGAAGGCTGTGCTGGCTGTAGAGGATATCAAGAAGACTGCGATTATAGAGACGAAGACAGCTACCGAGAGAACACTTGAAGTGACAGGAAAGCGACCCGACTTACTTTCTCAGCTGCTGGCGATTGTGCAAGAAAAGGGAGAGAAAGTCAACTATTCGCACAGGGAGATCACATCGGACATGTGGGTCGCAATGTATGTGTAATGACAAAAGAGGTGCCTTGAATTATCATGCTGACCGTCATTAGCATGGCTGGAGCTGATAGCACATCCATCGCAATGCGCTCCGTTTTCTACTTCTTGATGAAGAATCCCGAGAAACTCGAAAAGGCGCGCGCAGAAGTCGATGCGGCCTTTGAGAAGGGTAACCTCTCATCACCAGTACAGTACGGTCAGGCTGCTTCCCTTCCATACCTCGTAGCAACTGTAAAGGAAGCCTTACGTTTATTCTCTCCATTCTCAGTATCGATGCCTCGGTACGCTCCGAGTGAAGGGATTACGCTGTGCGGGAAATACATCCCAGCAGGCTACACCGTTGGAATGAACCCTTCAATCGTTTCGCACGACAAAGACATATTCGGAAAAGATGCGCTAGACTTCGTTCCTGAGCGATGGCTGCAGAGTGAAGATCGGACGCGGGCGATGGACAAGACAATCCTAGGTTGGGGTGCTGGGACACGAACATGCGTTGGCAGGCCTGTGAGTACACCGTGAACGCATAGGAGAAAAGTACTGACAGTGCACAGCTCGCTTTGACACAGATCTACAAAGTGACTGCCGAGGTATTGCATCGGTTCGACTTTAAGATGGCACATGACAAGCCATGGAAGACGCACAATGCTTCTTTCAACGTCCAGACTGGCGTTGAGTGCAGGTTCAAGCGAAGAGGTTCGACTACACCTTAGTCGCTCAGATATAGTCAGTATTGCGGTAGAGTATAGACGAGACCAGAGACGCGTAGTTATCGCCGCAGTCGAAATGCACATTCAGAAGCTGTATGTAGTATACTGAGCTTTCCATGTCGTGTGCGGTTAGACCTTGAAAGACCGCTTTTAGCAGCTTTTAGTTTTGTGTTGCTCCAAAGGAACGTCAAGCGTCTCGATGGTTGCCATGTTAAGGAGAGAATCATACTAGGGAAGACACTGATCGAGTCTAGTTAAAGATGCAGTGTCTTTGGTGGTCGGCTTTTGCTTCCCCAAGAAGAGACCTCGGGATGCAAGGTTCGGTGTTTTACCCAATCAAAAGTCATCATGACGTCAACTTCTGTTCATGGTCCGATGTGCAATCTCAGAACTTCGCCATTTGAGACGCCGATAACTTTTCCTAAACGGCGATTATCCTCGGCGATTTCGACGAGCAACTGAGTTTAAAGGCAAGGATACCTAAGTAGAGTTTAAATCTCGAAGGTCTCACCAGTTGTAGCATCAGTGAACACAAAGAACCAAAATCACCCAGAACACAACACAACATGGACTCGCTTCCCGTGAACAACAAGACGGCCGGTGAACCTGAGAGTGCATACAACAACACACTTGAAACTGGTGCTGGTTTGACTCAGGTAAGAATGAGTCCTCTCGTATGGCGACTATACTAACCATTCGCACAGAACTTCGCACCAGTCAAGAGGATATGTGCTCACCTCAACGCCTTTCACGCATATGCCCACGACCCCAAGCGCGATGCAGTCGAAGCAAACCACTACTGCGCGCACTTGAACGATGAAGTACGCCAATGCATTCTTTACGACTCTCCCGAAAAAGGCGCCCGAATCATCGGCATCGGTAAGCATTCCACTTCCTCACCCGTAACGCTACATATTAAACCAATCCAGAATACATGATCTCTCCCAAACTCTACTCAACCCTCGACGCCGAAGAGCAAAAGCTCTGGCACTCTCACGTCTTCGAAGTAAAATCCGGAATGCTGATCATGCCGCGTCCAACAGGCGTGCCAGAAGCCGCATGGGAAGTAGCCGAAAACAAGGAGATGGAAGAAGTTGTGGAATTATACGGCAAGATCTACCATCTCTGGCAGACAGATCGTGGCGACAAGTTACCGCTGGGGCCACCGCAGTTGATGACGAGCTATACGGCCGCGGATCAGATGCCGGATTTTGAGAAGAGGTTGAAGGAGAGGGATCAGCGGTTTGATAGCGACTATCAGAGGAAGAAGGGGGTGAGGGAGTATATTGAGGTGCCGAAGATTCATGAGAATGTTGATGCGACGTGGGCGAAGGGAGGTGTTGGTCATTAGACGAGCGCTGATGCAGGGGAAGGTGGGGGGTAGGCAAGAACTGCATGTAACATGGGCGAGTCAGAGCTATTTCGCTGAATCAATATTAAGTTATGCTAAAGCTACACAATACTAAGTACATAGGTAAGAATCAACATGCTGCTGAAGAAAACAATGTAGCGAACACTCGAGCACCCCTCCTCCCTCCATCGAGTCTAGAGCCAGCTCTAAACCCATGCCTCACGCTTCCTTGCCCACACAATCATTCTAGTATACCATCAAAAAAAAACGATATCAATATGATCTATTCGTGAGCTCTCTCCATCAAAGTCGATCTTAGGTATTGACTCAATCGATAAGATCGTTTACGTTCGATCTCCTCCCAGACCGCTTTCCTCCTGTATCTCCAGTGTTTCGCCGCTGCGTTGCACGATCAGCAGGGTCATGTGGCGGGGTGTGTCTCAGCCTTCCGGGTTGACCGGACGTCGTCGCGCCCAACGAGGGTTGCTGATATGGTAGTGGTTGTTGTTCTAGATACGGACGTGGTTCTAGGGTCAGAGTCTCAAGAGGATGAGTAACAGCCGCGTACGGGTCCGAACTTGAGGCTGTCCGTTGCGGACGCTGAGTTTCTGGATATGCTCTGCGTGCGTCATATCCGGGTTGCTGTGCGTCATAGTAATGGGAGCCTTGCTGTGAACCATAGGCAGAAGTTTGTTGGGGAATATATCCTTGAGGGCGATGTGGAGCATACTCTTCAGCGAAACCTTGCACAGGTCTAGATGGGGGTTGCTGGAAGCTACTTACTTGAGTATGCGACGTGTCCAATGTTCGTGCTCTCGCAGGAGGGGGAGGGTCATTGAGAATGGACCGCATTCCTGATCGTGGCTGTGGGGGCTGTCGGGACCTATCTGCTTGACTAAGTGGCGTTTCCCACGTTTGTACTCTTAGAGGAGGTGGAGAGTCATTAAGAATAGACGGCATTCCTAATCGTGGTTGTGGGGGCTGCCGGGAGCTACCTGCTTGAGTAGGCGGCGTTTCCCATGTTTGAGCTCTCGCTGGAGCTTGACAGGCACTGGGAATCGACAACATGGGTGCTGGTTGTTGCTGGGGGACCTGCTGGAAGCTACCTGCTTGAATATGCGGCGGTTCCCGTGCTCGTGCTATCCGCGGAGCTATAGGGGCTGGCTCCGGATCTAGGGGTTTAAGCTCGCCATCCGACCCTCTACGTCGTCGCCTGCGCCGTCCCAGTGGTGCCCCCGATTGAACAGCTTGTTGGTCCAGGTGGAAGAATGGATCCTGGACGGGTTGGTCGGGTTGGCGGGCTTGATGAGGAGGTGCAGGCACAGGCTGAACTCTCTCCGCATACTCACCAGCAGCTCGAAGAGCATCATTAAGTGAAATTACTGGTGCCGCAACCCTACCACTTATCGTTGCTCTCTTGTCCCTCTGCCCTTGGATCTTCTTCTTTTGTGCGAGCAACACCCTTTGTTCAGGAGTCGGATCCGGACCGTAGATTGCTTCCCTCTCTGCTTTCTCTTCTGCTTTCTTCTTCATGTTCCTCTCTTTTCTCTCATCTCTATATTTTTGATCTACTTCCAGCTTGTTCTGGTGTTGCTCAATAGGATTCCTCTTCTTCTTATCATCCTTGTCTTCAGAACCCTTACCCTTACCCCTACCCTTGCCTGGTACCCCGCTCATGATGGAGACGTTGTGTAAGCACAGGGATGCAACTGCGGCCGTTGCTCGTATTTGTGCCTTGTGGAGCTGGGATATTGGTCAAATATGTTATCGATGTGATCGAGTGATGCTGTAAACAGTAGTGTTTGTATGCGTTGTCTGTGTGGTCTAAGGGAATGTAGTTGTAGGTGCTGGACAGGATTTTTATAGTCGCCAATGTAATGTGAGTCCTCCACGATATGATGCATTGCGTGCTTGCAGTATGTGATGTGGGTGAGTAAGTTTGACGTATGATCATTGAAGTTGGGACTCATGTCTAAGTTTGCGATGGACACATTATACATTCATGACTGCTGGGAAAGGTGTCGCATCCTGAATACCTCGTCACACATTAGCCTTCGCACATGACCATAGGTGAAGGAACATACCGAGCCTCATTCGCTCTTCACATGTCGAGTCCTTGACAGGCGGACGGGTAAAGCGCGCAGCACGACGGTACGGGTAGTGCATAGGTAGGGTATTTCTCCCGCAGCGTCCGTTTAGCAGAAGTTCGGACCCATGTGCTTTTCTATACCGGATGTGCCAGTGATAACGGCAATCGTCTTGGCCAGCATCCCATCATGAATCTGTTGTGTTTTGCACGACCTCGATGTTTGCTGGGTCTCTCTTCTCACGCCCCATCAGCTTCCCCAATACGTCCTTCTCTGTGTTGCCATCTTCCGCATCGCTCGCGCTGTCCTTATCGCTATCCGCGTTCGGGTCTTTTTCTTCGAGAACACCTAGTCCGAGGTCCTAGACACTGTCAGCAGCGCCCAACGATACCCCCAAGATCCATTACTCACCATCTCAATGTACGGCTCGCCCTCGTCCTGTCCCTCTACAGATTCCAGACTCTTCAGCGTCCCGGCCTTCTTCTGCGCCTCCAACTCCTCGTTCGCAGCCTTCAACTGCGGTAGAAAGTCTTTGAGGAAACCGCGAATATCTGGTCCTAGATCTTTGTTGCCCAACTTCATAACTGGCTTCGTGCCTCTGTTGGCGCGTAGGTTTACGACGCCGTCTTGCGATAGTGGCCCCTCAAGCTCCATCTCTGTGTCCTCGCCATCGTCCTCTTCTTCTTCGCTCGAGCTCTCGTCGCTACTGGGTTCTTCGCTCGATTCAGACAGTTCGCTGTCGCTGTCCGAGGTACCAAAGTCGCTTGCGTTCGTGGTAGAGTCATCTGCAGCGTTTGTCGACGCGAGGGCTGGGTCGGAGGATATCGAGGGCGGCGAGGATTCAGGCTCGTTGGAGAAGCGTACGCGTTTGCTGCGGTGCGCGACGGCTTCGTGGACGTATGGCGGCATGATTCTTCGGCGGTGTTTAATATTGGGTAATCTTAGGAGACACGGTTAAGGACGTCTGCGCGTTGGGAAGTGGGTTACAAAAGTCTGGGGAAAAAAGTTGGGCAAGATTCAAAGTTTCGCGCAGACGGGTGCAGATCTCGCGCCATGGTAGCGAGCCGGAGAAGACCCTCGGCTACGTCACCGCCCTCTCCAGCACATGGCGCCGACAGCAATACCAGTCGGATATGCACATATCACATGTTCAAGTATATCTATAGCAATAGGGTATCCCGTTGGATGCTCCACAGTCCGATGCGTGCGGCTGTAGATTGGCCTGAGGCGGGAGCGACTCGTTGGTGTCAGCAGGGGTCGTGAAACGGCGTCTTGAAACGCAGTTAGAGCGGGCGCCTGCGTGGCTGACTTGTGCTCTCCGAGGGGTTAAGCCTCTTAAAGCTCCAGCTGGCCTCGTACATATCCGACCTCACCCTTTCTCGTAAACCTTTCCAGTCTCGCTGCTGTGCTCTTCCACTGTACCTGTTCTCGTATCTCTTGTGACGGTGTCTGTAAGAGTCGGTGTGTCGCTGCCCCACTTCAGACTTGCACCAGTCTTCGCCAACTGTGTACAAGGCTCAATTGTCTTTGCGCGAGATTTCTGGATATCAGACATTAGGTATGTAATCATTCTCTCATGTCTCTACAATCTTTACAATCTCATTCATCTCCGTTTTCGTCGTCTCTTTCTTGCCCGCCGATCAAAAGTCGACCTCGGACTTGCCCGCATGCACCCATCCATGGATCTTATCAAGATCGATCTGCTCCGATCTAGCATCAGCATCAGATGATTTCATATTTCCTTATTGAGCATCTGCTGTCATCTTGCGCGTTCTGCTATTGTGCCAGCGTAATCAGTTTTCATCAAGTCCAACGCTGAGCGCTGGTTGGTCCACTCGTCTTCACCTCCAGCCTTCACCTTCACCACCGTCATCCAGGCGAAGCCCACAATAGAATTCTTTGCTATTGTTTGTCTTTGCAAGGAGGATGCTGGGAGAGCATGAAAACTTTCCAATCGCTCGTCCTTGACTGTCTCTTGTCCATCACACTCAGCTCTTCACAAGCCTCCACAATCTGCAAACCACCATCTGCCAGCTTTCTATATCTATTCAGAGACTCTCAGTCATCACTTCTCCTCTCTACATCGCTCTATTCTATGCCACATTCACATCCATGAACATGACCATGAACGAGACCATTCGTATCATCGGCATGCTCAGGGCCTCTGCTGCTCAGAACGCTGACCAGGCCAAGCTCAAGGAGCGTGAAGCTTTCTTCGCCTCGGCCAACGAGTCTCGCAAGAAGCTTAGGACTGTAGCAGCTGCCCGCAAGTCCACCTCCGTCTCTCTTCTTGAAGACCTCATCTACGCGACCAAGCACGGTGTACCCTACTCCAACGAGTCTCTGACGTACGAGTCCAGGGTCGCCATTGACCGCATCCTCGTCACCCTCAACAAGGCCATTCCCCGTGAGACCATCCTCGTCGTCCCCAACGTCGAGCCCAAGGAGACCTCCCAGGATCTCGCCAACGACCTCGCTATCGAAGACAGCAAGCACATCTTCACCGCGCGTTCCAACATCAAGGAACTCCAGCTCATCAGTAGCAACCTCGGTATCCCCATCACATCTTCCGCCATGGCTGGTCGCTTCCCGGTGCTCAGCACCTCTGACCTCCCAAAGGCATCGGCTGAAGAGCAGTCGGCCACGGCTTCGCCTGCGCGCGGTACCGCCATGCTCAACAACATCTTCAAGTCGGTCCGAGTACCCGAATTCCGCTTCAAGTGGATGTTCTGGGCAGAGAAGGGTCAGCAAGCCGCGCCCAAGGACAAGGCGGCTTCAGAAGAGTACCTCACCCGCCCCAAGCCGCTAGGAGATCAGATCGTCTCCGTCAAGGAGTTCTATCAGCACTTCAACAACATTCCGGTGGAAAACCTGAAGCTGCGAGACTCAATACACCTCTTCCACCTGGGTGTGAAGCCGGTCTGGGAAGACCCGCGGAACACGCGCGGCGGCGCATGGTACTTCAAGGTCAGCAAGGACGTAGCGGCGCAATTCTGGCACGAGATGTGCCTGCTTGCGGTTGGTGACGTTTTGCAGGGGGCTGTCGAAACGAAGCGTGCCTGTAAGTCCTTTTCTTTCCATCTGCATACACGTGCAAGACTAATCATCCAGCAGCCTTCAACGACGACATCTGCGGGATCTCGTACAGCGTTCGCTGGAACGCTGTACAGATCGCCGTCTGGAACCGGGACGCGGAGAACGAGGATGGCTGTCAGAAGCTTCTGGCGGTCATCCTGGACAAGCTGTCAGAGGAGCTCCGGCCGAAGAAGGAGGACAGCTACTGGTACAAGGCGCACAAGGAGCACAAGGGCTTTATTGAGCAGTAGTGAGCCGACCTTGTACCGGTAGCTGTCGCGCGGGTGAGAATGAGGTAGTGGAGGAGGTGATAGATGAGGCGGGGAGTACGTAGACAGGCTTCAAGCCACACATATGCATACCAACATCGGCGTTGATGAATACATCCTTTTCAACACGTACATGAGTCTCTTTTTCTATCTACTGAATGCCTCCTGCCCGATCTGACAGCCCCTCTTCCGTGACTTCCTCATACACGGAAACCTTCCAGAGGCGAGTAAGAAAACGATGCAAGGACCTGGACTATCAAATGAAGACGCCTCAATCCGCCAGCATCTTCTCTACTCTGCATCTGTGGTGGTAGTGTATGCGCCAATCACGGGCATCGTTCGCCGCAGACGCTCGGACCATTTATCCCAGTAGAAGCATCATGCACTTCTCACGATTCTCCGCATCTTGCCTGCCGCCGCCTCACCACACCAAACCCGCACAACCCGCCAACCATGGCTGCGATACCCACCTCCCTCTTCCGCTGGGTCGTTCCTGCCGCCATCGGCGCCAGTGTCGTGCAGAGCTCCCTCTACGACGTCAAGGGCGGAACCCGCGCCGTCATCTTCGATCGTCTGTCGGGAGTCAAGGAACAAGTCGTCAACGAGGGCACACATTTTCTGGTACCATGGCTGCAGCGGGCAATTGTCTTCGATGTCAGGACGAGGCCGCGGAACATCAGCACTACGACCGGCAGCAAGGACTTGCAGATGGTCACACTCACACTGAGGGTGCTGCATCGCCCAGAGGTCAAGCAGCTGCCTAAGATCTACCAGGTATGTCCATGCCACCCCGCACTCATGCAGCAGGAAGCCACAGGAATTGCATCTAACGCCCTAGTAGAACCTCGGTCTCGACTACGATGAGCGTGTCCTCCCCTCCATCGGTAACGAAGTCCTAAAAGCCATCGTCGCCCAGTTCGATGCCGCAGAGCTCATCACCCAGCGAGAGGCCGTCTCGAACCGCATTCGCACCGACCTGCTCAAGCGCGCCAACGAGTTCAACATTGCCCTCGAAGATGTCTCCATCACCCACATGACTTTCGGCAAAGAGTTCACCAAGGCCGTCGAAGAGAAGCAGATCGCACAACAAGAGGCCGAGCGCGCGCGCTTCATTGTCGAGAAGGCGGAGCAGGAGAGGCAGGCCAACGTCATCAGGGCAGAGGGTGAAGCCGAGGCTGCCGACACAATTTCAAAGGCAGTAGCCAAGAGTGGTGATGGCTTGGTGCTTATCAGGCGCATTGAGACACAGAAGGATATTGCGCAGATGTTGGCCAGGAACCCCAACATCAGCTATCTACCTGGCGGTAACTCTGGCGGCAATGGTGGTGGTTCGAGTGGTGGTAGCTTTTTGTTGGGCCTGAGGTCATGAGTGTTTGAGGATGCGCAAGGTTGAGGGAGAGGAAAGGAAGATAACAAAGAGCTGGACGAAAGGCGAAAATGCATAGCCAGCGGGGTTGCTGTACAATATATTGACATGAGTATGATAACACTTCTCTACAATTGACGACCCGGAGTCTCTTCTCATCTCTCTATTGTGTCTACACGTACCAATTGCAGTCTCGGGGCGTCGACCGGGAGACTGCGAAACACCCCCCACTGTTCGTCCTGCTGACACCGCTCTGACGATATTCAGTAACGAAGCATCGAGCCGATCTATGCTCACTATTCAGCAGGCTCCAAGAGACAGCAGCTTACACAACGATCGCAGAGAGAATAATGGACCAGTGTATGATCACGCGAAATACTGTCGCGAGAACTGAAATACTTCCTACACCTCGGCTCGTGTTTGACAAACCTTACCGCCTGAGGCCTCTCAGGTTTCCGGTACACATCTCTCCGCCCAAAGATTCAAAACTTGTTCATGCATTGCCCGAAAGGAAACGGGCTTTCGGAAGCCGCGAGGCCGCACGTGATAGATCGCATGCATGGTCTGCATTTGGCATCTGGATCTACACTCGGTGCGAACATGTTGCGATTCGGCAATGATGTGTGGGGGTGTTTCGTGTGACGCCGGGTTATAGGTCTGGGATGCTACTGCCCGGGCGGCGGAGTGTGGTGACTTGGTTAGAAGAGTTGGGGACTTGAAGTTGGTGGGGAGAGGGTCGCCCATTCCACGTGAGAGATAGATGATGTCGGAACCATCCAACCACCGCAACTTCAATGCCTACATGTTTTCTTTTTTCCACGTTACGTCCATAATCACCAAAGCCTCGTTCTTATCGTTCGAGTCCTCTTTACCGAAGATCAGCTGCAACCATCCCCAGCTATGAGACGTCATGCAGCATTTGTGTTCCACCTTGTTTCGGAAGGCCGCAACACCATCATGGCGGGGGGACCTCGTTACATCCTAGTCGCAGATCCCGAAGGATTCACAGACGTCAAGCGGTCAGCGATACTTTCCGATGGTCGCTGAACGTTCCACATGAAGACGATACCGGTGCTGGGGGAATACAGGCTCCCTCTCAAGGCAACGACAAAACGATGGCGGTCAAACGACTGCAACACGGCACATTTGCGGGGGCCTGCCTATAGGGTGTTCGTGTAAGGTAGGAGAACCGCTGCGCCACGCTACTCACTCAATGCGTGACCTTGTCTCTTGCCAGGCTGTCCAAACGATAGGGTGGGAGAAGTGGTGTCGAGTCTGGCGTTGATGCCCCAGGTTATCAAGCGGCATTCTGTTGTGGCTGAGCACTTCAACAAACCGGAAGCCAGCGAATCACGCCGCGTGTGGCTGTACAGCGTGGCTTGACAGTTCCCTCTCATCGAGGCAGGCTCACCGGCAGGCACTCTGCAATGTGCTCCGCCCTTGGATGATTCCAAGTATATACATGCTAGCTGCGAACGCGAGAGGCGAAGAGTAAGTACACGTCGTCTCTTCTTACGTCTTCGGACCGCCCGTCTCGCTTAGCAATGGCGATCCAGCAGCGCAACAAGCAAACGAGCATTATCCTCACCTTTAGAATCCTCCAATTTGTCAAACAGCTTCGTCGTCGTGTCAAGCCGCGTGTGCAGCATGGCTCAATCGATGCGAGTCCTCTTGGCATCAGCCTTGCGCCGAGCCTCCGAAGTGTCGCCCACAATCTATCACGGATCAGCGTCCAGGATGCGAAGCAGTCGCGTCGCGTCGCCAATCGCATCTGCAAGAGTCAGAAGGGTGCGACGTTCACTCGATCGTCGCGCAACCTGCAGACGCCGGCTTCGGTTGCTCCCGCAAGTCGAAACCTAGGGAATGAGGTGCAACAGTACGTTCACGGAAGCTTTTGTTTAGTTTCAACTACTGAACCTGCGGGCCTAGTATGCTTCGCTACGTCGACGGCAAACTCCATGTAGCGGGAAACGCGTTCTCGTCTATCGCGGACAGCGACAGGCTCTTTCTCAAACACGACAACGCGTCGATCTTGGAGGCTCGTTCCATGAACGAAACTATCCAGCTCCTCGTGGCAGTACACGAAGCGATCAACGTGCTTGCGGAGTGTCGCCGGAAGTTTGGTGACGACTGGCTCTTGGCGCAAGGGCTTGACCTCGGTCTGATCCTTGACGAGAACTTCATTGCCAACTATGAACATCTATTGCTGCGGCTACAGACAGACCTAATTGAGTCCTTGGCACGCAAGGCCCTGGAGGAGTTGCTCTGCGGCGATCACGACAAGAGGCAGCGCAAACTCCTGGCCTGGTTTACAGAGTTCGCCGAGAAGCCACAAGCTCTCAGCACCTTCCCATGGACTATCAAACCGTCGCTAGCCGTTCTGTGGGGAGTTTGCTGGATGTTTTACGAGGGAACTGGCAAAGACCGCGTGCCGTACAACACTGTGCTACACAACCTCAATCTTTCGTGGGATACCGATGCATCGTCAGACTGTATGTGTTACATTTCTTTTCGCCCGATGAGGCTTCCGCTCAGGTGGATGACTGGTTGCGATTGGTCGAGCGTGAAAACATGAAGAAGGTTTGTGGATGTCCCGATTAGTGCTAATGCATTGCAGACCTTAGCTTTGGCCAAGAGCTGATTGGCGAGCAGCCGCAGCATGCGACGCCTGCGACAAACGTCCATGTGGACCATGCTTTATTCCAGGCGCGAAACACGGAAACCTGGGAGCCCGATCTGAGTTTGAATGGTCTTGCGGACAGGCTGCCAGTTCCAGTCTTGCGGGTTAGTCAGGTTGGAGATGGAGCGGACCCAGAGCCGCGACCAGGTAAGTGCCTAGTGTCCCGTGTCCGTTTGAGTTGAGTCACGACTTCTCTGCCTACCCTGGGTTTCAGGCTGGACTTGTTCGCAGCTGCAACTAACAAATCCAAATCCAGATACTTATTATGCCGCTGCCGCCCAAACCTACCAGGCAGTTCCGCCCGTTAATTTTTATTCGCCTCAAGATCAAGGCATTGCTGCGCCACCTCTAACGGCCTTTCCGCATCTGGGCTCCGACCACGAAATTCCTTGGCAATCATATACGTTGCCACCTCAAGACAGTCCGCGTCATCTGATCACTTCTACTCAAGATCCGAGAGTTAGAGTCACCGGAGCGGCGGGAAGCGATCTCTTTGCTCAGCCACAAACTGCCTTCGCGTCTCCCGGTATATATCAACCAAGCCGCCAGCCTCAGGCCCAGCAACACAATTACAACCCTCAATATTTCAACCTTGGATTTCCAGACATCATGACTGAGCTTTCGCCAAACCCTACTTCCATGCAAGTGCCGCACGAGCACAAGCGGAACATTTCCATCAGCTCGCTCACCGATATGCCTACCCCGGTCAGCATGAGCGCTCGATCACCCATGACCTCCCCGACTGCTGGCGAACGACAAATCATTGTTACGAGCCCACCCCGAAGCCACAGCAGGGGACTTTCTGTAGACTCTTCGCAAGACGGCGATGACGACGGATCACTACGGAAGAACCACAGCTATAAACGCGCCGAAGAACCACCGCGCAACGAAGACGGCAAGATGGTGTGCAAGTATCAAGAATGCCGTGGTACATCTTTCGACCGAAAGTGCGAATGGAGGTGAGTGATAGCATTCCTACACTTACACAACCAGAAACTGACGTTTACAGCAAACACATGGACAAGCATGACAGGCCTTACAAGTGCAATGTCAAGGGCTGTGAAAAGCTCCAAGGTTTCACTTACAGCGGTGGCCTTCTTCGCCATGAACGCGAAGTTCACAAGATGCACGGCGGCACCAAGAAGTCACTCTTCTGCCCCTTCCACGACTGTAAACGTAGCTCAGGCGCCGGCTTCACGCGGAAGGAGAACCTCGCTGAGCATGTCCGCCGCGTCCACCGCAGAACATCAATGTCGGCAGATATGCATGGCTTGATCATTCGCCGCGACATGGTCAGGCGCGAGATGGAGGGGGGTTCTCCCATTCCTGAGTCACGCACCTCGGAGTCACCTTACAACCGCACCATGGACTACCGCGAGGAAGATGAGATGAGCCTGAAGCGCAAGCGACTTGGCTCTGACTCTGGCCTCTCGGACCGTGGCAACGATGAGATGCGCTCTGAGATCAAGCGTCTTCGACAGGAGAACGAAGAGAAGGACTCGAGGTTACGGCAACTCGAGCAGGCAGTCATGGCTCTTCAACAGAGTCATAGGTGATGACGATATCTCTGCGTTGCTGTCACTCGATGCATTTCCCCGGCGTTCTTTCGCTTAGCCTCATTCTCTGTTCCATAACTTCACTGTCGCTCACTGTACATATCACTTGAGCGTTTTGTTTTCCTTGTATCACCCCTAAACTGTAATATTTCCTTACTACTTACGCACTCTACACATGGCTGGCACATGTTCACCCACGATAGCTATGATACCAAAGACTGCGGTGGAATGGATTGGATTGGATAGGGGATGGATGTGGAGGATACGGACAGATGATACCTCGCTAAAATCTATAGATGGAATATGCCACTCTAACTATTGTATTGTAATTCAAAAGATGAACACTCGAAATTCTCACTCATCCTTGCACTTGTCGTGATCTTCTCGTTTGCTGCGGCATGAGGTTGAGTTTGGCTTTTGGCCCCCAAAATCAATGCATACCTTAGCCTCGTTCGCAACGCCCTTGGTGCCTAGCAGGATTGCCTTACCCGCGATGTCTTATGGTAGAAGGGCGCGTGCACTATCTGCCTAGACAGACGTTCGCATATGCCCAGGCAACCGTGCCGCTATTCATGCCGTTACGGGTGTGGTATCCGAGTACGAGGTGCATCGCGAGGACCAGAGTATGCACTGTGTACTATCACGTCATTTGCGCCCTGAAAAGCGCCTTCCATGGCTTCCGGCTTATGCGTCCTTCCAAGCATTGCGATTATGGTTGTTGCCTTCTCCATGTCGTGATCCGACGGACTCCGAGCGGACATTCGCCTTCTTAGTCACATCGCCTCAACACAGGCTTCAGCTTCAAGTTTGGGTAGCATTCCGCGGAGGCAAATTTAGCCACAGCAGCCACGTCGAACAAAGTATGACTCCCACCCGTCTCTACTCATCGCCAAACCGCCCAACAGCCCACCAACGTCGTTGTCGCAACCTGATTGGGCGCCATGCCAGGCCATGTGACAGCGTGCTAGCGCGTTTGGTGCAACGTGTTACGTGTCCTGATGCCTGATCATGCCGTGTCTTGCCGCCTGTTCGCAGAGATGGACGGTACGGGAGGGTGTGGATGAGATGGGGAGAGAATAGGATGGAAGATGGAAGATGGGATGATAAATGTAAGGTGTGGCGGTGCAAAGGATCTAGAATCACACGGGTGGCAAGGGCGCGAAATCGTGGCGTTGGTGCCTAGCTGCGGCGATCATTTTGGAGCTGCATGCGCGAGACGCTGCCTCGCGCTCACGCGGGCTTGTACCGCGACTGCCCAAAGGCAACATCATGGCAACCACCAACGCGACGACGTCATACCTTCGCTGTCGCGTATGTCGCATACCGCATCCTTTTCGCAATCGACAAAGGGTGTCCTAGGCTTACTAGACCTGCGCGCCAATAGCGTGCCTGCGTGCGCCTAGGCAAGACGCCTCCTAACTGTGCCGTAATCCATCGCCCCCAGCGCGCTGCTCATTCTCAAGGCAACACCACAACGTCCTCTCCTGCCTTGTCTTCATGCCCACACTCTCCAGCGACTATACACGGTAACACAAGCGCTCTAGTGTCCCTGGCTAGTCTGCTTGACAATCCCGCGTCCTGCATACGTCGCTGGAGCGATTCGTAGACGGCGCTCTACATTTTCTTGCTAGACGACTCTTTTATACGACCAATACACAGTTCTCTTTCATTCTCGCTTCGATGGTCGGCTATACCTAGCTCGTTGACGCAAGAGGTGGATACACAGCTGCTGATCATGCTGAACGCCAGTTTGCTTCGCTTGCCGCCGCCGTTTGTACATATCGTTATATATTGCTACGACGGTCTATTCATTCACATACGACCATAGGACACTGAGAATTAGGCTTCCCGTCCGCTCAGCCATATACAAGCAGTGTACCGGCGGATTAGTAGTTAGGTGGGTGACCACTAGCGAATCCCCGCTGTTGTATGTTTTTGCCAATTTTTGCGCTATTGAACTTGCCTTTCTTTTTGCCAAACCGAGGAACGAACGAACCAAAGGCATGGGATTATGAGGCAGCTTGTTCTCCTACAGCGGGCTTACAAGCGAAGCACGCCTCAAACATTGAAATGTTGTAATAACCCATCCAGAAAATAATCATTAGCACTCGCGTGCAACCATCTTAACTTTACCCCAACGATGCCATGCCATTTCACGACCGCTTCGAATTACCCAGAGAAGACGAGCACAATGTCAGCCTTGCATGGTTTGAGCGACAGAAGAAGCGATGTGTCCAGAGCCATGACCCAAGTCTTCGCGACTGGCTTGTTACGGAGGTTGACGCATTGAAAGCATACCACGATGGCCACATCAATGCAGATGAGGCAACATTCTCCATGACACACCCACTGTCCACCTCGCCTGTACCAGCACTAGGAGGCTATTCGGATCATGTCCTGGCTCTTGGAAACTTATGGCGAGTCATCATAGCAGCTCTCATAGAATGGCCATCCACACGTGCCCCAGAGATCTTTACACTACTGAACGCGATCGCGAAGGCGCCGGGTGACGTCCACAAAGGCGAGGTTCTTGACAATGAGGGAGAAAAGCTCACATGGGCACAATTCCCGTACTTCGGCATGATCTGGCACGAGAGAACTAGCGCAGACATCTAGCTAGGCTAAATTTACCGGAAGTATTCCGACTCAACCTTGGTCGAATCTGCACGGAAACTTTATTTGAAGATAAAGGACATCGAAGCTCAGTTGGTTGCGAAGCACGTGTTCAGGATGGACAGAGCAATGATTCGATTCATCATTCGAGCGCTCGAGAAAGAAATTGACCAGAGCGACGAGCAGCTTGCTTCAGATGAAGCTACTGGTTACGATCAAGTCAAGCTTGACTTTCACATTCCCGCCGTCTCATTTATGTCCAATTACAATGGGCGCGAAGTCTACGACGAAGTTATGATCAAGGGAATGGGGGATTGGATAAGAAGTCAACTGCCAGATGGAGCAAGAGAATTCCAGAATGGGGCTGAGCGATGGTCGTTTTGGAGGAGATGTCTGGAAGAGTTGTCTCAAGGATATCCCGATGACGAAATAAAGGTTGCTGCACAAGCAAGCTTGGAGTACATGTCATCGGGTGTTTCGCGTTACGAAACCTAGTGAATGGAGGGACTTCAGCGCAGGTTATGTCACGTACCAAGGGGGCGACGTTAGTCCCTTCGAAGCTGAAACACTGTAGCTTTTTTAGTCTCTGGTGAACCGCAGCGAATCCTGGAATACCTGAGGGCACATTTGGAGGATACATCCTATGGAAGAGTGCAGCCTCGTAATCGCTGGCAAATATGCGCAGGGTCATTGGCTCGCCCGCGGTTCCTCACGAAGCGCAAGCCTCCCGCTACCAAAGAACAGCACCCTCGAAAATTCTCGAAGAGCGGATTGCACAGCCAAAACCCCTGACTTCAGGCCATCAGTCATCCCATCTCCCTTCACCACCTCTTTGCAGGTGATTTCCTTAAGAATGGTACGACTCAGCAGCGAGATGTCCACCCCGATAGCTACACCTCCCGCATCCGAGAGAGGCGGACGCTCGGCATTCCTACCTCTCACCACCCCCGACGGTGATGTCGATCCTATTACCAGCGTTATCGGAGCTTTGGCTATCGTGTGCACCTTTTTTGTGCTCATTTCGAGCATTTACTGGACCCTCTCCGGGACTCCTGACGAGTCGCAAATATACCCAATCTGCGGATTGGAGCTACCAGTTGAGCGCATACTCGATCTTACTCGCCAGAGGAAGCACTAAGCATATACAGGTGTTCATGGTAGTCCTTGTAGCTACCTCCGTCGCTTTCTCGAAACTCGCCTCTGCCAGACATCCAAAGATCAATCGAGTAACCCTAGCTCTACCTGTACCCTTCGCATTCCATATCGCGTCCTGGGGCATCTATATGATCGTGCCTGACCCTGTTTTACGCCTACATACGATATTCCTTGGTTTGCTTGTAAGCCTCGCCGACGTTAGACTGTCGCACGGCATGCTAATGTCAGCAGGGTTATTTATCGCTAATCTCATCACTTATTTTTGTTGCTGTTTACCCTTGCACTACCACTCGAACAGAGGCAAGTCCGCTGAATCTGATGGTATGAGACATAATGAGAGAGGCATCTGCGTTGAACTTCACATTTTGCGGATTTCTCGGAGCTGGTATTGCGGATCATGAGTATTTATACGTCCCACAATCTCAACAGGTTGTACGAAGAGTCATCTTTGTACTCGTACGGGTAACTCAGCGCACTGACAAGCGAGTGGAAATGCATGTAGAGGTATTGGACGGCCGGTACATGTGGAGACTTCTCGCTACCAAGTGACACCACTCTTGAAAATCTCTTGTCATACTAGTAACAAAGACTCTGTCACGTTCGATTCTCTTGTGTCTTCACAAATTACAACCACTCATTCTCACGCTACGTCGAACTACGACGACATGAACCAGTCTAGATTCACCGGAAGCTGCGACACTCATCAAGACGGTAGTGCTATCAGCGGCTCATCACCTTTCCTCTCGCTACCTGTGGAGCTTCGGGTAGAGATTTATCGATCCATCCTCGTATCATCGGGGCCTATCGTGTTATCTAGCGACGGTATCACCAGTCTTCGATCTTGCGATGGCAACTCCCGTGATGTTGCCCTCTTACGCACTTGTACGCAAATCTACACCGAGGCAACGAACATATTGTATGGCGAAAACCAGTTCCGATTCATGTCCGGGGGTATGGCTTGCAGTAGCCTACTTTTCCTCCCTCTGTCAAGCTTTTGTCATCTCAAAGAGCTCACAATCCCGACACCTTTCCAGGAATATATCTATCGCTCCCCGTTTCGGCGACAGCACTTGTCGAGCGTATCTGACTACGATCTGCAACCAAACTCCATCAATCTAAGCCTCTGTCGGACGGGTTTCCCATCTAATCATGCGACCCGTCAGCTTCTCAATGCAATCGCCAACGCGCCGCATCTACAGCAACCTAATCTGCTATTAGAAAAATGCCGCGCGTACGAAAGAAACCATAAAATGTCACTGTATGACTCGATTCTTGGGCAATCTCACGCCTTCATCAACAACGAGGATGTTTGGGAAGATCTAGCAGATCTGTTGCGGGTCAAGAAGGCCTTACGGATCACAATCGTTTAGCTCGCCTATCCGGTCCCACCACCTTTGTCCACAAACGCAAAGCGATCCTTAAGTGCTATAAGGTCTCGATTAGGGGTGTGAGATGTGCATGAGATGGATCAGTGGAACGACTATGAAACTATACCTGCGGCAAGGGAGGAGGACAATCCCGATGAATGGTTACTGGCGGTTCGAAATTTCCTCGAAGAACAGCGATGTCACTAATAGTATCCACGGTTCCTGTGAAAAGTACGCGTTGGTGGAAAGTCCTAGGTTCTTACCACGTTTCGCTCCCATACCAGCGACGAATGAATCGAACGAGGTCGGGCCTATGAATAACACTCTTATCTACTTTGTTTCCAATACAGATTATACGAACATTGCAAGTCATTATCTATCCCAAGTATACCCAAAGTCGCGCTACACGAACAAAGGCCCGTACCCAGTTCCATCACTTCTTTCAATATCCGCCATCATCGGTTTCTCAAAAGCGACACCGTTATCTGCCTCTCCCTCAGTGACGGGTAGCGGCATCTGCCGCCAGTGATCTTGAATTCTCTTCGCGCTCTCCAAGAAGCGGTCTTGCAGCGCCGTGTACCCAGGGATGGTAAGCTGCCAGTCTCGCTTCTTGAACTCTCCATTGATCATGACATGCTTGATGTCACCTACATTCGCGTGCAACATGATGGCTGCGATAGGATCGGTCCAGCCAAGTACACTTGGAGCGCGGCCGTTCCATACCAGTACGTCTGCTTTGGCTCCCGGCGCCAGGATACCAATGTCGGATCGTCGCAATGCGAGCGCTCCGCTGCGAGTCGCTAGAAGGAAAGCCTGGTTGACAGACATGGGGTTTTCAGCGGGAAGATGGCGTCGATCAACGACCTCGCGGTAGAAGATCTTCCTAACACTCTGGAGCCACAATCGCGCTTGTGTCAGTATATCCGACGAGAACGTGAAATGTGTGTCGATGCCTAGAGCCGCTTGGTCCATGATGAGGTGGCTGTTCGGGTGCAGATGACCGTAATGCATCTCAGACTCAGGGGTGGTGGAGATGTAGTGATTGTATTGTCGCAGCAGTTGCGCGTCGGTCGCGCTGTGATAGCTGGCATGTGCGAAAACGACGGGGATGGATTGGTTGAGGAAGTCAAATTCGTGCAAGACCTCGGGGAAGTTTGGAGCGCCATAAACACCACCGTTCGCGTGAGTTGAAACTACGGATACGTTCTTCTCACTGGTAACAGTCAGTCATGTGCTCATTCTCGCGGGGCGCGTACTAACATAGCTAGATCAAGGATTGTGCGCGTTTGGTTCCTGTTGGTGCTAGCGAAACCATCGTACGAGATGCCTAGCTTTGTAGGCGAGCTGTCAAATCGCGCATCGTTGACCAAATCGCGGAAGAGGTCCATCTGCCCTTCGACGGTAAAGTTCGCATAGTCTTGGAAGTAGTAGGCAAATTCAGTTCGAACACCGCTCTCAAACGTCGCGTTAAGCGCAGCCATGGCGTGCGCTGCGGACCAGGTGCAATGAGGATAGTCCAGAATGGTAGTGACACCGCCATTCAGGGCCTCGTACAACCCAACGAGCTGACCGATGTACACATCCTCGGGCGTGAAAAACGTATTGGCGGGCGAGTCGGTTCCATAGCGTTCAAAGTAGCGCATCAAGGTCGTGTTCGATCCCAGGGTCTTGAAGGACGTTTGCCAGCTATGACGGTGAGTGTCGATGAAGCCTGGGGAGATGATGTCGTTGGTGGTATCGACGACCTCCAGGTCAGCCGGTAGAGTTCCATTGTAGGATCCAGAGAAAATAGCGGTTATGGTGTCATTCTCGACCAACACAGAGCCGTTCCTGATGATATCGAGGTTATTGGCAGAAGCGTCCCAACCGATCACTGTCCCACCGGTAAACAGTGTTGCTGCCTCACAAAGCGAGACGCACGATGCGAACGCAAAGAGAGAAAGCCGGCCTGCACCACCAAAGATCATTTTGAGGGAGTTTGGTTAGATGTAACTTGGCTCTGCGGTTCAACCGCGACCAACAACTTATACTCCATCGTCTCTGCGATCTGATCTCCCATCTGCTCGATCATATCTTAGATGCCGACTCTTGGCCGACGCGTGTGAAAATTGTTCATCGAATTCATCGCTCTTCTATATTCGATGACGTTCAGCCAAGAACAAACCTTGGAAAAGCTTGGGAGAATCTTCACGATGGCCGCTTCGGCAGAGACGGAACAGGACCGCTTAGACCACCCGGAAGCAGTGCCCGGTGGAGCTGGACCACACTGCAGTGTTTTCCGCACACGCCAGAGAGCGGTCAGCCTTCTCTAGTGTAAAGGTCACATGCAATCAGCACAGGCCCGCCTCCTGAGTGTTTAAATACCGCTGTTCCCTCCTCTTTTATTCTGCATACTTACCTTCTTGCGATGACCCAGCTCAAAGATTGGGTTCATCTAACAGTCTCGTCTGCATTGCACAGCGCGGTATGGGACTGTTACGAGCTTCCTTCGGGGATCTCGGCGGGGCAATTTTTGCTGGTCTGCTTTCGAGCTTTTCATTGATTCCACTACCAGGGTGGTGGATTGAGGAAGAGTTTTGTCGCGGGTTAAATTTATGCGAGCTGTGTGCGCGCGAAAATGCGGCGGCGACAACTCAAGATAATCACAGCGACCACGTCCACGAAAGCGTCGCTCGGTCGAGCTATAACGGAGCAAGGTCGCAAGTGTACATAGAGTGACAGAAGACGCGAACGCACATCACTAGTGATCTAATGACATAGTCGCGCCCCGCGGGCTTCGTACCTGCCAACTGGGTGTTGCTTGGCTCGGCGCTTCGCTTGGGGGCGCCCGCCGCTATCTCGAGATCAATGTGTGACCACCCAAACTTTGACGACGGTGCGCATCTCCACGTCTGGCTGCGTGGACTGAAATCCAGTGAGCAAGCGTGTACCAGGATCCACGATGAGCTGTGGAGATGGGTCGTGGTTCTGTCTCGAACATCGCGACGCACGACCGATTTGGAATGCGCGGAGCCCGCAGCGCCTGCACCACGAGAGGACAAAAGCGACTTCACCTTCACATAGAACCGACCTAGCCGAATCTCAGTCACCCGGCCTTGTTTGTTTTAGCAATGTCGTGTTGCCGCGTTGCCGTGTTGCCGCCTTCATCCCAGCTGCATCCTTCATAGGCGCGCGAATTCTTCGAGGAGTTAGATGACGTATCAGGGTGATCTCATGGGCGTCCCCGTGATTCAATACCTCCTTATAAACGCACTACTAATGTTCATGTCCTCAAGTGCTTGAGTTCACCACCAAGAGACCGCACTCAAACTGCAACACATCGCGCATCCGAACATGAAAGACAGCTTACCATCAAACCGCATAACGCTCGAAGTCCACAACAATATCCCGTGGCGGTACCTTTACATACCCGGCCTATATGCAATTCTTCTTGGGGGTCTTACATTTTCTCACTCGTTTGATTACTGGACAATGGATCCTTATCCGGGTAAGGCAATCGGTTGCTCCAACATTCTCGCCGGGGCTCTAGGTACGTTCCTAGTCTATACTGGTATCGGCGCTTGCATGGGCTGGTACTTTTTCAGGGATACGTATTTTCGACGTGCGGTCGAAGTAGATTCGGCAACGATGGACATTTCCGGAATGATCAGCGAGGAGAACTTCTGGAGAAACATCATACAACGCTACCCGTGGCGCCATGCACACAAGCTTGGTTCATCGCTGGTTATTCTCGCTCTATTCATCATAGCTTATGGAACGAGCACGCATCGCATGAACCCTGAATCAACAGACTGGACCACAGTCCTTCCGATTCGATTTGGTATCATGCTAGCCATTATCCTAAAACTGGCGGGGCTCGTTCTCTGCATAGGGTGGCATATATTCAAAGATATCGAGACAGGCGATACAGAAGATCAAAAAGAATCAGGACCTCATAGGACTTACAATGTCTCGACGTTGGATTCCCCGAATGTTACAACCTTCGCCAACCCCTCCAACCATCCATATTTGAGTGCTGTTCCTCCTACAATATGTTCTGGTTGTACGTTTTATAGTGCTTTCACTGCCTCAGGCGTAATTACTCCCGGCAGGCCCATAGCTGTACGCCCTTTCCTATCATTGGCAATCGCTACTTTCCTAAACTTTTCCTTAGTCGTCGTCGAATTCATGGGCAACTATAGATGTCGTATGGCCATAATGCAGGAAAGGATGACTGAGATGGATATGCGCTCAGGGATTGGTGGCGACAGGTTTAGAAAGACAGGAGAAAGGACCGAGTACTCACGCACGACCTAACTTGCATCGTTTTGGAGTCAAGGGGGGCATGTCAGACCTTACGAACAAGACGCGGACGACCATGATTGTCTGCTCACTATTTTTATGGTCATGAAGAACTGGAATACTTCTATACTACCCACGGCGAAGAAGGCGGCGAGGGCGATGGTACTTCTCTTCTCACCCAAGATAATCCCACTTTCAAATGAACGCTATGGTACAACATGACGCGGTTTCAATGCGGAAATGGTGCGAGAGTATCACCTGAGTGATCTTCATAAAGGGATATGTAAAAGACACCCGACCTGGGCATGTCATGGGAAGTACACAGCGCAGGAAGTGCAGCTCATGTTCAGAGCTGGATTGAGCAACCATTCGATAACGCCCAGCTAAGTACTGCTAGAAAAAATGTGGCTGGTACCCAAGTAGTCGGTGTGACCTACTTAGAGATGGCAGTAAAGTTTGACTCCAGAAGTCTGCGATACCAGGCATGTTGTGCTAATGAACGCTCGAATATTTGTGAAAGCCTCGGCCGAGCATCACCTTAACACGCTAATTGTCATCGCGCGCTGTAGCTCGCGCCCGCAGAAAACGTACTTCGCTTTCGTTTCAGCCTATGGGGTAAACATCAAGCATAATGTTAATGGTTGGCGGCCCTGATTAAAGTTCCAATGCAAGTCTTTCACATGAGTTCGTCACGATGTGCGACGTGAGGGGCAGTACCCGATGTCGACACCGAATGGCAATCACCCCGCACGCCCGCACGTCCGGTGCCGCAGATCATGTACCATTATATAGATGTACCAAAAGTACATATCGACAGCACCTACTGTGTCACCGAATACGCGAGGCCTTTTTTCTGTAAACCGTACCACTATAATATCTCACCATGCCGCTGCCCACTGAAGTCGTCCAAAACCTGAGGCAGACCGTTGATGCAGCCTGTGCGGACCCAAAGACATCCATCCCAGGAACTAGCGTCGTTGTTGTAGGCAAAGATGGCGAAGAACTCTTTGCGCACGCCGCTGGCCAACGTGGTGTTGCAAGCAACGAGAACATGACTCTCGACAACGTGTTTTGGATCGCATCTTGCACTAAGATGATCGCCGGGCTGGCCTGTATGCAGCTTGTTGAGCAAGGACAGCTACATCTGGATGACGGAGATGAGATAGAGAGGTTGGTTCCAGAGCTGAAAGAGACGAAAGTACTGCAAAAGGATGGTAGTCTGGTGGACAAGAAGAGGAAGATAACACTGAGAATGCTCTTGACGCATACCGGTACGAGGCTGTCCTCGCAAAATTGAATTCTCTCACTAATCATATCCCACAGCTGGCTTCGGCTATACATTCTTCAATGAATCTCTGTGTGCCGTATTGGATGGGTTCGATGAGTTCTCTGGAGACGTCAAGGACATACTTCAGCCGCTGACCTTTCAACCGGGCGAGGGCTGGCAGTACGGCGTAAACATTGACTTCGCTGGCCTGGCTCTCGAACGCAAGACCGGCATGTCGCTAAACGACTACTGTCAGAAGAACATCTACGAGCCACTAGGATTGAAGAATATATCCATGTTCCCCAACGAGGATATGAAAAAGCGACTGGCGTCCATGCATCAACGAAACCAAAATGGCAGCTTGGTCGAGCGAGACCATCTACTTCTCAAGTCCTTGAAAGCTACGAGCAACGAGATTGGCGACATCCTGAACAGCGGAGGTGCAGGTGCTTTCGCAACACCATCAGACTATGCGCGTAAGTTGCCCATATAGCAACATGTACACGACAACACTAACAGAGTTTAGAAATCATCGCAACGCTTCTGAACGACGGCAAGTCAGCCAAAACCGGTGCCCAACTCCTCAAGAAAGAGACAGTAGACCTCATGTTCACGAATCAAATACCACAATTCCCCGACTTTGGTCGTCAGGGAATCCCAGCGGCCAAGCCTGACCTCACAAACGCTATTCCAGACATATACCCAGTGGAGGGTAAGCCTCCTCAAGGCTGGGGTCTGACGTTCATGCTGTCCAACGGAGGCCCGACTGGTCGGTCCAAGAGTACTGGGTTCTGGGCTGGGCTCCCGAACTGCTGGTGGTGGTGTGACAGAGAGAAGGGAGTCGGCGGAATCGTTTGCAGTCAGATCCTGCCGTTTGGTGATCCCAAGGTGCTTGGATTGTGGTTTGACGTTGAGACGCAGATCTACAAAGCCTTGGGGGCTTGATCGTATGTCATGTTGGGTGACTCTGCTTATGCAGTCGGTCCGTTTTGTTTTGACGGATTCGGCCGGATGGACGTGATCGTCAGTGTCTTCATATCGAAACTCGCGTCAAATTGCATTCTGAGGACCGGTCGATCTCCTTTCTCTCTTGGTACACTCTTTAAGGAACGTAAAAACCGTAATGTTGGGTCTAGAAACCCTGAGTTGTGCTATGAGTATAGTGCACATCACACCCCCACATCTTGTTAGCGTCATGTGTGGCATACAGGGTTGCATATGGGGGACAGATAAGCCATGAAAGGATACGGCGCGTGAACATGTAAAGAACATGTCGTTTGAGCTACGATTTGAGTGGTTTTTTGTGCTGGCGAAGACGTTGAAAACTGTCCGTGGCTGCCTGTGTGGGCCGATCCGATGCTCGTTCTCCGTAAGTAGCCTGCCTCGAAAGTTTCGGAACAGTCCGATCGCCAGCCAAGGGGCCAATTATAACATGGATGGCTGCAGGCTCAGAAAATAGTGCCTAGGGTCAGACCGAGCGTCCGGTACAAGCTGTTCCGTGAGCTGTCTACAATGGAAGACGCAATGCTTCATTTGGGGAGAAACAGGCAACTCAAGACAAGGAACATAGGATAGAATAGCTTCGATCGACAGAAACGGCCGTGCAGCATCCATAATCGTCAGTGATGAGCCGGACTGAAGCTTGCGTTGAGCATCGTTGTGCCCTGCCACGCGTTAGCCTTCCCCGCATTTCTGTGTTGGGATGTGGGTCCTAGCCGGCGACGCGGGGTGTGCATATCAGCAACGCACTTGCCTCTTTGCATAAGCAGACCTCTCGTGCTTTTCCCTCTTTTCGACTGACAATCCGAGCAGCAGCCATGAACTTCGTGGACGTGCAACCTAAGTCGTTCCTCGATTATGCCTGGACGTCGCCATCTTCGGGGGCGATGGCAGCCACCAAACCGTCCAAAACGAGTCGGAAACAGAACAGATGCTGCGACCAATGTCGTAAAGGGAAAAGAGCGTGCGACGCCGCAATTCTAGAAGATACTCTTTTAGAAACGAGCAAATCTGGAGCAACCCCTACGGTGTTCCATTATAGTGGTAAGACATGCCTTCGTCGATGGTACCTAGGGCGCAAGCTAACCTGTCAGACGTTTATGGGCCGCTAGCTTCGTGCGGTAATTGTGAGAAGACAAAAAAGAGCTGCACATTCGAATGGCTGCGCTCACAACGCGTATCGCAAGCTGCGCAACCAGTGTCGACAACTTCGCCGCCAGCGAAAAGGCGCCGCACGAGAAGCAATTCCACCAGCCAAGCACAGAAGCCAAACGTATCTTGCCAATCTAGCGCGACTGTGAAACTAAAAGAAGACCGGCATCCGCACGGCGATGACCTTCTGTCCCATACCACGCCTGTGGAACTGGGCGTGACGTTTGCAGATTTTCCGTGTGGCTCATCCATGTTCACCACCGATCCCACAATCGCATTCTTTGAGGAACCTTCACAAGTATTCGAAAAAGAAGGGACCGAAGATGAATCAGAACTCGCTGGAGGGTTTGCCGAAGAAAGCTGGACTATACTCGGTTGCGACTCTGGCAGAGGCTCGTCTCTGAAAACAACATCGGAGATTAGCGATGATAAGCTCGAACGCGACAGCCTCTCCGAGAGTCAGGACACCAGCAGCATAAGCCCAAGCAATCCACCTTCTACCATATCGGAAGGAACGGTTGCTCGTACTAGTCAAAAACGGCGACGCTCTAGCTCCTCAGCATCAATCTCAAACGGTGCGCAACCTTACCCAGTGATATCATATGCCAGCGATCTTCTTTCATCAAGCAACAATGCGTATCTGACTGAAAGCCTGCTGAGGATCTATCATGATAGTTTCGAAAACGCACTTGCATGCTGGGTCACAGAAAGAACCTGTCCCTACAGTGCAAAATCGGATAACCTGCTAGCCACAAATGCTAGGCCTGATTGGAATCGAATCTATCATCGAGTGGTGCGCCTCGATAGGCTAGCCTCAGCCATCAGAGGGCGCAAGCTTACTCAAACGGAAGACCGCGCAGCATCTAGAGCTCTAGACTTGGCGGTCTTCTCCTTCGCTTCACAATGGGCACAGTCCAGTCCCAGAAGCAGAACGAAGTACCCGTTCCACAGCACCTCGAATGATGGTGGCAGTAGCGTTTTTGATAGCATCGAGGACGAATGCGCACCGGCTGGCGTGAACTTTGATCGCACCCTGCAGATATCAGCGTGGCATGAGGCCCGCAACGCACTGCAAAAGGCTGGTGAAGTGGAGTCCTTCCGAGTTGTACTTGCACAAATCATTTTCGCCCTGACGCAACGGCCTGTGGAGACGGCAGACGGGGCTCAGGATGAGCAAAACGCACTTTCGAAGACCGAACTACTGGCGACCGACGCCTGCACTGACGTCCCGACGGAACACACACCTATGCTTTCGACCGATCAGGACGTCGATGAGTGCGCAGATCTGATGTCGAAATTGGACCTCGCTATTGAGTCCGACGGACCTCCTGTACATCTTGAATCAGGTCTTCGACTCATTCACTCGTTGAGGTCGCGCATGACCATGTCGAGAGAAGCACGATACAGCAACCCCGGACTCGGGCGCTCTGCACGGCAACGACGCTCGCCCGTTGTACGTCTTGAAGACGCTGATCGTGCGACAGTAGACCTCCTGTTCTGGGTCGGTGTCATGTTCGACACGCTATCGGCAGCCATGCACAAACGACCACTGGTGGTATCGGATGAAGATAGCGATGTAGTCATGAGCGAAAGTATGCAGATTGAGCACTCGGCCCAACAAGCGGCAACACCTTCCTCGACAGATGACGGGCTGTGGGACGACTACTTATTTTCTCGCCAACAGCAGAATCCAGAACATGTGCCCACAAGATGGCCATGCTCATTTGATGAAGCCGCAGCCTCGTTGTGTGACGCAGCCCCGGTCAAGGTGTTGCTGTTCAGAAGAGTCTGTCGTATCCAGACGCTTCTCACAAGAAACGCACGAGGCGCAAAGGTCGAAGAGGCTGTCAGTTCCGCAATGGACGTGTGTAATCACTGGGATGCGCTGTATGCGCCCTTCATCCGAGACTGCATACAGAACCACGACCGCCTTCCACCGCGCGTCCAATCTTGGTACGTATGCGTCACCGGACACTGGCACCTTGCGACTCTTCTTCTTGCGGACTTGATGGAAGTGGTAGACGAATCAGAGCTTGGGCTCGAGGAAGAGACACAGCAACGAAACATCAGTGCCTTCATCGCGAAGTTCCGCGAGAACAACTGCCGGGTCTTATCCGACCTAGCGAGCTGTGCATGCCCGCGAGAAGACGCGTCATTCTCACAGTCCGAGTTCCATTTCGCAGTCAACGAAGGCGCATTGCTGACGGAGCCATGGACTGTAGTGTTGATTCGCGCGTTCGCTAAGGCAGGCGTACTGTTACTTGAGTCAGATACTCTGCTGCCGTCAGACCTGGACCGAGAAGATGCTTTTCAACGCGCGGATGCTTGTATTAAGGCGTTATGGTTTTTGGGTAGAAAATCCGATATGGCCCTTTCGGCGGCGAATATCTTGGGAGAGGCGTTGAAACAGCGACGCAAAAGTGCGCAAGATCGGGTTAGCGACATGAGCGTCTTTTTGGAGAGTGAGCTGTGGCATGATCTTGAAGGGGCGTTCGAGGTGGACTGTGAACTATAGGCCAGCCACAATATACTATTTTCGCGACCATGATGCGCAATTTGACAAGATGAAGTGAGACAATGAGTACTGTGATGGATCGAGCCCTGGAGGATGCCCAAATTGCGCTTAGACCGAAAAGGCAAATCACGTGTTCTCGCGTTGAGCAATGGAACTTTGGAAGGAGCGATAAGGAGATTGGGCGACGGTTGGCCGCGCCACACCCTATTGTACGACTTCTATTGCCGTCTGGATCAGCAAACGATGTCTACCTAAGGATCGCCATATAGCAGATCGGTTCACCATCTTTTTGGGCGCCAGCACCTCGGCCTTCTCCCAAATCACGCCAATCGCGCTAAGACGCGTTGCAGCGGCCGGCTAGTAGGCCTTCCAGCTTCCCCACACACACGTCATGGGCCTTCCAGCGTAAGCTTCCAGATGAACTGGTGTCTGAGCTTCTACTGATGCCAGAATAGGTTATGGGACACAATTAAGAAGCACGAAGAGAGCGTACCCGTTGCGCAACTCGCCGAACAGCACCACCGGCGTCATGGCAGGTCACTCCGCATTGCTGTCGACGAGGCCGATTGGCGCTTCAACAACCTCACGATGCAGCAAGTCTACACTATACGGGAGAGTAAGTAGCACATGCGTCGTCTCCGTTCTTACTAACAGGATCAGCCTCCAGCGAGTACGCCTACCAAGGCATCGAGAAAGCCATGTTCTACCGTATCTGCCGCCTCCTCACCCTAAACATTCAGCTCGTATTCGTCTTCGATGGCCCTGGTCGACCCTGGAAGCGTGGAAAGAAAGGAGGAGGACGAATCAACCACAAAGAGCAGCGCTTGCTCAAGGAGATGCTTCAATACTTTGGGATCCCATACCACGAGGCCCCAGGGGAGGCAGAGGCAGAGTGCGCTCGTCTGCAGATTCTGGGCATGGTTGACGCTGTTTGGTCGCAAGACTCTGACTGCCTCATGTTTGGCTGCACCCTTTGGCTACGGGATCACCGTGTCGCGAAAGAAAAGGGCACGACGGACAGGTCGAAGGAGAACACCAAGAAGAACGGAAAATACGCCAGCGTCGTACGAGCACACGACCTCAAAGAAAATTATGGCCTAGACCGTGAAGGACTGGTGCTTTTTGCTATGCTTGTCGGTGGCGACTACGACGTGAAAGGTTTACCACAGTGTGGGCCGTCACTAGCCTTGCAGGCAGTGAAGCAAGGACTTGGTCGGAAGCTATGTGCCTGTCGAGATCAGATGGAATGCAGCTTTTGGACTGTGGAGCTGGCCATGTTTTTGAAGGGCGGTGCTGGTGGGCGCAGCATCGAAATCCCGCCACTTTTTCCAGACTTCAAGATCTTACAGAAGTACTACAAACCGAAAGTCACCAGCGACGCGGATCTACTTAACAAGTCGCACCTCAACCTTGACTATGTTCGCCCAATCCAGGAACTGAAGTTGCTTACACTTACCAGCGAGCGCTTCAACATATGGGGACGTTTATACATGAACTGGGTTGGGCCTGTGCTGCTGACACGAAGCCTAACAGCAAGAGATCCGTCTCTACCACCAGAACTGCTCCATAGCATCAGGTTCACAAAGCAAAAAGCGAAGAAAGCCGACAACGAACTGACCATGCGCACTTTCGAACGCAAGCTGACCTTTTCACCCTTTGGCGTCACTACCCTGGGCAGAGCCGACTTCGAAGGCGAGCGGTTAGGGTGCTGGAATGGAGATAAGGAGACCTTGTTTGACCCAGAGCATCGTGTCGAATGCGAATATCCTGAGTACTGGCTGCGCAAAGTTCTTCCGCCGGACGCGCTAGAACCGGTTCCTGCACCACCAAAACGCAAGCGACTAATAGCTGAAGTGGGGGAAGAAGGCGAAGCCTCAGGCACAGCTAAGCGAACATGTACGAACAAGAGAGACGATATCTCCGCTACCCAGGCTACACATAGTGCTTCCCCAAGGAACTCCAAAGGACCAGCTACGAAGGCCAGGTCTCCAAACACGCATACCACGCCCACTGCACAAAGGATCTTCGATTATATTGCACTCTCTGAATCTGAAGACGAGGGTGGAATCTCTCTACCAGCCAACGCTCGCTCTCAAAAACCTGCATTGAATCAACCGACGACATCTCATATCATTGATCTTGGTTCGCCTGAGCCGTCAGATCAGGAAAGTGATCCGCTCGCCCTTGATCCTTTCCGGCATTCTGCAGCAAACACATTGCCATTCGATATCTCAGACGAAGAAGACGAAGAGCTGCAATTAGCCTTGCGGCTAAGCATGCAAGATCAAGGCATCAAGATTCCCCCAATACAAAGGTCTTCCAACGTGCCTTCTTCAACTGGCAGATATGAAAGCATTTTCGCAATGAGAGAAGCGGGTAGAGATGTACACGGATCGTCTGTGCCTGCTTGGTCGCTTGATGAGACACTCAGCGCGGCCATACCCTCTAGAGCTTCTCGAACTCCTCGACGAGTAGAGAATGGATCATCGCGTATGTCAAGCATGCCAATGAGGGGTGTTCACGCAGGTCTTATGGGAAGGGAGCCATTCGACCTACCTGACTGGTCGCGCCCTCCACCGCGCGCTGATCTATCGTCAAAGTCTGCGACGCTGCCTTCGAATTCAAGTACACAAGACCAAGTCGGATCAGCTCCTGCACCTACCCCCGCTGAGATACGCGCTGCTCGGCTTCGACATTTCGCAACATCTCCTAACCCTGCCAAGGACGCAAACGAGCCCCGTACTTCTTCGCTCGCTGCCCTGCCAAACAAACAACAAACAAGTACTTATAAGGTACCGGTGGGGGTTGAGTGTATTGACCTAACGGATGACTGAGCAGCAGAGTTGTCTCCACTCAACATTCACGTACTATATATGAAGTACACCCACTGTTAATACTATATTACGAGCTTTACACGAATGAGTGAGAGCTGTGTTGGTTGTACTCTTACATGTATAGCATCACACATTGCTCGGGCTAGACAGCTCAAAGGTGAAGGCTGCGACGACTGGACCTCGTCTGCGATCATTCAATGCAACCAGGCATATCTTCTGCCTTTCTTGCTTGAGTGCGTGGTTCAAAAGAAGGCGATTAGGCCTTTGTCCTATGTGTCGCGAGCCGACCGCACACAGCAAGTAAGCGTTGATACTACAAGGACAGAGGGTGTCCGAGCGTACCAGGTGGGCTGAGAGGGTCTGGTCGTATAACAATATTTACAAAGCATAGCATTTTGCATTTCTCGAAATTTCTGTCACATCTCGTCACCCAACGTGCTATTCATGATGTGCGTGATTGTATCACGTCGTATTGAATCTTGTGAAAGCAAGTTTGTCCTGTCCATCTACGAAGTGGTCACACCTTGACTAAAGACATAACACAAGTCTTGAATCCTTGCGCGAACAGGCTTGTTTTCCATGCTCGTTCTATGTCGAGGCTTCTCGTCCAGAAAGGTCTCGTGAAGTCATCCGTAGTGATGGGTATGCGCCCAGAAGTACCACTTCGTGTGGCCTTTATCGGCGATTGTAGGAGGCTGTGAAGCCGACGCCAACGTCCCTGCTGGAGCAGCCTTGAGACACCGGTATAGCAGCTCTAGCTAGAGCATCATGACAACCTGCCCACTGCTCGTGACTCGTTTCGCAAAGCTGGGGATGGTGTCTTGCTACCATTTCCAGAGCCCGCCTCCGAGTTTGCAGCCTCCCTTCATCGCGGCAACCCATTTCCAGCTGCACCACTGGCACCACTACCCCCACTCCCAGAACTCTCACCACTTCCATTCCCCGTCCTAATCCCCATCCTCGCACCCGGCTGCCTCGCCAACGCCAACCGAACCGGCTCCTCTCTTCCCTGCCCGACAATCCCACCACCACTCGCAACAGCAGTCCCGCTACCACTGCCGCTTCCGCCGACCATGGGGCCTCGTCTCAGTAGTTCATCCAGTCCAAGATCCCGCCACGTGGGCTCCTTCTTTGTCTGGGTCGCTCGCTGGATGCCGAATGCGGCGTGTTGGTCTGGGACGACGTCGTCTTCGTCTTCGGGGTTTACGGGTTGGAGGTGCGGCGGGATATAGATGTCTTCCGGTGTGAGTTGTGAGGAGGTGAGGTTGGTGAATTGCTCGAGGAGGTCGGCGTGGTGCGACGAGTGCATGTGGAGGTAGGTTGCTGTTGAGTCGCGTGTCTGTTAAGGTTAAAATGGGGTTTGTTTCCAAGGCGGGAGGGTCTTCAATTACCATTTTGGAGTTGTGCTTCAGTTTTAGAGGTTTCTGAAGGTGTTTGTAGTATCGGTGTCGCTCTGTGGTTGTATCGCCGTGTTGCTCTTGTCATTGTTTGTAGACGCGGAATCGCGCCGCGTTAGGACTGAATGGCGCGCTAGCCTGATTCGGATGCCTCTGAGGGTTACGCATTCTATGCCTTAACCTCACTCCATTTCAGCGATGTTCTCTACCTTGTTCTCTACCTTGTTATCCATGAAAGGTGTTTCATACGCTACTGTGCTGTGAGTTTTCAGGGCGAGAAGATGATGAACGCTTACACACGAACTCCCTGGGCGACAGATCAGCAACAGCACTATCGAGATGCTGATCGGTTCATCGAATCGATGGAGACCAATCGCCTCGACTGATCGTGGAATACGGAAGGTTTCCTCAATTGACTGCGTCAGGCGTGACCAGGCTGCCATTGAGTATTCGGTACCTACCTAGGTAGTCAAGGATCATTCGCCTTTGGAAGCATGCCTCGTCCAAGGTGTCATCCGTCCCAAGCCTTGGATGCAACGACTCGTTGAGGCAATATTACGATTCTGGACGGCGACAGTCAAACTCACGATGCGCATTACCGGCAGCGACTCGCCCCATTCGTTTGCCGAGGCCTACTCCGCGGTCTCCACCTGGGCACAAACTCCACGCTATGGATTACACGTCATAAGACCCAAACTGCTCCTGTCGTCAATCGTGTAACTAGCACCCCTTTACCGCAAGACCTTTCCTCGCATCTTATAGTCAAAATTTCCCTACCTCCAGTTCTCTCGTCAGTATTGCAGAATACCAAAGCTCTATACTATTCACCGACATAGCCCCGTGTCTCATTCAATCACGATGGCCGAGGGACGCTGCAACTGCGGAAGCATCAAAGTTTCTATGCCTTCTATGCCTGAGCAGTCCGCTATTTGCTACTGGTATGCATCACCACTGTAGCCTCTACCGGCATCTTCATACTGACTACGGAAGCGCAAACTGCCGCCGCGCAGGAGGAAGCATTGGATCGATTGTGTACATTCTCGACAGTCCTGAAGTCACAATCAACGATCCCAGCAACAACCTTAAGAGCTATAAAGACAACGATACGAAGAGCGGAAATCCGATTACCCGTCAATTCTGCGGCACCTGCGGATGGTGAGTTGATCGTACACGTAGTAACACGGGAAGCCCAGCTAACAAGAGAAAGTCCGATCACATCTTTACTGGCAGGTGATAAGATTGCGTTGAAGGGTGGATTGTTTGACAAGATTCCCGTTCCGGGATACAAGTCTTTTGAGCAGGAGGAACCGAGCTGGATGAAGATTGTCTAGCGCTCAAAAGAGAAGCAAGTGCTAAGGAATGACCTTCTTGGGAGCATTCCATGAACGTCCCATGCTTCCAGACGCCGCATTGGAGAGCGAATCATCATTAGATCTCAAATTCCTGCGCATAACGTACCTGAATCTCACTTGAACCTCACCTACGATTAACTTGTACTGACGTGGGACATGAAGAAGTCCTTGCGCGTTTGTCTGCCACGTGCAGCTAGATCTTTCATCCATGTATCGCTGTGCTACCCACACAAAATCATCGTTTCACAAACAAACCTTCTCTTACCCACGCCCAGATCATTTCTATATACATTCCAAACAGCCACTATGAATGAGGTAGATCGCCAGTTTACGACCGACTTCAACGCTGCTGTTGAGCTCCGCGAGAAACACCAACTTAATAAGTATGTCGAGGCCTTGCGCAAAATGCTCGCCCATTACGCTATTCCCAGATACCACCGCATCAGATGTCTCACGATGCTTGCATGTACTCTAGAGGGCTAGCATAAAGCATACACCTGTTATGTCAAGGGTAAAAGAATCTAGCGTCTTACAAAGCAATAGCATCTCGACAAAACAAATCCGGCTATAAACAAATCACTGGATAATCTTCATAAGGGCTTAGAAGAAGTAAGATAAGTACAATCTAAAAAGGTTCAGTAGAGGTACTAAGTCGCATACGTTACGCAAGGTTTGATTAAAGACGGCATACTATCTGAGGACATGCCAGTTCCGGATGTTGAGGCAGATGTGCTCCGTGCGATCGCAGAACATACGGGTGAGGTGGATATAGATCGAGAGACACCTGAAGCAGAGGGAGAGACGGATGACAAGGACGAAACAAGTGGCGAGGATATGAGCGATGAAGAGATGAGCAAAGAGGAAGACGAGGACGAGGAGTCCAAGCTCGAGGTTGAGACGAAAGTTGAAGACAATAAGGAAGGCAAGGTCCCCAAGGTTGACGGGGCATAGACAGTGGTAGAGTATCAAGTGTCAAAAGACGAAAAGATCTGTCTGAAAGTTAGCTGTCGCTGCTGTTGAAGTAGTTGGTTGGATTGCATTGCACGATCCTACATTACCGTCCACCACACAAGCGCTACATCACTGTTTCCAGAAGCAGAAGACAATGTCGGAATTCGTCTGGGAGGCCATATGATTGATTGAACACCTAGGTTTGAGTCTACGATGACAGAGACCAGAATAGGCTCGACAATCCAGCACCTTTGTCGGCGTCTAGGATATTGATTCCTACACATAACCTCTGTAAGACCTTCCTGTAGCGAGCAAAAGATGAGAGTTTGTCGGGATTGAAGTGGTTAGAATTTGTCGTAGACGAGGTACCTACTCCACTCGCCACGTGCACCTTCTGCTGTGGCAGTAGCGAGCCAACGGAAAAATTCCCTTCAACGCCCGCAACCTTACAAAACTCCCGAGTGATAGGTGTGACTTCAATATAGACGCCATGTGATTTCCATTCGCTGCTCTCTCAGCTTTTAAATTGCTCGCTTGCGGCTTCCCGGGAGAATAGATTACTCCAGACGAAAACCTTGACACGCGAAGCGTGCCACTATGCGCCACAACCACACTCGGAAGCAGATTCAATATCACAGCAATATCAGCTTCTTCGCTTGTGACCGGTGTCCTGAGCTGTCAAAGATCTTGGAAGCTACACGACGCGCAGCGTAAGTGTGTCTAGGGAGCAACAAGCTACGCTTCGCCTCAGTGACTATGCCCGTTACTGGTACAACGTCTTAGGCAAGGACTGGTAGTCATCTAACAGTACTATGCAATCCTTGACTTACCAGATACGATCGGTCGATGTGCTCCGTCTCTGATTGGGAATACCATAAGAGACCATACAGTGTATCAAGACCTTTGGAAGATATATAAGAGTAGGTAGAAACAAGTGCAACGGATCAGCATCAAAGCAACAACACTCGCTACCAGCCTCTCAATTCCTCCAAGATGTTTACATCCGCACTCCTCCTTGGCGCCGTCGCCGTCCTTCTCGACACAGCATCCGCCCACGGCTTTGTCAAGGGTGTCAACGTAAAGGGCACCTTCACCAACGGCTCCGACCCCGTGTGGTACTATTCCTCAAAGGACAGCCGCCCCCAAACTGCAGGCTGGGATGCGTTGAACCAAGACATCGGTTTCGTCGAGCCTGCATCTGCCGGCACAGCGGACGTGAACTGCCACAAGAGTGCCACTGCGGGACGCCTCTACGCTAACGTCAATGCGGGAGACACCATTGAGTTTGAGTGGTTTACCTGGCCTGATAGCCACAAGGGGCCGATTATCAACTACATCGCGCCTTGCAACGGTAGGGCCCCTACATGGACCAGTACAGCATGCACTTTTACTAATCACTTCTTCACTACAGGCGACTGCACCACTCTGACGCCCAGTGCTCTCCGCTGGTCCAAGATCTCTCAATCCGCCATCGTCAGCCCAGGAACTTGGGTTACAGACACGCTCATCGAGAACAACTTCAAGGTCTCTACTGTCCTTCCCGCCAAACTTGCTCCTGGCAACTACGTCATTCGCCATGAGATTATCGCTCTCCATGGTGGGCAGAACGTGAATGGCGCGCAGCTGTACCCCCAGTGTAAGAACCTTCATCTCGAGGCTGCTCTCAATGTAAAAAATAATAAAACGCTAAACGTTACTGTAGGCTTGAACCTCAAGGTCGGCGGTAGCGGTTTGGTCGCACCAACGGCTGGCGTTCCTGGTACTAGCTTGTACACGAAGGACATGCCGGGTATTGTATTCAACATCTACACCAACCCTACGACTTACACGTTCCCTGGTCCTGCGCTGTGGACTGCTGCTAACTAGGCGTTGGCGTCAGACATCTGTGCTCGCAAGGACAGGCTTGAAGGGCTATGGGCTGTTGCGCGGTGGCTGTGGACTGGCGACCTGGGACTGACGACTGACATTGTCAACGGCGGGCGGGTGCTGATGAGTTCTCTTCGTGTTTATACTTGGTTGTCTTGATATATACATAGCTCCAACATTCTTTTTGTCGGATTGGATCTCGAATTGCCGATGATCTTCAGGGAGCTCCGTTCAATGTCTTGTGTAGGCCCCACAAGTGAGACTCATAAAGGTAGCCGATTCAGCAGATGATGGCTGAGCAAATTATCCGTTGGCATGAGCCCCGTGATGTTTTGTAGAGGTATATTGCAAGCCTAGCTCGAACCCTAGAATTGAAACAGTAACACTAGGAGGACTGATCAGCCAACCATGGGTGCCAAACGCCAGACTCCTCGTTTCCCTTTTGAACAATACATTCGACACACGGTCGATCATCTTCTTCTCCACTTGTCGCATTGCTCTCACTTCTTGACTGTCTTAGCAGCCTTGCCAACAACCTTGACCAGCTCTCCGTATGCCTCGGTGAACTCCTCGTCGCCCTCGCCGGCCTTCTTGCCCATCCTGTCCTTGCCGATCATGACCACACTGGTGGGTCGCTTTGTTGCGCTTGCCTCGCCGAGCTGCGCGCGGCTCTTGATGTAGATGTAGGGTACGTTGTGGTCTTCGCAAAGAACGGGGATATGCGCAATGACGTCCATGGGCGAGATATCGGCGGCGATGACAACAATGGCGCTGGGGTCGTCGAGGGAGGATCCGGCGCTTGAAGCAGCGGACTTCCGCAGCGCTTTTACGACTTCCTTCACACCGCGACGGAGGGTCTTGGACTTGGCGGCTGTAGCAGGATAAACGTCAGTCATGTTCTTTCAAAGTGCGCCAACAGGCTGATAAGTAGGAAGCAAAAACATACACTTCTTGACGGTCTTCAGGATCTTCTTGACCTCCTTGTCGTTGTCTGCGAGAGGGAATGCAAAGGGAACGAGTGCGCCGCGCGGCTCGTCGCCGTCCACGACGTTGACCATGGAGACTTCTGGCTCCTTCTCGAGCTCAGCCTCAAGCGCGTCTACCATCTCGACATCGCCCTTGACCTTCTTCTCCTTCTTGTCCTTTTTGCTCTTGGACACGCCGTCTGTCTCTGCGCGCTTTTCCTTCTTTTCCTTCTTGTCCTTCTTCTCCTTCTTCAGCCTCTTCTCCTCGATATCTTTCGACATTGTGTGGTTAAGCGACTGTAGGTTTTGGGTAAGGGTTAGAAATGCGAAGATGTGGTGGCTGGTAATGCGTTGTGCTGAAGTCGGTTTCGCGAAATTTTGGAAGAGAATGAAGCTTCTACAGCGCTAGCGCGTATGGTGAGTGGTCTGTGCCCAGAGCTATCATGGACTAGTGGCTTTTGGCAAGTTGCTCAACTTCGCAAAGACCAAAAACGTCACACCAAGGCAGATATTATTTTGCATTCAAGTCGTTATGGCATAAGAAGACGTATTCATACAGTACTATTTGAGACCGATTTACACCTTCACTTCATATCCACTACCGTAATATCTCCCATCTCCATCACCGCGAAGTCGAATCATGACATACTATGGTATATGTAAAGAAAGAGCCCAATGCCACCAAGAAAAGGCATTACCGAAGTACAGGCGAAAAAGAAATAGATATTAGCATGAATGCAACAAAGGCAGCGCTAGTAGCAGAACCGAAGTGAAGCAATAACGCGCCTAGGGCCAGCCTTCAACAGTCCAGAAATGCCGATGGGTATGAGCGAGGGAAAGGTATTAGAAGAATGCCAAATGAGTAGAGCATGAGCTCGAGAGTGTAGGAATCTGGACCAGACCCGCCCTGTGCGCCGTATTACCCCGATCTTGAGAAAATGAAATGAAATGAAATAGACAATGGACCGATGCCGGGGGCGCCAAACTCCTTGCCATGCTCCCAAGTGCAAGGAGAGGACGAAATGTAGGAAGAAATCCACAGTCTGTAAAAGTAACGCGATATGGACACAAGATGGTGGAAGATCGCAACCAGCTCCGGAAGCTGTCTCTCGCTTAGTAGGCCATCTGCATCTCGAGCACTTGGACACCGCCAGCAGCCATTGATGGCGTAGCGGATCCAGATCGAGACGACATGGCATCTTCGTAGCCAACAAGTGCTTGCGAATGTAGCTTAAAAGCTTCGCCCATGAGTTTGGTGATGCTAAATATCGTTAGTGCCAAGTTACCGAAAATCAGATAAGCCTTTACATACCCCCAAACGACGACCTCATCGATCATACTGCCCCATAGTCGCGCCACAGTGGAGCTCAGCTTTGCACCGTAGACGTCCACGGAGTCGTCGTCGAACAAATTGCGCAGCTTGTTGTACATGGCTAGCTCCTCCTCGGTAGCAGGCTCTTCGTCGTGCTCCAGGCGGTAGAGCCATAGTGTCAGGATGACCATCAGATCCATGCCGGTAAGTGGATGCTCGATGCTCCAGTTGGTAGCGGAAGTTCGAGCAACCCAGCGTATACCTTGCACGGCAGCAACCTCGATGCAATCGAAGCATTCTTGGATGACCTTGATCATCTCTGGTGAACGCTGGACCTTGTCGCGGGCATTCGTCATAGCAGCAGCTACTTCGTAGGAGTCGTGGTAGCGGAGAGCTTCTTGGATGGACTTGAGATCGACTACGAGTCGGGCCCTGGTGTTCCTATACAGTGCCATGGCATTGAAGATGAGAGGATGACCCTTGTGCGGAGCGCTCAGTTGGACAACGACTGTCTCCGGCTCGCAAAGCTCAAGCGATTTCTCCCATGTCTCCAGGGCCAGGCGAAGCTTGTACTCGGTGACTACGTCTTGGAGAGCTTCAGGGCTACGCTTGTGGTACCATACTTCGAGGAACAGAGCGTTGATCATGACGCGTGTCGCAAAAGCACTGTAGCGAGCAGTCTCGCCTTGGAATAGGTTGTCATGCGCTTGGCGGAACGTGATAATCCTGGAAGCACTTAGACTCTCGCGCCATGCTTCGTCGTCCGAAACCTCCATGGTCCAGAGTGATTCTGAAGAAGGCAGCTCTAGGGTGTCGAACTCGTTGAAACCCATTGCCGGAGTGTGGTTGTAGGTGAGCGTCAGTAGGCCGAAGAAGATGTAGACCGCATAGTAAGTCCGTCGGCATTGCTCGTCGACGACCCATTCTTCATGGTTTGGCTGAGCGCCATCACGGGCATCTGATCGGAGCTTGAGCTCGTACCGATTTCCAGCGACCATCTACGATGTGTTAGTGGCGATCGTGAGCAAGAAGAATATATACGTACGTTGGCAAGAAGACTCTTAATCGAACAAGCCCACTCGAGGCCCTTGGGATCACCACTCCAGCTGGAGAAAATCATGTTGAGCAGGGTGCTCTGCATCGTCCATAACGGGCATTTGCGGGAACTGAAGTTTTCTTTGTTCTGGAGGAACTGGTTGACGAGGACCTTTGATCCGATGTGCAGCATATAGGCTTGGTCTTGGTCAAAGATGTACAGAGCACCTATCGATAGCACAGCAAGCAGTAGCGGGGCAGACACCTCGGTGGGGTTGAAGGTAGCGGGGTGCAAGAAAGGCAGGTGGTGGTGGAACAGATCGAAGTACGTCTTCAACAGGCGGTTCAGCGTGTTCAGACTAGGCAAGTGGAACGTCTCCAGGAGCGAGTTTTCACTGTCGTACTGCTTAATGTTCTCGTAGATCCTTGCACACTGCTCTTCAGAGTCCAGCTGAGGGGCGCGGGTCATCATCAGAGCCTGATTGGGGCCGGGCGACTTGCGGTAGTCGACTGGTGATACCGGTCCCATCATGGAGGGGTAGGGTGACAGGGCACCGGGAGTACCCAATCCATTGCCGCCGTTCATTGCTGAGAAGGTAGGCGCGAGGCTGTCGCTGCCAGACATGGTGCGCTCCATGAGGGGCGGGAGCTGGTGGGGATGCGAGCCGAGCGCGCTGGCACTGTTGAAGGCTGAGTGGGTGTTGGGCGACGACTTGGGCTCGGATTGAGGCACCATTGAGTCTCGCCACGGCATCTGCGGAAGCATGTTCTGGCCGGGGGCAGTGTATGGGATGACAGGCTCCATCATGGATGGTCCCGTGGGCGAGATGACGGGCTCGTTGTGCTCGGGAATCATCTCGGGTTCTTGGCTCGCCATCGCCTTGTGGTGGAAGTCTGTCATCAACATGGCCGCCGCGTTGAGGTCCTCATCCTCGTGCATCGCATCGTTCTCGGCTTCGATGCGCTCGAGTGTCGTCGCGCTTTCGGCCGTGGCTTGTTTCTGTTCGGCTGCCTTGGTGTTTGTCCGGCGCTTCTGCTCGCTGGGGAGGGGCGCGCCACCATCTTTCGCGTGAACGGTGCGGTCGTGTCGTAGGAGGAGATCGCGACGTACGAATGTCGAGCGACACCTAAATCTGAAGTCAATATATATCTCCTAGTGAGTTCGCATAGGGAAACATACTTGGCACACTTGAATGGTCGTTCTTTTGTGTCTGTAAGAAATGATTAGCGACAGTTTCCACAGCGCGATTGAGGGGCAGTCAGCAACAGTCCCCGCGGCGCGAACGCGTAAACAGCTCAGCTACCCCACCCAGCAAAGCTCCATCGCGACGGAATAGAATGGAGATTTGACCTACGTGAGCGTTCATGTCGCGATCTATGTTCGCTACGGCTGAAAGCGCGGTTGCAAAACTGGCCTGGACGAAGGTCAGTAGATGCTCTCACCAACAGCTCGTACAGGGTGCTGCTGACATTTGTATTTTTTTTCGGGCGCGCCTGTCTTGCGCACGGCGGGCGAAGAGTTTGATGCCATCTCAATGGATGGAATGGGGGTGTTAAAGCGTGGTGGTGATGGGCGTCGTGGTGGAATCGCTGTGCGCTTCGTTCATCCCGCGTATCGGCGACGGAAAAGCTGGGAAAGAATGCCGGTAATAGAAAGAGAGAGGAAGACGCAGGCGTCAGCACCGTATGGCTACGCGTGCGATGATGATATGATAGGGCCGCGGTTGGAGACGAGATGGAGGGGGAACTTCAAAGGAGACAGTGAAATGGGCGTGGGCGAGGGCGAGAGGGGCTCGGCCACGCACACGCCTCCGAAGCCAGCCTCACCACCATCCGCATCCTTGCTGCGGGAACGAATATCACGCTAGTGTATCTAACGCGGCTTGTCCAGTGTCTATTAATCGCATGCTTTTGCTGGCTCTGTGTTCGTAGCTGGCAGACTTGAGATTGGTTGACAGCGGCAGGTGCGAGCGACCGCTAAACGAGGTCGCGACAGCTCTCTTGAACCATTCTCGCTCTGTGCCATCAACCACCCTCTGAAACTACAATTATCATCACGAACTGTACAACCCGGGGAATCCATGACCAAAACCATTTCTGGACCCAGGTGCGACATGGCAGCCGCTTGTCCAATGGTTCTCCCACAAGAGCCTCAACGAGCACCACCCGCTGTCACTCTCCGTCCAGCAGATAAAGAGGCGGTAAGAACAAGGTCGAGTACACTCACGGAGGAGTAGTGGGCCGCCAGTTATCAGATGCAGGCCATGCAGATGGTGGCTCACCGCCTCACTTCCCACCTAGGTACGCCTGCGCCAGTTCTTTACAACAGCCCTCAATACCAAACAACTATCTGTTGCCCCCTCCAATGCTGGTCTGTGTTACGCGATGACGAAGGGCTGGAAAGGGGGATGCCCCTCGCCTTTGATGCCTTCACACACATGACGCCCAGGATACTTGCAAGTCGTGCCACGAGTAATTTCAAGACGATCGTCGGCTGCCCTCTGGAACTCTATCCATACCTTCGGGCCAGGATCCCGTTCCCCGGACCCACACTGGCATTTAGTCAGGTCCACACATGCAGTAGACGGCCACAGCTTGCAGAGCTCACACGAACATTCAACGCCGCGAACACGCTGCTTCTTGCGTGTGTCGACAGACACACCGATTCCACCGACCCGTCTCGCCGAGGTCTTTCGGCTCGGGACAACACCTACACATGACTGAGCTTCCCGTCAGCAGAAAGTGGCAGAGTCCGCTAAATTATGCCCCGCTTGCCTTCGTTCAATCGGGGGAGCGCGTATAATCCTGGACCTTATAGCGTCGGTCGCGGCCTAGCAAACGCTCTTGCTACCATGACACCTTTTTACCCTCACCGTTCCTGAACACAAGCCACCGCTACACATGCCTTCTACAACCCCTCTAACGGCCCCTCATCAACCACTGTGTCAACGAGGGGCTTTACTTTTCACTGAAACCCCCCGCGCTAGCACGCTTGCCGTAATGCTTTAGAAGCAGATGGTGGTTTCAAGTGGCACTGGATGGTCCTTCCGCGTGCTCACGGACGCGGCAGGGCCGTACTCATCCGCCTACGCCGTCAGGTAATTTCATTTTGATCGAGGCAAACAACTAGCTCATTTCAGTGAAGACGAATGGTGGCTGCAAATTCAAGCCGGTAGATTGACGTGCCATCATGCCCAGTCCCATGTGAAAGGTACACCCTTTCGGCCCTGCAGGACGCAGCGAGTCTGCTATTGGGTTCAGCGAATACCTCGATGACATCTGAACGGCATGGTCGCTGCAGCCCCCACGTGCAGCACGGCAGCTATCGCATCCTGCTCTTCGTTTGAGCTTCTCCTTCTACAACGGCACCTCTTGCTTTCTCAACAATGCTGATGTCTCGGCAACAGCAAAGACCTTGATCAATTGATGGCTGATCCTCCGGCCCACCAGCCAGTGTCGCAGAACCCAGGAAATGCCTTTTCCGCTTCCACGCGACAAACCAAGCAAGTTTGAGACTGGTATCGGCCACTAAGATCCGCAATAATCATTCCGAGCTTCCATCACACCTTCCACGATGAGATGTGCGTGTCAGTCACCGCTCTCACCCAGATGGCCTAAAGGGCCGCGGAATACAGCGCCGGATGCAGTTTTATAGGCATGCTTTTGTAGTATCACAGTGTAGCATTGCCGCGCCTCAGCCACTGTCTGGTGTTCTCAGGATTTGGAGCCTCATATAAGTAGCAGCACAAACAAGCAAAGGTCCCCCCGCTGAGTTGCGGGGCATCGAGTAACATCCCGTGCAAACGAAATGCGTAGGGACGATAGATGCAAAACGTTACAGATGGTACAAGATAGACGGTCGCACAATGCTCGATGCGCCGGCATCCGCCCGCAACGGGAGGGAAATCCTCGCTATCCTGGAGGACCACGTTTCATAGCGCAAAATCCCGAGAATATGTAACGAGTCAGGCAGTGTTCTAGATGACAACTGATGGAGAGTCCACCGTCCCCGCTGCATCGCCAGGCTCTACGGCGTCAACAGCTGTTGCGTACCACAATGAGGGCCCGGTGGGGCCATATTATCAATGGCACATGTATAGCATGCATGGTCGGTGTAGACAGCCTCGTTGACAGCTGCGGCGTGGTCCATCGCTCACCATCTGGCTACACTGAGTCCATGCACAAACGGCTGCAGGTCGGCAGGGCAGATAGATGTGCATGAGAGAGCAATATGTAGCATGTTGGCGGATTCCGAGAATAATCCTACTGAGGGACGGGTCCGGGTCTGACACATTGTTAGCTGCTTTTATCCATAACCCAGCCCAACACGTGATGTATGGCACAACAGCGTCCCCACCGTCCACCGCTCACGACGCACACCCTGGTGTTGCGTTTCTTTCGCTCGAACCCATTCTTCTGCTCAACCATCATCACACGAGAGAGCTTGCTCTGAGGCTGGATTCGCTGCCAGCTAAGCGCGAACGTCAGGCTCCTCATTGCCTGGTCCCGCCTCTAGTCCAATCAAGTAACCCCCGGTCATAACACAGATCCTCGAAGGCGTCGTAAGATCAGTCGGCCCACATTGCGACCGCGTCTACTTTAACCCTGGGTCGCAGCAGAGGGGTACTCGCGCCTACGAGAGTGAGGACTGTTGCCTCCTCCACCCACAACGCCGGTTCGCACCATGAGCTTCAACGGCGGCACCACGGACGCGGGCGGCATGTATGTGCGCGCCCTGTATGACTACCAGGCAGACGATCGCACATCTCTGAGCTTCCGGACGGGCGACATCATACAGGTTATTACCCAGCTCGAGAGCGGCTGGTGGGACGGAGTCATTCACGGTGTCCGCGGCTGGTTCCCGAGCAACTACTGCGCCGTCGTGCAGCGCCCGAGCGAGGACATCGAGAGCGACAGAGACGGCATCGACGCCGACGACGACCATGAGACGCGGTCGACAGGCGGCGGCGAGTTCGACACGTCGGACGGGGAGTCGCTGAGCGGTGGGAACGACACCATCCTGCCCCTCGAGCGCAACAACGTATCGCACAACAAAGACGAGGAGGCCGCTTTCTGGATACCCCAGGCGACGCCAGACGGCATGCTGTTCTACTTCAACACCCTGACCGGCGTCAGCACAATGGAGCTGCCCCTCGAGTCGCCTTCTGCGAATGAGAGCGGCCCGCGCAACCGCACCGACGTCTTCATACCCGACATGTCGCGACCGCCAGCTGAGCTGCTCGCATCAGGCTCCGGGTACCACATGGAGGACACAGACGACGAAACCTCAGCGTCCGACTTGGAAGGCCCGGGCATGAAGGGCTCATTCCGCTCGCGCGTAAGTTTTGCGCTACTCTACGTGGAGCGAGTATTGACACTGTACCACAGCACAGGCAGCGCTTGTCCGATGGCCTCTCATCGGCAACCTCGATGGAGTCAATGAACGCGGGCTACCCTGGCAGGTCCTACGACCAAAGCGGCATGAGCTTCGCAGCCTCTTCCACCATGCCTCCCACCGGCACCACGGCCACCTCCTTTGCGAATAGCCCAGCTCTAAGCGGGTCGAACGGCACCACGACACAGACACGCAAGTTCTACGACGACGTGAGCCCGGTTCCTCTCACCTGGAATAGAATGGTGGAGGACATGCGCCGTGCCATAGAGCGCTACAAGCAGGCTATCAACAATAGCGACAGGTCTGAGTTTGTGAAGCGCGCCGAGGACATTTCGGACCACCTGCGGTTACTGCTCGCTGCTGGTTCAGGGACTACGGACAACCACTCCGGCAATCCCTCTATCATATCTACAAATAAGGCCTTGTACCCTCACTTCCGCGAGACCATGTCGCGATTCTCCAAGTTGGTGCTGTCTTCGCATATCGCTGCCTCGGACTTTCCTCCCCCCGATTCCTATTCCAAGTGTCTGAAAGAAGCAGAGGGCGTCCTCAACGGAGTCTTTGGTTTTGTCGAAGTAGCACGCCAGCAGCGCGGAGAGGAGATTCCCCGTCTCGTGCCTGGATTTGTAGTCGGCAACAACACCGGGGGCAGTTGGCAAAACAACGGAACTGATACCCATGATTCCAACACTTCCATGTACTCTGACCAGGACGACTATGAACCCTCTGTTGAACCAACTCTCAAGCTTGACTCGCGCGTACTGGAGAGATTGCAGGATGTTAAGCGATTGATTGTTTCCAGTCTCCGGCGATTGGATGAGCAACTGATGGTCCGAGACCCCGTCATATCACACCGGAAACACCAAGCGATAGGTGACCACATATGCAGTGCCGCGGGAAAGGTGTTAGAGGCGTGTCGGCCCTGGATCTCCACCATTGAACAGATCGACCTCGCTTCTCTCGACGCAGATGCTCATGGACAACAACTCAGCGAATTCAGTGTCCAGAAACAAAAGGCCTACGATGTCGTATCCGAACTTGTGATTGCGTGTCAAGGAGTAGCCGCACCCTTGGGAGACGAGTGGGCGGAACTACGTGGTGATTCACTTGAGGACCGCATCAATGCGGTGCGAGCAGTTGTCCGAGATCTGGAATCGACATGCACCCAGCAATACGGCCTGCTGCAACAACTTTCGGATACAGTCCCCCTGTCCGACATCGTGAGCCGTGCAGACCCAAGGAGAAACACCGATAGCGAGCTGCCAAACCATACCCGAGGACCATCTGGACAAGAGAGACCTTTGCTTGGCAACATTCCCAAGGCAGACACGTACAGTGCAGGGACACCTCTTGGTATCGACGAGGGCAAGATTGAGCCAGTACGATCAGCGAACAGCAACAAGAAGCTCAAGGACTTCTTCGGTGAGGTCCCTGTCATTCCACAGCAGGCGATCGAAGAAACCCCAGAGTACTTGAAGCTCGACCATGAGGGCGAAATCTCTTACGATCACAAATCTGCACCGCCGCAGCTAAAGGGTGGTACTTTGGCTGGTCTTGTCGAGCAACTAACGCGTCACGATCGTCTCGATCCAGCTTTCAACAACACCTTCTTACTTACGTATCGATCATTTACCACGGCTTCTGAGCTGTTCGAGATGCTAGTCAAACGATGGAGTATACAACCACCTCATGGACTGGCCAAGGAGGATTATCAACACTGGGTAGACAAGAAACAAAAACCAATTCGGTTCCGAGTGGTGAACATTCTCAAGAGTTGGTTCGACAACTACTGGATGGAAGGTAATGACGAGGAGGCACGCATCCTGATCCAACGGGTGTACAATTTTGCGAAGGATCATGTTGCCACAACAAGCACCCCTGGAGCGGCACCATTGATGACATCGGTGGAGCAAAGGTCTCGAGGACCAGATATGCCCACGAAGCGCCTAGTCCTCACTTTGAGTGCGCAAACGCCGCAGCCTATTCTGCCCAAACACATGAAGAAGCTCAAGTTCCTGGACATTGACGCGACAGAATTCGCCCGACAACTCACGATCATCGAATCCAGACTATACGGAAAGATTCGCCCGACAGAGTGCTTGAACAAGACATGGCAGAAGAAGCTTGCCCCCGGTGAACCTGATCCGGCCGCAAATGTCAAGGCGCTCATCCTCCACTCCAACCAGTTGACGAATTGGGTCGCACAGATGATTCTTACACAGCAAGACGTCAAGCGCAGAGTGATTGTCATTAAGCACTTTGTCAATGTCGCGGATGTAAGTCGACGAACTCGTTTTGCAACATCACCGGCTAACACCGACCAGAAATGCAGGCAACTGAACAACTTTTCTACACTAACCTCGATCATCTCAGCGCTAGGAACAGCTCCTATTCACCGCTTGAACAGGACCTGGAGCGCCGTCAACCAGCGCTCTATGGCGACCCTGGAAAGCATGCGCAAGCTCATGGGTAGCACCAAGAACTTTGCGGAGTACCGAGATACGCTCCATCGAGCAAACCCACCCTGCATTCCCTTTTTTGGTATGCATTGCCCCAGCAGCATCCCTGTATCAACCAGCTAACCCATGTTGCCAGGTGTCTATCTCACCGACTTGACCTTCATTGAGGATGGTATTCCATCGCTGATCAAGCGCACAAACCTCATCAACTTCGCAAAGCGCGCCAAAACCGCCGAAGTGATCCGCGACATCCAGCAATACCAAAACGTGCCCTACCCGCTACAGCCGGTGCCCGAGCTGCAAGACTACATCCTCACCAATATGCAGTCTGCAGGCGACGTGCACGAGATGTACGAGATGAGTTTGAGCGTCGAGCCAAGAGAACGCGAGGACGAAAAGATTGCAAGGTACACTACCTATTTCTCCTTTGATCGTTCCAAAACTGGGCTAGAAGGATAGAGAGAAAAACTCAAATCAAACCCCCGCTTCAAGAGGAGGACACACCAACAAAGCGGGGATGTGAATGCGTCTTTTGGAGAGAAGATGGGGCTAACGGCGTTTTAGGCTTCTCTCCGAGAGTGGATTCTTGTGATGAGATTGTGACAAATGACGATGATACCCCCCGCACGAAATACTAGCATTGTTGTTTCTCATAGGAATCTTTGGAGTATTTTGGTTTTTCGATATTCGGCGTTTGCTTTTCTGGTTTACCCACCCCCCCTAACGATGGAATGAAACGAGTTGGGTTTTTGATCTTCACCTTGGTTGCTACTGGCGTAGAGCGAACGCTTCACGCGGGTGCGTATAATTTCCTCCCTCTCTCTCGGGTCTCGCAAGAACCGGTAAGCTCCGCTCATGGGACGGGATATTACGATGGGCGCTTGCGGTTGGGAAAATCTTTCTTGTTCCATAGGTAGCGGAACGGCATGTCTTTTTGTCGCTGGCGCGCATCTGCAGTTCGTAGCTAATTCACACGCGATTACGATTTCTATTCTATTTTCTGCGGCCATTGTGGCGAAGACGTCCATTATCATGACCCAGGGTCCCGTATGAAGCATATTCCTGGACGCTTTCTCGTGTTGTAGCTTGTTCGTTAGTCTAGGGCTCGTGTCTGTTTATTGGGCGAGCGGCAAAGGTCGCTCGGCGTTTCTTTCCACCTCGTATCGCCGTCGACCCTGACTCTGACTTCTGCTAGGGTGCCGATCTAACGGAGCGACTCAGACTCGAAAGTGACGGTGAACAAAACACCAGTTCACGATAGGGCTGTCAGGTGGGGATCGTCACCTGTGCTGCGATGAATTGTTCATTTGTGTAGTTGTGCGTGTGATGGAAACCATTAGATGGTGAGGCATTCTCCGCGACTGCTGCACGGCCTCTCGCCTTGAACTCTACTCTATACTTTCTGCCGGTGTCTGAAGGAGGGGAAGCAATTCGCCTTAGCTGCAGGACCTCCGTCTGGGCTTGTATGTTCGTCCGGGAGAGTGTACTGACCGAATCCGCATCATCTAATTGTAGGCGTGGGTAGTGCATATCGCAGACACTCGTGGATGAGCACTAGCACTCCACGATGCAACGCAAACTTTGCACCCCAGTGCAAACATGTCAGACTGCTTTAGTGCTCGCAGATGCATACTCTCGTGTCCCTCATCGGCAGATCGTCCTTTGCGGAAATTTCAGATCCCGCGCAGGAATGTTGTCCATCCGACGTGAGCATCGTGACTCTGATCCAGAGCTAAGGAACGCTGCTTCCTAATGCACACCCACTGCAATGGTCAGCGCAACATGGTACAAGGTACACATATCGGAGGTGAGGCAGGCGCTACAGTGACCTCACCCCCGCAACGATCACCGAGGCGCCCAGCGACGGCCTTATGGAATAATTGCCCCAGACTTCCATCCTTCCATGGCATGCGCAGTCGCCATGAGAGCTCGGCAACAGCGTGCCGTCTTAGATATGACCCAATACGGTCGTCGCCGAAGGACGCCGGACGAGGATCACCCTCACATCAAATCTGAGGGAGATTACTGACAAGGGAAAGTGGCCAAAAGAACGACAGCCGTTGTGGCAGCATACCCCAGCTTTTGTGTTTCTGGCCTGTCAGAAGACGTGTGCGCACGGTGCAGTGTGCAGCCAGCAAGGCTTATGACATAATGCCGAGGTGGACAATGTGTTGCCAGGACTTGGGATTGTGCGAAGAGGGTGACAAGAGCTTGGGCGGGTTGCTGATGTTGCTGGGCCTTGGTGTTGTGGGATCCGAGGTTTGCCGGAATGGGGAATAGGGGTGCTAAGTTGCTTTGGCGCCTATCACTGCTAGGTGATCAACAATAAACAAGATCGAATGCGCATCTTCTCGTCTATGAATGCGACTTGTTTTTCATTATGAACATGTCGAGCACGCGCATCGTCATGGCACCTCGCCTCAAGCAGAAGATTGAGATTGTAATCATCGATGCGGCCAGAGCGTCGTACCCCCTGCTACTCGCTTGATGGCGATGGGTAATTTCTTGCTGCAGTCGCAGGCATTGCGTTGCCCTGTAATCAGGCGTGCACAGCAACGGCGCGGCAGGGGCGTTTTCTCTGGTCTGCCATACGCTCGCTATTCCCCGAGGCTGTCACTAAGAGCGGAAAAGACTTCAAAGGATGCAGAGGATGCATGGCGCTCGTGAGCTGTTACTCGTCTAGGACGGCTGCAGTGGGGGTGCCTGGTCTCTGGAACATGGAATAGGAGATCTTGCGACGCACGTAGTAGAGCATTCAGGAGGGCATTGCGACTATGCCAGCCCGGATATAATCACAAGACATGCTGCTGGCTGCGATCTCGATGGTGACTGGGCAGAAACACGGGAGCGGCCAATCAACGCGGACGAGGTAGTGCGACGGCTGTGGTGAACGCTGGCCAGTCGTTGCGCTCTGTGGCTCCGAGACTCTGAGGGGTTCGAGGGATGGTGCATGTGTTATCGCGGCTCCCAGCGTGGGTGACAGCAGCGTTGACAGATAGGCACGAAGGAGGCGCGAATGGAGTCGCGCGGAGATAGTCCTGTCTTCTTACCAGCCGCCTCCAGCGTTCATCGTAGTTCTCCCAGTCAGCCACCATGTCCCAGCCATAGAGACCAGCTGACAAAAGCCGGTTCCTGCATACGATACGCCGCAGCTATTGACACTCCGCGCTGGAGCAGCAGCTTAGACGTGCGCTACGTCTCTTAGCCCGGACTTGGACACATTTGGCGACCCACAAAGTCACCTCGTACACGTTATTTCGGTGGCATTAACGGGCGATCCCTGAGGAAAATAGCGGAGGTGCCGAGACCCCAAGGGCGACGTGAGTGGTTCCTGCGTCCGTAATTGCGCTGCTTTGGGCGTGCGTGCCGGACTTTGCCTTTGTGCACCAGAGGGCCCAGCAGTTCATCATCGGCCATTGCGCTGCCTGCCATCGACCCGTCCGACCTCTTTTACTTTTGGCCGGCTGCACATCAACCTCCCGACTTCCGCCTCGCACGCTCTTTACCAGTTTTCTTTTCCGTCTGTCGCAAAGGGTTCACCTTTTCTGTCACTCGCTTTTAATCTAATCTTCTCAACATGTTGTCCCGTAGTACTTGGGGCGCGACGTCCTCGTTACTATTACTCGCTTTGTCCCGCTTCTGTAAGTCGGCTCCTCGCTTGTGGCTCCCAAAATGAACTCGTGCTGACCGGTGAACCTCATCCAGCCAACGCTGCCTGCGAATGTGGCTACTCGGTTAACAGCACAAGCGACTCTTCCTATGCCGTCTTCACAGAGCTCATGGAGAACGACTTTCTACACACTTCCACCGATGACTTGAAAGAGGTCGGCTGGCAGCCGCAGGAATACAATGTTACTTCGCAGAATGCTAGAGGGCCTTTTGGAAAGAGTATGGAGTTGACCAACATTGTCACGAACCCGTTCAAGAACAAGAAGGGTTGGTCGGGCGATGCAGAGCATGGCGGTGATGCCGGACTAGAGTTATGGGTTCGCGGAGACCATCAAGATGGCCTTGTTAGCGGTGCCGAGCTTGTCACCATGCGCAACGACTCTCTACTTGGAAGCTTCCGTGTCGGCATGAAGCTCTCGAACTCCTCTGGAACGTGCGGCGCTTTCTTCTTCGTATGATCCCACACCCTCTTCACCAGTCTCAAACGCGACTAACAAGGACAGTACCACAACAACTCACAAGAAATTGACATGGAATTCCTTTCTCATCAGTTCAACAACTCGCAAGGCTCCGTGAACCTCGTTCTCCAAAGCCCAGAATCTGTTACGCACGGCTTCGCTGCTCAAGGAACAAACGGCTTCGAAGTTCTGGCTCTCCCTTTCCGCCCGGACGAAATGTTCCACGAGTACCGTTTCGACTGGACCGCTAACCGTGTCGCCTTTTACGTCGACGGTGTGTTTCTCCACGAGATGACCGAGAACATTCCCACGGAGAGCGGTGGCATCTTCCTAAACCACTGGAGCAACGGTGACCCATCATGGTCTGCTGGACCCCCGGATCGCGACACCGTCATGACCATCTCGTACATGAAGTCATACTTCAACTCGACCGACACCGAGCGCTCTCAAAACGACTACAAGAAGCGTTGCCCTCAATATGACCCGGCCAAGGTCTGTGCCATCCCCAGCCAGATGAGCCCACCGGATCAGAGCAAGGGTCCCGAAGCAGCGAAAACCTACTTCTTCTCGCAAGATGGAGACGATATGACACCCGGTCAAACAACCTTCACCGGCAGCGCGACCAGCATATTCGGTGCGCAGTCATTATCGATCGCGGTCCCATTACTCGTCACGCTTCTCGGCTTAATACTGGCGTAATAGACATTTTGGGACAGTTAACACCGCTTCTCATCGCAAGCGCTTGTTCCATATACCCGGGTTCATGGGCTGGGAACTTTCACGAGCATACGACCACTTCTTCAGCGTTCTTGGAGTAATTTGACTACTGCAGTCCGACTTCTACTTTTCACTTCGACTTCTCTCCGGGCCCGTCTTTGCACCGCCCCCACACCTTTTCTTTGATTCAGCAACATACTCGTGGCGCAACACCGCCTGTAGTGTCTTTACTATTTTATATTTTCTCTTCTTGTATATACCCTTCGCACGGGATTCTGGGTAGCCAGCCCGTTTGCCCACGCCTTCTGCCCTGGTCCAGCAGCGGCTCCTTCTCTACCTCGGCCCTTTCTGGCAGAGATTTTCTTTATTGTATCGGAGTGCACTCCGCCGGAAGCCGTTGTTCAACAACCGTCCTTTCGGCCCTCATACCCCCATGTCGCATACCATCGCGTCGCCTGTTTTTGCATTGGAAAGAGAAAAGAATCGGAAGATACCATCTTAGACCATTATGTGTCGATATATCCTAGCCTATGACAGCTACTACTATAAGAAATTAACAATTCAAACTTAACCTTTGCGCTTGCAGTCGTTCGTGTCATTTCATTCCTTACAGGCACCCTGGAATGAAAAAGGGTGTTGCCCTGCATCTCAGCAATTGCAGAGATCCTAGTTTGCAACATCTGTACCTTGCATACGCGCAAGAACTACTCAGCTAGCATCGGAGTTGCGATGACTGATATCCTGCTCAGTGGAGCTGCCTGGCGTACGACCAACGGAGCCTCTCTCCGGAAGCGTCGGAAGACCCTCCACCGCGTCTCGACCAGTCCACGGCCAACAACGCCAATCAGACGCGCTATGCAAGCCTATCGAAATCTTGCCCTGCTGTCGGGACGCGTCCGCGGCTTAGTCGTCAGAGACCACGTTCGCGGCATGTAGCTCATCCGACGAGCTTGCCAGACTGTCTGAAGATCTAGCACCTCAACCCAACGCGAGCCGTGAACTATGGCTATAGACCAAACCTACGAGGCCCGGGAATCTGCGACGGCGAACGCTAAACTCTCCCCGGTGTTGTTTTGCACTTGTGCGCTGGCGCGCGGTCTAGTGCCGTCCCGCGCCAAATTTCTGCTGTGGCGTCTGCCGGTGCGTTTCGGTACTTGGGGTTAGCTGCGCAGTGAGTGACGTAATGGGCTTGTAACTCGTCGCCGTTGTACATCGGGAATTTGAACTCTAGTGTTGGTGAAGCGGCGGTTCCTGAAGATGGTCCAGGTACTCCCGTGATAGTGGGGCTGCGTGTCTATTGGGAGCTGAGAGTGGCGAGAGGATGTTCTGATACTTCGTCGTGAGATGACACGATGATGGATTGATTGTGTGTTTCACGTCTTGAGGTAAGTCGATGTGACTGAACTTTTGCAGACCATTGATTGCATTTCGTCCTTCTGACTTTCCCGCATTTTTCATCTTCGCTCCTTTGTCTTCCAGGCTGCATCGGATCCCCTCCTGTTTTTGTTCGCGTCCTGCATGAAGCTTGTGTTTGCGCGCCCCCTGCGTTGCTCAAATCTCTTGCAGCCACCTAAGCTTCAGCATGGCGTCAATCTTGTTCTCTTTGGGGTGCACTATTGAGCGGGAGAAGGCTTGTTCCCATTTGGCATTGCATTAGCGTTCGCCGGACGTGCGATGAACCGGGTCGGCGAGATTGTGTTGTCGAGACGACCTCCGACTTCGATTGCGGCTCGCATAGCCACATTGCGTCCTCGACTTACATGCATAGAACTAGCGTTAGCTGATTCTCAGATCTGTTAACCGGTGTTCCCAGGACCGAAGACTGCAGTACACAGTGAATGCTAGCCCAAGGACTGCATCACGGATAGGGTGTATGAATACATCGCATGAGGAACCCGTGTGTTTGTTCTCAGTCGCATGAGCTTTCAGGTATGTCCACGGAATAGCAGCGTAGATGATGCCTAGGCGTCAAATAACGCCGTGGAACTACTTGGCAAAGTCAACGGCTATCTCCAATGTCGTACCATGGCTATAAAGCAGGAGCTACATCTTCCCGTATTGTAGAATGGCAGTCGTAATGAAGCTATTGGCAGTCACTTCCTACCCGCAAGGAGAGCCGCTCCTGATGTTCTGGTTCAGGGTTTAGTTGCTGTATCTGTATCCTTATCGCAAGGCATCAACACGGCAGCTTTTCAACCACACTCTTTGCTGCACGTCTACGCTCTTTTTGGCTTCAGCGTTTCGCGCGCGTCTCTAGACTTTCGGATTTTGGCTTTTGGCTCTTTTGGCTTGATCATTTTCTACCTGTTGTTTTTCGTTGTACATTACGATACATACCAAATTTCAAGCGGCATCGTAACATTGTACCAACTTCGACGCGAGCAACTGCAGCGGTTTACATTCCGGCGTAGCGCTCGAGTGTTCAATATCATCCAACCCGCCGCTCGGTCTAACAGATTCGAGTTCGGGCTTGGGTGCTTCAGTCTCGAATTCCCACGATCGACAATCACGGGCGAGCGTCCCTCTCACCTCTCGACACCGGACGGGATGCGCATCCAAGATATCTACATCCTTCTTCTGTCGGCAATCGTGAGCGGTAGACTCTTCGCCGAGTCTGAGTACCTGCAAGACATTGAGGAGACTACAACCACGATAGGTGCGAGCCCAGCTTCGGTTCCTACGTCGGGTTCGCCTACTGTGACATATATCGCTGACTTGGGCGACATTGGGTAACTTCCCAGTAAAATCGAGGGTGATTGAACAGGTTCTAACGATTGTACAGGCTCCGTCAGGGATCCGGCATTGCTTCAGTCGAGAGTGCACCCGCGCCAGTTCAGCAACCACCTGCCATCATCACAGCGATACCAGCTGCAGAGCTTGTCCCAGCTTTTCCCGTTGTCAATCACATACCACCACCAGCTCTCGCGCCTCCCGTCAATGCCATCGCGCCCGTAGCCCCAGCACTACCAATCAATGTTGCTGGGACTGCAGGCGCAGATGTTACGCGTTTAGCGAAGCCATTCAGCAACGTACCCTTCTACACCGTTGTATGGGCTGAGACATGGATCGGCGGAACTTATTCCACCTGGTGGCCATATACTATATCGCTTGACTTCAAGCCTGTTCAGACGCAAGCTCCACTTCCAGGCGTAGGATCGATCGGTATGGGTACGCTCACTGGTAAGACGGGAGTGACGCGAACGGTCGTGGTGAACGCGGCGCCTACACAAGGAGTAGGATGGGCGAAAGGTTTTGCTGCAGCTGTTGGGATTGGCATGGCGGGTATGGCAGTATGACGATAGGAAATTTGCAGACGAGGAATGCGATAATTTATGGATGAAAGAGTTATATTTTATTCCAGCTGCAGATTTGGATCTGGACATACTAGTTGTCATATATGGCACTTAACGACTTACGATACATGTATACTACGCGAAGTATGATAACAACGATGAACACGATGAGAATGATAAACATGACTAGTTGGTCATACCAAGAACCTTCAAAGCCAGTGCAAAAGTCCTCTTCATTCTAGCAACAAACGTTGGTCATGCAATCTGATCTCGGCATGTCGTACTGGGCATCGCATTTGTTGACTGGTCTTAAAAACGATCGTTCACAACAAAGCGAGAGGCACATGAGCTAGTCCGTACAAGAAAATGCAAAGACAAGGGTATGGTATGTATTAAGGCTGCAGGACGGAGAAAAGTACAGTAAGAGTTTCTCGTGGTTAGATATGTACGAGAAGGGTGATGTACGATCAATCCATCCGGTGTCCCCAAATTTGGGAATCACTGAGATAGTCACGCATTCTCCAACCTCCTGATCTCCCTGTTGCGCCCAGAAGACTTCATGACGAACTTAGTCGTTGCAGGCATGGCGGCCCTGTGCGGTGAAGAAGCTCACGTCGGAGGACTTTCCTCCAGCATTGCAGGGCTTGTCATTCTCGAACAGCGGCGCGACGTTCAAACAGGACCTGGTGCAGCCGCCATTGTTTTCCTGCAATTATGGTCAGTCTTCTGTCTCTCTTCTGAAGGGGATTGAGGGACTTACAGCGACACAGCAATGGGAACCATCTTGGTACAAGCACTGGCAGTAGAAAGAAGCCTGGGTACCAACGGCCATGGTAAGAAGAATGCCGAAGACGGCTGAGAGGCGAACCATTTTGATGTTGGTCAGAAAGAAGAGAGAGATGGGTTGGTTCGGAGTTGAGTGAATGGATGAAGATGACGAGTCTAGGTACTTTATAGAATCCAAGACACCTAGTGGTCAGGACATATGTCCTAACCTAGTGAATTTTGAATTGGTGATAATGAGTCGGTCTATCTCGCAGGTGACTGCGGTGGTATCAAGAGTCACGGTCATCGCCATTGTTTCCCCGCTACCTCGAGGGCCGAACAAAATACGACCTCAGGGGTGTACTGATAGACCAAGCTATGCGACGAACACGGTACTTACCATATGAAGCCCGAGTACACCTCGTATATCATAACCACGTGTTGAGGACCAAGTCCCATCTTGGCTTAGAAAGACAAGCTCAGCTAAGCCAAGAGATCCAGTGGCTGGGCCACTGCTAATGGCCACCGAAGTATCGTCGAAAGGTGTCCCGATGAGGCTTTAGATCTCCTCAGTTTGTTGCAATTTGCGGTGTGTAAAGAACGGTATGGGGAAGGAAGCCGAGATTGGTACCTAGTTGAGTAGGTAGTAGAAGGTCCGAAAGAGATACACGAAAAGGTCCGATAACAGACTAATCAATCCGCTTTACCTGTCTTGCTATCACGATGCTACCAAAATGCTTCGCCGCGAGGATAGCATGATAGTCATGAAGGACATGTTAAAAGGCAGGTGATTTCGCCTCTGCAGTGAAGATATCACAGCAATCAACAAAGCTTCTCTCACAACTTCAAAGACCCAACTCCACCTCAACTTACCCACTCTCTCCTCAATCCATCATCATGGTCCGCCTTCTCTCCGTCGCCGCGGTCTTCTTCACGATCGTGTTCGGTGCTCAGGCTACACACATCTGCCAATGTCTCTTCCAAGATGGCTCGCACTGCTGCGCCAGCGTCGTAAGTCCCTCAATTCTCTTGCATATGAAGACCGAGCTAACCGCAGCTTCACTCCTTTACAGAGCAACTTTGGTCCTCAGGAGAACTGTCAGGATGTTTGCGTGGACAAGAAGCGCAACAAGGACGGCGCGGCCTGCAACGCTGGCGGCAAATACTCCAATGTTGGCGGCATCACCGTTCAGTTCCGCGAGCCATGCCAGTAAAGTGGTCCTGCTGGGGCAGCCGTACTTGGCGCAAAACAACAATGCCGTTGGAGGCATGGTGGAGGTGTGTGTGGAGCATTGTGGGAGGCGGCGGCCTGAGCGTGATGTACAGAGTGGAGCGTATAGTCCTGGTGGATCGTCCGAGCTGTTCAGGAGTAGGTGGGCTCCACCTGGACAACATGTCTGCGTACCGTCAATTTGCCATCGTCCTTGTCGATTGCAATCCTAAAAGCACGCAGAAGCAGCTATCTGAGCTACACGTGCTGAGTCTTCTTTGTTTTCTCTGTGTTGATCAATGCCAGCTCTGGAGTGAAGGAGTAATGGGCGAAGAGAAGAGAATACGACTTATTTCATAATCACGGCGGCATGAACGCAGCTAATGCCCACGTGACGCCTGTTGTGGCCCGTTGATAATCCCCCGCGGCGGGGTTCCCTGCCAATGCATCCTTCCCAAGACCGAAGCGCCGACTCAACTCTTCGCTGTGCCAGCGCGACACATGGAATCTGTAAACAAGACGATTTTTGGTAATTGCATTCGAAGATTCATCATGCGACAAGTGCAACAGCCATAGAGGGAACTTAGTTCAACAAATGGCGGTGGAGTGACACCCGGAAATGTGGCGCGACTTTCACGCTACTTGCAGACGATCTTGCCCTTTTCGGACTGAGGCTTGGAATCTTAACGTGACGCCGAGCAGACGACAGTACTGATGATAAGGTGATCAAGACCAATATCACGCACGCACTGCCTTTTATGAGGATTGAATCAATCCAACAGTGTTGTATAACATACTTATCATCATCGACTGTCGGATCCACGTCAGCAACAACTACCCGAGTCAGCACCACCCGATCGGGACAAAGACGAATCAAGCCATCAGCAACGAACAGCATACCGTTTTAGGATCTGGGAGGAATATATATCGACTGGAAAACCAGACGAATTGACCAACGAGAACTGTGAACTGCGAGTGGTGAACCCTAGGATACATCAACAACGTTCTTCAAGCACTGGTACCAGTCGACCACCCCCCAACCCATTGCCAGTCTAGACGAGCAGATACGCAACATTGCAGAACATGGCAACAGCATACTACTTCGCGGCGCATTTCAACACGTCCAGAACGCATGCAACCGATGCATCGCCGTTCCCTGCAAGCACGCTGAATACCATCTCACCGTCAACGCTTATCCCAGTCACGCACGAACCAACACAGACCCAGTCTCTTATTCATGTGGCACCAGAGATAGCCGCAAGGATGAGAGGTGTAACAAACCCACAACAAACCTCAATCCTCTTCCGTCTCCCGGCAGAACTCCGAAACCAAATCTACGAAGAGCTCCTCTGTCCAGACACACCGCACCACAAAGACCTCGCAACATACTCTACGCCATCCAGACCCCCAACGGTCTACCCAGCCATCCTCCGAACCTGTCGCAAGATCCACGAAGAAGCCCAGGATCTCTTATACACAACACACGTCTTCCACGCGCACCGCTCTCTCCTAATTGCTCTACCACATCTGATCTTGCCCGAGAAACCAATCTTGTCTCCAACCAGCATCGCAAAAATCGCGCGCTGGCAGCTTGAGCTACGCCTAGATATCGATCCCCGGTTTTCCAACAGTCAAGCTACGGCTGCATTCTCTGGTGCGGAGTTTCTCCAAGTAAAGGTTTGGCAGAGTATGTTTGATGGGGCGGATAATTCGGTCTTGAAATTGTTTACTGGGGTTAGGGGAGTGGGTGTTGCGAAGGTTACAGGGTGTGACGATGAGGGGTTGGCGAGGTGGTTGGAGAAGAGGATGATGATGCCGATTGAAGAGCAGGAGAATAGGGAAAGATGTTGTCAGTGTGGAAAGAAATCAGATGAGGAGATGGAGTGGTTTGGTGTGGCTAGAGATGCTTGGACGTTTGGGAACAGGTAGGGCGGAGGATAGCGTTGAGTTGACTTTCGATTCCGGCATGAAGTATTTTCCCTTTTCTGGAGTTCGTTACACTGGCATTACTCACTCAGGCCGAAAAGTTTAGACTATCGTGGTTCAAAATGGATAGGATTTAGCTTCAAACCTACAGGCCTTTACAGCTTTCACACTGTGATGTGACTATCTTTCTTTTTGGGTGGGTATCAAGTGTTAGAGAATCGAAGTATTGACAAAGGAAATTCTAGAGTCTTGCCCTGATTGGATGAGTAGCATGTCGAATGCTGGCCCAGAGCCCTACGTTGGACCCTAGTGATCTACCGCAACTCTTCCCTCTCGTCCTCTTCGTCGTCCTCGATTTTGGCGCAAGGGAACGCGCACTTCATTGATCGTTGCTGCACATGGTTATTAGCAATGCAGTTCTCGCATGAACTCAAAGGAATAGCATACCCTGCTTCCGTTCCCACTCTCTGCCCAGAGACCGGTGTCACACCACGCTTCGGGGTGCAACTTCTTGCTCTCGCCCTCGGTCGCCCACTTCAGCCCATCGTACTCAAAGACCAGTGCGTCTTCTCCATCGGAGCCGTAGATAGTCAACTTGGTGTCATCTAACAGTCCATCGATCTCAAAGATCTGCGTCGCGGAGACCTTCACATGCGAGTTGCGCTCCGTCCGGGGTCTCGAAGAAGCGACATCGATGGTGATTCCGTTCATGTGGTCTTCCAAGCTGTCGACTTGGACGTAGTTGATCTTCCCATCGCTTGCCGAGGCTGGACGGGCAGCGGTCATGAGTTGCTTGTGGAAGAGGGTGAAGGTGCACTTGTCGGCCAGAGATGTAGCGGATGACGATAGCAATGACTGTGCGTCACCACGGGGGAGAATGCGCGGGGGCTGAGGAGGGACGACGCGCGCTGCGCATAGTGAGGGGGCAAGGAAGAGAACCGAAGAGAGGATGGTGAAGGTGTTGGTGTGCATCTTGAAGACCTGCTTACGGATGCGACTGATGTTGGGTACTAATTTCGAAGAGGAAGTAATGTTGATGACGCAGTCAGTCAAGTGAGAGACAAAGACGAGCGGATATCCGGATCCAAGACCAGCTGAAAGATGCAAGTAAGAGTGAATACAGGTATAGGAAGCGCTGACGAGCAGGTACCTTTGTACCTTATTAAAGCGCAGAGAGATTTCGTTTCAGAGTAACTGCGCCGGACTACCCGCCCTTCACCCTGTCTATCTGTTCATCGCTACTATTTTGGTGTGGCGATCCCGCTTGAGTACTCGGGCCATGCGGCGGTTGTGCAAGGCTGACATGCGGGGTTGCGGCACGGTGGCTCAAATAGATTGCTCTGGCGGCAGCGTCAGCGGCAAGCATCCACTTTGTGCAATGAGGTGCGTCGTAGAGCCGCAAGGAATCTGGGGGGCCTGCAAATAATGTGTATTCATGAGGGCGGCGCGAGTTATTGCGCTGGGCAAAGTTATGTGAGATGGGCGGTGCTCGAGGGTCGAGGGGCCGGGAAATTGGGAACGGCGCAATGAAGTCATGATCATCGTAGAAAAGGCATTGATATCCTCAAGGCATGCGCATCTTCGAGATGATGACAGAGGAAGACGAAGATACGTCATGTGCACGCTGGCTTGAGCTCTTGACTTCGCTGTTTCAAGATTCTGATGTTCCCTATCCACAACGAAGATCCCTCGTTCTTCAAGAGATTGCTGTTTAATCCTCGCACCCTATTCAAGGGAAAAGCTAGACACCTACCTCTACGAAGTATAACTACAAACAAACTAACAAGGCTATATTGCCTTGATATGTTATAGAAGTACATTTCAAGACTAATGTAGGCTGCAAGGCACCTGTCCAATCTTTCCCGTCAATGGAGTACTCGGTCCAATGTCACTACACAAGGAAGCATCTAGGTTTCCATGGCCATGATTTCAGAGCTCAGCAAAGTCAATATCGTACACGCCTAGATACGTCGGCTTGGCCTCTGCTTGTTGAACGCCGTCGTGAGCGCCCTGGAGGCTAGTGAGATAAGGCTAGCAAAGACATATACGATTGGTGCAAATGAGTCTTTCCAAGGTTGCATCGCTTTAAAGGACTCAATATCAGTACGATTGGAAGTATGAAGCCTCTGGCATCACACGGGCGGCAGCCATTGAATGTTGTTGGTAAGACATAGGTGCAACATGGCTTTCGAGACAAACCAGGGAGAATTGGTTTCGCATGGCCTCTTGTCGCAGTAATGGGTAAGGGTTTGGATTTTAGGAGCGTTGAGGGCAGGGTCTGTCCCATATCCACACGTCTTTGAGGTCCGTGAATATGCGCCCAGATGCGCAACAGTCGCATACAACCTTGGAAATTCAGGGTCCATGGTGTTGGACGTGCGCAGGGGGAGGAAGGGCAATTTCGGGATGCCGAATCGGTAGTCGTGGGGCCGAGCGTCTCGAAGTCTGACGTTGAGCACACAAGTTGGAATTCGTCATCTTTCTTACCTATCTCACAGCCAAACACCGCCGTCGCAATGTCGCGCCCCTGCCAGCAACGGCGCGCCAGTGCGGCTGCGAACCGGAAATCCAAGTCGTCCAAGCCAACCGGACCGCCCCCAATAAGACACAAAGCACGGCAAAAGGCGATACACAACGCTCGACGCAGCGAGCGCGGCGGAGCACGTGGAGGGCGTGGTGGAGGCCGCGGAGGAGGCGGAGGAGGCGGAGGAGGAGGAGGAGGAGGAGGAGGAGGAGGAGGAGGAGGCCGTAGTGGTGCAGGACGGGGTGGGCGAGGAGGAGGACGCGGCGGACGTTTTGCGCAGAAAAATGGCAGGAACGAATCGGGCCAAGACTTTATACCTCTATCCTCTGGTGGGAACAACTTCGAAGCGCTCTACAGGTCCACACGGAACGACGACTTCGATCTCGACATGGACGGTGACAGTTCCGACTCAGACGAATTCGGCGACAACTTAATCGACGACGACATGTACGAGACCGAGGATATCGAGATCAACGTACAGGCGCCACTACCCACGACCAGTCGAGGAAGACAACCACGAGCACAGATAATGTTTACGGAGGCAGCCGCGGTCGCAGTATACAGGCAACTCTATTTGCGCGATTACCCACTCAGTACCACGACCACTCGAGTGCGCTACGGCCTCTACCAGGAGGACACCTCTGCCGATTCGGCCGCATACATCTCCCTTGCACCATCTACAGCATCTCGGCGATCGAGCGTCATCAGCATCAGCAGCGACACAAGTGAAGAGTCCACGGATGGACCGACAACACCTGAGTACAATACTGCACGCGACTACGTCTTCACGTTTGGCGTGCACATGGGCAAGCGGTTCACCGACGTGAACGAAAACTACATCAAGACGATCGGTGGTCAGCTATACAAATACATGGACAAGCATGCGGGCCTTTTGGAGGCATTCGAGTACCATAGGCCAGGGCAGGCACGTCTTCGGCCAGCCCAGACTGAACCCCAAGAGACACACGCTCAGCTATCACAACCTCGACAGCCTCCTCCACGGAACGCACAAGCCTCTCGGTCGAATGCTCCTTCGGCATCAGACACGTGGAGATTCACCAAAGGGATTCACCTAGGAAAGCGACTACATGACGTACCTGAAAACTACCTACGAACGCTAGAGGGCAATCCCCTGGTCAGAGATGCCTGGCCTGGTTTCAAGCAAGCACTCCAGGACTTCAATGCCAAGACTGGTAGAAAAGGTCGGGTTTGATCACACGATGGCCGTAAAATAGCTGCCACCACGTGGTTGCGCCTTCTACGAGCGTTTGTTGGTGGTCCAAGCGGCAATTTTGGGACTCACCTCATCTGGGCGACCTACAACTTGCAGAACCAGCGCACCCACTGCGACTGCGAACCTCTTTGTCTGAATAGTCTGAATGCGCGGGCTTATTGCATACTATACTCTCTAACTCCAGACCCATAACAGTACCGCTTCTCGCTTCACCATGGCGAGAACCAAGAAACATGCGCGAGCGGATCCCCAATCGTCTCAGTCTCAGCCGCGGCTTCGTACCAGGCGACAGAGGGGACCGAAAGTCATGGCAGCGCAAGTAAAAAAGGAGGCCGACGACACTACTGCGCCAGATGATGTGCGATATATGAGAACGCAACCAAAGGCCCAGGCACCTATCGAAAACTCCCGAGCCAAGTCCTTCCCTAGTCAGACGTCCAAAGTCATTGACTTGACGCTGAGCGACGAGCACGACGATGTGTTCTCCGCATATTCATCGAGGTCAGAAGCTCTCCAGGGTCAGGCAGAAGAGCAGCGCCACCCAAAGTACGCTTTACAGAGCAAGACGATCGGAAAACCTGGCGGACGTTCTCTAGGCCAATTCGGCGACGTGCAGGGTACTGAAATCAAAGTTCCTGATATGAGCCAAGGTGATGAACGATGGACCCTTCCTTCAAAGCCCCTACTATCTGCAGATATCCTTGCCAGGTGCCAACACAGTGAAGAGGCCCGGGAGAATAGAGAAAAGGCGGAACAAAAGAGGGAGAGGAAGAGGAAGGAGTCGGCCATCAACGCCCAGCGCGCACATGCATCCGTCATGTTCACCCTTCCAGGGGCAGTAGCCTTTCTCTGGCAACCCCAGCTTGTGATCACCTACGATCTTCCGACTGGTGCCTATGTACCGTGTCAGTAACATCCCTGTACGAACTGTATGTGGGATAAATACTGACTTCGCACACGCATCTTTAGATCCCGTTCATAGGTCATACCACTTGGGCGGTATGGGTCGGTACGAGGATACTCGTGTTGCTATGCATACAAGTCTTCCCCATCGTCCTTCCGACTCTGCCAGACGCGACCCTCGTGCGGACGACCTTAGGTCAGAATACACGGAGGCTCACGGTCGCCGTGCTTGATCTCAGGACAACAACACGGGCTGGTCGATTATAACGAGTAGGATTTGGGTCTTTTTGATTGAATTTTCACCAAGGCCGCAATGCGGGCATAAACATACTCAACCACGGATATCATGACTGTCTCGGATCTGAACACGATATGACGCTTCAGAGATGAACATGATGCCTACTGTTGGAGAGCAGCCCCAGACTTCAGGAAAACAATCTAAAATATACGCCTCAATTGAAGATACACGTGATGCTTCTTAGGAGTCAATTGAGTCTACCACAAACAGACAGTAGATGCATTAAGGTGCTATCCACCCGACACAGGCCATGGGCCAGCGTATCCAGGGCTTGTGCTCCGTGGGCAGAGCTTCGAATATTCCACTCATAACATGATGTGTCCACCCTTTCATGTACCAAAATCTTTCCATGTCAAGTATCAGAACGACAAAGTGCGCGTAAATGATGAGTGTTAGCGGATCGCATTGTTGTAGGCGATCGAGGAAACCGTCGCTCATTCGGTAGAGCCATCCGAACGCCACGTGGTATTCGCCGTCTTTGCCACCGTAACGATTCGAATACATTTCCTGTAGGATATCTACACTAAGCACGTTGTCGTCGCGGTGAGAAGCCTCAGACACAATGTCGATATGCTCTTTCAGCTCTTCAAGATGCTTTTCGTACTCGAATGGTCCCTCTGTTGGTGGCAAAAGCCGACCTTTGTTACGGACTGATGGCGCATGCGTCTTCGCGAAGTTTTCTACCTCAAAGGCGCTGAGTGTCGTACGGATACCCCGAAACATGACCAGCCACTCTGATCTACCGTGCTTACCGAAAGCAAGGTATTCACCAGCCTGTGGTCCCCTTGCCCAACTGACAAAGCAGATTAGTTGGACAGATTGAAGGACCGCGTCGCAATTGGAGGGGTTGAGCTTGGCTATCTCTGGAGTGACAAGTGCTAGGGCGCATTCGTAGTGATGGTTTGCAGTAGCGGTATAGGATTCTTTGCGGTCTGGTCGGCATGTAGCGAGGTGGAGAGCCGTAAATGCGAATATGAGGTGTAAGACGTGTTCATTTCTGAATGCGATTTCTTCTGTGGTTGATTGTACGCGTGCAGCACCAGCAGGCCATGCTGACAACGAGTGGCATGTCGTTGTAGTCCAGTGATATGTGAGTTCAATCTCAGATATTGGAAGGCCACCGGGTTGTCGTAGGTCGGTGTTTCCTGGAGCAGCAGTAGACGTTGCCGGATACTCGCAGCGGATTTGCCGCCGTTTACAATTGGTGCAGAATGGCTTGCCCTCATCGCACTAGGTATAAGGTTAGCATATTGAGCGTACTCTTTAACTTTCGTTATCTTCTAACGAGAGTTCGGCGTATGGAATACGGGAATGTGAAATCCCTAGTCGCATTCGAAAGACACTCAGATACTACGTACCTTGATGCGACGCGACTTGCAATTGACACACCCAGCCCGTGACTTGCGATGAGACTTCCTCGTTATCTTCGATGCTCTTGACTTAACTTTTCCATTATGCTCGTATGGAGAGGACTCCCGTGAGTTTAGGAGAGACCCTCCCCTTGAAGTCGACGTAGCTTCCGTGAGTGGCGAATCTTGTTGCATGTTGGTGTTGCTGATGAAGATGTTGAGATGCCGGAATGCGTATTCTGAGCGAGGAGCGCGTATTAAAAGAGACCACAACCGCTAGCGGCATACATCATTGTTCTTAGCGTGAACGCCTTCTTCGATGGCTGCCCCCGGTGCGCATCGTCGCAAGCATCTCCAGCCCGGGAATCCCCCGAGACCTGACCTGGCCGAATCTGTTCGAATGCGTCACCTATTCGTGAGCCTTTTCGCACCCAAAATACCCGCGATGGGTGTGGCGGCATCGCATTGGTCGTTGCTGATCCGATGCGGGTTCTTCCCTCCGGTGTTGACGCTAGCGCGCCAGTCCTCGCATTCGCTCGTGTTCTCTTAGAATACGCATTTTCCAGGGACGAATGTCTGGCACACTTGTCGCGCTCCACTTAATACAACTAAATCAGAAAGAAAGCACCACGAAAAGCTCTTTCTCGTGCATTGCGCCGAAATTCACCCAAACTAGCCGCGTCAGCAGTCTGAGTGCACATATAACCTCAGGATGACCCGCTGCTTTGCTCCGGGCTAAATCATCTTCACGCTTCTCTTCGCGACTTCGACTACTAAGTTTTGGACATCCACTCGAGCGAAACAATTACAATGGGTCAACCAAAGCAAACCGAGCCTGTCTATAACAAGCCATGGACACCATCATCATCGGCCTCATCGACCCACTCAATACCATCCGTACCACCACCACCCTACTTCAAGTCGCATTTCATCTCTCCCTCCTCTTTCAAATCCGCAGTCAATGCCAGACTCGACAAGCCCGCTGTATCTCTCTTCCGTCTCAGCATCCGCATATTCCAATTGGCTTTCGCACTTGCATCGGGCATATCCTACGCCCTCGAACTCAGTCATGCAACAAGCATTTCGAAGACAGACTTCATATTCGCGCAAGTCGTTTTTGGCCTTACCCTGTTGGTTCTAGTCATCGACAGTGCTACGGTACGCAACTACCGTGTCACTTGGATCCCAGAGTGGATCCTAGCCGTCTTGTGGATTGCCTCTTTCGGCCTGTTCTATGCAATCTATCTAAGCGGGGATATCGAACAGGGATATCAGAACGTGGATGTCGAGCGCATGAAGAGAGCTGTGTGGTGCGACCTTATCAATGCACTGCTATGGATGGGAAGTGCGCTGTTTTCTTCAGTCATGTGCTGTTCAGGGATAAAAGCCACTATCAAGGCAAGGTTGGAGAAACGAAGACAGAGAAAGGAGGCAACGCGGCAAGTAAGGGACGTTAGTCAGATGGAGCAGGGCGTTATTGGCGGATGAGGTGCAAATCACAGAATTGGACACAATGTGAGAAGAGGACGCATATCGATTACTAGTACTAGCGAAGGACATGCATACTTGGTATATAGCAGAATCATCCAACCACCATCGTTCCACATCAATCAAAGCAGCAATTATGTACACACAAGAGATTAAATCATCTACTGGGATGATCGGACCTGCTCAATGCGGACGTTGTCATCCTTCTCGTAGCCGGAAGTCATGACGTTCTTCTCAACGTGCTCAATGTCGATGTGAGCCACCTCAGCCTCATCACCATCGAAGATCTTGGCGACCTCCTCAAGAGTGGGACCACGGGTCTCGACGTAAAAGACAGTGACGAAGATGAGCTCGAGGAAGATCCAGCACTGGCTTTAGTTAGTACATGATACATTTCAAGGCTTATTGCTATGTGACTTACGGCGTAGATGGTGTAGAACTTCCAGGTAGGGTGCAGGTGTTCGAATCCGAGAGGGTTGACGTATTGGTTGATGGTCAAAGCGATCTGGATGAACAAGTTCATGATCATGAGACCCTTAGCACGAATCTTGAAGGGCAGAATCTCGACAGTGTAGGCGACGAGCAGACCAGACCAAGCCAACGCGTAAGCGACGGAGAAGATCCAGATCATGGCAATGACGGCCTGACCAGCAGCCTTGCTCTTGGTAGCCTCCTGCTGAGACGAAGCGATAGTCCAGACGATGAAGGTAACGCACATAGCTGCGGTGGCAGAGATGAAGAGTGGGCGACGACCAACGCGATCGACGAGCAGAGCGCAGGATACGGAGACGATGAGAGAGAGGATGGTAAGACCACCGTTGATGCCAAGCTGAGTATCGGCGTCTGTGATACCAATGGAGTCGTAGACATCGGTGGCGTAGTAGGAGACAAGACCGTTGCCAGACCATTGGGAGAAGAGACCGAGAGATGCGAGGAGCATGAGCCTGTACCTGTTGCCCTTGGTCTTCAAGAAATCAAGGTAGGTGGAAGTCTTCTGGTACTGGAACTCGAGGCGAAGAGTCTCCTTGATCTCAGCGAATTCGAATTGGACGGTAGCGTTGTTAGCGTCACCGTTGGCGTGGTACTTGGCAAGGATGGCAAGAGCCTCTTCGTTCCTCTCCTTGGCGATCAACCAACGTGGAGACTCGGGGATAAACCAGATAGCGGCCAACTGAATGACGGAAGGAGCAGCCTGGGTAAGAGCAGGTACACGCCAGCACCAGTCGCTCTCAATGCGCTTGGTACCGAAAGTCAACCATGTGCAGACAATGGCACCAACGTTCCACAAACAATTGTAGACGGCAGTGACACGAGCACGATGCTGAGGGTGGCAGAGTTCGGTAAGGAGCAGGGGAGACGAGAGTTGAGCAAGCGAGTTTCCGAAACCCATGAGGAAACGCCCACCCATGAAGTAGTCAAGGTTCTTAGCGGCGGCCTGGATGCAAGCTGCGACAACCATGATGACACATCCGAAGGTAATGCAGGCGCGACGTCCAAAGCGATCGGCAATGAAGGGAGCGACGGGAAGCGAGGCAATCGAACCGATGGAGTAAAGAGCAGTCAAGAGACCGAGGGTGTCTCCCTTGGGGTCGCCGAAGAACTCCGTCCACCTGGGCAGAATACGGAGGTTGTTCAACATAGAACTAGGATGGATCAGCTTTAGTCAATTGAAAACGCCGATGGGAAGGCTTACCCATCGTAACCTGTGGTGGCAGAAGCGATACAGATGAAGAAGGCGTAGAAGTAAAGCTTGCGGAGACCGGCGTCGGACCTCCAGTTGACTTTCTTCAGGTGAGGAGCCTCAGCCTGAGCAGCTTCGACGTCGGACCTGCTCTTAGCAACGGCACCCATCTTGGGCGTGAACTTCTGGTAGAGACCCATGGCGTCCGACTCTTCGTCCGAGGACTGCTTGTTGAATCGAAGTAACGAGGGAATGAGTGAAGGTTGGGTTTGAAACACACAACCTTACACTGTCCTGGGCAGCAGGGTATATAAGCTGTTGACTTGTCGGGTTGGGCTGATTGCAGCTGGGGCCTGGATAGATTGAACATGTTGGTGCTTCATATATATGCCTTCCGGCCTGCAAGATACTATCCTCGCAGAGGACCTTGGCTCCAGAACAACGGTCTAGCGGACCGGTTAAATTCGACTGGAGAAATGTGTGGCCCTCTGCGCGGATGAACCGCCGTATGGGGTAGAGTGGGCGGCAAATTGCCCAAAACGGTGGGGTCAAGGGTAGCTTGCCCAGACCCCAAGCTTCGTCTTGCCCATGAACGGATCATCTTGCTACCAGTGTCAAGTCGGCCTCGGCGCGCGGGACGGTCAGCCGTCAAGAACAACAAGAAGCCTAAGCAATGAGGCTCGTTTGTCTTGTAATGGAAATGTTGGATCTGGCCTAATGGATGCATGCACACAGTGCGACAAGGCCCGCCAGCCCGGTATGCCTCGTGAAGCTCACCTGGGCATGGACAAGCCTCCAGCCGCGACTTTGTTCCGGCTCGGCCATACAGGCTTGACACTTCCGCCAACCTTCTCGAAGGTCGTGATCAGCTGTGAGAGTATCGCATGCTACGGTTGAATAGATTAACCAGCCACTAACCCCTTACTCTAAGCTCACGACTCCAGCGACCGAGAACGTGGGTCTGACAAGCGCATTTTCAGGGTCTCCCCATAATGATTGGGGCCAGCCTGGGGAAGACAGCAGAAAGCGCGGAGCCGAGGTGATGAGGCGTGGTTGGCGGAAAGATGGAGCCGGATTTCCCCAGCCTGCTAACTCAATGGTGCCCCAAACACGTGATGGATGGGAGGCACGGGCTAGCGCCGAACGGCAGAACGCTCCCTCGCTCATGGCCAATCCAACTCAATATTGCACTCCGCGGAAACTCCACATCTGCAATGCGATATCCCGCTTTTCTTGTTGCACCGCCAGCGCGTCGAGCCGTTCCCCAGAGGTTTCCCCAGAGAACTTCCCCAGAGATCAACAACAACTAACGCGCTCCGAGGAGGCCTCACGCGATACATTGCAGATGCTTCACCAGGCTCATTTAACACATCTACCCATCGTCTGATTTGATAGTACATGCTGCAAGCAGCACAATCCCTGATTAGCGTCCTGTCAACGTGATTCGGCCACCGTATAAACGGGTGGTCTCGCTTACGCCTGGGCGATGTCTGGGCCAAGCCGCCAACGGGTGGCTGGCTCTTCTCTCAATGCCAATCTTCCAACACTCTTGATCAGCCGAAGACGCCATAAGGTAGATGAGATCTAAGCATCCCGCTGCCTAGCCTGCACCGGCTGAATCACAGCAATTATCGAATGCGTTGCCTGCAGCTTCCCACGGCCCTGAACGCCTTCAACTCCTGCGCTGGATACTCTGGCCGCTGTGCCCTCCCTTTGGATCCCACAGGAAGGGTCTGCATGCGCGGCTGATGCGGCAATTGCTTCCCCAATGCTTGTTAGCGATCCCGAACGGGCTTTCAGCAGACTTGGCTACTCTTGCATGCCGTGCCCGCCCGCACCTAAGCAATCTTTGCCTGCGTTGGCATTTTGTCTTATCGAAAAGTCAAGTCTGACTGCATCAAAAGCAGCCATGTCCGATGCATCGTCCAGCATGGTGGATTTGTGTACATTGAGGGCGCCTAAAGGTCGCGCAATCATATCGCTTTGTTATGTGGGCTAACTAGCATCACGAGATGCGCAGGGTACTCTGTCGGATCACCCCAGACAATGTGCACGGAGTCAGCCCAAGTATCCACAACGCCCTCCAACACCGAATCCTTTGAACCTCGCGTCCAGCCTGATGAGCCACCAAAGCTTGGAATAGTCTACAGTAATCATGACTATGTGGTGTACCGATGCTGGTCTAGTGTACTCCGACTCCGATCATGCGCAGCCACTCATTGAGATTCCACGCTCGGACCGTCGTAGTTGTCGGGATCTCCAGCCGTTCTTTCCTCTACAAGGGCAGAAATCAATGAATGACCGTTCGAGGCGGCTACGCGAGCACGAGATCTTTGAAGGTCCTAACCAAGGCCTCGTCCCATGGGCCGCCGTCGAACACCACAAGCGCCGCGCCACGAAACAGCTCAATTATCCTCAAAGCCTTGCCACTGGGGTATTAGGCTAAAAGGCTCCTCATCACGACTCGGTGGCTGCTCTAGTTGAGCCACTTGGTAAAACATCTCAAGAAAGCCAGTTGGGACACGCACCGCCGATTGAAAGTGTAATGGTTCATCGTATGTCGTAGTGATCGGACCCAAGACTCCCTTTCGTTGGTCTAGTGGTATGTGGTCGCCGTCTGTGCGGACGTTTCAATCCTCTGTTCTTCACTCATGTGTCATTTCTGATTGACTTGAAAACAGACATGCGAGAAGACTGCCCATATCCTGGATACGATGCAAGAATAGCCTGTATCAGATGACGGCCAGCCTCCGATCTTTCACCGTATCCTTCTACGACGCGTGATATTGGACGATATCAACACGACCTTCGTACAACGGTGTATAATGTGTGCCAGCTGCAGATTTCCTGTGGTTTTGCTTTTTCGCCAAACCAAGTATGCGCATCCGCGGACACATTGCAGTAGCCAGAGCATTTTGCATTGTGCGTATCAGCTGATGCTATGCCTTGTTGTGTGTGCGCAGTTTGCATACCAGCCGAGCGTTGAGCTCGAATCCACCGGGACCCCGAGCACAACACACCCCCAGATATTGGATGCGCGCATCTCAATCAGATATGCCTCATGCTGGCCAATAATTCGCTGTTTCTTTTGACAAGGAAACGTGGACTGCATCATTCCGAGTAGGACCGCGTTCATTCCGTTTTCTGCATCCTGTGTCGACACCTATACGCCGGTAATCGGACCGAGAAGTAATATCATGGCCATATCTCGCTGTGTCAGTTGTCAGGCCTTCTGATCTTCCGCACTCTCTCCGGCAAGTGGGTGATGTATCTGTCAGCCCTTGTTGCGAATGATTCAAAACTGCGAACACAGGCTACAGTCTCCAGGACCCCCTCGAATCCGCGCCTTCGGGTCAGACGCCACATCCACGAATTACAAGTTATTCGCGTACGAAAGGGCTTCTCAGCTACCTAATACATACACCAGGGTATTTGAAGACTCAGTCTACTGCACAACGACAAGTTGTTTTCGAGCCGAAGCAGTGAGGCAAGACGCAATGCCGAGATTGTCGTGGGAAGCCACGATGGAGGCACAGGAGGAGCGCCCGCAATTCTCATTCATACGTCTCCAGCTTAGCTGTTTCCGATGACGAGGATGAGGTTGCATTCACGCGCATTGTTTGTGTGTCGATTTGCAGACACGACAAAAGGATGCTCACTGGATCGCCACAGCTAATCTTACTTTTTTAGTTAATGACGCCTGCCGGACGAGCGAGGCGCTCAAATTACAAAGCGTACACATGCCACGGACACGGACTACAACGAAAATGCAGACACGGAGCTGTCGAAGAGCTGAATCTCACCACACCTGCATGATAATCGTATTGCGTCCGTCTGGCAAAGTGACGTGAAAGGTCATCACTTTGGCAATTACTGATCAGCTGGGTCCGTTGAGAGCGATGAAAGCCCTCGTTTAACGGCAGATCTCCAGGGCTTGGACGTATAGGCTCTAATCGAACAGGCTACCGTGTTGCGTGCGATAGACATGGAGGCAACGAGTGCAGATACCGCAGAAGGTAGGATATAGTTTGGACCGAGTCCTGGGCTTGCGATGTGTCGATATGTACGGAATGGGAAACTTTCCATGGCTGACAGAGGCATAGGGCAGGCGATCTATGCGGCATCTACCTTGGTTAGGTACCCAATAATGAGGATTTATTTTTTTTGCGCATCTCAAAGCTTGCTAGCAGGTCGGGACATTGCTAAACGTTACATCTATAGGTGTATATGGGCCCCGTAAGCGTTTTGGCTGTTCAGAGACGTGAAGATGTTCTCGAAATCGTCTTGGTCAGCTAAAGTGGGTCCATTCGCGTTCCGTGGAGCACCCGCCGCAGTTCGCGTCATGACTTTCCGCGTGCACGCGCCGTCATCCTTCGCATTGCATAGCCACACTCGCCCAATAGTCTCTTGCGCCCAGGACGTTACGACCACGATCAGCAAAATGTGGAGCAGTAGCGGTTTGATACGAGGGAAGAAGTCTTGGGGCCGCGTCTGAATTCTTGGGTGTGCCACCGAAGGCGCGCAGTTGACATCCGACACCATTGTACCTTACAACAACACATTCCGGTCTCTATCTACTCTACGATTGCTTTTCGCACACACCCTCGCTACTAGTACATATCGCATCATCTATCAGATCATGTTTGCGAAAACAGGGCTTCTTCTACTGACCGCAGCGGCGGGCGTCGCATGCGACTTCATGGTCTATACAGAACCGCCCATTCCCACGTCCGCCATACCAACCTTCGCCAACCCATCTGATGTACGCTGAGCGCAAACCTGGGAGTTACCACCACCGTACTGACAATTACGCAGGCCCAGAGCTGGACGACCTCTGTCTTCCTCAACGCGCAGATAGCGTACGGTCGCTTCACAGAATCCCTCGGGGAACCCTACCAATCTTCTCTCACATCCGCGCGCTCCGAAATCGACGCCTTCGTTCGCACCGCCTCGAATTACAGCATCCCAGCTGAAGTCACCATGGCCGACGAGACCCCTACATACTTTTCAAAGCCAGATTGGTATACAGCGCTACCGAGTGCGGCGAGGTCGTTTAAGGAACAGCAGGTCAGCGATCAGTTCAGCATCGTGAGGAACGTTATTGCGGCGAGGGCTACTTCTACAACCGGTTCCGAGGGAGCCGCGATGCCGACTGCACTTGCTGGACAATGGCTGGGGGCTGAGTTCGGCGTCATGGCTGCGGCGGCTGCGGCTGCCTTCTTGTGAGGAATACAAGAATTTGACGAAGGGTACATCACATTTACACGGATGTAGTTCTAGACTGCAATCGTGCCCAGGAGGCACGCGTCACGAACATGGGTTATGCTGTAAATGGATTCATGGCGCGAAGTATGCTAATGAACGCACCTGTACTCCCAAGGTGCAGTCAAATCGAATTCCATCTACCATGTAATACATTGATCAGCGTAAGCAAACCAGAGATGTAACATGCTAGCACATCAAGCCAAGTTGATGTAGGCCCGTCAAATCCTCTGTGAAAAACACACCAATCACGCACGCCGCTATACGCAGATGACCCACTCATGACTATGCATTCTTGGCGACAATGGCATGCCAATCTAAGAGGAATAGTCTATAAGAGTCTGTAAGAGGGCACCTGGGCATACACAAGATCCAAAGAGAGGTAAAGCAGCCAGTCCTACTCTAGCAACAAACAGTCCATCAGTCTTTTTACAATGTCGACTTCTGAGCCAACCCACACACCACGACTCCGTCCTTTCTCAGTCCACGTTCACCCCATTCCTCCGACCACCCCGAAGACATGTGCATACGAGCGCCGCCATACCAACTCGGTCAAGTGCAACAACGCCTTGGTCTTCATTGGTGGGCTGGGCACTGGTCCGCATACAACCCACTACCTAGGACCTTTGAACGACGCTTTGGAAAGCGCAAGTCTGAAAGAGGGAAAAGTTGTACAATATAGTATCTGGGAATTGAGAATGCGAAGTAGCTATACAGGGTTCGGGTATGGAAGCTTGAAGGAAGATGCCGAAGACTTGAAGGGGTTGTTGCAGTATCTAAAGGAGATTGAAATGGGGAGGGTCATATTGATAGGGAGTTCAACTGGTGAGTTGATGCACCACTATTATAACGAGACGATGAGCTCTTACTTGTTTGTTGCTGTTTACTAACGAGCAAGAAGGATGTCAGGCCATCATGACATACGCAACTACCCTCCCAGCGCCTCCTCTAGTCGATGGCTACATCATGCAAGCCTCAACTTCAGATCGCGAAACAGCCGGACTGCTCATGCCGCAAGATTTGCTCTCCGCTAGCCTCAAGCACGCCGAAGCTCTCATTGCCAAAGGTGAAGAAAAGACCATCATGCCCAATTCCTTCATTCCACCCATCATCACATCCCCGATAACAGCATACCGCTGGCACTCTCTAGTCTCTGTGGGAGGCGACGACGACTTCTTCTCTTCTGATCTACCACTCTCGACTCTCCAATCTACGTTTGGTACACTGGACAAGCCGACATTGATTTTGATGTCGGAGAAGGACGAGATGGTTCCCTCGACCGTGGACAAGGAGGCATTGCTGAAGAGATGGGTTGGTACGATTCCAGATGGTTTGGCGAGTAAGCAGTGTCAGGTTATTCCATTCGATGCTGACCACGAACTCTCTGGTAATGAAGCAATGCGGTACTTCATAGAGACGGTTGTCAGGTTTCTAGAGGAAGTTGATGAGAAATCAGTCGGAGAGTCATGAAGATAGTTATTTTCATGGATGTCAAATGCACCAATCTTCCTTCGCAATACTCTTAACATCCCATCTCGCTAAAGCACAACACCACTCATTTCACCCCTGTTCCTCGTCACGGTCAAAATGACGTCAGTGGCCCATCTGTAACCCACCCGTTCATCTCACCTTCCCGTCGCGCATGCGCGATGTAGCGACCCCGCTATGTCATGCATCCCGTTTTCCAGGTTTCTGGTTCAACGAACACGCCATTTAATCGCTAAAGTCTAGTCCCGCACTCCTGTTCTATCTCTCGACAATACCCAGCGCGAATACCTGCATCCCGACGGACTAGCTTTGGGCGCACACTGCCACCCGAGATGGGTATACCGTACTCCCGCCAAATCAACGCTGCATTCGAACAAGTAACGCCTCTCGTAGCGGCGGGCTTCAAAGTCCTCCGTACAACACGCGATATCTCTATCTTGCTTGCCGTCATCCAAGTTCTTACCGTCATCCTCCTGGGATTTATTTTTGTTGCGCTCGTCTTACTGCTATATTGCGTGAATCCGGATTTGGAGGTTTGTCTTCTCTTTGAAGGATATCGAAGTCGATGACGTTAGATGCTGACACGACATAGGAAGAAAGAAAAGCCATCGTAACGCCATGGCTCCGGTACTTCGCTAGTATAACGTTATGGTCGATTTTCAAGACCTTGTTTTCAATGCTAGTTGTGATGGGGCTTGCAGCAGCGGCGACATGGCACTTTCTCTTGGCGAAGCAGTGGGTGGAGGATGTGGAGTATGACGCGAATGTCGACGCTGATACGGCGTTGGAACATCTGGATGGAGAAGGTAAAGGAGAAAGTGGAGGCAATGGAGGCAAGAAGGGGAAAGGTAAGGGTAAGAAGTGAGAAGAATGTAGTTCGGAAGTGATAGTAGTGTCAATGGATAAATGAGAGAACCCTAATGATGATAGAAAGACCATGCCAGATCCACTCAACTACCGTAAATATTACAAACATGACAGTGAACACAGTACTTGCCGGCATGTCTCCAAGAGTCATGTGTGCAGTTCATATAAACCTCACAACACCCTCTTCCTCGCACTAAATCCCTCACTATCAAGCAACAAAAGCGCAAATAAACCCCCCATTACCGGTCTAGCCTTGAAATCAAGACCAGGAGGCTGCGTTCCATCATTCGTCTGATAGAGATCGGTAAAAGGGTGGGAGTTAGGCGTCTCATTCACCCACTTCGCCAGATCCTTAATGAACATATCCCTCGTTTCCTTACTCGCTACCGCAGCGCAGAAAATCTCCCAATCAGACTTCGTGTAATAGAGGTTCCGTGTGTCCAGGGGTACGCCGTAACGTTCTTTGATAGTGGGGTAGAAGGCAGATTGGATATCGTAAATCTCCTGGGGCACGAGGTTGAGTCCGAGGAGACGGTCGTTGTATAAATTGTAGAGGAGGCCATGGGTGGTTTCATTCCCATAGTTGAGAATCGAGTGAGAGGGGTTGGCGGCTTTGTTGATACCTAGGTCGATCCAGCGGGTGATGTAGTCGTGGGCGATGGCGGTGTAGTTGTCTGCGTCTGCTGTTTCGCCAATGATGCGCGACATTTGGGACATGGCTTCTAGGCCAATGATGCCTTTAAGTGCGAGGTTAGTTTGATTGACGAGTCTTCCCGCGAAGTCGTCGGTGGAGAGTTGATCGGCTGGGAGGAGACTTTCTTCTATGAGGTATTCGGTCCATTGCTTAAGGATGGGGTAATGTTGGGAAATGTAGTCGGTGTTGCCAGATAGCTGGACGTAGGCGAGCATCATGAACATGTGGTTCCCACATTCTTCCAGCGGCATGTGTTCGTCCATACCGTCTGGGTGGCCGGTAGCGTTAGGGTAGTGCGCTCCCAGGTCATGGATAGCAAACTTGTTTGGATAGTGCCCGCTTTCCTGGTTCTCGAAGTGCGGATCAAGCAGCAGCTTGACTAACTCTGGATTGGTATAGTAGAAGATCGGAGTAGCGGGGTAGATGACGTCGACCGTCTGCATATTTCCGTTGGATGAGATTTCTTTAAGAAAGAGGTAATGTTTGTCCTCAGTCCCGACAAGCTGAGTGGCACCGAATGCTTGACGAGCAGCCAAGCTAGTCAGTATAGCGTAGTCATCTCCTGCAGCTGCTTGGGAATCTTGGGAGATCTTATCGTCGAGCTCCGTGGACAGTTTGTTGAACTCTTCGTAATCCTTGTAGAAGAAAGATAGCGCGGCGAGATCGTCCCCGAAGTAGCTCTTCCAGAGTGATGGTACGTTCTTGAGGCCGTCGGCGCCCAGAAACTGTATAGCATCGTCTTGACATAGACCGATAGTGTACAGCTGTTTCTTCACGGCAGGACCGACGGAGCCCATGTCTAGAGCGTATCCAAACACGGGCCATTCAGCGTTGATCGGTCGGAACTCCGAGTCTTCCGCGTTGTCGAGGCTTCCATCATTATCAAAGGCATCGCGAACTTCAGAGTCTGCACCAGACTTATGCGAAAGGCCTTCGATTACCTCGGTAGAATAGTACTGTTGATGTTAGGTCGTGACTCCATGTCTTTTGGTGGACTACTTACCCAATTACCCCACTCTGCGCGGTCGTTGACCTCACTCAAGGTCTGTTGGTTTTGCTTCCAGATCTTGTGATAGCCGATACCATCTGACGTAGTGCCGTAACTCCACTCGGCTACAGCAGCGACATCACCAGACGTCCATTCTGTCTGCATGTCAACTCAGGCGCACGTCCAGAAAGGAGAGAGATGCTCACCAGCACTGATATCTGTATAAATCTGCACATTATGTGGAGAACCGTCTAGAGACGAGACCTCGACATCCATGTACGAGAAGATGAGAGATTGACGCTTGAAGTCATTTGGAGTCAGTGGTGACAGAAATGTAACTTTGAGCTGAACGGTATCGCCTGCAGTGATGGTAAAGATGCTCTTAGTTGACGTATATTCGTATGATGTCTGATTAGCGAAATCGTTGTAACCGTCGGGTTTTCCCATCCAGACAAATGTGTTGCCATCGACTTTGATCAAGCCAGTCCATCCTACGATCTGTCCACTGTTCGGCGTCAGTATGCATCTAACATGTAGCGTTCAGAGAGAGCTTACGTCCAAAATGACGGCCACTGGCCAGGAAGATAACCTCCGTTTCCTCCATCACTACCGGCAGGGAACCACGTACTTAGATATGGACTCTTGACGGCCAGAGGCAGGGAGGGTGGACGAGCTGGAGTGAACGTCGAGCTAGACTGCGCAGCAGTAGTAGAAAAGAAGCTGCACAGCGCACTAAGAATGGGAAGATACATCTTCAAGGATAGAAAAGACTAGAGAACGGGCATGCGCGCAAGACCAGAGTAAAGTGATATGTAAAGGTTATATAGACATAAAATTCCGAGTCGATCTCCCGTTGGTGTCACCTCGTGCTCGCTGCAGCTAGCCATGAGGGACGCAGGCATCGGTGCGTCAAAATGGCCATTTCGTTTGTCGAAGGCGCCGTGATGTTTGTCGACAGCTTCACGCGTTCTACGGTCAGCACTAGCTAGATTTAACGTTCAAGTGACGATACAAATGTCAGGAAGGGTTACGGGCGAACCTAAACAGCATGGGCGTAGCCCCGAACTTTTTTTGATACTACACCACGTGGTGAAGCTTTAGTATCACCTTACAATGTAGGCAATAAACCCATAAAGCTCACTGACAAGGCTTTCTATCGGTCACCAAGATTCTTGGTTACTTTGGGATATGCGGTGGTTAACCACGTCCGCAGAGGCACGCCTGACGTACATCATAAGGTTATGCCAGACTAGCTAGTCTCTGTGAGCACAAGGCTGATCAGTCCTCGCGACATGCTGTCGGACTGCTGCTAATCAGTCGGCGAAATCAGGCGACCTTTACTATTGCACTCCATGAGCGTTGAAACGAGGCCTTGCCTGATTTGGTAAAGCATCCTCTCCGCGCAATTAGAGACGCTAGACCATGGTTTGCTGCCCGGACGGTATGAGTGGAGACGTGAGTTGGCGTTGTCAGATTCCACGATCCTCGTGATGCTACTGCCGCGGTGTTGAAGAGCGACGAAGCACGGGCGTCCAGTAGTAGAGAGTACGAGTGACGTTGAACCGCGGGTTTGGAAGGCGTGGTACTTGAAGTACACGGGCGCACTGCTAGCGTTGTAGCCGTTTGCGCTGCGAGCGCTTTAGCTCCTTCCCTATTCAAAAACAAGTGTGTGTGTGTGTGTGTGTGTGTGTGTGTTAGATACCCGAGAAGAGCAAGCCACGATAGCGCAACGCCGTCCGTGCTTGGAGCAAAGTGTGTGGATGCGACGGAACGTGTGGGTGTCGTACTGCGGGGAAGGCGTGCGCGGATCCGGAAAGTGCCATCAATATGCTTGCACGTTCTGTATTCGGGGTTACCACCGGTCCAACGCGGTAGCACGAAGACCATGACTGTAGGTCTTTTGGACAACGTTGCCACGTTGTGTGCGTTAGTTGTCAAGTACCATGTGAGCAAGACGATCATGAGACAGACAAGGCTTGTGAGTAGTGACAATACATTGCAGAAAGCTCATCAAAGTATGAGGTCGTATGAGCCGCTAATAGTTGCCTACCGACATGACAAATGATGGAGTCTGTGGTGAGAACCACGCTCATCCGGCAGCCAAGTAAAGTACAATGCATCATGAGACCATCCGCTCTTTGACCCAACCATTGGTAAGAAAACGCCGGCAAAACCAGGATCATGAGTGGAATAATAGCGCAGGGTATCCAAAAGCCAGCGGAAGTGACTGAATCGCAGAATGCCGGATAATAAGCGAACACCAAGTATGAGCAAGAAAAAACGCAATGCAAACCGGGTATCCAAGGCCTGTCCAACACCAAACGTAACTCGTACAAAAGAATTCATCAGCTCATGACTCTGCAACCCAAGGACGAGCCACGTGCTCGAAGCGTTGCTCGCAGTCGCGCAACAATGCGCACTCTAGGATATCATGGACATTCCAGCGCTTTTCAACGTCAGCCTCGAGGCAACCCCTAACTAATGCGAGGGCATCGTTAATGTTGCCTGCTTGGGCTGACTCTGCGTTACGTATGAGGTCCGCGTCCCATTCGCAGTTCTTGATCTTCTCAATCGTCTTGATATCGAGGCCGTCATTAAACGGTAGAGTCGCGGTCAGTAAAGCAAAGACAACTACACCAAACGCCCAGATGTCCGCCGCAGGTGAGAATACGGGCCCAGGTGTATTGAACAGCTCAGGGGCCGCATACTGTAGGCTACCGGCGATAGAAGTACTGGTCTCTGCGGGGCCTATGTTCTGGTTGTCACCGATCGAGTGCGGCTCGGGACCATCGCGCTGGTCGCTGACAATGAAGTCTGCCATGCCGAAATCGCACAGGAGAAGATCACCGCCGTCCTTCTCAGCGTAGGGTACAGTCATGTCAAGAAGACAGTTCTCGAGCTTAATGTCGCGATGTACAACCTGGACATCGTTGTGCAGGTAGCGCATGGCTGACGCCAGCTGATAGGCATAGCGCTTCACCAGGTGAGCTGGTAGTCCGTTCTTCTTCTGGCGGCGTGTGTCGCGGATCAGGTCGAAGAGAGTCCCACCCTTGTTCAGCCTGGTGATGCAGAAAGTAGCATAGTCGGTAGTGTATACCCTGAGGAGTGGAAGAATGTAGGGGTGCCGTAGGAAGCGCCAGATCTCCACCTCGTGGTCGAACTGTGTCTGGATCTGTTCGTTCTCGATCTCAGACTTGTCCTGTTGCAGCCTGCGCACAATCTTGACAGCATCGATGACCGGTTTGCCATTCTCCATGCTTGTGACCTCCTTTACGATGCTGAAGCCACCATAACCAATCTGCTTTCCAATGATATACTCGCTGTCATAGCCAATACCTTGACCTTCGTCGTCTGGCTCGGGCGGCTTGATTGGGGCCTCGGACGCCTTGTAACGCGCCAGGAAGGAGGCAGCCGGCGACATGGACGACAGAGACCGGCCGGAGCGGGCAGACGATCGACGGCTAGTTCTCTTCAAACTGCCATCTTCGCCAATCTCCGATCTCCAGCTCTTGGTCCGAGGTGGGCCGCCGCGGCGCGGAGAGGGCGAGAAGAGGGGAAACTCCATGGGGGAGGTGGCAGGCATTGGCGAGAGCATGTACTCGGACGGCGCCTCGAGGGGTGTTTGCGCCTCGTCTAGCGGCGGCGAAGCGGTAGCGTCAGAAGTCAAGGATGCGACTTGGTCGCGGTACTCGGAGTCGTTGGCCAGGTCGTCTACGGTGGACTGGGCGAGTGGGTATCGGGACTCTCCAACGCGATACTGCATGTTTCGGCGCATGGTGTAGGGCATCTCCATATAGTCTTGCTGCGAACCATCCGAGTAGCTTCCATTCTCGATTGTGCGTGAATGCGACTGCCGTGAAGACTTGGGCACAGGCACGCCCAGGCCGACGCCTTCTCCCGTGTCGAGGCGGACTTCATTATTGAAGCTGATGCTCGTCTTTCGTTGCCTGAATTTGGCTACAAAATCCTCGTCACTTCCGCTGCTGCCTATAGCCAGGGAGCCCTCATCGTCAGACTCGGTGCGCAAGTCGGCGCCATGGTGGTCACGCGTAGGGAAGGAGGCGCGCGAGATGTTCTGCGGTTCTGCAGCAGCGAATTCGGCGGTTAGCTGGGACTGGCTATGGTTGTGCGGGGACTGTTTACGGGCTAGAGGCGCGAAAGATGCAAAGGTGGAAGCGACGGGTTTGTAGGGAGTCGAGGTGTCGAGTTTAAGCTTCTGGAAAGTGTGTGAGGGTTCTGAAATTGGGGCCATTAAACCGGTTCACAGTGAGAGCAAACCTCTTTTTACACCGGCGAGAGGGTGTATTAATGTGTGCGGCGATCGTGGGGTGAGTCGCGCGGCGAAGGGCGAAACCGGGAAGTAAAGTAATAAGATTATGTTCGGGCTTGGTGACAGCGGAGTGCTAGCGGAACGAGGAAATTGCACGCGCGCCGAGCAACGGTATGCCTGGGGAAATTGCTCGGGGTGGCAATTGATTGATGGATCTGGGGTGTAGTTGATTGAGGAGCAAGGCAGAAATGGGAAAGGAGGACATAGTTCTTTGTCCAGAATATTGCTTCTGGTCTTCCGCTCGGAACCTCCCCCACGCATTTTGTTAATAGGCGGCCGTCAGCGGAGGCGCGGGCGCAGAGGCACGTGAGCGGCCGTGAACCAGCCATGCAGTTATGCGCACCTATGGGACGCGTCCCCAGGGTAATCTGCTGCTTTTGCGCATAGCGAGTGGGTGCTCGGTAAAGATTCTGGGCAGCCTAACGCAGTCGGAGTGCTGGATGATCCATGGTATAGCAGACAGCCAAGCGGCCGTCGCCGCATCGCGACGGGTAGAGGGCGAGGAGAGCGGCTACCCCGCACGGAGGCTCTGCAGAAAGCTGCGCAGCAACACGGCTTCATTCATGAGGTTTCCCAGGCGGTGATAACAGTGTCAGAGGACGTGGGGCGCGTCAGACAGATGGCCTGCATGGCGGGCCGCTAGACCGTACATGACGCCGGGCGTTGCAAAGGCGAATAAGGCAGCATGAGGGCCATAATTGTGACCTGGCCGGCGCATTGTTGGTTGTACACGTCAAACGGCCGAAACATGACGTTGCGGCCGCCGTGAAGCTCGACGCGGTTGGCTCGTCACGGCGACAAGCAAGAGACATTGCCCGGGGTCCCTGTCTGCATCGCTGGACCCTTCAAGCCGGGCAGACTTGACCGCGTTGATGATAGCGGACGCTTGGAATGCACATATACATCATCTTATAGCGTGCTGGGGTGGTTGCGATAGGGCCTTGGAAGACCGCGAACACCTTCAGAGCTGCTCGAGGGTCGCATAGCAGCCAGAACACACAGAGCACAAACGCATCGACGCGGCTCTCTACTGTCAAATCTACGTCGTCTTCACGTGAAGCTGGCTAGCTCGACGCTTGTGACTGCATGCACGGGCGACGCTGCCGCGCTACTGCTAGACACCTCCAAGTTCCCTCTGCCAAGCTCGATTCAACACCCTGGGGCGGGTGACAACATCACCAAGCTCATCAACCCATCGCACCGGCCCAACCTGTCTCCCGTCGCCAGCTGCACGCATTCTTCACTGCGCCACGGCATTGTTGGCTGAACCTGCAGAGCCGATAGTAACTTCGATCGGCCGGACTGCGACCGTCTGCGCCTCCAGCCATGGGCGTCTCCGACCTCTGCTACCGTTTCTTCTGCTGCGGCGGTCAGTCGACCCAAATCTTCGCTGTGGGAGCTTACTGACAAAATCGGGCAGGCCGCTCAAGAGACAGCATATATGACCCAGTGTTGGCAGACAGCGAGCGGGAAGCTGTTGCCGACCTGCTGGGCTTCCTCGAGAACGTACGCTGCCCACCGCCTCTGCTGCCGCTGCTCCCCATGCTAACCTGCGCAGCGAGCCGAGACCGACTTCTTTTCTGGCGAACCCCTCCGCGCGCTGAGTACGCTTGTATACTCGGACAACATCGATCTACAACGGTCCGCAAGCTTGACCTTTGCCGAGATAACGGAGCGAGGTACATGACCCGGCACCACACCTACATGCAGCATCTAACAACGTCCGTCTAGATGTCAGAGAGGTTGACCGAGACACCCTGGAGCCTATTCTGTTCCTGCTCCAGAACCCCGACATCGAAGTGCAGCGTGCAGCGAGTGCCGCCCTGGGCAATCTGGCGGTAAACAGTATGTTCACACTCTACACCCCCAACGCGATGACTAACCATCGCAGCCGAGAACAAGGTAGCCATTGTCGCACTTGGAGGTCTTGCGCCATTGATCAAGCAGATGAACTCGCCCAACGTCGAGGTGCAATGTAACGCCGTCGGGTGCATCACCAACTTGGCTACACACGAAGACAACAAAGCGAAGATCGCACGCTCCGGCGCACTGCAGCCTCTCACAAGACTAGCAAAGTCCAAGGATATGCGCGTGCAGAGAAATGCCACTGGCGCGCTGCTGAACATGACGCATTCAGGTAAGATGCTCGCAGTGTTTCATCATGCTTTGTGCTAACACCGTTCCAGACGACAACCGACAACAGCTCGTAAACGCTGGCGCTATTCCCGTCCTCGTTCAGCTGCTATCCTCATCCGATGTCGATGTCCAGTACTACTGCACCACGGCCCTCAGCAATATTGCGGTCGATGCAAGCAACCGCGCCAAGCTGGCACAGACTGAGGGCAGGCTGGTTGGCTCCTTGGTACACCTCATGGAGTCGTCTTCGCCCAAGGTGCAGTGCCAGGCTGCACTCGCTCTTCGTAACCTAGCATCGGACGAGCGCTACCAGCTCGAAATTGTACGCGCTCGTGGTCTACCCTCCCTCCTCCGCCTGTTGCAATCGTCCTACCTACCGCTTATTCTATCCGCCGTCGCATGCATACGAAACATCTCTATCCACCCTGCCAACGAATCGCCTATCATCGAAGCTGGCTTCCTCAAGCCCCTGGTAGATCTGCTCGGCTCCACCGACAACGACGAGATCCAATGCCACGCAATCTCCACCCTGCGCAACCTCGCGGCAAGCTCAGACAAGAATAAGCAATTGGTTTTGGAGGCGGGTGCTGTGCAGAAATGCAAGTCGCTCGTGCTCAACGTGCGACTCCCGGTGCAGTCTGAGATGACGGCAGCAATTGCCGTTCTTGCCCTTAGTGAGGAGCTCAAGCCTCATCTGCTCAACCTGGGCGTCTTCGATGTACTCATTCCACTCACCGAGTCGGAGAGCATCGAGGTCCAAGGCAACAGCGCGGCCGCTCTGGGAAACTTGTCTTCCAAGGGTAAGTTTGACTAGTCGCTACTACAATCTTCGCTAACAAGTACAGTTGGTGATTACTCGATATTCATTCAGAACTGGACGGAACCCGCAGGCGGAATCCACGGTTACCTCCGTCGCTTCTTGGCGAGCGGAGACCCAACCTTCCAGCACATCGCTATTTGGACGCTGCTACAGCTACTCGAATCGGAAGACCAACAGCTAATGGAGCACATTGGCAAATCGAACGAAATCATCGACATGGTGACCGAGATCGCCGAGCGCAATATCGAATCGGACGACGAGGACAACGAAGACGGCGAAGGCGAAGTCGTCACCCTCGCACGCAGATGTCTTGAGCTGCTTGGCAAGAGCCCCAAAACTCTCGTCGAAGGATAGAGAAGAGTTGGATCGCATCTTATACCCTGTTTATCGGTTGTTCATCGCGTTGGCACTCTTGCTCGTATCCGCCATATTCCGGTTCTCTGCTAATGCGTTCATGTTATACACTGCTTTTGGGCATCTTGGAGGCTGGCGTTCAGGGAGCACAATCATCCTCAGTATCTCTAGCGAGCATTGGCGGAGCGGGCTTTACATACATTGGCATGCACATAACTTACCACTACTCTTACCTGAGCATTCGACGCGGACAAATTTGTAATTGATAGAGTTGGATCGAGGCTTCGGTCATCAGGAAATGAATTAGATGATGTCCCAAGACTCGTTGGCCTTTTAGTGATGGAGTGCTTCTTAACGATGATTGTGTAGCAAGGCCTGCATATATTGTGAAAGGCGAGAGCATCCGCTCATACACTACTGATAGGTCTATGCCGGGGACTAGTCGAGGCCCCTCATCTAGACATGTGACGTCGCGTTGGAGCTAACTTTATCGATAGCCAAAATATTTGTGAGTCTCAGCATTGCGCGAGTCACCGCACACCACCACGTCCCAACATTCGAGTAACAGCAATGCCGCCAAAACCAAGAGGACGGGGGGCTAGTCGCGCTCGTGGAAGCGCAAGAGGAGGAGCAGTGGCAGGACGAGCCACGACTGGCGCCAGTGAATCCACAGATGCGACCCCGCAAAGCACAGCTGCCGCAGATGCCTCGGAAGCTGCTGCTGAGCCTGTGGTCCCCAAGCAAGAAGACGGCGATGCGAAGCCCGTCGTTAGTGGCGATGGCGCGTCGGCAGCCATAGAGTCGCAAGCCTCTGAGGTGCCTTCAGCGACTGCATCGTATGCTCTATTCCCCCATCTATTTCGACGGCAGTACTGATATATGTACAACAGAGCTGTCGCATCACCCCAACCTAGCGCAGAACCAGCCACGCGCGCTCCAGTGCAAAGACTCGGCAGTCTCCAGGGCTCAGTGCCTCCTTCGCGATCTGCATCACCGTCTGTACGCGGTCGCGGCGGCACAACTCGAGGGAAGAGGGGCGTCAAAACCCCCGCCTTTACCGGACGAAGGAGCAAGGAAGAGCGAGACGCTATCGCGAAAGAATTAGCAGCCCGCGACAGGGAAAGGACAAAGGAGCAGGTTGCAGCGGAAGCTAGAAAGCAGGCGGACGCATCAAGGGCAGCAAGACGAGAGGCCAGCAAGCTGAAAAATGCAAGAGGTGGATTCAGTGGTGTTGCCAGTGGACCATTCTCGTTAGGCAGCTCTAAGGAAGGCATGTTAATCGCTCTGGCTATGGTTGTACATACTAACCTTGAGTAGACAGGAAGAACAACCCGAATCGCGGATACTCTGGTTTCGGATCAGGCTCAGGCTCAAGAGCAGAGCGCGTCAAGAACGAGGACGGTAGCTATGGAGGATCTAGTTCCCGATCGGGTGGAGGTGGCGGCGGCGGCGGCGGAGGAGGAGGTGGAAGTGGAGGCGGTCCATCTATCAAGAGAGAAGACGGCGGTCTTGTGTCGTCTGACGAAGAAGACGAGGCTGATGTGCCGCGCAAGGACATCGACTTGATCGAAATCTCTTCTGACGAAGACGAAAGCAAACCCAAAAGCGCACCCACCTTACGCGGTGCAAGAACAGCCTTACCCGTTCGCATTGGCAGGAAAGAGCACCAGGAACGGACATTTGGCATCAACACAGAAGCAAGCTCGGAGACTGCGGCGAAGATCTTGGAGCAGGCGGAAGCGAGTGGGCAGTCACTCAAAGATGCTGCATCCGAACAAACAAGTCGGAAATCCAAGAGCAAACCGAAGGACATGGAGATCACAGGTTCGCGGAAACAGTTCAAGGGCGTCTGGCACGATTCGGAAGACTCAGACGTTGTTGTCAAGACTGAGCCCACCAGTGAAGACGAGAACATGGCCGATGCTGAGCAAGTGGGCCAATCTGACGGTGCAGCTCAGCCCGCAGAGAAACAGGAACCACAGTCACCAGATGCCGACCGAAAGCCAAAACTAAGGAGGAAACCTATAGCAGAGCCAATCCTTCAAACCGATGAAGATCGCGCTGAATGGGCACGCTTCCAGTCGAATCTACGTCATATCCGAACCGAGTTGGGTCCAGAAGAGGTACCACAGGTCGACGGGTCCGGCGACGTACCTATGGAAGACGCCGCCAGCACGGAGAAGAGGCCTACGGTGCGAGATAACAACGTCTACCTGTTTCAAATACCACCCCTCATGCCTGCGGTGGAGCCACCGTCCATCAAGAAAGAAACTTCCGATACTCAGCCCGCTCAACTGCCTGCGCAGCCATCAATCAAGCCGGATCCAAAGATCAAACTTGAAGAGGGCAGCTTCTCCGACCCCTCTGCTAGATCAAGGGAGGGCGTACGATTCGGGAGTGGGTTGGTAGGAAAGTTGCGCGTGCATGAATCCGGCCGCACGACACTGGACTGGGGCGGCACGAGCTACGAGCTTACACCTGGACAAAAGGCCAGTTTCCTCCAGGAAGTTGCTAGCCTTAATATCCGACCTGAAAGCGAGAGGACGGCGCCGGAGGACGGGGGTGATGCAACCAGTCTTGGTAGGGTGAAGGGCAAGTTCGTGGTAGTGCCGAACTGGGGAGAAATGTTAGGTTAGGGTGGGATTCGACCCAGGCGTTGATGAAATGCATATAGTGGCGCTGCAGGGATCAGTTAAAGTTTATGGGTTGTACATATGTAGCTGTATCTCTCAGGAGCGATCTTGAAGTCTGCCACCATTCAGCAACAAATACTTGAGATGAGAATCAAGTGTTGTCCAAAACCGGCGTTATTCGTGTAGAAGCGACTCGCAGCACTTCACGCCTTGCTTTAATCGGCTCGGCCAGACAAACAAGGCGTGCACGCCAAAGTTCCAGACAATAGACGTGGGGTGGGGACGACGACGGACGAGGCGGATCTAGGTCCCTGCTGCGTTAGTCGCTCGGCCAGGAATCCCCTGGTGGCAAGTAGCGAGAATTGAATTTCCATAACCGGCCGACTCGTGCACCTGCTTCCTGCTGCAAGACTTGCATCTTCGCACACTGCAAGAGTACAGAGTCATCTCAGCCATTGCATGCAATAGGACTGATATAATCACCTGCATATCGCATCTTCACTGCATTCACATTCTGCGCTGAGAGACTGGTGGGATCCTGCAAGTAAAGTTGCAGCCCGCCATCAAGATGAATTCCTGCATGGACGATACAGATGGGCCAAGTTTACATGCAAGCGCTGGTTGATGGTCACCATCATCGAGCAGCCAGCACCGGACGATGAGCAGCCTAGCTACCTGCAGGAGCCTGCGCAATTGGCACGAGGGAGGCTGTCCTCGCCACGTCTGCAACCAGTTCCAGACACCGTCTTTACTGTCAAGATCCAGTCGTCAGAGCTGCGCGCTCATGTTGAGCATATGTGGAATGTCAATTGGTCCAAGACATCACTTGGCCCGATCAGTTCCTAGGGTTATGAGCTCAATATTCTAGTCACTACACTGATGCTGGAAACCCGGCCCACAGCGCTCTTCCTTGGTCCTGAGCATACTATACTGCACAATCTCGCGTATGCCTCTGTTAGTGGCTCAAGACACCCCGCTATTCTTGGTCAAAGTATTATTGATGCTTGGTATCTACACTACCACGCGTATATACAATGTTTCAGTATTTAATTCGCTTTAGGCATGAACTTGCCGATCCTGTTAGTGCCACGATGGCTCGCTCAGAGCAGACACGTTTTGCAGATGCTCCAGAAGAGGAGTATCATTTTATGGTCGAATGATTTGGCTTCGTCGAGGAAGCGTTCTTTATGGGGAGCTTGATTCTCCTCGTCGGCGTTCACATCGACGGCATGTACTCCATCGTAACCGAGGTGACGAAACAAAGGTAGGGATCCTGCGTATCTGATACGGACAACAGACTAATTCACCGAATATAGATTGTTGGAAGGACGCGTTGATGCCCTGCTCAAAGTAGGCCAACTGACTAGCAAGGCAAGAAGCACCAAACACTTCTGGCAAAGCTTGGCCGATACGATGGAAGCGACCAGATCAGAACCATCAGAGTGGAGAAGCTGGCGACGACGTTCCCGCTGCCGACAACGTTCTCTGGGCATTGTCAGCATGTACGCCTATTAAAGGCGCAAACGGGCTTGTCACAGGCATATTTGGGTGCAACACCGATATCAGTGCTCAGAAAGAAGCGACTAAAACCGTACTAATGCGCTCGGAAGCAGAGCGACGTCTAGCCTCCTTTACAGAGCTTGTACCAGTGGGTTTATATCATCTCAACCCAGACTTGACGATGAGATATTGCAACGACCAATGGTTCCGCATTAGCGACCATCCCAAAGTACCCATTGATCAAGTAGACTGGCGAACTATTATCGGTCGCGATTTGATAGACTGTTGTAATCAATGAAGTCGAGGTCGCCAGACGCAAACAGGGACCACATACCTTCTCAATAAACCTCGAGAAGAGGTGGGTGGACCTTGACGGTATTGAGACACCCACTTGTATTCTCGCATCGGGACTATGACGGGAACGATGACTGATGTCAGTCACATGATATGGGCTGGACCTATGCAGAAGAACAGATTCAAAGAGGCGGTAAATCTTCCTATGTACGAACTGCGTGTGAGACATACACTGACTTCGTACATCGACATCTCAGCTTGAGTCAAAAAGGCAACAGGAGAACTTCATTGATATGACGTCTCACGAGATGCTGAATCCATTGAGCGCGATGGTACAATGCGCGGACTTCATACACTCATCCCTGAACGAGATGAATGGACTCGCGAGCGGAGATACCCTGGCGTTATAACCTGTCATTCAGACACAACTAAAAGGCTTGATCAGCACCAGTATAGATGCAGTCGATACGATACAAGCTAGTGCTACCCACAAGAAGCGAATTGTGGATGATATATTGATGTTGTCGAAACTCGATTCAAAGCTGTTAGTCATCAACCCCATAGTGATACAACCCTCGGCTCTTCTACAAGACGCTTACAAGATATTCAAGGACGAGGCGAACAAAGCTCGCGTAGATCTAGAAGTGAGATGCGACTTGTCCGTTGCGGATTTGAACATCGACTAGGCGATACTGGATCCCAGCCGGGTTTTACAGGTCCTTATCAACTTGCTCACCAATGCCATCAAGTTCACCCAAAGCCAAGAAGTGCGCAAAGTCGACGTTATTATGAGCGTATCACGCAAGGCAGATCAGATGCCTGGTGTGGAGTATGTGCCCCAGGAAGCGGTCAGAAAAGATTTCTTGACGCAGGCTGAATGGTACAACACCGGGGAGCCATTCTACCTACACTTTACTGTCAGAGACACGGGATGCGGTCTGTCGCCCGAGCACAAAGCCAAACTATTCCTGCGCTTTTTGCAGGCGACCCCAAAAACACATGTTCAGTATGGCGGCTCAGGCTTAGGTCTGTTCATCTCGCGCGAACCCACCGAAATGCAAGGCGGAAGCATCGGCGTATCATCCGTTCACAATGTTGGGTCAACATTCACATTCTACATCAAATCACGGAGGGCAAAAGATCCAAATACCCTTTCAACCACAAACGGCAACAATAAGAATGGCAGTCTGCCGAATCGGTCCAAGGCTCAGATCATCCAGGGCGATATCAAAGCCCCCGACGGAGCACTACCTTCCGCCGTCCCCATGGAAGATCAGGAAAATGGGAGAGTAATCGATGATCACAAATACTACATTCTCGTCGTAGAGGACAACCTCATAAACCAACGCGTGCTATCAACCCAACTCAAAAAGCTGGGACACACAATTCACGTTGCAAACCACGGTTTTGAGGCCCTCTCCCAACTATCACGGACATCATTCTCCCCAACGCCAAGCGTGACGCCGCCTCTTCCTCTCTCCGTTGTCCACATGGACGTTGAGATGCCTATAATGGACGGTTTGACGTGCACGAGGCGAATACGTGAGATAGAGACGAATGGCGAGTTGAGCGGACATGTACCGATTATCGCTGTTAGTGCGAATGCGAGAAGAGAACAGATCGATATGGCGAAAGAAGCAGGCGTGGATGAGGCGATTTGTAAACCTTTCCGCATCCCGGAATTGGTGGCATTGATCCGGGGACTGGGGATTAGAGGGGAATGAGGTGGGTGGTGATGCGGCGTTCATCCCAAGGTTTGCTGCATACATACATACTATTATATCTTAGCAAGCAGGTAGCGTGCAAGGTAATGTATACTTCTACTCAAAACATTTGCTGTTGAATGCGACACGCACTCTAGTCACCCCTAGTAGTGTGAGTCAAGGAGTCACGCAATGGCAGCATAGATCAGGCATGGCTACAGTACAGGCGGTCACGCCGCAGATACCATGAATATAGTTCCGTAGATGACGTGGTTCAGCTACGATGAAAGATTGACTCATCCTAAACCTCTATCGAAAAGCCCCCAAATTGCTTCCGGAACGTTGACATCTAGCGGATCTTATATTTATGCAAACTTCCGCCGTATAGTGAGCCGAGTGGTCTCCCCCACACCTAGTGCGACTACCCTCAGACGCGTCCGAGCACGCGTCGTCCAGTCAACTAGTGGGGATCACTCGTGTAGTCTCGCCATCGAGATCGCAAACTCGTACAAAGTATGTGTGGGATAAGGGACCAAGTCAGGGGAAGGTGAGCATCGCATAGACGGAACACGGTCTCACGACGCGTTCTCAGGCCAATACAAGTCCAATTCGGCGTGTGACGAGTCGAGTGGAGCCAACCAGCCATCAGCGTCAGATCATTATCAGAGAAAATCTAATCTGATCCGAGGCCGGCACGAGCACGGCCAGAGGGCAGCCAATGCAAGCGTCGAGACGGGCGTCAAGGCGGGCCAATCTGGGTTTCAAATGTATTTCCAAGCCTTTGTTCAGCCGCCAAATGCAGGACTAACTCGTCGCGGAAACGGCCCTTGCATGTTGTGGTGGGGAAACTCGACTCATAGCGCGTTGCGACGCGTCTGGCACAGACGGTTTTTACGTGAAAGCTCGTGGCTGGGCGACGCGCTGGAAGACGTTGACGGTGATTGTCGACGACCAACAGACCGAAAGAACGCAATATGGGTGTCGTTGGAATGCGCACACTCGACCATGTAGTTCAGGCATATTCAGCATTTAGTCGGGTGTTCATAGGGCACCAAAGTCACGGTGATCGATGCCGCACATGGATGAGATCATAGCGTCTTTTCGCGAGGAAGGCGCGTTAGTGGCTGGCCAAAACCGATCGCCCAGTCACGTGCTAGCGTCTTGACGCGGATTTATAGTGAAGTCGCGTCTGCTCTTCGTCTCTCTCTACACCACAACCATCATCAGCCCACATCAGCGATACTTCTTGTAATCCTGACTGCACATTCGCCTTTCTACATACAATCCAGAGCTTCACACATATTTTCTCTTCACAATGTCTGCTCTTGAGTCTACGCCTTCCAAGCAGGTACGTCGCGATACTTCCGGTACTTACACCCTGCAAGACGCGTCCATGCTAACGCGTCAACAGGTCGCATCTGCGATTGACTCTCTCAAGATGAACACCTCGCCCGCAAAGAAGCTTGACTTCTCGCCGGCGCAGAAGGAGAACACTTTCAAGCCCATCGTCGGCATCCCAGATGACTTCGAGGATGACCTTGAGGAGGTTAAGCCTACCGTCGCGCCCACGATTAAGGATGAGGAGGCCGAAGAGCCCCTCCTTCAAGAGAACCCTGGCCGCTTCGTCCTGTTCCCCATCAAGTACCACGATGTAAGCCCCACTCCGATCTAACGCGCTTTACGCGTAACTAGACGCGTCAAACTCCACTTAAGCGATACTCATGCTAACGACATGGCTACTACAGGTCTGGCAGATGTACAAGAAGGCCGAGGCTTCTTTCTGGACCGCAGAGGAGATCGATCTCTCCAAGGATCTCCACGACTGGAACAACCGCCTGAACGATGACGAGCGCTTCTTCATCTCCCACGTCCTCGCCTTCTTCGCCGCCTCCGACGGCATTGTCAACGAGAACCTTGTCGAGCGATTCTCGAGCGAGGTACAAATCCCCGAGGCGCGATGCTTCTACGGCTTCCAGATCATGATGGAGAACGTCCACTCCGAGACCTACTCTCTTCTCATCGACACCTACATTAGCGAGCCCAAGCAGCGCCGCTACCTCTTCAACGCCATCGACAACAGTAAGTTATACCTACAACGTGCTTTGCAACATCACCTAACGCATTCCAGTTCCCTGCATCCGCAAGAAGGCTGACTGGGCCATGCGATGGATCTCCGACAAGAACTCTACTTTCGCCAACCGTCTTGTTGCCTTCGCTGCTGTAGAGGGTATCTTCTTCAGCGGCTCCTTTGCCTCCATCTTCTGGCTCAAGAAGCGTGGCCTGATGCCCGGTCTTACCTTCTCCAACGAGCTCATCTCCCGCGACGAGGGTATGCACACCGACTTCGCCTGCCTTCTCTTCTCTCTCCTCAAGAACAAGCCCAGCATGGAGTCTGTCAAGGCCATCATCACCGAGGCCGTTGAGATCGAGCAAGAGTTCCTCAGCGACGCTCTGCCATGTGCTCTGCTCGGCATGAACGCCAAGCTCATGTGCCAATACATCGAGTTCGTTGCTGACCGTCTGCTGTTGGCTCTTGGCAACACCAAGGCTTACCACGCCACCAACCCCTTCGACTTCATGGAGAACATCTCGCTAGCCGGCAAGACCAACTTCTTCGAGAAGCGTGTCGGTGACTACCAGAAGGCTGGTGTCATGGCTAGCACAAAGAAGCACGAGAAGGACGGCTCATCATCGCCCGTTCCTGAGCCGCAAGGCCAGTCCGGAGACTTCTGCTTCGATGAAGACTTCTAGACGCCTCGCTTTGTTCTTTTGCTATTTATTTGCGATTTAGTTACTGTACAACACTTTTGGACGCTTGGGTTTGGCACTGATGCCGGGCATCTTCGTTCACATACCCCCTTTGCATTTGTTGAAGTACCCACTCTTCGCACTTTGGAGTCATGGCGTTGCTAGCTAGCTAGGATGGGCCTCTTGGATGAGAGATGCGGTAGGATAGCTATGGAACGCGGCAGCGATGGGATCAACGACTTTATCATTTTGAATAATTACGAATACACACCTTTACATATACACATGTCTTCACTACCACATCTCCACTGACGCGTGAAGGCCTCGATGATGTTGGTCGTGCATAACGCGTGCAGCTTCGGTCCGACACGCCACGCGACAGCATGCGCTTGAGCAAACCAAGCTTTGCCGATACCTGCCCATATCTCCTACCACGTGGATTACTCGCAGTAGCCTTCATGCGCGCGACTTCCTCTGCAGATGCTACGCGCCACCCAGGCGCGCAACCTTGCCCTTGGAAGGATTCGCTCAGGTACCGCCTACTATGACGTCAGCTATGCGTGAGGCGTCCCGCGGCTGCCATCTTGTGGAATTGCCACAAGCGAGCTCGATACTTGCAGGCTGTCCAGCGCCATCTTCAGTCCTACAGTTTGCAACATCTTGACTACTTGCTTTTGACCAATCGCGCGCTATGGGGATATTGGTAATCCTGTCCCTGCATTTGCGCACAGAATTGGTGCACCAGACAACGACAGGCTAGCTCGTAAACATCCGCGACCCTCCGCAACAAGATCCGACTTTATCGCTGTTCTAGTGCAGCGTAAATATTTTATGATTACCACTTGAATCAAGAAGCAGCACGCAAATCCGTCTGTTCAGCGAAGACTGTCAAGTACCATTGGGGTGGCGCCGGGGTAGATCCATGCCGCTTCGTGACAAGTCAACATGGCAGACACCATACCCCAGATCAAGGTGACAGACCCACCTGCCGTTGGCAAAGGCTCCTACGTCCAGAACCAGGAGAATGCGTCTTCGATTACAGTTGACGGTACGTCGAACATCAGCATCGATTGCTGTTCCAAGCCACATCGAAACCTGACAGATGCTTACTCCAGGATCTATAGGCCCATTGTCCAACAAGAAGCTCTCCGCCAAAATTCGAAGCCCCACCACACCGTCTGCGCAACCGGCAAGCGATATACACAATGGATACATTGGCGATGGAGAGAGATTGCCCGAAACACCCATGGACCCGCTCTCGCAAGTATGTACAGATAAGGTTCGAGATGCGGAGACGGACGCTAATTGCGCATTATCGTATAGCAAATCCTCCAAAGAACGAATACGTCGCCCGCCGTACAGAAACTACGATCGCAGAACACCGAGCCCTTGTCGATCCAATCGCCGACATCGCCCAACGAAACGAACGCAGAAAAGAAACTGAGTGGAGAGACAACTCGTGACACAAGCGGGGGTAAGGCAGACAAGAAGTAAGTGCACATGTTTGCTCAAGAGAGCGTAGGGAATGTCACACGGCTACATGCCAAGGATTAGCGCGTATTTCGTACTGAGGTTCAGGACCCGCGTATAGAGGCTGAGCTCGCGCTTCGCTCTCTTGTTGGCCTGATCGTCATGGCCGACGCTAGCCCCAGACATGACCGGTAAGGCTGACTATGCATGTAGGAAAGTGTCATTCCTTAGTCGCTTCATCGGAGGCAACAAGAAGAAGAGCACCCTCGATGGCGCAAGCGATAATGGCTCTGAGGCAGACGACCAACGACCAGAGGGTATGGATGCCCAGCTCTATGTCGACAACTTCAGCTTCAGTCCGAAGATACCACATCCTCCGGCATACATTAAAGTGAGGACAAAGTTCAAGAAGGAGAAGGAGTTTGACCGTGTCTTCCTGGCGCAGGAATTACGCTCCGGATCGGATAAGAAGAGTCCTCCCGCTGCTGGATCAAACCCTGCGCCCCAGTCTGGGTCAGCTGCTACTCAGAATCCTATTTGGGCGGTTGAATTTAGCAAAGATGGGAGATATCTTGCTGTTGGTGGTCAGGATAGAGTCATTCGGGTGTGGGCCGTGATTGATAGCCCAGAAGGACGTCGCGCGCATGAGATTGCCGAGAGCGATCCGCATGCCCATCTCAGCGCACCAGTCTTTCAGCAGAAGCCCATCCGAGAATACCAGGGACATACGTCGACGATCCTGGACTTGAGCTGGAGCAAGGTATGTCGAGTTTGCCTGACCATAAGTAGTTAGCTAACACCCATCAGAACAACTTCCTGTTATCCTCTTCCATGGACAAAACCGTTCGGCTCTGGCATGTTAGCAGAGACGAAAATCTATGTACCTTCAAGCATTCCGACTTTGTTCCTTCTATTCAGTTTCATCCTACGGACGATCGGTTTTTCCTAGCTGGATCGCTTGACGCCAAGTTGCGACTATGGAGCATCCCCGACAAGAGTGTGGCGTTTTCGATCACTGTTCCAGACATGATCACGTCAGTGGCGTTTACACCCGACGGAAAGACGTGTATAGCCGGTACCCTCGGTGGACTCTGCATGTTCTACGATACCGAAGGATTGAAATGGCAGGCGCAACTACACGTAAAATCGACTCGCGGCCAAAACGCAAAGGGCAGTAAGATTACAGGAATCCAAGCGACGTATTGGCCTCCAGGAAGCGAGAGTGGCGAGATGAAGCTGCTAGTATCGAGCAATGATTCGAGGCTGCGCATCTACAACATGAAGGACAAGACTCTAGAAATGAAGTTTCGTGGCCACGAAAATAACTGCAGTCAGATACGAGCCACGTTCGCTGATAGCAGTGGACATATCATCTGTGGAAGTGAGGATCGGAAAACCTACATTTGGTCAACGACATCTACGGCAGAGGGCGAAAAGAGGAACCATCGTCCGGTGGAGATGTTCGAAGCCCACAATTCGATCACGACGTGTACTGTCATCGCACCCGTCCAGACACGGCAGTTGCTCAGCGCATCAGAAGATCCCATCTTCGACCTCTGCAATCCACCACCGGTTACTCTAGTGTCAAAAGCTGAATCTGTCGTTTCGTCACGGGCACCTACAGAAGCAGGCTCAGCCCATCCAACACCCGCACCCACAGATACCAACTTCAAGAAAGCTGCCGAAAGCCCAGCATACGTTGCTCGCTCGGCACATCGAGGCGGCAATATCATCGTTACAGCGGACTATACCGGAGCGCTGAAAGTTTTTAGACAAGATTGTGCCCATCAAAAACGAATGCGCTTGAGCGAACAATGGGACGCCGCGTCCATGAAGAGAGCATCGGGTATCGGACGACCCAGCAGCATCATATCGCGGACTAGCCGATCACGGCGTGACAGCGTATCTACACAACCACCAAACGACCGAATCATGACATGGCGACAAAGCATCTCGCACGCCAGCTTCGACTCAACGAATTCTCTTCCTCGCCGCAGCGCTTCACCTCGAAAGTCGCTGGCCGCTTTGAGCTTTCACTCAACACCCCACGAATCCCCCGTCCTACATCCTACAAAAACCAACGATACATTCGACACCAAGCCCACAGGCACACCCAAGACATCCATATCCATGGACCGGACCACCACCTCTTTACGCAGTGCATCACAATCTGAAGCCTCGTCACCAATCAAAGAGCCGTACACTGTTACTGCTGACCCAGACGACGAACCGGATTCGCATGGACAAAGAGCTAGTTCTACAAACCCTCTTGCTTTGTACAACGGTCAGAGCTGGCTCTTTTGGACAAATCGTGATAAGAGTGCGCTGACAGCTGGGAACAAGAAGGAAGCAGAAAGACCGGATCTGTTGGGTCGCATGAGTACACTTAGCCAGATTAGTAGGCTGACGGATGAGAGGAGTGAGGAGGAGGGGGACAGCAAGAAGTAATGCGTTGTAGGCGTTTGTGAGCATATGGGGGTTGGAGTCTTGCAGGTTACAAGTCTTTGGTGTCTACTCGCGCACAGGGCTGGGTTGGAAGTGTATCGCAGCACGATGAAGTACGCATATGAGAAACAATATCCAGTTACTTTGCAAACTTTCACGAGAAGGTCTGCATTTTGCAGTTCGTCAAGTGCCAACACCAAGTTCTCGTTTCAATCGTACTAATCATCACATCACTAGATACGGAACACAGAGGTTGCGATGTCAATTTTCTCATTTTTTATATTGTTTTTCGGTCTCTTCTATTTTCTTCTATTTTTTTTTGTGGTCCAAGCATGTTACTCAAAGTCGGTCATGCTTCAGGAAACCAGTTCAAACCCGAAAAGCCAAGCATCATGACAACTGATCATGTCCGTGTCAAAGTCTGCTGTACCGGTCCGCTCCCCTTCCTGCGTTACGAAATTGAACAAATAGACTCTACATCCTGGACACCATCTCTAATGATATGATAAGTCGTAGCGAGCCATGGAGCGATCTACTGGATCGCGGAAAATGCCTCTGCGAAATCAGGAACATCAGTCATCATGGCTGCGCTAGTGGGCCTGAGAAGCTGGTGACGATGACTGAAGAGCCAACGCCTATTGAACGTAGCGGTCTCGTGTTCGGGGTCCCAGTCGAAGAAGGTCTCCTCGGCGATGATGGGCGTGTTGAAGGAAGAAAAGGAAGAAGCAGAGGCGGTGGGAGTAATGTATGTAGTAGTCTCCTTGACGGGATCCCAGTCGCTGAAAGTCTCGGGAGCGATCTTGGGGTAGTCGAAGGAGGGGGAGGAAGACGGTGTTGCAAGCACGTTCTTGGCGCGAGTCAAGGTCGCCAGCGTCGAGGCTGCGACCGAGGCAGATTTGTCGATGGGCAAGCAGGCAGCGAAGTCGTCGACGATATGACGGATACTGTAGCTGAGTTAATATATGTTGAGAGGAATGTAGTGAAGAACTTACCCGTAAGAGTCGGTCTCGGAGATGTCAATCTCATCGTTATCACGTAGCTGGCCAACGTTGGTAGCGAATCTGCGTTTCAGTTAGAGAAAGTTCACAGTAGGTACGGCTTGCGGGATAGCTTACTCTATTGGCCAGTACTTGGAGAACATGGCGCAGTGCTGGACGACAGGCACGTTGTTGCGACGCTGCATGTACGTGTTGACAAAGTGGCACTGGCGGCCCGAAGCATCATTTGTCTCCCCGCAAGCAGTGATGCACCTCTGAGCGTCGAATTTACCGTCTTGCCAGTACGCAAGGCCCATGTAGGTGTCCTCGCCGTTGCAGTCAAGAGGCGCTTCGATGGCAGCACCGAGGGCATATTTTTCGAGGGCATAATCGGCAGGGACATCGGGCGTGACAACGTCCTTGACGTAGGCGTTGGCGCCGGCCATGACGACGTGGAAGTCCTCACGGGTCTGACCCTCGTTGATGGCGATGCTGGGGAGGATGGTGCCGGACCACAAGTCGCACTCTGAAGGTGAACAGGAAGTTAGCTCATGTTTCATATAATCTCCGAAAGAAGAGACGTACTGATGTGAGTCGTGGACTCAGGGTTGGGGCAGTGGACGCCGTGAGGCGCATTGGCGGGCTGGCGCTCGAAGAAGATGGTGAAAGCATTGCACTTGGCGTCGTTGTCACACTCGGCAGCACCTGAAAGTAGTTAGTAAACTTGTTGAAGCCATGGTGCACTTGTCCGTGTGATGCTCTTCGGCACAGAGTTGTACTTACACCGGGCGACATCGTACGAGTCCATAGTCACGTAGTGGACAAACTGCGATGGTTCATCGTACGTGGTGAGGAGGTTGGAGTAAGCCTGGACGTAGCCAGCGGGAGTGACGGCCGATGAAGCAGCATCGGAGAAGGGATTGTAAGCCTGGAAAACCTCGGGGGTGTCCGGGAAGACTTTTGGGCCAGAGCCCGGGACGAGAGGATCGCAAACCAACTTGTTGCCGAAGTTTGCGAAGACGGTTGCTACCATCAAAGCAAGAAGTCCTAGAGATTGGACTAGAGAGAACATCTTGTCTTTGATGTTCGAATTGTTAGTAGTAGATGGAGAGAGGAGAGATGAAGAAGAATGGAGGAAAGAGGAGAGGAAGGCAGTATCTATATGGATTCAGCAGGAGCTGTGCGAAACTGCTAAGACTTGATACGTGGTAGAGTACGAATGCAAGTATCCTCTATTGCTCTTGTTGAGCTGGGTCGTGCCCACTTCATTCATATGCTGCAATCGCGAGGTCTCCTTCACAAGAACAAATTGGTGGAGCGAAGTGCCCACCTTGTGATAAACGCGCGTAGTGTTGAACCTGAATTGCCTCTCAGGAACGAGGGCTGAGAGTTAAATTAAAATAAGACGGCCCGGAGGCGGCTTTGTTCTCCATATTGTGGACTGGGTTCCAGATTGTGATCATGAAGGAGGGAGATCAAGTCTTCTTCAGGCACGTTGCTGTGGATATCCGCGCAATCTTCCCTTCAATGACTAAACCGTCGAACGCATATCGAGCTCTGCGAGATTCGATTAACGAGGGTCAAAGTCCTTGAGACACTGCAGATCTATCGCAGTTATGTAACAGTTCCCTACTCTCCCGCGCCGAGACCTATGGATCTAATGGTACGAGTGGGTTATCGGCAGTACAGCCACGCTTGGGGTGTGATGGAAGCAACAAAATGGAGCGCACACGCAGCATGTTTATCGAAACGTGACCTGAGCCTGAAGATTGTGGTGGATTCAAAAAGCAAGAAGGGAGCTGCTCGACGAGCGAAGGGTATTAGCTCCACTAGCTCCAGACCCGCCCAAAAACGTCATAGTCTCAACCAACCAGCGACGACCAAACCAACCAACATAGTACTCGCGAATAGCAGCAACTACTTTGCCAGAACCCTCTCTGATTTTTGGGGAAGTATCCTCCTTCTATTACCGAGGTTTCCACTGTCGCAACCAGAAAACTAGAGATAAGGGCAATCCCCACAGTCATGGGCCGCACCGAAAAATCTCAGGGTCTTGCGCCACCCGCCGTGCGCAAGGACATTCGAGCCAAACAAGCGCGGCACGTGGTGAAAAAGGTTGTTCCCGCGATATTGGCATCAAATGCAAGAGCTAGGCGAGGTGTGGACGGGAGTGAGCTTATTCCGAACCCCGGACCAAACGGCACAGCAGGGCAGGATAGTAAGAGTACGGATGGTGCACGTGCTGAGGGTGACGAAGAGAAGGGGTATGTGAAGAGGAAGGGTCAAGGAAGGCGGAAGATCAAAGGTGGGATGGATGATGTTGAAGAGGAAGAGGCAATGAACGGTGATGCAGGAAGAGATGCTGGTAAAGGAAGAGGAAAGGGAAGAGGCAAGAAACGCAATGGTTCTCTCGAAGAAGGATTATCAAACCTCAACTTGAAGAGTAGTGCAACAACACCATCCAGTCCGTTTAGGAAACCGCGAAGTATACGTATGATGACGACGGATGCCCTCACAGCTGCACATATGCTTGCCCGCCCCTCATTATACGATGCCACCGCGGCCAATACACCAAGGCAGACGTCGAAGAAACAGCCGAACCCATGTATCTTGAACATGGCCTCTCCTCTCCGTCCAGGTGGCGGTCTCCTAACTGGTGCTACTTCTGCCGAAGAATCCCTCTGCGCACGCACGACCCTCCTCCCCTCACTTAAAGAATCCTTCTATCGTCTCCCGGAATACGGCGGCATATACACACACGATGTACTGGTTTTTCGCTCTGCCCTTCCGCTCGGGAATAGCGCCGGCGAGCTGTCCCCCACTGAGCGCTGGTACGTCGATGTTATCAGTGCGGGGATGTTGCGGTTTCCTGAACTAGAAGGGGAAGAAGAGGAGGAGGAGAAGAGGCTGAGCAAGAAAGACAGAGAGATTGTAGAGAGCAAGATTAGGGGTGTGTTGAGGATAGCGGAACAAAAGGGTGTGAAGAGGTTAGTACTAGGGGCGTGGGGCGTTGGGGCTTATGGGAATCCAATTAGGGATGTTGCGGAGGCTTTTGTGAAGGTGTTGGGTGGTCGTAGCTCTCATCCTTCGTCTGGAAGCAAGAAGAACAGCAAGTCACCGTCGACTGGTTTTGAGACATTTCCGTCAATCGAAAACATCATCTTTGCTATTCCTAACCGCAAAGTCGCCAATGATTTCGCAGCTGCATTCGGAGGCAAGATCGAAGTCGAAGAAGGCCCTGGAGCTTGTGCCGACGGAGGCGACGAAGAAGACGACGAGGAAGACAAGGTAACGGAAGAATTGAGGAGCAAGATCCAAGAGATGGAGGGTCAAATAAGTCAGGTTTGGAATCCAGATTTGAAACTAAGGCTGGGCGCTATTCTGGAGGGTCTGAGGACGCAGTTGAAAGAGAGGGAAGGGACGCCTCAGACGGGTAGTGTGGATGATGAGGACGAAGAGGATGATGAAGACGAGAACAGTGACCAAGACAGCGATGAGGATGAAGAAGACATTGAATGCAGCGACGAGGCAGATGCAGATGAGGACGATCAAGACCTTGTTGAGCATCAACGTACGAGATCCAGCAAGACGAGAGATATGATGGATGATGGCGATGGCGATAGCAATGGTTAGTTAGACTCGTACGAAGCAGAGTTCTCATCACTAGAGACGATCGTCAAGACGTTGCTAGTAGGAATACATTGTTGGGTATCTCAAAATTTCTATATGCTCGAACTTTTATATGTACAGCAGATTCCTTCGCATCAACGCTCAGGCGGTTGCGCTGGCAGCGTTTGGTTTTTCCGATACAGTTGCTGACTTGGTATCTTTGGTGCCGTTTGTGGGTGTCGCGTTGCTCGGCTCATCTACGTCCTCCAAACCGAGCTTCTTCAGGTCCACGGCCAAAGGATCAGACTCCTCTGTGCTTTCAGTAGGGCCTTCATATCCAGGTGGAGGCAACGCCCAATCTGGCAAGCCAGTCTCATAATCCCATTTCCCTTCCTCGCATCTGTATCTGCGCGCATGCAGGTAGATGCCCAACTCATGTACACCCGGATCGCTATACAGGTCTGTATCGCACACTTTGCATTTCTCCCCAGTCATTCGCTCTGCTTTCCTCTTGTTGTAGGCATCAACCATCTCGTCGTGGTATGCGACGGCGTCGGCGACTTCCTCCTTGCCCATGCGCGAGAGGCGGGACATGATGTCTTCGTCATCTTCGTCTTCGGATTGTCCGCGGCCGAGGGCGGGGCCGAAGACGCGCTGGTTGGCGTATATAGGATCGTTCGATATGGGATGACCGAGGAACTGGAGGTGAACGCGCAGCTGGTGGGTGCGGCCGGTTACTGGCATGCAGCGCACGATGGAGTAGCCGCGGAGTTTCTTCCACGGCTGACCGTTAGGGCCTGTCTCTCCATCCTGCTTCCCGCCATTGTTTCCGTCGTCTTTAGGTGGATAGTATGCCAGCCGCTTGAAGACCGTCTTCGCTTCCTTTCCGTTTGCGCGCACGCGGTTCAAACCGAGCTTCGGGCTGATCTGCAGGATGGGTTTCTCGCAGAGGATCTCTCCTTCTGGGAACTCACCCACCACTCGCGTGATGTACTCCTTCTTGACCGTCCTCCCTCTGATCTGTGCACTCAGTTCTTCTGCCGCCTGCTTGTGCTTGCCAATGAACATGATGCCGCTGGTGAGCCTGTCCAGCCGATTACACGGCAAGGGGTTCCAGCTGTAGCCACGATCGGCCCTCATGATCTCGATGATGGAGTTGAAGTTGTAGCGTCCGGCGGGATGTACGGGCATGCCCGCGGGCTTGTTGATGACGATCATGTTGTCGTCTTCGTGGACGATGCCGATGGGCTGCGCGGTGCACGGAGGCTCGTGCCGGTGGAGGGTGTGGGATATGACATCGCCGTTCTTGACTATGGTCTTTGTGCTCGGCACTGGCTGGCCATTGAGAACTACGCGTCCCTCTATTATGGCCTGCTTGTAGTACTCGGCTGGGCGGTCGCGGAACTCGCTAGAGAAGATGTCGAGAATTTCTCTGCCCCGCCATCTCTCCTTGCAGAAAGTATTGTATGTGAAGTGGTAGGGCGTGACCTTGCGCAGGCCATCTTCGAGGTAGTATGGCCGCGGCCAGGGATCGCAGGGCGTGATTGCGACAGCCGGGGGCTCCTTCCAGGGAAATTTGTCGTTGGGCAGGGGCGGGTATTTGTCGCGCGGGGGCGAGGGCACTAGGGCCATGGAGGGAGAGCCTGTGCGAGTCTTGGGAACAGGCAGGCGGCCCTTGGAGGCGAGGTATGCGAGGATGCGCGGAGAGGGCGCCAGAATCGCGGGGTCGAGGGGTTGAGGTGCGTGTGGGAGAAATCCATGTTGCGCAAGCCGAGGCTGATGGGTGACGCAGCCAACCTAGCCGGCCGTCTTCATCTCCGAGACGCGTCTTGCCCCAACACCAACCACAAGACGAGACAACATGGCACAGCAGGCATTGAAGTCGCGTAGACGGGGCGACTACAAGTTTCAACTCGAGTACAGAACAAGATGGTGCGTCTTCTCGCGCGAGGCCCTTCTCCGTACTGACAGCAGGAAGGAGCGACAATGACATGTACCACCACATGAACAACAGCGTCTATTACTATCTGTATGTCTCTTCACTCTTACAAGCGACGCTTACTAATGATGAGCAGATTTGACTCCGTAGTCAACACCTACCTCATCCAGCACTGCTCACTGCATCCACCCACCTCCCCACAGATCGGCCTCGTCGTACATTCGCACTGTGATTACCTCGCCCCTGTCGAGTTCCCCTCCGTCGTAGACCTCGCGTTACGAGTGAACAAGCTTGGGAAGAGCTCGGTAACATACGAAATCGGCGTCTTCGAAAGGGGCCACGAAGAGGTCAAGGCCGTTGGCGAGTTCGTCCACGTCTTCGTTGACCGCGACAGTCGCCGACCTGGAAAGGATGGTATGAGTGACCAGCTCAAGATTGGTCTCGAAAAGCTGCTGGCGGAGAAGCCAAAGCTATGACATACCTTGGGATCGGGGCTTCCGAGCTGTTTTACAGCAACACTCACAATCCATCCATGTTCGTTGTACAAACATCATGCTGAGAGACGGCCGACGACAGGCGAACACGGTGTTACAAGCGACGAGTATCGCAACGCACGCTATGATATCACTCGGTCGCGATGTTCGCTATGATCGAGAAGCATTGGACGCCGTGAAAACAGTGCCAACCTCAGCGTATATGCAGCCTTCAGCACCCGGAGCCGCTACATGATTCAGGACTGGGAGAACATTACATATCTCCACACAGTTCTGGACGAAGCACCGACCGGATCGATCACTCGATGACGAGGAATTGATGTACCAGGGAAAGCGCGTACACGAGACCGCTTATTAGACCATGTGCGTGTATAGGGCTGGTAGCATAACGAGTAACAGGACACATTGCTGCCATCTCTCATCACAAAGAGATATCAGTGTTCTCGAATAAGCACAGGTGGGGTAACACTTAGCCACACTTCGGCAATGTATTTCCGATACTCCAAATCTACTATTTGCGTGGGCTTTAGTTCATCCAGCGCGGGCGGGCGTTGTACATATCTCCCCACAGCAAAAGCCCATCATATCTTGACTCATCGCATTGTTTCTTCCTTTCCCCCAATCCAACATTCTGCAGCTCATATCTCCGTCTTCAAGACCTCAAACACACGCCACCATGTCCACCTCCGCAATCCAAGGCCCAGGCATGCTCTTCGTCCGCTCCCGCATCTCCTCCTCCGCCCGCGACATACTCTCCGAGCCGACGTTTCTCACCTGGTATGACAACGAGCACATTCCCGAAGTAGTCTCTACGTCGGGCATCGACTCTGCTTTCCGCTTCGTCGATAGCCACAAGTCCTCTCCTATTGCCAACGAGCAGAACCCAAAGCCATTTCTGGCCAGCTACCCCATGGATGATTTGGCTTTTACGCTAGGCGACGAGTTCAAGAAGATAGGGTTTAAGAGCAGTGCGCTACCCGGTAGTGGTGTGATCTACGATTTGGCAGATATGGATGTTAGTTACCTGGGCATTGTGGGTAAGACACCGAAGAGAAGAGAGGGAAAAGGAGGTGGACCGAAGTATGTGATTACATCGGGTATTCGACCAGAGAAGCAGCCAGCAGAAGAACAAGTCACTGCCTTGTTCCAAAATGTACGCTCCCCTTGTGCCACACCCAGTGGGTGGTTTTGTTAGATTTGATACTGATATCAGTGCCCCAGGAAATCTCCACACTCGAAAATTCACCACAGTTTATACGCACACTCCGCTTCAAGCTCCTATACGCGAGGACTAATGCGCAGTCTCGTGCTCTCAAGGGTTTGCCAACGACCGATGAGCCCCACCCTGAACCTTCGACTTGGCTGGCTATACATGAGTTCGCAGGGTCACCGGATGAAAACCTCGTAAAGGCGCTGAATGATGGCATGAGCAAGGCTGCTGAAGAGTGTGGTTGGGGCGAGACGGAGATGGAGACGCTTGTCTGGAGGCTGGATCGTGTGCATGGAGATGGGAAGTTCTTCGAGTAAAATCATTACAGAACTGAGGTGTACAAAATGAAGGCTGTTGTTGTATGATGCAAATGCTGACTGTTTCAGAGACGCTGAATAGTACATAGACCAATATGAGAAGCCCTACAGATGTCTTCTTACCTTACGAGACAGACTCGTCTCCTTTTTCGGTGCGACAGCAATACTACTCAATGTTCATGTCCATGCTCATGATCATGATCATGTCCCTCTCCTTCCTTCTCATCCCACGGATGCCCCTCACCAACACCCTCCCAAGGATCGCCCTTCCAAGTCATCCAAGTTTGATGACCCCTAACATTCGCCTCCAACTCCCCACACCTCCTCTGCTCCCAGCTCTCTTTACCTGCTACAACAGCCCAATGCTTCTGCGCCCTCCCCGCCCAGTATTTCGCCCGATCCTCAATTCCGAAACTACTCCACGTATACGCTAGGATTTCTTCGTACTGTGGTAGTTCAGTTAGGAGCCCTTCCTCTTCCAGATGCTCAATAAGTTTGGGGAGAAGACCGAGAAGCTGTGGCGAATCCTCTGGGTCAGTTGGTAGAACAGATTTCAGAGCTTTGATCTCTGAGAGGCGGTCGTTGGATGCCATTATTGTGTCATCGTCCGCGGTGCATAGAGGGCAAGCGCAGTTGAAGCCGAAGTTAGCTTCTATAGACTTCACGCGACGCCGGCGAGAACGTCTTTCAAAGCCATCTATGCAGTAATTAGATTCGTACTTCCATTGAGTTCTTCGGCGGATGGTCGCTTACAGCTTCTTGTAATCTCTTCTCCTGGCTTGATGTCCTTGAGAGCGAAGACTTCGAATGAGAGGGTGTAGTCGTCGAAACGCCATAGAGTATTTGGTCGACAAGCATGATTGATGCGCTGTATTGAAGTTAGAAGATATTCAACGGAAAGCCCATCAGTCATGACTTACAGCAGCCTCAGGGATGACTGCTAAGAGCTCCGGAAGCTCGTCAACCCATGGCCATTTCACAGCAATGCCATTCGTGATGGCAATGTCCTCGACAGTGCCATCCACATTGACGTCCAATTTCTTGACCATGTCTCTAGTCTTTGTCGGTAGCTGATCGACTGCTTGCTTCAACACGAGCTGTGGCCTCGGCATTTCCGGTATTTCCAGTATCTGCTTGGCGACGAACAGCACGGGAGTCTGCACGATCAAGCTCTCGCCTGGAAAGATCCCGGCGATGTCTTTCTTCGCAAACAACCCTTTGCCCTTCTCTCCCGCGTATTTTACCTCCCACATACCCATCTCTTCGCCCACCTGGCCTTCCATGCCCCCAATGCTCATGCCAAAAGTCTCCATCGTTACGCTAGCCGCGACCTCGGGACTTACGACGAAGCTGATTCCGCGACCGTTGTTGTAGTCGGCATTGGTGTACGCGCAGAATGTCTGATGAACACCTGATCCTGTGTTTTCGTTCTCTCTGCTTGGTAGTATGACGTCTACACATGTAGGGTGATGCGTCCATGGGAAGGTATCGGAGGTGTAGCCATCCTGAGCGACGGGACAAACTGTTGAAGGTTTGTTGATAAGACCATCCTGAACGACGGGACTGCGTGCTGTGTAGAAGAGTTCCGCCTTAACGGTCGATGCACATAAAAGTGCTGTAGAGACAGCGAAGTAACCAGGTCGTTGCCGTCGCCGCGGCCATGTTGCTGTGACCATCTTCCAAGCTCTTCGCTCTCTTATCTATCTGTCACAATCGATGCTAAAAGGAAAAGAAAGACTGAAGAAGTCAGACGTCCACATTCTCGATGTCGGAAGAATTAATCGCGCGAGATAGGAAGCCACGTTTCACGAGTAATGATCTCCGAAACCCCTGTTGCTGAAACGTGCTGGCTGCTTGGCGGTTGCATTGCGCCTGCATCTAGATTGTCTTGGGGATGCATGAGGCCAGTGAGGTTTGGGGCTGTTACCGTCGTTTGATGAGATAGTTGATCCGGCAGAATGGTTGATGTGGGGAGGACTAGCTTCAGTGCCGGGAGAGTCGGTTGAATGGCGCACGTGAGCTGTGAGAACATCGCGCCTTCCTACTCTACCTAAACGATATCTCCAGCCGACAAATCACGACTTTATCGTATGATTCTCATAGTTTTCTTAGACTCCATTCTCGGCGGATGCGACGATGCTGATGGTTCCCACGTCTGGCAGGGTCGCGCTTCAATAGCGAGGTCCTGGCTTGGGCCCGCCAAACCGACGCCAGAGGCGATACCATGGAGGAATCTATCGCTCTGAGTAACGTGTTAGACTGTTGTCGAGCACGATGACATCTTTGAAGTCTAACAAGCACCCCGATTGCTTGCAACGCGTGCAGCAACCCTGCCCAATTATAAGGCACGAGCTGGAGCGCTCTCATTCAATGGAGCATCGATACATAGCTAGCACCCCTAAAATTCAACATGCCATCAAGCGATGCGCTCAACGCTCGTCTCATAGAGCTCATGGATGTGACATCAAAGCTGACGATTGAAGAAAAAAATCAGCTCGCGAGTAAGTCTTCTAAGCGTTGCTGTCCCGCTCCGCGGACGCCTACCTATGTGGTATACAAGAGCTAATGTAAGCAGATAACCTACGCTTCATCATCACCGTCGTTAAGGGGCACGTCGATACTAGTCCACTATCTTTGAATCTGGCTCTAGAGTGTAATCGTCAAGGCAGCTTTCGCATGCTCTTCAGTCGTGATGACCAATTCATCTTGGGGAGGACTACGAATGCGCGCCAGGAGGCATTGGATGGGTTACGACAGACGGTGGAGGGCTTAATCGATGTATTTAGAACCCGTAACCCTGTTACACTACTGGTATAATTGGTATTATCAGATGAACCCTATCACATCCATTCATACAATTCAGTCTCGTTGTAACCTTGACATGTACTGTTGCTGCAAGTTCCGCCTATGATGCTCAGCCAAATCCTTCTCCAGCCAGCATTACAACGTCGAAATGATTCTCCCCGACAGCCTTTGCAACAAATTTCTTTTCCTCCTTGCCATCTACATATAGGTTTGCTTCCACGGTCTCGCTATCTCTGCTGCTGATGATCAAGAACTCCTTCTCATCCCTTACCCCGAAATCCGGTTCGTAGATCGCACGACCTAAGCACTCATCAGTATTGTAAACCACCACCTGTCTTGACAAACGCCAAACTCACCGATAGCCATCTTGCCTTCCCTCGCCAACCAAGCCATAACGAGCGCCTCCCGCTTATCAGGCACCCTCTCACCCTTCTGCTCCGCTAGACTTCGTATGTTCCGCGCCGTCTCCTCATCTTCATTATTTCTCTCCCATTCCAGCTCGCCTTTGACTCTTATACTGACGTTGTAACCACGATCAGGGTCGGAAGAGTCCCATGTGAAATGTTGATGTCTCCAGTCGTTTGCAGCTGTTCTGGATGAGCGGTGTTCGCGTGTGCGAACTACTTCTGCAGGGTTATCGACAGCGCAGATGTGCGTGTGATAGTGGCTGGAGCAAGAAGGTGGTAGGAATTTAACATTGATCTGGTATGTTGATGCGATCAAGGCTGCGCCGTGGAGACGCGCAGGGCTGGTTAGCATGGTTGTGCTTCGGGTGTTGGGGAGTATGCGGTGATTGGATATGTTGAGATCCGTTAGTAGTCAACGGTAGTTGAATTGGTGTGAGTATTGAAGTCAGCAACTCGTTATGGTAGTCACATGAACGGCCCGCTCAGACAGTGAATCCATTATTGCTAGCTGGCTGGTGAAGCGTCGCAAACGCTGTGCGAACGCGGCTTCAGCAACGCACATAGCTCGCACTATATTCCGTGTCTGTTTGAAAGCTAAACAAAGCTTCAAGCATCGTGTAGTTTCATATTTCATATCCCACGTCTCGAAGTTGCGAATCGCGATGCTTGCTTGACAACGATAATTGCGGCGTATAAAGGATAGGACTATTTTACACAACGCGTCATGTATGTTTGATAAAGCAAGTTATTAGTCAAATACTAGACTGTCTGCAGGGTTGTCTATTGCTGAAAGATCCGCCCTAGAGTACCTTATATAAGGATAGTCATTCCTCACGGAGTAAAGAGAGTCGTAATGACATATCGCGTAAAGCTGTTCAAAAACGATCACTAGTGACGATTGCCTAGACCTACGGGTTATGCCAGTCCCACACTGAGCCCTCATCTGACCCAGGGCCCACGCTATTGCAACTAGTTACATGGCCCCACTCCTAGTACCTGCCACCTGGTGGCGGTTGGCCATACTGTTGCTGACCTGGGTATCCGCCGGGGCCTCCTTGGGGCGGTCGCTGCTGACCATATTGACCTGGTGGAGGCGGCTGTTGACCGTAGCCTTGTGGAGGTGCGCCAGGAGGAGCACCGTATCCTTGAGGCGGATGCTGACCAGGGGGAGCACCGTAACCCTGGGGTGGCTGCTGTCCATAGCCTTGCGGGGGCTGTTGACCGTAGCCCTGGGGTGGCTGCTGACCGTAACCTTGAGGAGGTGCGCCATACTGGCCGGGTGGTGCGCCGTACCCGCCAGGTGCTGGGTTGCTCTTCTCGTCCTTCGAGTCGTAGCTTCGATCAATGGCACCGAGGAGAAGCTTGATGATCCACAGATCGGGTGTAAGATCAACAGGAGGGTTTGCGCGCATCATCTCTTCCTGTTCGTTCTCGAAGTCTAATTTTGCGTTAGCACAAGTCTAGTCTGGACTGTATGAGACTTACTGGACGTGCAGTCAACCATAGGGCCAACCTCGGGTTCCTCATCGAGTTGACTGAGGAATTTCCTTGCGGTCACATCGTTTCCTACCTGAGCAAACTCGAAAGCGACAGCGCCACGGCCGTAGGGCGTCGACTGGAGCTGTCTGTAAGTCTCCTTGATGACCTTGAAGATCTCGCCCGAAGGTTCTCCCGCCGGCTGCCCATCGGTGATGGCAATGACCAATACTGGCTTCTGCATCTGTCCTGAGCGTGCCTTCGGGAGTACTATCTCCTGGATTACTTTCTTCTCCATAGAGGTACCCATGGGTGTGAGGCCCTTGAAGTTGACGCCACGCATGATCTCTGCGACCTGAGCCTCAGTCGCGACGCCATCTTGGAGAGGTCGACCCTGTTGGTTGCGAGCTCCTGAAAGATCGGTGTTCATGCAGCGGACAGAGATGCCATCGTTGTCAAAGAGAGTTGCGGCGAATGAGACTCGATCCAGAATAAGGCGCAAATCCGTGATACGGCTGCCTTCCTCTTCGAACTGCATGGATCCACTGTCATCTAATGGGTGTCAGCTTGAACAGCATTCTAGAATTGAGCGGCTTACCGATATATAGCACAATGTCGTAAAGCGCTAGCTTAACGATGTCATTGGCAATCTCCTTTTGGATTTTCCAGCGCGAGATGACTTGGTTGATCTTGGACGGAGCTTGTTGGGCAATCTGGTCAAGATTTTGGCAGATTGGGAAGTTCTGGAGGCCCTTCTCTTGAATACAGGCTTGCAAAAGCTGCTTGTAGCCCGCAATCTCAGCTGGTCCGGCCTGAACCTGTTGAGGAGGGGGCGGGCCGCCGTATCCTCCTTGTGGCGGAGGTGCGCCATACTGACCTTGCGGAGGCTGTCCTGGTGGTCCACCCTAGTGAGATGTTAGTTTCGATACAGATTTCTAACAAATATCAATAGCTCTACGTCTTTGCTCATACGTAATTTTTCAAATCGAAAAAATCTAGATTAGTACGAACATTTGGTTGGAAAGTAGCCTGGGCGTAGGGCTGTCCATATTGCTGCGGTGCCTGTCCATAAGCGGGTTGCTGTGGTTGTCCCCATTGGCTTGGCTGTTGATAAGGCTGTTGGGGTGGTTGCTGTCCATATGGCGGCGGGATCTGTGGCTGGTTCCATTGCGCAGGGGGCGCTTGACCTGGTTGTGGAGACTGTGGGAATGATGACTGAGAATACGGAGATTGAGGCTGTTGTCCTGGCGGTGGTGGAGGGGGTCTGCTATACCCTGACTGCCCTTGTGGATACGGTGAAGATGCGCCATAATGGGTGGGAGCTGCCGGTTGCGCAAAAGGTGACTGTGGCGGCGCATAAGAGCCAGGACGCGGAGGCATAGGAGGACCAGGCTGTTGTTGTTGCGCATAAGGATTTGGCGCCTGCCCAGCGTTGGGCTGGTAGGCAGTGTAGCTAGATGACATCTTGCTTGATAGAGGCATGTGTGGCTAGGTCTAGGGACGAAGTGTGGCGGGTTGAATCCAGAGTGGACATGCTCCGGGCGGGCGATAATTTATTGGAAGCCAAAAGCAAAGTGGGGCCTAGGGAAAAGGCTTGCGAATGCCCAGTCTTAAGTGGCGGGTAGGAGAAGGGCGATGACGACGCAGAGCAAGTGACAAAGAGAAAGAAGGAGCTTTGGGCTTACCCCGGGAGCGCCGGCACCTTGGGCACCTGGATACGCTTGATACTGTGGCTGTCCAGGCTACGTTGCATTAGTGAATCATTGCCAACAACACCCCTTCATCTGGACACTTACGTAGCCACCTTGCCCACCTTGAGGAGGATATCCAGACGCAGCCTGAGCTGCCTGCATCTTACTTGCGAGCTTTGCTACGAATCAGCCACGAATGACGCATGCGGGGTATAGAGGGGCAGCCAAGGAGCTGGCCGATAACATACACCCATCTTACTATTTACGTGTAGAGGTCGTAGTAGGAGGTTGAGGATTGAGGATGTCGGACAAGGCTGAATCTCGAGATAAAAATCAGACAAGGTTGAGATGGAAGGTCAGGTTATAATGTATGCCTTGCGATGTTAGCAAAGGCCGAAGCTGACACGCAAGACCCTTGCCTGCTAAGCCCCCGTCGGTGCACAGCCCTAACCTGATCACGTCCCTATTGGCTAACGCCACATGGCCATTGTTCATTTGCGCGCCGTGTCTGTTTGTTATGAAATGTGGGCAATGTGGGCACGCGTGAGGCTGTGCTTGCAGGCTTCGGATAAGCGACGCCACGAACGAGAGGGGTATCACCAGGCAACCGGATTTCGTACCAAACGTCTTTGAGGCATGCGAATGTGCTGGTCAAGGACCCTGCTGCGCCTCCAATCGATCCGACTGACAGTTACAAGCGCTTATACATTCGTATTGCGCCCACAGCTTACAGGGCGCGTGATGCTTGGAGTTGTGTAGTCTAAAACATCTTAACGCGCTCATGTTCACCATCAAACTACGACAAGCGTTCGAATTCTCGACTTAAGCCGGCGCATCTTGATACTTCCGTTGCTTCAAGGTGATCTTGCACGGTGTCGCTGACTCAAGACACCGCATCTACTTTCTGTTAAAAAGCTAGTGTCTAGGAACTCAAAGTACGTACAGAACCCTGATACTGCCCATTACCTTCTTTGGTAGTAATTCTAGATCGCTCCAAGCTGGTTTCGAAGTAGTTCTCTCTGATACCCACGCTAATGTCATAGCCGTCTAGCGTCCCAGGCTCGGTAAATCTTTCACCACGCTCTGCTGCGAGCGCAGTTCCCAGTATCGTACTAAGTTGAGCCTCATCTAGAACGTTCACTCGACGGAAGTCCATCAGACTTGGGAGATTACAATATTTGAAGCGAATGTCCTTGCTTGGAGCTGGGTCATGGAGGCTTCCGTAATCCAAGATAAAAGCAATGCCTTGGACTTCGTATCTCGTCTCTGGTGGGGTACGGTGGTAGTCTTTGTATACCTCTAACACTAGGGCGTTGTGCAGATGCGTTGCGCCGGAGAATACTGCAAGTCTTGTGCCCTTGGCCAAGATTTGTTCACCCGAAAGATACGTTATGGGGTGAGTGGCCTCACCAGTGTCGCCTTCCTCTGCAACTTGCTGCATCGAGGCCCAGCATTCTTGTGTGTTCTTGGTGATAGCGCAAGACATTATGTCTGACATGCTGCCATGATCGGTTCGATGGTGTCTGTTGCGCTCAGTCGCTCGATGCTGCGACTGTTCGGTAAGAGCGTTGATAAAAGCTCTTTGAGACAAAGCCACGGCGGCTTCACTGGAAGTTACCAGCCGGCTACCCAACCAGCGATACCTGAAGAAGTCTTTGAAAGCACGCATACGTTCGGGTCCTGCGTTAAAAGACTTCACTGTCCTCTGGACATCTAGTGGTAAGGAAAGCTGGACCCCTTTCCTAGTATGATACCAGTACTCGTACCGATACGGAAGATAGAGTACGTCTGTGGCATTGAGAAATTGCAGTGATGCAGTTATCTCAAGTCCTCGAGCGAGTACAAAGCTGCTATCCCTAGTACCTGGTGCCACCTCAAGCGCGTGTCTTGCAATCTCTTCACGATCTAGTGCCAGCACACGACGAAACAGGTTAAGAAAGTCGCGCTCTTTCCACAGATCCGGTTCTCCACCTGCACATTGGTTTTGCAGAAGCTTTACGAACAGCTGCTTAGTCGACATGTTGTAATCAGGAATAAGACGATGCGCGGTCTCGTGATTCTGCGATGTAAGACCTAGCAGTGCGTATACTTTATCGTGGATATCGCTACATTGAGACTCGGAGAATTCTTCGATTAACCACCGGAGTTCAAACTCTAGTGGCCAGTCATAACCAGTGCGAAGCGACCGGGATCTCCTAGGGTCTCTATAGGTTCGATATTCTCCCCGAGATATCAGAAGTTTGAGGCCTGGAATATCCGGTTTGTCGTAAATGTCCAAATAGATCGCGCGGCCCAGTTCATCTGCATTTGCTCGGTACTCGCCTAGCCAGATTTCCAAAATCGGTGGCAACAATGCTTCCTGAACAACCCACATGCGGCACCAGTATGGCTTCTGGAGGATGTTTATTATGGCCTTTCGGGTCCACTGCCTACCAGGATGGTGATCGGGTATAAAAGGATACGCCACAGTTTCCTCGGGGGTTGTCTCTCCCAGCCATGCGATGACTGAACTAGCTGTCGAATACAGGTCAAACATCTTGGTAACTTGTTGGTTTCGCTCCTGGATATCATCTTGATTGATACCTGTATCCACATGTTAGCGCCTTTGAAACACTAGTCTCGCTGACCTGTACTCACAGATAGCGTCGACCCACAAAGCATCATTCTTATCAGCATTCCAGGAGCGAAAGCGACGTAGGAAGTCCCCAAGATTCTTTCCGATCTCGATGTTCACTCCATTACATTGTATGCTACACTTCCCACTTTCCGGAGACCAGGTATATGACAGTGCGTGGTAGAAAAGGTGTTCGTGCAGTTCTGCGTGTGTGAGAAAACATCGGAGGGGCTCATGCGGCTCTCCAGGACACACTTTGAGTAACCGAATGGAATTAGTGTTCGGATCAAGAGGTCTGTATACAAAAGCCGGCATGCCGCCTGTGAGACTGTCCAAAGCGGGGCCGACCGGGTAAAAACAGACTGCCTGCGTTCCCTTGACCTGTAGCTGAACTTAGGGAGATAGATGAGGATTCTGGCCACCAAGCTTCTAGTAAGCTCAGGCTGCGTGAGGCGGGGTGTCAACAAGTGTGAGGGTTTCGGACGCCGATGAGGGCAGCACATGTATGAAAAGTAACACCCCATGACTTGTGCATATGCTGTGACACCGTGTGTGATTGCCACGTTGTCAGCGAATCAAATGCCGGTCTTATGACGAAAAGTCGCGTCGGATATTTAGCGAGTGGGCGGATGCAGGTGTACTGGGGGATGGGCGCTTAATTGTTTGTACCTATTTGTAACACACAGGGTGGGTTTTTCAAGTTCTGGTTCTGTAGTTTAGCTAATAAGTGATAGAGGAATCATTCATGCACACCGTTGAGGCATATCAATCTAAAGTGACTAACCGCTGCTTCGGTCAATAGCGTGCTACACTTCGCTCTAGAGCTTGTTTGTAGAAACGAAAATGCCCTACTAAAATCGAGGTTAAGCGCCGCGCAGGCTAAGTGTTATGGGCGGAAAGAGGCCTGCTAACGAGTATGCATTTGTCCTATATACAGAAGAAGAAAGATAAGAGAAGAAAGGTTCTTCTTACGCGTACAACTCGCCTCTTATAGGCCTTGTGCTTTACTACTTTAGTCGGCGCTAAGTCGTACGTCATGTGACCAGAGCAGTCTGCTTAATATGGCGTAGCCTCTTACACTAAGAATAATGTAGATAGAGTAATTCTTGAGAAGACTCGCCGACATTATTAGCTTAGTAAATTAGGTGTATTGTAATTTAGCAGAATAAAGATAAACTAAGAGAAGACATAAATAGATAGACACATCTTTGATTTCGCATAACACCGCTTTTCTTATACTCTTTATGAGCGCTGTAGATTTAGCTTAACAACTGTGCCGTAGCACATGCATAAGCCAAAATTAATCAAGACCTAATCGTTCTTCTCTAACACGAATTAGTGTACGGGCAACGCTAACCCGAGTGCAAATCCATATTAGCTAAAGCCAGAAAAGAGTCGTGGCAGAAGCGTGTATAAGGCGTAGTAAGTATTAGTAGGACGTGCGTAGCGCTAGATTCACGTGTTTTGCGCACCAGCCACCCTTGCATCTTTGAGTGCACGCTGCGTTTCCCTCCCGCTAATTGCGACACTCATATTCCTTCAACTTCACCTGGAGCTTCCTAACTAGTCGACACACCCTTCATTTGTACTTCAACATAAGCAGCGTTATGGGTAGTCCGTACCACACCTCCCGATGCGCCCCCTACCTCTCTCGCGATGAGGCTTCTCTTGAGGTCCAAGCGATTTCTCTAATCGCGGAATCACTTGCCCATCCCCATAGAGCTCTCCTCAGCGCCTTTATACAGCAGGCCGTCGATAGAGAACTTGCGGCTCGTTTCTTCCTCGATGATACTGTCGGGTCCGACAAAGCCACGGTCGCTGACTTCCTAGCTGATTGGATCAGTCTCCCACGGAGGAGTACGTTTACATGATACGTCTCGTCAAACTATACTAACGGTCTCATCAGTACGTCCGATCGTCTGCGAAGAGTTGGAGCCGTCACTCAGACGGAGCATATGGCGGAGAGATGGAGGCAGATGCTGTATCTCGAAGGCCGATGGCAGATGGAAGTACGATAAGAATCTATTACCTATATATGTAGTATCTCCTACCCTCTTTCAAGATGGAGACATGGTCCGAGATGTAAGATCTCAATCTCCATGGCCCCTAATGTGGCTAAAATTCCAGCAGGGAAGACTCTGCAACATGCTCGCCATGTTCATTGGACGATCGAAGCTGGAATGTCTGAGGTCGCTCTTGAGTCAAGATTCCGACATGTCTGGCTGTGATTCTTCCGATCAACTGGTGCTGCTGTCGTCGCAAATGTTTGCACATTTTGCAAATGGAAGGCTTTCCCTAAAAGTTGATCCGCTGGGAGCTCAGAGCAACTCGGTCAGTCTCCTTGTGACATCACCAACTTTTCTAATAGCACCAGGTCCGGTACTTCGTGAAAACAAACTCTTTCATGCCGTCTATACGAGTCGATGTTCTCCCGTTCATAAGACTAGAGAACAGAGCCACGGATACCTCGTCCCTCCCCAATCCGCAACTCATCGAAGTACACCATCAGTTTGCACTAGCTTTAGCATGGCTGGAGGTATTTGAATACATGAGGCAAAGACCCAGCTCTCCATGCAGCTCAACGGCGCAAGACCGGGCCAGCTTACCTAGGAAGGTTCTAGTGAAGGAAAGTTGGATCCGGCGGTGCACCCAACTTGTATCTCCGATACTCCAACACCTGTGGTTGCAAACGCCCGTCTCTCTTCGAGCAATTGCCTACAACTGCCTAGCATCACTTGGACAGCAGTTCTATGGAGACACTGGTTCCGACCGGATTCACCGATTGCCCTTCAATCTCTACCTGCGAAAAGCACATCAAGACTGGGCACCAAGGCACCAAGCAGAGCTTCGATCACTCCAGATCGTTCAGGCATACACGCGTATTCCTGCACCAAAAGGGATAGATACAATTCAGTATCGTGAATCATCGTACCTCCTCATGACCGGTCTCCATGGACATGGTATAGGACAAAGGCTGTCTACCATGACTGACGGACAACTGGACGCAGCTGCACAAGATCTCAAGGACTATCTCACCGAATTGCGGCGTATTCCTAACAATACCGGTTCACGATTCAGCATTTGCAATTCATTGGGTGGTGGCATCCTGGATTGGCGAATCGGTGACTCTCAACGCAAGCAATTGCGATTCCACGACGAGACCGAATTCAATCAATTCTTGACGACCGATCTTCCACTTGACGAAGATGCATGGATACAAATTTCGAAGTCGCACGGCGTGAAGCACGACATCGTCTTCACCCACGCAGATCTCAATCTCAGGAATATCCTTGTCGATGAGATGGGGAGAATCTCGGGCATAGTGGATTGGGAGTGTGCAGGATGGTATCCTGAATACTGGGAATACTCCAAGATGCATTTTACTGTTCGACATACTCCTCGGTGGATTACAGATGTTGTCGATCAGATCTTTCCGGCTTACCGTGACGAGTTGAATGTGGAGAACATGCTCTCCGGCATGATGCCGTCGTGGTAATCAGGCAAGTACCTTAAATAGTTATTCGTTGATGCGCAGAAAGCTATAGTTTGGAGAGGTGCAGGGTCATGTCACAATCGTGTCGTCGGTGTCGTTAAAGTAAGTAGACTATTAAAAATACGCTATATTAATATAGGCTATAACTTACGTATATATAAGTAAGACAAAGTAGAAGCTTCTACATAAAAAAGCTTACTATAAATATTGAATTCTATTCTAGACGTTACGAAATAGTAGTGTATAGTCATAATGTTTTACAGAGTTTTAGTAGAGTAGTTAACATACCTATAAGGTAAGCTAACCTATGGCTGCATACAGCGAGTACAAGGTGTTTAGGAAATACACCTGCATTGAGAACATTACATTAAGTTACGCGACTGCGTTTTGTTGCCCTGCTCTGCATCAACACTCCACCGTAATAAGGTACGTCAATTACTTTTCTAATAGGAAATTGCTTTTTTTATACTACTTATGTAGCGTCTATAATTCCAGTAGTTAACATCCTCGCGCTTAGCCTCGCGGTAATCGGTTTCGTGTATCTGCCTGAAAAAGTTCAGATGAATGTCTTGGACTCTTACCCGCTAGCGTCCCATTAAGGCACATAGCTCTTATTCGGACTGCGTGTCGTGTGAAAGTCTTGCTTACGGCTATGTTCTCTAGATTTGATAGTCTCGGTGGAGACGCGACAATATGGAATGAAGGCTGCGAATGAGGACTAGCCAGAGACGCAATACACAACGTGTGAGAGTGTGTCTAGTTCGCATCCGACAGACCTTGCAAATTCCTCATTGAGTATGGACCATGGAACAGCGGTACATTGAGCCACCGACTCAAAAGCGATAGATCAAACAACGATGACAAGGGAACCTGCGCTGCATAGATTGAACATTATGTACATGTCCGTCTATGACCTGAAGCAGCCCCAACTATCCACTCCCCCAGTGCACCAAGCATACACTCCGGAGCCATACTGGTACGCACATGCCTTGGGAGTATCGACACCCAATGCGATATCAAATTGCGCCCACCAGCACTTCCAGCCGTTGCATGAATTGTCATACCGAAGAGCTCTCCACTCACTCCCATACTCCCTATTGCAAAAGCCCTGAATGTCAATTCCGCCGACGTATTCGCCAGATGCTGCAGCGCTAGTGGCCGGTGCGGCAACTGCAGGTGCGACCAGGAGGCCGAAGCTCATGATTGCGCTGAGAATGGTGGTATGAGTGACCATATTGGCGGCTGTATCTGTAAGATAGAGTCAGTAATCGGATGAGTGAATGGATACGTTTCCAAGGTTGTATGTCGTAGATTGTGCTAAAGAAAAGAACTCGTAACTGTGACGTACTTGATGAAGACTGATTAAGACCGGTGTATGGTATATAGCTCTTTCGATTTAGAAGAGGTGTGTTGCGTACTAGTAGAGTGGGTAAGAATAGAGAGAAGCTGTTCGAAATGAAGAAGAGCTGTTCTTATAGTAGTTTCTTTGTCTTTGGACATATACTTCTATGTAGGCCATCAAGGCGTAAGGCGTATTAATTGACAGCCGCATCGAAGGTCATGACTAGGCCAACTTAATCGTAGGCTAAGACCCTGGGGCGTATGTTCAATAGTTCTTATGCTGACATGCGACGCGGTTTGGTGGAGTGTCGTTTATGCTGACATGCAGCGCAGCCCGGAGTGGATCTACCGACAAGCGGCCCGACCCTACGTAGCAAGGCTTTTGAAGCTAAACACAATTTTTAGTAGACAGTATCGAGACACTACTGCTCATCTACCTACTCTGGGCTTTGGCGTTGACAGGTTGTTGAGCCTGAACGGAGGTAGATCCAGAGGAGGAAGGTCTGAGGTTAGGCCCTCCACTGGATTCGGTTACTGGGCACACTGGGCAAGCCGAGCACGCAGGGATCTACATATTAACCGTAGGCTTCAATATTCGTGATTGGTTCTTTTTGAGATGTTAGCGAAGGTTGCTGAAGGATGCTCACTACAGGATCGTTTAAGTTTGTAGTTAGGAAGTGTGCCGCTTGGAAGGGCAAAACCCACCAATCGTTGTTTGGGTCGCGACATTCCAGTAAAGCTTTGAGAATGTACATGGGTCGCGGATTGGAAGCGAACAGACTCCTACAACAGGCGACGCTTTGAAAGCATCGCTAGATTTTCATGTGGATCTGGTAGTGACGCAGAAAGAAAGAAGCTCTACGATGGAATTCAGTAGAAGAAATAGTGGTTTGTCGCTCGGATCCGAATCGTTTGTCAAACAAGCAGATGCGTATTCTTTCTGCTTAATACGGTTATGCTACCTCATGCATTACTCGAACTGATTCCGGCTAGGATCAGGCGCAGCGTATCCTCTCCTGAAGAGGAAGCTCTGCAGCCTATCCTCAACCCTCGCAAACTATGATTCCGTTAGCCTCAAAGACATTACTTGTGACTCCGTTAAGTCACTATTTAGGACGCGCTCTACGAGCTGAAGCACTTACAAAACCCCGTCCCTGTACTCCATCTCTGACCCATACCCCATATCCGCCCATGAGGTTTGCCATCATGACGTCCGTAGACAGGCGATCTCCTACTATTGCAATTTGATCTGGTCTGGTCACACCAGATTCTGGATGCGCCTTGAAGTAAGCCATCACCTCTTCTTTACAGCCAGGCTTCTTGGTGGAATGTCGCAACACTTTGACACCGGTGTTGGCCTCCAAGACATCGGCCTGCGCATAGTCTTTATCTGATGATGTGCCAGCTGTGTTAGACACTATCAAGAGTTTCGTGCCTGGATAAGCGCGTCGCAGGCGCTGGAAATGATCCTAGGACAGAGGTTAGTAACGTTTTGAATAAGACGAGGCGCGCAACAGTACTTCATATGGCTTGTGAATCTCATCGGTATGTGGAACAGCAAAACAGTTGTCTTTGTCGAGCACTACAGCTTGGATGTCAACCTCTTTCTGCTCGTTGACCCCATCCTTCCTGAAGGCTTTCGACAGGGGAATAGGTAGATGATTGAATGTCGAAACTGTGTGTTGCGGGAGACATAGAGTCGGGTTCCAAATCAATCGAAAGACGTTTAAAGTGCCCGAGATGTTCATTTGGGATGCAGCGTGGTAGGATTGCGATGGGGGATTGGATGGTGACGCGCTTGTTGCGCGCTGCTTTTCCCGAGATGTTATTTCCGACGATTCCGATCTCGTTCCGAGCACCTCTCGAGACCGACCGCTGCAATCAGTACCAGTGAAATCTACTTAGCCTACCTATACGTTTATTCAGTTCGAAGATGCAGAGTGGTATTAGCGTTCAACAAAGTTCCAACAGTTTTCGCTGCGCTATCGAGGAGCGAGCGTACGGCTATGTCATGGAGATGAGAGAATCCGATATCAAAGACGGAAGTCATTCATATTATAGCACATGATGATATGTTAATGTGAAACGGATGCAGCTTGACTTGAAGAGGCAACGAGTTCTTGAGGAGCATTGAAGAGCAGGTAGCAGAGAGCGATAGTATGATGACTAAGACGTGGTCAAAGCTCAACCTCAACTTTCTGTAGACAGCGATATTAGCACTGCGCACGCGCTCTGCACCCACGACACCCAAGACTGCGCCGTGCACTGTTACCGACGACTCTTGCGTACCGAAAAGGCGACGAAACCCACGAGACACAATCGCGCCACGAGTGCGATTTGCGACTACGACACGAAGTCTTCACTTGTTGCGATCTACCACCATCCTACGGCTTCGAACACGCGAAGGACTCAGCTAGTAATACCAGTCAACTTGGCCGAGAATCAATACAAGCAAAATGACGAGCACTATCGGTATCCCAATCAAGCTCCTCAACGAGGCAGCAGTACGTTCGCCGTCATTTCCTGTACCAGTTCCTGAGCCTGCGCTAACAGGTCCTAGGGTCACATTGTCACTCTTGAAATCACATCTGGCGAAGTCTACCGCGGCAAGCTAATTGAAGGTATGTCTCCATATATTCCTCAGCACTTAGGTATTGTACTAACGAGCTACAGCCGAGGACAACATGAACGTACAGCTGAAAGACATTACTGTAACCGCCCGCGACGGTCGCGTCTCACATCTCGAACAAGTATACATTCGGGGAAGCCATGTCCGGTACTTCATCGTCCCAGACATGTTGAGGTAAGATATATTGGCTTATTAGAAGGAGAATAGAGCTAACAGGCCACAGGAACGCACCCATGTTCCGATCGAGAGGCACAAGGGGTCGCGGTGTCGGTCTTGCGCGTGGAAGGGCCACAGTCAATAGGGCCAGGGCCAGCACTCGTGGCGGTGGTCGCTGAACGAGCTGAAAGTTACGGGCGAAAAGACAACATAAGCAGAGAGCTTGCTACCGGAAGCGCAACAGCAGCGAGGACGCACGGTATGGTGCGAGAAGTTGACAGTGGAGGGAAGGACAGGTATGCAACCAGATCATTCTTGCTGGACATACGCTGAAAATTGGGATAGCTCCAAATTTGATGATACCTTTGAATGGGATGAATGCACATTTTCACGTCACCAGAAGTCGCGCGTGCTCAAAGAATGACCAGCGATATATGAAGTGAACACGCAATCGGGCGTAGTCGCGAATGTCTGACAGTCCCAGCGGCAGGCGCCTACCCCACGTCGAAGGCGAGACCCCCGAGAACTCCGCAGCTCGACACTTTTTCCACCAACACAACATGGACATGGAAATCAAGAACCCACGGCGCATCCTCGCCATCGGTGCGCCGGAAGCAGGTGTACTTCCACTCCTAAAAGGTACATGCTACACCCTCTACATTACGCGCATCTACTAACTCTGCTTAGAACTCACAGGTTCCGCCCCAGAGCCAACCTCCGAAACCACGGCCGGCCTTACCCACGAATGGCGTCTCGAGACCAAATACTACACCGCAAATCTTCCCATATGGATTGATGAGCTCAGGAACGTCGCGGAATGGCGTACCGAATTCACCAAGCCCGAGGCCCGCGAAGTCGTCACCGCGCTCGGTGCGTGGATATACTGCTTCAAGAAGCCGGTCGAAGCAAAAGACCTAGAAGTGATCAAAGAAACCATGCAGGCCGTTTCCGACGTCATCGAGCGTGCCTGTGGCTACGGCGGTGACATGGTGTGTCTGGCTGTCGCAATGCCGCAATCCATTACACCTTACCTTGAGAAGAGCAATGAAGATTGGGAAGAACTCGCCATGGACTACGGTTTCGAATACGTCGACTCAGAGAAGAAGGGCAAGAATGAGTTCGGCGAGGCGACAGGAATACACAGAGTTCGGGAAGCGCTTGAGGCTGGGGAATGGGAAAGCATGGCGGGTTTAGACTTGGGCGAGGATGACGGTTTTGAAGGCAGCTTTGCGGCAGAAGAGGCGGAGATGAACATGGAGCTGTTTGGCATGAAAGGTGCGCTAGCCGGATTCGACGATGATGAAGGCCAGGAACCTGGAGATAAAGAGGTCGAAGATCTGGAGGTCATGATGCAGAAGATGGTTGCGATCAAGGAGATGGGCGAGGGCATGGAAGAGGCCGAACGAAAACGTTTCGCTGCAAAGGCAGTGAACGACCTGCTGAAAGATCTATGATATGGACACATCTGAACTGCCACAGACGCCGTCGAACACTATCGTAATTGCCTACCTACCAGCGACTACTTCAACTCTTCACCCCGAAACACAGCAAGAACGGGAAATCCATCTCTCTCGCCGGCTTCCCATCCTCAGCATCAACCTCCTTCCGCAGAATAAAGGCTTCATCGACCCTCACCTCATTAAACCCTGTCCCTAGCAACAACTCTTCCATCTCGCTTTTCTTAATCCCATGTCTTTCCACTCCCGGCCTTTTGCTCACCGGATGAAATGGTACAGCCTCCGGTCCAAAGTCCTCATAGTCTGTCAACGCAACAACACCTCCAGGCTTCAAACACTTGTGCATAGTCGCTAAGATCTCCGCCATCGAAGGGATATGATGTAACGTCAGGTGGGAAACCACAAGATCAAATCGATACGAGTAGGGCGGCGATGGTGCCTCTCCGCGATGGGTGGCGAGGAGCGCTGCTGCGCTCTGCAATTCATGCGAGTCCGGATTCGTTAGAAAGTGGTTTACTGAGCAGAGGTTTGGGTGCTCTGTTGGAAGATCCGCAAGCTTGGTGTCGAAAGCGCTTATCATGCCATCTGCGGTGTCGACGCCGATGAGGCTGCGTACGTGTGGAGCTAGCATGAAGGAAAGGAGGCCAGTTCCGCAACCGATTTCTAGTACGTCGAGATCTGCGATGCTTGTTAGATCTAAGAGCGCTGTGGGGCGGCATGATGATACCTTTGTTGCTTCCATCTTTAAAGGCAGGTACGTATCGCTTGATGGCTTCGAGTGCTTTCGAGGTTGATTCTACATGCTTCTCATTCGAATCCCACTCTAGTGCTTCCTTGCTGAAGCGCGCGTTATTGATCTCTTGACTAGTCGTCATGGCGTTGGTGACGTGAAACTTGAAGGTTATCTGCTTTTGAAGAAAGGTCCGAAAAGTACTAGTAAGAGTCAAGCATGAAGGGGGTAGTGCATGAATAGTTGTGAAATGCAATGCTGGTGCGTGTCGTGATTAATACGGATATGTAATTGTGTATACGTAGAATGCTGTGCGGGGTTTGCGGGCATGATGCGGGGCGCTTCCGTCCTAGGATGACCGACAGTCGCGACTTCCTGTAATCATGTCCCGGGCCACAAATGATCGAGATCTACTTCATTCCTCCAGTAATTTGGCAAAGCCCTCTGGTTTGCCAACTGCTAGTGCCTATATGGTAGAGCAAGCAGTCAGAAGATTGGAGGGCTCAGCCTCCATGCAGGAGAGGCTGTGCAGCTATGTCTTCTCCAACTGAACGCCCAGGCTGAGTCTCAGCCGGATCGTTGTTGCCTCGCTCTTCCGTCTCACATTTCTCAAATACCCCAAATGCAAATCCCATCAACCTAGCAGAAATATCAGCTTCTGGTATACTCCACTGTACGATGATCGAATGAGCGATTCGAGCTTACTGCAGTACAACATTATTGCACGAAAGAGCATGGGAGAAGATGGCAGCCTTGGGCTACACACAGCTGGATCGAAGTAAAAAGACTATTCGCCTCCTCACTGTAGCGCCCGGCGACCCGCAAGAACAGATTCGCTGCGAACTCACACATGCTGATCTCGACGAGCATCCTTCGTTCATCGCTTTATCGTATACTTGGGATCAAGGTGGCGGACTCGCCGAAATCCAATGCTGCGGGGAAGCCGTTCAGGTCGGCAAAAACCTCCGTAACTTCCTCCGCCGTTTCCGAGTCTGGGATGAAGGTCGCGGAAATCGTCTGTGGATCGATGCGTTATGTATGTGCTAGATGCGGCAGAGCAGAAGACGACTGTTCATTAGCTAATTGCTACACAAAGGTATCAATCAGTGCGATGTTCACGAGCGTAACCATCAAGTCGGCCAAATGCACATATTGTTTTCGACCGCGACGTCTGCTATCGCATGGTTAGGTGAAGCAAGTTGCAACTCAGATCTTGCCTACTCAGCCGTATCCGCTCCACGGAATTCCCTTGGATTCGTTGATGATAAGACGCGCCAAGCGCTGGTAGACCTCCTCAGTCGCCCATACTGGTCACGCGTTTGGGTTATACAAGAGTTCCTTCTGCCTGTCGATTTGACTGTATGGTGGAGCGGATGCCGTGCCACAGCCCACGACCTCCGTCTGGTCGTTTGGGACATGGCCAGACTCTCCTCGGGAAGCAAGCCACGATATCCTCGTATATGGGACACGCCGGGGAAAACTCTGTTGCGTTACAGGGTGAACTATCAACGAATGCGTGGTTCTGATAAAGGCGGCTCCTCTGCGGCATTTTGGGAGTCAATGAGATTGCGGTCCCTGTTACAGTCTTTTTCCGCATCTCAGTGCACTCTAATACAGGACGGGGTGTATGCTCTACTAGGAATCGCAAGCGATGTCACAGATTCACCTGATCCGATTTCACCGGACTACACCAAGCCGCACATCGAATTATTACTGGATGTGGTCCGGAATCAGTGCGGAGCCGAACTTCCTGAAACTAGAGATGCATGGTGTCTCATCGATTCACTTTGTAATATACTCAGATGTAACCGTCAAGAGATCGAAAAAGCTGCTTTCGTAAGAGCTCGGAAGGTCAAACGAGAGATGTACGCTCTCGATCTTAGAAATCACTCTTTTGTATCTTTCAATTGGTGCTCCTACGTTTCTTTGTTAAACTTAAGCCAGCATCATCCTAAGTTGTATTTAATGAAGATCGTTGTACTAATGGCAGGGGAAAAAGGCTGTTTGACAGCACTGCAGGATTACCTCGACTACACAAAGTCGCACTGCGGAATTGCCCAAGGATCTATCAAGGACTTGCTTGGACAGCATATTGCGACGTTTGGCAAGGCTGATCATCGACCCTGGACTGACGTATCTAGACCGACGATGGTACCATTCAATCATCAGAGAGAGAGGCCATACAGTGCAGATCTACCTAGCGAATCTTCCCTGGTCAAGCCTATAATCGAACAGCTCTTCGATGAAGGGTGGTCAGCATTCTTCGAACCGAATATGGTGGGGCTCATGAGAAGAGCGATCGGCAGAAGCGAACACACTGGAGTCGGACCCTGTAAACGCCATAATCGAAAGATCGCTTCCTATCACGAGTTTGGAAGATATGGAAGTGCTATAGTATTGGAATGCCAGAACCAACGAGCTCCTGGAGGTGCGTCTTGTCGTAGTTCTAACTGGTATGCAGTAGGCACGGCTTTTATTCGTCAGCAAGAGTAGTTATGACTAAAGCCAAATAATCTTTCGCAAAGAAATACCAGGGTCTAGCATAGTGAAGACTTGTTTGGAAGCCATAATTATCAGCAGCGAGGTACGGCAATAGCCTCATCTTGCTGCGCTAGAGGGAATCGAGCATCGTAGAGCATCTACCTAATGCCCAAACATGACCCCATCGAACCGCAGATCAATCATAATCCTCAACAAACCCATGCCTACTCCTCCCAAAAATCGCTTCAATCGCCGCCGTAGCCTGCAACTGCGCATGCGTCTCCTTCACCTTCTCCTTCTCCCGTTCCAATCTCCTCATTTTATCCTTCTCCCTCTCTAATTCGCGCTCCTTCTCCCGGCGTAGCTTCCTGAGTTTCTCATGCTCGATATCACTATACTTGGCCCGCTCGTAATCCCTCAACTTCTCCACTCGCTCACGGTCGCGCTCCTTCTCGCGCTCCAAATCACGCAGACGGTTGATGTCTAGGGAGGAGAGTTGGCTGGTGAGGTCGTGGAAGCTATGCCAGGGGCCTGGTGTAGATGAGCGACCGAGGAGAAGAGGTGAACGTCGACCGAGGGCCAATGGGTGGGCAGAATAGCTCATGGAGCGTTCGGTAAGCATCCTGGGTGGATCGTGAGGTAGGAATGTAGACCAGCTATACCAACCGGCAGCTTTGAGTTCGGCACGAGCTTTGTTGACATCGTTCTCTAGTGCTCCACTGGATTCAATAGCATCGAGAAAGCGCATGCGGTGGGAGCCCTGCTGACTCTCAAGCTTGATCAAATTTGGTGGCTCAATGGTAGTTAAACTAATTGACGTAGTGTAGTACTCTGGGTTCGAAGTATTTGGCGCGCGGACGAGGAACTTTCGCGCCCAGTCCTTCAGATCGGAGTCCGGCTCGTAGCCTTTATAGATCTCGTTGAGAATGGCCACGGGGTCTTCATTGAGGATGCCATAGGCGTTCATTCGATCGAGAGCATAACTCTTGCAGTCTTCGAAGCCCATTAATGTGCCGAGCTTGGCAAACCGAACATCAGTCAAAACGCACGATTCACTGATCGTTGCTTGGGGTTTGATGATGGGTGGACCTCGACGTTCGATGCCCAGACCGGCTGCTACGGTGGCGAATGGGCGTGGGTCAGGCCGGTAGGAGCCAGTATGTAAGAATTCAAGGAAGCGGACGAAAGTCTCTTCAGAAACTTCCTTGTGCACCTTCAGAAAGCGGCTACCCGCCTTATCAAAGGCTTTGACCACACTCAAGAACTCTTCGATCTTGTCTCCATCAACGAAGACGGGCCTGTCTTTGTACATGAATTCGACCGATTCTGCAGAAGATCTCAGACGTGCGCGGCGTCTCGTCTCGAGCTCGTGACGCCGCTCGTTATACGTTTGAACTTCCGGCTCGCGCACGCATTTGGGCTGGTCGAACAGGGGCTCGCAAACCTTCCCGTACCATTTCTGCACTTCGCTCTCGGATGGCCCCTGCCCGATGCTATGGCAGTGGCTGCAATGCCATCGCTCCCGGTCCTCACGCTCAGCTACTTCTCTCCTCCTTGGACCGTAGTGTTCCTCGGCGATGTAGCGAACGTTGGAAGAGCCATGCCCATAGTTGAGTGGCGACAACTCTTTCCCGTGCACAGCTGAGAGCTTCTTGATGGTAAACATGATCTTACCGAAATGCACGTCATGATCCAAGCGCCCATAGTCCACCTCGTCTTCTTTCTGTGCGCCGCAAGCGACCAGAAGGTATGCGTGTATCATGTGATGGATCAGAACAGCGACGATGTCTTTCGCCTTGGCGTACTCGAGTGCGTCCACATTCAAAATGATCGAGATGCGCTTGACATCAGGATTTGGTCCTAGTCTGTGGGTGTAGGTGGCGCCTGAGACGTCAGTACCCAGGCTGTTGATATCGAGGAAGACTGCATTTTTCAGATGGCCTGCAAAGAGCACTTCATCGAGCTTGTTGAAGACACGATATGGGATCTCCTGGACTAGCCCGTCCCTCTCAAGCGTCGCCGCCCGTATCCTTATGTTCTTCAAATTCTTGGCTGCGTCAGCCCAATTCTGCTCCAGTCGATCAACGATGAATGCAACTGCCCAATCAATATTCCACCCAAGATCCCTATCGCACCTCAGGAAGGGATCTTGAAGTCGCACGGCAACGCTCGATAGCGGTCGACGATAATCGTGAGGCTCGAAAGGGATGTAGAGATCTGATTCTGAATCAGAGGGGTAAGACCTCGATCGAGCAAGCGCTGCTCCGCCAAAGAAACGATCACCGTACGGCAACAACGCGAACTGATCAGGAGAGCCGAGTGTCATCGAGTAACGAGATCAATGTCGAGGTCTGAGCGTCTTGGCAAAGGGTCAAATGCATCAAGTATTGACCGGACCTCTGCGGGAGGGTAATTCTATTGCTGTTTTATAGTTGAGTCAAGTGGGAGGCCGGAGCGGATGATGGCTGCATCTAGCTGGCGCGACGTAGTCATTGGCGGCATCTTCTCCGTTCGGAGACTCAGCATGGAGCACGAATGATGATGGATGCTAAAGTGACGCAAACGCTATTGTGTATTGTTTGTCATGGGTAAGCCGAAGATCTGGGTCCGGGGTTCGTTGGGCTACGGGCGAAGTGAGATATCATTGGGTCGATACTGGAAACCTGACGGTTTTCTTTGATCTGACAGCTGTGCACCATGCCTATGGGCCAAGGTCGTGTGGTACCATATAGACGAATGTAACGCAAGATTGCAAAACACTGGCTGCTGGAACGGATGTGATGGCGCTGGTAGGTGGACGGCTTTCAGCGCCGCTTCTCACTCTGCCTAACAAGTGTCAGTACTAACGGAGACATGCCTTGTGGGGATTAGACGCGAGGACGACATGATGGAGGTGACACGGATCGAAAGCTAGGTGAAAATAGTAGTATTTATTTAGCGAAGAGCGCAACGAACGCCAGTCGCGGCTCCAATGATCGAGCAGGAAAACAGATGGGATATACAGAGCACGTAAAGGGGAGCGAAAATGAAAGCGCACTAGATGGTGAAGCGCCTGACTGGTAGCCGAATATCGTTCCCCGAGTTTGTCGTAACACATGAACAAAGACGGGTGATGCCTCATTCTTAGCCGCTGGGGTTGCCACGGCTGATCGGTATATAACAGCGAACAGGAATCCGGACTATCGCGCTGTCATTACCAGCCCTGACATTTAGTAGCGTGGGCGGTCGTCGGGACGACCGTACTCGTCGACAGGCCTTCCGCTGACGGAGCCAGGACGCGAACCAGGGCGCGAGCCAGGGCGCGAACCAGGACCCACACTCCTTCCGCTGCCGTCGCCGTAGTGCTTTCGCCTGAGAGCGGCTAACCTCTTCTTCTTGGTGTGCGCATTGATGTAGGTGCCAATGATGAAACCGACAATGTTGAAGAAGGGCACCCAGGTGGTCTCGGGCAGGAACTGCTGGGCGAATGCCAGCGAGATGGGCGAGACGATCCAGCTGACCTTCATGACAGGCCAGAAACCGGCCCTGACGGTCGCCTTGACTTGGTGGAAGGTGCGAGCGCCCGCGATGAGGGCCATGGAGACGAGGTAAACGCTGTTCTGGATGGGTGAGATCTGCGACGGTTAGCGACATACTGGCAGTTGACGACCGTTCGGGTTGGGACTCACGATCAAGTTGCTGAAGAGAATCTGCAGGATCTTGGCCTTCAAGCTCTTGCGCCCCTGGAAGACCTTCTGGAGAGCACTAATCAAGACGTGTCCAAGGGGCGCGCTGATCAAAGCACCGTAGATGGCCATCTTGGGAACACGCGAGGTGAAGTAGTGGCCCGACTTGCTCCTGTCATGGGCGATCCACGATGCGAGGAACTCTTGGAGACCAGAGAGGGTACCCGATGTCAGCATCTTGGTGCGCAATGGGTTGCTCTGCAGCTGCTTGAGGTAGGCCTGGCGCGCGTGCCGTCAGTGAAGGGCTCGTCACATGTTTCGTTGCACAAGACTCACAGCGAGATAGCCATTGGGACCGCCGCCTTTGGTGAGGGCCTGGCCGAGCTCGTGCATGATGTCGCCATCCTTTACTTTGCTCGCAGCGTCGGCAACGGCGGCCGTCGTCTTGGTTGTCGTCTCCTTCTCGAATTTGACCGACATGACGCCTCAATGCGATGCGACAGCAGCAGACAGCGGATGGGCGCGTGTGGAAGATGGGGCTGCGGTCGACGAGGTGTTTTGTGGGGGAGGGTTGACGAGCTGGCCAGGCGTCGGGATGGCTGGGGATGAAGTGTAAACACCTCGGACGACTTGGGTGCTCCGTGCTGCTAGCGCCGAGCCCAAGATGCGGAAGCGCGTGGTCTGGCACAACAACACGACCTCGGTTTCGGCTATGGAGGAGGATGATGGTGCTCATCCAGCTTCTTCAATTCCAGCCTGCGGTCTCTGCATACTCTTCTCAAGAATACTGATGAAGCTGAGCTACACGACATGCCGAGGGCGCGTTCGCCTGATGCTTTTGGCGGATGGCAGCGCGTCGGAAGCCGCCGCCTGCACTTGTTTGCATCGCGCCAGCTCGAGAGTTGCCCACACGGCTCATTACAGGCTCTGCACCCGACGACGATTGTGATTTACGTGGGCGATGGCGAGTACAGTCATGCGCAGGGTTGATCGCGGTAGGGGACCCTTACGCTGTCGTTGTCGATCGTGAAGTGATTTCCCTGAGCTCTTATCGCTGACTGATCCTGGTCCCTTCAAATGCCGACTATACATCATCGCCATCTCTCGCCTGAGTAATCTTCTGGTGGAATGTGCACCGCTGGGCAAGTCACCAAGCCAACTCTCAATCGTCTAGACATAGTCTTAAATTGTCGTCTACAAATTACCTAGGTAGGGTGACCTGCGTCGAGGTGCCACAATATAGAATTAGACACATCGTTTGTACGACCCCAAACTTCTTCGCAAACGCCAGCGCCTCTCATTTCTTAACCCTCACATGGCATCACGTCTGCCCTGGCATTCCGACTGGCCTGATCACGCCCCGCATGGCCTTCTTTACTCAGCGTGGCTTTCTTTTCTTTGTCCAGCTCCAAAGCGTCGTCAAAGCGCTTTCGTTCATTTCATTTCGTCGTTTGTATTGCGAGACAACAACAACAAACAGTCAAGGCACGTGCAAAGACCGTCAGAGGGCTTCAACATTGGTAGAATAGGTACTCACGAGGCCAGGCCAAACCCGCAACGTGCAAAGCCGCCGGGTTGAGCATGGCCAGCCGGTGACAGCTCGTGTGAACGGTCTTTCCCAAAAGATTTAATTGGCTTCGACTGCCCTCTTCCTTCAATTCCTCACAAAATTACACGTCGATTGGAGACGACTTTCCGAGATCGCTCTTGCCACGCCGCTGCTGTCTTAAGGTCCACGCCTTCACTCACTCCTCGCAGTCTAGCGTGCGTGCACCTGCCCTGTCATTGTCTTGGAACAGAAACTTCAACTGCCACGCTCTTCCGTCCGCCCACCTTTGATCCTCGTCCTTCCTGTGGATCAGTTGTCGCGTGTGTCCGCTGTCCCAGCGACGATCAACCCCAGCACACTTGGCCATCCTCCTGACGAGTTGAGGCCTATATACAGCCGATAGTCAGCGATTGCGAACCTACGAACCCACGGTACCTGTCTCACGGTCTTACGGCGCCATGGGAAAACGACTGCGAGTCCCAAACTGTACCCACCTGGACATGGACCGCGTTTTCGGTCAAGAGCAGCACTGCGGCATTTGCGGGCGCTCACCATCTATCGGGTTCCTGTATGAATGCAGACAGGACTGTGAACCCTGTCTTCTCCGCACTCTACTAGAACAAGATCAGGATAGCATCGAGCCAGTCAAGTCTGCATTGCGCCAAGAGTTAGAAAAGATTGGGTTGGCCGAGAGTATCATCATCACAGCGGAGAGCGGACATTACACCAACACGCAACTGAACAAGCTCAAAGACCTGAAGCTTGAGCTCCAGCAGGTCATTTTGGACACGCAACAAGCCACTCAAGCCAGCGATGTCGTCTCTAGACTCACCGCTGCCATGGCTAAGGCGCCATATAGCACCGACGGGGCCTTCAACAGTATGCCTGATATGAACGCAGTGAGTAGTTTCCGATGTATTGAAGTCAGCGAACAGAATACTAACCAGCCAAAGAATTCCATGGGATGCAACGTAAGAGCCTGCCATACATGTCGCCCGTACTATCGAGAACGGATGTACATCCCCTTCCAAGCGGTACTCAACGCAGAGTTCCCACCCATGACACGGGAAGACATGGAGGAGCTCCCGACAAAATCCGCACACGTCATGCGTACCATCGGCACTCGAGCGCAGCCATTGCCGTCCTCCACGACTCTAGGCACTTCCCCATCGACACTGCCCAATTCAAATTCTTTCGCTACTTCTGCAGGCTCACCATTCACCGCCTCATCCAACACCACCCATTCAAGCGAAGCGACATTCAAGACCACCCAGACTGACGTGGACGAGATCTCCGCGCAGCGCCGCCCCCGCCGACGGTTCTACAAGATAGGTCGTCGATCGTCCGTAGACATTGCCCGCTCCCTTTCTCGCGGGTCCAGTCTCCTCACATCCCAAGGTCTCAAATCTGCTGTCCAGGGCATCTTCCGCCCAGGCCGAGAGTCCAGCTCCGAAGGCTCTAACATCACTCTCCCCCTCCCACGGACTGGCACAGTGCGTGATAACACCGGTTCTCCGCCTGTAGGCGAGTTCGATCTCGGAGCTTTGCGTCGGGTTCGGAAGCAGAAAGAGCGCAATGAGATCAAGAACGGAACATTTACTGGTGGCTTCGAGAATGTCACCGCACATGTCACCGCGCCCAGTGACCCAGCGTCGGGAAACAACAGTAGTACCGACTCTGAGTTTTCGGTATACTCCTTCACAACTGAAGGGGAAGTTGAAGTCGCAGTAGAAGGTGTGGCACTTACAGAAGAAGCCGCTGAGACGCACATACCCGATCTTGTTGCCCTCAACGTACCTGCTATTCAGAAGCTGGATGCGGTGATCAAGACCGCAGAGATTAACACCTCCGAGGTCGAAGAGGACGCGACTATTGGATTACAAAGCATCATGACGCAGGTATAGGGAGGACCACCGTCAGAACTCTTGGACATATCAAGCAGGCGGCCAGTAGGAAAACGGAGTTCAGGAGATGCGGTTTGATGATTTCATGATAACGGAACAACAGTCATGGTTCATACGAGATTACGACTGGGTAATAGGGAAGGGAAGCGGAAGTAGGTGGAGATTTGCTCACACGTCTCCTTTGATCCCCTCTTCTTGCTCGGATGATGACTAGAGCAGTATCATTATCCGTAATTTAAAGCCTTGCTACACTTCAATCAACGAAAAGAATGGAAGCCCTAGAGCAAACGTTATCACCTGATTTTCTAATGTGCTTGTTTTATCGCCGTGTAGTCTCCAGATCTGTTCGGCTTTGCCCTGGTACAAGGTGGCTAGACACACTTGGTCGAGATTGTAGTCAGCCCAATGCAAAAAAGCGAAGGAAATTTCGTAATTTTACATTTCTCATGCTACCAATAGCTATCTCCATGTGCGAGGCTCACAGGGTAATCATGATATTCATCTTTTTGTCCCACTCCTATCATACAAGTACAGCATTTACAGTTGCCTCTCCAGCCAAACCGCATCACTCCCATAGTCCTCTATTTACGACCAAGCTTCCATCTAGCAATCCTCGTCTGTATGTCATCCCAGGTAAACTCTTTCCTCTTCAGCCCCTCCTGTTCGCCCTCTTGCAGGACAACGGTCGGCGCACCCGATCCACCACCAACATTCTTCACTTGACCGCCGAAGACATGACGAGCGACTCTCCTCAGATCCTTGACGGTAACGTCCTCGATCTTCTTGCACATCTCCTTGACACCCACTTTGCGGCCGTGTACCTGGACTTGCCTGCCCAGGTCTTCTAGTTCCACCATTCGGCTTTCGAGGTTCATGAGGAGCGAGGAGCGCAGTTGGTTCTTTGCGCGTTGGACTTCGACGTCGTTGAGGGCGGAATAGCCGGTTTCGTCGCCGAGCGATTTGAGTTCGCGGCACATTACTTCGAGCATCTGAGTGACGTGCGAGGGCGCGCATGAGGATGCGATGCCGAAGAGGCCGCTATCAGTGTAGCTGTGATTGAATGCCACGCAAGATTCTACCCATCCGTGCTGGTTCAGAACGTTGGTGTAGAGGCGCGAGTACATTCCCTTTCCTGGACCACCTGCACTGAAGGATCCGCCACCACCGAGTAGTGTTTGTAGGGTCGCGAGGGCGTAGATATCGGGCGAGGAGATGGGTAGGGCTTCGAAGGCGAGGTGGATGTGCGACAGGCGGGGGAGCATGGGGTTCGCTGGTGGTGGGATCGGCGGTAGTGTGAGGAAGCCGCCGGTGTACTGTGAGGGTAATGAGGTATCTATCGGCGGGAAGTTGAGGTCGAGGGATGTATTGACGGAGGCGTTGGAGGTAGCCGATGTGGAGAGGTTCTTGAAGAAGGGTATCTTGGAGAGGAGTTTCGAGGTCTGCGGCGGTGCCCCGGTGGGTGTAGGGTGGTCGGCCGTGAACATTTGCTGCTGCGGTGCGCTGTTAGATGCCGAATTTGTGGAGTCGAGACCGATGAGCGATGGGCCGGTGCCCTTCTCCATGTCGCCAAAGTACTCTTCTGTCAGGCGGACAGCTTCGTTGTGGTTCACACCGGCAAAGGCAACTACTATCCGGTCGGGCTTGTAGAACTCTTTCCGGTATGCCTCGACAACGGCGCGATTGATGAAGGGCAGGCGCTCTTTCGGGCATAACAGAGGGTTGCCCAGCGTGTTGTCCTTGTACGCTGCCATGTGTACCAGCTCCGGCAGGATCAACTCTGGCTTGCTCCAGATCTCTCCAATCTCGTAGTCAGCTGTCTCGAGCTGTTGTTGTATCTCGTCCTCCGTAACCATTGGATCCCGGATCGTCTCAGCAAGGACACCGACGGTGGAGGGGACGGCGGAGTTGAACGTGGCAGACTGGTACATGAGCGACTCTCGGCTAGACGCGCATTGTATATTGCCGCCCAGTGTCTCTATCTTCTCCATCATCTGGTCGCCGGTGGTGGAGCGTGTGGACTTGAAGGCCAACCGGTCGATGATATGACTGACTCCGCGCAGTGCATCGTTCTCGTACCGCGAGCCGGCGTCGACGTAGACTCCGATACCCGAGAAGTGGCCCGGCAGGGCTTCGGTGGCGACGCGAATGCCATTGGGGAGGGTGGTGATCTGGTCGAGTTCGGCGGGGTCCTGGACAGCAGTTTAGAATGGCTTCGGCTTGCTATGTGAACTCAGTGCTAACCCTCTCTTCAGCGATGGCCGTGGCCAGGCTCCGTCGACCTGCGCATGGCGCTGACCGTGTAAGCGACGCCGAAGTCTTGGATAGCCCCCGGGATAGCGGTCGGTACGTGTGTGGTCTTAACATTTCTGGCGTGGGTGAGGGCAGCACCCGTCGCGCGTTCCGAAAAATTCCCCATCTTCGGATGACATGATGTCACGTGCGCGGAGACCCAGTGCAGCGGATCCCTTACACCATGAATGCGGCCCCACACCGCAACGCTGCGATCAGCGCATGAACTCTATCTAACATGTCCATGTCGGTTTGGATGCTCTGATATATCCGCGGGGAACTATATTTAGTCGGACAAGCGCCGCCGTGATGCAGACACATGGAGTACGAGGGCGGAGGGGTTTCAGACGCCATCTTGTCATGGACCCGGACCTGGCAAGGACCTGGCAGCTGTTGACGTCCCGCGTGACGTTCAGCATTGCATCTGGTAGCGACGGCCAACAAGATCTGACTTCATCACCTCGACTCTAGAGCCCTGTTACCAGTGCATGCTAGAGGTCCGTATTCTTGGTAGTCCCGCATCGCCAGTCTAGAGGCGGCCTGCTCCTCTTCTGGTTTGCTTGGCCCGTCACCAGGCCGCCCTGGCCTTGTTCGCGCGCCATTTGTTGCATTGCTGCTATCATTTGCCTCAGTGCCGCAGTGCCTCGGACACTCCCATTCTCATGCGTGCTCTTGTAAACGGGCAAACTGTGTCGGCTGTCAAACGCTGAAACTCGCGCATTCAATTCCCGCCCACCCCAGCTTCAGGCCTTATACCCTCGTCTTAGGGTGATGTTCACCACAACAACAACCCCAGCTCTTCCTACAGTTACGACTGCCGTCCCCAATTCGCCCTCGCAGCGACCCACGGGCGTCCATCGAGGTATCAGCTTCCTCCGAAACCTGCACCTGCACTCCGGCAGCCAAGCCGACGCTTCACGTGAGGACTCCCGAACCGGGACACGGCCACGCGCCTCAACACACACTCCACCTGCCTCGCCCGCCTTTGCCTCGTCGTCCCACCAACACACGGTCGCTCGTCCAGATTCACTGTCGAGGAGCCACACAGCCGATAGTCACCCCCAGCCTCCTGCCACTGATTCCCCGCCCACTACCCCCAAACCTACCATGACGAGAACCCGTTCCGAGACGGCTCAGCCCCAACTGCAAGTGCGCAACAACACCGGACCCACGCCCACATCAACACCAGGGCCCACCAACGCGCAACCGATGGATGGCGCTCCCGAGAGTGCGGGCGCCGTCAAGCACCTCCCCTCGATTCGTTTCATCCCGCATCAGGACCCCCGAGCCGGCAGGCCTTCGCTCATATTCCCCACCATCAACCGCACCCTACCCGACGAGAGCGCGATTCTTCGCGTAGGAAGATACTCGGAGCGCGACAACCTTCCTGAAGTCCAGACCAATGCCCCGTCGGCTGCAGCCATCGGCTTCAAGTCCAAGGTCGTCAGTAGAAAGCACTGTGAGCTGTGGTGCAAGGACGGCAGCTGGTATATCAAGGACGTAAAGAGTTCCTCAGGCACCTTTCTGAACCACATCCGTCTAAGTCAGCCAAACGTTGAGTCAAAGCCCTTCCGCATAAAGGATGGCGACATCATCCAGTTGGGCATCGATTTCCGTGGCGGCGAGGAGATGATCTTCAGATGTGTCAAGATTCGCGTGGAATGTAACCGCGGCTGGCAGCAGGGACTGAATACATTCAAGTAAGTTTACTTGTCTGCGCTAGAAGCCGACCACTAACCCGCACAGCAAACAAACCCATCAACGACTACGCGCGCTTGCCAAGAGCAAGAAGGAGGTCACGGGAGACAATGCTTCCGCACATACGTCCGAATGTGCGATTTGTTTGATGTCCATAGCCGTACGTATTCTCATAATATCGAGACCCAGCCGTACTAATCAGTGCACAGCCATGCCAATCCCTGTTCGTAGCACCCTGCTCTCACGTCTGGCACTACAAGTGCATCCGTCCTATTCTGAATGGACCCACATGGCCCAACTTTCTCTGCCCAAACTGCAGGGCGGTCGCGGATCTAGAAGAGGATGTAGAAGACATGGGCGAGTTCGAGGATTGGGAGGGTGACGAGGAGGTAGTCAATGGCGACACCGCTCCTCATGCCAGCGCAGAGCAGAGTGATCGTCACGTCACGCCCCGTGCCTCTGTCGCCCAGATAAACGGCACCGATTCAGACGGTGGTGTTGATCTGACGGACCTACGCCATCAAATCACAAACATCGAGAACCAGACGGTACTGGAGACGCCCGATCGCCTCCTCACGCCCCCAACGTCGTCAGTCACACAACCAGTCTCCATCAACGTCAACGGAGCGAATGAGTACGTGGGACTATCGCCTCTGTATCCTGCCGGCAGCAATGGCCTCAGCCCTGATCGCGTACAGGATGGTCCCATGACTCCAAGGAACGACGTCGGGCCTTTTGTGCTCGATGGCAGTGCTGGAAGAACAGCTGGCAGCCGCATGCGCGACACGTCTCCGCCGTCTGACTCCGACAGCAGTGGAGCGCGAAGTAACAGCGGAGCACCGACTCTACCTCCGGTGCGATTTGACTAGCCAATCCGTGGACCGAACGTGCTGCATCTTCTACTTCTTTCCGTTGGAAACCTCTCCTTTCGGGCTCATTTGCATATTTCCGGGCGTTATGGCGTGTTCAAAGCGATTGTTACGATCTCCATGTAGGTCTGGGTGGGGGGATCATGTTGCAATGTGTTATAGTTCAAGAGTAAGCAAGACATACAGGAGGGCGGAAGAACGGTAGCTAATGTATTGTAACAAAGTCAACCAAATCTTCGCGCTTTTAGCTTGCTTTCCGTGTAGGACACATTCGTTTGGTCATTGTGCTTCTGGGGTATCTGCGCTATGGAAACTCGTAAAGACCAAAACAGACAATCGTTCGCAGCTGACTCTTTCGCTATCTCGTCACACTCCATCTCTTCCCTTGATCAGATCGTTCGTTCTTTCACTCGCAGAACGACTCACACTCAAACATGCCGCCCATAGCTCTTCCCTCATGACTCGCCCTCCACTCCTCCAACAACACCATAACCTCTTGTCTCGTATCCTCAATGATCCCATCCATCTTGATGTCATTCTTATCATATCCAAAAGGATCCTCCAATTGGACGCCAATACCCTCGATACCATAGAGCGTAAACGCAATGATAGCAACGATAGGCACACTCCACCACCTGTAATCATCGACAATAGCAAATGGCAGCACACATGCATACAGCGCCAGGACCTGCTTCTGGTGGATCAGATGCGCGACAGGGATGGGCGTGCTGTGAATAGTCTCCATAGTGCCATACGCAGAAACGAGAGTATTCAGCTGAACAGTCATTTGCGAGGAGAGCGGTGCGTGGAACCAGCCTCTGTCGTGACCGCGGCGGATGTAGCCTTCCAGTAAAATTGTGAGCTGCAATGGCAAGCCCAGACCCTGATCTTCATAGCCCATCAAGCCTTCCGGAAGGAGAGACACGTATTCGTCCTTCTTCATAGGCGTCGTGCCATCACCGTTTTCGAGAGTAGCAGTCGAGCCGCCGAGAAGTGGAGTTGTGCTCGTGCTGTTGTTTGTGAGAATGGGGGGATAGAACGGGCCGAAACTACCGGTGCGGTCGATGTAGCTGGGGCGTCTGGAAACTGGGCGGGAGCGATTTGGGTAGACGCTTGGTTGAGGAGGCAAGGTAGCTAGACTCGCAGGTGGGATGTTGAACTCCGCGCGGAGGTTGTGTTTGATGGAGTACAAGACTGCTACGAGGACGCGGACTATGTTCTCTGTATCTCTTCTTTCTTCTTCTGTCGCATGGCCATCTTTGTCGCGGGAGTTTACGAGACAGATGCGAGCGAGGTTTCGGACGCAGGTTCCGATTGTGGTGAGGCAGTTGCGGCCGGTCCAGAAACGGTCGTAGCCGGTGCTATTGCGGAAGACTAGCATCAGACCGACCACTATGGAGAGCGACGGTATGATGGTCGCCGGGATGGATATGCTGTCCACATAGCGGGTATCGATGTAGACGATCAGGACGGTGAAGAGCGAGTGAAGGAGCACAGGTATAAGGATGATGTCGTGTACAGCGCCCTTTGAGAAGCGAAGGACGAGAGGTAGACGACGGGGTTTACGGCGGAAAGCGTGAGCGAGAGGGTAGGTTGGTCGACGCGTAGGGGTCTCTGGCGTCGACATTGTTGCGGAGGTTGAGGTGAGAGCGAAAGCGATAGTGTTCAACGCGGCCAGGCGGTGTATAAGAAGGTGGAGAGAGAGCCCGCTCTCGTATCTTCTCCCCGCGATAGATGAGGCGGTATGAGTGGGGACGATATGGGGAAGACGTCGAGGTGGCAGGGATCCGCGCCGTAGGCCGAGTCGAAGCTTTCTATACGAAACCCAAATGGCATACGGCAAAGTCCAGGACGACTAGCCCTCGCCATGGGAATCTGCTACCATGGCTCACGAGACGCGATCGGTGATTTGAAGTTAGTGGTTGACTTCTCAGGGTCCATCTATCGTCACATGTGAATGAGGATGGATGGGTCGTCGCCAACGTGGGCTCCACGTGCGGGCCGATGACGCGATAAGCAACTTCCCGAGCAAACCTCGGTCAACACGCGGTGGTGTCATGTTTTCTCTACGCGCGGAATCACAACACCATGAAGGCTCGATAGTACCGACACTCCTTTCTGCTTGCTTCCAAGTCTCCCTTGAGCGTCTACCCTAATACCTACTTTCTCAAAATGGAGGACTCGCATCCGGACTCCACTACCATCCCTTCCTCGATCAGCGCAAACCATCCCACTCCACACCCCGATGCCAAACCTCCACCCACACCACCGTCGCGATTGACAGCAGTACAAAAGCTGCGTTTCCTCCTCCTAAGATACCTCGCCAGAACAGCTGGCACCGCAGACCGCACGCTCGTCCGCCTCTCCAAACTCCTCTCCACACCCAGCGGCACCGACGTCCTCCTCTGCACAACATCCTACACCCTAACCCTCATTCATGCTATCCTCTCCCGCGTTCTCGAACGCCGCCTCGCGTCCATAGCCACCGAAATCGCCGAGAAAGCAGAGGGCGTCTTACTCCCCGGCGAAACGCTCATAGCCACCCTCCCAGCGCCCACGAGTACAAAAGTCATCGCACAAGTAGTTGGAAGTTCGAAAGCGCTTGCGGCTGTCATATCCGATTTCCGCATCTTTGTAAGATTATGGGGGGTGTTGGGCTTGTATACGTGGGCGCGGGACACATATCAAGACCGGTTGCCAGAAGATGCAAGTAGGAAAGAGAAGATATTAAGAGGCCTGACGTGGACGGCTATCATGTCTTGTGTTGGTTTCCAGGTCTTGGAGAATGGCGCGTATTTGAGCTCAAAGGGTGCGTTGACGACGGCAAGCTGGACGGGCGATGTGGGTAAAGCACGGGAAAATGCGTGGTGGTTGTGGAGTTCGAGATTCTGGGCTGCGTATGTGGGTGTTGAGCTTGTGCGTTTGGGTGTTCAGCATTATTACGCTTCGCCGTCTTCGTCAATATCGGCGAACACGGGCGATGGAGAGAAGGAAGATAAGATCCAGAGGGAAGAGCGGATTAAGGCTAGGAAATTGGAAAACTGGCTTTGGTGGAAGGATTTTGCGTCTAATCTGGCATATGCGCCCATGACTGTTCATTGGTCATTGGAGCAAGGGTTGCTGAGTGATTGGGGTGTCGGTGCTTGTGGTATGGTCGCTGGTGGGGCACTGTTGGCTGACGCGTGGAGGAAGACTGCGTGAGCATTTGGCAGGCTCCATCAAGTGGGATAGCACCGCATTGTATTCCTCAAACTCACACATTTCCTACCGCGAATCATCACGTGGCCAGTCAAGTACAGTTGGGTTAAAAGGTTCGATTGTTCTAGGTACGCTTCCGTCTCGTGTTGAACAGACAGCCAAACGTACAGAATCAAACCTACAAAGAGCGGAGCGAGATACATCGGAAAAGAAGAAGAAACGGTAATGACTGTCCAAATATCCACGCCGTTGCCAGCTCCGTCTACGAGGCGCCTCATCCACCACTCGTGCTCGTTGTCCAACAAATGCGACAATCTAGCAAGTAACCTTGTAGCTCACTTTGCCATCAACAGGCTTGCATGATAGGGCGTAGTTGCTCTCTTTCTTGTACGAAGTAAAGACACCCATGCAATTCGGTTCAGAGTAAGTGTTCACTACACATCAGTCGTTAGCGCCACGATGGCAAGTCTAGGATTGCTGAGAGCCGTAGACTTACCTTGGCAGTTGCCCTCCAAATAGTTGACTCTGATGCTCCTAGCGTTGGGTAGGTCCCCGCATACGTTCGCTTGAACCGTTGGGTAGTGGTGAAGATGTGGCAGAGTGCCAAGGCCGTCGCAGGTGGTGACGTCCCAGGTGTCGAAGTCGGCCTGGAAGGCACTCACGCTGGTGCTCATGACAGCGAAAGCGGACAAGGCGGTAATAGTGGTGGAGAAATGCATGTTGAAGTGTTAGACTAGAAGGTACTGATGGATTGAAAGATCTCTAATGTAGTGAAGATGAAAGTGCGAGAAGATGTGTGGTGCTTGTTTGACTCCACTCCCCCATGGACTTTATACCTCGTCACTTTAATAGTCCCCCTCTTCAGATATGATGTTGCCTTCACTCATCGGACGTAAGACGTTGTTGGTTGCATGCCCTTTTGCCTGCTACGGTCACTCTGTAAGCTGTTGATGATCATCTTGTCAGTTGCTGTTACGACGACATGGTACCAAGTGGTGCTTAAGAATAAGTTATAGGCCTCATGATGGCTCCGGTGAGGTGTGATGGTGCACGTTGAGCTGATGTTATGTTGTTGGCTGGGCGGTCACACAGTCAGGATCTCGGGACCCTTGACGCAGTAAGCGCGCGTACCCAATAGCTTCTGCTCAGCAAGGTTTGATACAGTGTATTATAGCTCGATGTGATCATGCGCTTCGCATAGCCATGCTTCTTCTGGACGTGCGCTCTGGACGTACACTGGTTTCGACAGCTTGGGACCGTTGTCGGTGGAAGGACACCGTTCTTACAAATTCTACTACTAAAAACAAATACACAGGCATCTCTCTACTCTGATTCAGATTCGCTTTCCGATGATGACTCGCCACTTGAACTCCTAATCCTGCTTCTCTTCGCAGAGCGTGGCTTATGAGAATCCCTCATACAGCCCTTAGCGTCACCCTGCTCTTCGCAACAACTCCAGGCGAAACCTTCGGGATAGTTTTTACGGTTGTATTCAGTATCCCATGGGCCATGACATTGATCCCAATCGGCCCAAAAGTCTTCATCTTCGTATATTTCCAACTCTCCTTATACAGATGTGAGTAATGCATTAGTGTATCTCAACGCCCGGGGTTTTCTTACCTGGATGCCATACGCATTTTCCGTTCTTCGTTGTGTCGAACTCTTTCTCACACTGCTCACAAATGTCGTAGTGTCGAACGCGCTTCTGAGCTCTTCGTGGCTTGAACGCCGAATTCTCTGCAAGTGGCCCATCAAGAAACGATATAGCTGGTTGCCCTACTTGTTCTTCCTTGGCGAATAGTTTATCGTATGCTAATTTGAAAGCTGCTGGCGATTCGTTGCATACTTCGAGCAGGACAGATTGTAAACGCTTCCTGGTCGATGTCTTGACAACGTCGTGTAACTCTTGTCGCATAGCGTCTCGTCTAGTAGAGACGCGTGACATTGCGCCTTTTATAATGGTGTGACAGATGAGATGAAATCGTTGGGTAACATGTGACGCGTTCTGGTAGAAAGTTCGTGATAAGAAGGTTGCGGATTGACATCCCGACTCCTCACTAGTACAAACACGAGATAGCGTGCCTTCCGGACGGGCTACCACGTGAAAGCACGCCACATTTCGATTTGAAGTTGAAGTTGGACTAGTCACCAATGCATTACAGCTTCAAAGATATCTTCAATTGCCCCAAAAGATATATACATGAATGGGCCATCTCCAAGACTACCGACCCTTTTATGGGAGGGCTTTCTCATAACACACCGATCCTTCGTTACAACTCGCCCGTTGGCAGCATCGCGGAATCGTGCCCAGGTGGATTTCTCTTTGCGCATGAGCGCCAGCAACATTCGTCTCAAACTCTTCGTGACTAATATTGCGAAATGCATTTACCATCCAGAGCAAGCAACAAAGGCATTGCCACTGGCACCAGTGTGTGTAATCTCCCCCGCACGCTGTCCAGCAGTGTTGAAGATGACACGGTCAGCACCCGGTGAACCTAAATTCATCAGTCAGCACTCATTCTCTAATCGAACTTCTCTCTCATCATCACATATTTCACTTACCACCAGTGTAAGCACCAGAAGTCCTCAGCGGGAACTCCTCATACGGGCCCGAAACCAAAAAGTCAAAGCCCTCATAGTTGTTATAACGATGCGGGTAAGTGGAGCTACCCGCTTCGTCTCCGGCCTGGTAGAGCTTGTAACCGGCACTGCGTGCAGCAGAGACTTGGGATGAAGTGTAGCATGTTGATCCACACTTAACGTAGCAAGATTGCCTAGCCTCAACGGCAGCAATCTCAACGGGTGCCTCCTCGGAGACAGAAGTGGGGAGAGCGAGGGCAATGGGTGCAATGAAGAGGAGGATGTTGGTGAGGAACTTCATGTTGGCGGCTGAAGGAGAATGAGACGACGAGCGAGTGTCTTGTCAGGCGTTGTGTAACGAGGGATCGGCGGGGCTGCTAGACCTGTCTTTCAAATGGAGGGTACTACATGGTAGCTTTATACTGTCCTAGTACCCGTCACCCCAGTGTAGTCCGGCGGTAGTCCAGCGGTCGCCTCCGAACCATCTCAACCCTAATGCGGAAGATCATACTCGAAAGCAATTAAACCCGGACGCAGAGGTTCTTAGCACCTTTCCGGAAGGAACAATATGTCCGCGAAGTCATGCAGCGGAGGCTCTCTCAAGCTGGGGTACAACGACCTATCACAAACTACTACTTCAAGCGTGGGACCTACAACACCATACTAAGCGCAAAGCCTCGGTCCTTTCATACATCCACCACCCTCTCACGTTACTCCGTCTCATTCGCTCGACAACAATATCATGCATGAATTCCCGCTACCAAGATGACCGGAGCATCAACATCCCCAGCACCACCCCATGCATCCAGGACATGCGACTTCCGCCGATCAGGAAGGTACGGACAACGATTCGCCGGTTATCTCCCGGAACTAAGATGATGTGTTTCAAGCTGCTTATCGCCGGAAATCTGGCGGTTGTGCACATGTGCGTGTTCGATAGGCTGAGTGCGGTTAGGGATCGACAGGGAAACGCGGCAGCTAGTGCTGGATTTGGAAGGTGGGCCTGGGCATTTGGTGTAGGAGGGACGTAGACTAGGAGATCGACCTCCACGACGGTAAGTGCGAATGGTAGTAGAAGCGAGTGCAGCGATGCCGGCGGCTAGGGAGAGGTGTTGATTACTGAGCGAAATGTGCCGGATGCGGTCTTGACCGTTGTTCAGTACTGATGATAAGCAACTCGCCCAACATGTACTGATGGACCGAACGCGAGGATGGGTAGAACATAATGCAATCTTGGTAGGATATAGACCACGATAACAATATCATTGTTGTACACTGTAAGCCTGCCTTCTGCGGCTATGTAAAGTATATACTGAGATCCAAACCAGCTGGCAATGTGCATAACCTAAGCAATATAAGCATACAGCCCGTCATCCTCTCTTTCTAAGAATTCCTTCTCGATTAAGCGATCGATGTTTCTCTTGATACCGCTGACCTCCAATGTTCCCCTGTTTCTCGTCGCCGAGATTGTCTCACTGACGAGTTCCGCATGGCTAATTCTCTTCCTTGCCTTGAGGATTCTGACAATGGCAGCTTGCGTCTCGTAGTTGCGATCAGCAGCGACACGCTCGTGCGTCTCCTTGTTCTCGGCTGCTGTTTCCTTGAGCTGGACAGTGTTGACCTTGATACGGTACTTAGGGTCTGTGAATGACGCGTTGAGTGTGAAGGTATCGGTCTCGTTGATCTCTCGGCCTTTGGGGTGCTTGGTCAATGGCCGGACTTTTGCGCAAGCTAGGGACTGTAAAGTGCGGTTAAGCTCAGCGGTTGCTGTCAGATGTTAGTAATGCCAATATAATAAATTCAGCGGGCGACTTACGTAGTCCAGTGGCTTGCTTGAGATACTCGTAGTCAATATGCTCATCGTCCTGTCGGCCATTGAAGAGCAAAAGAACGATAGCCTGGAAGGATGACACCACCAACTCCTTGAGTCCCTTGGGAAACCTGGCTTTGATCTGGCAATGGGCGAGCGCGTGCTTGAATTCTAGCTTGCGACCAGAATGCTTGACCTTGTAGTGTGCTTCAAACTTGTTGATCGCAGACTGGATCTGCGGAGGTAGAATTACAGGGACCGTGGGGTATGTAGGCCAAGCTGACGCAGAAAGGACGTTGACGTTGAGATCCAGGCTGAGCTTTTCGTTGCGCTCCTCACTAATATTCTTGTACGAACTCATCTCTTCTCGTGAAAGTTCGATGTCGCGGAACATCTGCTCGAGGTTGGCGGTGAAGCCGGCACCACATTCTGCAGTACGTTAGTATCTCAGCGAGTCGCAAATACTTGCACACTTACCAATCTTCAGCCTCGACAGCATGCTCCTCTCAGCGTCTGCACTCGCACTTCGGCCCATCAGCAGTCGTCTGGCCAGATCTTTCTTGTAGAAAGCCTCAAACACTGCCTTGCCGTGCAAGAAGCGGAACAAATCGAGAACCTGATCGAGCTGATTGTTGACTTCTGTATCTTCATCGAAAACACCTTCCTCGTTATCTTCTTCAACTTCTACAGCAGCAGGTTTGTCGGATTTGCGGCTGAGCTGAGCTGGTATCGCTTTTGCGCCTCCCCTCAGCAGCATGTCCACGTACTTGGCAATCATCTCGCCAGTCTTCGAGTTGTCCGTGCCCCAGCTTGCACTCGTTTTCTTTGTCTTGTTCATGAACTTATCAAAGGATTCTCGCAGGCCGTGACCCAACTCCTCATCTCTGTGGAAAGAAGCCTTCCACAGAGTGTCCAATTGGCGCTTCAACGTGAGCAGTTGTATCACCATGTTATCCTGCTCCTTGTCGTTAAACACAATAGCTGTACCTTCGTCCTCGATCCACTTTGTGAACCCTGGCCTTAGCTTTGAGCCAAGTTTTCTCCGTTCGAGCAATGTGTACAGAAGCTCAAGATCTTCAATGGCATTGGTTTCGAGGAGATCCGCAAGCTCGTCTTGATTGGTCAGTCGCTCCTCCTTCTTCGATATCAAGTGATCCTCAAATAATGTGAGGAGCTCTCGTTTGGTGGTGTTTGGGAGGCTAAACATGTCGACCCTATTCATCTCGCGATCCATGAGTGCTTTCGAATTGCGGACGTATTCGGGTAGTGACTTTTCTGAACTCTCTGTGTTTGCCCACTTCGCAACGTATTCTTGACTGATCTCCATTAAGCGCGGCTCAAAGGAGCGTGTGTAGACTTGCATGTCGTGGAACATATTGACCGTCTTAGAGAACATCTCGCTGTCCAGGTCACCGCCCGTCCGGTCGTTAGCGACAAGATCGCAGGCACCATCGACAATGCGGGGGTTCAATTTGGAGTGTTCGAAGATGAGGGAGCGGAAGAGGCTGATCGAGATTTCGCGGAGGGACTCGTGTCGTGGGAGTAGGTAGGCGCGGTCGAGATAGCAGAAGATCCAGTCAAGATATTTCTTCAGTTTGTCAGTATGACAGCGTCCCCACGTATATGGGTATGACTGACCATTTGGCTATTCCACACCACCCACGCCTGCAGAGTTGCCCGCAATACGTCAATGTTTGGCCTTCCCAGACTCTCCTTGACCTTCGCCTTCAGACTTCCACCCACGTAGTCCTTGCATTTCGCAATCAAACGTTCCTTGATGTCTTTCGCCATGTTTTGGCGACATACATTCTCTACACCTCTGTATAGTTCCTCCAGACTAAAGTCCACGTCCCCCTGCAGAAAGATGGTGTCCAAAGCCTTCTCAATCTTCGCCCATGTCTGGTCCAGGAAAACCCTGGGGTCCACCTTCCTCGTGGGCTTGAAGTTCTTGACAACCAATCGCTTGGGGCCATTGTTGGCATGCATGTTGGGCGCTGCTTTGCGCATGCCATTCCGTTGCCCGTTGGCTTTGGCAGGACTGTTGTCGGGGCTTGACGTAATGTCTACCACATCGGCATTGCTCGACATGCCCGCCCTCTTGCTGGGGAAGTGGTACATCTCTGCTGTGCTCATCTTGGTAATCGGCGCTGGGGATGTGGCGATCTCCGTGGTGGGGATCGGAGAGCTGTCACGTCGTGTGCGCTTGCTAGTGGGTGATAGCGGCGCTGCGGAGGCGAGCTTCGGCTTGGATTGTGTAGTAAAGAGCTCTTTGATTGTCTTGCCCGAATGCTTCCGTTTCAGTGCACCTGGATTGGCTGACATTGGGCGGACGTGGGAAGGTCCCGGAAGCTGGTGATTGCGGAGCTGTTGCTGTTAAAGCCGCGGCGATGGCAGTGACGCGCTTGATCCATACCCCTTTCGGGTACACTAATGACGATATCGATAACGACGGAAATCCGAAGGTACATGGACAAACGAACCTCTTACATCTCATCTCGTATGCGCATATGGGAGCATTTCAAACTCTTGTCCGACCATTCTTTCAGGCGGCTGTTGAGGCTCTGGGTGCGACAACATGGTTGATAATGCTCTGTGCATGGTGCCGCAGATCTGTCATCAGCCATTGACACCCGCCGCATGCATGCTGCGGATATTGCGATATCATCATTCCAGTTAGTCGTGACATGTACGCGTTTCGTACCAGCGAGCCGCATTCTCCTGAAAATGCTTGGAAAGTACAGCGAGTGTGGATGCCTAAGGTTCTTACATCTTGCGTACTTCCAGCGCCTACATCACGAACACTGACAGACGTCTGGCTCAGTCCACTTCCCCCTATCAGCTCCTCATTCTTCGTTTACAAGATATGATTGCGAGATCACTCAACGTCTGCGCCGTCGCCGCCGCTGGTCTTCTATCTCCCCAATGCTACCCAACAGCTTTGCGGCGTAGCTAGCTGCCATCGGGTTCTTTCTATTATCAGACCTCTGTTCCTTCTCTAATTTCTCTAGCGCCTACCCGATTGATGTAGATACCGGCTAAAGTAATCCAGGCTGACACTATGAAAAGAGATTTGGGGCTGAAACCTTGCGGTCAGCCTTTGCACATGCTTTGGCCGCCCCTTCGTTGCACACTCGCCGGTTCCTTCGCTTCAGTCATATCTTTTATCGTTATCATAACGCCCATCTTTTCTTTTACGTATGCGCGGCCAAACGGACCGCAAAGACTCCGTTCGTCAGCTACGGCATACGCACGCGCATTGAATTGCCAACGATGCGACGAGTTGCGGTCACCCCACGCGACGATTGTGGGGTAACTACTTCTCCAGACGGCCACCGTTTGTGGAGACACGGCCCCGGGGACTCTCCATGTGCGCACGCGAGCTCTGACCCGCAAGAAGGACGGAAGTGAGCACCAGAACCGTAACATCGATGCTAAGGGCTTTCGCCAGCGGTTACACAACTCAACAATGTCTCAAGAACTCCACCGTTAGCCTCTATCGATGGCCTCACGGTTGGGCAAACAGTGGCTCTACCACACTTCGAAGGTCGTTGACGATCAGCTTCAGTGCTGTCAAGATACAGCAACGGCACCCCCGCGCAGAAGAAAACGCTACCGCCATCGCGGAACGTTCCTCGTATTGCAGCCATTGTGTCCTTGGGTGGGTCTCCGAGGCTACCGATAATAGTCATTTTGTTGCTATTATCGTGCCACACGCATGAGCAGCCAACAGGAGGCCGAAAAACGCCACCCTCTAGCCTCTTGAAGAACGCTCGCATCTCTTTGCATATCACCTGCAATGTCTCGCACCTGCCCCTGGTAAGGCAAAGCCTGCGCTCGATGTGTTTCGATTCACTTCATACAATGCGAACGACTTGGGGGTTTTGTCACGGAAGAGACAAATCCACCCAGACTTTCGCCTGTGCCCGACAGTAGCAAAATCAAGACTGCAAGAACTGCTGCAAGTATGCAAGCCCAAAGGCCAAGACCGACAATACCCGTCTATGATTGCTCGAGGTTAACATGTGAGACGGAACATGGGGCTCTTATCCTCACCCACGCGACAACAATCCGCGCGGGATGCGACAAACCTTGCCGGATGAGCCATCCTACTGGTACCTGACCAGAGAGCTGGGTCTTGATATCAGAGCCGTGCCTCCACATCAGTGCCCAAATAGATCGGAGTTTTCAGCAGTAAAGCATGTCGGTCAGGCCCTCTCGGTGACAGGACGAGTGGGATTGAACAACCCAGCGATTGAGCCTTACTTGACTCCAATAGTAGCTGCGTTTCCTTAGCGTCGATGGATGAGGTGCCAAAATTGGAAACATGGTTGGCTAGCACGGTCTCTACATGACGTCCCGTTGCCCGAAGTGGAAAACGCTGGTATGACCGCCTTTCCATACCTTACCACACAGACCGTGGCCCCATCGATCCCCATACTCAGCTGTTACTCAATCAACCATGCCATTCAGGGCTAGCTGCCTATCGACGCAGCCAACAGGACGTCGCGGCAACGTACTACTCACTTGATGGTTTTACGCCATTTCGCCCGTTTACTCGAGCCTCACTGGCTCTCTGGCTTCCGATATCCAGCATCCCTCAACTCACTCGCCGTGAGACCTTCATTATCAATCTTTACTGCGGCCAAGGGGCACTGTCTGAATAGTGGCTTGTTCATCCTTCCTACAAGGCTCACTGGGGCTTGCATCCATTCCCTCGCAACCTAGATCTGTGTTACCGATAGTCATTCGCCACCCCACGTCGTGGCTGGCTTCCATGTATATCAAAAGCTGGTCTGTCGGACGCTGTCCAAATGCCACTCCCGCCCTTCCGATGACACACTTCCCAGTCGCATACAACTCATTATACTCCTAACTACAATCACACCTAGACAATAAATCTCATTCGAAGTATTGACCAAGCAAATACATTATCACAATACACATCACGAACCATGAATCGGGCTCCACGGTGCTTGGCCAAGTCGAGTAGGTCGGGCCCAGTTGCGGTCTCGCCCAGTAATAGTATGTTCGCCGCTCCCAGCAGCCCAGTACGTACATGTACTAAAATGCCCAGCACAAACAACACTGAACCGCCCATCTGGATTAACATGTCTGTATCATCACTCGACACTTCAACTAAAGGTCGTGCCGGACACGCTTGCAGATATGCACCCCATGGATCGGTTCATTGCGGCGCCCTCATCACATCACTCTGTGGCGTTTACGGAAGCTTTTAAAGTAGGCACTGCTGCTTCGGATGGATGTACTTGCATCTCAACCACGACCGTCACCTTGGAATTACCGTCGTAGATCACCATGGTGAATGTTGATATCCTGCACGCACCCCACCAAGAACAAGAGACGTCGACCATGAAAAGGCGTGGAACATGGAAAGCTCTGAAGCAGAACTCGAAAGCATTGCATGGCGATTTGATACTACTCATGGAAACTCAAAGGCGTGCTTTGATCGGTTCGGGTGTCAAATAGGGTTGAGACACTTTCTCGTACGATGACACATGATTTGTCCCAACCTAGGAATCAAGCTCTATTGTCAGTCCCGTAGCATGAAATCTGTCCAACTCCCATGTGCCACATGTCGCCCCACCTTTCACTCCACGTGTCTTGGCTTCGCGATGTTTTGCTTTTGCAAAATGCTGTAATCCACGCCCGTTTCGCCGCCTACCGAGATAGGAAGAGTCTGGCACGTGACATAGCCTGGCATTGCGAGCTTTTGCTTTTGCGAACGCCGTCTTCAACGAGCTTTCGAAGTTACCCAAAGGGGTAGTGTCCGTGCATCATTCTGTTGGATGGGACGCCCTCTTATTCCAGCGGCCATCAACAGTGCCAAGATTCTCTAAACCTTCCCAACGCAGTAACAGCGATGTTTTGCTCTTAGGAGTTTGCTGTCATCAACAGATTTTCAAAGTTGCCTAATGCGGTAATAGCGAAGTCTTGCTTTCACAGAAGTGCCGTCTTCAACGTATGTTTGTACCGCTGAAGTGGAAGCTGGACACCCAGACCCCAGCCGATTGTTCACCATGAGCCGACGCGCGGCACGACAACAGCACAAGCATACTCCTCCCAGCAACAAACAGCGATGCTACAGGTTTCTACTCACTGGCGACAAGTCTCAGTGTGCTTGTTCCTGCAGAAAACGTACCCAAGAGTGCCTACATAACCATGACCACGGCGATGGCGATGACGATGACGACGCAGTCGTCAACAATGCCGGTCACAGCGATCCGGTATTCCAACCGACTCGGATAACGACACCGCGCCTAGCATCAGTAAACCCGAGTCTGGCTCATGCGGGGGGTCGCTTGATTTAACCGTAGGAAGCGCTGCGCTAAGTATACCGACGATGGAAAGAACTTCAACCATCTTAGGTACCATACTAGCCGTTGCCGAGTGCAGGGCTACCTAATGCCGATCAACGTGCAAGTCGTGAATATTAGTCTTTGTGAAAAGCACACGTCGGGTCTGATACAATGCAGCATATGCGGTGGTATCGACTACTTCACTGAGGAAGAGAGCCGCGAGAATACGACATGCAGATGGGAAGACTATGGTTTAGCAGGTTCCCAAAAGCCGACGTGGGACCAGTGTCTTGTCACGGATTGCATACAGATATGGACTGTGCAGATGGGACAGCGGGACCCATTCGCCTGTCACCTTCACTCATCAGCAATGCATCAGTGTGTAAGGTGCAAGCACCAGTGAATAATAGATACCACATGCTATCCGTGTATCAGGCAGTTTAGGAAGCTAAAGTTGGCGGAGGCAACCATCGAGTAAGCTAATCTGGTCTAGTCTAAATAGATTCACCTTCACCGCGTATGCAAGAAACCTACCTATGTACTCATCTTTCTTTTTGAACTTTGGACTGTCGCACAACCACCCACCGCACCAGATTACACACTTGCCTCCTCTCACATAACTTCCACTCTGCTGCAGGCACCATGCCGTCCACCAGCATCGCCCCAAATGCCGCAGAGACGTTTTTCGGGGACTCTGGAGGCCTAAACAACATCAACCAACCCATCGCAGATACACTATCACGCACAGATTTTGCTTCCTTGCGACGTACCTCGCGGAATGTTCAAGCCCATCGAAATGCAGAAGTAATTTGGAATGCGGTGGGGGTTTTCACGAAAAGTTGTACACGATCTGGTCGTGTTCTTTGCACATCTCCACTCATCCATTCGTTCGCATCACTGTTGTTAGATCTCATAGAACAACAACGCATTGCTGATTGAGGTAACAACTGGCTGTAATGCTTCAATGAACCATGCGATCGACATTTGCAGCATGGCGTGATTTGGATGTATCAGGGGTATCTTATGATCGACCAAAACCGACACATCATTCCTGCGTCCCCCTCTTCGCGGCCATCATCTCACGATACTTGTCAATCATCCTTTGACGCTCCTCGCCCAACTCCTCCCGCTTCCTCAAACTGCCAGCGGAGTTGGGCACATTTCCGACCTTTGCACCGGCACCGTTTTTCACCTTGAAGATCTCTCTTGGTACCTTATCAAATGTTGGCGGCGCATGGACAATGTCGTGCAAGCCCTTCCGTTCTTCTCTCTTCTTCTTGAGAGCCTCCCACTCGTCTTCGCTGCCATTGTCAACCTCGCCTGCTAGCTTCCTGCGTTTGTTCTTCTTCGCCTTTTTCGTCTTGCCGTTGACTGTTCGTGTAGTTGGCAAGTCGGATGTCTTGTCTTCCCACATGGCATCCAGCTCGTCTTGTTCCTCCTCTGCTAGTTCCGCTGCCTCCATCTCCTTCTCTCGTATCCGCGCTTCTTCTTCCCTCCATCCCTTTTGTAGACGTTTGAGATGCCGTTCGTGCTTGGTGACTCTGTGATCGCTGACACCTGCGACCTTTTTGCCGGACTTGCTGATACCTGAAATTGGCAACGCTGCGTCGACTCGCGACCGGAACTCTTGCATCGACTCTCCAGGTTGTATCTTCAGCGCGGTCGTTGATTGCACCTGCTCTTCGCTCTTGTTGTTTGCATCGTCCTTCTCTACCGCCTCAGCTGCGGCTTGCTTCTTCTGCTTCTTGGTTTTCACAGCGCCGTCGTCGAGAGCTGAGCGCTTCTTTGGTCCTCCCTTCGAGAAGGCCATTAGCCGCTGGAAGGCCTTGGGTGTGTCGTCTGCGCCATAACCTTCGACCTGGTTTACTTTGCGCTTTTTGCCTTTGGGTGCTGTGCTGAAGGTGCGCGCTTTGCCGACGGCGAGAGGAGCGGCGTGGACGTTGGGCGGAAGGTTGAACCTGTTGGCAACGGGTCAGATTACCGTCTACAAGTGATTAGGCTTGCGAGAATACGAAATGACGTACTGGGTATCATCCTCTTCTACGCGTCTGTGTTTGTGAGGCATATTGGGTATTGGTTGGCTGTCTATTCGATACCGAGTCCCGACGGTGATCAGTCGATGGCTGTCGCAAAAAGTTACGGAGCCGCGACAGGGATTGTCGGGCAAGTGGGGATCGGATATCTTGGCATTGCGCGCACGTGTCGCTCGGCTTCACCCCGCCATCTTCACTTGCGGAGGTGCTACAAGACATGGAGAGAGTAGACACGGCCTGCCGAGGCGGGGCTTGAGATGCTTAGAACTTCCGGCTTACCGCCTCATCTGCAAGCTTTCAAGTGTGGCGCAGGCCCAAAACAGAACGGCCGAAAACTCACAGCATACGCTGGGACCAATCACGGCAGTCGCATCGCCGTGGTCAATAAGCTCAGCGAGAGACACGCAACATGCAACCCGTCAATCGTGGGAAGACGACGCTATCGAGACTAAATGCATTGTTTTGCAATCAAGGCAGAAATGATGCCCCATTGTGACAGTTTCGGACCGAAGCCATCACCACTACGCGTCCGGGCAGGTGCAACGTGGATGCGTCTATCGATACCAGCCCACCGCCGCATTCAAATAAACCACTGAGTGCGCAAGCTCAGCAACGTGCTGTTCCAAAGCACGACCTTTCTGATCATCTGCTCCGACTTTCACCAGCCTGAGTCGTTAGCATCTGCCGTTGAGTGTCGGTCATCCTCTCACTTGCAACCAATCACCATCGCCAGCCGTGTTGCGTGCCCGAACTCGCTCTCCAGGCCGTGCACCAGTTCTCGAACGCTGCTGGGCGCTGCGGCTGTTTCGAGGGCATGCATGCTGATAGCCCGCACTTTATCATCGTGGGTTGCATTCGTTTCACGGGTGGGCTGGCCGATCGCACTGTGTCTCGCAATAAGTAGGGTCCGTCCCATATTGCTCTTGACAACTCCAAGCCCTTCGCCTTCAGTCCATCAACACCCAAAATCTTAAGAGGCTCTACCAAGGAACTGGACCCTGCGTTTTGCGCGACTTTCTGGATCCTGCACTGAACTGCGGAGGTGCATCGCGCCAGTCTAGCCTCCTCCGAACCCAAGGACGGGACAATAGCCAGTCTGGATCACCGGTACACAGCTCGTGGCGTTTTGGAGCGACTGTCGAAGAGGAAGGTGTTTTTAGCCAGCGAACGCCTTGGTTTTGAGGTGCAAACTCGCCTGGGCGAGCAAAGACGACCTTCAACATCTCAATTCTTTCATCGCATCCTCCATCTTTGAACAGGTGCGCTGCATATATCAATGTCGCTTGGCCCACCTCTCAGGGTCCAGCAAGTTAGTCGTGCCAGATCCCTGCCTGCGATTGGCTCGTGCCTGAAGATGGCTACCGAAACCCCCTCCACCCAACCCCTTCTACGCATCTCTTCGGACTCGGAATCTTCTTTCGATGCGAAATCACCTCATGTTTCCTTGCGCCAACTAGAAGATGGCAACGGCTCCATCTTTGCTTCCGACGAGGAGGAGATAGTATCGCGACCTGGGTTCTGGCGCCGGCTAAGAATGAGCATTCGAAGACGGAATGCAAAATTGCGGGTCGACGAGGACTGTGGACGTGTGAGGCTACCGGATGAAAAGACGCAGTCGAAGAAGTATCGAGTGAAAAGGAAGTATGCAGCTAGAGCCTGTGTTATAATACCATTGCTGGTATTCATCTTCTTGTAAGTGCCTGTCAGACATTAGCTTCCGCGCGTTCCGGCGGCAACCCTCTCATTCGACAGTCCCCTGCCCTACATGCAGCTGTCATCCTATCATGTTCTGGAGCAAGAAGAATAGATGTACTGACTCTATCAGTGGTGTTCTTCACATCGTCAACGTATTCCTGGGCTACGTTCCTACCTTTCTGGATGATTATGTAGTCTCGTCGTTCGACTCGAGTGTCTTAGACAAGACGCAGCTGCTGGATATAACACGCGACGTAACTCCGGTCCCTTGTCACTCGCACAACGATTACTGGCGCCGAGTACCACTATACGACGCCCTACGCTGGGGTTGCACAGGCGTCGAAGCAGATGTTTGGCTCTTCGACGAGGAGTTGTACGTTGGTCACAACACCAATGCCCTAACGCAAGATGGCACCTTCACGTCCATGTACGTCGACCCATTGGTCAAGATGCTAGACCACAAGAACGAACTCGGAGACTTTGCCACATCATCAAACGTCAAAAACGGTATCTTTGACACCGAGCCTGCGCAGACTTTGGTCCTACTAGTCGATTTCAAGAACAACGGCCACGACATCTTCCCCGTAGTATCCCAACAACTCAACGTACTCCGCGAAAAGGGATACCTAACCTACTTCAACGGCAACACCACCATCGAAGGCGCCATCACCGTTGTCGCGACCGGTAACGCCCCCTTCGACCTCATCACCGCAAACTCAACCTACCGTGACATCTTCTTCGACGCTCCCTTGGATAAGCTCGATGAAGGTTCAGTCACCACCCGCGACGGTCAAGGCACAGTCGGTACAACACCCACTTCCCACTTCGACAGCACAAACTCGTACTACGCATCCGTTAACTTTGGCCATTCAATCGGCACGCTCTGGCTCGGTCGCATCACCGAAGCCCAACGCCTCAAGATCCGCGCTCAGATTCAGAGCGCAAAGGAGAGGGGACTGAAGGCGCGGTACTGGAGTGCGCCCAAGTTTCCTATTGGACTTAGGAATAGGGTGTGGAAGATGCTGGTTGAGGAGGGTGTGGGATACTTGAACGGAGATGATTTGCAGGGTATGACGAGGCTGGACTGGGGCGTCAAGAGGCATTGGGGGTTGATCGGTTGATTGCGACCATCGACCCTTGAAGGGACGGGAGAGAAGATGAAGATATGATTTACGTGGTATGTATGGCGTTCTAAAGGTGTTTGTTCTTTCTGGGGGACTTAGCATTACAGTTCTCGGTGGCATTAGTTGAAGATACCCGATAGATGAGATTGCAATACACATTTCTCATACTTCCAAGTCGTCACCCTCATGCAGCACAGCTTCCATATTGGCCGTCGATCATCAAAGTACAGACCTGGATGAACGGGGAAAACGTGATCAGAAAGTCATATATACATAATCAAGCCAATAGGACCAACAAGGGAGTAGCGAAGTCATCGTCATCAACATCAACAAAGAAGCTTCTTTTCCGCTTCACGAAACGCCAACAGCGCCATACAGTCTATACCCAACACGAAGCTCGCCGTCATCCAGTCGTTTCTGTGTCTAAAACATACTCCAGCCCTTCTTCCTTCGCTCATCCCTATCATCTCGGCGTCCCATCATGCGCTTCTCTCTTTGCTCGAGTTGGCGCAGACCCTCCATCTCCTTGAGTACGTGTTCGAGGAGGTCCTTGCGACGCACGACATCGAGGTGACGTTTGATCTTGGGGTCTTCCTTGGCGAAGCGGTCGATTTCCTCTTGGGAGAGGCCGCGGCCTAGACGGGCGTCGAGTTCACGTGGGAACTAGAAGGTGTTAGCGGGAGCTGTGTGGTTAAGGAGAGGGGTGGTGGCTTACGATGTAGTAGAACTTGCTTAGCAGCTCAGCGTCAAGGAAGAGATCGGCAGTCGTCGTAAGCTTGTCTGCGACAGCGTCGAGGAAGACTTCTGGGCAGTGGTATTTGTTCTTCTTGCTGGCGCATTGCTTGCTCTTGATGGCGAGGAGACGTAGTTTGAGCACGTCGATGCGGTCACGGAGGAAGACAGCCTCGCGGCCTACAACGTTGTTAGTATTGAGTTCGAATGTGTTAGATTTGTATAAGAAGTAGACTTACCCTTAGCAAGGAGTGCAGAGCTGAACCCGCCAGCTCCACCAACTCCGTCGCCTTCGAGAACAACTTGTCCGCTTCGTACGCGGTCAATGAAAGACATTACGTCCCTTACTCGCTTGCGGCCACCAACTTGTTCTTCAAGCTGCTTTACGGCAGCCTCGACGACCTTCAGCTCGTCCTTGAGCACAGCTGTGACATTTTCCCGACCTTTTGCCCATTCGTTGTCCTCGACTTCGATGCGGTATTTGTAGGGCTTGATGCAGATCTCCAACTCGTCGGAGATGTCATAGGAAAGGTCTTTGAGGATGGAGGTGGAAGCGTCGGTAATGGCTTGTCGGGCGAAGGGGTGGGCGGCGAAGCGAGAGTTCGTGATGAGGCGGTCGATGTGTGCTTGTAGCGCACTTGCGACAACGTTGGTAGCAAGACGTCCGACACCCAATTTCGTCAGTGCAGCACTGGAGCTGTCGAGCTTGATCTGCCATATTTGATCTTCGCCATCGATATCAGCTTTGGCAAGGTTCGTGAGAGGGTCGGTCTCGGGGAAGGGGACGCTAAGGTCGTCGAAAGGCCTGTTCCAGTAGCGCTGTGCAAGCAGGTTGAGTACCTGCTGGTCAAGCTCGTGCTTGAGTAAGTCGCGAACTTGTTGGCGACCGAACTGCTCAGTAAAGCCACGGAAGGAGTGCTTGAAACCATCTAATGATTCCGCAAGGTATGACTCTGCGCTGATGGGTCGCTCGTTGTATTGAACCTTGTACTCGTATCGGGCATCTTCGAGCTCCCTTTGGATAGCCTCGCTTGTTGTCTTGAGGCTGCCGGCCATTGTCTGCTCGAGCACGTGCATGAGCTTCTTCTTGAGGTTCTGGGTACCGACGGCGAGCTCTGATCCTTCTGAAAACTCGGGATGTGAAGAGAAGTATGCTTTTTCGTTCTTTGTAATGGCATTGGTGATGTTACCGTTGCCACGGCTGAAGAGCTTAGAGCCACCAGCACCGGGTGGTACCCGACATACGACGCCGACGTATCCCAGACGCAGGGCATACTTTTGGTCGCTGAGAAGGCTGGCACCACGTTCGGCGTCAACAAGATCCATCTTTGTAATGACACCAATGGTCCTCTCACCTCGAGGGTCCATTCGTCGGGACGCTCGCAGCGCAGTGCTGTTGGCCAGATCCACGTCGGCGGCGGAGATGGCGAGGATGACATTGGGTGCCTTGATGTATTTCTCGCAAAGCTGCGAGATCTTTTCCTTCAGCTGCGGGGGCTGGTCTCGGCCAACGACCTGGATGTAGCCAGGCAAATCGATCAGGGAGAGATCAGGGACGTTTGGCGAGTAGATTCTCAGCTGAATAGGGTCATCGGAGACGCAATCGCTCGCTGGTACAGCCAGGTTCAGGTCTGTCAACGTCTTCTGCACCTGACTGAAATCTGTGACCTTTCCCAAGCCAAGAGCAGGAAATTCGCAGTACTCGGCGTGCGCATCCGGTGTGTTGACAAGCGTGAGCTCGATGGGTCGTCGCGTTACCATGTTGTGTCCTTTCGGTAGAAACTCGTGGCCTACGATGGCTTCTAAGACCGAACTCTTTCCGGACGATTGCGAGCCGATGACAACGATGGAGGGCAACGTGAGCGAATCAGACTGTCCAACAGTCTGCAGAAGCCCACGTATCTCGATCATCTTCTTGGTGAGCATCATCATCTGCTCGTCTCGTGCGATCTTCTCCGCCTGCGGCCTGTCCTCGTCGTCTTCCTGAGCATATCCAAACGCCGCTGCTGTCGACGCACCGGCTGCAGCAGACCCAGCACCGCTCTGCTTGGGTTCTTCTGGGCCCCTGCCGCCACCACTACTGCCTCCACCACCAGATTCGTCCTTGGTGAGTAGCCGCTGTAGCCATTCCGGGTATTGCACGCCCTCTAATTCGTCCTTGGTCGACTTGAAGCCTTTTTCTAGCTGGTCGAAGAACCCATTTGCCGTGCTGAGTGCGCCGCCCGCAAATTCGGTCGCGCCGTCTTTAGTTCGGTGGAAGAGATCGAGTGCGAATGTTCCCGCCTCTGTTTGGTGTTAGAATCAGTCAACATGGTAGAATGCACGTAACATACGGCCAGCTTGGTACTGGATATATGAGACTCCTGCAACAACAGCTCCTCCTGCAGCGGCGCCCACAGTCGCAAACTTGCCCACCAGCTTCGGTATGACCCGCGCAAAGGAGATAGATCGGGTAGCGGGGATGTTGTGCAGCGAGTAGCTACCCAGCGGCCATGGTCGTCGCTTCACCAGGCGTAGGCCGGCTTGATTGCGGAGGAGGCCACCAGCGGGCAGCGAGTGCGTCGTGTAGAAGCGTGGAGTGAGCAGCGGTGAGCGGCGTGCGATGGTGGAAAGGCGGCCCGCGACGAGCCTGCCGCTCATATTGACGACAAAGAGACCACGACAGGTCTTGGGTAGGGCATAGGTTCAGGTAGGGGACGTGGCTGCGCGGCTGGACGAGCGTTCAGGTGCGGCTATGCACGTCACACCCATCGACTTTTGGGATGCCGGGGTGCTTGGGCCATCAACACGCCGCGTGGGGCTGCGAGTCGCTCGACGAACAACATCGAGACACGACATCTAACCAACTATGCAACTCAATTCATCTACCTGGTCTCGGGTATCTTCGAATTCTAGCTTCACTTCAAACACAGAATTGCCCTTTCCCCAAATGTATCCAGCAGCGACCCTTCCTCCTTGATCATGTCTCTCAGCCAGTTCCTCGAGCCTTCAACTTCTCTGCTGGCGAACTTGATCAGGACAAAGCCTCTCACGTTCGCAGCACTCCATATCAGCCCATCGGCCTTTTCTCTCTGCTGCCTCTCATACCGCCTCTGCTCATGCGCCTGGAGCTCTGGCTGCACCGCGTCGCCCCAGTTCCTCCCACCAATACGCGGCAGTGCCTCGAACTCATCTAAGAAGAACTCTGATAGTGACGAAAAGATGGGACCGCGAACGATCAAGGTTCCGAAGACAGAATAGCTATCCATACGTGATGAGAGTTGCAGCCCTGTCTTCCCATGCTTGTCCAAAATGAGGTTGTCCCGTAGAAGTAGTCTCCTTTTGCCGGCATCACCTACGGTCCAGACCTCGTTGCGGCTCTTGTATTCGTAGATATCCCAGTTCTCCCCTCGTGCAGAACGGCCACTCGTGACCCAGTCGCAAACACACAGGTTACCTTGCTCTTTCTCCAAGTGATAGATCTGGGATTGGGAAAAGGCCGTGTTGGCAAAAGGCTGCACTGGGTCGGGGAGATAGACTAAGGCGGAATTGTTCTTGAGATGTATGTTCATATGTTGTCGTGAGACTAGTTCTGGACTAGGGGTTTTGAAGATCTTGGTCGAACCTTGCGTCAATAGTATCAGCCGTGTACTGCTGTCTAATCTGACTTCCAGGTCTATGCTGTCTCCAGCTACGATACCTCCACCGTAGGTCAACAAGAACACTGTATGAATCAGTGAGGGCGTGGCCGCTGCTGTGTCGGCCGCTGCTTCTCTGCCATAGTTGGGTGTTGCTAGGGGATCTGGGGCGACTAGCTTGAGCGGGTATTGATATGACACGGTCCGGAGGACAGGCGTATCCGGAGGGAGTATTTCAAGGATGATGGATCCATGGCCAGGTTTTGATGTTGATGTACCGAAGGGAGAGACGAAGGACATGTCGGAGTGCTATTGGTGCTCGCAAAGAATCATCTTCTACTGTGGCCGACTCTGAACATGCGTCTTGTTTTGCCTAAGCTTTGTGTAAAGGTGCATCCAAGCTTTGAGTAGTACGATTATGTAAACCTGCAAGTGAAAGATCAGCAAATTCCCTCTCGACGATGGGACGACGACTATCAGATAAGTGAGTGCACCTGCCCTACGAGATCGATTAGCGCGAGCGCGGACCAAGCCGCCAAGACGCGACGCGGGGCAGGATTCTTCCTCTCTTAGTCACTTTTCTGCAGCTCCCAACCCCACCTAAACGCAGCCAAAGTATTTACCGATTCGACAACCATTTTTGCACGCGTTCGAAACTCGACATCGACAGCTTCTGCAAACCACTCCAAGCGCGCGCTAGGATTTTTGCAATCCTCAGTACACCGACTTCTGCGCTCGGAAGTAATCCACAACAGCTGCAGCCAGTCACGACGCGATCTCACCTAGCATTGTCCTGCAGTGCGCGTTCGAATCGCCGCATCGTCACTTTTGACATGCCTTAAACGCGTGTCATCGCAATCGCAATCACACTACCGGAGTTGAAAGGGGACGGGTGGTAGCAACATGTCGTCAGGTTTTGACAAGCTGTTGGAATTTCTGCTGTCAGAAATTGCACTTCGCGGCGTCCAAGGTATGCATGACTCGTTGCGCGTGTAGTCGTTGCTTCCGTTCGCGCACTGGCCTTCGTCCGAGCGAATCGATATCTCCATTCCTCCATAAGTTATAACACAAGACCGCTCGGAAGGGAGAGCGTCGCGTTCGCTTCACCTTGATCGCTAGTTATCTTTCGCTCCAGCCTTTTTTTCATTTACTACATCAGATCAATCACTGACATCTTATAGGTGCTACTAGCACAGACTTCCGTCACTTTGTTGAGACCTTCTACAAACAAGGCGTCGATAACGGCGGACCCAAATCTGACAATGGAGATAACTGTCTTCCGTCAGCTGGACTTGGCCGCACGTTCTACGAGCGTCTGTGGCAATGGCTCACCAGCCATCCTGATATCCGCATAGTCTACCAACGGGAAGTTCGTCAATTCACTCTTTCAGAGTTCGAGGCGGCCGAGCTACACGAGACTAGTACGATCGGCGAGACACCCGCAACAGGCTTACTTCAAACATCCGTGAATTCCGTCAAAGCAGTAGAGCAGCCTTCCAAATCTCTCTTCGCTTTGCGGGACTCTCTGCGCCAACAAATCCTCGGAGATCAACATAACCCGCAACACCTCTTCACTCAGTCGCCCGAAACTCCTACTCATCCAAACTCACCACGACCACGACGCAACCTGCCAAATGGAGCGCGCCATACCACAGCAGTCTTCGATGAACCCAGCTCTACCATCACTGCCCCTCGTTTGTATGCCAGTCAAAGCAGGGTATGGCAGGCGTTGACAGGCCACGGTATCGACTTGAAGAAGGTTCCCAGCATGGAATTTGTCTTGCTTTCTCTCATTGCTGCTCGCGGATCGGCAGGCATCACACAACCCGAACTGATCAACATCAGTGGCCAGGATAAGAGATCTGTCCCGCATAGAACGGACGAGTTAGCTCGCAAGAACTACATCAGCAAGATTTCTGTACAGTCCAACAAGATGCGCACCAGCCTCTGTATTCACAGCAAATTCGTCTCTCAGAACACCTTCATTGAGTCTAGTGCCGTTGAGGACGTGTATCAGGAGGATGGTACGTTTGTGGTCAGGAACTTTGCTCAACTGCTGTACAACAAAGTTGGTCAAGGTGGCATCGTTCCCACGCGATCCATTAGGGACAAGCTGGTAAGTGCATGGCCTTCACAATTATATGTCACGTTCTAACATTACTAGGGTGTTCCAATGTCATCCTGGAACAAGCGCGCCACCCAGGGTGCACTTATACGACTGGATCAAACAGGGATGATCAAGCGACGTAGAATTCGTAAGAAGAAGTCTGCCGACGCTTGGATCACATGCATTCAGGTGATGCGCGCGCCACAGGACGAGGACCTCAGGAACCTTGGCTTTCGTCGAACAGCTCCTATTACAACGGATTCGAAGGGCGAACTACGCGATGAAGACGTGGATGGCGACTCGTTGTTGAACGATCTCAATGACGACATGCCAGACGATCCAGATGCCAAAGTCAGCGACCGAGCCAATGCTCAGCCTGCTACTGATCAAACTGTCAGCATTCCTCCACAATGGACGCCTGACCGCTTTCTTCCGAATACTATCTTCAACGCTGCTGCACTGGGTGGTGTGCAGGGTTGGGACGCTGAGGTTCTACGTAACCGGATTGTCGGGCCCTTTTGGAGACGCCCCATTGAATCGTACTTCACCCGTGTGACCAATGACTGGGAGAAGACACAACCTTTCCATCTCCGGCATTTGGCTGTCATACGAGATGCTGGTACTACCAAACCGAAGAAGTTCGTTCACTACCTCTATCGCACACACGAGAATTTCCAGAAAGCTGTCGATGCCAAGATCGCTGTCTGGGAAGGTGTTTTGGTGCCTGGAAAATCTGCGAAGAGCTCTGCGACCGAGGTGTGCCTCGACGCTTGGGGTTTCCCAGCCGTCAGCGCGAAAGAGTTAGTTCGAAAGACTGGTGCAGCAACACTGTCTGAAGCTGGTTCGGCTATTATTAAACCGCGCAAGAACGGTCCACGTTGGGATAACGGTATCGCCGAGCAGATCGGCTATCAGAAGCATTCAAGTTCAATGCTGAAACCTAAAACATTGGATATAGTAGGTCGGTCCAAGGAACAGAAAGTCGTCAAAGTGAAGCCCGCCAGGGTACCAAAGGCCGCTAAAGCTTCCAAGATGCCTTCAACCATCTCGCTCACTCCTGAGCAGAAGTCCAAGCTGGGACTGGATCGCCATGCCCGCCTGAGCAGACATGTTCAAAACCAAATTCTTGCTCATCGCGAAAAGACCAATGATCCGTTAGCAATACCTGACAGCATTGAGCATGGGTCGGTGAAACGTCCACTAGCTCAGCCATTAATGACAGCAGAAGAGCGGGCAGCGAAGGGCATACCAGTAAAAGGACGCATGCCAATGGGCCTGGAGAACAAGATTCGAAAGGAACGCAATCTACCTCTGGTGGTGAAGAAGGTGAAGAAACGGGCGACGAAGTCGGCAACCGAGCCTACAGTCCTTACCAACAAGCAAAGGATAGCTATGGGTTGGTCATGTAAGGGTCGGATACCAGACGCAATCATTGATGGTCTACGCCAGGAGCGTAAAGACGGTATCCCTTTGGAAAATTCGAACATCATTGCTATCTGGGACGCTGAGATGAAGGAAAGGGCGAAAAAAAGCAAGGAAGAGGGCGCAGCATCCACCAAAAGGCGAGCCACACCCTGCGAGGAGAAGAATATCGACGTGTCTATGGAGAACTCCGAGGCTGACTATGTGCCTGGACCTGCTCTTACGGAGCCGGGGACTGTTCACGCCTCGCCCGAGCTCGTCACCGGGAAGCGGAAGGCGAAGGACGTGGTCTCTACCCCAAGAACGTCAAAGAGACGCCTTACCAAAACCCTGGTCTCACAGAGGTCAGAATCAAGGACTGTGGCGTCGATGTCTCCCTCGCCCACTGATGTTGGAAGTCCGTTCGGAAATGCAGCTTCCCCTGTCCGTCCTGATGATGATCTGGGCCAGTCAACTACAGTACACATTGCCCGGCCTTTGACGAAAACATGCATTCCGCTCGACGCCTCCAAACTGGATGCTCGGGCACGGAGTGTGGTTGATCAATACAACAAGCGATGCTCCCCAGGCCTGTTTCTCAACCCTCATATGAAGCAGAAGGTTGCGCGAGGTCGACCACGCAAGGCCTTGATGGCCACCTTCAAACTACCGCATCTAGCCGATTTTGACTGGTTTTTATCAGAATCGGAGCAGGAGCAAGGTGCGATTCAAGCTCAATGTTCTCAAATACCCCAGTCTATACAGACCAGTGTTACTCAGCGGGATGGAGCGACAACTCAACTGCAACAAGGCACTTTGGACGAGACTGTAACGGAACCGCATGTTGAGGCGCCACTCGCTGATCTGGAGACCATCCCACAAAAATTGACTCCGGCCGAAACACGGTCACCCTCTCCAGTGCAACCGCAGTCACCAACCGAGATGCAGACGGAACGGGATGTTCTGATCCATGAGTCGTCATCTGCCTCCGCTAAACAGTCGATCCCACCTGATAACGAGCCATCACAAGACAGCAATGTGGTCAACAAAGAAGAAGCAACATCGTTTGTACTAGACTCAATGGTCACCAGAAGCGACAACCTCGTCCCCGCTACGACTGCAGGTTTCACCAATGTTGAAGAGTATAGCAATGGTTCTCTCGAGCCGGCACAGAGACAACTTCCACAGACAGTCGTACCAACACCTCGTATGGTGGGCGGCTGGGCCGCCATCAATGCAACCGAGCGCGCCCGTATGACACCGTATCAGAGCCCTTATGCCGCCAGCCCAAGTCCGGTAGCTCAGTCGTCGCCAGCTCCCGTTCCCGAGGCCAATTCTGGTGCTCCTCTCCCTAATGCGGTTCATAGCGCTATCGTAGAGACCCCAGTACCGACTATCCCGGGCACCAAACCAAGGAAAGCACAAGGTGGTGGCATTGCAGGAACTCAACGCACGTTGAGGCAGAACCTCATTCTCGATATCATCAAGAAGTGCGGCGGTGTTTTTCCAGGCGGTGGTGAGATGCCACGACCGTTCCTCACGCTTTGGGAGCAGCGGTACCCGAACATCCCGAAGCCTTCTCCTAGCACCATCACCGAGACGCTCAGGAATATGTCTGTAGACCCGAAGTTCGGGTTGAAACATTGGAATTTTGCCTCGCAACATCAGAACATGCCAGGGACCGCCGTTCGAAGAATGTATACGTGGGCACATCTGAACGAAAGGAGCCCGGAAGTCCTCAAGTTGGCGCACAACATGGCGCAATATTCCCAACTCAAAGATTACAATGCCCGTATGTCAGAGAAATCACTCCTGTATTATCCAGAGGAGATTCGTGATCTGATCGGCGAGGTCGTGTCGCACCAACCAATTGAGCCCGCGCCCAAGGACGAGAGCATCATTTTCAACCAATTGAATCCTGAACTCGAGAGGCAGATTACTGAAGCTAAGCTTCGAAAGCGCAGCGTGTGGTCGAAGCAGAAGAGGCTAGAAGCCAAAGCCCGCAAGGCTCAGAACGCTCAAGTAGAACAAGCGTCTTCTAAACAGAT